ATTCTAACGGTAATTGCGGACGATTTTCATCATGTCTCACTTAACGAATGTTTTTAAGTATAGACAGGAGTATTGAAAACACCACCAAGACCATGAAGTGTTAAACAATGATTGAATTCCATGACGATGGAAGATGTTGAATCACCAACCCCCCTGCAGAAAGGGTGATCAAGCCGGCCTGCCTCCAATCTCTAATCAGATTCACGACAAAATGCGGCATATCCCTGGTTTGGCATCGTACTGATGTTTTAGTGTTTAGTGTTTCTACCGAGGCGCTATTTCTGCTCCTTTACACGTCATTTTATTGGCTCATATATTCATAAATCGCATCTGTGTGTGACATCCCTGTTGAGTTTTGCAACAGACAAAAGGTGTAACCAATCGCGAAAAGGAAAGGAACGACGGGGATGGCGACTTCGATTTCACGAAAATCTGCTCTACCACAATGGAGTCTTTGCTTCAGTGGTGCAGGGCACTTGATTGTCTACCACTTGGGGGTGGCGAAAGAGTTAATATCACAAATCAACAGCAAGGGGGAATCACTGAAGACCAGTACCCTACCTCAAATTCACTCCGTGGCTGGATCGTCGTCTGGCGCACTGGCAGCTGCAGCGTTGGGGTACTTTCCTGATCGCATTGAGGAATATGCAGATCGATTCCTACAAGATCGTGGCCACGCGTTTCGGCATTTTCAGCAAATGTTGATAGACCAAGAAACAAAGCGAAATGTTCCAGGTTTGTCAAAATCAGAATTAACAACACAGCAGAACAGAATTCAGCCTCAATGGCTGGGGGTTGCCACGACGGAGTGCTCGACTGGCGCATTGCATATGTTCGAATTTGATACTTCACTTCCTTTCCACAAAGGAACTGACCACAGCTCATATGAACGACTTCTGTCGGCTGTTCAGGCATCATGTGCCATTCCTCAAACATTTCATCCATGGGATTTATTTTCAAAATACCCATCGACTTATCCTGATGACGACGGTATAGAAATTGATGGCTCCTACTTTGTCGATGGGGGTATTGCAGCTCCATGCCCTGTCTGGCACAAGAATGCAGAGCAACAGCAAACGGACGCCAACGTTATTCTGATTAGTCCCACATCTGGATCATCTTCATCAGCACCTCCAGTGCTAGGAAGTATTCGACCATCCGACTCGTCTTTCAAGTTTCCGCTAGTGGGAGACCTTTCCCCTCGCGGTGAGAATGGTGTATTTCGTATTCGACCGTCGGTACAGAATCTGAGAGGCTTTGTCGCTTCAGCGGGGGCGGTGCACCCACAAATCTTGCACGACTTCTACCAACGAGGAATCGAAGATGCTAATGCTTTCTGGAACAATTGGGAGGAGGGACAAGGATAGTCTCAACTGAATCTTCTACTTTACTATATGAATTGTATTGTACTTCGTTCTCTCAGTAAGGCAAGGACTGGGGTGGTTTCGGGTGCGTTGGCATCCTTTGAATTCGTCTCTTGATAACTGGATTGTGTGGCTCGTTGTTTTTCGTCAGTAAGTGCACTGACTCCATCCTCGCTATCGCTCTCTGAGTCGGACAGTGCTTCGCTCCCGGATTCTTTGCCGTCTTCTTCCTGATTACAAGCTTCTAGACTTTCTAGACTGTCTTCATCGTCATCAAATGGAGCAATGACTTTTGGGGGATCGATGACAGCGGCAATTAACTTCAAGTCTCCTTCTGCTTGTTTCATCATGTCCACAGTTACTTCTAAGTCGGATGGACATGAAAGACCATTGATACTTAGAATTTGCATGCCATCCACTGCTAAATCTGTTGACCACTTAAAGCGGCTTCCAATTTGATGATCCGAAATATAAACGCCTTGTTTGGTCGTGGAGTTCTTGATGGACATGCCCATCGGAGTATCCTTGTGGTTTTTGTATATGTATCCACCAACCAATCTGTACGGTGGTGGTGGAGCGTTTTGGTCTAGCTTGATCACTTGAGAGGCGTCATCCTCTGCATGTGACTCCTCAATGACGCCTGACGCAGCCTTGGAAGAGAAACAGAGAGTGTCAATAAAGGAAGGCTCGTAGTCATTTTCCTCACTGGTCTTCGTGGCTGTCCTATTCGCTACTTTTCTCAGCTGAATTGGTTCTTGGTCACTTTCTTCTTCGTCCGGTTCCTCTCGGCAGTCGGTCGCAAGACCATATCTCCTAATGTCAACATCTTGCCGTTGAGTTTCAGATTCTTTCCGGACTTCGTGCGATGCCTCGGCTTCCCCTGCCATGGCTTCTCTTTCTTCTTCGAAAACTAAAGTGCTTCGCTCTGCGGCTAGGGCTACCATTTCTACATTGAATAGTGTGGCGCCACATTCTTCGTCTGTTTGAGCTTGTTGCCCAGACAATGATTGCTCCGTCTCTTGTTGTTCTCGTGGCAATTGTTCTGCTTCCTTCTTTTGCTGTGATCGTCGTCGTTTTGTTGCAGCAGCAAAAGGAGAGGAGTACTTGAAAGTGTCAATAGATGGTAAAGTCAAATATCTTGAGGGAGATAAAAATTTGGAAAGTCTCATGGTTCTTGATTTGGTTTGCTGTTGCTGTTGCTCTTGTTGTTGGTCTTGTTGGCGATATTGCGATGCTTTGACGGGTTGGTGTTGGATGCAGATTTGGAGTTTCCTATGATTTTGCCGTTGAACGCATGTCCAACTGATCGCTTGGATGCGTTTCAGAATCCGATCGAGTAGCTACCGTCCGTCAGTCGACACAAACACGCCACCCCAGTATATGACTGACTAACTCGACTTGCAGGAAGTGCACACAACAAACAGGAAGTGCACACAACGAAGGTGCTATAATAACTGCAATCTACTAATCTCCTATGCTGCTTTGGGTGCACGAACATACGACTTTTACCTTTGTACAAACGTTGGCTCTTACTCTATCGCGCCATCTACAGCAGTGTTCCTTCTTACCATCCTTCATCTTCTTCCAGAAGACAATCATTGAACTCTGGTGCTGACAGTCTAGAGAAACAAATGTCACTTTTGGACCAATGATCTTCTCATCCGCTTCACCAGCAAATTAAGATCGCCAAACCTTGCCTAATATCTTTTCCTACTAAAGTACCTCACCCCACAGTGGTGGTCGAGGATGTGACTTCCTATGACGAATACCATTGCACTGCTCGTTTGGAAATATCTTCTCGGAACTGGTCCAATGCATGACCCAACAATTTTCCAAGTTTTTTTTCTTGCAACAAGTCTTCCTTGATACCATCAAGCTTTCCTATTTCCAAAAAGTACTCGCAGCCTTCCAACTGAATATCTTCGTCCATTGGAAATTGGGCCATGGCCGTTTGGACCAAACCCCGACAATCTTCACCCGCCACCAATGGTCTCGTCACAACTTGTCCCGCCAAACTCAATAAGACCTCAATAGCATCTGAACTGACCATTTGCGACTTTGGGTATTGTTGAACAACTTGCTCAATGGTGGTAATGGCGCCGATGGAGGCAATGGTAAGCCCACTGGAAGGATCGGATACGACTAGAGTCGCCAAACCTCCCATGGCCAAAAGGGAACATTCTTCCGACTTTTTGTACCACTTTTCGAGGGCCACCAACATACTCACTGTACCACCAGCCTCGAGCACGGCAAGAACATATGGAGAAACCGACACGGCCGACGAGTTGCTGCTGGTATTCCTAAATTCTTCCAACGAACCAGAAAACATGCGCATCGCCTTTCGTGCTTCCTCCACAGTGACTGCATTGAGTATACTAGAAAGGAGCATTCGTGCTCGTTTCATGTCATGTTTTGTAAACGCAGGCTTGGGTGGATCTTTGGGGGCCTCTTCTCGTTGTTCCTCCTCCTTTTTGTTCTTGTTCTTGGTGGTGGTGGTGGTGGTGGTGGATACATGCAAGTGCTCGTTCCGCGTCTTGCTTTATTTTCTTTTGCAATTTGGAAACTTCAATGGCAACTTTGCCGCCAAACTTGGTAGTCATTTCTGGTGGAAGCTCTTCATCGTAGGTATACGTGCTTCCGTAGACGACCACAACTCCATCGGCATCTTGTTCATCATCGTTGGCTTGTTCTTGGCGACGAGGAGGATGAGGATTGGAACGAATTTGAGATTGGTCGTCGTCGTGTGGTTCTCGTTCTTGAAACAGAAAGGACATTGTCAACGATTTGGATGTGACTATGAAGAGCTGCTGTGTTAGTTGTATTGATGGTGTTTCGTTCGTTTAGTAACACACAAAAAGGGAGATGATGACGATCTAGCGAACGCTTTTTGCGATGTCAGATTTTGTCTCGAACAATCGCCGTAATAACGGCTCTTCAGTTGAAAGGTATTTTGTGGGATTGGTGCGAAGGACAGTCGCATCGAACAGAATGAATCAATCAATCGCCAAACGTTTGGAGGGAGTTCTTCCCCGTTTTTAGTGGGAATCTCAAATTTATTTTCACCCCCAAAATCAAAGTCTAACGAGATCATGCCAGCCGTCAATATTCGATAATATCAAGCTGAACGCAGCAAAGCATTGGCACTGTTGAACGACACAAGATCGTCATTCAAGAAGGAGAAGATACGCTTTCTACAAACACTCGTCTTCTTGATTCCCTCTTCAGCGTTGATTCAACCCATTTCAAGACTAGACTCGACTTCAAATCATCATCCATAGTTGATTGAAAGCCACACAGCATTGTTGATTGAATCGATCGTACTGGCAAACAATACACGTGCATCACAGTATATCATACACAACAACAACATTTGGTCATGTCGACTGCATCCATTTCCATGACGCATGTCTCCTTGCAACGCTTTCCTTTCCTTATCATCACTATCATCATCATGGCACTTCACTGTGCCAATGCTTTCGATATGGACGACTTGATTGAAACTCCTCAGAGTGCGGAATGCTTGGAACACGCTCTCTATTTGGTGAAGTTTGTCAAGCGTGAGGGTGGAACCTTTAATGATGAAGTTCAAGAACTCAAACTGACCCCGGATTATGGAATTGGCCCCCAAACTGCCTCGTCAGGTGCCAAGATTGGGGTTTACGCCAAGGAAACGATTGAGGAAGGAACGGTTCTGAGCCGAGTGCCTTGGAAAATCGTCATTGACGATCAAGATATTCCAAGTTATGCGGAAGATAAAGAGGAGGAACGAGCCGGACTACTGGAACATGCCAAACTAGACCCTGAAGTGATTGCCGCCAATGAAGCCTACGTGGCCAGTTTGCCCAACATGGCATGTCCCACCTTTCGCAACCTCTTGCGAGAAGTTCTCATGGACGGTGCCTCCAAGGTGGCTCCCTACTTTCATTATCTCTACAGCGCCCGTCGTACTCTTCCCGCTCACTATGGCAAACATTCCAAGAAAATGTTGGAACAACTCTTGATGAAACAAACCGACGAAGAGTTGCCTCTGTTGGACAGTCTCGAAAGTTTGTTTCTAAACAAGAAACACTTTGATTTGTGCGACAAGTTGCCCTCTCACAAACACACTGGTGCCTTCATTGAACGCGAAGCAGTGGCCCGATTGGTGGCTCAGTTTGCGGCTCATGGCGGCCTCATGATTCCGACTTTGGATTTTTACGGCCATCGCAATGGCAAGTACCTCAACACCAATGTCACTGTCAAAAAGGGGGAATATGTCGAAATTGTGGCCAGTCGCAAGATTGAAGTGGGAGAGGGAATCTACACGAGCTACTCGGATTGTGAGGGTTGTGATCCACAACACAAGCATTACGATATGCCAGGTAAGTTTTCTGTTTGTATGTATGTTTCACCGTTTCGGAAAGCATTCATGGCGATGTCTTGGGACAATGATACCAACCCAATATTTCGTTTCTTCCATTCTACTCTATTCTATGTTGGCAGACCTTTTCCGGGATCATGGTTACTTGGAACGATACCCACAACGCTGGGCGATTCCCGGAGAATGTGTGTACATTGAATACAATGGCAATGTTACCTCTGGAGAAGTGACTCCACCGAAATTTTTGTACGACTATCAGACGGACATTGTGGAACGGGAGGGCGGAAAGTTGTATTGGCGCTTTTCCGAGCCAGAACAAATCATTGTCATTGATAAGAATGAAACGGATGGATCTTTTATCTTGACGTGGGATCAATTTTCAGCGGATCCAGAAGATCCGACAGACATTGTAGAAGCTTGGCCTGCCTACCGTGAAGAGTTGAGACGTATTCAACGTCTAAAGAAATTGGACTGGCTCTTGTACGATCAAGAAACCCTTGCCGAGGTTCATTCTCATGAATGGGATAACATTCACTCCCTTCATCAAGCTTATGTGGATGTCCTCGAACAGGCAATACTCTACATTGAAAAATTTCAAGCAGGAAAGTCAAAGATGGTTGGCCACTATGATGACTTTGTCCATGAAGGAGATGGGACTACTTACAATGAACTGGACTGCCAGAGCTCCGAATTGATTGATTTCCTCACCTACGAACCATACGAAAAGAAGCAATCCAACTACCAATTGATGGACTGGACCAAACGGGAAGCCGACAATGATACCTGCCTTCATTTGGACGATATGCTTCAAATCTGTTCAAGTTATCGACCACATTATCACGAATTCTTTATCCATTTTCCAGCACAGTATGTGGAAAAAGTAAAGCGAGTCATTTATCTTGGAAGTGGAGATGCCATGCTCTTGCATGAAATTCTAAAGTATCCAGACCTTGAAAAGGTGGTCGGTCTTGAGTTGGATCAAGACATTACCAGAACGAGCTTCCGCTACTTCAAGACTCAGCCTCACTACGATGATCCAAGAGTTGAATGGTGGTACGGAGATGCTACCAAGACCCTGCCTCTACTTCCAAAGTCATACTGGGGCTCCTTCGATTTGGTGTTGGTGGACCTTTCCGAAACGGTTGTTTCCATGGACGTCACCGGACAACACGATATTTTGGATGTTTTGGAGAATCTTTTGAAACCAGAGGGAGTCTTGTTGGAAAACGAATTGTACATTGACAAATTCACAAACCACTTTGATCACACGATTCACATCTTTTATGGATCACCAAAGGTCTGCACCCAAGTTTTGACATTGGCAAGTAACAAGGTCGATTTCTTGCACCAGCCTCTTACGGATCACGGCATTGACAACTACTTGGTCCATACGCCAAAAGAAGAGCAGGACAAGTACACTTACATTCATGACTACCTAAAATCATACGCCAGCAAGGAGCAATGTAACGCAAAGAAAGATTTGGGTGTCGTACAAGGAAAACCTGCCGGAGTTTTGGAGGTTGTGAATTACGAAGGAATTCAGAATATGCCAGGAGACAAGTTGGAGAAGAAGCTATTTGCTGTCGCCAAGAAGCTTGGATTCACAACTCATTCTGTCGCTACTCCTACACTTGGAGGATATGCATTTGTCTCTATGAACGAAGGGTATATCTTTATCAGATGTTGGCAAGAAAAGAACTATTGTGCCGCCGACTTTAATTTGTGGGGAGCCTTTTCCAAGCGAAATGCCCTTCGCAGGGCCTTCCGTCAAGTTTTCAAGGCCACGACAGTCTCGGACTATCGCGTCGTGGTTCAAGGAATGTATGGATCCAAGACTTTGAAGAAGGACCAAGAAGAAATTGGTATTCGATTCTCGCAAAATAGATTCTGCGGCGTGAAGGATGTCAAGGCCGGTGCCAAGATTACGGAGAAGACAGTTAAGACTCTGGCAGTTGAAACCGCAAACGTTTTGGACGAAGCCAACAAGTACGCAGTCGTTATTTGTGGTGAAATTGCAGGAGAGAAATGTGTCATTTCAGAAGCCATGGCGAACAATAAGGACTACCGCGATGTCTTGACAATTTACACTTGCCCCGAGATTGCTAAGATGAATCTCACCGAAGATGCATCCAAAGTTGAAGACATGTATGATTGCGAACTTCAAGTGTTGGATCAACTCTTCGAATTGCCACCCATCGATTTGGTCCTTATTGATGACTCGGTTCCATTTAGTATGATGCAGGTCTTTGCCAGTATTTTGGGTATGCCCGAGAAACGCACCGCCTTGTTCAAGCCAAAGCACTTGATTGCTTTGCCTTTTACCCATACTAGCAACTACAAGGCACGATTCTTGGCGGAACGATATCGTCTGGAGCAAAAGAATCTTATTTCTGGTACCACTTTCATTGTCGAAGGAGATGAAGACAAACTTGGTTGGGTTGTTGCATTCGTTGGCGATGATTATTCCATGTTCAAGCTCGAACAGATGGAAGGCAGACTGAAGGAGGCACTTCCCAACTTGGATGTTGAGATTCGAACTAGCATTGGTGGAAAGAAGCATACTGAGAAGGATTTGGAGTACGAGAGTTGGACGTTTGAACCGGAAAAGTATGATTCAAGTCCAAACGAAATTCAAAATACCGAACAAGAATCGTTGGGTCGCCAATCCATTGTGCAATTGAACTGGAGCGACGAAAACGCTGGCATCTACACGTCTCTAGCCCTTTTGCAAAATACATTGCAGGCAATGAAGTTTACTCCACAGCGATTTAGCACGTTCAAGGATGTAGGTGACGGAGGTGGTGCCTTTTCTACATTTACGGAAGGAAGTGCCGTTTTAGTCTACGATGGAAAAGAAGGATTGGTATTGAATCTATTCTTGTTTGATGATGCCAAGGCGGTCGCGGACAAGTTTATCGATACCTTCAAAGCCAAGTCCAATGGAACATTAGAGGGGTGGTTGCGGGATGACCAGCCACGTGGAGTTGGAAGAGTGGTAAACTTTTCGGACGAAATCAAGGCCAGCAAGACTGGTGGAACCAAAGTTGCTCCCGGATCTGAGGCTAGGTCCGCAGAGGACACTGCCTACCAAACAGAGGAACTGTAATCCTCATCTGGGATGCGTACTCTAGTTTGTTCCAAACATAATAGCTAAGCTGTTTTGAATTATTTACACCCAAACAAAATGTTATCATTCTTTTTAAGAGTTTGGCTAACGCCAATTGTTTCCAAGCAATTCTTTGGCAACCGCATCAATCACTTGATCACATGTCCCATGAATGATCAAGTCTGCCTGAGAATCATATCCAGTTGGTTGCAAGTTCACGATACAGGTATTTACGTCTCGCTTGGAGGATTGCCGGGTAGTTGTTGTTGTGTGTTTGTTGCTAAATGGCAGACCCGCTGCAGGCTCCACCTTCAAGGAGGATCCCACCACAATGATCAAATCCGATTCGGCAAATTTGTTCATGGCTTTGGTCAAGGATGGCTCGGGCAAGTCTTCTTCGAAATGAATAATCGAATCCCTTAAGATACCCCCACAATCCTCACAGTGACGCCCCGTCTCGTGTTCCAAGGAATCGTCCTTGGGGACTTCAAAGTCCCGATGAAAGACCTTGTGGCAGTCATCACACGTCTCAACAAAAATATTCCCATGCAATTCACTCAATTTGTGCTCGGGAAATCCCGACCGACTGGACAAGTCATCGTAATTTTGTGTGGCCACGTAATGAATGAACCCAGCCTTCTCCAAGGCCACCAATCCTTCATGCGCCAAGGTGGGTTGCAAACCGTCGCTGACCTTGGCGTCTGCCTTTGTGTTTTTGTGTGCGTTTTTGGTCCACAATCCATGTTGGCCCCGAAAGGTGGGCAAAATGGGGGCACTGATGCCCGCACCAAGGAGAATGGAGGTGCGTTTGGCAGTTTGAACCAATTGGGCCAACGAATAGCACTTTGGGGCAAGAATGGCAGGCGGGTCAAAGATTTCTGGCTCTTCGTCCTCTTGATCTTCCCACTCTTCCAAGGCGATTGTCCCTTTCAAGTGTTTGGCCGCCACCCATTGCGGTTCTTCATTGCCGTCCGCCCAAGCACAGAGATATTCATGTTGTTGCTTTGTCTTCTGTTTGCCATTGCCACCACGCTCATCCAAAATACATTCAATTTCCGCTTCTTCCATCGTGTATGTGTAGTTGCATGCTTTGCGTTTCTTGTTGCTTTTGGCCATTTTCTAGAATATGCTGATCAGCACTCACTACTCACTACCTGTTCATCAGCATCAATCCTCGGTTGGTTGTCGTTTGTTTGTTTGATCGTTCGTTCGTTCGTTCTAGACGTGCCGCAACAGCATGCCCGCACGTTTCGCATGAGTTTTCATTCCGAACTGAAAAAAAGTGATAGCATTAGATTGCCCTGATGATGTGTTTGATGTTATTGCTTGAGACGTGACATCTTACAATACGGGCGGAAGAATAAAAGCAAGAAGTGCATGTTTGAAATCGGACTGACTAGAATGACGTTGCAAGCAAGAGTAGACTCATTCGATCGAATTCTCGATGGGGGAGTAAAAAATGTCAAAATGACCGGAATTAGAATTCCTGGAGAATCAATAAGTAAAGGTGTCGCGTCCAAATCAACTTCCCAAAGTCGAATTGCCGAACTTCGGAAGTTTGCATCATTTTTGGAGAAGTTTGTCGCTTTCGGGTTGATTGGGGTAATTCGGCTTTCATAATGATCCAATCAGATTGAAAGATACCAATTCGCATCCGATTCGAAGTTCTGTTTTCGAATTCTCACAGATTATCTGGAAAAGGTCCAAGAACGAAAACCTTTCGATAGGAAGAAGAAGAAGAAGAAGTACACCTCAGTTTCACTTTTAAAAGACTCTTTGGAATACGAAAGCACTCTATATCCATTCAAACTCTCATTATGGTGCAACGAATCCAGAACAAACATCTCATAGCTACAGCCGTGCTCCTTCTTGGCTGTCATGATAATTCTATAACGTCGCGCTGCAATGCCTTATCGAACATGCCAACAAATTCGCATGCTAAGAGACCCTTTTCGTCCATTTCTTCCTCATCGCCAATGGCAACAACGACTGGTTCTAGTTCTAGTTCTAGTTCTAGTCTCCACATGGAATCTTCCATCAAACAAAAAAGCAACTCTGCTTTTGAGACATCAAGAACAACAACAAGAACAAAACAAAATAGTAGTACTACTAGTTCTTTGATGAAGAACAGTGCCAAGCTGGATGCTACTTCGCTTCCATCTTTCGCACAAATTCAAGACTTTGTCATGCCAGTGATATTTACATCCATGTTAATAACCTCCAACACAGTCGGCGCTGGAATGCTCGTCTTGCCCGAACTTGTCCAAGGACCGGGCATGGGTGCCAGCATGGGCTTGTTCTTTGCTCTATACCTTGGGAACCTCATTTCAGGATTGCTCATTGCCGAAGTGGCCATTACTCAAAAGGAACAATCGGGAGAAGACGCTCCTTCTTCCTTCAAGGCCTTTTCGGAAGCCAACCTTGACAGCGAGCTAGCCAAGGATGTGATTGCAGCCGTTTGTGTCATTAAAAACGCTCTGGTCTTGGCCTTTGGCACCATGAAGGCTGGCCAGCTAGGACACGAGGTCCTAGGGTGGAATGCCGATTTGACTTCTATGGTTTGGGTCATGCTCTTTGCCGGAGTCCTGGGCACCCAGTCTGCTCCTCGCTTGAGCAAGGTGGCCAGTCTGTTCGTGGCGGGTCTCTTTTCCAGTTTTGCCAGCATTCTCATTCCAGGTCTTGCCCACATGGAGACTCCGGTCATGGACGTTCTCACCATGCCTGGGACTTCCAGCGATCCAATGGCTGCAATGGTGACTGCGGCTCCCATTATCCTGATGAGCTTTATCTTTCAAAACATTGTGCCCACCACGGCACGGATTTTGGAATACGATCGCACCAAGATTGCTCTGAGCATGGGAATTGGAACCCTCTTTCCCTTTGCCATGTACGCGGCCTGGTGCATGGCCGTCTTGGGAGGCGGTGTCGATACGGCCGTGGGATTGGATGGTCCCATGTTTACCCTCTTTTCGGTGGTGACCATTGCTGGATCTCATTTGGGAAGTGCCACTTCCATGGCGGAAGAGTTGGATACTTACCTTCGACCTGCTCTTGACGATACACAAGATCTTGTGGAACAAGAAGATCGCAAGAATGAAGTCTTTTCATGGGCTTCGGTTCTCATCACGGCCGCCATGGGAATTGGTCTGGGCGAAGGCTTTGCCGGAAACCTCAATGATCTCTTGTCTCTGGCAGGAGCGTATGGGTCACCCTTTTTGTACTTTGTGCTTCCACTCATTATGATGTCGACCCAACGAGAAAAGCTTGCCAGTGAAGCGGAACCAAAAGAGATAATATCCGAAACCCCATTTCCCAACATTCCCCTTGGCATTGCTGCTTCTGCAGCTAGTGCATTTCTTGGATTACAAGCCTTGCAGATGCTGTAAAACTACTACTAATGTTGTCTATATAGGTCTAATAAAATATCAATACTATATTACATTATACGTTCATATACATACATTATTGCTTGTTTTTAGCTTTTGTCAGAGCAGACTGCAAAACTCCCCTTATGATGAGATGGCACCGTAAGGACTGACTCCCAGTACTAGCGAGCTCGTTTCGTTGGGGCCACTTCTCTTGATATCACCCTTCTTGCGATTATCGATTGGGGTTTCCATCTTTCCTTCTACAGCCGCCAGGTACCATTCGGTGCTCAAAATGGCAAACAAAATAGAAAGGACAAACGAGTCGTCAAACATGCCCTTTACCAATTGAATCCATTCCTCATCACTGGCTGTTGTTTCGTCCAATTGAGGGTAAAGCCCATCCCATCCCATGGAATGAGTGATAATGAGCAAAACCAAAAAGAATCGTTGGAGCGAAATGGTGTGCATGTAACCGACCAATCGAAGGACCCAATACTTGTGCAGGGCAATGTCTCGAAAATAGGCATACCGCCAGGCCTTCACGATGCAAAAGATAGAGGCAACATTCAGTATGTAGGATACCATCGTGATAACGTTACTTCCCGAAGTAGATGCCAGGCCAAACCCCGTGACATTTTGGATCAATAGTATGGTCAGAAGAAACCGACCCAACATGCGATGAAAGGGCTTGTAGTTGTGACGAATCATGGGAATGAGTTGCAGAAAATAGAGGTTCCACCAAAAAATAGCACCGAGTACATGCGGCAGAAACCAAATATAACGCAAGCTGGTATAGTAGGACTTTCCGATCTTAGTGAATCCCTTGTCCAAGCTTTCGGGGTCCTCCATAAAAGTGGACAAGGCATGTCGTTTGTCCCAGAAATGAACATGAAACAAATTGGCCAGAGAAAATGCCCAAATTACAAGATAGAGAAAAGAGAACCAGATGACGACAATCTTGTCACGTGTTTTCATGTTTGAATCTTTGATGCTGTTTGTGGTTGCTCTCGTTGCTGTGTATCGGAAGATGTCTTTTGGGCTCGTCACAATATATATTACAACATAAAATATCAGAGATCTTGATGGGTCCAATTGATCGATCCAAAACAAAAATGGAAATGGATTGATATAAAATCTAAAATCATGATTCCTACAGTACTTTTCGACTGCTGCAAGTTGTTTGAAAGGCGCCTTCTAGACCTTACTTTAAATATGTTTTCGACACCCTATCACACCATTTATTCCAACTTTCGTTTCTTGGAAGAAGGAGGACTTGGAACTCCTTCTCCGTTGGGTTTTTCACAATGTTCAAAGATGCTGACGTGATCCCGCAGTAGTGAGAACATAACTGCAGCCGGTATTGGGCTTTTATCAGGCGGAAATCCCGTTTCATCATAGCCAAAATCGTTGATAGAGGCAAAGTAGTCAATGGATGGAGGATTCGGGGCCATAATCCAAGTGAGATGGGGCGGTTTGCTAACTCCATTTCAATATTCGATCGCATCTGTCTTCATTCCATCGATGTGCTGCATCGCATTGAGACTTACTCTAGACTTTTACTCTCATTCACCCTCTTCAAAAGGAAACGCAGCGATACAGCTTGCTCTCTTTCTGTCAGCGAAGGTCTCTAATCCTTAAACGGGTTGAAGCTCAAGTGCAATGGTGTAAAAATCTTCGTTCATATCCTTCATCTTTGTTGAAAAGTTCATGATTGAATCATAACTGATGCAATTGAATTGTAAGTCTACCTCGTCAATCTTGCAGCCACCCTTGCATAGAATAGATCCCAAAGGGGGTAGATCACAAACCTCGCTGCCAAAGAGCGACAAAAATCTCAAGTTTGTAAATGCATTGAACAACCCATTCAAGCCATATCTTGCAACATTGGCACTTATAAATTCAAGCCGCTTCAGAATCCTGTTCTTGAATAATAATTGCTCTTCAGTACTCGTGTTGAATGCTGGCAACAAGCATGATTCGTCATAAATCTTCAACTCTTGCAATTTGCAGTCGTCATTGCTTATCCATTCACGCAATGCCTCAATAACTTCTTCTGGCATGTTCCCCAGATTCTGGGGTCCATTTGCAAAAGGTGAAACAACTTGCGCGCAGCATCACTCCAACTGGTGATCACTCCTATCACAAAAATAGTGTTGTAATCGTCATGGACGGTGGCAATGTCAGTAGTACCATTACAAAGATGTATTTGATCCCTGATACGTACGCCAATCAGCGAAACATAAATGAAAATGTATGCTTCCGCTTGCACTACTACCAAATCATGAGCCATTCTGAATGATCAGTGTTTCTCACAAATTCTCTTCTTGAGGAACTTGTGAAATGTGGCAGCAGCCTCCACTATAGGTCAGCGTTCGGACCGTGAGTGTATTCATCGTTGTCAATTCGTTGATCGATTTCGTGTTGTTGTGTGTCAATCAGGAAAATCGAGAGGTCTCTGATCCAACTAGTCCAATGGCCTGAGATTTGAACTTCCTTTTGATCGGTCGACGGATGTGCTAAAATGTGGGGCAGGCGCATTTCAATTCCAAAGACTACAGTCATTAAGAAATATATAAAATAGGTTTTGCCGCCACTATGAGGTCACAAGAAATTTCATGACAACACGCAAACAAACAAAGGAAGAAGATGATGATGATGTATTCTCATAGACCATTGCTACGCACCTTTTTCATCCTTCATTGCTTACTGGGATTCAATCCTGTCTCTTCCCTGCAAGAGGAAACGGAATTGTCGTCTTCGCTTTCCTCTGCGGCGGTGCCTTCCAGCAATTTGAGACAACCACTTCATTTGCAACCACAAGAAATTACTCTGGAGAGCATTGATGATGAAGATTATATGATAGCGGAAGCACGTCCAAGACGAAAACTATGGGACTTTTGGTCGGTCATGATGCTGATTCATCCGCCCTGTCCCCCTCCAGACTCACCTCGCCAACCTCCCCACTGCCGAAACAGTGGAAGAAATGGTTCAAATGGAGGCAGTGGTAGTGGCGGTAGCAGTAGCGGCAGTGGTGGCAGCAGTAGCGGTAGTAGTGGATCTTCCTCTTCTTCCTCCTCCAATTCTGCTAACGCCGCCTCGTCGTCGTCCTATTATGATGATGGGTCTGGTGGATCCTCATCATCCTCCACCAGCAGTGCCGCAGCAGCCAACAGCGCCAATTATCAAAGTCAACAAGATCAAGATGGATTTGGAGGCCTTGGTTGGTACATTATCCCAGTTGGTCTATCATTGTTCACCACTGCCTTTGCCGTGGTGGTGGGATCCCGTCGCAAACCACCTAAACACAATTTGAGCGGAGCACTGAGTCGTCGAGTAGTAGCTACAGATGCCTATGCGGAACATGTCCTGCCGCCAGCAGCAATGGCTCCGGTGGTGTAACTGCTGCTTTGCTGTTTTTTGTGAGAAAATAAGGGGAACATGCTCGCAAACCACAAGATTGCAAGATTATATATATCATGGTCACAAATACCATCGAGCGTTTCGATGGTGACAAAAAAGTAGTAGATAATACATTTTAAAATTAAACGTTTAGTGCAGATACATCGATATTTTTGAATAGATCTGAAGTTTTCCTTCGTCCAGTGGTTGTCCACTCGCTGATGACAAACAACAATCGTAGCACATTCCAACTGCATTAGATTTTTGTATATAACTATCCCCAAAATTGACAACATGATCGCAAGAAACCTATGCTCTTGGATCAATAGATGTCATTGTCACTAACGATCCATCTTGTTCCCGCTTCTTGTTGGCCTCGATCCAGCGGTCCAAATCTAGTTCTGCCTTGCCCCCAACATCCTTTAGCAACAAATCCGTGTCCATGACATCTTTCAGATCGTCCACCTTGCTAATGAACACGCATCGCGCCTTGACTTTGGCTGGGAAGAACATGGTAGACAAGGCCTTGAAGAAGGCATAAAAGACAAAGGGTGCATTCAACAGATAAATGTTCTTGATGCGGATGGGAAAATGACCAAAAATGGCCGAAAACAAGAGTTTCGGAATCCCCAAATCGGCATTCTTGGAGGGACTGAATCCCTTGAGATCGTGTAGAATGGTGATACCTTCGTCGCAACTTTCTGGCATTTCCAACATGCGATCAATGTTGTAAAACATCATTCGGCAGACGCCTTCAACGGTTCGGCCATCCTTCATGTCATTGTTCCGCAATCGTCCAATCAAAATGGGACTCCCTGTGTTGGTAGTGCAGCCGGGTGGATGGACAATGACTTGAGACTTTATCAGACGCAGCAACTCATCATCTTTGGTCAGGCGCAAGGAATCATCAAAGAGACTGGGATTGGCTTTTTTCCATTGACAAAAGGCCCTGAAGCGTTCGGTGGCTCGTTGGACATTGGGTTTCCAACGAAGGAATTGTTGGAGATGAATGTCTTCAATACCATCGGCTGTAGAGCCCAAGGATTCCTTAAATGCTGGCAAGAGCTCGTTGAGTTGTTGGTCCGTGACTGTCATGTTTCTGCGATGAATGATGAATTGGGAAAACTGATGGTCAATTTGATTTTATGAGGAGAGTGATATTTGATTGATTTTTTTATATGAGGCTCGAAGTCTTGCGGGATTGGCGAGTAAAATAAGGCTCGAACGAACACCAACGAACAAATCGAAGCTTTTTGAAGTGCACGAACATTTTCTATCACCACGACCAATACGCCGTACACGTGTACCGGTATCTCGTTGACATGAACAAAGAAGCAAGTGAAGACACAAATTCCTGATTGTGTGTGCTCATTTTGGCTATTTGATGGTCATCAACAAATATGACAGCGGACACATTCTTGGGATTACAGGATTGGTATGCTGGCCTGACACGAATAAGACACACGCGAATACTAGACGAAGTTAAGTTTATCGATTAGATTCTCGCCCCTATGGCTAGCTAGCTATTTTTTCAAACGTTGCGACTTGTTGATTGGATCCACGCCCACCAGATAGGTTGGATCTGAAGACGCATCCACATCAAATTCGGTCGACCACTCGCCAACATCGGAACATTCTAGAATCTTTTCCCGACAGTCAGGACTGACATGGCGCAAGTGAAGTTTGACGCCGAGATCATGATATCGCTTGCACACTGATTCGATAGCCATAATGGCCGCATGATCCCAAACTTGAGAATTCAAAAAGTCAATCACTGTTTCTCGACCCGTCATAAACTTGGGAGGATGTGATGGAGTCTCTTCGCTAGTACCTTCGTTTGCTTTGCTTTTGGCCTTTAACAAAAATCGATTCTCAAGCTTGGTGGCAATCTCGCGGTCTTGTTCCGATGGTTGGCATAATTTTTGAAAGGTCAAGGCGCTCCCAAAGAAGAGTGGTCCTTGCACGTTTATGTAACGATTTTGCAAGGATGTTCCTTTGCCTGTAGAACGTGCGGATATATTGCAACTAGCCTGCCAAGCAAATCGAAGGGCTGACGCCAATACGCCCAATCCTACTGCTGCTGCCATGTTGACAAAGGTAGTAGTCAATGTCACGGAAACCGTGAGGATAATGTCGGCCCATGGCACTTGACCCTTCACCATGGAATCCAGCAAGCCCCAAGAAAAGGTATGCTGGGCAACAGTCAGCATCAGACCAACCAAGGCAGCCACGGGTATTCTTTCCAAGATTGGAGCAAAGAAAGTGACTCCCGCCAAGACAAAGATAGCTACAGCGATACTGGACAGTCGGCCGGTACCACCCGCTTGAACATTAACTAGAGACTGCCCCAGTAATGCCGAACCGCCCATGCCTCCCATGCTTCCACTGACTAGATTGCCTAATCCTTGGGCGATGCTTTCTTTGGTATTCTTTCCTTTTGTATTCGTGCGTTCGTCGACAATTTGCAATGCCAATAGGGATTGCAACAAGCCAACCACGGCCACCTCCAATGCTGTTGGAAATACCTTTCTCAGATGCTCCAGCGTGAGAATGGATCCATACGGTGGCAGCCATTTTTGAATTCCCACTGACGATTCGTCAGCCGAACCAGCAAATGGAAACAGAGCCTGTACCAGCGTTCCAATCCCACCTTGAAAGGCTTCTGGACCGACAATGTCCACCAACTTGGGTACTGGGAGTTCCATCTTTTCCACTAAAATGGACGCAAAACCTAGAGCAATCAACGGGGATGGTATTATCGATCCCTTGGCAATCTTGGGAAAATATTCAATGATGAGTGCGGATGCTACTACCAGTATCGAGTGCCACTTCAATGCGGTTCCACGCAACCAGACTCCATGTGGATGTTGAAAGTGAGGGATCTGCGCTTGAACTACCTTGATGGCTAGGCCCTGTTCACACATATTTAAAAAATAGGTTCGATGTGTTAGTATTGTAATTGATGAAATGGGCAAAAACTCCACAACAATACTCGTATATTCCAAGTCGACCAAAAGAGTTCCTTCTACCGCTCGCATAACTATAAAATAGTACAGTACTCACATTGACAAATCCAAGCATCACAGGCCGCGGCACCACTCGGATATACTTTCCGCATCGAGTCAACCCGAGACAAATCTGCATCAAACCAGCCAGAATGACGGCCAAACCCACCATTAAGGGTCCTTCTTGTTGGCACAATGGCTTTAATATCATGGACACGGTCGCACTGGCTCCACTGACGAGGCCCGGCCTTCCACCCAAGGTGCCACTAAAAGTTGCCATTATGATGGTGGACCCCAAACCCACCAATGGACTCAAGCCTGCTGTCATGGCAAAGGTGGAAGCTTCTGGGATCAAGGCAATGGCCGATGCTAGTCCGGCTAGTACATTTTGGGCCTGTATCCGGACAATTTCGGCATTGTTGTTGTTGTTGTTGTTCTTTTGATTGTTGTTGTTGTTGTTGTTGTTGTTCTTTTGATTGTTGTTGTTGTTGTTGTTATTACTACTGCCGCCATTGCCATTTTTCTTCTTTCCGTTTCGTCCCAGCACAAAGGATTGGAGTTGGGCAAACTTGGATACCTTTTTCTTGGCAAACGGATTGGGAATAATGGAGGGGACTGCCGAGGTTATCGTGGATGCCGCATGGGCGGCTTCCTTCTGTGCCACAAACAGCACACAAAGAATGATGAAATTGTAGTAATAGGACCGTCCCATTATTTTCTGGATTGTGTTATTACTCTATATATATTGCCAAGTGCCATCGCAGTTGTCCTTTCGCCCTTTGTTGTCTTCTATATTATTCCGATGACGCCATTGCAAGTTGACATGTATCTTGTTCAATCGGTTGAGTCAAATGACGGGTGGAGGTTTCCCGCGCCGCCCCGCCGATCGGAGATACATATTGAATATTATGGGAACCCCTTGGTCAAATGTATGTGTGTAGTGTAGATATGTATCCAGAGATAGACTTTTTATAATATACTGTAGGCATCATTGTCAGTTGCATCAGAGAACACTTACCTTGTATCAGCGGAATGTTGCCACAATTGATTGAAAAACACCTAAGAAGTAGTTCATGAAAAGATGGCAGCATGAGCGAGGCAGCAACAAGCTCCTTCTTCTTGGTGTTCATGTTCTTTGTTGTTGTGGTTGTCGTCAACCATCTTGAGGTCTCTTTAGTTGTATATATATATATATATAGCTATGTTTAATTTATTTTGTGTTTATATTGTTTGTATAATTTTCACAAGAGAGAATTGATTGGACTTTCGTGCAACCCAATGGTGGCTCTTGGTCCATCCGCAATGTCTCTCGGGTGAGCAAAATTCGTTTGTCCCGCCACCGTATTCCGATTCATCCATAGATTCATTCATTCACCTGCACCATTACGACAAAGACATCAATACCTTCCTTCATTCCTTCCTTCCTTCCCTCCACTTGTCATCGTCATCGTCAGATATGATTATCATAATCAATGGACATTCGGTGAATCAATTAATCTATTGAAATTCACTGGCATTGGAATTGGTCCGGGTACGCTTGGATGGATGCAAGAGCTGTTCATCCTCATCTTCTTCTTCCATGACGGTATGAGTTCCAAAGAGACGATCACCAACATCCCCCAATCCTGGCAAGATGAGACCATCCTTGGTCAAGACAGGGTCGACGTGGGCGACGGTAAAGTCTACATCGGGGTGAGCCTCACTCAGAGTTTTCAAACCATGGTGGCTGGAAATGACGCAAATGACGTGAATCTTTTCGACTCCCCACTAGTATCAAGTAAAAAACAAAAATGTGAGAAACTTGGAAATCATACGTGTCAGCATCATCATCATCATGATGTTGGGCACTTGTTTGGTTTTTCGTACCTTTTTCAAAATACCAATGACCGCCCCCATGGTGGCCGAAGAAGCCACATCAGGGTCGAGAACATAGGCAATGTCCGAATCACACTTTCTCGGCAATCGATTGAAGTAGACCACGGGTCCTTGACCATGGGGCAAGTTGTACATTCCAATGTGATGAACTGCCGCCTTTGGGAGCAATTCAGTCATGCCATCGGCCATGCCCAAACCCGATCGTAAAATGGGAATGAGAGCGATCTTATCATCGAGTCGACTTCCCAAGCAATCGGCTTGATGATTGGCATTTCCAGCCACGCTGACGGAAATGGGAATCTCCTTGGTCTTGAGATTGCACGTCGCTTCGTATCCCAAATGGTACGTGATTGCCTTGAGAGTGGAGCGAAAAGTGTCTTGAGATGTGGCAGAGGACCGCAAGACGGCAATCTTGTGTTGCAAGACGGGGTGATTGGAAATGTGGACATTGGGACCGTAGGACGCGGGAGCTTCGCTAAGCACCATCTTGGCGTCTGCCGTATTGGTCGTAGTGTCCGTAGAAGAAGTTAGTGTAGTAGTATCAGTAGCAGAAGGAGCCATGGTGGTGGTAGATGTCATGCAAAGAGAAGAGGGTAGAAAAGAGTACGACAAAGAGTGGTGACTGCTGGAATCAATCACGACACAAGTTGAATTTATGTGTCAACGAAATAACGAAATTGCATTTTCTGTTTTCTTGTTTTTCGATTTCGAATCTCTCCTTGGGCAATCAGAATTCTCATACGACGGTATCTGTGACGTGCGACTATTGACTGCGAAGTATGAGAACTGGACCTCAAAAAGGGACCCGGATCAATTCTCATTCTTCCAAGAACGGAGTTGAAGTTTGAGTGACCGTCACGCGCGATGGCAAGGTGTCGAGTCAGCAGAAGTCGAAGGGATCAACTACAGGAGCCGATGACGAGCGACGAACTGCTGACGATGATGATTCTCACTTTTGAACTTGAAATGACTGACTGACTTGACTGACTGACTCACACTCATCACGACGAAGCCGCAGGTTTCGATTTCTCAACATTTTTGAACTTGTAGAGAAAAAGATACCTCAGAAGAAATGCATGAATCTTGTGATCGATTGCTCAATGAATGAATCAATCTGAATCTTCAAATGTGTCCCCGTATGTTACGGCGAGACCAAGGTACTAGCATACTAGCTACTTACTCATGCATTCACTCCTCCTGTGATCTACTCCTTAGATGATACTATTAAAATCAATAGTGAAAGACGAACTAGGATACTGTATGAGTATTGTTGTTGTATTGACATTCTATTTACAAAACTTGTAGTTGTCTAGTGGAAAAGGAGGAGGGTTCAATAGCGGCCCTCTTCTTCTTCTTGTTGTTGTTTCTATCAGTTGGTAGCAGTGTGGACATGATCCTTGTTGTGGTTTCTTCAAGGTGCGATAGGATTGGTGGGCTCTCCTTCAGTAGTGCTAGTAGTACCTGTTGCATCGTCCACCACCACGGGCAAGTAGGGACAACTCACATCCCCCACTTCCAACAAATCGCATCGTCCTTGGACGTACGCTTGCAATTTGCGGGCCAATTGTGGAAATTGCTTGCGCGACAATTTGGTTTCCTCCACGAGGCCTGAGGTGGGATGGTAAATGTGACCATAGGGCAAACTTGGCACTCCCAAGCCTTGATGGAGATTGGCATTTTTGGCGTGACAAGGAACATCCACAAAGACGACATTGGGGAATTGATGGGCCATTTTGTAAAAGATGGGTTGAATGGCCTTGCAGGCCCGGCACCAGGGAGCGTAGAATCGGACCACCACCAATTTGTTGTTGGAGGCCACCAACTTTTGATACGCCTGCAAGGTTTCCACTTCAAAGACGTTTTGAGGCATGGATTGCTTCTTGCGAGTGGCAATGCGGGCCCGTTCGCTTTCTTCGTTCAAAACTCCTCGCATGCGTTCTTGAAAGGATGGTGGTGACGATGATCGTCTGGAAGCACCTTCGGTTGGAAGGCTGACAGCGGCCGAGGCGCGTTGCTTCGATGGCTGTCTTGACGACGACTCTGACTGCGACTGCTTATCGGAGATTCCACCACCAGTGTTATTGTTCATATTGCCAGACGACCATCGAGGGGACCGTATTTTGCTGACAGAAGACTTGACGGGTGGCTTGTATGCAGCCATTTGCCAATTATTGGGTTGTGAAAAGGCATTGGTTGGCCTCAAAAGGCAGGAGCACGATAGGAGAATGAACAGAAAGGAATGGATCATCCAATCAATTCTCCGTTGTCTCCGTCTGGAAATAGGTTGACTCTGTCTGTTTTGTCCCGATGATGGCATACTGTACTTTGTTGTATGCGTGATGTGCGTATGTTGTGTATGTATGTAGATCTGAAATACTACTGTTATTGAGAGTATGGTTGTATGGATCTTCAAGTAAGAAGAATTGCAAGAATAAGAAGATTCCGAATATCGCTCAATATGGTGTATTCAAAATGATGGGCTCTGCAATCGTGCCTTTTGTCTTGTTTCAGATACGATAGTTGGAGTTGTAAAAAACTTCCTTCTCTTTCTTCCGATGATGCAACTGAATTTTTGGGGACGATGATGCGTGATGAGTGGAACAGAGACGACGTCCCCAGCGAACATCACTCTCAGCCAATCAAAACCATGGTGCGGGTTTGACCTTCAACGGTATCTTTTCAGCGATGACGATCCAGAGAAAGACGTTACACGCGTATTCGTATAATACTGGTGGAACCAACTACCAATTTCTACTTACACGTACGCAATTTCAAAAACGTCGGAATTCCGGACACCGTTCGCAGTTTCAGAGTTGTGGACGTCATTGATTGTAAAAAAAGGGGGACAGCCAATGATCTTTCCCTCTATCATACATCAATAGAAAGGGGCGTGCAAAGTTTCAAAGTCCCTCCAATATGCTCCCCGATATCGAACCTTCCCATCATTGGATTGAGTCGGACCTCATCGAGCCAGCGTGAAATGAAGCAAAAACAGTACACCGTGCTGGTAAAAATCTGACAACCGTGACAACTCCTCCTCAAGGATACGAGTCTCATATCATTGTCATACTCACAGTTATACCATAATTATGGAACGAACCATGAGACGGTTCAAAGAGGCCATGTCCATGACACCACCCGCCTTTGTCATTGAGACCAAGACAAGTCGTCGTCGCAAAAGTCGCCCCAATAACCCTTCCACAAGCAACAACAACAACAACAACAACAACAACAACAACAAAGCAAAGTCCTTTTCGATGGGTTCCGGAGAGTTTCAAACACGATTGTTTCGGACGAACGTAGTGACTTGTCTCAAAGAAAAGCAAAAGAAGAATCCTCATTGCAATGCATCCTCGGTTTTGCTGGCAAAAGGGACACTGAACGCGAAAGAATGCAGCATGAATAGTACTACTGCTAGTACCGATGACAACAAGTCCGAAAAGGAAAATAATAATACTCGTCAATTGCGTGGGGATGCTGCCTCGGCCGACGATACTGCTTCGTTCGATTTGGTCTTGGATGACAGCCGATACGAATATGACGAAAGGAACAATTCTATACTGCAAGACAATAATGGAGTTGTTGCTGTGAAAGAAGATTGTTGTTCTTTTTCAGAGGACGATGAGGACGAAATAAGTGAGGTATCGTCGATTGGTACAAACGGTGAATTTGTGACAACTCCAAATAAGCCAGTCCAAAAGGCGACTCGATTGTTAATGGCGGCCTCCTTTCCTACCGGTATTGGGGGTGATGCTACTAGCGTCCATACAACGACAACAACGACAACTCCATTGAAGGAACGTACTACGAACAGTCGAACCATGAACAGCAGCAGTCTGCTCGCACCATCATCTAATGGCTGGTGGACTACCACCACCACTACTATCATCAACAGCAACAACAACAACAACAACAACAACAACAACAGCAACCATCAAGGTCGCAGCAAGCTTGCCACTGCTAGACAAAAGACTGAATTGGGACACGCATTGCTCCAAAAACAAGACTATGCCAATGCCCGAACAGTCTTGCTAGAAGCTACTCAATTGTACGAATCGTCATCATCATGCTCCTCCAATCATCAAAATGATACTACTACTGCTACAACTACTACAAGTCTGGCCCTTGCTTTGGACACTTATGCCGTGGCCTGTCTCAAATCATCCAGTCATATTCAAGAGGGCTTGACAGCACTCCAACGAGCCTTTTGCATTCGGAGTCACCATTTGGGGGTCTGGCATGTGGATACGGTGGATACCTACAACAAGATTGCCGGAGTTCACTGGCAAACGGGCCAACCCGAAAAAGCCCTCCAAGAATATCAGCAAGTATTCAAAGTGCGAACGGCGCTGCTGGGGCCCCAACATCCGTCCGTGGCCATTACGGCCCATGCGTTGGCCAAGGTCCATTTGCAATTGGGGAATGCCAAAGAATCAAAGGCGCATTTTGCACTGGCCAAGAGCATTTATCAGCAATTGGGAATGCGGTACGATCACAAGAGCATGGCCAAGCTATTGCGAGATGAACAACAAACTGGGGTCATGTCGCAACTGGGCAACAAGAACAATACTCATCATGGTGATGGCAACGACGAACCAACCTCGTGGTTCCCAGATCCAATGACTGCCGAGTTTTGAGACAAGGATGATCTGATGGGCTTCTTTTGGTACAATGTGTGAGTGACGATGGGAAGCATTCTTGATCCAACCACAATACACTACAGTATTAATAGCTTGCATGCAAACAAGAGATTCAAAGGTATCTTTTTGACAATACAGACACCGCACAGACGCATGTTGAATGTGACACTTCTTTTTTCAAAATCTGTCGCATGGAGAACGTTTGAAACGTCGATTTGTACCGTTGACGGTTAGGTCACTTATGGGAAGGCCGTTGGCCTCAAGTGGGACTTTGAAACTTTTCGCAATACCCAGTGAGGACCACCCGCCGGTGAGGATGGCAACCAAAAGTGGAGCCTTTTGGTTCCATCGTTTGCATGAAGTGTGTAGTCAAGGATAAGTTGTCACTACTACCCTATTAGCGGTTCAATAAAGCGGAGCAACGCTATGCAATCGAAACTGGAGGGTGAGAGATAATGTGAGGACTGTGGATTACATACATATTATTGTACCATACCTTGACTCCGCTTGGCCAAACACAGCTGCAATCTGAACGAGAGGCCGATAGTAAGGTGCTACAGTACTTATAATAATGTAAAGTAGTCTGTAAAGTAGGCACGGAATGAAACTAGGACTGGTATTACTCTTTTGGTATTTTTAATGAAAACCATTGATTGAACAAGCCAACACAAGGAATTAACAGGATCATCAGTGCTTTAGGACTCAACATTACTTACCTAAGATACTCTAAATGTAGATCGTTTCTACGGGCTCAACCACCACTGGTATGGATCATGCTAATGATATACCGTTGTTGGTAAACTTTTTGAATTCCAGCTGATACGTGTGCCAACGTCCAAAAGTTGCGCAGGCCAACATGTGTAAAATACGATTTTTATGGCAGGCGGACTGTATTTTGGTTGCGGTTTTGGAGAGTCCCGTGCTCTTCTTGCCTTTGAAAATACGAGAAAAGTGAAAAGGGTACCAAAAGCATCAACAGACACATTCTCTGGAAAGATCAACCAACGGCAAGTGATACCCCCTGGGAAAAGTTAAAACGACCCAGCAGACAAAAATCATTCACTTGCCCACCAAGATTATCCCACAATTTCTTTCATCTTGCTGCATTCAAATCACTTTCAAGTTGTGACGTTTAGTTTTGCTTTACAATAAGGGAACAATATCACTGAATCACCAAGTTTGAAACTTCCATAGGACTACATTACTCATACTCATATATATACAATCAAAATATTCATAATACAATGTCTTCGCAATATCGGAGATCCACGGCCATTGCCATTCTATCACTGATGCTCAGTCAGGATTCTACGGCGCAAAAGCGAATCGTAGGGGGCAACCAAGCCGCCCAAGGAGAGTTCCCATTCTTTGTGGATACCATGGGAGGATGTGGTGCGTCACTTATTGCACCTGGAATTGTCCTCACGGCGGCCCATTGCAGCGACTACGACTCCTACATCAACCAGTTCGTCAGCGTGGGAGCCTACCAACAGGGTGGGGGAGCGGCAACCGGCGCCACGAAATCCAAAGTGATTGATGCTGCTACACATCCACAATACGATTCGATACGGATCAACTACGATTTTTCACTGTTACGGTTAGAAGATGAAGTTTCGTTACCGATGACGTCCAATTTTGTCTTCAAGATAAACAAGGATGACACAGTCCCAACGATTGGACAAAACTTGACAGTGATTGGATTGGGAATTATGGGAGAAGATGACGATGACATGCCTACGATACTACAAGAAGTGCAAGTCCAAGCAATTGATCACAAAGTATGCAATCAACAATATGATGACCAGGTCGCGGACGAGTCCATGTTCTGTGCCGGTGTGGAAGGTGGAGGCAAGGATAGTTGTCAAGGAGACAGCGGTGGTCCTTTGTTCATTCGGAATGGAAATGAATACACTCAAGTTGGAATCGTTAGTTGGGTGAGTGCGATCTTTTTGCGTTTGGCTAGAGGATATTTGCCTTGTCATGGCAGCGAGATTTCAGCTAACGTTATCGCAATTCCCATGATTTTTTCAACAACAGGGCGAAGGTTGTGCTCGAAGTGGCTACCCAGGAGTATATTCACGCATTAGTCATGCATACGATTGGATTCGACAGGTTGCCTGTGGCTGTTGGGAGAGCACTTCGACGACACTGTGCGAAGGCTTTGTTGACACTGGTGGAGAGTGCCCGACGGCACCTCCTGTCTTCGTACCCGATCCAGACTGTGGGGACTTTCCAGGTTACGTGGATGAGTTTGGCGATACTTGCGAATGGTACCAAATCAATGATGAGCCAGGATGTGCCGAATATGGTGATATTTTAGGAGGAGAAGGATTTGAAGGCACCAAGCCCTTGCAAGCATGCGTAAGTCTTACCAAGTTTCATTCCTCGTCGAACAATGTGGTTGTACTGTACTGACGTTCGTGATTCCTTTTTATCGTATAGTGTTATTGCGGTGGCGGTGGCGAGCGGGCACCGACAGTCTCTCCTGCACCGACCAAAGCTCCAATACCAACGAGTAGTCCAACCAAATTTGATATCGATCCCAACTGTACAGATTACGAAGGCTTTGTCGATGTGTATGGAGATGAGTGCTCATGGTATTCCGAATTTGATGATCGTAAGTAGCCTTTGCCTTGAATTGTGTCGAGACTCAAGTGTTTACATATCTCACGCCATCTTTGATCAATTCAGCGGGATGTCCCATTGAAGGTGAAACCGCCGGTGGCAATGGGTTTGAGGATGTTACCGCTAGTGAAGCATGCGTAAGTACCCAATTCCTGCATATACTATAGGATGATATGGGTTTCAGACTTGATTCTAATGTTCCCGATTCGTTTTGACCACAACAGTGTACTTGTGGTGGAGGAGGCGAAACACCTCCAACGGTAGCTCCTGGTCCCACAACCGCTCCAACAGTGGAGACGTTGCACTATGGTCCCAATTGTACGGATTTTCCAGGCTGGGAAGACTCTTATGGAGACGCATGTGACTGGTACAAGGTACGAAGGCAGTATCGCAATCATTTTGTTCTTACTTGGAATTATCACCATCACTTATGCTTTGGCTTCTTTCAATGTACCTAGGAAAATGATACAGGTGGGTGCCCAATGCATGGGAACGAAGACGGAGGCTCTGGTTTCACAGGAATATCCGCTAGTGAAGGGTGTTGTTATTGTGGTGGTGGCAGCGAGGATGGAAGCGCCTTTACCAAGCCTCCGACTCCAAGTCCAACCCAACTTATCATTGACCCAAACTGCCAGGATGTGTCTGGGTTTGCAGATTTCTGTGGTGATGGATGCTGGTGGTACGAGGAACAAGATACGCCGGGGTGTCCCGAGTGGGGTGATTTGTTAGGCAAAACTGGCGCTAGCGAGATGGAAGCCAATGAGGCCTGCTGTCATTGTGGAGGAGGGATTGCCCTTCCGAGTGGACCAGATCCCACAGCTTCACCCGTCACGGCGCCAGCGACCGCCGCACCAAAACCAACCGAGATGCCCACTGCCTATGTGGAAGATGAAACCTGTGTCGATCTGGCTGAATTCATGGACTATTTTGGAGACAATTGCAAGTGGTACCAAGTAAATGACGATCCTTTGTGTCCACTATGGGGAAGTCACCAAGGAGGCAAAGGCTTTGAAAACTACACGGCCACAACGGCATGCTGCTACTGTGGAGGGGGTTTTATCCGCACTGGAGCAGCAGCCGGAAACGAAACGATATCCGCTGGAGTTGGAAATTCCGACTTGGAATCATCCGTTCCACCACCTACCAGTGTTCCTTCCAATGAGACTACCGCTGCTACAGGTACCATGCAAGCGAGTTCTTCCACTACGGCAAGTGTTGGACTCTTGATACCAATCGCACTTTTGTTCGCAACAATTGGGAAGATGTTTGTAAGCTAATATAGAAAATAATAATAATTTTTGGTCATGAGCTAATAAATTACTGGAGCCAATAATCCATCATGTTTTTGTAAAGACCATAGTGCAAACATGCTTGTTCATGTTCCGAATCATTGTTCAATACACGTTGCGTTTTTTGTGAAGCGGGTTTGAATAATCTACAGTAGGTCCACGTTGCAATACAAGACTAATCTAAAGTTGTTGTTATTGTTGTGATAACGATATGATTCTAAATGTCTAAATGTTGTATTATTTGCTATTGTACAAGCCTAAATGGAAAAAGTGTGCTGATCGGATGGCAATGCCGTGTTTACTTCTCAACACCGTAGGCGGTCATTTCTTTAAAAGTGTCTGTAAGTCTTCGAAAGACAGTGACTGGCGGTGCAGCTCCTGCAATAGATGTTGCTGCTGGTTGTTCAGGTCGAGCAAACATCTTTTGCATGAGTTGTCGTTGAAAGTTGTGTGGATTTTGAACGGTATCCATCTCGTACATGCTCAAGGGAGAATGCTTCTGTTCAAAGTCGTGGAGTCTGTGTTCATAAGCGGCATTTTCGCTCATGGCAGTAACACCTGGACCGACAATGTAGTTGAAGTCCACGTTTGTTTCGGGGGTTTGAAGAGAAAAGTCCATCATGATGATAATTTTTTTTGCGTTGAAGTTTTGATTGTTCGTTGATTTGATTTGTGTGCCAAAGAGAAGAAAAAATAAACTAATCACCACTCGCAAAACGGTTCGGGAAATCGTCGAAGAACAAATGGAGAGTGTTCGCTGCGCTGTACTTTGTCGGAACTACGACTAGTTCGAACACATTTAGTCGGACAAATTCAAAATACTGCAAAGTGGTCAGGACGATACCGGTGTACTGTAGATAACCAAACCGGAAAGTTTCCATGGCAATTAACCATGTAGTAGCCCAGTGATTTCGAATGTCATGTGTCGAAGAGATGATATAATGACCTCCGGAAACTTGCTTTGGGAATACAAAGCTGCTGAAACAGCAAGGCACAGTATGGTCAAGATCAATGGCATGGCTTTGGTATTGGCAGCCAACTCGACGGTTACCAGTGGACTGACCACCTTGTACACCAAGATAGCCATCCTTGCCGATCAAACCCTAACTATTACTTCCGACTCTGAACTCTTTTTCGGGGAAGACCATCCTTCAGTGGAAAGACGGAAGAAGTTGGTGAGAGGAAAGGGAGGCCTATCACTTTTGGTGGTCCGAGTCACAACCAACGATGCCTCCTTGAGCAATGACGCAGCTGAAATTGGTGACACATCTTTGGTACAAAAGGAGATGTTGTCAACCTGCAATCCAATGTGGAAGACTGGTCCAACATGGATCACAATCTCGAGATTGAGCCCTTGTCTGAAACGTACACGGGAGGCCTCGCTGGAGTCGACAAGCTCCCGAAACTTACTAGTGACGAGAACATTGTATTAAAGCCCTGCAAGAGACTATTATTTGATTTTCAATCATGCCTTTGGCACCAACGAAGGGACAATCGAGGCCGCGAACACGGTCACCCTAACGTCCAAGACGACAAACAGCAATGCTTTCACATATTTTGAGGCGAAAAGCGCAGGTCAGTATATCACCGGCTATTGATGCTAGTGCAAACGGGCGCGGAGATGTCGAGGTCGTTAACGAGTCTTTTGCGGATCGTCCTGTGACTCCAATGTCTGGTCCAACTTCTGGACCAAAATCTGGACCAGCCACTGGCCCATCGTCTTATCTGACTTCGGGCCCAACGGCAGGACCAACCTCTGGACCGACAGCAGGGGCCACCTTCTCGCCATTCAGCGTTCCGATTACCGGTCCTACGGATAAAGCCACTAACGAAAGTGGTGAACCACGGAACGAGATCAGACAGAAAGAGATAAACGGTAACCCCCACCGGAAGTATAGCACTTTTCACGTTTATGCATGATTTACCCTTGTCGAGCAACGTGCTCAACAGCCGAATCAACTTTTCATACTGCAGTCAAGGCATAGAACAAAGGACATTTTGAATTCCATGGACAGTGCGACATTGTCATGGCATCTGGCAAGAACATTTGCCAACGGCTTGGGATTGGACATTCACCTTCGGACCAAGGGTTGTTCGCTGTTGGAGTTACATCAAGGTTGCTACCATTCGGAATGGCAACGATATCTTGGAAGTGGAAGGAACAGTCGGCTGGCGATACAACCTGAAATATTGGATCAACCATGAACACTAGCTAGGAATAAGGCGAAGAAAAGTGATTTGAATAATATCTGGATTCTATGTAATATCTTGGTATTCTATCTTGTGTAGCGCATTTGTGGGAAGAGACTAGAGTGTTGCTTGTAGTAGGGAGGTCAAAGATGTCCTCTTCATGGAAGTGTCTTTCGAAGACTTCACTTCAACACAGTCATTTAGTGGAAGCTCAAACTCTTCGTCGAAATCTTCCTCATCTTCACTAGAACTTTCATCGGAATTGAAACTGGTTCGCATGCAGCTGCGTACACAATGGAGGCTATCGATGTCATTATCGACATCGTTGCCAATTCGGCGGTTTCCTTGTTTTCTTATGCGCCGTTCCCTTGCGATCTTGAGGATGTCTTCGACTGCCATGTCAAGATTGACTTCGACTTTACCAACGCAATTTTGTTCAGCTTCAGCTTCTGATTGTTGAACTGATTCGGAGACAAAGTCGATTGGCCCGTTCTCGAATTCGAAATCAGCCATGGCGATGTCGATAACGTCGCCGAGAAGCTTGACGGCTGATTCTGTGCTGAGTGTCATGCTTGAAAGTGATTTGATTTGGTTTGATTTTTAAAATTTGATTGCTCTCAGAAATTATGAGAGAAACTGTGATGGAGAAGGTGGAAAAAGAAGGGTCAATGACCTTTATGCCGAGCAGATTTCGTTCAACTTCCATAAACGTGCGAAGGAAAATAACGCAGGAACACGGTTCCTGACATTCAACATATGTTCTATGGCATCTGCCTAGCAATTCGTTTGCCCCTCGCCGGAGTTTCTCTTTATGTTCAACATGATTACTACTAGTAAATTACTAGAAAACCACTAGAAAATTCATCTGTTGTTGAAGGCATCCGTGACCCCTTTTTCTCAGTCTGATGATATATTTTATATATGTCGTCAGATTCTGTGCAGTCATTTCAGTTCGCGGGCAAACGAAGTAAAAGAAAAACGCCCGGGTAGTGACAAGTATTGCAAGAAGAGTAATTTTCGCATTTTGAAAACGGCATTACAAATTAGCATGCTTTCAAACTGTCTAGATGTAACGGAATACAGAGACGGTAGGGGTACCGTTTTCGCTGTAGTCTACAGGCCTTTTACCCTCATGATCTTTGGATTGTATATCGCACTCTACTTCAGTTAGCAACCACCTGCAGACTATAGCATGTCCACCAATGGCTGCCAAGTGCAAACAGGATTGACCATTATCATTCTTGGCTGTCCGAATCGAAGCAGAATGCTTATCCAATGTCAATTGACGAAGTCCTTGGATATCACCAGTAGTTGCAAGGTGCAGAGCTTTCTGTTGTTGCGTTTCGCAGACTGTAGTCTCCTTTTCAGAACCAGCAATTCCCATTGACAGTATAATCGTTCCAACTTCCTTGTCTAGCTGAGACCCCAGTTCTGCTCCAATCCTTTTCTCCTGGAGAATTTTCAAGAAACCCTCTTTGCAATCCGATTTCACTCCTGCAAATCCATGACTATCATTCATAATTGCAGGCGAGTGCAATTCTCGTGCTGCCTTTCTGGATGCTGCCACCACAGTGGCGGTTCGCTGGACAATTTCTCGCCAAAAGCTCGTCACAGCTGAATCTATGGACGCTGCTTGTAGCCAGTGTGCCAATAATGGACCGTCTTTCAAAGCTTGATTGGCACCTTGTCCTTTGAACGGAGACATGCTATGCAATGCATCGCCCACAACAACCAGCCGTTGGGCTCCTTGTTCCTTTACCAGCTTTTGGACCTGAATTGGATCACGATCCATCAAATCTCTAAGAACGAACGAATCAATCGTTAAGCCAATGTCTCGCTAACTTCAATATCACACCAACAAGCGCAATGTACTTACGTTCCCCAGACGGCCTCGAGTGGAGTTGCTTGCACCATTTCTTCAACGGGGTTGTGCCATTTGCTGCAGACGCCCAAGACGTATTCCTGCAAAGTTGCAGGATCTAACACTTTTCGTTCCACATCACTATTCTCCTTGTCTTCCAAATCGATCCCATCGGTCAAGAAAGAGAGTTGCCACATGATTCGGTTAGATATAGTGGACTCAAATCGATTGGACTCATACGGCATGGTAAACAATCGGTGTTTCCCATCCAATGTGTAGAAACCACGTTCTGTTAACAGAGGATGCGTGAACTCTGCAATTCCAAGGATAAGCCGGATTCCGATTGGACGAAGACCAACATGGGGATTCGCCATTGGTTTGGTATGTGCTGTTGGTCCAAGATTCTGTAGCACAGCACTTCGAATTCCGTCAGCAGCGACAAGTAAATCTGCATTAACAGCGGCGATTCCTGACTCCTGTGATACATCTCCTTCCTTTTGTTTCCTTTGAAATCGCACTGTATATTGATTGGCATCTTCTTTCCACGCAAAATCCAAAAGACTGTGGCTCCAATGGACTCTTGTTGCAGAAAGCTTCTGAAATAACATTCGCCTCAGGACTTTTCGGGGCACTCGAAGATTCCCTCGTTGTCCAAGACCTCGCGTTTTGGAAAAGGCATTTCCAAAGTAACCCATTATTGACCCATCACTCTGAAATAGATATGATGCATCATATAAGCATATAGTCAGTGAATGCTGTGTATCACATCATTATCGTATGTCCTATAATGTCCAATAACGTACCCGAAATAGATAATGGGACCTGCTCGGACAATCTTCATTAGCGACTTTCTCCAGCAGACCAAGTGAGGCCAAAGGACCCTTTGGATTATACGTAAGAGTCAAACCATAACCTTCCTTTTGCTGTTCAAAGCTAGCATCTCGTTCATAAACAGAAACATTGCGAAATCCTGCCTGTTCCAGACTAATGGCAGCGCTCAAGCCAGCGAGACCAGATCCGACAATGACAATATGAGATTCTTCTTTATCTAGCCGACGTCGTTTGTTGGGCATGATTTCATGTGTCGTACGAATTTTGATGAGGTGAAGGAGGACGGTGAGCGATGAAGCACTCTCGGATGAAGATGATTGCGAAGATGATGCATGAAGCAGGTATGAATTGAGTCCGACACCGACGTACGTGTACAGACGCTGGATAAAAGTGTATCTTCAAATTCCAGACACAAAACCAACGACTCATGCTTGTACTCCCCATTTGGCAATCCCCAGGGTAGGGCATCAGCTTCCATGCACTATGCAATGTCCACTGCAAGAGTTGTGGCACTGTTCTTCGTTGGCACTGCACCAGGGGTCATACACATATCAGACTCATTGCGAATCATACTGGCTGTTTAGTAGGTACATTGAGAAAGACAACATCGCAAGTGGAAGGCGAAAATATTCGGATGTTCCTCATGCACACTTTCTTTCTCCCTCATGAACAACACGAGTCCACCAATAATCTGAATGACTGGTGTCCACCGATTCGATGTGTCACACAAAATCCAGTAACCAATACCAAGGCACCTAGTCGATATGGTATCAAAAACCTGGAAGGTACTTTAGGCCCAAAGGGTAAGGAACGTCTACGAAGAACGTTCGTGTTCGTGTTGGATGTGTCGCCAACATTAAGTAAATAATCCGACTCCCAACCGATTCTAATAAGGTGGCGTGACGAGCACTGGACAACCAGTTTTTTCTTTCCTTTTTCACCTCTCATCCACAGAATAAGAAGGAAAACATTAGGTTACAATACATTTGCAGCAATTTACAAGCGCATGTTTCAGCGAGGACCAAGAGATAATCATGCATGAGGCGAAACAGCTCACAATCTCCTCAGAGGAAGGAAATATCGGCAAAACTGTTTCTAAATCCTTTCCTTCTGATAATAAATGTTCACCACACAGTCCAAAAAACAAAGCAAGCGAGAAGAATCACGGCTCACATAGGTCCGAACGCAGCACAGGTGACAAAAAGAGGGAACCAAAGTCACGGTCGCCTTGTCCGTCATCAAGGACTTCAAGGAAGAAAGAAAACACAGAGACTCAAAGGCAAGGAATCCTTGAAGATTCACCGGTTGACGACTCTCGTGAACTTAGAAATGAGCAATCCAGATCGAACCATAAGCAGAAAAACAGACATCGCTCTTCATCTCGAGACTCTAATGCTCGTCTTCATGGTGAAGCTACAAACAGCCAATCATCTCATCACCGTCAGCGGCACAGATCTTCATCCTCCGACAACTTGCAAAACACGAAAAATCGAAGCCATCACTCGCATTCCTCTAGTGATGCAAGCGACCACAAACGTCACAGCAGATATCATAATGCTTCGCCATCCCGCCCATCCTCATATATTGATTCAAGAGAAAAATCGTCTTCCAATCGAAAGTCAACAGCAAAAGGTTCTACATCACGTCATCGTTCATCCAGAATAAGGGGGAAGCTCAGTCTTTCTCCAACTCGTCGATCAACAACAAGATCGCCGGTTGCGAATGGTAAACGAACTAGCAAGGGCAATAGCAAACCAGTGAGATCCAAGTCACTGGATTCAACAATAGAACTGAGCGAAGTCACGCTAGATGATGAAGTCAAGCGACAAGAAAAGAAAATAAACGGAAGAAAGAGTGCCCCATCAGGCAATCACTCTATGGCTCTAACAGATCAGACAGCCAAAGCCAGAGAGAAACATTTCCGACAGAGCCTCCGCCAAAGATATTCAATGGAAGAGTTTCCCGACGAGAAGCGTGTACCCAAAGTGGCAAGCAAACCAAAGCGTTCTCGTTCTGCGGACACAGATGATTTGATAGTCAATAAAGATAGAGTCAAAGCCTTCGAAACGAACCATCGGCTACGGGTTGCTGCTAACTTGGAGGATATCGACAAGCGTATCAAAGATGTGGCATATGGTGCTAACCGGCACAGTCATAGCTCCGACGATGGGTCCCTTCGAAAATCTAACAGAAAATCGGCGGCACCGATGCTTCCCGGAGCGTATTCATTGTCGAGCAATGACAATGGAGTGGAACAGAATATGAAACGAAGGGCAGCCAATCCAGGCTCTAATGATGCAACCGGTAGCGATTCAAACGAGAAAAGAAGGTCTAGGCCAACACAAGGACTTAGCGCTACTCTTCCCGGTGCCCAAGCTGTCTCTTTAGATGATGATGACGAAGAATTCAGATGCCCATCTGCTCAGCGATCTCGGGCTTCAATGGAAGAAAAGCTTCGTCTCCTGGATGAAGAACTTGGGATCACCACCTCACCCCCCGGACGATCGATGGGAATGGACATGGCTGGCCGTCTTAACGAACGTGAAGACGAGGTCGTCGTTCATCCACAGGGCATAACTATGGCTAATTCCAACGCTGGAGGGCATGTGACGATGGAGTTGCAAGCTGTTACCGTAGACGAAGAAAGGGCTAGAAATGAACGGCGTCGACTTGCGATGGCGGCTGAGAATGAGAGGCCGAGGCACCAAATGACAAATCAGAATGATCACATGGAAGATGTCACTGGAAGCGAAGTCGCAGAAGCTGCACCAGCAGAGCTCGACGATGAAAAAGCCGAGGAGGTAGAAACTCGTAGGCGGTGGCTTTTTGCAGGTTTGTTCTGTCTGTTTTGTGCCATAATAGGAGCAATCGGAGGTATATTTGCATCAAAAGAGCCCAATTCGACTCCGGCTTTTCTCGCTGAGAGTCTGTCTGACTGGCCTTCATCAAGACCTACTTCATCACCAACCACAGTACTATTGTACGACCCACCAAGTGAGGAAGACTGCCTAGCCGTGGAAAACAGAGGGGCTGTTGAAGGACAAGATACAATGCTTACAATCACATTGGAGGCTGGATTGGAAGTCATATTAAAAAACGACATTGCACAAAGCGAATGGATGGATCAATTGTTGCAGAGCGTACTATCGTATTTAATTCCATATCTCGTGGGATGCACCAACAATAGAAGGCCTTCCGCCAATAATCGTTACGTCCTTGGAAATGCAAATGCCACAATTGAATATAATGATACAGCAACATGTGAGAAGGAGACTGACCTACCTTGCCATCTTGTGGCTGTCAATCTTGACCTATCGGTGAAAGATGATGAAAATATCAGCTCTGTGATCTTCCTTCTTCAGAACTTGATTGCATCAAATGGTTCAGGGGATTCATTGGCAGACAGACTTGGTCTTTCCGGTGACTTTGACGAAGTTCTATTCGAGAATATTACCAACAAGTCCCCGACGACTTTTCCGACCTTTTCTGCTACTTTGTTTCCATCATCAGTTCCATCAACACGCCTCTCAACGAGTCCTTCCACTCCGCTTCCATCTTGGGCACCAGTAATTGGACCTACGACCAATGCGCCTACCAAAACTCCGATCATACCTCCCACACAGGCCCCTGCTGCTCCTAGCCCGACCCGATCCCCAACAAAGTTGCCAACAGAACCGCCAATTACTCTTATGAGTAGAGCGCCAACCTTGAGCCCGACTGAGAGCCCATCGCAGACCCCGACGACTGCACTTGGCACCGTGTCAACGCCTCCTCCAACTGGCTTTCCAACAGAAAGTCCATCGGAATCGCCTACAATAACTCTGGTACCAAACCTGATACCTGGACCAACACTTGGACCCACATCAGCTCCGGTACCAAATCCGACACTTCGGCCACTACCTGAACCCACGCCAGCTCCGGTACCAAACCCGACGCCTGGTCCTACGCCTGGTCCTACGCCTGGTCCAACACCGGAACCTACATCAGGTCCAACACCTGGTCCAACGCCCGTTCCGACACCTTTACCGACACCCGTACCGACTCCCGATCCGACACCTGCACCAACTTCTCTGCCAACACCTGCACCAACACCTGGTCCAACTCCGAACCCTACCCCCGAGCCAACACCTGCCCCGACAGTCGGTGCTGCCACCTACTGCTGTTCGGACAATTTCAAAGACTGCAACGTTGCTGATCCCTGGTGCAATGCCAACGAAGAACAGTGTAACTCGTGCAATGCGCATTACGTTGTTCAGGGTAGCTGTCCTTCCACCGCTATTGCCAAATGGGGAGATTGCACCAACAATGTGAATGAATGTTGCGAACCGCTTCAATGCGTCACACAGACCCAATTCTATCGCCAATGTATGGAATAATTATTCAATGCCAAGGCACTTTTTAAAATCAATAGCAACAACTGACGGCATGTGCACTATTACTACTATTGTTATCGTAAAATACAATCGAGAGTCTTGGTGCATCTAAGAAATATATCTGATGGATGAACTCCATTAAGCATTAACATGCATTCAGTGTGTGGGTGCGTAGGTGGATGTCGTTGTCATTGTCGACGTGTGTTTGAAATCTTGTCGTTTGGGTTTTATTTTGGAAAAGAGCCATGCTTGTGCCCCTTAGCTCAAGAAATAAAAAGCCATTTATTTCTTCTCATTCTCAAAAGCTTGAGGATACATCAAACGACCAATCTGTTCACGCATGAGATCCATGATGAATACGGCGCAGACCATACGTCCGTATCTGAATGTTGCTCCACGGTAGAATCCAGTGAATCCAGAATCGGCGTTGATTTTCTTGGCAGTCTCAGTGAAAGTTCCATAAACTTCACGCTCGATATCACCTTGCATGCATGTCTTGATGGTATCAAAGGGCTGGGTCAAGTAACAGGCAAAGAGACCACCCAACAAGGCTGCAGGAACACGTGCCTTTTGGTTGGTATCAAAGGTCTCAGGATAATTCGTCATGAGTGTACGACGAACCACAGGAGGAATACTGAGGTAGCCACAAGTCCATAAGGCTTCTCGGACGGCCATTCCGGCAAAACCGCGGCCAACATTGACCGGCTTTTGAAGAATATCCTTGATGCGGACTCCTGCATTTCCTCCCTTGCGTTGTTGCTGAATCATGACGAGTTCCAATGGCGATCCGACCAAGGCACTGGTGGATCCAGCTACAACACCACAGGCCATTTCTTCTGGTAGGGAAAGAATTTTATTAGGATCGCCCCCAGCGGCCAAGTTCTTGAGTTCCCCTCCAACCACAAATTGGAGCATGGTACAAGATCCCATATTAATACAATTAGATGCCACGCCACGGTACATAACCGCGGGATTCAGAGAGATGGGACGCTGTTGTTGAGTCATATTCTTGGCATAATTAAAAGGTTGCAAGATTAGGACTTCAATCATACCCACTGTCATACCGACAGAGGCATTTTGTTCCGACGAAAGTTCTTTGGACATGGTGGCGAAGATGAGATGATGTTTTGGGTAATACCGAAAGAGAAGAAGACTTGCTTGGTGTGTGTATGTAAAGGTGTATAACCGTGTGTCGTGTTGGATCAAGTGAAACTTATGATGCGGGCTTGATGTATGTCAACAAGATCTCTCAAGTGTATCGAGCGGATGGTAGTCGAAATGCTGTATTTTCAGATTTTTTGTGGGCGGAAGATAAAGATCGGAATTTCATTCTCCTACCGTTTTCGGATGCGAAGAAAAACGTCTTCTCATCGTCACAGCCACCCAAAGTGCTGGTGAACGACTGACTGACTAAATTCAAGTTAAATGGGAATATGCAGTACATGGGGATGAATGTCGGGGATACTAATTTTAGTCAAAGTTGTCAACAATGGTCAAAGAATTATTCTTTCTCACGCGGAGAGCTCGTAACAAATGTAGTCGTCGTATATATAATATTATATCTTTTTATCGCGTGCCACTTTCTTATTCAGCAATACATAGATAATCAAAGCAGATGACGGATGCTTGGTCAGTATCCTTTAAGAGCAGTGGCGACGAAGACGCAGTGGCAGATGATACTCCAGGCGCTGCCTTGGATGACGCGTCCAAACAGCTTCTTGTTGCTTTGATTGCCAGGATGGATCGAATGGAGAAGGAACAAGTATCCGCAAGAAGAGTAGATCACCTGGAGACGATGCTAGAAGATTTGCAACATCGCCTACACAAAGCAGAGCAAAGGATCTCACCTTTTGATACTCATTCACTACCTTGGAGACAAATTGGTGGGGCTGCACCACCACCACCAGAAGGCCGTGCGAGTCATGCAGAAACAGCAGAAGAAGCTGCGATTGACAATGTGGAAATTGGAGAGGAATTCAGAGATCGGGATATCAAACCAAACGAAGAATATCAACTACCCATGGATATTTACACTGTCGTCACTGCTTGGAAACGAAACAGTCGACCATTTTGGATTGCCCTTATTGTGATTGGAATTCAAATATTGCTTCTGAGCTTGTTGCTGATCGATCAGATTGGGTCCACTGGAGCATCCGATCTTGTGGTATTCCCGAGCAACGTGCCAACCATTGTCCATGTCGCCCAGGCTTTGGCAACAGTCATTGCTATTTTCGACCAAGATGATCTGCGAAGTGCCATTGAGAATTATTTTGATGGTCTGCCAACAAGGTTCAAGGGCGATGACACATTTCAGTCCATGACCAAACTCCAATGGAACTTTTCATGTTGTATTAGGTTTTCGCAAGGATTTCTATCAGTATTTGCCAGTTTTATTTTGGCAGCTCAATCCGAGACTGTGTTCGACGTATTGTTGAACTTTTTGGGCGTCAAGTGAGTACAGTATTTCGTTTCTGCCTAAACCACTAAACACCCGCCATCGATTGCTTACAAACGTTTTTGTTCTCGTTTTCTCAGGTTCGTATCCGAGCTGGATGATCTTTCATTCTCTCTTGGTAAGCTCGGATACTTTGGAGAAGAGTGCGAGCAGGCAACCATACGCATCACAGAAGTTATCTTTCAGCAAGACAATCGCAACAAAGTTAATGGAAGGGACTGGAAGAAATCGTGGTTCAAAAAGTATGCTCATGTAATTGGTGTCTTTGGAATCCTATCCTTCTTGATGGGATTATTTTTTTATGTGGTTATTAGTCAGAACAATGGTACCTTCTCGGCGGAAGTAATACAAATGAAAGCCGGACAAGATGACATTCCATTTGCCTCCTTGTTCCAAGGCTGCTATCGCAAGAGTTCAGATGGAAAGAAGTTTGATCGGCGCTTATCCTATGAACAAGTTGGTTTTGAAGCAAGTGGTGGGAAATTTGCCTTTTGTGGAGATACGCCTGGCACTAGCGAAAAAGCATGGATATTCATGGTGGGGGAGGATGCCACTGACCCTTGTCGGGACTTTGTTGCCAGAACTGAAGGCAAGTTATGATGGTTTTGGATTACGTTGAAGAAGAATCTTCTCTCATCCTTTCGTTGTCTACACTAATTCTTAGCAACGGATAGCTATAATATCCTTGACGTTTCAAATAGTCAGTGGTTTTCAAGTGGAGGTGTAGCCTTCGGGGACATGGACGTTTCGGCAGTATTGAGATCTTCACCAGAGTGCCAAAGAATTGATGTCAACCGAGACCAGAAAATATGTGACCAGCTGGACCTTGAAGGATACATTGATAGTAATCAGCTAGAGTTCCCACTGAAATCCTTCAACAGGACGTTTGTGAATCGGACGGGTGCAATCGTGTATACGTATCCAGCTCTGACCCACCCCATTTTTGTGGAATCGACAAGTACTCCTGCAAGCTTTGAACTGATGTTTTACACTGGGCAGAGTTGGGTTCTCACAGACGCCATCAAGTCTAAAACGACTGGAGGTGATGTCTCAATGCAAAATTACATGGATTCGGAACCAGAGTTCAGGTCAATTTTATTCAGTATGGTATTCAATGGAACAGGCGTTAGCCTGGTCACCGACTCAATTGCTGTGAACACTGTTGAGTTGTCTTATACTCCATCTGGATTACGCTGGTTTCGAACTCGTGAAGCAGATAGAGATACACCTTACAACTACCCCACTGCTGATCAATCACGCCCGGTGGACGCAGTTCTAGTATCGTGTGCCAGTTGCGACGACAATGAGAATCCTTGCTCTTTTGGAGGCAAATGTTTAGAAGACGGTACTTGCGACTGTGTAAATGGCGGATCCGGTGCTTTGTGCAAAGTTCCACCAAATGCAGATGGGATATGCAACACTTATTTCAACAATGAAGTGTATGGATGGGATGGTGGTGACTGCTGTGGTAAGAATCCTTAATTCTCTCCGTCTGGATTCGATTTATCGCATAATCTCATTTGCAATGTCCTTTTTGTCTGTGACTGCCAGGCGCCACTTGCGTTGGGCCCACTTGTGGATTGGGAGGCATCACTTCTCCCTTTGGCATTGATAATTACCAGCAGGATCCAAGTACCGATGCTTTGAGTGTTCTGGGATACGGATCTTGCAAGGATCCTTCGATGGCCCCCTTGACAATTGAGCTGAAAGATTTTGACGTTTTCGACAATGAAGAATGGTATGTCATCCTTAATAATGAAGATGGGGACCCGTTTTGTAGCACTGCTGCAATCAATGTTCGATGCAATGGTATCACGTACCTTCATTTTCCACAATTCATTTTGCACAATGAGTCTGACTGCAAGAGATCTTTGACTGAGACAATTTATGTGCCTTTTGGATCCCAATGTGAACTGTCGACGAACATTGCATGTTTTGGTATTTTCTGCTTGAATCATACAATTTCTGTCCACTACGGTAACGGCACTTCATCGGCTCCAATTCGATCAGGAAATGTTGGAGTTGAGACTCGTTTGTCGTTTGGAGTGCCCTCTGAATGCCTCACTGAGGTATTGCGGAATTACAGTTCTTCTATTTTCGATCTATCAACACATCAAGGGCAGGCTGCAAGTAGGCTTTCCAACGATGGGATGACCGAATTTTTGTGCACCCAACGCCGCGATTTTGTGCTTGAGCGATATGCGCTGACAGTGCTAAATGCCTCGATGCACTTCAAATCTTCGAACTGGGAACCGGGCCAGGTATGGCAGTTATATTAGATTGCTGAATCAATCTCCTTTTGCTATTTACGGCTCATCACTCCTTTTATTGTCATCAACAGTGTCATGGATGGGGCATTCCAGCAGTTCAGACGGCTTGCTCAAACTATTCTGTTACATCTTTGGTTCTGGAACCGAATGCAGGCTCTCTTCAAGGGACAATACCTACTGAGCTGTTTTTGCTGAGAAATCTTAGTAAGTGAGAATTGCTTTATCTTGGAGGCCTTTTGCCATTGCTCTTGCCTCATTATCTGTTACTGCTTTTTATTATTTGTTGTTGCTCTCTGAATAGAGGAATTGGTGATGCGTAGCAATAATTTGACAAGTACCATTCCTACTGAGTTTGGGTGAGTTATTCGTTTCCATGAAATGCACAGTGACCTTAAGGGTTGTTTCTTATCTTTCAAGTTGCAAGTTTAGGTTCCTCACATCACTGGGTAAGAAATGATAGATACCGCATCCAACTCTATTTCAACGAATGTTTTTGCTCACATCCATCATTTCACAGAGCGCTTGGAACTTTGGGAAAACAATTTATCTGGGTATGTGTAGTGTTCCTGAATATACCCTTTGTTTCTGTTCATTTGATTTGTTCTCATCCTTTCTTCAATCTGTTGCAGAACCATACCAAGTGAAATTGGCGTGACTCGACTTTCGGCACTAGCTCTTGCAAGGAATAGGCGTACGTCTCCGGAAAATTGTTTTGTGGAATTTTGCAATAACCAATGTTCATCAATCTTTTGTTTTGTATCCAAACAGTGTCAGGAACCATTCCAACGGAGCTCTCATTGATATCATCGCTGGCTGCCATTTTCTTTGATGAAAATTATTTGACTGTAAGTTCACAGTTTGTATGGTACTTTCTGGCTCCAGTTATTGTAAGCTCCCGTATGCTTCTGCTGACGCTTTGTCGTGCATTGAACCAGGGACCGATACCATCTGAGCTTGGAGCATTGTCGTTGGATACACTTAGCTTATCCGAGAACCCTTTGTCTGGGACGGTACCCAAACTCAAATCTCTTCGTAAGCGAGAATTCTATGTTATGATAAATCCTCATCTCAAATTCTAATCTTGTGTTCTTGAAGAATCTTTGTATCTGTATAATAACCCGAGCATCTCAGGAACTCTACCTCAAGAATGGTCAAGTTCCCTGTTGAACTTGGCCATTACTGGCACAAATGTGACTGGGGAAATTCCTGCAACATTGCCGTCTAGTTCGGGTAAGATTCTTTTGACAGATTCTTTTGACAGGTGATGTTTGTATCTGCAGAGTGCCATTGACTAACTTGACCATGCTTCCTAGTTACCTTGGATCTTTCGAGTAACCCACTTCTATCAGGACCAATACCTCGTGAAGTGGGATTTTTGACAGAGTTGAAAGTCCTTGCACTATGTTTGAATAATCTAACAGGTATGTAATGCCTTGTTGCTATGTTGCAACACATTTGAACGTCCAAATAGCTCACTTTTGGCATATAAGGCTCAATACCCACGGAGCTGGGGCTCCTCTCAGCAAACTTGCGTAAGAGCGCACAACCGCTGTGTCATTTTGCTATTTGATTCATCTCATTTACCCTTTGCTTTTTGGATCTGATTTGGCGTACAGAGGCCTTGGATATATCAAACAATAAATTGGAGAATGAGATTCCAGCTGAGTTGCTTTCTTTGAAATTGACATCCTGTTCTCTAGGTAAGGCTGTTGTCTGTTGAAATGGTGGCTGTGAGATGTAGTCGTTTCTAATCATCAAGTGGTCCACAGCGAACAACAATTTCAGTGGTGGGACGGCGCCTGAAAACTGCATCACTTAAATGCACTGGAATGTTTGAGTTATTGCGATAAACAAGGTTCTCAGTGTTTCTTGGATGCTCCATTTGATGAAGTTAAACTGCAATATGTCTGTCAAAGAGAATCTTTTGTCAAGCACAAGGGCACCTTGGGATGACTTCAAAGTGTTAACAGTACAACAGTTGTACTTGTCATGCATTCTTGTATATAAATTAATTAATATAAACCTCTCCGATCAGTGCGAATAGTATGTTCCACACACTATCAATTTGTTTTCGATAAAAACGGGTTTCAATTTTGACTGGAAAATAATTCTCCGAGAGCGGTGTATTTTTATTATGAGCTGTACGAGCAAAATTGGAAAATGTGTCATTCTTCGTCCCTTCATTCGTCGTCTCACTAGAAAACATGAGAAGGTTTGCCGGTCACATTAGACTGACTGCTGATGTTCCAAACGCAATCCTTCCATATTATAAACGACTGATAACTTTTTCACTAGGACTATGTCGAGCTGTACGCTGACACAAGGCGCAACAAATGAAACCTATGCTCCCAATCCCTTCGAGGTATGTTCCAATACGGCCCATGTACCTTTCGGCCACCGAATGAAGTCGGTCTGGTTCGATATATTACTATCATGAGAACTCCTTTCATTCCTTTTTTCATCGCTCTATCTCTTTTCACTCTTCAAAATTATTTCAGAATACTGGAAACATCAAATTCTACCACAACAATGTTCCCCGCTTGGGAAACACAAACGAAGTTTTGAATCTGCTTCAAGGAACGTCTGGCCAACAGCAAGAATACACACAAGGGTTGCTGTCAACGCCAATTCTCCTTGCTGTTATTACCATGACATGGATGATAGTTCTATGGGTCTTCAAGTGTTGCAGCAGCAAAAATCACGATTGGTTGGCGGGTAAGCCGGTCGTGTTGCAAGAAGAACCAAGCTACAGGAAGCATGAGATCGATTTGGAAAATAGTTCGGCTGATGAACCTAATTGGGAAGTGAGTGTATTCAAGACAATCCAAGGATCTCGGACAGGATTGAGATTGGGTCGAAACCGAAAGGGGGATTTGATTGCGGTTCGCGTTGATGAGAAAGGTATATTTTATGGACGCATCCGACAGGGGCAACGTATCATTTCTATCCACGGTAATTCCCCAGAAGAGAATGATGAAGAATCTAATTACGTAGGCCATGACAGCACAATTTCATCCAAAGCTAAGGCCTTCATAAAGAAGACGATGAAGAGTGAAACTCAAAACGATAAAGTTGTCAAACGTGTAGATAAGGTTGCTGAAGGGATGAGGACCTTGAAAGATTCGGTAGGAAAAGTGACAGTTGTCGTGCTGGGCCTAGTGCTCAAGCAGGACTTCAAGTATGCACAATGGAGAAATGAGTGTGATCGAGTGCTTTGGCAAAAGACTGTCTTCATGTCGATTGTTTCATTTTCTCTGTTGGCTCTTTTCTTCACTGGGATTGTTCTAAGTTTTACTGGGTAAGTCTTCATTCACTGATGTGGCTCCAGCCAAGTCCACTCGTTCTTGTCTCCACCTTGCTTCTCATTCAATGTACTATAGTGTGAATAGATTGGAATCTGCAATTGATACTGGAGTAGGGACCATTGATATTGTTGGAGGAAAACTGAGAAAAGGCGTCCAATTGCTAGATGACGCATCGCGCTTAAGCCAATCGATCAACAGCAATGTCAACTCACTACTAGTCTCGCTAAATGAGATTTGCCCTGCCCAAATGGACCAAATCTGCTCTAATCTCAACGATCCCAGCAGTTGTCAGAGCCTTAATGGTCTCAGTATCGTTTCTAAGATGCAGCAGGCCATTTCCTACCTCCAAGACGATTCGCTTCATGAGAAAGCGATTCAAGATGCACGCAGCGCGCTAGACAACATTGCCACTCAGACTAGTGGTTTGGATTCGGATCTGGATCCAGTCAGTCAAGCACTCGATGGAGTATTGGCTCTGGCTATCATTGTGATTCTGGTCAGCATGTTGCTTTATGTGGTGCTGTTTCTTCCGATTCCAGCAGCAGCCAGATCCGCTCTCTTCTGCCTGAGTTACGGGTTCCTTTTTGTTATTATCCTCTTCAGCTTTCTACTGTTACTTGTCATCCTACCAGTATCTAGTGCAGTGGGGGACGTTTGCTACGATGATCCTGGTTCACGGATCGAAAGTATTCTACGGGAAAGTATGGACGCGTCCACCTCGGATCAGATTGAGGATATGATTTTCAATATTTTCAAAGGTGAGTGTGCGCCTTTGGGTCGTCTTCGATTTTCTAGGCATCATCGTCGCGGTATATACTCGTCACCAATAATGTCCTCTTTTACTTTTATGCCAGGTTGCTCAGCACCGGATGCAAGGTTCGATGAAACTATCGATTTTCAAACGGAGGGCGTATTTGGAAACCTTGATGAGGCTATAGCGCAGTTGAAGCTAAATATTGCAATCTGTGGCACTCCACCAAGCACAATGGCGAATTTGGAAGCAGTATTGAACGACGGAGTGGATGTGTATTTGTGTGAAGCCTCCAATATTTTGACCAAGTTTAGTGATTTGTTCAGTTGCAGATTTTGGCATCCGATCTATGCCCAGCTTGCACACGAGACACTGTGCTATCAGGGCATGGATGCTTTGTCGGCCATTACAAATGCACTTTTTGTGATTCTCTGCATGTCGCTACTTATCATGACATTTCGAGTTGCACTGTGGGATGCTGTAAGCTCGCCATTGCAACAGGCATCGGAGGACAAGGAGAAGGAAGACCCGTATAAAATAATGAAGACGGGAAGCAAGAAACAAACCGAAGACTTTTCCAGCGTCGAAAATACGATCCCTATGAAGAAGGATAAGAAGAAAAATAAGCGCAAACCAAAGCACATGGTAATAGAGGAAAGCATGGACGTGACGGCTGATGAATCTCGTGAGTTCAACGCCGAAGGACTTGAGGAGGCACACGAAGGAGAAGGAGAGGTACCACAAACGCGAAAGAAAAAGGTTCACAAGAAGAAGAAGAAGAGAGACTCTGATAGAGAAGGTGAGAGAGTACATCGAAGAAATCCACGATCAAGCAGCAGGGACCAAAGAAAATCTCGGAGTAGTCGAAGGCGAAAGCGAAACTCTCGAAGCTGAGGGACGGTGCTGCTGCCGATCCCGAATTGCACGGCAAGAAATAGAAGAAGATGTCTCTTGGCGATAAGCAAGAAACCGAGGAAGCTGTTGTGGAGGATCCGATCGTCTGATATTGTGACATTTTTAGTACGATAGCAGACCATGTGCACTTTAGATAAGCTGGCTCCTGTTTTACTTGACTGTACTCTGCTGAAGGTAACCAGTAGTGCCCGATTTGCAATATCTTCATTCTGCTCTAAACTAGGCAATCTAAGCCTCTCCCATGGGCAGGTATAGGCCCGCACACAAAGATCTCCGATCAATGTGTTGTTGCTATGCCTTCCGTTACTAACAAAATTTGACCTCTATATATCTTCGGCATTGGTCAAAAATGTGGCGATAAACGCGTCAATATTTCCTCTTTACAGGGTATGGTCTGCAAAGGGTGAGGAAGGCAGACATATATAACGTGCCGTAAAGGCTGAAAACTAAGAACAATAAATATTGAGTGGACAGTCAAGCATTGGAGTTGGTCGATGGAGTCGGAGCAAAAATGGAACCATTTTTGCTTTGGCGGTCAACTGCGACATGGTGCGACACGGAGCTACAAGACAAAGTATACTAAATAAATAGCTTAACTTCTGACACCCGAACACCAAACCCCACCATACATCTCAGTGTTAACAAAGTCATGACTGTGGAGTGCCCTCAATAGTGTTCCCGTCATGGCCTCTCTTGGAAACTATGTAGCGATCCACTTCATCTTGGGTGTCGAACAAAGACCAGTGGTTCGAAACCAGTCGAGCTTTGGATAAAAACAACGTGTCAAAGTTGTCATTTAGATAGAAGTTGATAGATCTACAAGGTGTGAAGTTACAAAATTACTTGGACATGGAGATAATAGAAAGCAAGGTTGGGGATTGGGTTGATCGTTTGGATGTGTGTGCATTGTGCTTCAATAAAAATGAGCCACTTACAGGACTGGTGGCGGTAAACCCTATCTATTTTTCTATTCAAGGAAATATTGAATGGTTCTGTCAGCAGGACAAGCACATGTGATTTTTATTTAACTGCATTGCTATTATAATTGTTTGATTTTGTTATACGCAGAGGAATAGGATCAACGTAGACTGTACAAACTTTGCTAAAGTAGGTTTTTGCGCTAAAGCACCAATAATCCGTTTTCCTAGACGAAACCTCGTGAAGTCTACATGCCGACGCTTTATATCAGTACCCCGGATTGAAATGAACAATGGACCAAAACGCAGCAGCAACAACGTTTGTTTGGGAATGGTTTGGTAATGGCAGGGGGCGGTGAAGACTGCCACAGTTTAAACAGCATGGACGATTCGTAACGAGTTTTCAGGAGTATGGGAGGGCAAGAAAAATTGAGGAAGCACAGAAGAGAGAACAAGAAATAACTCAGGTTTGTGGCGCCAGAAAATCGAATTTGCGGAGGAGTAACATCAAAGGAAAAGAAATAGCAATAGCAATATATAATTACCTCAGTCACGTTTCATATCCGTTGTATTGTTCTTTTGTGCAGGTGCTGCCTTCTATTGTCAAAGTGATGTGCACCCCATCCTTTGCTGTACCTTTATTACATTCTAATTTACAGCAATATCACTACCCACAAACTCCACGAGTGCCTCGTAAGGGCGATTCCTACATTCTCCACGACCTTCAAACCGTCTTCCAGGTAGTTGCCTCCGAGGCCAAGGACTTTACTCTCCATGCTGAAGCACGACCGTTGGGTACTATTCAACGGGCCGAGCTTTTCGCTGGTGCCAGATCCCAAACCCAGCTCCTGCTGGACAAGATCGACGAAGGTCTTCACAATTGCCGCCAACCCAACTACCCCAGAATATCCACCTTGAGTGCCCTAATCTCCCCTACTGAGACTCCCAACACTTCACCTTCTGGTAAGAGGTCTTCGGAATCAGGATCCTCCAAGCAAGACAAGGTCGCTTCACCTGCAAAAAAGGCCAAGTCTGGCGACGAGGAACGCAGCACTCGGGGTATGCTGATCTGCACCTCTACCGGACGACCACCTATGCCAGACCAAAAATCGAATGTCAATGGATTTGACCTGACTGCATGCGTAAATTTCCTCTTCCGAAACTTTGAGTGCACGAACACCTACATAAGAGAATCCTGATGGCTCGTCCTGTTGGCAAGCAGGAGTCTTTCAACTCCTGGGTTCACGTAACTCCCAACGTCAAATGGGCTCCTGGTCAGGAACCACGCATTGGTTAGTTTCTACGTAGAGCACATCCTTTATTCACTGCTTCGCGTTCCACTTTCTTACTAGTCCCATTTCATTTCCCTTTTCATGGTTGATTGTTGCACCCTTCCAAGTGATGTATGCATCAGTGAGCACTCTCACCCGACCGGTCACTTACTATGCGTCTTGGCCCGTCCAGACATCACCTAGCGGTGACCCACCGGACGAGAGTGCTCTCCAGGAGTATGCCCCTACTCGGACAGTCTTTGACGAGCTTGATCCTGCAGACATGATTGTTGCGGAGCAATTTTGCCACATTCTTGAGCAGGGCGCAAGGGTCACACCTACCTTTACTCGGTTGGAACAATCTCGACTTCTCCAGGATCTTCCGAGAAGAACTACTCTTGCTGTGGAGTCACCGTATGGTAAGGACAGTAACGATCGATGCTTCAAGACGGAGAGCACATTCCGCCACGTTTTTCGTTTTCCTCTTCAAGAGCAGTTTTTTGGATGCACCGACCAGCGATCGCTTGGGCAAGGCCTTTTCTGGAGCCTTGCTTCTTCGTTTGTTACTCAAGAGCCACGAGTTTGTTGATTTTTGGCCGCTTTGTTCCGTCCTCCCTTCCAATATACCAGTGGGCCAAGTCATGCACTCTTGGAGTCGGATGTTTACCACTTGTTTCTACACTACAATTTGGATGTTCGCTATGTTGGGAACATCCATACAGGTGCCCATTTGTGATTGTAATGCTTTGGAACCCGAATTGCGTGCAGCGTCCATCGATGATGCCCTCGTTGCAGATTTACGGCGCGTGCTCGTTGACGGTTGTCCGAATTATGTCAACGCTACGTCGTCCAAGATGAATCGGCGATCCTTCGCCAAATATGGGAACCACGACTTGGTATACACCAATGTTGAAGAAACCAGAAAAGCAGTTCAGAAGGATTTTTCACGGTCCCACAGCCTTGTCGGCAACCCTCTGTTGACACCTTTCCTACCGTATACACAGCAGATACCCCAAGGACTTTACCTTGGAGACAATGACGTTTCGGGTGCTTTTTCGCCACGGGAAATGGAATTCGAATGTGGTTGGTATGCATACCTTTTTCCATCTTTGGTTTCCCGTTTTTCTGCACCGGTTTGACATTTGGTGGCAAAACCTGTCCATCAAATTTTGAGATCATTGCCTTGAGTCGTATGGCTCTTGCACGTTTCCTTTGGTTGCAAGCTTCTACAATTTCTAGGGTGCTCCGATGCCTACCGACAATTTTGACATCTCCTGAACCAACATCCAATGAGATTGCACAGTTCACTCCAGCAGAAGCCGATTCCATCAACAAAAGGCGTCTTTCATCCGGACGGATCTCGCACCCCGCCCAACTTTGACCACTATGTGGACGACTGCCTTCATGTGGATGCCGAAAAGACACTGAAGCAAACAATAGCTTCTAGCGTTTTGGCCCTGCGTACTTGATTCTCGGTTTTCCGGATGCGGAAAAAGGGATTCGCGACTGCGTGTCGTGGGAGAAGTCCACCACTATATACTTTCTCTCCTCGTCGAAACTGCCTCGGTTGGATGATTGACTCCCGTGCCCTTACGGTGAGCGTACCATCTGTGAAAAGGGATCGTATCATCCAACGGCTTTGTACGTTTCTACAGAAACCACGTCTGAGCCTTCAAGAAATTGCGAAACTACTAGGTTTACTCTCGAATGTCAGGACAGTGGGCCGCCACATGCTGTGCTGTTTGTACTTCAATTTGCAATGCCTGCTTCGCACAATTCTCGTCCAACGGTACCGCAGCCTTATCGGATACCACCGACAAAAGGAATGGGAAACCAGGAGTATGCCCCTACTTGGACAGTCTTTGACAAGCTTGATCCTGCAACCATGATTGTTGCGGAGCAATTTTGCCACATTCTTGAGCAGGGCGCAAGGGTCACACCTACCTTTACTCGGTTGGAACAATCTCGACTTCTCCAGGATCTTCCGAGAAGAACTACTCTTGCTGTGGAGTGACCGTATGGTAAGGACAGTAACGATCGATGCTTCAAGACGGAGAGCACATTCCGCCATATTTTTCGTTTTCCTCTTCAAGAGCAGTTTTTTTGGATGCACCGACCAGCGATCGCTTGGGCAAGGCCTTTTCTGTTGACATGTCAAAATTTGCGGGAAAATTTGCAGATAAAATTGCGGAGGTGGATCGTTTGGATTTGATTGATGTGATTGAGCTACGGTCTTTGATTGGAGAAGTGAATTGTTTTGTTGGTGCAACCAATGAAGGTACTCAGAGAATATTACTACGATAAATTCTAAGTTAGACGCCCTTTGTTTACTTGTAAGTATGTTGGAAAGGAGCATTGGAGGAAACAGTACTGAGATTGAGAAGGCAACTGGGTACACTACAGTGTATGACGGATTGCTGGGGCTTCACCGGGAGTTGGAATTGTTTAGGTGCAAGGGTGTGGAGATCATCAGTAGATTTAGTGCGATCCAGAACGCTAGATTGGAGACTTTGGAGTCGAGAGTCCGTGAAATGCAGATTGTTACAAAGGACTTGAAGGAGTCTAGTGATTACATAAAGAATTTGGTTGAGCTATCAATGGGAAATCTTTGCAATCACATTCTGCCTGGACTCATCAGGATGAAGGAAGAGTTCTATGAGGATCCAAGACAATTGTTGGCTCAACTAGTACAGTCTGTGGACAAGGTCCCTGCTCCCTTGGCATTGGAGGGTACCAGCCTCTTTGGGTCAGTAGACACGAGTAACCTAGTAGTGTTTCAAAATTCTGAAGAACAAAACCGTATCCTTGCAAGGATAGAGGGGCTCGAGAAATAGAATGCATCCCTGAAACAAGAGATAGCTGAGTCGGAGTCAAGAGTGACAACTCAACAAGAGCGTACGGTACCACTCCCACCATTGATCTTGGATTCCTTGTCGAGTCTTCAGGAGCGATTGGCCAACTGGGAACTGAAGACTCAGAAGGGTAAAGACAGCGTGGCAGGTTGTGAGTTTGGCGGAGTCCAGGATTGCAAGCATTTCTTGCATACCAGGATGGACTTGGACGGCTCTTTAGTGTGGTTTGTTGGGCATGATGTGGTGTCGTTGGTTAACTGTGTGACAAAGGAAGGGAAAGCATCAGCCATTGATGATTTACTAGCCCAAGAGCACCACACAATCAGAGGGGGCTGTTTATGCATCCATGCAAAAGGCCATCCCAATACCCCTAGCTGGTACCAGCAGCCGTCACTCTTTACCAAGAATCAGCAGTTTTGAGAAATGGGACAGGCAGTATGACAGACAAGGAATTCAGTTGGAGATATCTCAAGGGGTGGACCAAGAGGTCTCAAAAACTATTGGTTGGCTGATCAGACCAATGAGCCCCCGTCATCAGGATGCCTTGGCGGTTGTCTTTACCGCTCTCACTATGGATGTGAGGAACCATTGGTTGGCTATTGCCAATTTCCTCACAAGTCAAAGAACAATTTGCCTGCGGCAGTGTGAAGATGCAGAAGAGGCGTGGAAGTTCCCATGCGAAGTCATAAAAGCTGTATTTGTAGCTGCATTGGGTTCGGAGTATGGTTCAATGAGACCTAGTTTGAAGAAGTTTTCAATATATGATGCTGCAGAGATGATGTGGGGTATACTACCATGCCACAAACTCATGAACAAGTTTGTTAGTCACAAATTTTTGGGACATCCGAAACTCTTGATTTTCTCATTGAATCATTTGTCTTGTCTCAAAGTGAGCCTGAAGGATCTGCATCCAATGAAACAACAGGCAGACCAGCTTCAGATGGAAATGGGTGCTATGCTGGAGGAACTTGACAAGAAGGAGGATAAACTAGGGGACAATGATGTTGTTCAAGTGTACCTGGAGTTTGCAGATCATGCTGGAGGAATCAAAAAAATTTAGATTGGAGACGGAGATGTCAGCGAGCCACGCGACAGAAATCACGATGAGCCTTCCGACAATTTGTGAATGCTCGTTCTCGTTCTGAACCCTCTCAAGCTTTTCCCGTGGAGTTTGAAGGTTCCAAGACCGAAACATGAAGTGATTAGATCAGGGGGGGATTGGACGCCAATGACGACAAGATGGATTAGGAACTCATCAAGTCTACTGGCTGGTTTTTGTATGGTAACGTGCTGGACCTTCGGCGGAGGAGCTTTGGATGTGTATACGAACGTGGAGATCTTCCAGTCTAAAGCGTCATTCAACAAAGCTTCTCTTCTGAACCCGGTGCTCCTCCAAATATACATTACCAGTATGACAGAGCAAAATCTGGCTCTGTCTGGCTTTATCTGTGCCTTACAGATGAAAGTTGCAGGAATGGTGGTCAATTACCTGGATGGACTATGCATCGACCCCCCACAATATTGGCACCTGAACGTTTTTCCTGTTCAGTGTGCCCTTAGGTCTATAGTTGTAATGGAGTAAGCTTGATCCGAATGTCGTTCCAACATCTAACTGTTGTCTATTTGAATATGCCATCCTTTTTTTTGTGGTTTTCTTTGGTTTTCTTTGGTTTTTTTTCTTTTTCTTTTTCTTTTTTGAACATTTTTCCGCAAGTTCGTTTGCTTTTTGCTTTTTGCTTTTTAATTTTTCCCACGCCTGCACTCGCATGTTTGTGGCCTTTGTCTTCCGCTTTCTTCGGAAAGCAATGGTGGCTCTTTCATCTGCACCATAGCTTGGTACCCCATTTGGTCCAGGTTTGTTTGTCAATCCTATTGATTGCCCTCCTCGAATCCTATGATTCGACCTTGGTGCAAACCAGTCACTAACGTAGTACCTCGCTACTGTGCCAAACCTACTCGCTGCCACAGTTTCCATGGTTGCATACGTGTGCAATTTCTCTAGACAAAGACTACATCATGCGATTCAAGCCCAGGAGTGGAGACGGCGCCGGGTAATCTTCGATTACAAAAGATATCGGGACTACAGTTCCAAAATTGCATGCGTGCGCCTGTCATGTCGGTTCCGCTCTACCAAGGCCAATACTCACGGCTCACGGTCAACAAATCCGAAAACGAATTCCAAAATACCGTATGTAGATTATGTACTTACATACAAACCCAACCAACCTTTACTGAAGCCTCAAATTTGTAATCGGTTGGAAGCTGAAAATCTTCCCAATTGGCCCGTCAAATGACAGACAAATCAGGAATATTTTCGTCAACAAAACTCTAGGATCCAAGTCATCATGGGCAATGCCCAACCATACGGCCCTCCAACAAGGCTGATAAACTGTGATAAGTTGTGTTGACCCAAATACAGAAGATTTAGACCCCATGTTGTAATTTCAATACCCAAGAAACAGGGAAATTGAAGAGGGGGCAGAGGCATGCTCAGATGTTTTTACCGGCTGAGGAATCACCATGATTCCTTCAAGCTTCCAATGCCCACACGGACATATAACACGACAGTCAACCACCGCCAGCGCATTCTCTCAACTACTAAAGGTCACCCTGGTAGATGGTCCGACAAGACCTTGATCCGCTTTGACGAACTTGCCAATCAACTCAGAGATGGTGAACTGTGTGTGGACCTCATTTTCACTCTTCTTGAACTAGATGATGATGGAATTGAAAGGGAGGTGGGATACTCAGGGGCTTGGACCATCGTCGACAAGGGATATCTTCATTTGTCTATTTTAGTGCTATGAAGCTGTGGACAACCTACTCCGAGATGCAATTTAGCAAGTGGTTGGAGAGTATGAGGAAAGATGTGGAGTGTACCTTTGGAATAATCAAAGGACTTTTCCGAATCCTCAAGACTTGAATCCCCCTGCACAGGATAGAAGTTTGTGACACAATATGGCTTACCTGTTGTAATTTGTACCAAACGAAGTACTTGTAGGTTAATGAAGATTACTAGTAATCATTGATTAAATAATTATTGTGTGGTCATTATGGCGCGGTTGAAAGCTGTCAGGAAGAGGTGAAGGAGCCAAGTATCCAAAACAGAAAAATGTGGCATCTTAGTGGATTGATTCATACTTGATTGGTCCGATTCATGCGTGTTTCGTTTTCGTAATCCGTCACCGTGAGTCTAACGTAGACGGAAGAAAGCGGTCGAACCAATGGACTCAATAGTGACTCCATGAACGACGGTAGGGCGACCGTCATCTCAGTATTGCACCAGCAACCTAAGTCCGATCTACACATATCGAACTTGTGTGCAAGTATACTGACAGAAAGATAGAGTTATCGCTTCGCGCGCAACTCAAAAGGACCAGCTTCACACCACAACCCACCAGAGTCACTCCAAGAAAACACCAAGCAGAAGAACCCGAAAAGAAGGCGCCAGTTGGCTATCTTCGATAGGTTACAGTATGATGTGTTTTCGCCAGAAAAACGAATTGCAAAATGTGTGCGAAAAACGCGCAAGGGCCGAAACCCTTTTCGGATTCGTTGACCGTGAATATATATATATTGGCCTAAAGCCACGCCTGAAGCGCTGCCGAAAATTGAAGGATGAAACTACCATTCTCTTTCTACCCGAGTAGTGCTCGAGTATAGTAGACAAAAAAGTCTTTTGGTGAATCTGAGCGTATTGAGATGGCGCGCGCAGGTGACCGTGGTGTCAGACACAAAAGAACGTTGTATCTAGCCGGTGCCACATTGATGGCAGTTGCAATTGTAGGGATTGTTGCTGCGGTCAGAAATGGGAGGCACAGGGACGCAGTCGAGGCCAATGTTAATTGTCTCGGCGCAATGCGAGAGTGCGAGCGGTCATTAGGCAGCGATAAACCCATTCAACCGAACGTCACGGATAAGGTCATCAGCGCCGTCAAAGAGGTGGAGACGGAGTACGAAATGAGGCGGTGGTTCACAAACAAGGACAATTCTTCGTACTTAGAGAGAACTGGGGGAATGAGCGTTTCTGTAAGTGGTGTGGAGATACCGGAGTTCGACAATAACCCTGAGCGTGAGTGCGCTGAACTTCCACTGTGGAGAATTATTGAAAGAATGGTGAAATGGCGTAAGACATCTACGCAAGGGGGCGCACTAGTTACGGGATGGCAAGGATGTGTAATAAGCTGCAAGGACCGTGAGTGCGAAACGGTGGATGCAAGGGCACGCACTGAAAGTGCTGAGGACGGAGTACACGAAGGTCATAGGTTGCAATCGTTGGCTTACAAGGTGTTAAGGAACCAGGTTATCGCACACACAACCTATGCTTCAGGCCAAGATTATTACGTGGGGGTGCAGAATGTGTTTACCGAGACACTATTCGTCCCAGTTACCTCGCTGCAGTACGTTACAGAAGTGCTAGCATACTCCGACTACGCGGCGACCGCACGGGATGTAGCGACGAGCACATGGGGTGGTTTTGACATAGTGCACCTTCTTGAGCCAGACAAGGACTTTACAAGAGTGAAACTAACTGTTGGTAGGTCTGCCAGCCAGATAGATATGGCTTTTTACTGGATCGAGACGGGCTACTCGGGTGATTTTGGGCACGTCTGCGCCGACTCCAATAAAGTTGAATGTGTCCCTAACTGGAGCTCAATGTATGCGTCGTTTAGCGGCAGGGGTAGTATATGTCTGGAAGTGGGCGATTGTGGCCAGTTGGGTGTTGAGATCGGGGCATACATGAATGGCTGTGGAGGGAGCACACCAACTAACGCATATTCACGGCTGCCAGGGGGAATATCCACATGGAACATGGAGTTGGGACGCACAACTAGAAATGCGAACTACGGTGGTGTAAACTTGGAAGAGAATAGTATTGGAGAAATATTCTTGACATTAACAGAAGCGATATGGCCACCACCCGCAAATAGCTGGGTTTGCCCGTGATTCTAAAGTGTCCGTGTGTGCGGAAGTCATGCAACTTCACACCGCCACGAACGGGGTAGCCCAAACGGATAAATCGGTCCAGTAGCGCTGAATAGCAAATGTGAGGTATAATAGCACTCACGTAGGTAAAGCTACCTGCATAGATTGTGAACCTATGTAGCCACACGCCAGTGTGGTTAGAGAAAACGAGTAACAATTCAATAAAATCGAGGACAAGTGCACTGCTCGACTCTTTCACTGACAGCACGAAGATGCACACCTCCAGCCTTTTCTGAGTGCTCTGTCGCTTGTTGAAGTGCCTTTCCGGCTTCGTAGATACGATCTACGCCTCCTTCACTTTCTGCGACTTGAATGTTACCACCATCATCGTAGACTAGTGCACCAGCTGGGTTACTGAGAATCATTTCAAGATCCTCTTGAATTGTAAGACCTTGTAGCAGTCGTTTCATCTCAGATCCCAGCAAATCGTAAGACTTCCACTATTGCTCCAACTGCTGATTCTCTTCTTCGATATCTCTACAATCATCCGTCAGGGGCTTGATGGCCAAAACTCTTTTGTCGAGCCATCCTTCCATTTCTGCAAGTTCTGCGTCTAGACTCGGTCTATCGGTTTCAGGCTTCAAATAGTACATTTGAAGTTGTCGTGATTACACGCTTAGTTTTTTTGTGATTTTTTCGTAGTCTGTTCCTAATCTCCGATCATGACTGACTATTTGAAGAGTTTTAAAGCAGCGTTGTCCCGGAAGTCACCTCCTGAGGTGGTTACAGTGGCTGATGATGATAGTTCTTCAATCACAAAAGGCACTTATCTACAAAGGAGTGAGTGATTCGTTGACGATGGGACGTTCTTCATCCAGTGGTGGAAAGGGACGTGTGACTCCTCAGAAAGTCAAGAGCAATTCAAGTTCAACAGTTGTGAAACATCTATTTTCAACGAAAGATGAAATTGATGGAAAGGCAAGATTGTCGTTCGAAGATGCCAAAGAAAGAGTGATCGACTACATCCAAGCTTCTGGAATGAAGTGCTCCAAAGACATGGTGAAATCGATTCACGATGGGAAGTCGATCGACTTCAATGCAATCGCTCCAAGATTGAACGCTCCAACTCAAACTGAAGCTGTTGCAAGAGAAATAAAGATGGCCCAAAACAAGATTCTCTATTCTGCAAAGCTTGACGAGAACATGCAAAGATCAGCCTACTTTGAAACAAACAAGAGAACCGTCAAATGAAAACATCATGTTGAAGATTGTGACGATGGCGATGGATATCAAGCTTTGAGGTGAAGCCAATTTCACGACTACTCTTGAAGATCCAATCAAACTCTTCAAATGTATTGAGTATGACTTCTTGGATCTTTGCAATGAAGCAAGGAACAACCAAAAACTTGATGCATTTCAAGGAACCATTCTTGAGACAGGCTGAAGTCCTGCAAGATCTATATGGTGTTGCGAGGTTCCAAAATTTTGCAGTCAAGACAAAAGTGTATGCTGCTATTGCTAGCACGGATACTGCTGCTCAAGACAAGTACAAGGATGGTATCTTTGAAGCCGTTCTTGCAACAGGATTTCTGTGCAACTGCAATCAAACAAGAACAGCTCTTCTGATGCTGCATCTTGAGACAAACTATTGCAGGGAAGTGGATTACTATCCAAAGACGGTCAGCAAAGCACAAGATATGTAGAAGATTCACATGGATGTGATTGAAAATCCGGGAGTGAACCTGTACCAAGGAAAAGACCAACCTAATAAAGGTAAAGGTAAAGGAAAAGGAAAACCGAAGGATGGGAAGAAGAAAGCAGCATGTTATGTATGTGGCAACAAAGACCATATGTCTCCAAAATGCCCAGACAGACTGCTACCAAAGATCCTATGGAAGAATCAGGATCAATATGTCGACTATGGGAAGAAGCTCAATCATAATCAGATTAGAGCAACTGTCCCAGCTACTCCTGTTCCAGCTATAGTTCCTGGAGCTTCAGCATCAACAAGTGGAGCATCAAGTGTTGCAGGAAGAGTTAACACACCTTTGTAACTTGCTGGTACTACAGGTAATCAAATGATGCAAGTTCCTTTGGGAATGCAGCTCATGCAGATTCCAACTCAAGGTGGCAGCACTGTTACTGTCCCTTACTCAATGAATGATAATGGTGAAATTGCATTCAGCGGAATGCAACTTGGCCATCAAGGATTCAGTGGTGCTCAAGTGCGCCAAGGATTCGATGCAACTCAAGCTTGAACTCCGCATATGGTGAAGACTGGCTATTACGATACGTCAAATGTCTTCCACGATGCTATCAAGGGAAAGAAATGTTCCGAAAAAACCAAAAAGAAAAAAAAAACACGCACATCCGGGTTCCGAGACACCACCTCTAGTAGTTCTCCTACACAGAGCAGCCGTAGCGACGCTGGAAAAGAGGTTGTTTTCAACTGGAAAACCAAGGATCAAGATGAGCAAAAGAAAGACAGGCAAGGTCCCCAGAGCACAAACAGTACCCGAAAATGATTCATATAATGCTCCTGCAAGCCTTGTCCAAAAAGAATGGGGAAAAGTGGCCAAAATCTGCCCATTTGATGCCTCTGCCTTTTTGGGCCTGTTGGACAACAATGCCAGCGACGAAATTGCTGATGACGAGGAGGATAACATCAAGATTCAGGTCAGAAAGCAAACTGGGATATCTATTATTTCAGAAGTCATTTTGTCCAAAAAGATCAAGCAAAAATGGTCCAATCTTGCCCATTCTTTGCACCCTTTTTGGGCATTCCTGATGATTCTGGCGGTGCCATCAAATCAGTTTCCGATGATGAGGAAGACAAGGCCATCCAAAAGGTCTCCAGCGCCCAAGCACCATCTCCAATGGACCTCCAAGATGCTGTTGAGGATAAACCTTTCCAGCATTATGCTGACAAGCACACCTATTGCAACATTCCAACCCTTTGTTAGAAGAAAGCGATCCACTGCCGCCTGCAATCTACCTGTTCAATTGACTGCGATTTAGCTGTCCAGGTATTGTTGCCTTCTAAGTATATGAATTTACAGTATATAGAAGTATATAGATCTATCAGAGATCCTACTTTATCAACCAATTCACTTGTTGCTTGCAATATATTATAAAAAGTGAGAACAGTCTGCCAACTTTTGACTTTGACTCTTAATTCTCTCTACGTCAGCCTGACATGCTGCAAGTTCACTCTGTTTATCTGTTCACCTTCCACTGTAGTCGGTACTTTGATTAGTATCCAACTTTGGTTCTTGCTTGAATCTTGCTTTCTTACATCATCAACAAGATGATTTCCATAGAAATAAATTATCTTTTCTCACTTGCCACGCGCGATATTTTTAGTCGTATCAGTCTTCATTTTTAGTCGTATCAGTCGACATCATTTCTCTATTGTTCACATGTATTCTCTTTTTCTCGTTTCTCCTAACCCTAACCCTATCCAACACCCTTGGCGACCTACTATTGCAAGGAAATTGCTATCTCTTCCATCAGCCTTCTGTTGATTGGCAGATGCCTCAATTTGATTTCCCTTTATGGATGTTCAAATGTTGGCATCATTCCCACGGACAGCTAGGCACAACACCACTGATCTGCAGCCTCACCATGCCAAGATACAAACTACTGGCTCTGCCCCTCTTTGCTTCTCCTTAGACTACAACAGCCGCCTTTTTGATGCTTGTACCAACCTCAATGTTCTGGAACACTGTGCCCATGGGACGCTCTCCATTCATTTGGATCGATATATTCAGGGTAGAAGGGAGCAAGAACACAAGGTTAAATCAAGCTTCAATACAGGCAAGCACAACAAAAGAAAAAACAGAGAAAACAAAATAAAAATACGCCGCCTCGAGTGGCAAGATTGTTTCTCTACATGTGCAAGGGTGCAATGTAATATGCGATAGAGCAACTTCCTTGGGATTGGATGCCTCAAACTGGTTCAACAGTACTGGACTCACCTCCGTATGGTAAATGGCCATGACAGCCGTTATCGGCAATCTAGAAACTAGAGATAGTTTTAACATGATTAATGCATCAGATTTATTATTATGCTATCAAGGGAAAGGATGAGAATGGCAATGATGTCTATCTTATTCCATGTCCTGCTGGTACAACAAATGTCAAACTTCAAGCCGGCTGGCACTATGCTAGTGAAAATGAAGATTTGCCTGATCCTGCTACTGAAGCAGATCGAGATCTGCAGTTTATTCAAAGCCGCAGAAGAGAAAGAGATCCATTTGGGTTGTACGATCATGTCATCATGGACAGTGGTTGTACAAACACCACCAATTGTAATGGTGAGCTCATGCACGGACTCCGTCATGCTGAGAAGGAGCTTGATATGCACACTAACGTGGGCAGCAGAGTTCTCAACGAAGAAGGTTTTCTAGGAAGATTTCCGCCTCCAGTTTATCACGATGAAGATGGAATTGCCAATGTACTTGCTATGCTTAAGATGATTGCTGCGGGATACCGCATTACTATGGATACTGATCCTGACAATGCCTTTATTGTACATTGTGATGGAAACAGAAAGATGCAATTTGTGAATTGTAAGGGTGTGTATGTGTTGGAGCAACTTGGAGTGAATGTCGAACCAGGTGCCAGAGAGGCAAGTGCGATGTACTGTTGCCAGTTAATGATCAACCCCATTTCGAACTTTCTTCAAACAAACAGAATTGATATGCTGGACTCAAGATGACCTCCAAGATGGCAACTGTTCAAAAGAACAAGGAAGGATTCACTCCAAGACGAGTCAAGGCTGCGATGGAAGCAAGAAGTACTCAATGCTCCAAGCACCAAAAGTCTGAAGTATGAGATCCGATCTGGTCTCATCAAGAACTGTCCTATCACTGAAGAAGTGATCAATCATGCCGAAGCAATCTTTGGATCTGACGCCTCTACATTGAAAGGCAAGTGAACAAGACCAACTCCGAAGAAGATGTACGACAACTTCTTCAGTCCACCAGAGGAATTGTATAAACATAATTGATCTATCACCGCCTGTATTGATCACATGGAGATCGAGAATGCTAAGTTTTTCACCTGCATTGATAACACTGTGCGTTATTGCTGATGTATTCCCGTGCAGAACCTGAAGACTGACCCTGTATTTGAAGCACTGGATAAGATTCTCCGCCGCTACAACAAGGCAGGCTTTCAAGTCAAGACAATCAAGTGTGATCGGGCTTTCATTCCTCTCACGGATGATATGATTGACCCAACTGCAGCTGGAGACCACAAGCCTACCGCTGAGCAAAACAATCGGACGCTGAAAGAAAGAGTCAGAGTAGCTCTTGCACGATTACCCTACAACGTGGTCCCAACGGTGATCACTGAATGTCTTGGACGTCAAGCCGCCGAGCTATTGAATGTCTTTCCCCAGAAAGACAGTATCTCATCATCTTTCAGTCCGCAGCAACTCATTGATAATGTCAATATCAACTACAAGAGTGACATGGTTGCTGATTTTGGACAATATGTTCATGCAATTGGGACGGATTCCAGCAATTTGATGGAACACCAAAGTATCAAAGCGATTTACATTGAACCTACAAAGGGACAATGTACTGGGCACCAAGTGCTCAACCTCAACACTAAGAAGATGATTTCCTGACCCAAGGTCGTCGTACTACCCGTTACCGACCAAGTACTCCAGCGTGTTGAAGCTTGGGCTGCTGCCAAAGGTGTTACTTCCATGAAGTTTTTCGATAAGAAGAGAGATTTGGTGACATTTCAAGATGGCGATCAAATCGCTGGAGTGGATGACACGGAACAAGGTTACTTAGAAGAAGCTTTTGATCAGGACTATGAACCTGAAGATGAAGATGAACGTGATTTCAACCTACGTGGACAATTCAATGATATGGATGACTCCAAAAGAGAAGAGCTCTTGGCAGATGCAGACAATGATGTCGATGATATGCCAGATTCCAAGGAGATGATGACTATGAATCAGACGACAATTTGGGTGATGAAGGCAATGAAGAGGAAGAACCGCCTATTGTGGCCGATTTGAATCACCATCAAGAAAATGTCGATAGAGGAACCGATGATATTGGGAGCCTCGTTAATGATCTGGAGGATCTACAAGAACCGCCAGAAGAAGAGATTGTATTTGAGCCTGAAAGGCCTCAAGTAGTAAAAGTCACTCGATCTGGGCAAACGTATGCGCAAGCTGCAATGTCTGGGCTGAACATTTCTCAAGTTCCAAAGAAACCAAGAGAATGGCCTTTGAGCAGGAGTGGCATTTCTGCCAATAAGAACAAGAATCGAGTTGCAACAAGACGCAAGCATCGAGAGAGGGAATCAAAACCGTTGAAGAACAAGTTGAAATCTGGTATTCGTACCAAAGTACTAAAGACAGTAAAGCTATCCTTGAAGCACAGCACAATCTATGTTTCCAACAGATTGGGAATGAGATGAAAACTGATTATGAAGAACACGACGCTATTCTAATCGCTTGTTGCATGATGCAGATCAAGGCCAAGTTTGATACTGAAGAAGGTCTGAACTTCATCCAACAGTATTACATCAATCAAGGACTGAAGAAGTTTGATGATGATGTATATATATATATATATATATATATAACTGAATCATTAATTGGTTTTTATGCTACTGCTAGAGTATCCAACTAGCGGTGTAATACGGCTGTAGAGGCCAGGAACTAGGTTGCTTTTGGTCAACAAAGTTTGAACCACGTGGAGGCGTTCAATAGAGGAACGTTGCTCGCAAGTCGAAAGTGTCAAGGACGATTGGCTCTCCCACGCGAGGTGGGGTGGAGAATATGTATGTGTTAGACTGGGGTACGTGTGGCTTGTGATGTACCGGTACCAGAATCACGTTGGTAAATATGTAGACAAGTAAGTCAGGGGGCTGCTGGGCGAGGGGGAGGGTGGGTCAGTTCCCACATCAATCGTAGCTGCCTGCAAGAGATTGTCTGATTTTGCGGCGGGCTTCGGAGATGACGAGGACCCATTCCTCCTTATCCGCCAGGGGGAGTCGGAGGACTTCCACAAGGCCGGATCGACGGATGGCAGGGCGAAGGTTCCGAGGCAGGTCGCGAAGACCCATTTCAAACTCTGCGTGGATGCGTCGATCAAGAGCAGTCGCGCGCTGTTGGTGGACGATGTTGTCGTCAGAATGAAAGACATCATTGGGATGCTTCCACATGCCTTTACCGATAAGGGTGAGCTGTCGAGATAGATTGGCAGCCCACAGGTTACCGGATCGGCGACTACCGCAAGAGCGGTAGAATTGTTGCTGGAGGTCGGCCCAGCCGTGGGCAATAAGGCCTTCAAGGAGGCATTGGGGGGCAAGGCGGAGTTGAGCCTCACAGACTTGGGTGAGGGCGGAAGAAGATATTCCGTGGAGGCGGTACCACCGAGTCTGTGTTTGAGGCTGGTTGCTAGGGGTGCAGATGGTGCAAAGAAGGGCCCCGAGGAATTGGGCGATGGGTGTCGCAGTGGTGGTGGACTGGAACCATTCTTGGAGTTCTTGGAGGAGGAGCTGCCACTGGGTCTTTGCCCGATCCGAAGGGCAGCGAGGGACGTGTAGGTGGTCTTCCTCCAGGCCGCACAAGGGGCACCGGTTCTTGGAGTCGAGACCCCAACGTTTACGGAACTTGCTGACACCGCACATGCCAACGGTGTGTTTTGTGACGAAGCGCTGTTTGGCGGGCTTCAGCGACTTCATCGCTCGGTGCACGACCGGCCAGTCCACCAATCGGAAGGTCTCGGGAGCGAGGCGGCCTTTGGCTGCCCAGTAGTCCATCAATTCCGGCAGGACAACGGCCTCGTCGACCGATGCCAAGGCCAGGCAGGAGACCTTCTCATTGTCAATGTAGAGTGCACAGGGTTCGGAGAAGAACTTGGGGTTTCTGGCAATCGTGTCGTCGGTGGCTATCAGCTCATCGGCGTAGCCTTGAGCAATGTCGTCCACTTCGGAGTTCTGTCGTTCCCACCAGGACATCTGTTGCCATGTCTTGGTGCGATCAGCATGCCCGACCACGTGTTGTTCGGCCCAGGAGATGTTGGAAACTCGGAGGGCCTCGCGGATGGAGGACAAGAGAACAAAGTGTGGGGCGGTTGGAGACAGCGGCCAAGTAGAGAAGACCTGGCGAAGCGCGGCGATCCCATCACACGCCACCCGAACGCGTGGCTTGTCGAGTGACTTGAGTTGTAGGCAGAGCCAAGAAGCCACCAAGATACCAGCTAACAGACCGTTAAGTTCGCTCCGGTAGGCACTCTGGTCCTCGCGTTTCCCAGGTGTACGGCATTTGATCCAGATGACGTGCCCTCCACGTCGAGTCCGTAGCTGGACTGCGGCTGTGCCCACTTGTTGCTTGAAGGAGGCATCGCTGATCACCCGTAGCTTGCCCTTCTCCAGTGCCGCCAGCAGAACTTGTTCGTCACCTTCAATGTAGATGTATTCCGGAACCCATCCCCAATCGTCGTCCATGTCGGCTGCCAATTCCCTCCAGAGGTGTAGGATCGAGGCTGGCAAGGACTCCGGATCTGGTGGGTCCACCGGGGCTGTGCCCGTGATAGTGACGTATGCTGTCCGTGGGTGAAGGTTGACTGAGGCCCTTTGGACGTCCCCGGGGAGGGGTCCCGTCCAGGTATGATGGAGATCCCTGCGAAAGGTCTTATGGGAACGCGAGTTGATGGGTCGGTAGATTGCCAGGTTGGAGGCCGACCGATGGAAGAGGATCGACGAGGTGCGAGAGAGGAGCCAGGTCCATCGGTCCAGCGAGTCAGACCACGGTCCGAGGAGGCGTAGCAAGCGGCGACGGCGGCAGTAGGGGCGGAGAACGGCTTGAGAGAGGACGCGTCGCCACAGGTCCCAATGAGAGGGGCCAGGGCGTCGGGTTCGGGGCCAGCTGTAGCTGGGCACAAAGTGTCCGGAGGGTTGGCCGGCAAGAGAAGCTGCCGTCAGGGAGCAACCGTCAGCGGTGATGAGTTCCGAGAGAGTGGTGACTTGGAGAAACTGGCGGCACCAGTTGAGCCATAGCAAGTCCTCTTGGTCGACTAAGGCATCGATGAAGATGTCCATCAAGAGACGGTCGTCGGCACAGTGTAGGGACAAGGGAGGGGAGGAGATCTCGACTCTGATGCCCAATGAGTCGAGCTCGATCCAAACCCGTTTGAGCCATGTTTCGGAGGCAAGGATCCCGGTGTTGGTGGGTTCTTGTTGAAGAAGGGGAAAGGAGGTACCCGTTCCGAGTTGGTGGGACTGTAGGTTGGCCTCCAGGTACTGGCCGGTCTTGGTACGGTTGGCCGAATGGCGCATCAGAACACTGAGATGGTGGAAGACTTGAAGGGCGAAGGGGTGCAGGACACCCAATCCCTGGTATTTCAGAGGGGCAAAGACCACGACGCGGGGAAAGGAACGGCAAACCCCAGCTTTATGCAAGCTCGCTTGGAGGATCGGTGACATGATGGACACCCAGTCGGAGCGGCCGAGGGTGGAAAGGGGCATCACGTACTCCAAAGTTTTCAAGGCGGTTGCCTTGATGGAAAGGATGCTGTGGATAAGGAATTGAGACAAATGCTCCTGAGAGATTGTTTCACTCCCGAATTTGTAAAGGAAATGACCACGTAAGAAAGCCCAATCAGCTATGATGTTACTTGCGGAGAAGCAATTCGAAAAGACGATTAAAGGTTGCTTAGTATACCAAGGCGATGGAACTTGTGAATGGTTATCACAAGAGGACACTGCAAGTCCAACTGCTTTGCATGAAGCAATCACCACTACTTGTGTTATTGATGCACACAAAGGTAGAGATATAATGTCAATGGACGTTCCTAATGCTTTCATTCAAACTTATATGGCTGAAGCTAAAGAAGGAGAAGATCGAATCTACATGAAAATCACTGGCATGATGGCCCAGATATTGATTGACATGGCCCCAGAGTATCGCGAATACGTTGTTTAAGAGAGCGGAAAGCGAGCAATCTATGTGCGGGTACTACGTGCTATATATGGGATGTTGCAATCAAGCCTCCTATTCTATAATGAGTTTTGAAGTGATTTGGAGGCAAAGGGATTTGTTTTCAATCCGTATGACCCGTGTGTTGCTAACAAAGTTGTTATTGAAAAACAGCAAACTATCAGGTTTCATGTTGACGATCTTATGTCAAGTCACATGGACCTGAAAGTGAATGACAAATTTGCTGAGTGGTTGAACATGAGATATGGTTCGATCAAGGCATGCACAATCGTCAGAGGAAAGATACACAGATATCTTGGAATGACTTTGGAAAGGAAAACTTAATATCCGCATGGACGACTATGTCAAGAACATGTTGGAAGATTTTCCTATCAAGTTCAACAAGGATTCAAAGCAGGAAACACCAGTTGGTGACGATTTACTGGAAGCTGGTAAAGGGAAGTTACTCAGTGCTGAGTCAGGTCTTCCATACTACTGTTGCAAGGGGACTTTATGTCTCTAAGAGAGCTTGTTTGGATATCCATCCAACGATTACTATTCTTGCCTCAGGAGTTCGAGAGCCTACAGAGTCTGATTGGAAGAAGTGTGTTTGCATGATGCGGTATTTGTTTTGTACAATGGTGTATCACCTGACACTTTCTGCAGAATCACTAAGAGTCATTGCGGTGCATCCACATTTCAAGAGCCATACTGGCGGCACTCTGTCCTTTGGAGGAGGAGGTGCAGCTCAAGTGATGTCAAAGAAACAAAAACTAAACAGCAGAAGCAGTACGGAAGTGGAACTGATTCCTGTTGACAATGTTGTCACAATGATACTATGGACAAAGTTGTTCATGGAGTGGCAAGGGTATCCGATCAAGAAGAATATCTTGTATCAGGATAACAAAAGCGCGATTCTACTGGAAGAGAATGGTCGCAAGAGCGTGGGCAAAAGAAGCCGAGCTATCAATATTCGTTATTTCCTTATCACAGATCAAGTTGAGAAAGGAGATGTTAATATGATTGCGGATTTTATGACTAAGCCATTGCAAGGTGAGCAATTTTGCAAGTTCGGGGATCTGATTCTTGGTCCACAGGAATAGGTCAGACAAGTATGTATATGTTACAAAACAAAATAATTTGTGAATGAGAGCATGTCCCATTGCTGCCAATGGTGATTGTCACAATGGCAGGAGTGTGTTGGGATATGACAAAATATGAGTTTTTACGTTCCAAAACGAAACTAATCAAATACAAAGTTTTTGACACGTACGATTGAACTTTGATCGTGATGTCGGGATTTGACGCAAGTATGCTGGACGCAAGTCTGTCGGACAATCTGTATCCACACAAAAAGAGAATGACCCTATACAAGTGTAATATCAATTTTGTGTACAATGCAGTAGGGAATAACACAGGATGTACAATGCAGTAGGGAATAACACAAGATGTCCCAAAGTACTGCATTCAACACAGAATCCTTGTCAAAGTCAAATCGAGTTCTGTAAACAAGGGATTTTACAAGGGAAAATCGTTGAACTCACTTTTGTGATTGAATCATCAATTCAAGCCAAACATTAATCAAATAGGAACAATTTCACTCAAAGTATACCTAACACAGGAGAACTATTGTTGTGAAAGTGTTGTATAGTCAATTACGAATTTAGATTGCAGAGAGTTTGTTCTACTAAGCGCCAAAGGCACTCATGATAGAGCACATTTTGATTTATTCTATTACTGGGATTGTTCCATGTTTTACTGGGTAAGTCTTCATTCACTGATGTAGCTCCAGCCAAGTCCACTCGTTCTTGTCTCCATCTTTCTTCTCATTCAATGTACGGCCTTGGTGTATTTCACCTGTGACATAGAGTCCCAATAGAAAGTCTTCCCTCCTCTTACCCAGTTTTTGCAGTGGCAGTACAAAGCTGGAAACTGCAATTTATCAATCGGGACTAACAATCTGTGCAAGGCAATATTACACAAGTTTGTTGCTGACTAGACAACATTGCCACTCAGACTAGTGGTTTGGATTCGGATCTGGATCCAGTCAATCAAGCACTTGATGGAATATTGGCTCTGGCTATCATTGTGATTCTGGTCAGCATGTTGCTTTATGTGGTGCTGTTTCTTCTGATTCCAGCAGCAGCCAGATCTGCTCTCTTCTGCCTGAGTTACGGGTTCCTTTTTGTTATTATACTCTTCAGCTTTCTACTATTACTTGTCATCCTACCAGTATCTAGTGCAGTGGGGGACATTTGCTACAATGATCCTGGTTCACGGATCGAAAGTATTCTACGGGAAAGTATGGACGCGTCCACCTCGGATCAGATTGAGGATATGATTTTCAATATTTTCAAAGGTGAGTATGCGCCTTTGGGTTGTCTTGGATTTTCTAGGCATTGTTGTTGCGGTGCTCACCATCAATAATGTCCTCTTTTACTTTTATGCCAGGTTGCTCAGCACCGGATGCAAGGTTCGATGAAACTATCGATTTTCAAACGGAGGGCGTATTTGGAAACTTTGATGATGCTATAGCGCAGTTGAAGTTAAATATTGTAATCTGTGGCACTCCACCAATCACAATGGCGAATTTGGAAGCAGTATTGAGTGACGGAGTGGACGTGTATTTGTGTGAAGCCTCCAATATTCTGACCAAGTTCAGTGATTTGTTCAGTTGCAGATTTTGGCATCCGATCTATGCCCAGCTTGCACACGAGACACTGTGCTATCAGGGCATGGGTGCTTTGTCGGCCATTACAAATGCACTTTTTGTGATTCTCTGCATGTCGCTACTTATCATGACATTTCGAGTTGCAGTGTGGGATGCTGTAAGCTCGCCATTGCAACAGGCATCGGAGGACAAGGAGAAGGAAGACCCGTATAAAATAATGAAGACGGGAAGCAAGAAACAAACCGAATGTACAGGGTATGGTCTGAAAATGGTGAGGAAGGTAGACATAACGTGCCGTAAAGGCTGAAAACTAAGAACAAATATTGAGTGGACAGTCAAGATTTGGAGTTGGTCGATGGAGTCGGAGCAAAAAGGAACCATTTTTGCTTTGGTGGACACGGAGCTACAAGACAATGTATACTAAATAAATAGCTTATCTTCTGACACCCGAACACCAAACCCCACCATACATCTCAGTGTTCACGTGCACTAAGCAAAGCTGCCCGCGGAAAAGAAGCGGGCCACTTCGCAGATAAATCGCTCAATCATACACGTACGGTAGAATAGAGGAGGCCCAACGAACACCAAGAAGTGTCTAGTGTGAGTGTACACGTACGTGTACGCGTACACGTGTACACGTGTAAGCAATTCCAGCGCATCATCATCATCATCATCATGTTCGGGTTGTGGTGACTTGTACACCTTCATCATCTACAGTATAAAGCACAAACAGAAGCCACCATGCACCATTCCTTATTGAAGTAATAGACATGTCAGAACACAGACTATAGTCGTTGACCGAAGCTCTAGCGACAAGAACGAGCTAGAAGAGATGGGTGGAAGCAGCAGACAGCGGAAACAAGGAAGACTTCTTGTAGTCAACGGCAGCGTCTTTTTGTGCTGTTTCTTTGTTGGTAGACAAAGCGTCTCTCTTCAGCAGGATATGGGTACTGGGATCAGTGAGTCAACTGCACACTATGTGGCGGAGCATCGAGCCAATGACGAAGGCTACATGAGGCGGAATCAAAATACATCAAGGTCAGATTGCTTTGGTCATCACAACTTTCACCATAGTGTCACTGCTTCCAAGGTGGCATCGCTACAAGAAAAGATGAAAGCATACTACGTGAAGCGCCAGCATGCGACCAGAAGAACAAACAACGCCGAAGCTCGTCGTCTACTCAACAATCTGGTCGAAGTGGAAATAGTTCCAACATTGAAGAAGGTTCCAGCTGTCAAAGGACTCCCACGAAGTGACAGGAAATTATTCAAAGGCCAGGAAAAGGAAGACTACTTCATATATGAACACTTCTACAATGAGAAAACAAAACAATGTTACAGCTTTGGTAGCAATCTCTTTGAATCTGGTGCTCTTGATGGTTTTCGGTACTCCAATACCTACTTCTTTGAGCAACACTTCAACGCATCGAGCATCCTTGTGGAAGCTGCAGATTCAAACTGGCAACAACTGATCATCAAGGTGCCAAAGTTGCGCCCACTGGCCATAAGTCATAGAGCTGCCCTCTGTCCTCTTGGAGCGGAGTCCGTGTGCATGCAGATTGGTGATCAAAATGCCACGAGTTCAGTCAATCGCAATGCCAAGACGTGTGAAGACCCAGTCCCATGCTTTCATTTTGACGAATCTTTGCATTATTCCTTGATATCCCTCGACATTGAAGGCTTTGAATTGGATTTTCTCAGAATGCGAAAACCCAAGGCGGATATCATAATAATTGAAGTTGTGCAGTGGGCTCGAGACATGGAAGATTTGATGACGGCTGTAGAGTTAGTTGTCTACCTTGCTGACATTGGGTACTATTTATATGAACAGACGGTCGGATTGCGAAATTTTTTGTTCCTGTCACAAGAGCTCGTGAATGATTGCTTCAAGGCAGGAGGGTCGTAGTATGAAGGTTATGGAAACGTAAGGGATTTTGATGTTGAGCATTTTTTGCTGGATGATGTAGACCCTTCCATAATGAGAACGTCTTGGCATCAAATGGAGTACCAACAAAGATCGAAGGAATGGCTACTTCAACGAGTGCAACAGGTGCATAAAAAGTCGAAATATAAAAGCAGGTTTCGATTTTGACTGGAATATATGCCGATGAGAGCCGTACGGACAGAAGAATAAGGGAGCTCGTTTACTTATTACCAAGCGAGATATTTGCCGATGCAAAACAGCACATGTGTCACTCATCTTTTTATCCTCACAAGAAAAACATGAGAATGTGAATTTGCGGTCACAGCATATTGAATACGTTAGACTGATGAATACCACTGTGATGGTGCTACCGCAATCTTGCCATATGAAACATCCAATAACATCGTCACCATGCCAACCTGTACGCTGATACAAAGTACTACAAACGAAACCTACGCTCCCAATCCGTTTGAGGTATGTTCCGACCCGATTCATCTATCTTTCAACCAGCGAATGAAGTCGATTGAGATTCCTATCTTGGTATCACGATAACTACTTTCACTTCCAGGCTCATTACTCTGTCTCTTTTCATTCTGCTGTAAAAATAGAATACTGAAAACATCAAATTCTACCACAACCATGTTCCACGCTTTGGAAATACAAACGAAGCTTTGAATCTGCTTCAAGGCACGCCTGACCAACTACAAGAATACACACAAGGGTTGCTATCAACACCAATTCTCCTTGCTGTTCTTATCATGATATGGATACTAGTTTATGGGTCTTCAAGTGTTGCAGTGGCAAACATTACGATTGGTTGGCAGGTAAGCCAGTCCCATTGCCAGAAGAACCGAACTACAGACAGCGAGAGATCGATTTGGAAAATAGTACGTCGGATGAAACTAATTGGGAAGTGAGTGTATTCAAGAAAATCCAAGGATCTCGTACAGAATTGAGGCTGGGTCAAAACCGAAAGGGGGGTTTGATTGCGGTTCGCGTTAATGAGCAGGGTTTATTGTATGGAGACCTCCGAGTGGGACAGCGTATCATTTCTATCCACGGCAATCCCCCAGAAGAGAATGATGAAGAATCTAATGAAGAGGACCATGACGGCACAAATGTATCTCAAGCTAAATTCTTGGTACAGAAGAAGATGAAGGGTGGAACTCGAAACCTTGTCCAAACTGTGAAAACGAAAACGAAAGACATCGGTGGTGTCAAAAACAAAAAAACTCTCGCAGGTGCAGATAACGTTGCTGAAGGGATGAGAACCTTGATAGACCAGTAGGAAAAGTGACAGTTGTCGTGCAGGGCATATAGTACTCAAGCAGGACTCCCAGTATGCAGAGTGGAAAAATGAATATGATCAAGTGCTTCGGCAAAAGACTATCTTCGAGTCTCGATTGTTTCATGTTTTCTATTTGTTCTTATCATCTCGGGGGTTGATCTTTGGTCTACTGGGTACGTTTTGGTCCACCAATGTTGCTTCTGCCAAGTCCATCCATTCACATCCCTATTTTGCTCCTAATTCAATCTATTTTAGCGTGACTGGTTTGGAATCTCCAATCGATAATAGAGTACAGATAGTCGATCTTGTTAAAGGAGAATTGAAAAAAGGCGTCCATTTGCTGGATGATGCCTTGCGTGTAAGCCAATCGATCAAGAACGATGTCAACTCACTGCTGGTTTCGCTGAATGGGATTTGCCCTGCCTAAGCGAGCCAAATCTGCTCTAATCTCAACGATCCCAGCAGTTGTCCGAGCCTTGATGGTCTCAGTATCGTTTATCAGGTGCATCAGGCCATTTCTTACCTTCAAGACGATTCGTCCCATGACCAAGAGATTCAATATGCACGCAGCGCACTAGACGACATTGCCACCCAGACTGCTGATGTGGACACAAATCTAGATCCAGTCAATCAAGCACTCGCTGGAGTATTGGCTCTGGCTATCATTGTGATTCTGGTTAGCATTGTCCTTTACATGGTACTGTTCGTTCCAAGGATTCCGGATTTTACCAGATCCGCTGTGGCACTCCACCAAGCACAATGGCGAATGTGGAAGCAGTATTGAAGGAGTGGATGTTTATTTCTGTGAAGCCTCCAATATTTTGACCAAGTTCAGTGATTTGCTCACTTGCAGATTTTGGCATCCGATCTATGCCCAGCTTGCACACGAGACACTTTGCTATCAGGGCATGGATGCTTTATCGGCTAATACGAATGCACTTTTCGTGATTCTCTGCATGTCGCTACTTATCATGACATTTCGAGTTGCACTGTGGGATGCTGTAAGCTCGCCATTGCAACAGGCATCGGAGGACAAGGAGAAGGAAGACCCGGATAAAATAATGAGGACGGGGAGCAAGAAACGAATGGGCGATTTTTTAGCGTCGAAAATACGATCCCCATGAAGAAGGATAAGAAGAAAAAGAAGCACAAACCAAAGCACATTGTACTGGAAAAAGGCATAGACGCGACGTCTGATGAATCCCGTGATCAACTCGGAAGGGCTTGGGACAGCTCACGAAGCAGAAGGAGAGGTATCACAAAAGCGAAAGAAAAAGGTTCACAACAACAACAAAAACAAGAAAAAGAAGAGACCTTCGTTTCGAGAAGGCGAAAGAGTAGAAGAAGTCCACGATCAAGCAACAGAGCCCAATGGCAACGTCAGAGTAGTCCAATGGGAACGTGAAACTGTCGAAGCTGAGGGTGTTGCAGTCGATCCCGAATATCCCGATAATAAAAATAGCAAAAAAAGAAGAAAAGAAGCGCGGGCGTCACTGGAAGATTTTGACCATGAACGAGAAGCCGAGGAAGCAGTTCAGAAGAGACGATTGTCTGAAATTGTGACGTTTGTAGTACGATAGCAAACCATGTTCGTTTTACATAAGATAGCTCATTGTTTTACGTGATAGTACCTAGCTTGGAGGTCAGCACTGTCCGATTTGCAATAGCTGATATATCGTCTAGAAGCTCCAGTGTTGATACGAAGCTCACTTTTTTCTTCGTGATTGAAAAGCGAGCGAAATTCGTCCTTTTTTACAACGTTCGCCAATAATATTGTGTTGAAACATGTGTTCACTCGATAAATTCCAAGATAGATTTATTTATTGACGGCGACCAACTGATCAATGCATGCAACGCACGAATCTCGAGACGGGAGCTGCAACCAAGCTGCAGCTGCAAGTAGAGTATTCATGAGGTGCTGCAGTACCAGATTGATTGTAATGAAATAAATATCGCAAAAGTGGTTCTTGGTTGTTTAGTCTATCGAGCTTCTAGGTGTTTATAAATTGCTGTGGACGCTCTTGCTTCTTAGCTGGATTGTTCTTCCATTCTCTTTTTATTAAGATGGATAGAATCAACACAAAGACTATCCTCAATTCGATGTCTGAAGTCATGCTTTGGCGTGGGCTTTGTCTTGTCTTCCTCCGAAATTGTATGAATCTTCGTTTTCCCTTGCGCGGATAGCCTTTTCAATGGAATGGTCGTTGTGGTCGTTGCTTCGAACAGTTCACTGTCCTCCTCGAAATCATCAACCTCCTCCTCGCAATCACCCTCGGCGGGATTCAACCGTTCTTTATCGGAGGCTGGTACGTGTCTTTTCTTGGCAAGATGGAGTGAGTCCATCTCCAGGATGTTACCTCTCAGTGCCTTCATATCGTCCGCAGTTCCTTCAAATTGGAACTCGTTGCGGAAATCCATATTTTTGGGAACGATCTTGTCATGGTGGTTGCTGATGTTCAAGATGTTGAAGTCTTTCGTTGACTTGGCTTCGTTTCTGCGTGAGTGCGTGTGGCTGTCGTCAGAAATGTTCATGGTGTGTGAGTTTTGTTTGTTCGGTTTGATTTTGTGAGAATTGGGAATTTGTGTAGTCTTGCTTGTGACTCCGACTTCTGGTCTGAGCGTGGAAATTGTCGCGTGGCTGAACACGTGTGGGTCTTGGTTCATAACCGGCACGTTAATTATGCAGGATCGAAGGTGCGAAGCAAAATGACGGGCAAACGCCTCCCTTGATAAATGATTGATTCAAGTCACACCGCAGAACATGTTCAACAATAGCTTGCGAGTGATTAAATTTCTTGGATCGCGTATGTTGGAGTGTCAAGGTAATGGACTTCTTCTCACAGCTTAGATGTTGAAAATGAGAAAATTCTGCCCTCATGGCTAACATATATCATAGGCAAATAAAGACAAGACGACAAATGACTCGCACTGGTAAGACTACAAGTCCAGCAGGTTTTCGCTTCGAAATGGGCCAATGGTGACCTGTTAGTTGTTGTTGTGCTTGTACTCCGTAAATTCGTTAGTATAGACCTGCTTCTAACGGTGCTCGAAGATAGTGTATAGGTTATTTTGAGACATTATTTTGAGACAAAAGGCTATAATGTAACCCATATACATATATGCCTCTAGTTTTAGGTTGACGACTGTCTCTCACAATTGTCAGATCAAGTGGTGGCCGGTGGCCGGTGTTGCTGATGATAGTATAGGTCAATTGCATGTCTCCCAAAATTCGTTCCAAGACACATTTCAAATCTCTTGCAAATGTCAATGGCCATCATTACTTTACAACGTAGCAATCAGATCACTCACTTCCTTATCAATCGCTTTTTTGGCGCACAAGTCGTCCACAAAGGGTAGGCCCTCGACTCCGTAGGCAGCCCCCAAAATGGCCCCTAACACTGCCCCTCGAGCCGTACTGTGACCACCAATCATGACATTTTGCAAGAGCGCCTTGCGAGGGTCATCGGTGCCATATTTGTAAGCTAAATAGAGTACCACCGTAAAGGCTTGTTCGCAATAACACATGGTGGACAGTCGGGAATTCTCACGGTCGCCACATCCAGCAACATCTTCGTCATCCTCTACTGTCGCAATCAACTCATGGACCAAGTCTTTGGTCGTCGTACCGGGCGGCAGCAATTCCATGTGTTGGAGCCACTTTTTATCCTTTGGAATCCGACCAGGACCTCCCTTTCCTACATAGGAATCACGCAGTTCCCGGCCGGTAATTTTGGGTGGCCGCAGTTTGTCCATGGCTCGATCGAGCGATTCCTTCAAGGGTGCTCCTTTCCATAATTCCAACAATAAGGGAGCCAATACGGACACGGTCGCCGTGACGGTAATGGAACGGTGGGTGAGCATGTGATGTTCGACTGCCCGACCAATGAGCAAGGCTTCCGGTTCATTGGCGTAGGCAGCCATGGTGGGAATGCTCATGACCACTCCGTCCAAAGAACCAATGCTCCATTGCTACACACATATATACATATACATGCAAACACGCATGGATAAAACATTCATAATGATATTGGAAAAAGGATATGAGACAATGCGTTGTAGGATGCAGTATATACCATTGACAAGTCATGGTGTGCTGTCAAATCCAACTTTCGTCGTAGTCGTCTTCGTTTTGTCACTACTATGAATACTTACATCACGTTGATTTTTGGGACAGTCTCGCAATGGCTTTCCTTGGGATGCCATTTCAAAAAAGTGTCTCACATATATATCCATGTACACATCGTTGTGATTTAACAATTGATCAGGGTCATTTTTGGGATCCGGTTTGGTCTTCATGTATTCCACAAAGCGTTGCAAGAATTCGTCGGGATCGTATCCATCTCGACCAGCAGGAGCATTCGTTTCGGCAAGATATCGCATGGCCAATCGAGCAATGCACGAATTGACCGTATTTTGTCCCTTTTGGAGCGTCGCGTGATAATGTACCCGTGAGTCTTCCGTCACCCCAATGTAGTTGCCATGTTCGTCTCGTCGGGCTTCAATTTCTTCCTTGGTCAATTTTTGGGCTTCTGTGGCCAAGGAATTCCCCGTATAGAATCGAGCCTTGTCGTGCATAATGTCAATGGTTCCAGAATAACTCATTCCTTGGACCACTATTGGTGTGTTGTTTGTATATATATATATATATGTTTTGAGAATGGAAAGAGAATGGAAACAAAAATCTGTGTGAGCGCTGGAATTCTTTCATGATAATTTCAAATTGATCTTCATCCTCATCATCATCATCGTCGTGCTGTCCTGCAAAGATGTAATGTGGCTGGAATGATAATAACAATAATAATAATAACAATAATACTATAATACGTACTCGATTCCGCATGCGTCGATTTGGGAGCCATCATTTCGGCAACCTCTCCATAATCCGCCCGTAGCTTGGTGGGAGAATAGAACCAATGTGCTGGCATGGCGACGGCGTCTCCCACCAACATTCCATAGAGACTTGCGGCAACTCTTTTCTTGTCAATAGTAATATTAGCAGTAGATGATGATGCCATGATTGTGAGTTATGGTCTCTGAAAGCAGGACGTCGTGGTGTAATGGCGATTATAAGCTCCAAGATCTTTTGCAAAAGCTGCCCAAGCTTCGTTTCAGAAGATTTGAGAAGAGTTCCTCGAACATCCTGAAACGTCATTTTGGTCATGGAAGTCGAATCTTGTTTTGGACTGGTTGGACTCCAAATCGGCTCGTCATCGATCTCGTTGATGGCATTGTTCTCTGCATTTCTAAAAGACCCATCTGATCAAGTAACGGACCTATCGGAACCATCTGCTCGGGTGATGACATGCAACGAGATGTGACACTGCGTCATAGAAACCCGGAAATTCAGCGGAAACTTCGCCACTCCTTTCAACTTTTTCCGATCGGCGGAGGAAGAATATGTCAAGTGGCAAAATTATCAATGCCAACCAATTCGAAAAACAGCTCATCATTCAATTCAGTTCATCCATCTCAATCAGAAGAATAAAAGGTCAACGGTAACAAAATTAAATCAATCACGACTCGGGCCTCCTTGGAAGCATACAGCATTAACAATTCACAAATCAAATCAAACGAAATGAAGTTCAATCGAAAACGACAAGAGCCCACACCTTCTCCGATCCTTCAGCCATCATCGGAAGAAGAAGAAAACAATACGATTCCGCCAGAGCATCACGATGAAATCTACGATTACTATTTCAACGAACTGATACCGGCATTGCTCTCGGCCTTTCCCATTCTAATGCATCGTTTATTCCTCGATTCCAAGGCTCAGATTAGTCTTTGGATAGGAAGTGCCTATCATTTTTTCTTGCCCGGATGGACGTTTCCTCAGCAGCCGTATCAAATAGGAGGAGGAGGAGGAGAAGCCCTTCATCAGCGGATCGCTCTGAAACTGGCTCAACTTTGGGAACGAGCGCCTCCGTCGGAAGAGCTAACGGCCCCCCTCCATCAGCTCCTCAAAAACTTTGACCTCAATGGCGACGGCGAAATCAGCGCGTCCGAGTTGGTCAACATGACGGAACTGGTGGCCATTTTGCAAAACAATACCCAACAATTACTAAAATACCAACGGGAGATTCAACAGTCGGCCAAGGTTCAAACCTTTTGGGTTTGGTTGTCTCGCGAATGGCCCTTGTTGGATTGGAAATTGGGAGTCTTGTTGTGGCGGAGTTTTGGAGGTGTGCTTTTGGTATTGGCCGTCTTGTCCATTGTGCCAGGTCGATTGCATTCTCTTTCGGGAAAGATTTTGCGATGGCCCATTCTGCTTATGACATACCTTATAATAGCGGTGGAACTCATGGTGTACATCTGGATTCGATTGGGGATTCGGCTGGCCGAGACTCTCATTGCCAATCCAAATCATCGGCAATTACGCCGCAAAATGGCCCAAGCCGAGTCGTATCCCGACTGGTACCAATACGCTGCCGCCTTGGATTTGTCCCAACGACGAGATAGGTGGCAAAAACACAACGATGTGGCGACCGGCTATATTTACAACTGGCAACTCATTGAACAACTGATCAAAGACTTGAAGGAAGCCCGCGCGAAAAAGGATCCCCTCTTGGCCTTGGCCGTACTAAGACAGTGCACCCGCAAAAACATCGGGGGTGTCATGAGCGAGGATCTCTTTTCTTACACCAACACGGGAGAACCAAAGTACATTGTATCGGAATTCATTGACGAGGTGACGACCACCTTGAATTGGATTACCGACGATGCTGTGGATGGTATGGGGGATCGCAAGCGAGCAAATTCATCCGACACGTCGTCCTCTTCAATTTCCAAATACAACAAAAACTTGCATCAAAAGATTGTGGACGAAAAGGACAAGATTTGGAAATCCATTGAGAGTTGGGCCACCTTGAACTTTGATCATTCCAAGAATGAATCAGAGGACCATCACAAAACCAATGATCGACGACCGAGTAACGGAAGCACGGATACCATTCCTCTTAGCGAGAGTGCTGCCAACAGCTATGCGGCTGCAGCTTCTGCTGCTGCCAACAACACCATGACTAGCAAAAAGCGACAGCATCACGTTCTCCAACTTCAGGAATTCCTCAAGGCCGCTCGAGCGGCCTACGGAAGGACGGCGCTTTGTCTTTCCGGAGGAGCCGCCATGGGATGTTATCACTTTGGACACTTGTATGGATTGATGGAATGTGACGCACTCCCTCATATCATTTCGGGAACTAGTGCGGGAAGTGCCATTGCGGCACTGGTGTGCACGAGAACCAATGAAGTAAGTAAAGATGCACACTTTCATTGGAAAAGACTCATTATCATGATTCTACCAGCCAAGAATACACCACCATAATACCATTCCAAACTCACTCTTTTTTCATTTTCGCTTGCACTTATTGCACTTGCAATTTATAGGAAATCAAGCGAGACTTGAATCCCGAAACGGTTGCATCCAAGATGCAATTCTTCACCCGCCCCTGGTCCGAACGATTCAAGTCCCTATGGAAGAATGGTCACATGTTTGCCTATGACGATTGGCACAAAATGGCCCAATGGTTCAGCAGCGATCTCACCTTTCAAGAAGCCTACGAAAAGACCGGACGCGTCATGTGCATCACCTTGGCATCTACCACCAAAAAGGCATCCCCCATTCTTTTGAATCACCTCAATGCACCCAACATTACGATTGCATCTGCAGTTGTGGCGAGTGCCGCAGTTCCTGGGTTTGTTGCGTAAGTATGCTTTGAATTGGATTGGATTGGATTCGTTCATTCTTTCATTTTCCTTCATTGAGTCAACCACTCACACATGTCTGATTCATCACTTTTTCTACTTAATTTTGACAATATTTACAGACCCGTTCGATTAACAATGAAGGATTCGGATGGAAACATTATTAGTGCAGGAGACGAAGAATACTTTGATGGGTCCATTTTACATGACATTCCGATTGCGGGGCTCGCGGAAATGCTGAATTGTCAATTCTTCATTGCCTGCCAAGTCAATCCACACATTGTGCCGTTCTTTTTTAATTCCAAGGGGGCAGTCGGTCAACCAAGTCGATGGTCCAGTGGAGAACAAGCTTGGAGTTGGGTAAGTCTAATCTCTTTTGCGTTTGTGGTGGAAAATTTCTGTAATGAAGGAATGAATCGATGAATCAATGAATCAATCGAGAAAACTAATGATCTTGCTCTTGTCTTTTGTCTCTACTTGTAGCGTGGAGGATTTTTGTTGGCGGCATTGGAGCTCTATCTGAAGAATGATATGAAGGCCAAGTTCATCTTTTTGAACGATTTGGAAGCCGCCGTTGGTTTTACATCTACCATGATGACACAACAATGTAAGTTGTTTGGGAGGTTCCTTTTACCCTTTTCCCATTGGACAAACAGTAAATCTCACACTTTCCATTATTATTATTTTGCGACTGTATAGTTCACGGATCTACCACGATTGTTCCTCACGTTCAGTTTTGGGACTATTTCCGGCTCTTTAGTGATCCGGACCCACAAATGATTGAACGTTGCATGCAAATCGGTTCCGTTGCAGCCTACCAACATGCTGCCATGATCCGATCCCACTATTGCATCTCCGATACTCTGGAGGATTGCATTGCTCGTTTGGGCCATCGCGATAGCAATGGAGTGAAAAGTTATAAACCCAGTCGAAGAGCATCCTTTGAGACCAATGAGCAAATCTCGAATGCAGTGGCTCATTTGCATCGGCCTACCTCGTTTGATCCCAAAAAGATGCCAGAAGTCATCAGTGCTGCTTTGGAAATGAGATTGGCGGAAAGCGATAGCAGCAGCGACATGTCCGAAGACAATTCTTTGTGAGACTGCTAATGCCTTCCATAATAATGGTAGCAGGTACAAAGGATACCTGTGGCGACCTTGAACAAGCAACAATAATAACTCCTGCAAGTTACAAGTATAATTACACATGTTTCCAATGATAAATAAGTGAAGTAACGAAAATTATTTTTCTTCACAAAGTTTTTCTAGTCTCTGCGGTGGTGGGTGTTGACGTCCTCGTCGCAACTCCCATTGGAAGTCCATCTGATTCAATGTAGCAATCCTTTCTGGATTTAAAGTCGAAGGCTTACTATCCAAGTGCAGTTTGTACTGGTGACGTTGTCACTTTACCCATGCTCCAACCCGATGAAGCTGAACGGACCCTGGGAGTCATGATGGCCCCACTTGAGACCGGAACTGCACAACACCTTCCCCTGCGGGAGAAGGCCAAGAACTGGGCAGCCAAGTTCCGTCCCCAACATCTACTTTGCTATGACGTTCTTCCCTTGCTCAAGGCAACCGCCTTGAAAACTTTGGAGTACGCGATGCCCCTTTCCACACTGGGCCGCTCCGACTGGGTGTCCATCATGTCACCGATCCTCCAAGCAAGTTTGCACAAAGCTGGGGTTTGCCGTTCCTTTCCCCGCGTCGTGGTCTTTGCCCCTCTGAAGTACCAGGGATTGGGTATCCCGTATCCCTTCGCCCTTCAAGTCTTCCACCATCTCAGTGTTCTGATGCGCCATTCGGCCAACCGTACCAACACCGGCCAGTACCTGGAGGCCAACCTACAGTCCCACCAACTCGGAACGGGCACCTCCTTTCCCCTTCTTCAACAAGAACCCACCAACACCGGGATCCTTGCCTCCGTAACATGGCTCAAACGGGTTTGGATCGAGCTTGACTCATCGGGCATCAGAGTCAAGATCTCCTCCCCTCCCTTGTCTCTTGATGGACATCTTCATCGATGCCTTGGTCAACCAAGAGGACTTGCTGTGGCTCAACTGGTGCTGCCAATATCTCCAAGTCATCACCCTCTCGGAACTCACCACCGCCGACGGGTGTTCCCTGACGGCAGCTTCTCTTGCCGGCCAACCCTCCGGACATTTTGTGACCAGCTACAATTGGCCCCGAACCCGACGCCCTGGCCCCTCTCACTGGGACCTATGGCGACGCGTCCTCTCTCAAGCTGTTCTCCGCCCCTACAGCCGTCGTCGCCGATTGTTGAAGCCCCTCGGACCGTGGGCTGATTCGCTAGACCAATGGACCTGGCTCTTCTCTCACACCGCTTTGATCCTCTTCCATCGGACAGACAAAAACCTGGCAATCTACCAACCCATCAACTCGCGTTCCCATAAGACCTTCCGCAGGGATCTTCACCACACCTGGACAGGAACCCTTCCCGGGGACGTCCAACGGGCATCAGTCAACCTTCACCCACGGACAGCCTACGTCACTGTCACGGGCACAGCCCCTGTAGATCCACCAGATCAGGAGTCCCTGCCAGCCTCGATCCTTCACATCTGGAGGGAATTGGCAGCCGACATGGACGACGACTGGGGATGGGTCCCGGAATACGTCTCCATTGAGGGTGACAAATAAGTCCTACTGGAGGCACTGCAGAAGGGAAAGCTACGGGTGATCAGCGATGGCTCCTTCAAGCAACAAGTGGGCACAGCCGCAGTCCAGCTACGAACTAGACGAGGAGGGCACGTCATCTGGATCAAGTGCCGTACACCTGGTAAACGAGAGGAGCAGAGTGCGTACCGGAGTGAACTTATTGGTCTGTTAGCTGGTATCTTGGTGGCTTCTTGGCTCCGCCTACGCCAACAGTCCCTCGCCAAGCCACGAGTCCGCGTGGTGTGTGATGGGATTGCCGCGCTTCGCCAGGCCTTCTCGACTTGGCCGCTGTCTCCAACCGCCCCACACTTCGATCTCTTGTCCTCCATCCGCGAGGCCCTCCAAGTTTCCAACATATCCTGGGCCGAACAACACGTGGGCTTCCATGCTGACCAAACCAAGACATGGCGACAGATGTCTTGAGGTGGACGACATTGCCCAGGGCTACGCCGATGAGCTGATAGCCACCGAGGACACGATCGCCAGAAACCCCAAGTTCTTCTCCGAACCCTGTGCTCTCTACATTGACAATGAGAAGGTCTCCTGCCTGGCCTTGGCATCGGTCGACGAAGCCGTTGTCCTGCCGGAATTGATGGACTACTGGGCAGCCAAAGGCCGCCTCGCTCCCGAGACCTTCCGATTGGTGGACTGGCCGGTCGTGCACCAAGCGATGAAGTCTCTGAAGCCCGCCGAACAGCGCTTCATCACAAAACACACCGTTGGGATGTGCGGTGTCGGCAAGTTCCGTAAACGATGGGGCCTCGACTCCAAGAACCGATGCCCCTTTTGCGGACTGGAGGAATACCACCTACATGTCTCCCGCTGCCCTTCCGACCGGGCCAAGACCCAGTGGCAGCTCCTACTCCAAGAACTCCAAGAATGGTTCCAGTCCACCACCACTGCTACACCCATCGCCCAATTCCTCAGGGCCCTTCTTCGCACCCCCCTAACAACCAGCCTCAAACAGAGACTCCGTGGTACCGCCTACACGGAATGTCTTCTTCCGCCCTCACCCAAGTCTGTGAGGCTCAACTTCGCCTTGGCCCCCAATGTCTCCTCGAAGGCCTTCTCGTCCACGGCTGGGCCGACCTCCAGCAATAATTCTACCGCGAGAGCGGTAGTCGCCGATCCGGTAGCCGCTGGGCTGCCAATCTATCTCGACAGCTCATCCTTATCGGTAAAGGCATGTGGAAGCATCGCAATGATGTCTTTCATTCTGACGACAACATCGTCAACCAACAGCGCGCGACTGCTCTCGATCGACGCATCCACGAAGAGTTTGACATGGGTCTTCGCGACCTACCTCGGAACCTTCGCCCTGCCATCCGTCGATCCCGCCTTGTAGACGTCCTCCGACTCCACCTGGCGGACAAGGAGGAATGGGTCCTCGTCATCTCCGAAGCCCGCCGCAAAATCAGACAATCTCTTGCAGGCAGGCGACGATTGATGTGGGAACTGACCCACCCTACTCCTCGCCCAGCAGCCCCCTGACTTACTTGTCTACATATTTACCAAAGTGATTCTGGTACCGGTACATCACAAGCCACACGTACCCCAGTCTAACACATACATATTCTCCACCCCACCTTGCGTGGGAGAGCCGATCGTCCCTTGACACTTTCGACTTGCGAGCAACGTTCCTCTATTGAACGCCTCCATGTGGCTCAAACTTTGTTGACCAAAAGCAACCTAGTTCCTGGCCTCTAGAGCCGTATTACACCGGCAGTTGGATACTCTAGAAGTAGCATAAATACCAATTAATGATTCAGTTATATATATATTATGAGGTCCATTCCGAGTAACCAAAATTCGATGTATTGGATTCGACGTATTTGGTCTGTTTTCCATCCGTCCAATAGGTCGATTTGAGAAAAATACAGCGAATTAATATCGGGCAAATGTGAGGGTAATTCTTTGGCGTATTTTCGACGTATAGCCAATCAAAATCCACGATTCCAGATCAGAATTTCAGTCATCATTTCACGTATTTTCCCCTGTATTTGGTCGTCATTTGTGCAAACCATCATTTCATAGTGTCGTAACCATGAAGAACGCTCTTAGAACTCCCTCCATGGAGGGGAGCTTCTATTATTTATCATCTTCTTGTTTGGCATAGTAGAAACCTCAGCTTCCAGAAAGAAGAAACGGGAAAATGATCTTCTTCAATGCCACATTGCAGAACAAGAACAACGCAGCAGGAACAGATCCCTCCAATGCACCTACTCCGGCCTACTTTTGACCAGTTTGCTACTACAATTTCTCCATCCCACTTCTGAAAGATGTTTCGCATGACCCATCATATGTTTGCCACACTATGCGGAAAGATTTGAAATCAAATTGGACCGCAACTGTTTCGTCCAGAATAATATCTTGCTGAACGCCGTGAACGAATCTATGGAAGTAGGGAGCCAAGAGAACAAGCCTCTGCATCTATCTCTATGGAACTCAGAGTTGCGATCAATGCAAACTGGCATGCGTACCAACAAGCATGGTCATGCATATATGACAGAATAGAAACCCTTTGTTCACTACTAAATACTATCATCACTATCACTATCACTTGCAGCATCACTGAACAAGGGCTTCTTCCGAGATTTCTTTACAACCGCCATGTTTGCATTGATCCGATCCTCCAAATGATCTGTGTAAGCTTTCCTACTTTCTGGTGTCATTGCACCCAAGAACACAGAATCATCTTGCAGTATGGGCTAACTTGGCCTTTGCAATGCTGGCTTCAATCTTGTCTAGTTCCTCCTTGTTTCCCTCTTGCTGCACAAGACGCTGAATCATACCACGAGCCGCACCCATCATTGTTTTCATGTCTGAATGTTCTTCTTGTGCAGCTGCATACTTTGATTCCAATTCCACCTTCTTGTTGGCTTTCTTCTTTTTTGCCATTCTCCTTTATGAAGTGGTTCAAACTATTAGTCTGCCTCTTTGAAGACTTCATCATGCATGCCATGAAACAATCTCTTGTACTGACGGGTAGATTGCATCTCCCATTCAGTTGGTGCCATGACAATGGTAGACAGATCGGACTGTTGTCCACATTATGATGGTGTGAAAAATTCAAAATCGCGGGAAACCGAGGATATCGGATAATCTTACTTAAGGCATGTTGGTAATACGTCGAAAAAACAGGGTTCATTCCGAGTGGTTTGGAACGTATGGAAACCGTTGAAAACAGACCAATACGCCAATGGAAATACATCGAAAATACGCCAAAATAGTGGTCATTCGGAATGAGTCTGAATCAATCAATCAATCAGTTCAATAGATTTTAGCCGTTTCTGACCGTTACTTGCTGGCGATCGACGAATGGAATGACTGGCGGAATGACATTTCTACGTAATGATCCATTACAATACTGTACGGTAGGCACAAGTCTGTACAAAAAATCTTTTTATTGTCCGTGCCGGTAGGTCTTCGTTGGTTGTAGTAACGGTAAATTTACCTAGGAGTCATCAGGAGGGTCATCAAGAACTTGGATCTGATCCACGAAACAACGAAAGAGGATTTGTTGCCTCTGACTACCGTACCAATCAGCACCGAATACAGAACCATTTGTTAGCAACAGGAGCACTGCTAGAATCACGATGAAAGTCAACGAGAAAGAAATGCAAATGACCTTCAGCACATACGCCAAGGGAGGGTCGATTGCCGCAAAGGATTTCAACAAAGTTATCAGAGCTGTTGGCCTAAACCCCACAGAGGCAAGTGCGGCTGAGCTCAAGAAAAAATCTGGAGGGGGTGCCTGTGATTTTGATGCCTTCAAGAAAGTCGTTGTCCCGGAAATGGAGAAGGCGAAGGACAATGTTGACAAAATTATTGATTCCTTCAGTGTCTTTGACCAAGATGGGAGTGGTCTAATTCCTGTGACAGAATTCAGACATGTCTTGTGTACCATGGGAGAAGCATTGAGTCAAGAAGAAATGGCCGAGGTCATGTCTGAGGTTGAGCCAGCAGATGGAAAGATTGACTACAGAGAATTCTCCAACATGATTTTTGGAGACGAGTAAATGCAGACAGTGTCGGGAGGTCGAACCTCTTAAAAGTAAATTTAAGATACAGGACCCGAGAAACATACTTGATATTTCGATGAGAAGCCTATTCAACTGCTTCATTTGGGAATCTATTTTTGTGCATCCAAAGTCAATGTTGCGTATTACTTCATGCAATGGCAGTATCATTGTCACCAAGAAGGTTCTAGGCTGCAGTTTATTGGGGATATTTCTATCTTTGGTACCTCATCTGTTGAATACTTCGTTTCATTCACCTTGCAACTGATCGTACAAGATCCCTGCTGTTGGAAGTGATAGAAAGTTTTCTTTGACTTGTTTATTAGTCCCTCCACCTTTTCGCACGGAATACATTGCAATCTCCGTGTTCGGCACGATACGCCCTCAGCTCGCTCAAACGCACTTCCCAAGCCGCCGTTTGAGCATCCCAGATAAAGCCTATGCTTTCTAGCGCTCGGATTCTTTGCGGCGTCATTGTTGAACGTTCTGACTCAGGATAGATCTTGTACTGATACCTTTGGCGTTTGACCCATCGGGCAAGGGATGGGTTCGTTGGATAGTCATACGGAACAAAGCAATGGCCGTTAGCTTTGCGAAAGGCCAATAAATCCTCGAAGCGATCGTCCCGCCAGCCCTGACTCTGATACGGTCTGAAGCGAATATTTGGAGACCATGTCTCAACCGATGCACTACGCTTGCGATTCTTGCTACTTTCGTCATCCTCCGAACTGGCACTGCTGCTCTCAAGAATGTTACTTTCTGAATAACCTGGTTTCGCGTCCTCGGCCTGTTGCTCACCATTCGAAAATGATGGCGACAAGAAATCTGGTGTTTTTATCGGCATGGCTTTGTTTGCTTTTTGGGAGTTAGAGGGTTTGTCAAATAGAAGCGCGATTGTCTCTTTCAACATTGACTGACAAGCAGCTAGTTGCTCAGGTGTCCTTTGTGCGGTAATTGGGATCGGCTCAAAGGGGGGATCTCCTCCGAACACAGATAAGTCCTGACCACCTGGCGGCTACACCGAAAAGGCATATCTTTCAAACCCAGAGAAGGCGGTATAATCTGGCGCCAGGAGTAACTCGTCACGAAGATCTATCGAGGATGAGGTTGGTAAGCCAATTGAAGAAATATTAGAAGAAGCATCTCCCTCACCTTCTGACGAGAGTTCCAAGCTTTTTCTTTGTTGGAAACTTGAGCGATTCATGAAATCGATCTGTCATACAAAATAATGCGAAAGGGCTTGCTTGAATTCAACGGCGCTTCTTTTGTGGAGGTGTGAAGTACGACTCACACACTCTGCAGGTGTGAGTTCGTTAGTGTTCGTGCAACCAAAATTGACATTTATTTGGTGACGGCTATTGATACGCTTTCGTCATAGTTTGTGCTCCATACACAAATTCAACGGTAACCAAGTTTGTTTCCCTTTTCCTTATTTAGATCGTAGCACAGGGTATCTTGGCCTCATCGTCAGCTTCTAGTTTTGTTATTCAACTCTTCCGACACGATCTAAGAATCTAACAATGGGCTCCAAACGCAAATTCTAGGTACCACGGTAACCGATTTTAGGCTCCTTTTCCTTATTAAAAAAAAAGAAAAAACGCGCACAACTCGGGTTTTGCGTTCGTGATTTTTGACCGTGTGGATTGGCCTACCGGTAACAGGATTGGTACCGCAGGAAAGGGCACCTTGGCCTGACCGTGAGCTAATTTTGGCATTCGACTGTTCCTACGCGATCTCAGAATCTGGTTGAAAGTTGCTTGAGGAGTTTTTTTATTACAAACACGGTCAAGAAGTCATCTTCCAGAACACGTTTGAAAGTTGAGATTTTTGAATTAAACAAATACGGTCAAGAAGTCATCATTCAGAACACCTTTGCTCTGTAATTTGCTGCTGCCGGTACATGGTAGTGTTCTGCGGAAGAAAAATCGAAGTCAAGATGATTCATTTGATGAAATCTCCTGCACCAAAATTTCGTACGACTGTAGCGTGTGTGGGTACTGTAAGTTAAGTAAAATAGATCCATCCGACTAATAAAATCGACTTCTATGATTCAGAAATGACTCAGAATTGCGAACACAGTGACCGACACCAAAAATTCTAATCTGGAAGCGCAGCAACATTGACAGCGTTGACAGAGCTTCAAAGAAAAAATCTTGCAGCAACATGGCAGGAACAATCCTGCTCGACGAAACCGCGTTGGACAGGGCTCTGCAGAAACGAGGTGGTAAACCTCAGAAATCGTACACACATGAACCGTATCTTATTTCCACAGCACCGCTTTCTTCGAAACCATCGTTTGACAAACTGTTGGATGAAGGTGCTCTCAGTGAGGCACTTCGAGCAAAGGCTGAGCAAAGACGATCAAGAGCAAGATCTATCTTTAGAAGTCCATCAAGGAGCCATCGAACGCTCCGAAGTCGGAGAAGCAGTCGTAAATCAAAATCCAGAAATAACAGCAAGTCTGACAAGAGTTTGCTGAAGTCCTCATCATACAAGAGTCAAGGAAGCAGTACATATGCAGAATCCACTGGCCAGACTGTCGCTACGAAAAGCTCACACAGTCATGCTGAAAGTATAGAGGCCACCAGTAACCACAGTAGCTCTGCTGCATCACCAGAACGCGGAAGGACCTCACGTCATGAGCGAGGCCGACCTTCTCTGCGGAGTAAAAGTGAGCCAAGCAGACAGCCCCAAGTGGTGCCCATGTTCCATGTACATGCAGATACAAGACAGCAACAACTAGAGCGGCTTTCTTTCTCTCAATCTGTAGCCAGTGAGCCAGTTCGATCAGCAGAATATGATGATATATCAGTCGAGAAACGATCCTTTTTCAGACAGACTGTTGCTGCAGACTCGGTCATGCAACCCGTCGATTACATCGATTCTCCTCATACAGAACAATTGTTGGCGCCGATGGGAGGGGCGGAGGTAGTGGAAATGATTGTATCTCGTTTCCTTTTGACGGGACTGGAGAAACCAGAAGTGTCAGCATACATTGATCAATATGACGATGATGTCGAGCAACTAGTCCACAAAATTCAGGGAGAACTTGTAGCTTTGGGCAATATGGCAATGACTGATGATATGGAAGAGCTCGCTAGATTAGTTCCTTTTCACTACCAGCTAATGGTGGATCGTTTCGATATGGATCTGATTGCGGAACTTTGGACGAATGCTTACGAGCACGTCTGGATGAACCATGATGTGGACGATTCCCGTCAACTGGCTGGTCCTTCTCATGCTGTATTTAATCTGAATTTGATAGTGAAACTGTATCGTCGCCGCATGCGAGCTAGGCGATGGGACGACCTGATGGTAAACGACGAAAAGCGCATCGAAGAATTGAAAGAACAAAGAAGAAGGAGGCGTTCGCATTCGCAGGACAAGCGACGCCAGAGAAGAGGAAAATCTGTTGACGCCATCCTGTCTAAGTTCCGCGGTTCGTAAAAGATGGTATTGGGATACGTCTAGCGCTAGAGTTGGCAACGGAGTTCACCACATTCAGTGGTGTGATGCGATACGGCTACTCAAAATTACCTTTTTCTTGGAAAATACTGAATGACATTTACTTATCAGTCCCTTTTGGTCCGCGCATTCCCCACGAAAAGTCCATTTGATCCAGTTCATCAATCCGCTCTGGTGTCATCGTAGATTGTCTACCATCACGATAAAGTTTATATTGCCTTCTCTGGCACTTGACCCAAGTTGCAAGCTTTTTATTTTGCTGATAATGGGTTGGGACTTCGCAGTGCCCGTTTATTCTGCGATATTCTTTCAACTCGTTCAGACGTTCCTCCCAGGTTGCGTTATGGGAGTCCCAGATGAAGCCTGCCTCTTCCAGAGCTTGCACCCGCCGGATAGTCATGGTGCTCTCTTTGCCTTGCGAACGCAACTTGAATTGGTACCGTTGCCTCTTGACCCACCGAGCAAGCGCAGGATTCCTATCGTAGGTGTGCGGAACACAACAATGACCATACTGCTGACGGTACTTGAGGAGATCGCTGAAGCATTGCTCCCAACGCTCATTTTGATACGGCCGGAAGCGTAACTGCGAGTACTCATCCCGTGGAGCGGCTCGGGAGACTCGATGGTCGTCCACATCATCCATACATTGAATAGCTTGATTTGCTGGTATTCCAGAATCGATGGCAGCCGATGAATCAAGACCAGTTACCTCAGAGAGGCGTCTACCTTCCAACAGATTGTCTGATCCACTCGTCTCTATGGCTATTGTATCTCTTGTTGTAGTTGATGATAGAGGAGTCCGGGGTTGGGTTTCTTGAACTTGTTGAATAACAGTAGGGTTTTCGGAGTGAAAGAGAAGATGGATAGCGTCTCGGAAGACTCTTCTGATGGCTGCCGTTTGCTGTTCAGTTCTTGGACGATCGATTGGAATTGGCTCGAAAGCGTCACCATTGTTGTGATCAAAGATTGAGAAATCTTCCACCGAGTTCTGTACTTGCCTTGGTCTGATTCCCAGCATTATCTCGTCTTGTGATGTGTCTTCTGAAGTGTTGGTTCTTGCATGTGTATTCCGTTGGCTTGGCGGTTGCCCTGAGCTCATGGGAAACAAAAAAATATGAAACGCTTTCGTATTGAGAGGTTGATTTTAGTTTGAGCGCCCTCGCAATGTGCTCAATATTTGCCAACATAAATGTAGATGGTTTCTATTTTTAAATAAAAATGACAACTAAAACCAGCTAGAGAAGGAATATGCAGCTTTTCAAGTGTTGAAAGGTGAACCAACCTTTTTTTTAATTGGCAAACCGTCCAGATATATTGACTCGTTTCTGAGGTTCCCCGTGAACAATAAGTGACCACATTATTCCGGAGAAAATTTGAGAGTTACGCATATAAATTCGAATCAACGATGATGAACATGGGACACTCTTTTCCACGATGGACAAAGGCTACTCCGAACCCAACCTCGATCACTTAAGGCCCTTTGTCGGCAGTTACAGGTCGTGGTAGCGGTAATATGTATTGAATATGGTGATGGTGGTTGAGGTGGCGTTAGGTACTGGTACTGGTCTTTGTGATCTGAATAAAAAGTAGTTTTATCCTACCGTACAAGTACCAATAGTGCTTTACCAGGCAAGTATGATTGATAGCTAATACCAAGTTGCCTCGCTATGAACCTTTAGAAAATAAAGTACTTCCGAAGATTGAAACCCAGAGCAAACCTCTGTCTGAACCAGCAGGCAAAGCTGTCCAGTAGTTTGTCCCATTTCGTGGGATGTCGCTTCTGGCTATCCCTTCTCTCGCTCCATCTTTGAGTTACCATTGCGCTTGAGGAAGACCGCTGGAAGCAAAATGGACTCGTATTACACAACGTTCCGGCCCTTCCTCTCATTTGCCAATACATGAGCAAACATTCTTTGTGCCATGTCTTTTCAAGGAGAGTTTGAATACAGCTGGTACGTAGTGAGAGCCTAGATTTGTGACCCCAAGTAGAATGAATAAGTCGATTGAATGAATGAACCTGTCTATCCGAGACTGCCCAACAGTTCTGGATTGTTTCGGAGCAAAAAGTAAATGGCATTTGCACTCCTTTTCTTCGCCCGGTACTTTGAAAAGACATGGTTTGCTCTCGCCAACACGACTGGCCATACCGAAAGGGCAATAGTTGGTTGTCCTTGATTCATGACCAGACATCTGCCAGTACGATTCAATTCGATCCAGTGATTCGTTTCGGGACATGCCCAACTCCGCAGCACAATGGCATCTACAACCTTGTCGACAATTGTCCGGTCGCCTTCAATTGTCTGACCGCCTCCAAAGGAACCCAAACTGCGGTGAACTCTCAAAAGTTGAGCCAAACGCGCTTGATCCTCCTCCTCAAGTGAGTGATAAATGATTGGATTTTCCTTCAAGCTGATCAGACGAAGTCGACTGGTGCTCTGAAGCTCTGACGACAGTAGACTTTGAAATCCTTCTAAGTTGCCAATCTCGTTTCCTTTCAAATCGATCACCTCTATTCCCTTGCACTTCTTTACGAATTGACATAGTTGTGCCAACCTGGCAGTTTGCTGAAATGGTTGTGTCGAGCTACTCCGCAGCTGAACGTTGTGGGTGACACGGATCACTTTCAAGGAATTTTCCAAACCAGTTGCGGTCGCAAGAAAGTCCACAACACTCAATTGGGAACACATGTCCAGATCCAGGACCTCGAGATTACTCAATTTGCCAATTTCGGCAGGAAGTTGCTGGAGTCGTGTGGCAGACAAGCGAAGGGACCGAAGCTTCGTCAGCTTTGAAAGGCTGACAGGAACAAGTCTTAATTCATGATTGCAAACGTCCAATTCCTCCAAATTTGTAAGACGTTCAATCTCCATTGGAAGGCATTGCATCGAGCCATGGGGGGAATTAATTGTGAGTGATTGTAGACAATGAAAATCCCAGATTTGTATAGGTAAGGACACGAGTTTGCTCTCTTCAAATAAGCACCGGATCTCTAGACTCTCGATATCTTTGCACTTTAGCTTCGAGAGCTCTTGTGACCTGAGGACAATGGGACTTTCCACAATCCGCAGAGTCTTTAGAATTGTGAGATTCCCAATTTCGGGTGGCAAACTTTCTCTCATGACTGTCAATTCTAGTTCTTCAATGTCACTGCTAGTGCTCCCAATGGAAGCAGGTACATGGCTTTGTAGTCTCAGGAAGGATTCGTCCTGTCTGTGGCTTTCTGGCGCTGATATGCTCGTCATCTTGATGATATTCTCTTCCTGTATTCTTCTTTTGTGTTTTGGTCTTATTTGCATGTTGAATGAATGTTGGGTTTCATTTCTACCGTACTACATGTTGATGATGAACGCACTGCTTGAGCGCTCGCGCGATGAAACGAACGAACAGTAGTCTTTGACAAAAAATTGATTCGTCCGATTGCAAGGATTAGTACTCAATTTCAAATTTGGAGTTGCCCATCGACGAATTCCTACCGGTAGAGGTACTACAGACCATAGGCACGAGCCCAAATATTCCACAGACTGCATGATGTTATCGTATATATGCAATGTTATATTGTCTATATTTTAAGAGTGTTAGCGGGTACACGTACCTCTGATTTGATTGAGATCACAATTATCTTCCAGTTTTGCTGAAACTCTCGGTATGACCACAGCATGATCCAAAGTAGAAGCTGGCATACTCATTGTCTTCAAGATATGGGACATTTAGTGACGTTATCAGTGTATATTGCCAATCATGACGTATGGTATTGGAAAATGTAGGATCTACGATGAAGAAGTACACTTTGGTACCAAGTGTGCGAGGATACGACCAAGGCACTGGCATGAATACTACTTCTTAGCATTTGATTGGTCTCTCCTTTTGCTTCGACGTATCATCCTTGCCGTTCCCATGAGCATCAGAAGAACCCCTCCAACGATATGCAGAAACTCGCTCCGCATTACAGATTCCGCAAAAGCTTTGTTCGGTATCATGTCCTCAACAAACCACTTGTCTATTCTTGCTTGTTTGTCCAGAGAAGTTTGAAGGTATACACTATTTGCAAGGGTGACTGTGTGATGACTATTTGGCATAGCACTCCTGTTCAATGTGTCATGGCCTTGCTGGTGTAGTGCTTTCCAAGAATGAACTTCCCAGGCCACCATCTGAAGAAGCAGTCCTCTGGGGATCGGTCCAAGATGCCATGGATTAGTGTCATTGTTTTCGGGGAGCATTAAATCAGAAACGCTACTGTTGTACATATGTGGGAAGAGCTCTTTGGCCAAATCCAAAAAGACCAATCGTCGTGAATTGATTCTCTGGATTTCTCGTTTCGCAACCATGTTGGCATGGTATACCAGATAGTTTACACTTTTCTGTCCACCTTTCTTGGACTCATTGCGCTCCAGATATCCCCATTGCGAGATCCGACTGAATGGTGTTGATTTCCATAGTACGAGGACTGATGGGGAAATAGACTCGTGTAGCTTGCGTATCGTCCAATTGATTTGCTGTTCCATGTCACAAGGTCTGATATGATTGTTCTTCAGATCCCACGAAACTGATCCAGCTAGAACGATGGAATGTTCTTTTGTATACTTGAATTGAATAAAGTGTCGAAATTGAGGCTTCCAGATGTTGTCAATGGTTCCGGGTTCAAATTGCACTTTGACGTACTGTCCAGTTTCTAGCGTTGGATCTCCTTTGCCGATGATTCTTGTATGAGACGCTTGCAGTCGAGTCCAGTTGTAAAGATAGGGTTGGTTAAATGATGCCTCGTTTCGGTGCTGGATTAAATAATGAAGGGTATCAGCTGCTCTTCTCGATGTTGAATCGCCAGTAAATGCTATGCTCTCATTTTGGAACAGGCTGTAGCAATCATCGGCCGTAAAGCTTGGTCTTCCATGTGGTGGGATCCATGCGTTCAGGGGAGACTTATCTGGTACATGAGGGACAAGTGAGTATTCTGGAAGTCCTATGAGTTCTTGGATCTCCGCGATGCTCTTATCTTCCATCGTGCTTCATCCAGTTTTCAATATAGAGGATCACCCACACTGGAATTATAATAATAGCGAAAATTAAAAAAACATGTATGTTCGAAGTAGTCGAACAATGACGTCTTTTTCAACATAAAATAAAAATACACACGCACCGTACCTGGTACCGGTAGCTACAGTACTTCCTGGAGGTAGGTTATATACCAAAACCGTCCGGGTCGCGTCCGTGTGCAAGAGGTGGTACTTGCATCGGTTTTATCCTTGGTCTTTTCGGTTCCAGCAGTTCTACGCGCATGCCGGCATATCGTTTGCTACCAGGCAGTCTGGCGTGACACGTCAATTGGTGAATTTTTCATGTTTCGCCTTGCAAATCTGCTCACATCATAAAGCACTATCAATTGTCGAGCAGCAGCGAAGGGAACACGCAGTTTTCATACTTTCTTCCTCACAATCAATCTTGCCTAGAAAGAGAATTTTTATCAGCTACGTCCACTTCAGAATCGAAATTTCCCTTCTTTTTTTTTTGGCGTTTCCTATCGTTCTGGGAACTGACGACTGCGATTTGAAAATCAGTGGTGGAAGAGACTTTGACAGAAGCCATCAGCGATAGACGGAGGTTGTCACTGTTTCCGCAGCACTTTGGTAACACTACGGAATATTGCAAAAGAAGGAAATACCCTTCGTGCGAAAGCTAGAAGAATGTCAGCTCGTCAGCTCAAAGAAGCATCCGCTGAAGATCAGTCCTCCGATGACGATAGTGATGAAGCTGGTCCTAAAGCATCTGCTAGAGACCGGTCGTCCAAAAATCGTGATGGAAATGGTACAAACAGGAGAGACTCCTCAGCACCTAGTCAACGAGCACTAGTGGCAGCCCCAACAGACGTCATTTGCGGACGTGGCATTCACATTGCCAACCATCGCGGCAACCTGGACCTCCATCTAATGGTAAACAACTATCGAGATGCATATCTAGCATCACGGCGGCCAGAAAAGACAAAGATAATCAAACATGTCCTTAAGGAAATGAAGAGTACCGGGGCCAGGTTCATCAGAAAGGTCACGGATGGAAGCAGTGCAGATACATGGGAGGAAGTTGATTATGCAACAGCCTACAAGAAAGTAAGTCATGCATTGCGTCTTCGGACTGTAAACGAGAGCAATGGCAAGTCCATTTCTGCGGCAGATGCGGTTCACCCTCAAGTTGATCCGTATGGTGAGCCGGATCAAATAATACCCAGGCGGGCAGTGCTGCCAGTGGGTCAGCATGATCCATTGTCCAGCCAGTTACACTCTTCAATTGGAATTGCTTCACATCCATTATCCAGCCAGTTACACGCTCCCAGTGCAATCCCTTCACATCCATCATCTGGCCATCTCCATGCTCCCAGTGGAATTGCTTCACGCCCATCATCCGGCCATCTACACCCTCCAACAAGTGGAATTCCTTCACATCCATTATCAGGCCAGCTACCACCAATTCCCAATGGAGGTGCTTCACATACAGCAGGTGTACCCCCTCCTCAATTGGGTGGCGACCCATCACTGCATCAAATATATCGTCAAGTATACTGGAATACCTTGTATGCCCTCCAACAACAGTCAGAGCAGCCGCCAGAAAAACCGCCGCCGCCCAATCGCTAGAAATGATCCATGATCAAAGAGACAGAAAGCGTGGTGTATTGGGTTGCCTCCAATTATTATCAGCATAATGGCTTCTGCCTATTCATGGACTCTTTTGTTTCCGCCGATGTTGTGTGGACACCGCTAGGAAGACACGAAGACTGCATGCATCACGACCAACGACAAGATAATGATATTCCAGCGCACATGCTGGCTCTTGAGATATGCAGATATGTCATCCCACGAGAGGAAGATCATGAAGAAAAAAGATTTCAAGGTTTCTTCACTTTATGATATCAAGCCGCAGTATGATGATACAAATCAAAGATGATCATCACTACTTGTTTCCTTGTAGCGAGGTCTGGGGCAAGAGAGTCACGACATTTTGAATTGCATTTTTCTCATTATTGTGTGCCAATGGAAGTCTCCACTCGCATTGCTTCCTCACTTGCTCCTTCGTAGCGGACTGCTGGTTCTGAACAACCCACAGCTCCTCCAACGCAGAATATGAAATTAAAATCAACAACTTCGCCTTTGAGCTTTTTTGTGCGTTGGTGTAGCAGCAGTTTGGGCAACATGCCGTGTTCCGCAGCAATGCGTCGGTTTTAAAAAAAGAGCACGAAGACGGCGAACCACAGTTTCGAGACAACCTCGAATGATGCCGCATTGTACAGATGTGCGGAGCACCGATCATTGATCCAGTCAATAGACAACCGGGTGAAGCGCTCCGATCATTCTCTTGATATTATTCTTCAACTAAATGCTTCAGCAGTGCTGATACCATGAAGGTAAAAGGTGAACGACAATTCAACGCAGTTCATTTATATCTTCTGCATCTCTGAATTCATCTTGAGGATGTTGAGGATGGATTCATTGGTGAGAATAAGTTTGCTTCATCAAACGCCGATACTTGATTTCGTGATAACTCAGCTTTCTTTTACTCAGACGCGTGCTAGTGTCCTTGTCGCAACTGTGATATGCCATTCAGAAGCGTTGGTTCATGAAAATAGGAGAAGACATTGAACAAAGTGCGTGGTTAAGTGAGAGTTGCAAGAAGACCCTTATTGACGTGGTGCCAGCATGCCGTCTCTTCTGCCGCAATGCTTAAATCGGCACGCAAGGGTTCACATAACGCTATGATAACACCATGACTTAAATGTAAAAAAAGGAAGCTGGGCCGACGAAATTATGGCCGCACATTAGCCATATTCATTCTGAGCTGTAAGAAGCCCTTCTGTACCAACGGTACTGTACGTTACCGTACATACCAGATACCAATCAATCAGTTCTTATCGCGATGTAACGATGACTGCTACATCAGTAGTTTGATGAGAAGTAAAAGGAACTGCTATTGTTTTGTTCTAAAGTAGAAAGGATGGTGATAGGGAGACTGTCACGGCATTCATAGCAAAGCAAAACCGTCATCTCCCGACGATATGATCCATTCATTCAATGTGATGGTCTCCTCTTGGGCCAGTCGTGAAGCCTTCTGGCTTTCCCACGAATAGTCAGCTCCATGCTCCAACTTAGAACTGTTCAATCGTTATGTATCATCGTGCTAATAAAGGAACCGATCCATGGGAGACAAGGCGATGAGCTCCACGTGCGATTGTACCAATCAACATAACGATTTCTTGTTCAAATAAGAGGTGATTATGTTACTGGGAAGTCATGTATCGTCATCAACGCTGATGCTTCTGAATATTGACACAACATTGGGCATCACGATGAAGCTTTGGATGACACGGTGGCTCTCTTGCTTCTAGATTACTAACCAAGCCGTATGACTCTGCCACGCCATGATGAGACCGACCCTGTTGTTCGATCGTCATCTTTGAAAATCGCATGGTGATCACGAAGCTATAGCGGAAACTCATCGCACACCTCAAAAAACATTTCATCCGTTGAATGAAGGATCAATGCTAGCAGGTTAGGCACCACTCGAGGCATTCGGGCAGTCTGGCAGCTCCTGATTGTGATGAGTCCTAAATTTGAGAGATGGTGGCTGCTCTGAAGCAAGTGATAATCGGTCCCTCTTCACCGTTTGCGATCAGTTGACAACACGAGACAACTGGTGGAAGTAGGCACCGCATGACCACCGTCTCCGCTCTGTGATGAAGGTATGGTACACACACCAAGGGACCACCCATCAAGAGACTCTATTCGGATTTTCTGGCGATTCCTGGATTGATCGAATGAATAGTATCAAAAGTGGATAATTGACGACCACGTCGATGGGACCATGTTGTCATTTGCAACCGCCGTTTTGCAACTTCTTTGCAGAGAAAAGGTGCCCATTGAAGAGCTCATCTAACTTGAATGATACCAATACAATATCCATATCTTCACGCAGCCTCTTTCCGATGAATGAATCGAACCCCTATGAAAGTGAATTACAGGGCCTGATTTTATGCAGGCGATGATAATAATGCGGGAATCCACATGTTTGTATCTCTCATTATACCGCTCCTGCAAGACGACATTTAATTGCATGTATAGCTTCCGATGATTTTGAAGGGATGGCGGACCAAGGAAAGTATCACTGTACTCTGACATTCCAGTATAATTCTCTTTCAAAACAAATACGATATGTCAATCGATCTTCCTCTGTGGTAGTGAAGCCTTTTGACGAGGTTGGTTTCAGTTCATACGATTTAAAGCCAAAGGACTCCACCAGTTGCTTACCTGAGAAACGGATGACACATGATATCACCACGCGCTGCACTTTACTGAGATTCATGCAGCGAGGAGATGAGGACAATGCCGTTCTTCTTGGCCATCATCTTCATCATGCATTTGGGCATAGACGATTGTCTGTACGCTGTGCGATTGCTACCCTAAGGAGCTTATTGTGAGCAATATACATATTGACGATGACATCGCATCATAATGAATTCTTTGAACCATCGTTTATTCGACTTTGTGAATCCATGGACATGAAGTGTGCACAAGAAATGAAGAAATAGTGCATTGATTGATTCTATCGGAATTGAAAGCTCCGCTTGCTTTCTTCGCCGCGGGCTGGTTCATGAGAACCGTCTCTGTATTGAGAACTGATTATTTTTGTAGACATCTTTTATAATAAGTCACAACAGTAAAGTTGCATATGGTTTTGAGGATTGACTAGATTTGAAGTGTATACCAAGCCAGAGTCCTTGTTTGGCAAGCGACTGATACAAAAGGCCATAATAGTCAATGACAAATCACAAGTGACAATGTAAACGTATTCAATGTTCACAGATTCATTGATCGATGAGAGGGATCGAGCAGCACGGAACATTTCATATCATCTTTGGTGCCAAGGCCACCGCGGCACTCCCATTTTCCCATGCTTGGTTGCAATGAGAGATCTGGCTACGAACTGTCATGGAAATGAGAGTGAAATGCATCATACCAGCCTCTGCCAAGCTACAATGCGTATTGCAATCTCGCCACACAGGAAATCAAGTCTACTGCAATGGCAGTCGGAAACACCAGTCGGGGCACTTCGTTCTTTCTACCAACCCAGACCTTCGCGTAGTCGAAGAAGTGATCGGTATCATTATTGCCATTCGCATGTAATGACCAAGTTGCTTGTTAGGACATTGCATGGCCTTTCTGAACCAAGCCAGAAGGCTCAGATATTCAAAGACATCAGTTTGTGTAGGGAATATCATTGCCATAGGAGGTGACTCAGCATTCTTGGTCGACGGATTCTCTCCGTAACCCTCAACCTTGAGGTGGCGTACAGTAACGCAAAGCAGAGACTTTCGTCTTCCGCAACTACAGACAACGGTAACAGTATACCGTCCTAGACTGGAAACCATTGGCGGTTCTTTTCATTTTCTTTCTTCGTTCTTCTGATAGGCAAGTCGGTCGTTGGTCAAAAAGCGGGCCTTCTCCATCATCGAGCTCTTGTAGCGCCTCACGAATGACTTGGATTCCGGCTATGATACATCGCCTCATGGAAGAGTTGCCAATGGGGACAGTCTACATCAAATCTCAGTTCCAATACCACATGTTTCGTAGGTAGTGAAGTTGTTGGAAGAGTTTGACTTTCAATTAACTGTTGTTGCTCGTGCTGAGACTGCTGAACCCCTTATGGGGGCTCTATGTTGTGCACTCCACCAATCATGATATCAGAACAACGGTGCATTATCGAGAGTCCGCTGCTGTTATGTCAACAACCAACAACTATAGAGTCTCTTGGACGAAGAGGTGTACCATGACGACTCGTCCAAGCATGCTAGCTAGAGTGAGACCTCTGATCAGTTTCTGTCTGTCCATGGTTTCTGCAAAATCATCAGCGAGAAAATTATTTTCGTTGTGATTCAGTCATACTTTGATCTGATTACCTTAATGTGAGTCTTTCTCAACAGCTAAGCACTGAGTATGAGTGCATTGAGTACAAATCATCCACAGATAACATTCTTAACGGGGAGATGTCAGTAGTCTATCCGAGCGTTCAATCCACACACTATTTTTTAAATTTGTGGCATTTCATAGGACGAATCTGCTGCATCGAAAAACAACACTGCCTAAGCTTGTTGTTCACACTGCTAGGCCTAGTTCTGATCTACATGCATTAGAATCACATATCAGACTCCAATATGCGTATACGTTAAAATACAGGAACATCTGTTCTAACAGGCTGGTACTGGTATAGCAGGCTGGTACTGGGCAGCCGTACCATCAAAATAAAGAATGAATTCTGGAAGGTTGGGTACAACCTAGCAATATGCTTGATGAGCTTACCTCTGGCGCTACAACTCTGTCTTTGTCTGCATTTTGCTACCGCTTACCGGGCGGCTTCCCTAGCTGTGCCCCCCCCTGACTGCTGCTGGAGAGAATACAAAGTTTTCAAGTATACTTGACGATAGATTTGATGGAGGGATGGATCACCACCCAACTGAGGAGGGGGCATACCCATTGCATGTGAAAAAATTCCATTGGGACCTTGTAGATTGCCTGAAGGTGGGTCATGCTGAAGGACTTGTAGATTGCCTGAAGGTGGGTCATGCTGAAGGACTGGCAGCGTTGCTCGCCTCGGTATCAGGTGATCGGACCCACGGTCGGGGTCATCTCGATGTTGTGAGGAGTCTGCCTCGCCCATATATCCACTGTCTCGATTGGTCTCGTTCTTTGTTCTGAGGCGCAGTGCATGGCTTACTTTCTTGTATGCTGTCGCATAGTCAACTTCTTCCCATCTATCGACATCGCCCCGATCCGAGACACACCTGATGAACCTGGATCCTGCACTTTTGACTTTTTTAAGGACAAGCTTGATGATCTTTGTCTTTTCCGGTCGTCGTGATGCTAAATACTCATCTCGGTACTCGTTGATAATAAGGTGAAGATCAAGGTTACCACGGTGGTTGGATATGTGGAAGCCGCGTCCGCAGACGATGTCACTGGGTTTCGCCACCAATGCTTTGCTTTTGACTTCTGCGGTGTTGGCTGCTGATGATTTCCTTTGGTTGTCGCCAAGCTCACCGTCTTCAGCTGTTTGGTGTTCCGTTGACTGGTTAGCTTGGTTGGATGACATTCTGCTTCTTATATTCTAATGGGGACTAAAGAAGTGGTAACCGCACGTCTCTTCTAGTGCCAGCGTTGAGACAGGTGAAGCGAATGATGACCTGCGTGCGTCCGTGTTGACCTTTTTCCTTGCGGTACCGCTGAAGCCTACACTACTTTGCGTATGACTGTAAAGCACAGGTAAAGATCAGTTCAAAGAGTGTCGAATGCAATTGCATGAAAGAAATTCGACTCCATTACGCAGAAGCATTGATCACAATAACGCTACGCAGTACGCGTATAATACTCATGCAACAAATTGCGCATGATGACAGACGCGTGGCGGTAGATGTACTAAAACAGCAAGTATTGCAGCATAAAAGAACCATCATGGTTTATCCTGACTTATTGTGAATCTAGGCTCGTATAATACAAAAAGGCCATGTCCTCCATCGGCCAGCCATCAATGAGAGATGTTTGATTCTTTCTTTCTTCTGAATTCAAAGGGCTACGCACGTCCGCGGGTTCTTTCCGTTGCAGCTTTTCTTCTGTTTAAGAGGAAAGTGATTCTAAGTCATCCGTAAAGTAAGTTATTGTTCTCGGCATCACAGTGACACATGTGAAGTTGCGTCTGGTTTGAGAGAGAAGTCGATCTTAAGCAGTGCGGAGTTGAAACTACCTCTCTAGAATGGACTTTTGATCTAACAATGCGAGGTACGACTGCCAGCTTGAGCAAGCGGGAGCGTACAATGTTTGCCTTAGGAGGAAAAGTCATCCTGGTTGTGCAGCATATCCAAGCGTTTGAGTTTCCAACTGAAGCAAGGAGCAAATGGGGCAACGACAAGTCCATTAGTCAAGTCTCATAAGTCCATTAGTCAAGTCTCATCCAAAGCCAAGAAGATTTTATCGTCTTCGACGCTTTCGCAAAATCAGAGAGCAGCATACGACCCGCAGTCGACTAGGATGTTCAGCTCAAGGATCACTGCTGATATATTGAATATCTTTTAGCACGGTTCGATGACTCGCATAGAGATGGCCAAAAGGTTCAGGCTGAAAACAGTGCAGTCGATATAGTGACACGCTTTCGGAAGAGATGTCTCAGGTACGGCTAATCATCAGCAGACAGATGTCTCAGATATGGCTGGTCGTCACAAGCTGAAAACACTACTGGTCCTGTTTGATTCAGGGTGTTCCATTAGTCACAGCAGGCGATGACAAGGATTACAACAAAGACTCCATTTGGGCGCGATAAGGTGGCTCTTCGTCGAAACTCAATAAAGTCTCCGAATGGTCAACCGGGGTCTCTTGACACTATGGTGTTCCTCAATCATGTCTACGAGTGATCGGCGTGTCTTCTCTGTTCTTGATCTCGTGTAAGCGGACAACCATGGCTCAAACGGCATCCGGAACACGTGCTGTCTAACCCGTGGACCCTGATGGAGACACTCCCAAGTGAGTAGTCGCCACTTTGATGATATGACGCATGGATCACATCATGGTCTGCTCCGTTGGATGACCTACATCAAGCGTGAGTTGAACCAATAGACATATGCTTTGCTGGCATCCACATCAAGGGTCAGTTGTACCAAATCAAATCTCAGCCGTACAGCCATATCTTTCACTAATGAAGGCGCTCGATCGTGTAGCTTCAACAATCGAGACATTGGGCTAGTCTCAATGTCCACACCAAGATGACCATATGTTGCGTATTCTCCAATGGTCAAGGCATCAAGATTGCCACATGGATGCCCATACTCCTTTATTGTCATCAAGGCAACAATTCGATACAAAACAAAGAACGAAAGTACATGATACAGATAGCAGAGGTCGGTGTATTATGAAAGAGAGAGAAGTGGTGTCCATACAGTAACTATGGAATGACTTTCTTTGATGACATCACATATGCGGATGAATCCCAGGTGAACGGATTTCTGTCTGTCTGCATGCGCGGTCACTGCAGAATGATGATAAAGTTCGATTGTCTTGCGGTATCGATTTCAAGCATCAGCAACATGCGAAGTCTTTCGACCGGTACATTGGAATCTATCTTCGTTTCTAATTGTCATTGTGGACAGTTGTGCAATAGTGACAATGTAGCCAAAGTTTATACCCTCTAAGTTGTGGGATGTCAATATTATATCTCAGTTCTGCGGTTACGATACAGTGTTGCATTTTGCTTATTCCAATCGTATGTCGTATTGTCTGCTGTCGTGTCAAGATTATCAGATGTGAAAACAGCATCATCTAAGCTGCTTGTTGTAACTGTTAGAGGAATATCTGATAAAGTTGTTCATTAGGTTCTAACAGCAACCTGCTAGACGCATACGTGGGATTGGTGGTTCCTCGCATTACGGCTTGCATAGCCACATAGATCAAGACGACCAAGCCTCTACTCATATACTCAACTCTCATCATCGAAGCAGCCTTATTATTCTCTTTCTGCCCGACAGCATCGAAAAAAGCGAATCGGCAAAGAAGAGATCATACATAGGCAGAGATGATTATCACAGTCAGAGCACCGAAAAGGCTGTCGCGACTGTGGTCTATGAGGCCGCACCTGATGTCCCAGAATACTTGACATTTGCTTTCGTGTTCCATTCCCTGATGATAGAAATGAAATTGTGGTGAAACAGCTGTAACCGAAGAAACCCCAGCAGAAACGGGTAGTTGGTCGGATCAAACATCATTAAGCGAAGCTGTCGCGTTGAAGCTGTAAAATATTGACGGCGACGTTGGTGCATTCTGTTCCATGGCAACTTATTCACCTGATTTTTGTCTCTTGATCATGACACGACTCTACCGAGTATCGGGAGGTTTCCAAGTAGGCTGATGCTGGAGTGAATACAAGGTGTTCAAGTATACTTGACGATAGATTTGATTTAGCGCTGGATCACCGCCCAACTGTGGAGGGGGCACACCTGCTGCATGTGAAAATCTTCCACTGGAAACTTGTAGCTGGCCTGGTGATGCACCATGCTGAACGACTGGCAGCGTCGCCCGAGTGGGTATCGCTTGAGCACCATTGGAGTCACCTCGATGTTGCGAAGTGTCTGCTTCGCCCATAATTGATCCGTTGGATCTGTTGGTCTCGTTCTTTGTTCTGAGGCGTAATGCATGGCTTACTTTTTTGTATGCTGTCTCATAGTCAACTTCTTCCCACGTATCGACATTGCTTTCATCCGAGACCGACTTGATGAATCTGGCTCCTGTCTTTTTGATTTCTTGGAGGATATGTTTGATGATCCTTGTCTTGTTTGGGCGTTTCGACTGGAGATACTCGTCTCGATGTTTGTTGATAATGAGGTGAAGATCAAGGTTACCACGGTGGTTGGCAATGTGAAAGCCACGTCCGCAGATGATGTCTCCTGGTTTTGCGACCATTGCTTTACTGTTGTTTGATGCTCTATGGGCTGCTGAAGACTTCATTTGGCTGTCATCAAGCTTACTGTCTTTTGTCGGTTGGCGTTCAGCAGACGGCTTCGCTTGGTTGGTCGACATTCTGCTTCTTTGAATAGAGCTCCGAACTGAATAAGGGCAACTGCGTGACTTATTGTAATGCTGTACTGTTGAGATGGTGCGCCCGTGTTGACCTTATTCGTCTTCGCTGTGGTATCGTGAGGCCTACTCTATTTTGCGTATGGTTGTAAAGCAGAGGCACAGATCAAATGAAAGTGTTGAATGCAATTGCATGAAAGAAATTTGGTTCTATTACGCAGCTCAAACTATATAAAAGCATTGATCACAAAGTGATGCTACCGGTACCGTACACGTACCGGTATGAACACTAACAACAAATTGCGCATCACGACAGACGTCTGGCGGTAGATTTACCAGAACAGCAAGTATCACAATAATAATTGTGATTGTTTGTCGTGGCTTATTGAGAATCTAGGCTTATAGAATACAGAAAGGACATGTCCTACATCGGCTGGCCAACAATTCAAGATGATTGATTCTTTATTTATACAAAGGGCTACACGTCCGCGGGTTTCTTTCCATCGCTGATTTTCTTCTGTTTCGTAGAGCAAAATGATTCAAAGTCGTCGGTAAAGCTAGTTGTTCTCGGCTTCAAAGTGTACACATGTGATGTTGAGTTTGGGTAGTTGATCTGAAGCAATGCTGAGCTGCCACTATATTTGGAGAAGTTACTTTTGATCTAACAGTGCGAAGTACGATAGCCAGCTTGTGCGAGTGGGCGCGTAGTAAGATACGGCTACCCTGGCTGCGTAGTGAATCAAATCGTTTGACTTTGCCAAAGGAGCAAGGAGCAAATGCGACAATTCCACTGGTCAAGTCTCATCCAAGAGCCAAGAAGACTTCTTCGTCTTTCAAGCTTTCGCAAAATCACATAACAACATACGACCCGTATTGACTAAGATGTTCAGCCCAAGGATCGCTGCTGATGTCTTAAATCTCTTCTACCCGGTTCAATGCCTCGGGTAGAGTTGACCAACAGGTTCAGGCTGAAAACAGTGCAGTTGATCCAGTGACACTTGATCAGAAGTGATGCCTCGAGTACGGATAATCATCAGCTGGCGGCTATCTCAGATATGGCTCGTCGTCACAGGCTGAAAGCACCACTGATCCTGCATGATTCTGGGTGTCCCATTCGCCACAACAGGTGATGACTGAGTTGTTCTGGTCCGGTCCTCACACATAAGATTACAAACACTTGATCTGTCTGCGAGAAGGTAGCTCTTCGTCGAAACTCTGCAGACATAAAGTCTCCGAATGGTCGATCGGTGTCTCTGGACACTATGGTGTTCCTCAATCATGTTTACGAGTGATCGGTGTGTCTTCTCTGTTCTTGATCTTATGGTGTAAGCGGACGACCATGACTCAAACGGCATTCAGAACACGTGCTGTCCAACCCGTGGACATTGATGGAGACACTAGCAAGTGAGTAGTCGCCACTTTGATGATATGACGCATGGATAACATGATATTGTCTGCTTTGTTGCTTGATTTTCATCAAGTGTCAGTGGTACAGGCACGTGATTCATTCGCTTGCATCTACATCAAGTGTCAGTTGTACCAGTACAGACATATGTGCTTCGCTGGCATCCACATCAAGTCTCAGCCGTACAGACGTATCCTTCACTGATGAAGTCATCCTATGCTGTAGCTTCAACAATCGAGCTATTGAGCTAGCCTTGATGCTCATGAAAAGATGAACACACCTCTGTACCTTGATGTCTATTCTCCAAAGATCAAGGAATCACGACCAAACATGAATGAATATTCCTGTATTGACATCGCAATATGACAAGACTTCGATGTAAGGCAAGCAATGCATTCAGTGTGATACAGTAGAGGTTGGTGCATGAAGGAGAGAGAAGTGATGTGTATATACATTGTTATGACTTGAAATCTCAGTATGTCAACGGATTTCTGCTGTCTGTCTGCATGCGCGGCGGTCCCAGAATATGAGATGATTGCGATTGCACGATTCATCGTGTCATCATAAGTAACATGAGAAGTCGTTCTATCCGGAAGTCTAGGTTCTTTTCCAAGTATCATTGTGGACGGGAATGCAATGGCGAACGTGCAGCTAAAGCTTATTATACTCTCTAAGCGCAGTGGGCTATCGATAGCATGACCCAGTTCTCCGATTGCGAGACAAGTGTTGCATTTTGCTCATTCGAATCGAATGTCGTATGGTCTGCTGTTATACATAAAGCATAACGTCTTATCAGATTGGCAAACAACATCATCTAGGGTGCTTTTTGTAACTTTTAGAGCAATGTCTGACAGAGTTGTTCCGTAGGTTCTAACGCCAAATATGAGTGGGATTGCTGGTTCCTCGAATTGCGTCTGGCATAGCCACATACGTCAATACAACAAGTACACTCGGCTATCATCATCGAGGGAGCCTTTGTGTTGTTGTTCTGCCCGACATCATCGAAAGAAGCGAATCAACAAAGAAGAGATTATACATGCAGGCAGAGATGATCATCAAAGGGCCAATCCTTCGAAAGTGCTGGAGCAACGTGAGAGCGGAAACATATTTTGATGTCCCAGTATCCTTGGCGTTTGCTTTCTCGTTCCATTCGCTGATGAAACAAGTGAGAAAGGGGTGAAACTGCGGCACACGAACCAGCTCCATAGCATCAATAGATGGTTGGTCGGATCGAACATACTCAAGCCATGAGAAAGCTATGAAATATTGCCAGTGACGATGTTGTTTTTCTGATCCTATTCAATGGCTGCTTCACGCTTTTGTGCCATGATCATTCCATCATTCTACCGAGCATCGGGAGACTTCCCGGGTTGATGCTGAAGGGAATACAAAGTGTTCAAGTATACTTGACGATAGATTTGACTGAGCGCTGGACCGCCCAACTGAGGAGGGGGCACACCTGCGGCATGTGAAAATCTTCCGCTGGAAACTTGTAGCTGGCCTGGTGATGGGCCATGCTGAACGACTGGCAGCGTCACCCGACTGGGTATCAGTTGACCCGACCCACCATTGGAGTCACCTCGATGTTGCGAGCTGTCTGTTTCGCCCATAATTGATCCGTTGGACCTGTTGGTCTCGTTCTTTTTTTTGAGGCGTAATGCATGGCTTACTTTCTTGTATGCTGTCTCATAGTCAACTTCTTCCCACGTATCGACATTGCTTTCATCCGAGACCGACTTGATGAATCTGGCTCCTGTCTTTTTGATTTCTTGGAGGATATGTTTGATGATCCTTGTCTTGTTTGGGCGTTTCGACTGGAGATACTCGTCTCGATGTTTGTTGATAATGAGGTGAAGATCAAGGTTACCACGGTGGTTGGCAATGTGAAAGCCACGTCCGCAGATGATGTCTCCTGGTTTTGCGACCATTGCTTTACTGTTGTTTGATGCTCTATGGGCTGCTGAAGACTTCATTTGGCTGTCATCAAGCTTACTGTCTTTTGTCGGTTGGCGTTCAGCAGACGGCTTCGCTTGGTTGGTCGACATTCTGCTTCTTTGAATAGAGCTCCGAACTGAATAAGGGCAACTGCGTGACTTATTGTAATGCTGTACTGTTGAGATGGTTCAAGCCGTTAATTTCCGTGCGCCAGTGTCGACCTTATTTGTCTTCGTTGTGGTATCGCTATTTGCGGTTGATTGCAATACAGACAAAGATCAGTTCAAAGACTTTTGAATTCAATTGCATGAAAGAAATCGGCTCTATATTACGCAGCTCAAAATACAAGCATTATGATCACAAAATGATATGCGTACACGTACAATAAAAGCAACAATAATTGCGCGTGATGACAGACGTCTGACTGTAGATTTACTATCGAGATCATCATAACGAGTATTACAACGGACAAGAAATCATCGTTTACCCTGGCTCATTGTTAATCTACAGGCTCGTAGAGTACCGAAAGGCCATGTCCTCCATCGGCTGCGGGCATCAATTCAAGATGATTTTGATTCTTTCTGTATTCGCAAAGGGCTGCGACCGTCGTTTCATCGTTGATTTTCTTCTTTTTCGCAGAGCATAGTGATTCAAAGTCATCCATATGGAGCTGGTTGCATTTCAGTTGGTTTCAGCAAGAAATCAATCTGAAACTAAGCAGAGCTGGCACGTACTTGGAGAAGTTACTGTTGATCTAACAGTGCGAAGAACGACAACAAGCGGCAGAGTACAATGATTATTTTAGGAAGATAAGGCCATCCTGATTGTGCAGTATAACCCATCGTTTGAGCAAGGATAGGTTGATTTTGCCAATGGAGCAAGGGGCAAATAGGACGAGTCCACTGGTCACGTGTCATCAAAGGGCGAAGGAGACTTTTCGTCTTCCAAGCTTTTGAAAAATCAAAGAACACCATATACTAGCCTCAGTCGACTAGAGGGTATACAGTCTGAGACAATCCTTCGTTTTAATGACGTCAATGGGGACTCAAGTGTATTCCTGCGAGGCCTCTGAATCCTATGACGTTTGATTCTGTATGAGTCATCGATCACATTCTGTTCATTCCAACAAGGAAGCGATTGGTTCTCACTGTTTCTGAAAGCATTTTCATGGCGCTGATGACTGACTCAAGTCACCATACTGTGGGGGTTAGGGGACCGCACAACCGCACTCTTGATCTGTTGAATCTCTTGGTTCGACGACTGAGGTAGAGTTCGTCAAAAGTTTCGGGGTGAAAACAGTGCAGTCGATGAAGCGAGATGGAGGTCTCAGAGAAAGCTATATTCATCAGCAGACATAGACTGAAAGTACCACCATTCGATACTTGATTCCTCCCCGAGGTGACGACTCGGTCCAGGGGGGCTATCACCAAATCAATTCATACACTGCATCTGGGTGGAATAGGCAGCTCTTCGTCGAAACTTGGCACACAGAAGTAACCGACCCGTAGTGTCTAGCCCCCCCTTTGGACCCTGTGGTTTTTGTACATCGTCGGCGAGTGTTCAGTATAGGTCTGCTCTGTTCTTGATCTCATCGTGAAACAGTAGCATCCAGAACACAATACGCGCTGCGTCCCACTTGTGAGAAACTGTTGAACAATCATCACAAATGAACAGTCACTGCTGCCGTCACGGGTACTCTCGCTAGAAAACAGAGAATGAAGCAGGATGATACACCAGAGGTCAGTGTACGAAAGAGCACAGAGTGATATGTATCGCTTCAGAATGACGTATTTGAGTAATTGTGACAGCGGTTTCTACTAAACTGTCTGTCTGTATGCGGTCCCAAAAGAGATGATTGCGATGACCCTGTCATCAGCACCATATGCGAATAAGCAGTCGTTCTGCAGAAGCTATATTCTTTTCCAATTATCATTGTGGACGGGAATGCAATGGCGAACATGCTGCCAAAGCCTATAGTACACTCCAAGTTATTGGCTATTCAGTAGTGTAACCAAGCCTGCGATTGCGATATGCAACAAGTGTTACATTTTGCTCATTCGATTCGAATGTCGTATGGTCTGTTGTTACATGTATAAAGACTATCAAATTGGAAAACAACATCATCTAGGCTGCTTATTGTGACTGCTAGAGGAATATGTCATGGAGTTGCTCCGTAGATTCTAACGCCAAACGGCTAAACGCATGCGTGGGATTGGTGGTTCCTAGCACATTGCGGCTTGCATACTAATAGCCACATAGATCAAGATGATCAAGACCATACGCGCATATTCGGCTATCATCATCGTCGAGCAGTCGTTTTGGTGTCTTCCCGCCTGACAGCACCGAAAGAAACGAATCAACAAAGAAGAGATTATACATGCGGGCAGAGATGATGATCAAAAGCCCCTTCTGTTGCACCCACAATTGAAATCGAAAGGGCCGAAGCAACTGTTGTGAGAACGCAAACATGATGATGTCCCGGTATACTTGACGTTTGCTTTCGTGTTCCATTCACTAACAAACAATAAGTGAGAAAGGGACTGCTGTACCCAAAGCAGCTCCACATGAAATGGATAGCTGAGATCAGACAGAAAATCATTCATCGAATAATGAGGCAGCGACAATAGTGTACTGTATTCCGATCCCATTCAATGGCTGCTTCACGTTTTTTTGCCATGATCATGGCACATTCTTTCTACCGACTATTGGGAGGCCTCCCGGGCTGATGCTGAAGGGAATACAAACTGTTCAAGTATACTTGACGATAGATTTGATTGAGTGCTGGATCACCGCCAAACTGAGGAGGGGGCACACCTGCTGTATGTGAAACAATTCCATTAGGAAATTGTGGCAGGCCTGATGATGGGCCATTCTGAATGACTGGCAGCGTCGCTCGAGTGGGTATCAGTTGACCCGACCCACCATTGGAGTCACCTTGATGTTGCGAGCTGTCTGTTTCGCCCATAATTGATCCGTTGGACCTGTTGGTCTCGTTCTTTTTTTTGAGGCGTAATGCATGGCTTACTTTCTTGTATGCTGTCTCATAGTCAACTTCTTCCCACGTATCGACATTGCTTTCATCCGAGACCAACTTGATGAATCTGGCTCCTGTCTTTTTGATTTCTTGGAGGATATGTTTGATGATCCTTGTCTTGTTTGGGCGTTTCGACTGGAGATACTCGTCTCGATGTTTGTTGATAATGAGATGAAGATCAAGGTTACCACGGTGGTTGGCAATGTGAAAGCCACGTCCGCAGATGATGTCTCCTGGTTTTGCGACTATTGCTCTACTACTGTTGACCGATGCTCTATGGGCTGCTAGAGACTGCATTTGGCTGTCACCAAGCTCACTGTCTTGTTCAGAGGACTGTTTAACTTGGTTCGTTATTGGCATTTCGCTACAGTACGTTCAACTGAATGCGGAACTGAAGAAAGCCAATAAGCGTCTTGGTTTCGGACGATGAGGACTCGGCGATTGCAGAATTCAAGGTCGTGCAGACACTGGTGCGCTTTGTTCTTTGCGCTTCCGCTGAACCCTTGTTCGCATGAATATAAAATAGAGGCACAGATCTGCTCATACGATATAGAGCACTGAACTGAACACACAATAACGCTGTTCCGTGAATTATTGCGAGCACTGAAGTATCAACTGTTGGCTTACGGGAAAAAAGTTCAAAATCGATCGAGCGTGCACAGCCTTTTCGCTGATTTGAAGCTTTCAGTTGATAATATAGAGCGACCGCATATGGGACCATCCTGGTAATTTGCAACTGCTATTCTGCAACTTTTGTAGAGCAAGATGCCCGTTGAAGAGCTCGCACCTTCTTTGAATGATATGGATGAATAAGTTACAGTTTTTGCTTTCTTCACCAGTCACAAGGGGAATGCTGATGATTGGAAACGGCCTACGTATATGATGAATAGAGCGATTGACCTGGGGACAATGAACTCCGACATGATTCATTCCTTTATTCAAGCGCACATAGATCACAGTCGTTATTGTCGAGCCAGGATACTGCATTCCTGCAGCTGTTTGTCGACAGAACTATATGCAGGGGTATCTTAAGAAACTTACCCATCCCCTTGCATTCCAATCAGAAAGCCGTTGCCTCTTGATAGGCCACGATTTGGTGTTGATGGATGACAATGGGTTCAGCATGTTTGTATGTATATTATATTCTGTTATTGTCTAGAATAAGGCTAGCGGAACAATGGACATCAATATCATCTTATGCTTCGTACTGTAACTGCTAGAGGAATTGGCCACAGGGCTGCCGTGTTTTAATTCTTAGGTTGTACTAGTACTATCAAATTGCAACAAATGGAGAAATGTCTCGTTTCGACAATCACTTATATGTATTGCCTCCCATTGCATTTCGCTAGTAGTAGCACGGGAATGGCCACTACGAACTTTTCGAATACGACACTATACATCAGATAACTGATTGATTGCTTCAAGTGGTGACTGGCTGTCGATATTCGACCGTCAACGTTGCTTGCACGAACCTCCAATAGAAGCTCACCTATAAGCAGCTTGCTGCCTTTCGGTAACGGCAAGATTCAATTGAGGTGGCTGTTGCTGTTTTGATACAGATATATGCTTGGTGCAAACATACTGTATAGTACTGGGCAGTATAGTCACTCATCATCATCATGCTATGTTATGCCATGCCAGATTGTTGGTATACTTATTGACGACAACAACGAGAGCATGAAATGGGCACCCACTTATTATTCTGCTGCTTTCCGCAATCAAAAATCGTGAACTTATGCTTTGTGCTTTGTATCAGCAGCAGACTTATTCCCTGTATCTTGTTGTTGCTGGAGGGCACGCAAGGTGTTGAGGTATGTTTCACGATAGATTTGAGAAAGTGGTGGTGGAACACCAGCACCAGCACCCAAACCAGCACCACCCAAAGAACCAACACCCAAAGGAAGAGAACCAAAACCTCCCGCTGCTGTATACGAGGCAGCACCAACACCACCGAGAGCCGGTAGGTGACCGGTTGAGGCATGTGACGCATGAATTCCTCTGGGAGCGTGATGTAGTTGACTTGATACTGATAACGATAATGGGTCATGTAGTGGATGCCTGGATAATGATAATGGATCATACGGAATGGCTCCTGGCAGTGTTGCCCTATGAGTGGGTGCCCTATGAGTGGGTGGTACCACTTGTGATTGGTTTTGCTGTTGCTGTTGTGGATCCAATGCCGAGTCACCAGCACGACCATCAGCACCTCTACGGTTCGAGGTGTCTCCCTCCTCCATGGATCCGTTGCTCCTATCCGATCGGTTGGTCTCATTGGCCGTCCGAAGGCGCAAGGCATGGCTTACTTTCTTATAGGCGGTTGCATAGTCTACTTCTTCCCAGGTATCGACGTCGCTTTCATACGAAACTTTTCTAATGAACCTGGCACCTGTAGCATGGATTTCTTTAATGATTTGTTTGGTAATCCTTGTCTTGTTGGGTCGTTTCGACTGGAGATACTCGTCTCGATAGCTGTTGACAATGAGATGGAAATCCAGGTTGCCCCTGTGGTTGGTTATATGAAAGCCACGTCCGCAGATTATATCAATGGGCTTTGCCACTACAGCTCTAGACTTGCTGTTGCTGCTGCTGCTGTGGTTGCTGCTACTGCTGCTGCTGCTGACCTTTGCTCTATTCTTGGTTATTGCTGAACCACTGCTACCCTCTGATTGCTGGCGGTCTGCGGACTCGCCTTGGTTGGTTGACATTCTGCTACTGCAACTGTGACGGGAAGGCTGGTTATTAGCACCTGTCTCTGTCTCGAAGGTTCAGTTATGTCGTATTTGAAACAATTGGCGTTCCAGTGGTGTTGGCTGTCATTCATTTTGCCAGGATGACGAATGCCTGCGGTGTGTCGTGCTGGCGTGTGAGGGCTCAACCCGGTGAACGGTGACTCACAGTCAGTCATCGCACCCGGGGGCTCATGTAGTACGAGTACCAGGTTACCTGGTACTGGCGGTACTGGTACACTACCGGTACCGTGTGTACCATTCATTTAAAACGTGCGATATTCTTCGAATCATCGTTGGTAGCGCGTTATCATGCGCATAAACACGTGGTTTGTGCAGCTGTTTCTCTCTCATCTTTCCCTACAGAATGTTTTGGATGCTATCTTTTTTCCCCTTCTTGTTCATTTATTCATCTATTATTAATAGCTACTTTCTACTTGTCTGGCTGGAAACAACAATAGCCACAAGGTTGGATTTAATTTTAATTAAAAAAAAAACCTTTCTATTGTTTTTATTCTATTTCGTGTGGCATAGCTTTCAAATCCCGCGCCATGTTCTTGTGGTGGGATTCATTGGTGCCTCCTCCAATCTCCAATAGTTTGGCATCCCTCCAGAGCCGTTCCACAGCATAATCTCCAACGTAACCATATCCTCCTAAAACTTGAATGGACCGATCCGCAACGGTTTTGGCCATTTGGGCACAATACAATTTGGTTCCATCCGCATCGAGTCCATTGCCATACGTCTCCAAATCCAATCGATTGGCCAGTGCATACACATAACATCGCCCAGCCATGTATTCCGCATAACTGGTGGTGATCATTTGCTGGACTTGACCAAACTTGTACAAATCACTTCCAAAAGCTTGTCGTTGGGAAGCATACTCCTTCATTACGTTAATGCTCCGTCGGGCAATCCCCAAGGCCATAGCCGCGAGTCCCAGTCGTTCCACCTCCAAATTGCGCATCATGCAGAGGGTGGCACCATTTATTTCTCCCACCACATTTTGCGGCGGTACCGACACGTTGTCCAAGACAAGTTCTGCGGTCGGCGAGGCTCTCATTCCCAACTTGTCCTTGATTTGTTGGCCTAATTCGAATCCAGGCATGTCCTTTTCCACCAAAAAGGCCGTAAGGTCTTGTCGTTCCGGTCCTGTTCGAGCATACACCAAAAACAAGTCTCCCGTCGTTTGGCCATTGTCAATGGTCCCATTGGTGATCCACATTTTGCGGCCACTTAACGTCCAACTATTTTGATGATTCATGGCGTCCTGGTGCTGCAATACCACTGCCTTGGTGGTCATGCCCAAAACGTCGGTTCCGGCGCCTGGTTCGCTCATGGCCATGCCACCAATAATCTCACCGGAGCACGCTCTTGGTAGATAGGCAAGCTTTTGTGTTTCACTGCCATTGGTGGATAGATTGTGCGTGAGGAGCAAGGAATGTGCCAAATAACTCAAACAAAAGGCGGGATCCGAGGCACTCAATTCTTCATGAACCATCACCACCGAAGTAGCGTCACCCATCATTCCGGATCCTCCATATTCTTCCGGAACAGTCAATCCGAGCAATCCCAAATCTCCTAGTTGTTTCATCAAAGGCAAATTGAAGGTTTCGGTTCGATTGAATTCCATGGCTTGTGGTTCGACCTGATGATGATTATTTTAAAAAAGTTGAGATGGATAATGATGAGTGAGTATAATATATGGTGTATATATGTGCGTGTGCATGTGTGTGTGTGTTTGTCCAAAAAACTTGGATGCGGCTTCCAATGATGAGAATAATGCCGGGAAATCTTTTTCTTCGTACCTCATTTTGGACAAAGTCTCGGAGCATTGCTCGCAATTGCGCATGTTCTTGGGTTGGGTTGAAGAGATCATGGAAGCTGCTGCTGCTGCTGCTGCTGGAAAGACGATGTCGTGGTTGTCTATATGTAGCAACAGGAGTGGAACCTTTTATTCTTGCCGTACGATACGCATGTCTAGCCAGATACTTCGAGACGAGTGATCTCATAGTAATGTGCGTGTGTAAGCATACAATAATAATTTGTTCTCAAATGCTTCAGCTTCCAGCGGATGCCAAGTTGTCAAGCTTGCATCGGGCTGCGTGATGGCGAAGATACAATCGATGTAGTATGGTCGCTTTATTGACACGGATGCGTGTCAGTGACGCAATGGATTCATTCTTGGGGACTGTCTTAGCCCGTAAGGTCAGGGCGCATACGCACAGACTGAAAATGACAAAAAGTTTTGAATCTCACAATAGAAGGAAGAATGAATGAATGAATCGCCCAAAGACGTCGTCGTATTGCTGTTGTTCCACTCGTAACAGTATCTGTACGTGTAGTTGTGGAATGATCAAGTTTTTAGCATACATTCTTGCTACCGGTAGGAGTCCTACCGGTACAAGCACAAGTCTCTTGTTGAAAAATGTTTTGCCATAGCCAGATAGTTTGAGACGAGTGATGTCGCTCATATTTTATTTATAAAATATATATTATTATCATAATAGATGTGTCAAAATGCTTCCTGCAGTCCTATTTTATCAGCTGTTTTTGTGCTTGCAACACATACAGTACACGTACCAGTACCGTAGCTACACAAATACATTACAGCATTGTCGCCAGATTCAAGATAGTTTGACACGATCTCATCAAGCAATACTTCTTTCTCCCCAGCAGAACAGTATCTGGTACGTGGTACGTGGTGCCTGGTACCTGGAACCACTCGTACCTCTGGTACCGATATACCGTAAAATAAAACTAGTGGCAGACAACACACACGGTTCTGATAAGTTCGAGAAAAGATTTACGCCCCTGGCATTGGACTACTTCGAACATTTATTAAAAAGTTAACCGACTACTTCGAACATTTAGTTCGTTTGTGCTGTTTGGATTCTTATTGGAAGTGTTCGTTTCGCATTTGAAAAGTTTTTGCGCTCTCCTATCAATTAGGAGGAAAAAGTCGTGATTAAACCCATTAAACAAAGAGACAAGAATCTATAAATCTTACCAAGACCAACACTTAACGAACAATAACGGCAAGAAAGTCTCACTATGTTTCTATTTGAAGTCCATTTGCGAAACCAGGACTGCGCTAGAAGTCAGTTTGGAAGAAGTCTCTTTGTCACGTACCAAACGGTACGGTACACCACACACCCTTCTGTGCAACTTCAATCTGTCCTACATACAAGAACAAGAGGCAACAAGCAACTGCTGACCAACAGCCAACATCTGACAACGTCTGTCAACATATACTATAGCAGCAGCCACCATGAAGCCTGGAGTGTCTAGACTTTCCACCGTGAAGTCTCCAGGAGGAAACTCTAAATCAAGGTTCAAATCGTTCAAGCGATCTCTTTTATCGTTTGTCCGATCACCAGCACCCAAGGAAAAGACCGAACGAAGGTCCTTTCCAACTCCGAGTACCACTCGAACGAATTGGGAATGTTCCTCTCCATCCGAAACTCCCAACTCCATTAGCACTCGAAAGGCCCACACGGTTCGTCCCTCTTCGCATCTTCCACCACCGCCCCTGTTTGATCCTTCCGTGAGCAGCACGACTATAGATGCTTCTTCCGAACCTACTCTTACCTCACAGCAACAGCAGCAGCAACAACAGCAACAACCAAAGCGCAAACAACGAGTCTTCAAGGATGGCAAATTGTTGTATGAATGGGAACAAAACTCGACCCATGTCACAATGCGATTGCCGGCCGGTTGGACTCTGGGCGCTCAAAACGATAATGTCAAGGTGTTGATTGCACCGTCCTTTTTGCAAGTGGGCAGGATTCACAAACATCATAATAATAGCCAAAAGGCTCGAATTGAATGGAAGTTGCATCATACCACGGGTGGGACGATTCATGTGGAAGGATCCACTTGGACTACCCCCGAAGAACATCAAATTCCTGATCAAGGCACCATTATTACGCTTTGCAAGGCCAAGGCAGGAGTGAATTGGGGATATGCCTTGCTCCACCATGCAAGAGAGGAGGTGCAAACCAAACTCTGCCGACCTCCACGTACCAAGCAGCGCCGTCCCAAGACGCAGCAGCAGCAGCAAGAATCGAAGCCAGCAACGGTAGAACAAGTTCGTCCTTCTGTTACCGAGAATGATGATGAAGAACCCATTAAGAGCCCAGGTCTCAAGAAGAAAAAGAAGAAACGAGTCGCCAAGAAGAAAAAGGCAACAAAGATCTCGTCTGCTGATCTCGAGAAACCAGAAGAACCCCAAGAAGAGAGTTCCTACTTTCAAGAAAAGCAAAAGTCTACGAGACGTTCTGGTGGTGAATACTCCTTCAAAACAAAGCCACAAGCAAAAGAACGAAAATCATCTACCAGCACTCACTCCACCAAGCCATTGTTCGGGGATGATGCCAGCGGTCTTTCCTACCCAGTATCTCCAACGACAAAGCGCTCTGGTGGCGCATACTCCATGAAGCCTTCTTCCTATAATCGTCTCAATATCTATGGTGACGAGAAAGCAGAACAGCCTGCGAGCGCCAAGTCCATGATGACGGACTATTCGGAATCGAGCATATCCCTGGACTATCCAGTATCTCCAACAACAAGACGCTCCAACAACAAGGAGTCCATCCACTCTCAAAATGCCTTGGACGAATCCAGACCTTCCAGTTGTTGCTATTCTCTCACACGAGAATCCTCTACCTTTAGCATTCTCGAATCCCCCAAACGATTCTCCAAGCCAACTTCCAGGATATCCATGGAAATCAAGTCACCCACCAACAAGTCAGGCTCATCGTCTCGATCGATTGACAAGTCGTCCTCGTCGACCAGGTCTCTTTCCAACGGCAACAAGCCAGCATCTCGCATCTCCCAGCAGCTCAAAAAACGAATCTCCTCCCCCAAGAAGAAGAAGATTCTGGTACCCAGCAAGGCCTCCAAAATGGACCAGCGAGAATCACTGTTGTCCAAAAGCAACAACAAGCGCAAGAGCAGCAACAGCGAATCTCTTGACTTTGTCGGTCATTCTTCCGAAGTCGACAAGGCCTTTCCACACAAGCCCTATCCCAATGGACAACGAACTTCTGTTTCTTCTTGTCAACAACAACAAGACCCAGAAATGGATCAGGCGCAACATCATTGCAAGCACAATCCTAGACGCAAGTCGGCTCTAACCAAGTTTTTGGAAAAGCCATCCACGCACAGCCACAATACGGGCAATGGTTCCAATTTCAAAAGTGTCATGACTGCAAACACCAACACGGCAGTGGTGGTTCAAAATATGTTGCAAGGGTGGACGACTAGTGGAAGGGAGGAGGCCAGCAAGGCAAATGACATCAAGAAGGATATTGCGCCAAAAGATGAATCCTTTTCCGATGGTTTCTTTAAGAATCACCAAGATGCGGAAGAATGGAACGATGATGATTTCCTACAGGAATTGGAAATGTCGTATTCGAGAACAGTCTCGATGCTTTAGAAGGACTTTATTTACCACCGCAAAGAAGTTTGAATTTTAGTTTTTTTCTATATATCTATGATGAATATCCTACACACAAGTGCACATATGAAGTGAATCAATAATTTTGTACCTATCCATCTATCCATTTTTCATATGCATGCATCTCTTATATTTATTGTACTCCCATAGGCTTATTTAACCCAATAGCCACTACTTTGACTATTGTACGGGTACTACTGTTTCTCTTCTGGTCCATGCATCCATTGATGGATTGATGGATTGATGGATTGATCATTGATTCTAACCGCGAACCAACCATTTCATGTCCTTGGCTCCATTATTGCACTTCCACATTTGCAAGGTCGTGGTGCGGTCTTGATTACCATTCTGGACGTCCAAGCACCTTGTGGTATCAAAGTCCAAACGGAGGGTCTGGTCGTCCGAGTCATAGGACCATTGGGCGTAGAACAGTAAGTCGCTATCACAGTCCCAAAGGACCAGGGGAGCTCGATTTGCGGCATGGTTCATGGCAAAAAGACACTTATTGTTGTCGCCCAGTAAGGACTGCATCACATGGGTTTCTTCATTCCAGATCCAACTTTGGGCAAGGGATGCATCGTCACATGGTTCCAAATGGATCGGTGTGGTGTTTTGTTGCCTATTTTGAAAGGCTGCTTCTGGGCCTTCTTCTTCTTGAACCGTCACACAATAGCCACGGTGTTTGAAGTTTTCGAGTCGGAACGAGTTGTTGGTGTCATCGTCTCCAGGTGGTGGGTCAACTGGAGGAGAGGTTGGCGGGTTGGAAACCGGCGCTGGAGTAATAGTAGCAGTAGGATTCGGTGCAGTGGGATTCGGAGTAGTAGGATTCGGAGTAGTAGGATTCGGTGTAGTAGGGCTCCGACTTGGCGCAGACGTTGGTCCCGATGTGGGATCGGGACTTGTATCATCGCCATTACCGACATCTTCCGTGGATACACAGCTGCGTGTATCCAGGTACTCGAGAATGGAATTGGAGGACTGAGACGAGACACCATCACTGCCGCTATTCAAACTGGATTCCATGAGAAATTCGCTGGCATTGTCGGGATCGCTAACGTGATAGGCACCCTGGTTTGATAGAGACAATGGCGATGAGACGAGGATGTTGACACTATTACAATTGAGCAATATGATGATGAGAGCCTACCATGTTGTGTCCCAACTCGTGAGCAAAAAGGTTGCCTTGCAGTTGAGTGTTGGTGGTGAAGGATAACTGATCTATACCATAGGACACGTCATCGCACAAGGCGGGGGTCGCGGCACAACCAATTGTCTAAATGACATGAAGAGGAAGACAGAACAAAGTGAGAGACAAGCAAAGACGCACACTCAAACTCTTGTCGACGATGCTACTTACGCTTCCAGGAAAGTCGCGCCCCACAAAAAAGTGAGCTACGTCTCGATTGACATTCGTTCTCGAGCTCTCCCAATAGTCCCGAAAGATTTGAAGTGCACCACGGTTTCCATCACACCCAATGTTCTCGGCATTTGCGGCTGAGGTGTATGGATCTTGCGCTTGGGAACAGAATCCTTCGAGGTAAGACAGCCGAACGCGAACGCAGATGGGTTCAAACAGTGTATCAGCTCGAGCAATTGCTTGTTCCACCAGAGTCCTGGCCGTACTTTCCGAGTTACTGGCAGCCTGAGCGCAGAATGTAGAGTCGTAAGCAACGGCAACTTCCACGACCTTGAAGGAATTGCATCTTTCTTGGAGAAAGCGTTTGTTTCTGTCCATGAGCTGGTTAGTGATAATATCAGCATTTCCTTCACCAAAGTCAAGGGATCGAAGCTTGTTCTGATCCATGTCTTCTGGACGAATCGTTACAAGGGTGCCATCTTCAAGGGCCTCCATGAGGACCTCGGAACCATCTTGACTGATAATGTCGATAGATTTGATTTCACCACCATTGTCGGCGTTGAAGTATCCTTCCTTGGCAACCAACATGGTTTCTCCTTGATCTCCTTTGCTCTTGAACAATCGAATTCGGTGACTCCCATCTTCCAATGGCCGAGGTTCTCCATCAATCATTATAACAGCATTCCGAGAATAGACGTCGAGTGGCTGCAAGTCATTGAGCGAATACATTCTACCATTGGCTTTGACAGTTCCATCGATAGATACTTTCTGTCTTTGCAGATTTGCGTTGGGAAGGATCAAATGATCCTTCTTGAATTTTTCCAATTTGTCTTTTTCATTGTTGCCGTTTCCTACTCCACGCATACGGACTCTCCTGTGGCTTTCTTGGGCATTTGCTGGATGGTGTGTGGCTACAAGTAGCCAGCCAAAGAGAGCAAGGCAGAGTATCATTGTTCAAATTGCGTGAGGTTAAGTTTGTTTTGGCTGAACAACAATTTTGATATTTTATGCAGTCCATTCGTGTTTAACACCCTACTATGATACTACGAGAATACCCACGACCAAATTGGCACGGCATCAGAACATATATGCCTGTTTTATTTATTGAATAATAAAGCTCGCGCAATTTACATAGGAAATCGCAGACCCACGAAAATCCGGCGAAACCCAAGACTGAACAGGAGGTGTAGTTTCCTCCTTTAAAAAAAGTCGTAGGGACTGGGGATTTCTCAGCTCTCTGTGCGAAACACATGAAGATGTTGGTCGTGCCTTACCAACTGGAATCTCAAACCGAAGCCAGATGTCTCATGTGTAAATACGCCATCCTTTTCCTTGCTCTGCACCCCGATAGTAGTCGAGAGGTTTACACCCTCAACTGATTAGTGTAGTGTACCCATGTGAAAAAGAGTGGTTGGGTTTTGAAGGCGATGGATGTACCCTAGGCTACAGTACCCTTAAGGGGGCGGGGGTATAACGGCATACCTAAATTACAATTCATCTAGCTGGTAGTGAGATGATGTGGGATCAGAGGGGAAATATGTATGATCTATAGTTTTCTAATCGTACATCTACTGTTGGTGCGCAAATACTCCAAGATAGGCAGCTGTCTGTAGGATAGTACCGGTAGGCGACCGATCAACGTCGAGGACTGGGAAAAGACACAGACTCTCTATGGACACGTGGCTCCTGCAAGTCTACAAACCATTCGGATTGACCTGTCCTTACAATTTCTCATCCAGCCTTCATGCTATATAGTGGATCTAGACATGCATATTCTGGTGTTAAGTTTGACTAAAGTTACCATAGGCTCCTTCTTTACTTCAGAGAATCTCGACAAATTGTGTGAATGCCAGGGCACTCTTTAGAATACATCGCCACCTGGAACAGTGACGGATTCGCCATAGCCGTATTGCCCATCGTGAAAAATTACAACGTTACCATCATACCACAGCTTGTAGTATGCGTCTACCAGCAGTGCAATAGAGGGTTCGTGAGTCGATTATTGAATAAACAAATGCACAGTCTTGGATTTAACACATCACACCTACCACCGATCATTCCATCGCCGTAAGAGTCCATGATTTTGAAAGTATGGACCCCGTCACTGCTCAAGCATTCCGTAGTATCGACGAAGTTTTCACCAGAAGGATAGTTGCCTCCTTGAACGACAACATTGCCGTTTGGATCGTCAAGCTGCCAGCTCACCTCCTCGCCCCACTCATCTGTTTGAAGCTCCAAACGAAACTCGTGGTTGCAGGATCCGGTGGGACTATTGACAGGAGGAGAGGTTGGGTTTTGAACCGGCGCCGGAGTTGGATTTGGAACCGGTGCTTGGTTAGGACTCCCAGCTGGTGCCTCGTTAACTTGACCACCTGGAACAGTCACAGTTTCTCCATCGGCGTACTGTCCGTCATGAGCAATCACAAGATTGCCATCGTACCAGAGCTTATAGTATCCACCTGCATTCACCAAAAGGTTCAAATCGACGATGTCTGTGAGATCCTCTGCGAACATGATGTAAACTAGAACTTGGATCCCTTTTCTTACATACCACAACACATGCCATCACCGTAGCTGTCCATGATTCTGAAAGTGTGCACCCCATCGCTCTGCAAACATTCGGTGACCTCGATAAAGTTCTCACCAGAAGGATAGCTACCTCCCTGAACGACAATGTTTCCACTGGGATCTTCAACCTGCCAGTCCACCTCCTCGCCCCACTGGTCGGTCTGCAATTCAAGGCGAAACTCATGCCCAGTACAATAGTCAGTAGGGTTGTTGACTGGAGGAGAGGTCGGGTTTGGAACTGGGACAGGAGTAATAGGAACCGATGTAGGATTCGGTGTAGGATTCGGTGTAGGATTCGGAGTAGGATTCGGTGTAGGATTGGGTGTAGGACTTCGAGTAGGATTTGGAGTTGGCTCCGGCGTAGGTTCCGGTGTGGGATTGGGAGTATCGTCATTACTGGTACCTTCAATGGACAGACAGTTTCGGGTATTCAGGTGCTCGAGAATGTAATTGGAGGACTCGGAGGAGACACCGTTACTTGCGCTATTCACTCTGCCTTCCATAAGAAAGTCGCCGGCATTTTCAGGATCGCTGACGTGATAGGCACCCTGATTTTTAAAACACAGGTTAGATGAGACTGTAGTTTTAACAATTCTCATTTGATACGGCGCAGACTTACCATGTTGTGTCCCAACTCGTGAGCAAAAACACTGCCCTGTAGTTGCGTGTTGGTGGAGAAGGACAGCTGATTCACACCATAGGACAACGAATCGCACAACGATGAGACGTAGGCACAACCGATCGCCTACACCAAATGGAGAGAAAGATAGCACAAAGTGAGATGCAAAGGTGTACAATCAAAGTCCCATCGACCATGTTATACTTACGCTTCCAGGAAAGTCGCGCCCAACAAAAAAGTGAGCTACGTCTCGGTTGACGTTCGCTCTCGAGCCCTCCCAAAAATCTTGAAAGATTTGAAGTGCACCCCGGGTGCCAGGGCCACCGCACCCAATGTTGTCGGCATTTGCCGCTGCGATGTATGGATCTTGAGCTTGGGAACAGAATCCTTCGAGGTAAGACAGCCGAACGCGAACGCAGATGGGTTCAAACAGTGTATCAGCTCGAGCAATGAAAAGCTCCACCAGACTCCTAGCAGTACTTTCCGAGTTACCAGCAACCTGAGCACAGAAGGTAGAGTCATAAGCAACGGCAACTTCCACGACCTTGAAGGAATTGCAGCTTTCTTGGAGAAAACGATTGTTTTTGTCCATGAGCTGACTGGTGATAAAGTCGCCTTTTCCTTCACCAAAGTCAAGGGTTCGAAGCTTGTCCTGATCCATGTCTTCTGGACGAATCGTTACAAGGGTGCCATCTTCAAGGGCCTCCATGAAGACCTCGGAACCATCTTGACTGATAATGTCGATAGATTTGATTTCACCACCATTGTCGGCGTTGAAGTATCCTTCCTTGGCAACCAACACGGTTTCTCCTTGATCTCCTTTGCTCTTGAACAATCGAATTCGGCGACTTTCATGCTCCAAAACTAAAGCTTCTCCATCAATCATTATAACAGCGTCCCGAGAATAGACGCTGAATGGCTGCAAGTCACTGAGCGAATACGCTTTGCCATTGGCCTGGACAGTTCCTGCGACAGAAACCTTCTGTTTCGGTAGATTTGCGTTGGGAAGGATCAAATGGTCCTTCTTGAATTTTTCCAATTTGTCTTTTTCATAGTTGGCGTTTCTTAATCCACGCATACGGAACCTCTTGGGGTTCTCTTGAGCATGGACCGGGAGGTGGGTGGCTAGAAGAAGCCAGCCAAAGAGCGAAACCGAAAGGAGCATGGTGGAAAATGTGAGATTGATTTTGTGGTGTCTAAAAAACAATGCTGATATTTTTATGCAGTCAATTCCTAGTCACACCGTTCCTGTCTGACTTATGAATACCCACGACCAAATTCCAACAGTAATTTTTAATATATGCCCATTTCATTTATGTAGGACCAATAGTTTCCCCGCAGTTTACATAAGGGAAATCCCAGACTCACGAACATCAAGCGAAACCCAAGACTGAACAAAGACGTGTACAATCTCCTCCTCTTCAACAAATATGCAGAATCATCTCAGGCACTTAAGCTTCTCAGTTCTCTATGCGAAACACACAATAATGTTGGTCTTACCTCACCGCTTGGAATTTCAAACTAAGGCAGATGTCTTCCGAATGGCTCTGTCAATATATGGATACAGTACTAAACTGTCACACACTCTTGCTCTGTTTCCCGGTGGCAGTCGAGAGGGAAACCTAACATTCATGCCTGTTTTATTTAGGACCAACAGCTTCACCCCCACTTTTACATATGTAGGAAATCATAGACTCAGGAACATCTAGCGAAACCCAAGATTGAAAAAAGGCGTATTGCCTCCTCCTCTTAAACAAGTATATAGAAGTATCATAGGGATTTGAGTTTCTCAATTCTTTGTGCGAAACCCACATCAACGTTTCTTGCCTCACCGCCTGGAATCCCAAACCCAAGCCAGATGTCTCCTTCTGATTGGCTACTACTAGGTATACTACCATGTCGCCATCATTGATACGACGATAATAAATAGTCGCAACCTCTTGATATGTATCCCAGTTGCAGCTTCCCATTTGAGCAGCTGTAATGTGAAGAAAACAAGAGGGAACATAAAGACGACGTACTAGTAGGTACTCTTAGCAGACGGGCGCCGACGAGGAGCTGTACTAGAGTAGCATACATTGCAATTCAAGTACCTGGTAGTGAGATGATGGGTCAGTGGCAAATTGTACCCGTCATAGATTGTTTTATGGTTGGATATCTACCGTTGGACTGGAAATGGTCAATACACATCCAAGAAGGTAGTGGAGTAGACAACTGAATATAAAATAACTTGCTCTCAGTCGACTCAATCGATCAACGTCGGGGTTTTTTTTTCGTTCAATATTATATAATATGCAAATTCGTCGAGTGTCGAGTCATTTGCTGTTCACAATGGCCCATTCTGTCTAAAAAAAGAAAACAGTTACAAGGGAATAATCCTTCTCTACCATGACGATCACCTGTTTGCACAAAGCTTGAAGAAATAAAACAGTTTGAGAGCAATCCAAAGTCTCCCTTGGTTGAGTTGGCATCCTTCAGATAACAATGAATCATCCTGGGAAGAGGCCACGTAACCCGCCGGCATCTGGCGCTAGGCCAGTCAATCTCCCACAAAGAGGGAGAATGAAAGTAGTGGTTCACAATGGAAAGCAGTTGTATCAATGGGATCAGACAACCAATCAAGTATTCATTGAAATCATCGCCCCACCACCAGACGCTTCAGTCTTTTGCAATATCAACGAAAATTATGTCCAGCTCGGGGCTCAGAGACCTGGACTTCCCACGGCGTGGTATCTGAACCATGACACAGGGGGCGCTGTGAACAAAGACGAGTCTTATTGGAGAAAGAGCAAGGAAACATGTAAAATTGTTCTCACGAAAGCAAACCCAGGGGTTGTTTGGCGATTTGCCCTAAAGGACGACCGTGATGAGTCAAGACAGCAGAAATCAAATCTACCTACATCGCGACCTCCGCAACCAATGGATCGGGTGCGGAGTCCAGTGCTACGACAGCAGCAACAACAGCGAGCATTACCTACAAAGTCAAGACCGCCATTTCGTGGGAGAGGAGTAGAGAGAGCAACCAAACAAGATCCTCCAACTACTTCGAAATCCACTAGCCCCATGCGCTCCCCATCTTTAGCAGCGCCGAAACCACAGCAGATGCAGCAGCAACAGACAACGGCACGGTCCCCTTCCTCTGGGCGAAGGCGAGCAAGGCCTGTTGTCACAAGTGCGACACCAGTCAGAGCAAAATCAACAAGCTCTTTGTTTTCTCCCCTCCAATCGGCGGGACAACTGCCACAGCAGCGCCAGCAGCCAAAACCGTCGAGATCACCTTCACCGGGGCGGCGAAAATCAAGACTTGCCAAGGAGGCACGTCCATCGCCGGTCAAGGCCAAGTCAACGAGTGCGCTGCCACCATCACCTGCTGCCATAGACCAACCACAGCAGCAAGCCATGACGGCCAGATCGACATCACCTGGACGACGAAAAGGAAGACCAACCCATGCATATCCTCCCCCAAGCCACTCGACAACTGCCCAGCGGCCGCAAGACCAACGGCCCAAGAAATCGAAATCAATGTCACCTGGGCGACGACGACGATCTGGAAAGGAAAACGTCCCGTCTTCCGAGAAAGAGACACCACGTGCATCTTTTCTTGATCGATTCAAAGCGTCGAAAGAAGGACAGCTGCAACAAGGTCGACAGCCTGCGGCAAAGAGAAAATCCGATTTCCCGCCATCGCTTCTCGATGCTCTTGAGCTCGAGCTTGCTGGCATTGCTGATAAAGATGAGGAACATCCCCCTTCACCGACTCAACGAAAACCGTCATCATCCAAGGAAGAATCGTCCTTTCCAGCCAAGGCAAAGCGGGCAGTTTCTTTTCTAACTCCACCGAGAGAGTCTGAAAAAAAGCAACAGCCAGAGACATCGCGATCATCTGCAGCGGAAGAAATAAACGCCAAACCAACCAACGCTGATCCTTCATCACAAACGAAGGGTAGGTCCTCCTCCTCCTTCCGTTCACCGTTGTCGGTGATACGGCAACGACAGCAGAAGCGGCCAGACGAACCGACACCGTCGCAAAGAAAAGAAGACAAATCAAAACGAAATCTCACGAGGCCCAAGTCACCTTCACCCGAGCGACGAAAAGATAGAGTTACAAAGACAGACCCTACGTCCAAAGTTCGCAGCTCACTCCGCACTCCACCTAGTTCAAATTATCCCAAAGGTGACCACAAATCGAAATCGAATCCAAAAGGTAGAAATTCCAACCAACAGACCGTGGCCATTGTTGGACAGCCTACCGAAATAAATAGCATCGGTCGCGGAAATCCAAGACCATCCTTAGCACAAGGGCCGTACATGCAGAAGTTACTCGAGGCGAAAGAGCTTGAATTGAAGTCACAAGAAGATCTGGTGCAAAAGCTCAATCGAAAAATCAACCAGTTGGAGGATATTATTGCTACACGTCGCCATCAGGACAAATCAAGAACGAAACGCAATGAAAACATAGCCTTGACGGTTGATGACCTCGAAGACCAATTGAATCAATCCGAAGCTGAACATCAACGTGAGCTCGAAAGATTAGAGAAGTTGAATCGTCGGGTCACAGCGGAACTGCAAGAGCAGACAGCATTGGTCAAAAGTATGAACAGAGAGTTGGGCAAGACCGAATACAAAATGGTAAAGCAACGCCGACTTGCGGAATTGCAGGCTCGAGAAATTCGGGACAGGGAATCTCTGATCGAATCGTTACAAGATCAATTGAAAGAAGATGGAGAAATGGAACATTCTGATCACCGAGTAATGGCGGAGCTACAAAAGCAAGTGAATCGAGTGAAAACTATGAAACAGGGAATGAAGGAATACAAACGACTATGGAACGAACAACGTCAATTTGCAGACATGCAATCTCAGCAGATTATGGAAAAGCAAGAAGTTCTTAATATTTTGTCTGCCAAATTGGAAAGGGCAAACCGTCGGACCTTGGAAATGGAATATGAACGAAAACTTGATCACTTGGATAACATTGACAGGAATCGGGCACTGGCCGAAAGTCAGGCGCGTCTTGAGGAACTGCAAAGGGAACACAAACAAGCCCTCGAAAAGACTTGGAGTCTAGAATCAGAACTGAAGGAACAAGTTCAAAATTGGAACGAAATGGAGAAAGTCATGGCCGAGACCCACGCAGAGATGGCGTGGATGTCGGAAAACCTGGATCCCGATAATAGGTACGAAGAACATTTGGTCAAGAAGGCAATAAGAGAATTGATCGAGAAGAGGCCGGATGGACAAGCTCGGGAGAGAATTAAGCAACTGGATTCAGAAATTGAGGAGCAGGAACGAGATTGGATCCAGTTGGAGAAAGAGTTGGATTTCGCACAAGGAAAGGTTGCTTCGATGGGGAGGCAATTGAGTTCGAAAAAGTTATCCGACTATATTCTTCCTGACACTCCCAGAGCTTCCGTGAATGAACATCTCGATCGTATGTCAATGAAGATGATGAGTGCTCGAAATCAATTGGAGGAAGCGAAGCGGCGAAGAATAGCACATTCGCAACGGCGGGAACCACATCTGCTTGAAAATGATCCGCCTGGAAGAGGAGATCGAGGCTATTAAAGGTTTTAGAAAAAGTGTTTGCAGACCCAGTCCTTTTCTTGTCTCTATTGGTATTAACAACTCTATTGTCTATAACATAATGTATGTAGTAACTGTTGTTGCATGGAAATCTATGTCATCGAATATGGGAGTTTCGTTTGCCGAAACTGTGTTCGATTCTCTACCGTGGATATATCTGAGGCATTCCCAGCCTCTACCGCGTCCATTCGTCCTTTTACCAAGCCTTCACGTGCGAAAGTGAGGTCATCGTCTAGTGATTTTTTCTGACGATAAGGTTTACAGCGAAAGTGAAAAAGGTGAGCTATTTTTTGCCGCGACTTTTTGATTTTCACATTGCCAACTATACAGTCGAATTGCACTTACTCTTCCCCTACTCAAAACGACAGCAAGTAACCCAGCGCCGAGAAGGAACGCTAGAAGTCCATGGTAAAATGTTATGTCACTTGATACCGAAATTCCAGAAAAGGTGGTACCAGTCGTAGCATCCGTGCTATTCACCAAGGCAGCTGAATATACCACTGTGTCTTGGCACTCGTCCTCTTCATAGCCAGAAATACAAAGTGGACAAGATCCGTCATTCAACTTTTTGCATGCCTCCAAGCATTTGGTGTCGTTCCCACAGCTCGATAGGGAACCAAAAAATGTACACGACGAGTTACTACTTTTCAAGGACCGTCTGGAAGCAGTGGAAGAGCAGTCATACCATTGACACAAATGCTGCTTGCTTTCCTTTGCGCAATCTGGTTCTGGACAGAAGGGTCCTGGTCCTCTGCAAAGTTTGAGGGAGTCTTTTGGATGAAACCAGCGATACAAGAAATGAGAATCATTTGTGTTACAGCTTTAAAAATAATTAAACCAACATCGCTCACATAGTAAGTTCGAAAATTCAAATGCTACGGTATTGTTCAATGAAAGGAGGAGGCAGAAAAGACTCCAATAATGCAGCTTTCGGTTCATCATGGTCCAGTATTTTTGAATGGACATCGTTTTGCAAATCGACCAAAAAAAGTATTCAAAATTGCAACGACTGACTGTGGCCCGCGCGCGCGTCCAAAATTTGGACTTTCGCTGACGTCACTGGTATTTTCGGCAATTCCACATTCCAAACAGAAAAGTGCTTTCACTACAATCTCTAGAGTATGATAGTAGTTTGGAATATATAACTTCTATTAGCACTATTAAATTACATAGACAGCATGTTCAGATAGCTGTCGTCCCTTGATACTGTATAAATGTCCCTTAGACAACTTGGTCATCTTGCTCCAATTGATAGGAGGAAGCATCGACTGGCTTTTTTTTCGAAAAGTTAGGAACACCTCGTGTGAATAGTCGCATTCTCCTATCCAAAGATCCAGTCAGAGCATGATCTGGCTTCTTTTTGCTCTTTCGATGAAGCATAACATTGGCCAAAATCACAGCAGCCACAAGAGCCACGGCGACAAGCGAAATCACAGTGAACCAGGTCTTGGCCGTGCTGGACTCACTAGTGGTGGTAGCACTCCCAGAGCTTGCGGCCTGAGAAACCACACTACTAGTACCGCTGCCAGAACTGCCCGAACTGGAACTAGATCCACTAGAGCCACCTCCAGAACCAGAACCAGAAGAGCCGCTACCACTACCACTACCGCTGCCGCCACTGCTGCTGCTAGTACCAGAAACAGAAATGTAGTTGCAACGTGGGTCGTTGCACTTTCCGTAGCTAAATGCCGTAGAGCAGTCTCCTTCCTCGCACTTATAAACTTGCTGGCATGTTCCTTCTTCGCAGGAAAAGTAGCAGCCAGTGTCACCAGCCTTACAGCGAGCAAAATCGCAACCGGAATCGTCTTGGGAGCACTGCTTATATTTTCCGTGGCATTCATGAATCTTGATTCCAGGCCCACACATCGGTGGAGGACAAAGAGGCATATGTGGACAGACATGGACCTTATCTACAATAGAACAGAAATTTTTGAGAAATTGTGGAAGATCAATTCGTCGATCAACGTGGGACTTTGTCTTACATAGCAAATTCTCATAGTTGAAGGCCCATCCTGATGGCAGAGCAATTAGAAAGATAAGGAGAGCTTGTGAAGCTTGTCGTAACGTCATTTTCTTTCAATTTACAAGATTATGTGCACAGTTGTTGGATGCAGACCGTTGTATTCCCGTGAAGGTCACAGGATTTGATTTGAATGTTATTGTTGATCGAACAAATTTTCGATACTTTGTGGTTGGAAGCAGTTTCCCAGAGCGATTTGATTTAGGCTATATATTTTTATAGCTTAGTCAGTAACGTAGATATGCTGGTCAATTACCGTTGAGGCTTTCATAAGTACTAGATGGCCTCATCAATACTTAGGCAAAATATCTCGAAATGGCGATAACCGCCCCTGGATAAACATCACTCATCTGTTTACTGTAATGGATTCAAATGACTACATTTCCCGTCGAAGAAGTGTTGTTTTCGGTCTCTTTCAGTACTATTTATCCACAGTTGGTGCACGTGCTCTTCCTTTTTTCCGAAATCTCACATGTTTCGATGCGTTGAAATGCAAACAAGCAGCACTCTGAGTACATGTATGCAACAGCTCCGATTGGAGTCGTGGTGAATTGGACACCATACGTGTTCACTCTGATACAGGCATTGACATAGCCAACGGATGCGCACCCAGGATTGAAATTTGAATTGCAAATCGAGGATGTGTTTGGTACTATCTAGGGTATGAGCAAGGAAAGGCTGCAGAGTTGCCCTATCGTCGCAGTTTTGGGCTTGTTCAAACGCATTGCATCATGTGCATGAATCGGAGATACAACTCATATACGTATTTTCCATATTGCTGCGCAAGCGATGCGTCAATGTACGATGCAGGCACCGGAACTTTGAAAAAAGGGCCCGCAATTCACCATCGTTTTTTGGTCCCACAACTACCCCATTTGACGACGACAAGGATTGAATTTTAACTGATACGCTGTTATTCAACTACTGGTAGGGATGAGCGATCGTTGAGTAAGTTGCTAGGAGAAGTCGTTCTTTTATGAACCTTCAAGCAAGACAGAAGAAACAATTCTCCATGGGAGGTTTCTTTGTGGCTTTGTGCGAAATATCAGTTGAGCAGTGAGCAAATCTGCGGTTGGCAAAACGTTCAGATCTGTGGTGGTGCTTTGTCTCGGAGATTCTTCGATCATGAGTCGCGCAGACAATGAGGAGGATAGCAATCTAGCTCTACCGTCTTTGTTTCCCAAACCCGTCATATTCCACTGAATACTATGTAAATTCTGGTAGCTCTTGTGTGGTTTCATGATCTTCCCTTTCCATATCTATCGACACCGGTTCTTCGAGTTGTCGCTTTGGGCCGTTTCCACAAAAGAAGTTTAGATACAATCCCACCAACGAGATCATACCAAAAATAGTATACAATGATCCAGCGCATGTCTGCCCGCAGCTGTCGTACAAGGCTGTAGCAATGGCTGGTGAAAACCCACCCACGATAGAATGAGCCAGATCGTAGCCTAGTGATGCCGACGTTAGTCTCACCTCTGCTGAAAAGCTTTCCACCATCCATGCTGACAACGGTCCACCGAAAAAGCTCAAGAGGAGCCCCAATATCAGTTGGCATCCAAAGGCGACATGGGCGTTTCCTTGTGAAATAAGCAGGAGCAAAATAGGACCACCTATAGTCAATCCAATTGCTGCCACTGACATGACGCGTATTCGACCAATCCTATCCGATAAGGCTCCAGCGACGGGCAGCATCAATGTAAGTCCGAGTACCATGCTTGTGGCATTGATCCAAAAGGCATCAGGAATAGGCGGATCTAACAGACGACTCATGTAAATCACCATCCATACAAAGGTCAAGAAAAAGCCTCCAGCCCAAAGGATGGGAACCAGCGATGAACTCAAGAGGGCTACTCGATTGCCCTTGGCAAAAGCCAGCCGAATTGGATTTTGAATTGGCGCATCCGCCCCGTCATGGACCCCTGCCGTGGTGCGGACATTGGCGCCGTACTTTTTCAACCATTGCGCAACTAATGCAATCAGAATTCCTGAAGAAAATGGAATCCGCCATCCCCAATTGACAAGTTGCTCCCTCGTCAAGGTGTCTTTCATGACTGCTCCCACAATATTTCCGAGTAGAGTACCTGAATTAGCTGCCATCATGGGCAAGGCTCCATAGAATCCCCATTGAGATGGATCTCTACTTTCTACTGTGTACACCAGCGATGCTGGTAATTGTCCTCCTACGCTGATTCCCTGTAGCAACCGACATATGCAGAGGCAAATGGGAGATATGATACCGGCAGTTTGGTAACTAGGAAGACACCCCATAAGTGTTGTTGGTATGGCCATGAGAAAGAGTGATTGCGTCAAGGCTTGCTTTCGACCGTATTTATCTCCCACATAGCCAATCACCAAACCTCCGATCGGTCTCACGAGAAAGCCGCCGCCAAAAATGACAAAGGAAATGATCAGATTGCTGTTATTGTTCGTGACACCTCCTTGGTCATTATCGGGAGCTGGAGGGAAGAATACTTGGGCAATGATGTCGCTAAAGAAGCCAAATAAAGCAAAATCATACCATTCGAGAACATTGCTGCGAATGAAGGGAGAAACTTAGTGGGAACATGCTTTAAAATAAATAAACATGTCGTCAGTAAAGAGTCGTACCCCATGACTCCAGCGATGGTATTGAACCATGATTCTCTCGTTCTGGAAAAAAATGCTTCGTCTTCTCGTGTCGTTTCGTCAGTATCCTCCTCAGCCATCATGCTATCAGGTGAGGTGTAAGATGTTGGCAGCTTGTGTCGACAAACCAAATCGGTTGGTTTGGGGTTCGTTGTCATTTTATGACATGAAATCGAAATATGAACGAATCAAGCATCATGTGATTAGTCGTATCAGTCAATCGAAGGACGGCAGCACACACAATACCGGTATACCGGTACGTTACAATATAAGCATCTGTGATCGATATTCTCGCATTGCACGATATCAATACAGTAGTGTATTTCAAACTTTCTGCTTCCGTCTAAAGACAGGAACAATGCGATGACCACATTCATTCGAGAAGCAGAGCAATGGATTTTGAAGCTGAAGTTTCCGAGTTTGATGACCTGGTTCAGAAAATGGATTCCCTCCGTCGCCAGTTCCCGAAGGAATGTCACCGTGCCATTTTGGGCTTGAGTGAGCTGAAAGACCTGGGTGAAGCCATGGGCGCCTTGATAGACACCTTTGGTTCAGATGCTTGCGTCTTTGCACTTCTCGTGGTACAAAAAAACTTTGGACCACATCAGGGCGGAAACTTTGTCAATATTGGTAGTTATAAGCAGCAGGAAAACGAGATTCTCGACATATTGGCAAGGCTATATTGCAACGCGAAGTCGTTCCGTGGTGAATTAAGGGTGAAAACTGAAGCGTTGCCCTTGTCACCAATCGTACAAAAGGCCGTGACATGCACCTTACAAAAGAACGAGCAATTGAAAAGAGAAACCAAAGGCATTGGCTTCGTTTCATGCTTATGCATAAGCAACCTCCTATCAAACGCACGAGTGAGAGAGCTGTTGGATCAATTTTCATTCAGCGGGCTGTTCAGCGAACTTTTCCTCTGCATCAATGCTTTTCAATACTTTGGGATCGTGCGCCATGACGAAGACGATGGTGAGGAAGCTTCCGTCGAAGATATTGATAGAGTGCTCCGCATATTACGAGAGGGATCAGTAGAAGTGCTTCGATGCTCAGCGGGAAGCGTACCTGTCGAGTTTACTCGTGGACTGATCGATATATTGAAAAATGGACGCATTCGTAAGCTTCATTTCGAATCATTTTCATGGAATGATGTAGATGATTCTGTGAGACATTTGTGCACTGGTCTGAAGGCATACAAGCAAACCATCGAATCAGAAGATAATGAAATCGATGGTCCTGGCCTAGAGTTTGTCGAATTGAAAGAAAACAATGGTCTCCCCGGGTGGAGAAGAGGGAATGCCTGCAGTATCGTCAAGGCGCTTGAAGGAATTTCATCACTTCGCCATCTTCGTCTCCTCCTAGATTCGGAAACAACCAATGCAGTGATTCAATCATTATCCAAAGATTTGTTGCTGCATCCTCAATGCAAGCTGAAAGAATTAACTTTAGGGGGGAAAGGGATTACAGCCGACGATAGCGAAAGCTCGGATGCGGCATTGGCTGAATTCTGTGAAGCCATTGCGCATTGCGGTTCGATTCGAGCACTGAGGATTTCTTGTTTGCCATTTGATATCTCGAAACTATCTGTATTGTTCGACCATATGGCTTCTCCTGGCTGTCTCATCGAACAATTTCATGTTGAATGGACTGGATTGGCCTTTACGCCCGACGATATTGCTGTCCTTGCAAAGTCTTTTGAGAATACGAACCCAAAGCATTCGCAACCTTCCCGTGTTCGACGTATATCGAGTCATTGTGGGACGACACTTGTGATGAACCAAGAAAGATTTCGGCGAGAAGAAAGGTTTCGACAAAACCTGCAAACGAATCTTACCTTGCTAAGGGACAAACTCCCATATCTCATCTCATGTGAGCCATTTTCCTATTGCTCCCTTCGGCACCACTTCCCCTGTGACGATAATACTCCAGGTTTTATCATTTCCAATTTTGATATCATTCAACAGATTGGCCTTTGGGAAGAGCGCAATCGATGTGGGCGAGCCTTGCTGCTCGAATCAGTGGCACCCACCGTCCCCACTGGATTTTGGCCCACAGTCCTGGAAAGTGCTGACAAAAAGGCTTCTATTCTCAACGACAAAGGGCCGTCTGTTGACGGAATTCACTACTTGGTACAAGGTCTAATCGCAGCTAATGTAATTAGTGGGGATTCATGGGGGTCAGCGGAAGGAAGACCACAGGAGGCAACCGATTTAGTGCAACATCGAAAAGAGGAGGGAAGTCGCCTCAAACGGCAACGAACTAGCTAGGACTATGACTCTGGTTTGAGCCATTCGTATTCTCTGCATGTAGGAGCTCTTTGAACCTTGCCATATCAAGTACCGGTACAATGTACCGGTACGCTATAGTTGTAATGTTGGATTTTCAATTATTCTTTCCTCTCCCAATTCTTCGAGAATAGTCATCCCCTCCCTCTTATTCCCGCATTAGAAATATTGAATTGCTTCCATACGTTGGAGCATGATGATCACACCTCATGACTCATCAGTCACGAGTTGAAATCATGACTGCAATGGATACGACCGCTGATTCATCAGGTGGAGTGGAGAATGTAATATACTGGATTAACGAGGAATATACGACAGTATATTCCCAAGTACAAATGTACGAATGGAAAGTCTAAGAAATAGTAGTAAGCTCGGAAGACGAGAAGATCTGCAGTACATGCAATTCTCATTGTCTTCCGAAAATCAATAAAGACGAAAGTAATTTATAGCACACCTACGGTGCTTGATCTTATCTGTTCTTAGACTAGACAGGGTAGTCACTTGACTGGTGCTACCGATCGGCATCCAAGGCGTTGTTCCAACGTTTTCGGAAGACAAAAATGCCATCTGAGAGCGATGGCAGAAATGCGTCGCCCCCCGACTTCACCACCAGCAACTCACCTCAAGGTGGTAATAATGGAGGTGGAAGTGAACGACGTAGAAGACAGAGGGGGAAGAGAAACAATCGGTCGCAAAGCACCAAGTCCGAGCCACCTCCCAATGCAGCATTGAAATCCCACTACTTTGATTTCCAGGGCCAAGACTGGCAGCAGCCCCCGTTCCTAGACGTTGTGAAGGCTGTGACAGAGTACTTTGCCGGGGAAAGATCAAGCGCAACTGAATATGTGATCGTGGGCCTGACAGGAGAATTCGCACTCCCATCCATCACGGAACCTGCGGACCCAAGCGACCCAGACAACAGGGTCCTCTTCGCCAAATGGGAAGGGGAATACAAGGACTTCAAAAGGAAGCAAAAGGATAGAGAGGCCAACGAAGGAGCCTTCTTCGGTTTATTGATGCGTCAATGCACTGAACAGTTTCAAAACGCCGCCCAAGAGCACCATGAATGGAATAAGGTTCAATCCAACATGGACACCATGGGGTTGCTTCGAATCTTCCAACATCTCACAGCCACAGGAGGAGCCACCAACGTCGATCCGGCTATGTCGAAGTACCAGGCCCAGCAGAGATTTTACAGTTGTATCCAGGGCAGCAAGATGACGAACGCCGAGTACTATTCGCGCTTCATGCATCATGTGAACGTGGTCAAGTACTGCAAGGGAGCACTGGGAGCATCGATTGCCGCATTGGAGGACGCATGCAGAGAAGCAAAAGTCAACAGCACCCTTGATGAAATGAAGAAACTCGAAGCAAAGGTGATGGAGCGAGAAATGGCAATGGCATTTCTCATGGGCGCTGACAAGAAGCGATATGGCAACTTGATCGCGCAAGCTACCAACGCTCGATTGTTGCATAACGGAGCCTCAACTTTCCCAACGACCATGGCAGGAGCTTTGGAGCTGTTGAACAATGGGCAACAGCTTCAAATCACGCAGAGTGTTGTCCGAACCTCCGATGTGGGAGGTGGAGCATCTTTTTTCACTGAGGGCCAGCCATCCGATCAGAACGGAGCCGGCAGGCGCGAAAATCCACGTAGAAACGGTACTGGAGGTCGTGGAAATGGAGGACGTGGCGGTCGCGGCGGTCGCGGACGATTTGAGCGAAACCAACCTGAAGATCATCAAGACGACCAAGCCCACATCAACAACAACGACGCAGATACTGATAACAATAACACTGGTTCTGGAGAGTATTTGAATCCTTTAGATAATATAGCCGATCCGAGCAACGATGCGGAGGCTCTCATCGCGAGCGACGCGATAGATGAAGATGTGACAGCTACGGAGCTGCTCTTCCTTCAATCAGACAACATGCACGCACAGCTCATCCTCAAGAGGCACCCAACATCAGGACTTCCGGTCACCTGGTTGATCCTTGACACCGGATCCACGGCAAACATCTTCTGCAATGGATCGCTACTACGCAAAATCCACAAGGTCAAGAAAGGATTAAGGGTGCGCTGCAATGCAGGAGTCGTTGAATTGAACATGAAAGGGTTTTTTGGAGATTATCCGGAGGCGGTGTGGTTCAACCCAAAAGGAATAGCCAACATTTTTTCCTTCCACAACATGAACAAACACTGCAACATCACATACGACAATGCCGCAACCGACCGATTCATTGTTGATTTCAAAAACGAAAAAATAGAGTTTCTCCCCACTGACAAGGGGTTATACCACATGGATCTGAAGGACCAACTGAACTCGGCTTGGAATTTCTTCGAGACTGTGAAAGGGCAAAAGGCCAAGCACACCAAGGCATCAGTGATCCGTGCAGCCAAGGCTCGCCACATTCAAAATATTATTGGACGACCTGGAGACCGAAGATTCACGGACATTGTAAACAACAATCTACTGCGCGATTGCCCAGTCACGTCCGAAGATATCAAAACGGCCACCAACATATATGGCCCCAACTTGGGATCGCTTAAAGGTAAAACGACATCCACTACGGACGGTCATGTACGCACAGAGATTGGCGCTATTCCACCACACATCAAGGAGCACTATTCGGATATCACGTTGGCAATTGACATATTGTTTGTCAACAAAATGCCTTTTTTGGTGACCATCTCCCGCCACATCAAATTCGGGACAGTCGAGCGCCTTCACAACAGGCAAATTCCCACCATCAAAAGAGCTCTACAAAAGGTCATTGCGCTCTATTCGCGACGCAACTTCAAGGTCATTTCCATTCTGGGCGATCCCGAATTTGAACCCCTCGAGCAAGAATTCCCCAATATTCAAGTGGACTGCTGTGGCGCTGATGAACATGAACCTACCATTGAACGGTTCATTCGCACCATAAAGGACAGGGTCCGCAGCAACTACAACATGCTCCCCTTCCGCCGCATTCCCAAACTGATCCTTGAATATTTGATCCGCAATGCAGTCTTCTGGCTCAATGCCTTCCCAGCTCTAGATGGAGTATCCAACAATCTGTCACCTCGATACATCGTCACCGGTCGCCAGGTCACCATGAAACATCATGTCCGAACCGAATTTGGGGCGTATGTCCAAACACATGAGGAGCACTCCAATGACATGCGCTCCCGCACCTTGGGAGCTATCTGTCTTGGACCAACCGGCGCTGCTCAAGGCTCCCACTATTTCATGAGTGTTGCTACTGGCAAGCGAATCTCCAGACAACACTGGACCACTCTCCCAATGCCAACTGAAGTGATTGATGAAGTCAGCCAGAAAGGGCAACAACAAGGCATGCCTTTGACACTCACATTCGCAGACAGACATGGAAGAGAACTGATAGACGATGATGATGACATCGATGACGACCATGACTCTACCTACAGTTACTCAAGCGCCTCTGACAGTGAAGACGACCTCAGCTACGACAACGACAGCCACAGCGATTCTGACGTTTCCGACGACTCCGATCCGGGCTCTGACGCTGATTATGATGACGATAGTGATGATGATGATGAAACTACTGGTAATGATGATGCAGATGAAGCTCCACCAACCGGCCAACCACCAGATACTGCTGGATTGCCCGCAGGAGTGATCCAACCACCACATCAGATGGCAGTGGAGCCACAACAGCATCAACTCCAGCAACATCAGCCACAATTCCCAGATGAAAACGCCGGAAACACAGGAGTGGGCGGCGCAAACAACAACAACACCGGAAACACAGGAGTGGGCGGTGCAAACACAGGAGTGGATGCCGGAAACACAGGAGTGGGCGGCGAAAACGCAGGAGTGGAATCAGAAGATGAAGAGGATGAGGAAGCACGGGCACAAGCAGCCGCCGATGCGGACCTGAACGATCGAATCGACGCATTGGCAGAGGAAGTGCAACGCGACATACAGCAGAGAGAGCAACTTCTCCCAAACAATCAACAACAGATCGAGGTCGAAATGGATGCTGCATACGGCCCCAGAAATCACGGTAGAAACTTGCGCCCTAGGAAGAGGCCAACTACACATGGGGACCATCAAGTGATGATACACGTCCCACACCGAGACGAACCAGTCCCAGCATACCAAGAAATGATAGCACTCTTCAACCATGAGGTGTCATTCCTGACAGAGCAAATGTCAGCGAAGAAAGGACTAAAGGTATTCGGAGACAAGGGAGCAGAAGCGGTAGTGGCCGAGATGCACCAAATCCACTATAGGAACGTCCTGTCACCAAAATTCGCGCACGAACTCACCAAGCAACAGAGAAGGGATGCGCTGAGATATTTGATGTTCCTGAAGGAGAAGCGATGCGGGAAAATAAAAGCTAGAGGTTGCGCTGATGGAAGGAGCCAGCGACTGTACACGCCAAAGGAAGATGCTTCAGCCCCTACAGTGAGAACCGAATCATTCATCATCACATGCGCCATTGATGCCAAAGAAGGGCGAAAGGTGATGACAATTGACATTCCCGGAGCCTTTATGCAGGCAGACATCGACGACGTTGTCCATGTGAAGTTTGAAGGCGAGATAGCCAACCTGCTAACCAAGGTTGATCCGAGCTTGTATACAAAATACGTGGCGTATGAAGGAAAGAAGCCAGTGATCTACGCTCAGCTGAACAAGAACTTGTATGGGACCTTAAAAGGAGCCATTCAATGGTGGAAAAATCTTTCCGAGTTCCTCATTAATGAATTGGGATACGAAGCGAACCCATACGACAGCTGCGTGGTCAATAAGACAATCAACGGTAAACAGTGTACCATTATCTGGCATGTTGATGATTTGAAAATCTCACATGTCGAGCAAGAGGTACTTGATGATTTGGCCGACAAGCTAAGCGAACGGTATGGCAAGGAAGCGCCCCTCACTATCCAAAGAGGAGAAGTGCATGAATATCTTGGAGTTACAATTGATTTCAGCGAGAAAGGGAAGGTGAAGTTTTCGATGGACGACTATGTGGATCGTCTACTGGAAGAGGCACCAGAGGATATGAAGGGGGTAGCAACATCACCGGCCGCGAATCATTTATTCCAAGTCAAGGACAAGCCTACGTTGCTAGATGACAAGAAGGCTGAACTCTACCACCACCTTACCGCCAAGCTGCTGTATCTATGCAAGCGAGTACGAGGAGACATCATGACCGCAGTGGCTTTCCTCACGACTAGAGTTTCGAGACCTGATGAGGACGACTATGCCAAGCTCGCGAGATGTATCAAGTACCTGAGAGCGACCAAATATATGCCTCTTACCATTGAATTGGGAGACGAATTCATCATGCAATGGTGGGTAGACGCGTCATTCGCAGTGCACAATGACATGAAGAGCCACACCGGAGCAGTTTTAACCATGGGCAAGGGAGCCATCATTGCCATCTCTACCAAGCAAAAGATCAACACGGACAGCTCTACAGTGGCCGAACTAGTCGGGGTACATGATGCACTACCTATGATCATGTGGTCCAGATATTTCATCGCATCTCAAGGCCATACGGTGGTGGACAACGTTATTCACCAAGATAATCAAAGCGCCATCTTGCTCGAGAAGAATGGAAGGAAGTCATGCGGCCGCAAGACAAGGGCATTGGACGTCAGGTATTTCTCTATTACCGACAAGGTTGCCCAGAAGCTCATGACAATCAAACATTGCCCCACTGCAGAGATGTTGGGAGACTTTTTGACGAAACCTCTACAGGGAGCACTGTTCCGAAAGTTCAGAGATCTAATCATGAATTACTCAGGCCAATCCAACTGATGACTCGGGCCGCAGGAGTGCGTTGGAGCATGATGATCACACCTCATGACTCATCAGTCACGAGTTGAAATCATGACTGCAATGGATACGACCGCTGATTCATCAGGTGGAGTGGAGAATGTAATATACTGGATTAACGAGGAATATACGACAGTATATTCCCAAGTACAAATGTACGAATGGAAAGTCTAAGAAATAGTAGTAAGCTCGGAAGACGAGAAGATCTGCAGTACATGCAATTCTCATTGTCTTCCGAAAATCAATAAAGACGAAAGTAATTTATAGCACACCTACGGTGCTTGATCTTATCTGTTCTTAGACTAGACAGGGTAGTCACTTGACTGGTGCTACCGATCGGCATCCAAGGCGTTGTTCCAACGCCATATATCGAAAACTTCGTACCACCAGCTTCCATCTCGTTTTTCACGGAACACGAAGCCCAGCGGCAAGGAAGCTTACAAGGTGTCGAGTGTGGAAGCGACAATATAGACATTATATATTAGTATTTGTGGACAGCAAAAATTCGTTTCCTCTCTCCTTGCTAAATTTTAACGACGTGCACTACAAAATCAAAAATGGAATTCAAGAATACCAAGAAGAAGCGCTTCCCTTCGTCATCTGATGAGGAACTAGCAACACCCGAAAAGGTGGAATCATGGCCGCGGGCTGTGACTGAAAGTCCAAAAAAGAGACCAAAGCACCATGGTGACGAAAACCAAAAAGCAGTATCGGGAAGGGTGAAGGAAGAGAATACTACTACATCTACCGAAGGAACAAGCCACGTCGAAAGAAAGCCCAGACCTGACAGCGTCAAAAAATATCTATTGTCAGAACTTGATGCAGCAAATGATAGTACAAAGGAAGGAGATCATACTAAAGTGGCTGCCACTGGAGAGACAAAGATGGGGTTCGGACGAAAACATAGAGACAAAACATATCGAGAAGTTGTCACGAAAGACCAAGAGTACGCCCGTTGGGCAAAGAACGAGCGACGTCACAAGGGGGTTTCTGGCCCGTTGTCAAAATTCATGGAATGGTTAGATAGCCCGGAAGGTCAAAATATAGAGGAGGGCAACCAGCAGTTTACTTATGGCACTTACCACGGTAAATCTTTCAATCAAATTGCAGAATCTGATCCCAGCTACCACGTCCGCTACAGGAAAGCACTCGAGAAGAAAGGGAAGAAACCGGGCGAACAGCTAACTCGGTACATTAGCTGGTACAAAAAGGCTATCGGAGCTGATCCCAAAATAATCTCTTATCCGAGGAAGAGTGGGGATAATCAGCGATTTACTTTTGGGCAGCACAAGGGCGCAACATTTCTTGAGGTGGCCAGAGGAGATCCATCATACCATTTGAGATATATGGCTATGGATCCGAATGTTCGCTCTAAGCGGAACGAATTCAATGCCTATGTCGAATACTTTGAAAGCAATTGGGATTCTTGCGATTATGAAGCTTATCGGGGAGGACATGATGATTGGAATCCAAATTTCGCTGGTGGCATCATATATTGATTTGGAAAAATGTTTGTGAGCCGCTGCAAAGGATATCGCCGTTATTAGTATTCTGTGCATGTTGTATAAAATTGCTCTTAAATCTTACAACGCCTAGCTAGCAAGTACTGATATTCTCAAGATCAATTTGATTATTCGGTTTCCATCCCCCGAATGAAACAGTCCAATCAATCATCCCCTCCCTCTTCCTCTTCTTATCTTCGTTGAAAACACGAAGTAGAATCCCCTGTGGCGCAGCGACGATTTCGTTGAACATCATCAACATTTCCAGCGTGTAATTTGTTCCACGAAGCACAATGTATTGGCCCCTATCTGTTATGTGCTGTATTAGCTATTCTGCAGTATTTGTGTTCGTAGCTTGGCATGGCTTGCCGTCGATATGATTACTTTTTGCTAGATTTCACTTTAACTTTGCCCTCGGCTCGCTTCCGTTAGATGTGAATTTTCGAATCCTCCGACTTCTTTTTGAAGCAATCGCAATCAATCATCATCAACGCGTGCATCTGTAAATAGAAACGATTCTTTCTTATTGCTAAATCCTTGACACCTTGGCTGCACCCGTCATTACCATCGTGGCTTTTATTTTAATGCTCTACAATCTTGAAGTCTAGTTCGACCATGGCGATTCTTCCGATACAAAATGCCATTTCAATACTAATCTGTTGCACCGTCATTCTTGCGTTGCTCCCAACAATTACATCTGCGTCGATGGACATCAATTGTGACGATGATCAGTACAAACATTCATTACGATGCTTTCTACATTCCTTAGAACTTCCAATACCGGACCAAGAGTTCAAGGAATGGCCAGTCACATTGTCGATAAAAGGCATGTCCTGTTCGGAAGTCTACATTCAAGACATTACTGTTCAAACTTCATCCTCTGGTAGTGACAGTCAACTATTCAATATTACGGTCGGTGAAGTATCTGCCACGTGTCATGGAAAATATCATGCCACGGGTGGAATCGGTGGTGATTTACAGGCTACCGTTGCCCCTCAACCGGCAGTTCCCGCAGTGCAAGTTCACCACCAAGTCGATTCGACTTCTGAAAGGTCACCCATTGCACCTAAATTCAGCAGAAACAGCAGCACGCTGTCTGTTTTATCACCGAGCAAATTCACAACACAATACTGCCAAACGTATGTGGCAGCCACGGCGATCCATTTCACGGGTTCCATAAGTGCGAAACTCATTCAGGCATTTGAAAGGCCCATCAAACATTATCTGCGCGAGACCTTGCAAAAGACGATATGCCCACTGTTGCCACAAAAGTTGGACCCGCTTATGAATGAATACTTGGACAAGTTCAATGACTGGAAGGATCAATATCTTCCAGCAGCACCATCCATAGCACGCGACTCATTAATACTGTCAACACCGACAACAACGGCACAACAAAGACGACTGACGCGTGGTGGAAAATCGGTCCAGACAGTCGAAACTGGCAATAGTAGTGCGGTCAGCAATCCTTTCCACTGGAACGTCCCTGCGACCGTTGTTGGCTTTCTCGAGGACGAGTTGACCAATCACTGGCAAAATGGTTGGCTATTGTTCAGTTCTGCCAGCCAAGACTACTGCGATGCAGATTGTCTACCCTTTACAAGGGGTTTTTCGGGCATCATTCCCGAGCACAACCAGCAGATTCCTTTGTTAATAGACAAGAGAGTACCTGTGTTTGACGAACGCTTGCAGCTCTTCATTCCAAAGGTACAAGTCTGGGGGATTCATTCGATCGATCAAGTTTCGACTTTTGGAATAATGACCAATCACTCGGTGGTCGTATTGGTACCCAGTATGGAATTGACCTTTGTGGACTCTCGGAACCAGCTGAAACTAGTGTTTGATGTGGCATTGAACATTTCTTCCCTCTCTGCAAAATGGGATGGATTGGTCCAAGTCAAGGAATGGGAACAGCTGAAACTCTTGACGATTATTCAATCGCTGGAAGACTACATCAATACAGGAGATATATCAAAACTATCTTGCGTCTTGTCCACAATTGATTCTGTGGAATTAAGCGAACTGATCACGGGAATATCGAGTGAATCGCTCCTCATCAAACCAGTGGCAAATTCATCCAATGAAGATCCATTGGAACGAGATGTGGACATTGCTCTGAGCACTGTGACAACACAAGTCTTGCAGGAGTATGCTGAACTTTGGACATTGTTAAGTCAAGGATTGGTAAAGGGACCTGTCAAGGAACTCGTCAACAAGGTCGTCAAGGATTGGTTGGCATCCCATTCCCAAGTAGATAGTTGCAATCCGTTGACAATGGAAGATGATCCCGAAGATAAGCCTTGGTGGCTGGATTTTACAAAGTGGAAGATGCTGTACGAATTCAATGACTTCTTGAAAGGTCATACAGACGGACTCAATCATTACATGGATTGTATCCAGCGGACAATACAACACATTGTGCAATCCCAACTGGCACACTCCAGCTTTTTCGCAAAGAATTGGAATACTCTGACAGATGTCCAACTCCTACAGCCATTGAACAGTACAGTTCTTGGATCCAAGGCGTCGATCGGTAGCCAGTTGGGTCTTTCTGAGATACCACAAATGACACTTTCGCTCGAAGTCGACAATGCGACGATCATTGGGAATGCCACCGTCAATATCACTATTTTTGCCAGCGCCCATGCTGATACGTCAGCGAGTATCAAGTATGATTTGAATGTACTAAAGAATGTGACGGCGGAAGGCTTTCTGCAAAATGGAGAGTGTGGCATGGTGCCAGCGGTCCAATTCCACGTTTTGCCGGAAACTAGACTTGAATTTGAGACTGTTGGTGTGAATGTGAGCATTCAAGTGTCAGAAGCCAACCAATCCATCCTACTTTCTTCCATGGACTATGGTGACCTTGTCGCCCAGGAAGCCGTAGATTGGGGAATTTCGTTGGCCAGTGCCTGGATCAATCAGGCCTTTGATGACTGGTTTGCCTTTCAGCCGGGTACTTGCCCCGGAGTCAACATCGATCGTTCCAAGCCAGACGATAATGGTTATCCATCTTGGATGCGCTACCCACTTGTTTGGGTCGCCTTGGCTTTTGTCGTCTTGGGACAAGCTGGGTTTTCTTTGGTTTTCCGGAAGGATAGCCAAGAAACGGAAACGATGACGGCTCAAGATGTGGAATACTCGTTGCAAGAGCCTCTGCTCCGGGGAACGTCCGATGAATTGATGGAGCCAGCTTCCATGACGCTGGAAGAACAAAGCGACGCCTACGACCAGAACATTTTTGATAACATGAGAAATCTTGATGAATCAGTTCTATCAGATGTTCGAGAACAGTTATGGGACGACGAGCAAGGTCACGGAGAGACCGATCGGGGATTACCAAACAAGAGCAAATCTCTTTTCCAATCGTCGAGTATTTTCGAACCAGTTCGGTTTCTGTTTCCGATTGGTGCCTTCGGAACCATGGTGATACTGTTGGCGAGCAATTTGAATGTTGGTGCTTCGGTCAACCTATCCCTAAATCTCGGAGGAACCAACACGTTTGAAGTGCCAGGCGTGTTTGAATTCAGCCTGGTCAATACCGTTACTGAATTTTATCAAGCAGGGATTTACCCGTTGTTATTTTTGGTGGTGGGATTCAGCGGCATCTGGCCCTATTTGAAATTGCTGTTGTTATTGCACGCATGGGTCAGGCCCTATCCCAGCCGACACGAACGAGAAGCTCGACTGTTGCGACTAGACGCCTTGTCCAAGTTTTCTTTGGTGGATACCTATGTTTTGGTGGTCATGATTGTCGCCTTTCGAATGCACATGGACTTGGCCCAAAACTATGGCTTGGATGTTATTATCACACCTGAGTTTGGCTTTTATGCATTTCTGTTGGCGACTTGCCTATCGCTTTTACTAGGCCATGGAATGCTCTACTACCATCGACGCGAGGCAAGAGCACCCAATAGGAATTACGAATCCATCGATGAGGATTCTCCGGAATCTATTTTGGATCATGCCTTTGAGATTCAAGAATCGGGCAACCGAGCCCCATTGTCCAAGTTTTCCCAAGTTCTCTTGTTTACGGGTTGCCTGACAGCAATTACCTCCCTCATGGTGGGATTCTTTCAACCCAGCTTTGCATTTGAAGTCGGCGGTCTTGCGGGAATGGTACTAGGCAATGATTCCAACCGAAAGGTTTACTCACTCTTCAGCATGGGAACGGCCCTTTCCAGTAGCGTTCCCATGAACGTGGGAACAGTCTTTTTGGAGTCGGCCTACTTTTTCTTTGCCATGATTACTCCCTTGGTCGGGTTGGGTTGTTTGGTGGTCTTGCTGTTAAAGCCACTGCCCCATGCCAAACAAAGGTCTTTATTGGTAGCCGCCGAGATTGCCAATGCCTGGAGTGCCATTGAAGTCTTTGTCCTATCGATCATCACAGCGCTCATGCAAATTTCGACTTTTGCTTCCTTCATGGTGGGCGACAAGTGCGATTTGGTGAATCAATTCTTGGAAGACTTGGCCAAGCGGAACGATGTGATCATTCCTGGTCTCGAGAACATGCCCGTGTGTTTCACAGTCACCGCATCGGTGGACTTGCACAATGGTTGGTTCTTGATTGTAGGAGTCCTGCTGAATTCGCTGGTCATGTCGACGGGCTTGAAACTGGCCCACACGGCAGTGGAACAACGAAGCATTGCCATGGGAGAATACAATGCAGACCACTTGCAAGAGGATAGTGACGCACCAATAAGATCCAGGACTTGGCTGGAATGGTTCTTTGCGATTCCAGCGCTGAGGTGTATCGTCTTTGGAGCCGAACCTGCCTCGGGACTGGATCCACCGACGGACAATGGAATGGAGGAGGAGGAGAACTCGCAAGCTCCTGGCTCTGACGAAGAGGGCAGTGAACACAGCGAAACCGATCGAGCCGATTGGAGACATTGGTTTTAGGCTGTTAATATGTATGATAAACTAATTTTGTGTATCCGATTTGATACCCGAGTTCTCTTGTCGCTTTTGAAGAGATGGTGGTGCAAGAAAACTCGGGAATGGAGCCATTGCTGGTGGATAGACAATCAAGATCCCATCACAGTGGCAGTCCAAGTAGTTGTTTTATAGAATTCTAGTATTCTTATGCAGTCTGTGCTGATATAAACTGGTATAGTGGGAGGAGCGGAAACACGACAGGTCGCAAAACAAGTGTTTTGGAATTGGGAGCTATCAGAAAGTCCAGTCATCCATTGATTGGTCATCAATTAATTCATTGCCATAGGGGATACCGGTTGGTGATCCAAGACGTCTCTTCGAGAGTCCCTACGCAACCCTTGAGCCCGCTTCTTGACAAAGTTGGTGACGCCTTTGCGTAATCGACGGTGTCGTGGGAGGACTTGATCCTCGTCCGGAAACATGGGTTGATCCAGTGCCTCCATTAGCGCCGTTTTCCATCGATCGCTCATGTCAAAGTGAAAGTCTCCGCAATCCTTCAAGGCATCGCCCAGGCATTGTCGACTACTGGAGGCAGAAGTGAAAGTATCCGCACTGTCATCAGTTCCGGCACGTCGGCGGTTTGGGATGTGGTTTTGGTTTCCATCAAATCCAATGGTTTCGTGCGTCTCGTCAAGACGAGTTGCATTTCTTAGCTTGGGTCTTCTCATGGTTGGTGTGTTCTTGATTTATGCTGTTTGGTGTTCTGGTTTATGAGATGCTATCAACTTCTTGTCAAGACTGAGTCGCTTTGTTGCTTGTTCAGACGACTGTGAGGTTTCAAGTCACTCAAAATTTCACGATTGAAAACAAAAACCGTGTTTTATATAGTTGACTCGACGACTCGTAGTAGTACGCTTGGTACTAGTACCGTAAGCATCGCAGTAATTATTACAAAATTTCACCGCTTCGGTTTATCTTCGTACGAAAGTCAGGTGCCGTTGACGTGGCATTCGTGATTGATGGGTTTGGTGGCGGTCACAAAGATGAGAACGCGAAGCACAGGGATTACCTCATGGTCGTGGTCGAACGTGTACCCTTCCAATGCTGCCCAGAGCAAAGATACTCAGCCCAGCAGGTCTCCTCCAAAATCAGACGCCGAAGTCGAGGTGATGCTCAACAGTCACTTTTGCTATCCAAGCCAAAGTTTGTATGATACAATTGCCATTTTTATTAGAAAATGTGAATTACTCTTTCTTGCGTGATCGAGCTGACACGCATTTTTGCCACACGATTGGCAGGGGTTGTCAGTGCTCAGGAGACGACAATTTGTGCAACCATCGTCGTTGCAACAAAGAGCGTTTATAGACGTAGTAGCCGCATAGCATTGTCGATAATTTGCTTGAGTTTTTTCTTCTGAGACCTACAAGGTCGACCAGAGAGGAGTAAATTTGCAGACTTGGCGTTTCTCTGCTGAATGACATCAACCTACTGATGGAGTCAAATTTGGCTCCGAGTTACGCCTACGAGCTCCGTCGGATGGAAACAAATCTGGCTCCGAGCTATGCCTGCGCAGTCCTTCAGGACGATCTTTCTTCTTCTTGCCGAGCTTCCTGCGGTTCTTTTTGCCGAGCTTGCGAATTGCCTCCTTGCGTACGTTTCGCTCAAAGTCTATGAAGAGGGGTTGATCCAATGACTCCTTCAGGGCGGTTTTCCACCGGTCTCCCATATCAAAGTCAAGGTCTCCAGAATCTCCTTGGAAATCTCCAGAGTCTTTCAAGGCATCTTCCAAGCTGACGGTCGAACATGCACTGATACTTGAAGTAGAACTATTCAACTTGCTGCCCATCCAAGATTGGGAGCTACTACGTTTCTTCGCGCTTCCTTCGTTGATGTCGTCGGGCATGTCAAATTTGATATCTTCCACTGATTCCCATTCATCGTCGGATTCGAGTTCCAGTTGGAATTCACCAATACTTTCACCAACCGGAGCTTTGTTCTCATCCTCAGTTCGGGGGGAAACTGGAATTTGAAGTTCTGGAAACAAGAAACTGGGACGACCAATGGATGCTGTTGCTGAAGTCTTCTTGGGCTCTACCTTTTTCGTTTCTTCTTGGTGGTCAGGCGAGGTTTCGGGAAATAGGAAAGCAGGTCGCCACATGGTATGGTTGCTTTCAGCTGGTATGCATGAAATCCAAACTTTATATGAAATCTCACCAGTTCCTTTGGATCACAGTTCCAGCAGAGGGTCATTCATTCAATCGTTTGCAGAAAAAAGGAATTCTTCTTCCTTCGTTGCCTGTTAAATCGCAGAATTGGCCCAAGAAGACAAATGCCCCGAAGGAGACTAAAGTCATAACTCGTTACCTGCGGACAAACCGAAAATCACTCGTGTGAATGTGCGATATGGAGTCAAGAGTGTGGGGTACTATTGTAGTAGCTTTTTTCCAATAAAATCAGGTGATCTTTGTAGATGAAAACTATGAACATGAATCCCTTACCAGCATTGAGCTTTGCACACTTACTGATGGGTAGTATGCAGGTAAGACTAGTCCAAAACATGATTGACAATTGTTTACATAAAAATTTTAGTATGTTTCTGTGTGACCACAGATAGCAAACCAACATAGTATGATGTCGGTGGATGACGATGATCATTAAGTTGCGCAACGCAAGGCAATGTTGTTTGTCGTTTGGTGCAGCATAGAACGTAGAGTGGTAGATATTGTGGGCAAGTGCCATGGCATGGGGTTGGAATCACACATGACAAAGCACACTGCTGGGCAAGCCATCAGCTCACGGCTGACGAGAGAAGAGGCCTCGAAGACTCAAACCTGGTGGAGGAGAACGGGTCTCCTCCTCCTTCGGCGGCTCGGGTTCGGGATAGATGGGATCGTCCAGAGTTTGTACAAAGGCTTGCTTCCAACGATCACTCATGTCAAAATAGAAATCGCTAGTGTCCTTCAAAGCCTCGGCCAAACTGCAGTTGCTTGAGTCTTCGCTGAGATATCCGGTATCAGTAGAACCAACTGAATAAGTAGGTGATTGCGGGCACTTGTTGTCTCCTTCGATGGCAACAAAGCGGCCTTCGACGAGTGCGTAAGATGTCATGATGTTGCTGGCTGTGATGTAGGCGGAGTGGTGCTGTTGTGGATTTACTATTTTGTGTTGTATTAGTATGTTGTGTATTGAAGCGTAGATTTGACAAGAGCCGTGATGAAATAATGGGCGCTGCAAATAAGATTGATCACTGCTGCTGCCGGGATGTGTGTGTGTGTGTGTGTGTGTGTTGACCCAAGTAGTACCGTAGTAGTTGTGGGAAGCAATGTGAATGAATTCTTCGTGGGCGAACTACGACTAGATTTTGAATGGTTCCTTCGTACTGTAGGTGATGGCGAGCTGCCTGGTGTTTGGCTGGGTACGATCGCTGCCAGTACCAAGTCGGCTACACAGTCTTGAGGAATGCTTCTTGATCCCTTTCACATCTTTTTTCAAAACTCAACGGTCATCTTTGCACCTCTCTATTCTTGTTTTTCATTTTGGCGATTTCTTGCTTTTGCTTGGTAAGATTGAAAATGATATGACTGACTCGACTCCCATGTCCTTTGACTCGTTCGAATCGTAATGAGCCAAATTGCCGTCTACTCTACCAGTACTGTAGGAATCACCAGTGAACTGAAACATTGGTATGATACCGGTAGGAGATAGTCCTAGGAACTTCTTTCCGCAAAATATTATTATCGTCCATATAAAACAAATTATAAATTCGTTCATTTTTAAAAAAAGTTTTCAAAAAGTCGTTATTGTACAGTGTCGCATTTCAACAAGGAAAGAAGAGTCATCTGGCATCCTTGGAGCATCATCACGTTTCGTCCTGCCCAAATCAAATGGTTGTGCAGTACCTTTACCGGTAAGGCCTATCCACAGTCGCCATTGCTTCACGAATGTCCGATGGACTCACATAGGACGAAGTGGGTACCACTGGATTCAGGGGTAAATCAGAGGGGCTCACATAGGTATTGCTGCCGCCGGAACGAGGATAAGATTGTTGGCTGACGCCGCCGGAAGATGAAGCAGCATTATTGTTGTCATCGACCAAGACACAGCCTACAATGGGTGGTGCTTCCTCTCCAGCCGCAATGCCAGTGTTTGCGGTGGTTCCTTCGGGATAGGCGGATGCCATGGAAGGTGATGATCCGACTTGCGTTTCGTTTGGAGAAACAATAACTGCCGACGCAGTGGTTTCCACCGGTTGCGAAGAGGTATAGGTGTTTCCAACCGGTTCCGAATTGGCGTATGTATTGTTGTTGTTGCTGTATCCATACGGATTGTTATACTCGGTGTCATTGACACCGAGGTTTGTCATTGGAATGGAAGAGGGAGTAGAGTGCTGGCTGTTGTTGTTGTTGCTGTATGCATGTTGCTCTTGAATGTTGCTACTGCTATTGTCGCTGCCCTTTGTAGCCTTGTAAAAATGTATACCAATCAAGACGTAGCAACCCGCACATATTAGCGTTATGGCAATGGTACCAATCACGGCCGCTTCAATAATCTCTGGAATAATTGCTTCTACCACGTCGGTTGGATCCGAAGGATCGTACCGAATATCTACCGAATCTCCCAGGACGAAGTCGTCAACATCCTCGTCACATGCTGTGTCCATAATAGTGGTAATGTTTCGTGCAGGGTCCTCGCCCACTGTAAAGAACTGTATTTTGGGACAGTACTCGGTGGTGTACTCGATGGTGTTGTCACCGTCGTCTTCGACTTCAACTTGTTCCTCCACGCCTACGATAGTGGCTGTGGTTTTGACATACGATTCAAAATATGAATCGGAATACCTCCAACCAGCAATGGCAGCGATCATTATGCACAAACAACATACTGCTGCCGCAGTGGAAGTGATCAACGATCCACTGGTGCGAAACGGAGTGTAGTTTCCATTCCTTTGCCGCCTTTGGTTATTTTGAGAATATGGAGTTTGCCTCATTGAAAAATCTTTAAGTTTCTTCCCAGTGGCGGTGCTAGTACTTGATATCGCCTCGCCCTCGAATGTGGTTGTACTCTATGCAACTATCAAAATACGGTATTGGGACACTGATTACCGGTATATTGTTCCATCATGTGTTTTTATGGTTGCGGTCACGAGCGGACCAACTGACTCCTCCGACCTATTTTAGCCCCTCCCTCCATCATTGGTTGTTCAATTTGGACAGGGACGATAGTAATAACTGAGAGAGCATATGAAACATGTAGCTATTCTATTGCAACAGTACAAACTATAAATACATCTATATTTTGAATATTTTCTTTAGCGAGACATCCTTCCACATTGAACATCTCGTCATTCGATCCCACACTAGTAGATCGAATGAATCAATCCCAAATATATTGTTCCACGAAGTCTCGTTCCCCAATCATTGTTTTGCTATGTCGATACCACCACCGTCGATCCGCAGTTGTATTTATGCTTCATGAATTTCAGATGGATGACTCACAAAGGATGATTCGGGTGGGTCCATGGGCAGGCTCGACGGACTCACATAGGTTTGGGTGCGTGGTGGTGCTGTGGTTGTATCAGACGGAATCAAGGTACAACCCACAATGGGTGGCACTTCGTCTCCTGCGGCAATGGCAGTACTTGTATAAGTTCCTTCGGGATAGACTGGAATTGATATTGCTTCTGGGTGCACTTCGGGCGACGAGTGCATGGGAACTGCAGGTTCTGGGAATGCAGCCGATAGTGTGGTTTCAATTGGACCTCTTTCAAAGGGATCTGTTGCAGAATTGTATTCATTTCTGTCATTGTACCCATTGGGGGGCATATGCCGAGTGTGGTTCACATTGAGGTTTGCCATTTGAACAGATGATGGATTAGAGAAGTTGTTGGCATCTGAATCGGTAGTGTCGTATTGTGCCTTGTTCCTGGCTTTCAGAAGCTTGTAAAGAATGATCCCAATCACCACACAACAACTCGAACAAAGCGCTGATATAGAAATTACACATATCATGGCCACTTCAACAATCGACGGAACAGACTCGTCTAAAACATCTGTCGGATCGGAAGGATCATACCGAATACCAACGGTTTCTCCCAGCTCTATCTCTCCTTTATTTTCCTTGCAGTCGAATTCCAGAACGGTGGTAATGTTTCGTGGATTAGCTCCGCCCACGGTGAAGAATTGGATTGTGGGACAGTACTTCGCGTCGAAGTCGTTGTTAAATGGGTCTAGCTTCTCGTTGCTATGTTGAAATTCATCCATCTCGGTTGTCCCTATTATGGTAGCTTGAGTCTCTACAAAGGCCTCAAAATAGGAAGACGAATACACCAGACCAGCAATACCACCAATGAGAACGCACAGACAGCATAGCCCTCCAACGCTAGAGAAAATTAGCGGACAAATGCTCTGGCAATCAGAACCCGTCCCGTTCGTTTGTCGTTGTTGGCTGCTACTGTGGAAATCAAGAGGATTCGTCTGCCTCATTGGAGGTATAGTCTCCGATTTGACCTGCCAAAGATTCGACTTCTGTTGTGATGTAAACAACAGTATAATGCCCAATTCAAGGCTTGATGACAATTTTTAGTGCAAGTATGAAGTGAACAGTGTGTGTTATATTATCAACGCGGTATATTTTTTGAGGTCAGAAGATGATGAGCACTCGTTTTAGTCGAAACACAATTTTTGAAAATCTTGTTGGGAGAATGACAACTCTGGATAATAATATATAGCTTTGCTTCGTGACTGCTGCATGACCAGTCTATAAAAGATCATCAGGGAATACCTTGTACTATTGCGTACGCTTTGTTGTTGTAGATGAAGTCAGTCTCTTCTCTTGAGGGGTCAAGAAAAGGTCTCATGCTTCTAAATGGGTTGGCTGTTGGGGGCATCTTTTCTTGAAAACCCATATCCTTCAGTATCCTAACGTCATTTTGGACTTCCGAAAAGTTGAGCCCGGTGATGCAAAGAGGAACTCCCGTTCTTGTCCTTACCAATTCCACTGTTGACCTCCAATTCACGAAATGGGATGGATCATGAAATCCAGGATTAAACGCCATAAACAAATCGGGAACCGGACCGCTGGCAACAGAGCTATTATGGTAGAGGTCTTTGACATGGTCTACGGTTCCGTCCAAATGGCATGGTACTTCAGATGGAAAAAGGAAATGAGAATATGAGTACGAATAGTTTCGTAGGCTTGGCCCTACCACCACTATATCGAGTCGTTTCAATTGCGGGTTCAGTCTCCCCAATTCAATGAATGCCCGTGTAACCGAAATTTCGTGGCTGGCACCACCCAAGATATGAATACGTAACTCTGACTTTTTCAGCAAGTTCAATTTCCCCAGTAGCATTTGAGTCGTCATTGCCAACGTCAGCCCATTGGTCAGAAAACAGGTAATAGGTGCCATGAATCGAAGAGCACTGATAGGCAACCCAACGCCCATATCAAAATCATTCCCTTTCTTTTCGAAATATTCAATCCAATCCTTTGGATTAAATGTATCTTTGCAATTCGTATCGCTGGCTGCCAAAAGAGGCTGCCCTTTTTCGACCACCATTCCAGAACAGCATAAATAGATCAAGTACAATTCGCATTCTTGCTGGTCGCCATTATGAAAAGTTTCCCAAGTGACATCTTCATTTCCGAGGCATGACTTGCATATGGCGACGCCATTGCAGCTTGGGCAAACGACCAAATCCACGCCCGAGATCCGACCTGATCGATAACATTGGCGACAGTGGGGCTGAACCAATGCAATTTGTATGGGGGGAGTGTGACTCAAGTCTCCGACCCAAATGCTCATGAGCTTTATATTTCTTTCATTTTGTCGACGGTTCCATTCCGTCCAATCGATCTTCTCATCAATTTCGTCATTGATGTCACTGACTTTATTGAAAGCCTTGCACCACTTCTTGTGTGTAGACCAGTCCTTCTTTTGGTGATCCCGACAGCAATACTTTACAACTTTGCATCCCGAGCATCGCACCAAGTTGAGACTCTGTAGGCCTCCTCGTTTGCAACCATTGCACGAGTAAGGATGATAGCTGTCCCAGTTAGCGACCATGGTGTTGCTGAAATTCGAGTCGCTCATCCACTGTCCATTGCGGAACATTTCGAACCATCCGTCATGCCATAGATTGTCTTTGCCTTCGTAATAATCCTTTGTCTTGCTCATCTTGTTGGCTGATACAAAGAGCCTTTGTTGTATGCCTGCAGTAAGGTGTTGTGTGAGTTTGGGATGAAATCCGTACTATGTTGGAATATAGTCTCTCTCATCATCGCAGCATGAAATAAAAACCTCCCGTCTCATCTGTGATGACGTCACGCTTACTGCAACCCTTCAGCTACCACAATAATAGTCGGTACAGCATATACCACGGTAAGTAGATATTGCTCAACGTTGTTGCAGCATTGCCTGATTCAAGGCTTGATGACAATTTGGGCAAGGGAAGCGGAATACAACAACAATAATGGTTTGTTTCGAGCGGATGTTGAAAAAAAGTGAAGACGAAGACTCGTTTTCGTCTTAAGATTTAAAAGGTTAACTCTCAGTGTAATACAGCCCCCGTTGATCTGTCCCGTTGCTGTTGCTTCATGAATGCGGGAAGGTCGGTATGTAGGATTTTTAGGCAACCCCTTGCACTATTGCGTACGCTTTGTTGTTGTAGATGAAGTCAGTCTCTTCTCTTGAGGGGTCAAGAAAAGGTCTCGTGCTGCGAAACGGGTTGGCTGTTGGGGGTACCTTTTCTTGAAAACCCACCCCTTTCAGTACCTTAACGTCATTGTGGACTTCCGAAAAGTTGAACCCGGTGATGCAAAGAGGAACCCCTGTTCTTGTCTTCACCAATTCCAATGTTGACCGCCAAGTCACGAAATGGGATGGTTCTTGAAATCCAGGATTAAACGCCACAAACAAATCGGGGACCGGACCGCTTGCAGCAGGGCACCTGTGGTAGAGGCCAGAGACATGGTCTACGGTTCCTTCCAAATGGCATGGTGCTTCTTCAGATGAAAGAACGAATTGGGGATAAGAGTGCGAATAGTTGTTTGGTAGGTTTGGCCCTACCATCACTATATCCAGTCGTTTCAATTGCGGGTTTAGTCTCCCAAGCTCCAGAAATGCCCGAGTAGCAATAAATTCCTGGCCTTCAGCTCCCAAAATATGAATACTCAATTCTGATTTCTTCAACAAGCTCAATTCCCCAAGGAACATTTGAATAGTCATTGGGAGTGTCAGCCCATCAGTCAGAAAACATACAATAGGAGCCATGATTCGGAGAGCACTGATAGGCCCGTCAAGCCAAGTACCAAAATCATTCCCCTTCTTTTCGAAATAGTCAATCCAATCTTTTGGACAGAATGTTTCTGTGCAATTCGTATGGCTGGGTCTAAGCACAGGCTTCTCGTGTTCGACAATCATAGCAGAACAGCATAGATAGATCAAGTATGATTCGCATTCCTGCTTGTCACCGTTATGAAAAGTTTCCCAAGTGGTGTCAGTTTCATGCCCGAGGCATGACTTGCATACGGCGACGCCATTGCAACTTGGGCAAACGACCAAATCCACGCCCGAGATCCGACCGGATCGAAAACATCGGCTACAGTGAGGCTGAACCCATGCAATTTGAACGTTAATGGAATGTCTCAAATCTCCTCGCACCATGTTCATGATCTTTCTACTTGTTTCATTTTGTCGACGGCTCCATTCCGTCCAATCGATCTTCTCATCAGCTTCGTCATTGATGTCGCTGACTTTACTGAAAGCCTTGCACCAACTCTTGTGCATAGGCCAGTCCTTCTTTTGATGGTCTCGACAGCAATATTTTACAACTCTGCATCCCGAGCATCGCACCAAGTTGAGACTCTGTAGGCCTCCTCGTTTGCAAGTATTGCATGAATAAGGATGATAGCTGTCCCATTCAGGGCTCATGGTGCTGCTGAAATCCGGGTTGCTCATCCACTTTCCCTTACGAAACATTTCGAACCATCTGTCATGCCATAGCTTGTCTTTGCCTTCGTAATAATCCTTTGTCTCGCTCATCTTGTAGGTTGATGTTACAAAGAGTCCTTATTATATCCACAAGTTCTGTGACTTTGAAATGAATGGTCTCTATCGTTTCCGTTCGCTGACATGCCATCTGGTGGTGACGTACGTCACTACCGTCGTCCGGTCATAGCATCGGAACTAATATCGACAGTGGGGTAGGTGTCCCATTGCGATGGATAAATGATTATCCATTCTATTTCTTATCCAAACAAGGTACGTACACTGTACGTACTGACAAGTACCACAGTGCCCCGTGTGCCCCAAATCTTTAGTCCGTGAAGAGTCCGTGAAGAGTCCGTGAAGAGTCCGTGAAGAGTCCGTGAAGAGCATGTGAAAATTAGTCAAGGATACCCGAGAACTCTACATCAAAAAAGTGCGGCGCACCAAAAGCCTACAGGTGTATTAGGATGGACAATAAATCGACAAATGATTGGTGCAAGCAACCATAGTCGTTTGTCCATCAATTCATTCATGTCCCGAACAAGAATTTTGTTTTCAAAATTAGAATTACATTTGCTTACTCCTCTAAATTAGTATTCATCAGATCGACACGGCACAATGGACAGGCATCATGTCGGTGCAACCAGGCTTCAATGCACTGTTGGTGAAAGACATGGTCACATCCATCGCTTTTGGCCGTGCAGATTTTGTCACCTGGTTGATAGTTTTCTAGACAGATGCAACATTCAGGTGCAGAAGGAGCCAAAGCAGCATTAGTCCAAGAAGAAATGAGGTTTGTGGCACCAGCAAGCGACCATGCAGATTCTTGCTCTTGAGGCGGCTGCTGTTGTTGTTGCGCTTCCTTCTTGGTATCGTTCCTCTCGGTTCCTTCGCTACCCTGATTGTTGCTCCCAGCGTCAGTGTCCGTTTCAGCTTCCGTGTTGGAAGCACTATTTTCATCCCTGTTATCCCTTTTCGTGAGGTCCAACTCCATATCGTCCTCCTTACTTGTATTCCCCTGCAATGGATCGTCCTTTTGTTCCTGTTGCGCCTCGATATCATCGTGCAGTGGAGTTTCTTTGCCTTTCTGACCTCCATCAGATGCTTTGTTATTACAGCCGCAACCAGCTTGGCAAGCGCACTGGTTGCCTTCACCGTCTTCCTCGCCATTAAGGCACAGCCGCCTGATATTCGCTGCATCAGTGTTGCTCAAATCTTCCAAGACCGTTTGAAAGTGAAACTTGGTCTTCATCAGAGCCTCCCGCTCTTCACGAGTTTGCGCAATCTCGTTTGGATTGCCGCCGTCATTCATGTTCAAATGATCACGCCCCGATTGCGGGAAAATGACCCGAGACATATCCGGCTGCGACCGCCACAAATATATACTGCACAAGAGGTATCCCACAGTAAAAAAGACTGTCACTCCCACTGTCAAACGTAGGGTATTTTGGGCATGAGAATACAGGGACTCTTCAATGATTTCTTGCGGAGCGGCAGGATTGTACAATATGCCAAACATGTTTCCCACAATAATGTCCGTGGGATCATAGGAACAATAGGTATCACTGACTGCAGTAATGGTTATATCGTCATCGACAAGCTGAAATTGGACTTCCGCGCAATAGACCAATCGTCCTCCAAATCCTGGCTCCATAGGTGGCGGAGTGGTGGTGGGAGCCGCTGTGGCACTGTTGGTATCAGTATCGTCCAAGTCCTTGTTCGAATCGCCGTCTCCGTTGCTATCGGTGACGTTGTTGCCATCGTTGCCTTGGGTACTGCTGTTTCCAGTGCCAGTCGTGTTGCCGATATCGTCCACTATGTCAATGTTGTTGATGAGACTATTATTGCCATCCGTAATGTTATCAAACAGGTTGGACTGATTTCCTAGCAAACTGTCCGCTGCAAAATTGGGAATATTACTGCTGATGAGTCGTCTCTGACTCCGGTTATTATTTCGATAGTGCACGGAGATGTTGCGACCAATAATCAAGGCATCCGCCTCTATCCATTCATCAAAGAATTTGCTGACGTAACCCAGCGAAGTCACTGCGGAGATGAGCATATTAATGCACCAAATCATGGCGAAGAATGAACCACATATGGAACTGCTTCGGCAAAATTGCTTGCAATCATGGTAAGTTCGAGTTCGAGATCGAGATCGGACTGGCATGGTATTGGATTTGAGTTTTTCAAGATTCTGAATGAACCTTCTTGCTTCAGAGTCAGTCTTTGTGTACGGGTAGTGATTTTTTAAATGGAACAATGCGATACGAAATTGCGGATACGCTGAGCTTCAGCTTTTATGATGATGATAGACGATGTATCCTTTACTCCTTTACAAAGAGGGAGAAAATCAATCCACAGCTGTTGGTAACGAAAACAAGTGAAGAGTGAACGACAAAGTGCCTCTCTCCTTTTTTGTTGCGGTCGTGTCCCACTTTTCTTTCGGATTTCGGTTTTTTGGAGAGCGTGGCTTGCGCTGAACGGAACTAGTGCAGACAGACAGTATGATCGTATTAGTCGTGCGTAATTTGCATTACTGTATTCCATTTCAAGGTCTGGACCGGTACCGGTATTAATACATACTCGTAGTAGGCTTATGGCAGTGTCGCTTATTGCACACGCAGCATTACACAGTTGATTTACTATCTACAGAGCAACTTTGAAAAGCAGACAAAAATGTTATTATAGATTAAACTTTTGGTCTCTGTGACCCAATTCTTGCCCCCTCCAAGAACCACAACACAAACGATATCATCCTTACTCGGAACAATTTCACTTATCCTGCACCAGATTAACACGGCATAATGGGCAGTGATCATGACGTTGTAACCATTCCAAGAGACATGCCTTGTGAAAGACATGCTTGCAATCATCGGTCGTCATTGGAGTGCAAATGTGTTCACCTTGACAGTACTTTTCCATACAGATGCAACACTCATCGCCGTGGCTGCCGTACGGTAGTTGCGAGGTCTCTTCAGTACTAGTGCTAGGTTCTGTAGTATGAGAGCCATCCTCAGATGCTGATTTCGTCAGTGATGGTGCAAATGACGCATCCGCTCCATTTTCGGACACCGTTTCAAATCGAAAATACTTCATGATCTTTTCCTCTCGATCCCGTTTACGCCGTTCCATCTCTTCGGATGTCAACTCGATGCCGACCTCTTCGTCGTCTCGGCCTCGCCTGGGAACTCCAGGGCGACGACGATGGGCATTCCGCTCCAACCCAATTGCCACATCTCTCTTTCTCCAAAGAAAGACAGCGCAACCCAAAAAGCCTAGTGCAAAAACGAATACAATGGCAGTTGCACCGATCAAGGCGCTCAAGGAATCGTCTATAATTTCCTTTTCCAAAAATTCTCGCGTGTTTCCAGGATTGTAAAGGATTTCAAACTCTTCTCCAATCACAACCTCGGTAGGCAAGTCTCCACAATTCGTCAAGCTTGTCGCCGTCACTTTTTCTCCGTTCCCAGTCTCATAGGTCATTAGGGCACAGTAGAATGGGTCATCCGTAAAGAATGGTAGGAACGGGCCCACGGATTTAATGCCAGGATACGTCTTGTTGCGTCCCGTCACCAAAGCCCAGGATTGATCCCAACTACCAAATTCTTGGCGGATCTTGTGGTAGTTGATGGATGCGCTGATTCCTTTATTGAGATACCAGCCACATGCCACGAGTGACGCAAAGATGGACGCGTAGATGATGAGCTTGCGGGATCGGTCACTAGAAGAGGATTCCTGCGGTGTTGTGGAAGAGTTTTCTTCAGGAAGTGGGGCATCGATAGGTGGTGACGAAGCGGACGCGGACGCGGACGCGGAAGGTGAAGATGATGCAGGAGTCGTCATTATTGAGCGAGATAAAGTCTTTTTGTAGAGAGCGGGTGCTTCACTTTGACTTCCTCTAATGAATCTCCTGGTGAAACGCGTTGTTCAAGTTGATACAAATGCTGAAGAATTTGTGGTCCGATGACACAGCGAAATTCGTTTCTATTTTGGATCGCACCGTGAATGAAAATTTGGCGGTGTTTAACGCGTGGCTTTCTGATTGTGCGAAGAATCCACAGTTCCTTTCTACTCGCAATATCGCGCTAACTATCGTTGATACCGCCATGACATCAAATTCAAAAAGATACTGAATGCAATATTGCCTGGGCAAAATCAAAAAAGTTTCATCAGATATGGGCTACCGTATACCGGTACAGCAATAGATGGTGTTCCATTTCTTTTCTCTGGCAAAATAAAAAAATTACAGTTATACAGTAGGGAACAATTACACAATAGGGAACAATTACACAGTAGGGAACTCCATCTACGCCTCAGGATCATCGTTCTTGTCTTTCATAAAATCCACTCGACAAAGTGGACACCTGTCATTGTTTTTCATCATCCAAGGGATCAAACACTCCTTGTGAAATACGTGGTTGCACTCCTCTGATTTGGATGCACAGATGACCTCCCCTGGCTCGTAACAATCTAAACAGATACAGCATTCGGCGTCATGGGTTGGCCGGATCAAGGAGGACAAGAAGGATAGGGTGCTGGGAGGCTGGTGGTGCTTCAATGATTCTGGCTTTGATGATAATGCTGAATTCCCTTTATTGTTTTCTGAGGCATCATTTTCATCGGCATCTTCACTTTGCTTTTCCCCATTGTTGTCGCCGTGAACAGCTTCAGTATCTCCTCCTGTTGCTGCTTCTTTTGTCTTGTCGTCGGAAGAATCATCCAACTTACCCATCGACCGAACACTAGAAGCCACCGTGTTACTGGTGTCTTCAAGTACAGTCACAGTATACAACATGGAAAGAATCTTTTCCTTTCGTACTTCTGGACTTTCAGTCGGTTCAGATGTTGATTCGTTGGAGTCTAGTGGCATACGACGCCGGTGTTGACGATTCAAAAGCAGGCAGATGGCGCCGCTTAGAATGAGAGAAATGGCTATTCCAACGCCCACCATGACCTTCAGCGATATCAGTTCACTCTCCAAGACGTCTTGCTCAATAAATTCTTTGGGATAGGCCGGGTTGTAAATAATGGGTATGTAGTTTCCAATCACAATAGTTAAGGCATCCAACACACAATCTGTAGTGCTGATGGCTGTGATGTTTTCACCAAAGTGGCTCGTGAATTCGACACGGGCACAGAAATACATCTGGGCGTCATCGTCAGGAGACGCAAACGTTGTACTGTTTCGCCCAACAATCAAGGCATCCACCTTGATCCATTCACCATTCACATGGGAAGCGTCAATAAGACCAAATACACCTGTCATCCATATTCTCATGCAAAACGCTAGTGCAATGGCTGTTGCGATTGTTACACAACTTTTGGAGGGACGTTGACGTTGACGTTGACGTGTCATTGTCAATTGTGGTTTGCTTCTGCGCAAGTGTCAAATTCTCCAAAATTCCAATTTTGTGAGTGGAATGGACGTAAACTTCTGTGGTGACAACCCGAAGAAATGCGTTGCCCAACTTCTTTTTCCCTTCTACAAAATAGTGCGAGGACAAGAGCGTGTTGTTCCTGTTCCTTTGCCTGTTCGTGCAACTTGATAATTATGACGAAATGCGGGGGTAATTTATTATTTACGTACGTGTGTACCGCCTACCTGCACACGTTGGTCGTAAAAAAATTGTAAGGTGGGTGCGGGCGGGATTGGCGGTTACGCGGGTCGACTTGGTGGACCTGTCCACACCATCGATGATTCATTCATTCATTACCAGGTACCACTTGGTAATCACCAGATGAATTGGATGTCCTTGAACCGGATCTTCAGGGGCAAGTTCCCACAGCCATTTGATACTACAAATTCTACGCGATACTCATGGATGATGGAAACAGTTTTCAAAATTAGCTCCAGCCATGACACGTGGGCAAGGAATGGGCGCCTACAGTACCGACAGCTCTTCAAAACGGAATGAAGAAGGCAACCTTGGGATGCCACAATGCCCTCGGTGCCGGCTCTGCCGAGATTAAGACAAGTCAGAAGTCCATCTTTGAAGTCATACTCGATAGATCTCGCAGTCGCTCGAGTGTACTTCCCAACAGCAAAACACTTGTGACCCCCTTCATTTCAAAAGGTCAACGCGACATAGAGGACACTGGTTGTGATTCTTCATCATCCAGTCCATGATACAATCCTTGTGAAACACATGGTTGCATTCCACATTCTTGGATGCGCAAATAATGCTCCCAGGATCGTAATTATCCAAACAAATGCAGCACTCGGCTTGTTCAGAGTCAGATTCCATTCGCCTCCAAGACGAAAACATGGACTGAAGTGCACGTATGCTGCCGGCAGCGCTGGTTCTGTTTTCGGCAATGCTCTCAGAACGAGTGGAACGACACATGTCGTCTTTGCATCCGGTTATGGTTTCTTCACCGTTGGGTGCAGCCATCTGCGCCTCCGGGTCGACTGGCCCGTCAAACCTCTCAGTGCTGGTGGCATTTTCAACCTCTGCTGTCAAGTTATCAACGGCACCATTATTTTCTTCTCCAACATTACTTTTCACATCTTCTTCTGTTGAATCTTCTGGTGAGCAACTAGTTCCGTCGACGTTTTCAATGGTGATGCCGTGCATACTGCTGGATTCACTCCCTTCGACAGCAGAGCTGTTGTCGTCCTGTCTCGAGTATTCGTCGCAACCATCTTCTTCAATCGGATCGAACTCCGCTTCCTGATTGTCGCTCTTGGTTTTCTTCTCCAAAGATCGAATTGCAGCTGCCGTGGTATTGCTGAGATCCTCCTTGACAGGTTGAAAGATCATTTTGGAGAGTATGCGTTCCTTGCGGGCTTCCGGGGATTCCTGAGGTTCACCAGTTTCCAAATCCCGAGCGAATCGAGGGTCTCTTCCAGGGTCTTCTGGTAAATTTCGATACTTGATGATGAACGAGATTAGCGACATGATCAGAATGAGAGCAAGAACGATCCGAATGATTAGATTGGTGATGTCGTCGTAATATTCCGATTGCTTGATAAAGTCTCTTGGATTCGTGGGATTGTATCTAAGCTCAATGTCTCTTCCCACTGGGATTTCGGCGGGGTCCGTATCACAGTCACTGGCGATGCTGCTGACAATGGTGATGTAGTCGTTCGAAACCGTGTAATTCAGTTGTGAACACCAATAGACAGCCGCAGCATCAGGCGAAAAATCGCTGACATCACTTGTGCCAGTATTGTTGCTCATACCGCTACTACTTTCCGTGGTATTTCGATTGTTGATATCGTTGCGGTCATTCACGTTGACGGCAGCGACGATGACTGCCTCGGTTTTCTCCCAGTTGCCATATGTCTGATCCAATTCGTACAGCGACAATGCACTGATAATCAATATCCTTGTGCAAAGGATAAGCGAAAGTCCAGTCAGTATGGATCTACAGTTGTGGGGAATGCGGGTACTAATAGGCATGGTTTGTCTTATATTCTTTTGTCCGTTGGAAGTTGAAGGGTTGCGATGCTGCGGAATACGGCCAACAAAGAGATGTGCTTATTCTGGATTCTTTTTTCTGGAGTGAAATCTTCTGACGCAATTTTACGCGGGAACCAAAGGATGTCGCATCAATGTCTTGGGTGCGGATGAGTAAACATCATAGTAGAAGCCTCTATTTTTCACTCACTTGCCATCAAATGAATCATTCCTATGCCTATGGAGCAGTGGTTTCACTTTAGTTCTAAATCCGCTTAGTTCTAATGTCCTCCAACACATTGAGCCTGCTTTGAAAGCAGTGTTACGAGCCGCGTTCGTACCCTCCGAGATAAAGTGATTGAACCTTCTCATCCTTGAAATCTGTGCCGTCAGTTGCCAGTCACTCGCTCGAATGGTGTCCGCAAAAGCAGACCAGCTTGTGGAAGATTTCGTTGAGAAAAAAGTCCAGTGCGGGCACCATGCTGCCTCTTGAGCCTTGGTTTTCATCACTTTTAGCATATGATATACCTCACTTTGATCCTGATGAATAATGAATGAATGTCTAATTGTTTCATCTCAACAAATCCGTTCGACACAATGGACATTGATTGTGATTCTTCAGCCAATCCATGACACAATCCTTGTGATAGACATGTGTGCATTCTTGATTCTTAGAGGCACAGATAGTATCTCCAGCCTCGTATTTGTCCAAGCAAACACAACATTCAGCTTCTCCTTCTCCTTCCGGCCGCCAATACGAAGTGAACATTTGAAGTAAGCTGCCATTGCCTTGGTGGTTTTCATCATCATGATTGTTTCCGTCGTGTTCGATGGAAGTTGCACTGCTCCCAACGGTCGACCTGTCATCATTTTGGTTTTCGGCCTCACCTTTCTTACTGGCGCCAGAGTCTTTCCGTTCCTCCAATGCACCGTGTGATTCCTCTCCAGTTGTAGTATCGGATTTTGGAATTGAAGTTGGCTTCTCTTTCGGATCATTGTCAATTGTCGCCTGGTCTTCTTGCTGTTGCTCTTCTGGATTTGTAGTTTCTTCAGCAGCTAATTCTTCTGTTGCCAATTCTCGCATTCGCTCGGCAGTAATATTGCTGAGATCTTCTCGGACGGTTTGGAAAATCATCTTGGAAAGGATGCGTTCCTTGCGTTCTTCCGGCGATTCCCGTGGCCGTCCCATTTCTTCATCGTCCCCACCACCACCACCACCATATCCATCAAAAGAATCATGTTGCTGGAGATCTTCCGGTTTTGACTTGCAAATGAAGTAGCACAAAATCAATGTTAATACAAAGCCAATACCAATCATTAGACCGAGAGACATGATCTCATCCGCAAAGAAAACTTGTTTGATGAAGTCCTGAGGATTGTCAGGGTTATATCGAATTTCAAAAGCCAGCCCAATGGATATCCCATCTGGACTCGTAGAGCAATCTGATGGATAGTCGCTGATAGCAGTCACTGGCGCATTCCAAGCGGTAGTGTAATTCACCTGGGCACAATACGTTTTAATCCTGGTAGATCCAGTGTTGCTCGAAGTGTCCACTACACCATCATCTGAGGTTGTGTTGGTGTTCGTGCTGTTGTTGCTATCGATAGCAATGGTGCTATTCTCGCCAAAGACACCATTATCATACGCATATTCGTCTACAGAGTCAACAATAACCGCATAAGTTCGCAACCAATGACCATACAATTTGTCTGTTTGGGCCAACGCAATGGAACTGGTAATCCAGATGCGTATGCAAACGGCAATGGAAAAGGCAGTCACAATGGATCTGCAATTGTTGCCCCTGGGGCTAGTACGCGTTAGATGGTAAGCGATGGGCATTGTTTGCTGTATATATATGCATGCAATGGATGGCCTTCAGCAGCAGTATTCTGTATAGTAGTCGATCAGCAGCAGCAGCAAACAGCCAAGACAGGTGAGTTCAGCAGTTCGTGAAAGTCTGCAAGGAATTGCACGAACGAACCCTTTGCACGAGAGGCACACAAATCTCACAACGGCAGGTTTTCTTCCGACTTCTCGTTTTCAGTTTGGCCGTGCACGTGGGAAGTTCGCGAAGTTTTGTCCCTGTCGTGTCACAACCGGCGAATCTCATGATTCGTCAAAGCGCACGCTACAGTAGAGGGTGTGATGTCAGAGGCAAACATCCAATCTTCATATTTTGACTTGGATCCGTATCATTCATTTCCAATACCCAACCTAAGCACCTTGGGAAAATTGAAGCAGGAGCTGTAGAATCGCTTTCAAGAAAAAAATGAGGCGTCAGTCGGATTCAACTTATTATTTATTCAAGCATCATTCTTTCCTTTTACTAAACCTCGCAGTCGGATATTGCTACGTTTTTTGCTCCTACCGGTATGTTTGAAGCCAAACCATATTCGATGTATTCATCTGACTTAATCTACCGGTATCTCTTTTGGGTGCTTTGCTGCATCTTATTTCAATCGTGCGGCGTCTTCATATTCGAATCGGATCGGTCGATCTCAAACGTGATGCAGTTTCATTTTCATTTCGTGTGGTATATATTCATTTTCATTTTCATTCCTATTCAACCATGATGAAAGTACATCTCTACTTCTAAAAAATAAAATTCGTGTACCGGTATTAATACTTGCAATTGCAATTGCACTTGTATTTTATTTTCATAAGTAATACTTTCTTCCTTTTTCGAGGGAGTTGTCAAGGCTGATGATGATGGGGTTGGTCCAAAGTTTAGTAGCCTGTGATTGATCATTTCGGAAAGAAGTACTAGAGTACTATCGGTCCTACTGTTTTTGTAGCGATTCCTCTTTGAGCAAATTGATGCGGCATAGAGGGCATTGATCATGACCCGCCAAGAGCCAACTAGTAACACATTGCTCATGAAATACATGATTGCATTCCGCTGTCTTGGAGGTGCAAATAATGTCATCTTGTTCGTACTCTTCCAAACAGATGCAGCATTCGGAACTAACTCCAGCTGGTCGTCTCCAGGAGGGCAGCAGTGTACATGCTAGAGAGCGCACCGAGAAAGTAGTCGGCTTAGTTTCCTCTGGTGGTGCTGGTGCAAGTGCTGGTGTAGAAGTATCCTGTGGTCCAATTGCAGAGCCATCGTCCCCCATTTCTTCTTCGACTTCTTCTTTTTCTGTGTCCAATGCTGCTTCTTCGTCATATTCTTCCTTGCTCTTATTGTTTGCATCCTCTCGTGTTGAACGGATGCTGCTGACGTCCACAGACTTCTTATCAGCCGAAACCTTTTGGAAGTACAACCTAGAACGAATGAGCTTCTCTCGCTCTTTGCGTGCCAAAACAGGGTCGTTTGCGAGTTCTTCATCCCTCTCTCGCTCCCGTTCATTGTTTTGGGCGTTCTGTATGACGCGTACCCAGACGATCACAAAGACGATTGACAAAATGATTCCACAGGAAATCACCAGGAGCAATCGTGTCTTTTCAGTTTCAAAATCGTTTTGTTCCATAAAATTCTCAGGCGTCATGGGGTCGTATCGAATCTCTCGGACGCCTCCGATGAGGTCTTCCGCGAACCTCTTTGATCGATAACAATCAATCGGGCTAATGACAGTGATGTTTTGTCCAGAGATAGTATTGTATTTCAACAGCGGACAAAAGTAGGTTGTTCTTCCAAAGGATTCGTTTCGCAAAGTCGAATTGGCGCCCACTACACTGGCATCCGTCAAAGGCCACCGACCTTGGACATCTTGCATCTCGATGTACTGAAAGATGCCGCTAATCCATATGCGCATGCAAAAGGCAAAGATGAGTGCAGTACCCAAAACTCGAACGGGACAGCCACCAGGGCCATCATGGCGGGGGTCGCTATTGATAGCGGCGAGGCTTGGTCGTCGGGGCGTACTAGGACGAGTACTGCTAGATGCTGCAGCTGGTGCTGGTGCTGGTGCTGGTGCTGGTGCTGACATTGCTGTTTGTTCCTCGTCCACCACAAGGTCGAATGTGATAATTTATGACTGTAGTTCTGGTTTGTATCGTGGATGTGAGCTTCAGAGCAGCGAAAAGAGCCCTTTGAGCTTCGTTCGTTGGAATTCGTGATGAGACTCCGTCGGGCTTCGTTTTTCAATGATGTGTAATTTCAAATTACGTGTTCTTTGATGTTTGATGGTCGTTCATGACTCACAACATTTGCGAATTAGGGCGCTTCAAGGCTCAACGTCACGTGAACGTCATTTTAGCTGTCGTGACTCATATCACGGGATTGATTGATTCATTGAATCAGAAACGAAGTACAGACTCAGTCCGAATTCTCCACTGTACCTATATTCTTGATTGTACTGCGTTCTGATAGATATAATATTGTGCTGTCATTCTTGACAATCGCAGAACGTCACGATGGATCCTTGGTGGATGGATGACGTGCCGGAAGGCTTCAATGGAAGCGGCGATGGCGACGAAGACTTGCTGATCAGATTTCTCACAAGTCCTGTAGATGGAACGTCAGTCGTTGAGGAAAGAATTCTTCAGAATCACACAACTCTTGCGGATACAGCAGTGTTTGCTTTGCCCGCAAACTATGTGGATCTTCACATTGTTGGAAGAAATGAAAAAGATACTGGGTGTCTTTCACAACTAAAATCCTTTCTAATGCGTGATCCTCGTAAATGGCGACACGTCATGATTGAATGGGACGGACGGGTGCCTTTACCAAGCACCACGCCTGGGTTCTTAGATGTCCTTTCCCAGTTGATGAGAAATTCCGAAAAATTGGACATTATTGGGTCGCTGGGAGATGAAGCCGCTTACCGGACTCTAATGTCAGGTCTAATGGCGCTAGACGGGACCAGACAGCTCTTGCTACACGATATCGGCAGTCTCCGAGATGAACGAATTGCCAAGCTCTTGGCCCATGGCTTGGCTCACTCCCAGACTCTTGAATCCTTCCGATTCGAGTCTATTGAAACCAAACAAGTCGTAGGTGCTGCGTTGATTGAAGGATTGAGCATCAATGGGTCTTTGATATCTCTTGAACTCGAGACAATAGGATATGAAGACGACAAATTCCTTACTGATTTAATCAATACGGTACAGCAGCACCCCAAAATTCGTTCGCTAAGTTTGGAAAGCCACGAAATTCAACAAAATATTATGGACAAAATGGGAGACTATCTCAGAGAGGAAGCATGTCAATTGAATGAACTCAAGATTGTGTACCGGGGTGGAAGATTACCACCACTGCCGCAGCTCGGCGGTACGAAAACTCAAAATTCCAGTCTCCATCGTCTCGACTTGGTTCGGACCATGATTCCAAGCCAGTATCTGGACTCTTTATGCTCAACTTTCACAGGTTTGTCGGTTCTGGCACTTCCTTTCAATACGATTCGGGATCTTTCACCGCTTATGGTTGGTTTGTGCCACTTTGCTCCGACACTTCAGGTTCTCGACCTGCGCCATAATCATATCGATCATGATGGATTGAAGCAATTTGCAACCAAGCTGCCGCACATGAGAAGTCTTCGAAGATTGTGCCTGACTGGGAATCCTTTCTTGGACGGCTCGCCAGCTACCGCAATCTCACTGGAAATCCTCACCGAAAACGCGATGAAAAGTCGAAGCTTGGAGTGCCTAGTGTTATCACCAGAGCATAACGTCTCGTTCGCTGCTCGACATGCCATGAATATCAATCGAGGTGGACGGCGTGGACTGAGTTCGGAGTCGCCCAATCTTCCGACCATCGAACTTTGGCCAAAGATCCTGCATCGATCATTGACGATCAAGTACTACGACGTTTCTGATGATATTGAAACGCCTCGGAATGAAAGTCAAAGGTCCGACGTCGTGTTTTATCTCCTTTGTCACCATCCCACAATTTTTGACAGCAACAAGTAAATAGATGGATGGTCGCCCAAGCAGATGTAGGAATCGGAAATTCAGAAAGCGAGCAAAACGACCTGGTGCACAATAAGTGAGAACGGGTACTTGCTCGGCTCCATCAGTACGAATGGTGAAATTGGGAGATGATCTCAGTCGTACGACGTTTTGGTGTGAATCTTGCCAGCCACTCGAAAGGAGAAAAGAAAACAAAGAAAGGAGCGCACCAGCTGTTCGGATCCTGCCCCGAACCAAACCACTGAACACGACAGCAAAAGCCACACCATGCTGTCCACAACATGGAGCATCGTCACTCCTACTGAAACGTGTAAAGAAGACGAATTCTGTAAACCGCAATCGATTGTTTCGACTCTGCAAGGTTCGCCCTTGTCCTTATTTCGTTTGGGCTGACAATCATTTCCCTAAATGCGCCTGTCGGCAAACAGCAACTCTACGAGTTAGTAAAACAGAACGTACCGGGGGGCGTTGGTTTCTGTCATGTCGCAATGCCGCTGCGAAGCCTAGCGATGGATACTCGACACCACGAGGTTGCAAGTTTTTTGCGTGGGCGGAGGACGCACAATTGAAGCCATTTGGAAATTCATTAACGCCCCTCTTATAGCGCAGAGTTATCGACGAGACAACATCTTGTTCTCTCTAGTTTGTTGCCATCCCATGATATTTGACAGCAACAATTAGGATGGACGATCCCGCAAGCACATGGTTTTGACGACGAAAAAACAAGGAATTAGAAAATATGGGCAAGTTCTTCTTCAGCAAGAGAGTGAAGGGAAGAAGCGTCAGATCAAGAAAAAGGCTACATTGACGGCATCTTGTTCTTCGAACGTTCTGCCTGAAAGCTTCATGAGCATACTGCTGGTTTACTTTCCTTTCTTCCCCCAAATTGGTTCTGTGAATAAGTTTCGTGGCGGGTTCATTATATATTGCGATGAGGAGGAACAAATCGGAAATTCAGAAAGCAAGCAAACGACGTGGTGCACAATACGAGAGAGAGGGTAACAGAATTACTGTATGGATTCCTTTTTTTCTCGCCCCCACGATGCCCCAAACAAGGTTGCAAGCAGTGTGTATTGGGCATCGGTTTGATAGCCGGTTCATTGCAAAACAAACTCACCTCCAATCTCCAATGCCAGATACTGCCAGCAACATTTATGCCCTTTGAACACTTGAGATGTTCATTCGCGTTCCACAAATTCGGAGAAACCACACGCGTAAATCCACTCTTTCTCTGTATCTAAACCTATCTCTCATACCATATTCTACTCGTAAAGGCGAAAGGGTATAATGGTCTTGTGTTTCGCAAGAATTTGGGCTACGTTTGACCTGCATTAACCAATCACATTGCGTGAGCATTCTTCGAGGTGCACGTCTCGCCTGTACGACGACCGGAGTGAGTGGACGCCGAATGAAAAGTGGTTTCAGTAGCGTTCCAAAACTCGCATAATTGTTTTCAAAGCCAACTTCCAAAACCAAAATGACTATCAATTTTGAATCCTCTACCATGTGTCTGTCCAATGATGATATGATGCATTCTATCGATGGTTCTGCTCTCATTATAGACGAGACCGAGTTGGAATCCTTGCTATTAGATCTCCCTCCACTTGATGATTGCAACGACGGAGAGGGACAATCATGCGATGTCGAAATCGAAATTGACTCCATTCCTCTAGACGAGATCACACAAGGAGACGGAAATGAAGCGTTGGTAGAATATGCTTCTGCTCTCTGCTCGTGCTTTCTCAGCAATGATGCTGCTCCTATTCAGGATGTCAACCGCATCCAAGAGATGCCATATCAAACCAAGAACAAGAAGACGAAGAAATCACAGCGAACCAACAAGAAAACGAAAAAGTCAAAGGCAGGGTCAGGAAAGAAAACGACCGCCAAGAGAAAAATGGTACCCAAAATCAAATGTACTACTACCGTGACACATCTTTGTCCCGAACGGGATGTCGTGTTCGGACGAGGTGGTCATGCCGTTCATAATCCTGGCAACGGGTTCCTGCTCGAAGCCGTGAAGATCCACAGCCCCAAGTACAAGAGCCTAGGCAAGGATAAGGACGGCAAAGTGGAAAAGAAGCATATTGTTCAGCTGGTCGCAGCGATGGTTGAAGCCAGGGGCGGCAGATTCTTGTTACGGCAACAAAAGGATGCGCCATGGCAAGAAGCAAGCGAACAGAAGGTGCACGAGAAGATCCGTCATATGCTGAGGGACCAGCCACATCCTCTGAAACATAGTAGGCGATGTACGATTTTGCTTTAAATAAAAATGACATGTATGAAGGGAAATTGTACTGAAAATTATAGTAGCATATAGTTTTTGGCCAGAATAGATAGCAGCGATGACTGTGGCTCTCCGATGATAATGGAACTGCTTGGCGTCAACTTTTGGTCGGAGAGCATACCAGACTGTCGGCTATGTATATTCTTGTCGATTGTGCTACTGCTGTGGTGTAGTGTGCATCGGCTTTGTTCACAAGCTCGAAAAATAAAATGCTTTATATTACATCTTTTCAGCACCTATTGTCGGATTGTGCTATGGCTGCTGTGATGTATTGTGCATGGGGTTTGTTTTCAAGCTCGGGAAAATGGTTTGCAAGTTCTTTGGTTATATGTGCCAAAGAATCAAAGAGTATACCTTCCCATTTTGAGAATCATAATCTATCAATGCTTTTTGTGGTTTCATCCTAATTGACTTCTTCATGCATCGATTCATCGTTTCGCATCAATCCAAAAAGTCGTGTGAGATGGCAACCAAAAATAATCCCGAAGATAATGGATATAAAAGTTCCGATAATATAGCCCCGGATAGTTTGGCCTTCTTGTTGGATATGGCCATCTCCGATACAACTTGCTTTGGATTTGACGGGCCTACCGAATCGGAATCATTTCTCATAGAGTAATATGCTTCAGTATTATCGAACAGCATACAATCAAAATCAGCTGTAATTTTGTCCCCTCTTATGTCAAGAAAATTGACTTGGGCACAATGAGTAAGTCCGAAATCTTCCTGGATCGATACTGCCGTCCCCACAATCAGAGTTTCGATAGGTATCCAATTCTCATGCTTTTCATTCCAGCTCGAGGTCGATGGCAAAACTGATCGCCGACCAAAGAATGGTTGTAATCGTCATCACGGCGAGGCATCCAGTGATCTTTGGGTAGTGATCAACCACTATGGCTTCGTTGATGGTTCTTCATCTTTTAAAGTAAGATCTCCTGTTCGAATTATATTGACCCATATTGCCATGTGTTGGAACGTGTATTAGATACTTAGAATTGGAGTAGTCAGATTAAGGTAGCCTGGTAGGCGCAGGGGTTCGATTCCGTAATATACCGGTACCAGGTACCACCCTATATTTGACAGCCATGAAATATCTGGCATATTATATGGTATATAAAAAACAGTTGCAAAATTCTTCTTCGCCCGACGACTCACGGACTGCGAAAGCGTTTGAAAATATTTTTGAAAATATTTGAAACATCATCATGCTGAGAATAATAATATACCGCACGTGATTTTCATTATTTCGAACTGTGGAGGAGAGCGGCGCACGATGGTAGAAGGACCAGGAGCTACACGCAACAGTCGAAAGGTTCAGCCTGCCATTGGATATACAGTGGAGTCAGTAGGGCAGGAACACTTGCAGGAAAAACTCCAAGACAAATGCTTGGCCGAGGTAATCTCAGTGGGCAAGGAAGTTTTCCTGCTGTTTACCAGTAATCGGGAGGGTGAAGATTCACAAGAGGGTGAAACTGCATTACGGCTACATTTTGGTATGAGTGGTTGCCTCTATCTATATCAAGATGACATTGGAACCAACAGCATTCCAACATGGCGACGAAACACCCCATCTTCTTTGAAAATTTACCTCGTGTCTCCCGACGATCCGATTTCAAGAATGTGTTTGGAGACAAAAGACTCGACCAGCAACCTCCTTTCTGCTCGTGTTGCAAGATCCAAAGTCATGCGGCTATCCAAAAGAGACGTCTGTGGGGATGGCTTTGATCCATTGGCGGTAATGGATGCCATAGTGAATAAACGGTCGGATGCAATAATCTCAGATGCAATTCTGGACCAAGACCGCTTTCCAGGCGTTGGTAATATCATCAAGATCGAAGGATTGCATCGATCAAAAGTGCATCCCAAACGAATTGTTTCGACATTGACCAGGGACGAACTTCAAGCTGTTGTATCGAGCTGCCGCCGCTATGGCATGGGGTGGCTGTCATCAGGTCGGGCACCGGCGAAAGCAGTTTATAACCAGACGGTGTGTGGAACTTGCTCGGCTCCATCAGTACGTATGGTGAAATTGGGAGATGATCTCAGTCGTACGACGTTTTGGTGTGAATCTTGCCAGCCACTCGAAAGGAGAAAAGAAAACAAAGAAAGGAGCGCACCAGCTGTTCGGATCCTGCCCCGAACCAAACCACTGAACACGACAGCAAAAGCCACACCATGCTGTCCACAACATGGAGCATCGTCACTCCTACTGAAACGTGTAAAGAAGACGAATTCTGTAAACCGCAATCGATTGTTTCGACTCTGCAAGGTTCGCCCTTGTCCTTATTTCGTTTGGGCTGACAATCATTTCCCTAAATGCGCCTGTCGGCAAACAGCAACTCTACGAGTTAGTAAAACAGAACGTACCGGGGGGCGTTGGTTTCTGTCATGTCGCAATGCCGCTGCGAAGCCTAGCGATGGATACTCGACACCACGAGGTTGCAAGTTTTTTGCGTGGGCGGAGGACGCACAATTGAAGCCATTTGGAAATTCATTAACGCCCCTCTTATAGCGCAGAGTTATCGACGAGACAACATCTTGTTCTCTCTAGTTTGTTGCCATCCCATGATATTTGACAGCAACAATTAGGATGGACGATCCCGCAAGCACATGGTTTTGACGACGAAAAAACAAGGAATTAGAAAATATGGGCAAGTTCTTCTTCAGCAAGAGAGTGAAGGGAAGAAGCGTCAGATCAAGAAAAAGGCTACATTGACGGCATCTTGTTCTTCGAACGTTCTGCCTGAAAGCTTCATGAGCATACTGCTGGTTTACTTTCCTTTCTTCCCCCAAATTGGTTCTGTGAATAAGTTTCGTGGCGGGTTCATTATATATTGCGATGAGGAGGAACAAATCGGAAATTCAGAAAGCAAGCAAACGACGTGGTGCACAATACGAGAGAGAGGGTAACAGAATTACTGTATGGATTCCTTTTTTTCTCGCCCCCACGATGCCCCAAACAAGGTTGCAAGCAGTGTGTATTGGGCATCGGTTTGATAGCCGGTTCATTGCAAAACAAACTCACCTCCAATCTCCAATGCCAGATACTGCCAGCAACATTTATGCCCTTTGAACACTTGAGATGTTCATTCGCGTTCCACAAATTCGGAGAAACCACACGCGTAAATCCACTCTTTCTCTGTATCTAAACCTATCTCTCATACCATATTCTACTCGTAAAGGCGAAAGGGTATAATGGTCTTGTGTTTCGCAAGAATTTGGGCTACGTTTGACCTGCATTAACCAATCACATTGCGTGAGCATTCTTCGAGGTGCACGTCTCGCCTGTACGACGACCGGAGTGAGTGGACGCCGAATGAAAAGTGGTTTCAGTAGCGTTCCAAAACTCGCATAATTGTTTTCAAAGCCAACTTCCAAAACCAAAATGACTATCAATTTTGAATCCTCTACCATGTGTCTGTCCAATGATGATATGATGCATTCTATCGATGGTTCTGCTCTCATTATAGACGAGACCGAGTTGGAATCCTTGCTATTAGATCTCCCTCCACTTGATGATTGCAACGACGGAGAGGGACAATCATGCGATGTCGAAATCGAAATTGACTCCATTCCTCTAGACGAGATCACACAAGGAGACGGAAATGAAGCGTTGGTAGAATATGCTTCTGCTCTCTGCTCGTGCTTTCTCAGCAATGATGCTGCTCCTATTCAGGATGTCAACCGCATCCAAGAGATGCCATATCAAACCAAGAACAAGAAGACGAAGAAATCACAGCGAACCAACAAGAAAACGAAAAAGTCAAAGGCAGGGTCAGGAAAGAAAACGACCGCCAAGAGAAAAATGGTACCCAAAATCAAATGTACTACTACCGTGACACATCTTTGTCCCGAACGGGATGTCGTGTTCGGACGAGGTGGTCATGCCGTTCATAATCCTGGCAACGGGTTCCTGCTCGAAGCCGTGAAGATCCACAGCCCCAAGTACAAGAGCCTAGGCAAGGATAAGGACGGCAAAGTGGAAAAGAAGCATATTGTTCAGCTGGTCGCAGCGATGGTTGAAGCCAGGGGCGGCAGATTCTTGTTACGGCAACAAAAGGATGCGCCATGGCAAGAAGCAAGCGAACAGAAGGTGCACGAGAAGATCCGTCATATGCTGAGGGACCAGCCACATCCTCTGAAACATAGTAGGCGATGTACGATTTTGCTTTAAATAAAAATGACATGTATGAAGGGAAATTGTACTGAAAATTATAGTAGCATATAGTTTTTGGCCAGAATAGATAGCAGCGATGACTGTGGCTCTCCGATGATAATGGAACTGCTTGGCGTCAACTTTTGGTCGGAGAGCATACCAGACTGTCGGCTATGTATATTCTTGTCGATTGTGCTACTGCTGTGGTGTAGTGTGCATCGGCTTTGTTCACAAGCTCGAAAAATAAAATGCTTTATATTACATCTTTTCAGCACCTATTGTCGGATTGTGCTATGGCTGCTGTGATGTATTGTGCATGGGGTTTGTTTTCAAGCTCGGGAAAATGGTTTGCAAGTTCTTTGGTTATATGTGCCAAAGAATCAAAGAGTATACCTTCCCATTTTGAGAATCATAATCTATCAATGCTTTTTGTGGTTATGAGACTCACGCAACACCTTGATTACTGGTCCAGTGAAAATGTATCCATCTGCCAGCATCCCATCTTCTCCCTTTTGTTGTTGTTCGAGGATCTGATTTGCCAAGATCATTCCACCAAAGCTCTCTCCCATTGCAAAAACTTCCTTTCCTGGGTATTCTTCCTTCACTCGACGCAACATAGCAGAGTATTCCTCAGTCAATGCGGGCATGGTCGGAAAGTAGTTTCGCAAACCACCGACCCCAGTGCTATGTCCACAACCCATGGAATCAAAGGCAATCACTGCGATTCCAGCTTCTTTCTGGAAGGCCCCCATGATTTCACTATATCCGATGTGAAATCCTGCGCCACCATGGCTAAAGAGAATGACAGCTTTTGGGTCTTGATTGGTAGGAATCCAGCGTCGTACAGCCAACTTGACTCCTGGCAGTGTTCCACCCGTGAATTCCTCTGGCTTTCCTAGAATGGTGTAAGATCGACATGTGCCGGATTCTTCGGTGCATTTTTCAGAATCTTGCGACTTTACAAATGCCTTATGCAGAAGACACGCAACGATACTAGAGCCGTGAATGCAGAGTAGAGAGACGAGAGTTTCATGACATGTGCTTGTACCTGAAGATTCGAAAATGAGAGCTTTGTAATGGGAATGCAACTGAATCAACTAAAGCAAACATGAGAATCGAAACTTGATACTGCTTGACACGATGAGCTGGTTTTGTGGCTGATGGAACTGAATCAATCAATCAAAAGCAGAAACCGGTACAACTGCATGTACACGTGTACCGGTACATGCACACAATGAATATCTTTCGTTTGACTTTGCGACTATTATATTATGATGATGACACCATGGATATTGACGGACGCCCGACAGATAGGCAGTTTTCTGGCGTCACCACGACAAAAGGATTTGCGTAGCTTTTACTCAGCGTTCTTGCGTGGAACATACAAAATCATCAATCAGTCCGAAGCACAAAAGGGGGCGCTTCGTTCATTCCAAGGTACCGGTAACATACTATACGTACCAGCAAGGATAAAGGTACCAGTATCGTAACAGGTGGCTCGTACCTGCTACAGTGAGTACTGTACGGTATTATGCACAAAACGATCATCATGAATATTTGATCCATTCTCATTTTTTCTTCATTCTGCTGATCAAGGTCACTTCATGGTTCTCACTTCTGCTTTGGTTGTATGTAGGAGCAATACCTAAATAATACCAAGAGAAAAGGTGCAAGATTCTAATTAGATCCTTTTTTGTTACCACAACAGTACTGTACCAATTGAAAACCCTACTTTTCCTGCCAAGGTACACGTTCTACCGGTACGACAAGATGCGTCGTACCTGATACAGAGTGTACCTACTGCACGGTATTATCATGCCTATGTTAAAATGGTTATGAATGCTTGATTCATTTTCCTTTTTGCATTCTGATCAAGGTCACTCCTGCTTTGATCGGACAAGGTTGCATACCTAGAAAATAGCAAGATTCTAATTCGTTGTTATTATGTCCGGAGCAGTCCGTAGTCAAAGGGTCGCAATAAGAGCATGAAGCATGACCGCTCTTTACTGTAGATGGATTGATCATAAAAAATTGGGTCGTCACTGGAGTTAAATGAATGATCTTGTCAACAATGACCGTAAAACACCTCAATTTTTTACAATACAGTATACTCGCGATAGAGGAGACAGTCGCGCTTGACAAATACATACTATGCCGGTTTATATATGTAAACAACGGAGATAATTCGAATGCACAAAATTCTCAACATCGCAAGGAGTCTTCTCACAAATCTGATCAAGGATCAACACATATTTTATAGCACAATGAAGTTTCACTGGAAAAGACAAATGCCTCTACATTTCATTCTGCGACCACGATCTTCATATTTTATATTTTATACTGCGGATTCTTTGATCAGAAAAGTGACGATCAACCAGGAGCTCATTAATGAAACTTCATGAAGTAAGCGCCACTGGAAAACCACGACTGCGAACTTTTGAAATGGAGCTCCTCTTTTTCTCGACTCATCGCTATTACGGTAGCTCAACGCAAAACAAAACAATGAAGTGCATCTTGACACACCAATCTATAGATGTATCACTATTTTCAAAGCGCTATAACGGTACAATAGTCACCATGATATCATAGCCCCCGTGAACAAGAAGCTGTCAATCATGAAAAGCTCATGTGGCAACAATGTGAGCACGTCCAAAATGGGATGCACTGCCCCCCAGCACTCGAATCCGCTGGCAAACACCAAGAACGGGGTTTTCGTTGAAGACACCAAAGAAATCTCCTGCACACTTTTTGAGAGCAATTACGCTACGTCATTGAAGCGTCGCAAAGATTTCGACGAAAACTCGAGGAGGAGAGAGCTTATTTTGGACGATGCAGAAAGCCTCAATCAAAGGATGGGAGAATATCGTAGACAAAAGAAGACTGGCAGATACATCCATATATTCGATACCGATTCCGATGACGAAGAAGACCTTGAACAATGAGCAATGGTTCTCGAGGACTTGAATTTAGAAAGAATAGAAAGCTAGCCACCGGTGTAATCTAAAATATACTAGTATTGACAATGTGACCTTTGCTGGTTTCACTTTTGTACTCGGAGAAACGTTTATCGACCTGAGTGGAAGCTCATTCTTGTCTCCGAATCATGAACGATCCCAGTAATCGCCGTCTTATTCTGAGCATTCAGCAACTTTTGTAACACCCAATGAGTCCTTGCAAATGGTAGCTCTGAACCCGTATGACACCTCTGCACTGTAAAGTGCATACCGTTGCTTGGGACAATAGAAAACTGTAATCAACGCAAAATACATTGTAAATAACAGTATACTTTAGATTACACCGGTGGCTAGCTTTCTATTCTTTCTAGGTTCTAGTCCTCGAGAACCATCGCTCATTGTTCAAGGTCTTCTTCGTCATCCGAATCGGTATCGATTATATGGATGTATCTGCCAGTCTTCTTTTGCTTGCGATATTCTTCCATCCATTGATTGAGGCTTCCTGTATTGTCCAAAATAAGCTCTCTTCTCCTTGAAACATCTTCGGAATCTTTGCGTAGTGGATTCAAGTGCTGAGGGACGCAGCCTCCAAGTTTTTGTAGGGCGTCTAACGATAGCTTCTTGGGCGAGGGAGTAATGCTGTCGTGGGGACTGATGCTAATGCAGCGCTACGAAAGCAGTGGTACATTGAGAGGTTGGTGTGTCAAGCTGCTGCTCATGATTGTAAGTTGGGATGTTGCGGGAAATTCGAAATTATGAGACAAAGTAGTCTTAATATAGCCAATGCAGTTTTGCAAAATTGCTTTCGGGGGTGGATGTACGGATTTTTTAAAAAATCTGATCGATTGTGACCTTCTGCACTTCTGCTCGAGAAACACCGTACTGCAGTCATCTCGTCCGACCTTTTCATATGGGCGAACAATAAATGAGAATTGTGGTATCCAGTGACTATTTAACACATTCTTGGTCAGAATGCAACAATGAACCTGCGTGGAAAAAAGAGCCTGAAGTCTGAACCTGCAAAAGTGACTGTTGTCTATGATAGAGTCCAATACGTTTGCCTGTACGATACCAACAGTGGCCGGCCTACATTGTGGTTTTCCAGTCAGGCTTTGTCGTGGAATAAATGAGATAGTTAAATATTAAAAATATTTGAAAATATTCAATTTGCCGTGTCCCACAAAAGGCCGAGGACTAACTTAGGCACAATAGGGATAGAACGATTGCTAAAGAGATATTATGAGCTACTTCCCTGGGCAGAACGCGGGAGCCATACTGACATCAGAAGAGAGGTACTGGATACACACAACTTCCACTGCAGTCTTGATAAGAATGCACTCGTCAGGTTGTCGCCACCTCATTGCCTCATCATTGTCAGCTCGTAGCATAGGTAATAGATGTACTCGACATTTGGCAAGATTAATTTTGACAAGGCTACTGTAGACATGCTGAGTAAGGGGACGTTTGTAGGAGTACTCATATCAGAGTAATCGATGTTCATTCGACTGATATGATTCGACTAGTTGGACTTTTTGACTAATGTGAGCCTTTCTCAGTTTCAACTTCACACTTCTTGACCAGAAGAACCCCTTGAACGTCAGTGTCTCCGAAGCAGAATCATCACAGCGATCATAGTCTATGCAACAAGCGGGCTTTCGCCTCTTTTTAAAAAAATAACGCGGGGACTTTCAAGCAATTGTGAGTATGTGCAGTACCAGTACTTCCTAACTTCACAATGTATACCGTTCGTCGGAATGGAAACAGGGAAGGAATCGAACAGACACTGACACTGAGCTTCCATCTGATCAAGGAGACACTGGAAATGCCGCAATTCCAAGTTCTTGCTTTCTTTGACCAGCGCCATACCTCAAAAGGTCGACGATCGTCACTGCGACCATGGAGCTGGGCCTTCATTTTAAAACCTAAACCTTAGTTATATTGGACTAAGGCCGCTAAACGGTGCAGACCATTCCTCCGAGTACAAAAGTGAAACCAGCAATGCTACAAAGGTGACAGTGTCAATACCTAGTATATTTTAGATTACACCGGTTGCTATCTTTCTATTCTTTGTAAGTTCTTGTCCTCGAGAACCATTACTCATCGTTCAATGTCTTCTTCGTCATCCGAATCGGTATCGAATGTATGGATTAATCATATGCATTGTATCGGTACAGACATCGACGTTTTGGTTCTTTTTTCTGGCCGAGAAGTGTGAATTAGAAACTGGAAAAGACAATATTGTGCGCCCTTTTGATCTATTACTGTAGCCGTAGCAGTTGACTTGCATGGAGGTACACGTGTAGCCAACGTAAGTATATTGAGTGCAGCATAGCGTTTTAATACCCCACACAGACGATTCGTGAAACACATAGCTTCCTCATTAAGTGGGAACAAGAACCTTCACTGGAATACAGCAGTCGGGGGCTCAATAAATACGTCATGATACCGACACACCAACCTCTCAATGTACCATTGCTTTCAGCGAGCTGCACTAGCATAAGTCACCATGAGAGCATCACTCCCTTGCCCGAGAAGTTATCGCCTCTCAAGTCGTTGGACGCCCTACCAAAACTTGGGGGCTGTGTCCCTCAGCACTTGAACCCACTACGCGAAGATTTTGAAGATAATTCGAGGAGGAGAGAGCTTCGTCTGGACGATACAGGAAGCCTTAATCAAAGGATGGAAGAATATCGCAGACAAAATAACAGTGAAGAAATCAATGCTAAACAAGTCATGTTGTTAATGATGGTATGCTAAATTACATTACTCATCCGAAGTCAATGGCTGGTGTCAGGTGGTGACTCAGCTCCCTTTGTTCGTTCTCAGTTGTCGTTGAGAAAAAGCGTTCATTCAAGGTCTTCTTCGTCATCCGAATCACCAGTGTCGAAAATATGGATGTATCTACCAGTCTTCGTTTGCCTTCGGTATTCTTCCATCCTTCGATGGAGACTTCCTGAATTGTCCAGAAGAAGCTCTCGTCTCCTCGAATTTTCTTCGAAATCTTTGCTAACTGGATTCGAGTGCCGCGGAAAAGAGCCTCCTCCAACAAGTTTGTTGCTGGATGTGCGGTCTTGCTGCTTGAGATTTGGTACTATTAGGGCGTATAACGACTTGAGGGATGACTTTTTGGGCACGGAATCGATGATATCATGCTGATTGAGGCTGGTATAGCGCTGTGAAAGCAGTTTGATACTGACTGGTTGGTGTGTCAAGATACAGCTCATGGTTGGGTGGAAATTCGAAATTATGAGCAAATTCTCCAGCATTGAGTTTTTGCAAACAGAACTCGTGCCATATATATAATATGAGTCCTAAATATGTTTTTTCACTGGGGTTCTTGTTCCGAGGTAATGAGAAAGCTTGGTATTTTCAATTTCACTTTTGATATATATATATATAAGTAAAAATGTTCGTTTTGACTTTTCACTTTCTGATCGAAAAATCATGCTAGTGGTATTAGCGCTCTGCTGACCGTTTTCACTTTTTATTATTGGTGGCAACTATTTTGGTCCCTCAAAAGGATCACTTCGGATGCTCCAGTTTTTTTCAGTTTCTGTTTCGGGTGGAGAAATAGACTTTAGAAGCACTTCGGTGCCTTTCTCTAAACATGCATAATTTTATTTTGTGACTCTTCTGTGAAGGTTGGATTAGTTGGTTGCTTCGCGGTTATTTTGAAAATAAGCAGAAAGGATCAAATAGGGATTTTACGCAGAAGGAGGATATCCCTTTAGGTACAGTACTGTACGGGGAGGAAATAGCGCTACAGTATTTTTTTTGGAAAAACTTGCAGGTCGAGCCGAAAGTCCTTTAGTTCTAGCCACCAATCGCCGACAAAACCAAGTAAAGGCTACATCCTAGAACTACACCAGTCAATTTACCACCGTCAAACTCTGATCTTTGGGCTGCAGCTTTTGATGGATCAATTATTTTACTTTGCGAAAGTGACGTTATTCCATCAAGTGAATCAAACTCAGCATCGTGGAGCTCTTGCCAGTTATTTATGATGCTTTTCCTTTGCCTAGAGTTGATGTTGGGGAATGAAACCCAAAAGACTGGAATTCACTCTCTTTCGGACAATTTGCATCCAACAGTTGATGCTTGTTTGTGCGGTTCATGTTGATTCAAGCACAGAGCACACTTCCTCCGCTAATCAATCTTGCAGTCAGTAAAATTATTAAAACCGGCGCAGGTACCACTGGTACCTGGTATCACTGTACCGGTACAGCACCGAGAGAGACACAGCTCTGTACCCCAATCGAGATTCTAGACGAGTCGTCCCAATACCCTACAGTATCATGGCCAACTCTTCCCCTCTAACTATGATCAGGAGAGCTCGTCGGATGATCATATCCTATCAAAGTGGTGCTGTACTAGTCAAAAGGCGCCCTTGTACCTATCCATAGTTCATATGATGACGAGGCTGGGCAATATATGCAATTGATTCAAACTAATTGCATGTTAGGCTTGGCAGAACTCGCTGTGTGTCTTATAGTCCCCCGAAGACTGCGTTGGTTCTCCACTGTACATGGTTACTAGGTCATACCGTCCGTTGGAAGATAAAGATTGAAGTCAGCGCTAAAGAGTCACATTATCAACACTAGTCTATAGTAGTGTGCTAAAGTACAATATTCATCCAAAGTCAACAGCCGCCGACAGGTGGTGGCTCGGTTCCCCATTGTTCATTCTCAGTTGTCGTCGAGAAAAATTGTTCATTCGAGGTCTTCTTCGTCATCCGAATCTGTATCGAAAATATGGATATATCTGCCAGTCATCTTTTGTCTGCCATATTCTTCCATCCTTCCATTGAGGCTTCCTTTGTTGTCCAAAAGAAGCTCTTTTCGCCTCGAATTTTCTTCGAAACCTTTGCGAAGCTTGAATGACATTGGGTGGCGACTCTTGAGAAGTGCACGGGTGAATATTTTGGTTTGTCCATCGAAAATGGCGTTCTTGTTGTGCGCCAATGGATTCGAGTGCGGGACACAGGAGCTTCCCATGCTCACATTATTGCCACACGAGCTTTCGGTGAGTGACAGCTTCTTCAGCACTGGATTCTTGATGATATCATGGTGATTGGCGCTGGTGCACTGCGGACGAAAGTTACGGGGTTTCTGGAAGATTTACGGGAATGGTATGTACTCCCATCCGTTTTTTCCCGTATATTCTCCTTCGATCCTGTATCGGCAATTTGTCCGGTAAAAACTCCTGTAGCGCCAAGAAAATTCGTTGTTTGTTGAGCAATCCCGTAAAAACTCCCTTTTTCCTGCGTTCGATGGTAGCTTCAAAACTTGAGCGGGCATATACCTTTATACAAATCGAATATTATATGCCATACAACACGATCATCATGATGAACTGAAAGTGGTTAGAGAATTTTACGAGCTGATGGATTCCTCTTCCCTTTCCTTCCCTTCTTTTGTCCCCAAGGTCTAAGGTCTGTTGATTGTTATGTTGGAGAGCTACTATGGTTTCCATGTTGCTGTGGCAGTTGCTGATGGCAATTGATGAAGATGTTGCTTCATGAGAATGGCAAAGACTGCCACTGTGGAGAGAATGGAATGAATTAAAGAAGACGAAGAGTCGTAGGTAATGTATTATAGGCTTGGATGTAGGTAATATGTTAGCTTTGTTACGTATTCCCTCAGTACTGTAGTGGTAATGTTGGCAAATGTGATGTCTTGGATGCGTTGTGAAAGCAGTGATACATTGAGAGGGTGGTGTGTAGAGATGCAGTTCATCTTTTTGTTTCGGTTGCCTGTTGCGGGACAATCGAGAAATTGTAAGACGAGAAGCGTAGTTTTGCTAACTTCCTTGGAATTGCTTTTCGAACCGCCACTGGGGAATCCCGATGAGTGAAACTTGTTTCCAAGCGCATAGTGCGATCGCCTCTAATTGGAGGTCATCTGCCACTGGGGCTCGGTAGGTTCACGTCAATAAATCGATATTCTGCTACTGATTTTCGTATTATAATAGCGCCAAATGTTATATATATATAATTTCATGAGACATTTGGCAATGCTTGCTTTGATAATCGTCATTGGGATTCCCGATCATACAGACAGTAGTGACTGTCGTTGCTCACATTAGTCCACTAGTCCAACTAGTCGAATCATATCAGTCGAATGAACATCGATTACTCTGATATGAGTACTTCTACAAACGCCCCCTTACTCAGCATGCCCACAGTAGTCTTGTCAAAAGCAATCTTGCCAAATGTCGAGTACATCTATTACCTACGCTACGAGCCGACAGTGATGTGGCAATGAGGTGGAGACAGTCTGACGAATACATCTTATCAAGACTGCAGTAGAAGTTGTGTGTCTCCAGTACACACCTTCTCTGCTGATGTCAGTATGGCTATCGCGTTCTGCCCAGGGAAGTAGTTCTCCATTAAGCTCATAATATCTCTTTAGCAATCTTTCAATCGCTACTGTGCCTAAGTTAGTCCTCAGCCTTTTGTGGGACACGGCAGTGACCACTGTTCTCTTATATATATTGCATGTCAAAGCGTGACCTCTATTTTCTTTGTAAAAGATTAAATCTTGGAAATGACTTTGAGCCCACTTCGCATTTTGCTGAGCCTGACCTAATTCGAACCGCCACTGGATCGGAGCGCGACATTTTTTTTTAAAAATCTACAGCATACTGTATTTTTTTTACGTGCTTTTTTCTTAGACATGCTTTTTACCTGCATATGTCTATTCAAATTGCTTGACTAGAATCCTTGATGACAATATCTCCGAATCACCTGCTTCGAGAGGACCTCGTACTACACCAGACTCCATGTCCCTCATTGTTATGGTTCTAGTCTTTGGCGAGAGTTGCATTGAAGGGAAAGAATAAAATGGATTTGTCTCGATCGTTGCTTATAGGACTAGGACTATGTGCATATTTCCTCTTGATAATTTTAATCAAAACCCCAGCCGTGGCCCAAAAATGCACCGCTGTTTCGTTACGACTTCGCCGTTCCTCTGGCTTCTATGTATAATCTTCATTTCCTTTGTTCACGTTGAATGCTCTTGAGCATTCATTCTAGATCCTCATCGTCAGAATCTGTGCTGAAATCGTAGTTGTACTTTCCGGACTTTTTCAGTTTTCGGTATTCTTCCATTCGGCGACTTAGGTTTCCCATATCGTCGAGTTTCAGTTCATTTATTCTTTGACGGTTTGCAATATCCTTGCAAACCTTCAATGCCTGGGAAAGTTGCCTTGTTTGTGCTGGAGCAGCACTCGGTACTCCTCTACTGGGAGCTGGAGGAGCAGCAGTCGGTGCACCTCTGGTGCGAGCTGCTGTGAAGACCGCATTGTGCGTCAATCGGTTCATTCTTGCTTGATTCAAAGATTTTTGTGCTAGTTGATGAAGCTTGGACATGCTCGTTCCGTTCGGTGCACCTCTGGTGGTGTGAGCGGTGAAGACAGCATTCTGCGTCAATCGGTTCGTGCTTGCTGAATTCTGTGCTAGTTGGTGCAGCTTGGACATGCTCCTGACACTGTCGGCGCAGGAAGTGAATGACTGAGCGTCTCGTGTCATCAGGCCCAAGTCTGCAATGGATCTTGATAGCTTCTGTGCATTGCTGGGAGTAGCGTGCTTGGTATTTCGAAGCAGATCTGGAAGAAGCGTATTGAGCGCCTTGTTTGACAAAATCTTGTTCTTGGATGCCATGTTGCTTTGCATGGAAAGCAGGGGTGCATGCAGCGCTTTGTGGTGTGTCGCAATGCAGTTCATTGTGTTGTTTTCGTTGAGTGGAAAAAATATGAGATGGAATGGGACCGGTTTGATTTCAGGTTCGGACTTTCGACATGCTGTACGTGACGAACATTCCATCCCTGGAAAATGTATGTTCGCATGCGCAGTGATTGGGGTCAAGAACCGAATTCTCTACAGGGCTCCTTTTCATGTTACATATGTAGCGATGACGTGATGTGCGACATTTTGATACAAAAACGGAATGGAAAACAAGGGCTCATGGTCATTGCACACAGGTACTGGTGAACTGTTCTTTTTTTTAAGCAGAGCTCGCAGTTGTAGAAGCGCTCCCATATACATATCGTATTATCAAAATGGACCAATTGAGCGGTTGTGACTTCATTGGCGGCTTTCGTCGCGCATGGGGAAGCACCAGCAGCAGGGAACAACTGCCCTGGTCAAGTATTGGATTTTGGGTTACCTGCAGTACTTGTACTGTAAATACAGTATGTGTTAAGTCCCAAATTTTGTTCGTTTTCTTGCCATTTTTTATATTTATGTATCGGTAGGTCATATGACCTTTTCAGCCACAAAGAACGTGCAAAAGATTGGTTCACAAAGCATTGCATTCTTCTCAAGTTCTAACGCTACCAGTACCAGAGGTACCTACTGTTGCACCTTTACCAGCTCCTGGTACCTGGTGCTAGCAGAATTTTGAGCAATCATCATCACATCGTTGGACTGCAGCTACTGGTACCCGTTTGGTACGTGTACCGGTACTGTACGTGTACAAGTTGAAGTCTTGGTGGTCTTGGGGTCACGGGTACTACCATAGGCACAACTATGGTCCTTCCGTCTTCCAACTTTCGACTCACTCACTCATTCGTTCAAAGCATACAAAATTGGGTAGCATTGGTTGCGCTACAGTATCTCTTTGTGTTTCCACAGGTTTTGATAGATCAATACACTTCAGGACACTGGACACAAGGGTTGTCGAAACGTTCAGTAAACCAAGAGAAGAAAACAGATAAGAGCATGCTGCGATTCAGTCATCAAAATGACGAGTCAAGTCAAGCAGAACAGCAATCCCAGCATGAATCCTCTTCCAACGTATGGCTGCAACCACAAAGAGAAGCAACGACTACCACAAGTGGGAGAATAATCACTGCTGATCTTCTAGAAGCATCCTTTACTTGTCGATTGTATCCCAAGGGCGATGACCAAGAACGGGTCCTCCTTCCGCTTCGATGGGATTCCCACTTTCTGAATTGTCGGACTCGTAGTTTTGGGTCCATTTTTGGAATCGCGGAAGAGCTACGCCATCCAGATGATCTGAGACACGCAATTGTAACGATAACAGAGTATCAACGAGATGCAAAGACCAAAGTAGATACAAGTTCAGCATTGCACTTTGGAAATCCTCGAAACGGAGAAGCACATTCCGAATGGAGACGGTGTCCTTTGTCGCACCATCCCGTCGCTTCAGATGATACTATTGAAAACAAGCAATCGGAAGTACGCTCCATTGCTTGGATTGACCTTCGGAACGACGCAGCTGCATTAGAGGTCCTTTTCCGTAGCAAGGCTTCTTTCTTTCGATCCCTTCGGTCCCTTTTGACCTGCACGCACGATGTTTCGCCATGGCAAAACAGCAATGATTCTGATGATAATTCGATCGACGAAATCCCATTGCATCACGATCACGTCGTATTTGTTTTGCCAGAACCTTCTGGGCTTGCTCGAAACTTTCGAGTGGGAGACGCCGCTCCGAGTTGGCAGTTGCAGTCTTATGTGGTGTGCAAGCACTTGGAGGATTGGGACTTTTGGAAGTTACACCCATCGCTGGACGCCCCATCCGGCCACGTATACATTTACAAGAGACTTCCTAAGAGACTGAAAATGTCAAACCAGCATCCGGAAACTAGCGTTCCAGCTCCAGATGGTTGTTTGTGGGAAACTGTTGACATCAAGGAGGAAGAAAGAGTCGACGATGAGGACGAGGAAAAAGAGGAATACGAGGATGACGACCAAAATGAAAAGCAAATATGTGTGAAAGAGCATCGACTGGTTTGTCCACCCTATGTGAACTTGGAGGAACTCTACTCTTCCGAGGTATTGAAAGCTCTGTTTGATCCCGAACATGTGGAAATCTTTCGTCAAGAGGCACTCCGAATTCCATTTTGGGTACCATGGCCCGAAACGCAACACTACTCTGTGAGCTCATCAGCCCATGCATCCAATCCCGGCAAACCTTGGACCGTCTTTCCCCTTTGCTATTGCTTTCCAGCCAACCAACCAGAAAATATTACATGGGTGGAGAACACCAATGCCTTGTGCCCTCGGACTTGTCAAATTCTGAAATCGATTCAAACGGAGGAATTGGGACTTGTTGTGAGAACAGCCTTGTTTAGCCAATTGGCACCCGAGACTACGCTGGAACCGCACACTGGCTGGGCCGATTTGGCCAATCATGTCTTGAGACTGCATGTGCCATTGACCGTTCCAAAAGGAGATTTGTGTGGAACTTGGGTAGACGGCTGTGTCGAGACTCATCAAGAAGGAAGACCTTTATTGTTTGACGATTCCAAAATCCACCGAGCCTTCAACTATCATCCAAGCGAAAGTCGAGTAGTATTGATTGTGGATTTGGCTCGACCCAAGGACCTTCCCCTGGGGTATGCTACGGGCGGTCATTCGGAAGAACTGGATTCCTTCATTCAACAAATGAGTGCCCCTAGATAGAGAATGTATATTTTAATAATAGCATAGACTATGTATGGTTGCTATGCGGAATACTGTACATACTAATCAACTACAGGCATAAGAACTACTGTAACTACTGTACTGAATCGTGTGGGGCCGACTCACTCACTCGGCAGTTTAGTCATGGTGGCAGGATTCATTGGACCCATTTTCTTGCCTGCTAATTGTGGCTGACGTGTCCTTTTCAGTTCAGAACACTGAACGTATTCCCGAATGGATCGGGACTAGATAACAAGTGCACGGCAAGCTCGGAACATCATCCGTTGAGTCCGGTTTGCGGATTGAACGAGTCGTTCAAATACGAGCCTACCACCCCGGACTGAGTTTTCAATCATGTGACACGCCAGCCCAAGATATTTTGTATACATGGTGAAGAATGATCAATCTTTTACGAACGGACTGAAATCCCTCGCGCTTGATTTTCGCCAAAAAAAAAGGTTTTGGGGCTTTCAGGCAACACACAACTCAAGACCAACACCTCATACTCAACAACACTTCACAGTCAAAACACGAAAACAACAATGAAGTCTATCGCCAGGATCATTTTCATTGCCGCTACTATTGCCAGCTCCCCCTTGGTGGCTGCCAACGATGTTACTCTGTCACAAGACAACAACGTTGTTGCTCGTGCACTTGGAGGTATGTAGTTTTGCAATCAATCTTGCCTAATTGGTGACAATGAATTCCGGACCTTCTCGCTCACCTCTACTGCTCCCTGTTTATGTTTTGCTCAGACGATCCAAAGCCAAAACCACACCCACACCCAAGCGGCGGTGGCGGCGGCTCTGGAGGTTCTAGTGGATCATCTGGAAGCTCAGGCTCCTCTGGTGGTTCATCGGGAGGCGGTTCATCGGGGGGCTCCTCTGGTGGTGGCTCTTCTGGTGGTAGTAGCATTTCAGCAGCAGTTGGACCTGCTGGAGGGGGTGCTGGTGGTGCATCTGGCGGGATTGGCCTCGCCGTCGGTGCTGCTATCGCTGCAGGAGCCGCCATTGCCGCTGCCAACAGACGCAAGCGCACGGTCGAAACAGATGACCACCCATTGAAGGGATCCTTGAACAAGCGTATCAACCTTTTCAGCAACTTGGCAGCGCACTCTGCAGCGCCAGATGCTAGACCGCCACGAAGAACTGGAGACGAAGGCGACTATGTCAATGCCGACACTATTGTGTAAAGCGAATCGCTGAAATAATGTGACACATCCAACCGCACTCTGTAATTATTCATACATAAAATGATACAACGTCAAAAGTTAAGCGTCAACCTTTTGTACTGTATGCGTAATATTGGTTGATATTGGAGTTGTTTGTAAATGTGTGGCTGAATGATTCGACATTCAGATGGCTGATTTATTTATTCATTAGCATACCTCACCACCTGCACCTGCACCTATATTGTATAGCACCGGTACTATCAGGAATGAGAGAGTGAACAGGCCCCTCAGCTCATTCTTTCTTCCATGACTCCTCACGACACCTTCTTCTTGTGGAGGCACCCCTGTGGGAGCACTCGTTGGAGGAAGTGCTGTTGTTCTTCGTCCTCCACCACAGTGGCAGCACTCAAAGCCAGCAGTGCACTGCGTTCCATATCCACAAGACCCTTCACTATTGCCAAATTCGGGACAACCAAGTGGTTCATTTGCTCCAAACCACCAACATGGCACAGTGCCAACCGTAGAATTCACTCGAAGCTTAAAGTCTGCATTGTCGATGCAAAAGTCATCCTTTTCAAAAGTAAAAATGTTGACTTTTGCAAAGCCATCGGGGTAACTGTCTGTTTCCAAAACGTGGATTGACAAGTGCTCGCTGCTATCTCGATAGTTGGGAATGACGTGGGCTTCCCCCGAGGCCAACACTGCCTCCATCCAAGATTCGGCAAAAGGAGCTTGGCCTTGGCGAACAATCTTGACTCTGTTGGCCCCAAAGGATGTCCCTCGGTGATGCCGAATGGCATGGTTGAAACCAACATAATAATCTTGTCTGACAGTTGGTACTTTGATGACGACCATGGCATCCAATAAATCGGAATCATAATTGCCCACTCCAATCAGCGTTCCCCACCAACCAGACATGGGGTCGAATTCCATCACTTTGTCTTGATACCAACCCAGTTGGTAACTTTTGGCTGGATTGAAACAGACTTGGGCTCTCATGGGACCTTCATCTACAGGGTAGCCTCTGCCCATGACCGTTTCTTCCTGACCGTCCTCCAGGCTAATCCAAGAGTGTGCAAGCCCGAAATTATGTGCCAGTTCGTGAACTGCCGTCTTTGGATAATGGCACCAGTTGTCGTGATACACCGAAAGATAGTGATTGACGTAGGCGTAGGCGCGCCAAGAAGGAGAACCATGCCGTTGGGTGCCAGGAGGTAGACACAACATGACGTGATCAAACATGGTGAATAGCTCATTGCCACCAAAGGTTGTCTCCAGAACCCTTACTGCCTCCTCTTCCAGAGCGAAACTATCATTATCGGCGACGGACAGATCCAACTCTATTTCAATGACTCCATTTCGAATATCTCGCCGACTGTAATACTGTGTGATCCCCCCACCGCATACGCAACAAGCTTCATTCGCCGTCGTTCCACCTGGATCTTGCTCCTCCCCAAATGCCAAACAATAATCACTGGTGTCAGGCCTATTTTCAAAATGCGCGCAGTCCCCAACCGAGCCATCCCCAAACGTCTTCAGAAAGGTAAAGTCGGGATCGTCTTGGCATCCAACCCCGTTTATGCTGGCTGGTTCAATCCGGAGCTTTCCGTAGGAACACTCCTCCATTTGTGACTTGAGATTGACCACATCCCCATTGATCCCAAAGATATCGTCCGCGATTTTGTCGACTGTTGCCGACGGCTTGACATCGGTGGTCACGACTCGGACGGCAAGCACTTTCTTGGTTCCCATCGTTCGGCTGAAATCATGAACCTGCTGTGGGCTGTTCCCTAATGATGATTGGCGATTTCCGAATGCATTACCAGCGCCGTCCTCGGTACTAGCTGTCTTTTCTCCAAATGTTAGGCGACTGTTTGGTTGAATTGCTAGCGTTCCATTTTGAATTGTTGTAGTATCTGCGAGAAGCGTTGTAATGCCGCTTTGGATATCATCTTTCGCCAAAAGAACTGTTTTTTCGATCCCTTCCACATCCACAAATCTGCTCGCTCGTTTTTCTTGACTTCCACTGAGCATGGCCTCGATATCTTTTGCTTCGAGTTGACATCGCCATATTATGTTATCTTGGTGGTGAGCTGAGTTTTCTCCGCCATTATAGTCATCGTTGTTGACTACAACCTGATACAGAGTGCATGGTGCCGACTGGACGAATTTACGTTCTTGTTGTTGTTGTTGTTGTTGTTGTTGTTGTTTCTCGTCCTCGTTGTTATCGAAAGGGCCTTCCGGTTGATCGTTCGAAGCTTTTGCGAAGGATTTCAATATCAAGGCAATTGGAAAGAGACATCCAATCAAGCGATGTCGCTTCAGAAACATCTCTTCTTTGGAATAGCATTAGACGTCGTGTTGTACAAAATTTTGGCCAGAAATTGAAATTGTTGAAAGATATAGTAGATGACCGCTTCCACCAAGTTGATTCATCCGACTTGAAAGGATTTTGGAGAAGACAGTAGTTGACACCATGAAAAGGTTGGCGATTGATTCTACAGGGGAATGAAATGGTTGGTGATTGGATGAAACAGAGTTGCAGATTAAATTATGATCTCCCGTTCTATCTATTATAACACCTGCAGTACAATGTTCCTAGGAACTAAGAAATTCTAAAAATTGAAAACTCGAGAACGATATCGAGAGCTGAATCAATCATCATTCAACTATCAATCAATCATGGTGATTGGCTGAGGAGGCCCAAAGCATCAAGAAGCGCAATCATTACAGCACTTCTTCAAAAACAAAAGGACTTTCCTCTGTCATTTCTAGCTGCCAGGTATAGGTTGCAGATTCCGTAATTCTTCTGCGTAGCGAGATTTTAACCCTCGGCTCTGGTTGTTGTCGCAATGGTCTTGGATCGGTGATAACCACTTGTGGGATTTCCGAACCCGTTTCTGTCGCTGTAGCTGAAAAGATTTTTCGCATCAGCTTCTGTTGGAGTGGATAAGGATGGGGAATTTCTTGTTTTGTTTCGATGCCAAGCTTGCAATCGACCGAGAACAAGTTTTGCATAAGCTTCTCTTGCAATGGGTGTAATGAATGTACGCGTGCTTTACGATCCTCTGGTCTCCCGCCGAGGATGTCAGAACGCTCCTGCATGGCCGCAATAGCGGGAGCGGCGATTACCATGAAATCCATTATTGTAAAGTTGTTGGGTGTTTGAATAATTTGTTTGCGTGTACTTCGTTGTGTTGGAAATGTGCTTCCTTTCGTTTGTTTGTGTGCCAAATGGATAAGACCAACTGTGATGGGGTTCTCGTTTGTGCGCAGAAGGATCGGGTTCCGTGTGTGACACACGGCGGAGCACTAGCAGACCAACACTTTGGGGGCTTCTTGAAATCGATCCTCAAAAATTTCACCCCCTAGGGTTTTTTTCTAGAAATATCTCACGACCATCAATTCTGACATCCAAAAATATCTCACGACCATCATTCTGAGGTGGCAAAATTTTCAGGAATTTTTCTCACGTAAAGTGATGCCTGGTTTTTCCTGCTTATGATCGATGTCAAGCCTTCTCGGGCATTCTTAAAAGATAAAACTTTCGTCACTTAGGATAGAAACGTCGTCAGTTGACTGTTAAGTAGCTTTGAAATACGTGGACAACCTAGTTGCCACAATGCGAGGATTTCGTTCAAGAATGCACACACATCTTTATGATCATAAAATTCAACAAGCGACAGTTTCTGACTGACAAAGCATTTCTAACCTCAAAAACCTACCTACACACTTTACAATGCCAGCCATCATGATGAACAACTTCTCTGCCTCTTGCCATAAAACCGCAAGAAGGTCTTCCATCAACAACAGCAGAGATTTGAAGAACCTGAGCCTACACTCCTCCATGAGTCGCTCCACACGATCATTCAATCTCTCCTCACAAGCTCAACTTGCAGCATCGCCAACCTATGACCCGATGCCATGTTCTTTCATTCCTACGATTGAAGACAACGAGGATAACTGGGGACACTTTGTGGACCTCTAAGCATCCTCCTCTGCCTCCTGTTCATGATTATCATTATCATCATGTGACCTTTCTACAAACTATTCCTACCCAACCATGACTTACATCGCACTGTGGCTCACCTGAACAAACACTCGAGTGCACAGCTGTATACTATCCCACATACTGATCACCACATCATGAATTATCAAGACTCGCCAAGCTAGACGAGTTGCTACTACATATCCTAGCTACGCTGTTGCAAATACATTGCTTCGCACACCAAGACACTTTTGCACAAATTCAAAAGGTCTGTAATATTACCATAAGAAAAATATTTTTGCTATGATCTATTATCTACCTGCATATGATGCAAATTGTTTACTGATTAGAAATCATTAGCGAAACCATGGACGTGGATGCGCTGATCACAAGCCAAGCACGCGGCATTGCCCACTCATATATTCAGCCTACCGGTATGCACAAATCTATGTGGAAGGACGTGTGATCTATAAACGGTTACAGCATGATGCAAAAGCGGTGGATGGTTTTACCATATTTCTGTACTCTACTCTACAATTCGCGTTCAGTTGCCGCTTCTTTTTTCGAATCATAGTACGCCTTGACCTGCTCGTTGTCTTTGATCCCTTTCATTGTTGCTAAGACACCAGGGTAGTCATCAAAGAAGTCCTTGTCAATATGGTCCCACATTCCCGATTGAATGGCCGGAACCGCTTGCGCAACAATCAGATCTGCATACGTAGGTGTATCTCCGCTGATGAAACAGCCTCCATTTTCTTGAATAATACCTTCTATCCAAGTCCAATACTTCTTCATGGCGCCGCTTTGAAATTCCTTTCTCAATAGCTTGTATTCCTCTTCATCCTTGCTCTGCAAAACCAAATACAATTGGATTAGATGACAAGATTGGGAGAGTAGAGCAGTCCACGTTCGAACAAGTATTTTGACAAGGAAACTACAAAAAAAGAACGCAAAAGTCGCTACCGACTGGTACAAAGTCAACTTACTCTTGGGGCTTGGGAAGAAATTTCATTGACAGTCTCGGCAATCATATCGGCCTTGAGAGCTTCCACTTCAGATTCCGGATACCATCCAGCAAGCTTGGCCGCATATCGTGTCAAGGAAATGGATTGACAGAATTCTTGGCCATCAATGGTCAAGACTGGCACAAATCCTAGTGGAGTCGTTTCCTTGACGGCTGGCCATTCTTTGAATGGAATTCGAACGTCGTCATACTGAACTCCAGCAATGTGGAACAAGATTCGAATGGGTTCGGCACGACCGGCAATGTCGAAATACTTGAGGGCCATGGCAGCAACCATGGATGACGCTTTCATCTTTGGTATCGATCAGTAAATAGGTTGAGAGATAGTTAAGGTTGGTGTAAGCTGGCAATGTGTTGTCCACTTGCAGGTTCAGTATAAGACTTGGCTTTGTTGTGTCAGATATTTGATCTTTGAAAATCCATCATTATTATCGAGTTCTTCGTTGTTCGCGGATCAACGTAGAAAATCTCAAAAGTCGATGAAGATCCACAAAACATGAGAAACCATGACGACAGACTTGCTGCTCATGTTACCATTAGTCATCTCTCGCTACAAGGACGCATTATTGGCTAATCTAACAATGAGTAATGTTGACAAACTTTTTAATGCTAATGGATCTACGAATGTTTAATCTTCAATGAAGCTTCAGTGCACTACCTTCACCGGAATGAAATGGGTGCATCTGCCATCCACCATGCATGTCACCATATCCATGTATGTATGCCATCTAGAAAGGATTATTAGCTCATTCGACTAAAGAAGATAACTCGATTACTTCTTCTTGGCAGCCATGTAGGCCTTCACCTTTTCGTTTTCCTCAACCGCTTTGCAGGTAGCATTGAGTCCTGGATAATCATCGAAAAAGTTGGTATCAATGTGATCCCAAAAGCCTAACTTGATCATGAGAACACTTTGTTGAATCAGGAGATCCGCAAAGGTAGGAGTGCTACCACTGACAAGAATTCCACCGTTCTCTTGAATGATCCCTTCGACGAATTTCCAATACTTGGTGAGGGTGTCCTTTTGGAATTCTTGTCTTAGCTTCTTGAGCTCATCTTGATCTTTGCTCTACAATTGGTCATATAAAGAGGGATCGAAACGAAAAATGGGGAAAGGTCAATACAAGTTGGGATATCAGAACATTTGCGTCAAACATATTCTTAGAAAACCGACCTTTGGGGCCAACGCAGCAAGTTCGTTGATAGTCTCTGCAACCATGTCACACTTCAAAGCTTGAAATTCAGAAGCGGGGTACCAGTCTGCCAACTTGGCAGCATAACGAGTAAGAGATAGAGATTGGCAGTATTGCTTGCCATCAATCTTCATGACTGGCACAAATCCAAGGGGAGTCGTCGGCTTGATGGCAGGCCATTCGCTTCCCGGAAAACGAGTGTCTTCGTATTCGATTCCCGCAAAGTGAAGGAGCATACGAATGGGCTCGGCTCGTCCTGGGGCGTCAAAGTAAATGAGTTCGGGCTTGGTCATTGTGATTTGTGTGTCGATGATGATTGTTGGGCAATCAAAAATTATAAGGTGTCAAAATCAAGATCTCCTTTCGCTGAAAGATTTCGCAAGATTTCGAATGTGTTCTCACGCGTGACTGCGCGATTCATGCGTTGGGGCAGTTGTTTTGCCGTTGAATACGCGATGCTCGTTCGGATTCAGAAACGACCTGCAACTTCCGTGAAAATATTCTGCTTGGAAAGGTGAAGACGCCACTTCAACCAGTCAGGTCACTGCTGCCAAACAACAACATCATGGAGGATCACAAAACGTTAGAAGAGATATCAATTGAAATGTCGGTGGATGGTACTGGCACTGAAGACATATCGAACGAACCTGCTAGAAAAATGCCTGAACTGAGAGTCAACACGGCTCGATCCGACGATTCCGAGTGCAAAACATCGTCGTCGTCGTCAGGACGGAAGAAACGCTTCCTGAGCCCGTCTGAAACGCTTGTGAAAACGTTTAGTCCAATCGTATCACCAGCGATTATTGCTGCCAAGACTGTGATTCCCAAGGTGGAACCTATCAGCTTCAGAACCTTTTGTGGCTTGACCTTCAAAGTGGCCATACCGTGAGTATCCTGTCGACATGTGACTTGTGCTGGAAAAGTCTTGGTCCCTAACATATTCTGATATTTTGAACGCTACAGTGTCATTCTTTATATCTTATTATTCACAACCATGGGGTTTGGAGAATCATGTTTCTCTTATTTGGCTGAAATGTACGGAAAGTATTCAGAAATTGTTGGTGTGGGGACTGCTGCCTTTATCCTGGCTCTGTATATGTTGGACTCTTCATCCTGGAACTCAAATACAGGAAAACAAATTGCCGTGGCGTGTTGGAGCATTGCAATCGCTGGTATCATCGTCTTGATTCTGCTTCTTGCAGATAAATTTCCATATGGGCCACTAGCATTTTTTGCCACAGTGACGCCCCTGTGGCTGGTGGTGCTGAAGGGTGTCTCCTTTTCTGAACTTACAACACGGACGTATATTAGTTGGTTATCTGGTCCGCTCTATTTCACCAGCCTTCTCACGGGAGTTCTTTGGTTGGGTTGGACCTTCTTGAGAGATGAGAACGAATGGAATAATGTTACGAGGTTCACCTATGCAGATGATTACGGATGTCTGCCTGATTTGGCCGAGTTTCCAGAGTGCGAGAGCAAGATGTATCCTGGAGAAGTCTGTGTGACTTATTCAGAGGGAATCTTTCAGTATGATACTGCTTCAACAGGATTGGATGCCTCCGCTGCCACCGCCGACGCACACTGCCCTCAGTCATGCTCTCGAATCTATCACAACTGTCTGAACACATTCATTCTATGGATCGGCCCCCTCATGACCAGTTTGATCCTTCTTTTTCTCAGTTTCTTCACAACCTTTCTAAAGACCGACATTGGCGAAAGAGACATGATCAACTTTGGAAAGCTCTGGCTGGTCTTGCTGTTTGCTGTTTGGGTGGCATCTTCGCTTGCGGGAGTTGCTGCAGGGCTAACATCGGCATTGATGGCACTAACGTTGGCTTCATTTGTTGGTTCAGCAGTCTTTGTCAGTGCGTCGATCAGCTATTCAGAACAAAAGGACTATGCCAAGTCGTTAAGGAACCGAGTGTTGGAAAAGTACGGAAGCCTCTTGGACATCACCAAAGGTTTGGCTGTTGCCATGTTATCGCCTGCTTTCCTGGTCTATCTTGGTCTTGATATTGTGAACCAAGCCGTGCGAAAAATTGGCTTGAGGTGCTCCAAACAATTCAAGACAGAGGAAGAGAAATCAGATATCTTTACCCGGAAAGCAAGACGGCACATTGAGGCCATCCGATCATGGGAAAGAAGTACCGTATTGACATATGCCATCTACTGGGGAGGGGCTTTCTTTCTCATGAATGTTGCCGTTGCCAAATTGACAGTCCTTTTCTTGTCATGGCTCATCCAAATTACCAGCTCCTTTGGATTGGGAGCTGTGACCGGAATTATGGTTGGCGTCGGTCTGCTCATGTTTCTGTTGCCACCGGTGCCCGGAGTTCCAATCTATTTGACCTCTGGAATTGTCATGCTTGCAGCTGGACGTGATGTACTTGGCATTACTGGATCCCTTGTGTATGGGTGCTTTGTGTCTCTGATATTGAAGCTGTTGGCATGCACACTTCAACAAAAAGTTATCGGCGAAAACCTTGCAAACTTTGTTTCTGTGAGACGGCTGGTTGGGATAAACTCGGACCTCATCAAATCCATGAAACTGATACTCAATGAGCCGGGTATGAGCTATGCCAAAGTCGCAATCTTGGTTGGTGGGCCCGACTGGCCCACTTCAGTCTTGTGTGGTCTGATGAAGCTCGACTTGATTCCAATTCTATTGGGAACAATTCCAGTTGCAATTATCATTGTTCCGACCCTTTTGACAGGTTCTTTCACCTATATGGCGTCACTGGAGCTAGAAAATGGAGAAAAAGAGTTTCCTTGGGCTTCCGTCCTGAAAACAATTATGGCTGCCATTTCTGCCATGGTACAAATCTCAGCAATGATCACCGCAGCTTACTTCCTAGAGCAAACGTCCTCCACAAGGAGAGAGGAGATCGCTGCATTGGAAGTGGATAAAGAAGTGAAGGAACTTGAAGACAAAGACCAACGATTCAATGAATGCTACAAATTAGCTACGAAGTGGGCAGATTTGCCAACATTGCCGAAGGCGATCTTGACGTTGGCTGTCTTAAGCATGATTTTCGCTTGCTATATGGTTCAACTGTTCTCTGCGGATTGTTTCGCAACATATCAGCTGACCTATACCATTGAAGAAAATTTGGATGGAAACTGGCTAAACTTGATTCTTCCTCTTGGAAGAATAGCCAGCCTCTTATTTTTTGTTTCCTGCGGCCTGCTGTTGGTGTACATGCAATGGGCAACCAAAGCGGCCAAAGAAATTCTCACGGACGGGGTTGTCGATAACGCACATAGACCAGATTCAGTCACAAAGTTGGATAGCCCGAGTGATGAAGAGAGCAAACATGAAATCATACTTTCAAAATGCTGAAATGACTGAGCCACAATACATATGTACACACTTTACATAGAATTGTAACGCTATATCTAAGAAATCAACTTTTATACGTCTCATAAGCAAGACTTATCGTGCAAAAGACTCTAAAATAACCTCACCGTCCGGCCTGTATTCACTGGCCAACACTGGGATGTAAATCTCGCCTCCATCGTTCGCCAAGTCTCTTCGTTGGTGAGCAACCCAGGGTGCTAAAGGAGAGATTTTGGTCATACTGCCTAAAATTGGAAAGTATGACGTCCCGCTAACATAGATATTCTGAAATTGGTGGATAGTTTTGAATGAATTCGCAAAATCTGAAAGAGGTCGAAGGTGGTGAGGCGACAAATGAAAATTTGACTTCACATCATGGATTGGATGCACAACATACCTATTCGCTGTTGTCGACCCCGGACATTCTGCTGTCCCTGGCTTGACACCTTGTCTACCAAGTCGGGATTCATCAGAATGACAGGTCGATCACCTGCAGCATCCACCATTTCGGTGAGCGCCGGGATGATCGAAGAATCAACTCCGACCATGGACTGAGGCGCAATGATTAGAAAGACGTCATCTTGCTCAACCTTGGTGCCGTCCTCAGCAGTATGCGCATTGACTACATGCTCCTTGCCAACGGCACCAAAGTTCAAATAGTTCCCGATCATGCCTTCGTTCTCTTCGCCCGCTTCCGCCTGCCAGTCCATCATTTGAAGCAACTTGCTCACACCATTCAGCTGCTTGGGCACTGCTGTAAAGATACCGACCCCCATGGATCCTTGCACACATATGCGGACTCGAAGGTTTTGCTCTACCAGTTTGATGGCAATAGTACGTGCCATTTCCAGAATAGTACCAATTCGATAGGAATCCATGGCAGGATTCATTTCTGGGAACATTGAAATGAGCTTCATCCGGTTCGAAATCTTTCCCTCTGAGCACAAGGCAACAGCCTCCAAGGTTGCGTTGGCTGCCATTTCGTAGAAATACTTTCGAACATACCGATTATGAGGGACTTGGTTCAGAAAGAGGTTTTCCTTGATCTCACCAACCCCGTCGCCTCCAAGTTTGATGCCCAATTGAATTAGTTTGCCTGTAATTGCCGGCTTGTTGACAATCCAGCAAAAGCGATTTAGACGCCGAACCAAATCATCGATGGGATTTTCCTCGCTGTTTGATATGACCTCCATGGATGCAAATGGAGAACGTGTTTTTGTCACCGGTGATGCATCTGTGGTTCCATTGGAAAGAGCCGGCAGAAAAGCAGCAATGGTTAGATTGATTCCGTTGGCTGGTGTCATTCCATCTTTCCTCAAAGATTACGTACTCAAATCTACCGATACACGTTCCACTTTAGAATTCTTTCGCTCCTTGATCGAAGCTTCAATCTCAAGAGTGGTGCCTTCCGGGTCGATATCGACTAATTTAGCGTCTGCAATCACATAAGAACCACCACTCCAGGCATTTTTCTTCGACTTGATTGCCCCAAGTTCGGAGAATGTTTCCACAACTGCAATAATGAAGTCGGTATGGTGCTTGTTGAGGTATCCGCGTGTAAAATCAATCTGTAAAAATAGTTTTCAGTGTTTTGTCATCGAAGGTTCAGATAGACAGATATAGATTGGTTTGGAATGACAGAATGGATTGATTCGAAAAACAGAAGATAATCATGGTCAGAGATGATGACTCGGAACGCGGACAATTCTGCAATTGACAGCAGTATGCCTCACCTGTTTCTCATCCAGTGTTTGTCGTGACTCTGTATTGCTTGAAGTAACTGCCATTTGGAAAGAACGACCAACGTCAGAAGGAGGCGTTGAAACTCTTCCCTGAGTTTGCCACCATTGGCCTCCCATAAAAGCACAGCTTCCATTCAGCAATACTGCTAATATTATTATCAGCAGATAAGAAGTTATTTTGACCATGGTATTCTACTAATGTGTAGTATGTGTTGTGTTGAAGATGAAGATCGTATCATGCACTGAAATATGATGATGTCGATTTGAGAATCTCATGTATCCCCTCAATATTCCCCTTCAATGGAAATAACCCTCTAATCAGCCCCCAATTCGCAGCACCCACCAAGTTCGGTATCGATATTCTGGAAGTGTCTAATATGCATGATAGATACTACTCTATATCATTATATAGAATGTGAATTATTGTTAGAATTGCACAATATCTATATATATGAATTGACATTATCTTGGCTAGGCCATAATGCAGAGCATGTTGTTTAGACCAGTCATCGTAATTCATTAATCAAAGAGTCACCTCCCCCCCCCCAGCCAATCGATTCATGCAGTAGGCAATACTGGGATCCATGCATTGATTTGGCAAATCGGATGATCCAAGAAATCAATTCTGATTCTTGTTGCGGCGACGCAAGGTCATACGGTGCCTGGTCGTTGAAGCAGTCTTCATTCCAAAGCGCGTCTTGCGACGGGGAGGTTTGGAAGCTGCTGCAACCTGATCTTCCAAATCCTCTACAAGATTGAATAAATTGTCTCGGTCTTCCTTCAACTGAGCTATTTCTTGAGACTGTACCATTACCATCTCTTTGAGTTCGCGAACGACTTCAAATGGGGCTTGGTAATATTTGGATTTTTCCTTGTCCTCTTCGGTGTAACGGATCTTGAGCACCGCCTTTTGGGGAGTTGGTGCATCGTAGAGGCGTCCGGCTCGTGGGTTGTGCAGTCTTCCAAGCTGACCACGAGAACCGGACGAATCAGCCATGCCGGTGACGTCAACATCATATCCGCGTCTCTCCCAATGATTTCGCAACTGGGTGGAAGACAGAGTACTACGTCCAGAGGAAGAGCTACTCTTGGGTTTGGTGGCGATGTTTGTCGGCACTGCTTGCCCAGAATGACGACTGGGGATAGATGCGGCGACGTTCTGATTAGGAGCTTTGTTCTCCTCATCCGGGTCGTTACTACTACCGAGAGTAGCGGAGGATCCAACCGCTGCATTCTTGTAAGTATGAGTAGGGACAGAGGCCGTGGCGTCAAAGATGGTAAAGGGAGTATGTCCAGCCGATTCTTTGCGCACTCGGTCGAAATAGTTGGTAGAGTTGGGACTGTTCTGATTGTCATGGTGACCGTTACTCATTTTGGGAGTGTCAACCGCCTGGGTGTAGCTATGGATTTTGATGGCTTGTGGGCTGATGAAACCGACGTTTCGTCCTGTTTTAATGAAAGAAAGGGAGGAAACAAGGGATACAACGGGGGTTTAGTTGGAGAATCGTTGGAACGATGACATCGACCTCAACTTGTGGTTTCACCCCGACACGCCGGATGTTTCAGGTTCCTCCTTTCTGTTGGCTTACCTTTAGCAGATGGTGACGAAATTGGAGGGCGACCTCCTTTGCTGTGATAAATCGATGTACTGATCATTGTCTCAAGTCTAGAATGCAAAAGCTAACGATGAATAGTGAAACTGTTGTTGAAACAGATTTGTGTCGTTTCCTCAACCTTTTGGCTCGGCTGGAGTTTGACATCACTCCGATTCCTTCTTGAGCCGTTAGGTCCACACATCACTTAGCGTTTGATATAGTACATATTCATGTAGTGTAGTATTGCATTGGTGTATGCACTTAAGAAGAAAAAGTGACCGTTGCTATTGCTTCAAGTTTGGCGGTTATTGCCAAATTTTGGAGTTTGGGGTTTATTTCGAGATTTAGAAGATATGGGAGCGCGCGGTCTGCCATCCACCTGCTTCAAGCTTCGTGGACAAATCGGGGAATTACGTTGCTTATCCCCCACAATATGACCCCAAGATCTCAGTCATCCAACATATATCGTACATACACAGTACAGTGCACATCATGTCATCCCGCTACCACAAGGTTTGGAATCTCTGCTTTAGACAAGGCAATTGGAAGGTACAAAGAGAAAATCGAGGCAAACCACCAACCCCTCTCGAACGGCTGCAGAATACCAGATCCGCCATGATCAAGAAACTCAAGAAATCAATAACTGCTGCCGATAGAAGTGCGGTGGATGATGTTGAACGGGGCATTCAACTAGTTCAAGCTATACTCACTAATAACGTACTATCAATATCATCCTTTCTTACCGGTACATTATATGTGGAATGTTACGAAAGTAACATAAATACGGTACCGTTGCTCAAAATACATATGAATTTCGAGTCATCTGTGTCAAACGCACTGTTACTATTGCCTTTTTGGCAGTATTTTTGACGGTACCGTTGCTCGCTTTGTAACATGCCACGCAACATTTTCAAACAGAAATGTTACTCTTTGCCATAAATATTCGTGTCGTACCATAAGTAATTTTCAGGCAGGATATCCATCGCTCAAACAAAAAAGTTACTTTTCGCCTTAAATATTCTATCGTATCATAAGTAACTTTCTGACAGTATATATTCATCACAAGACAGTATTATTCATCCACAATACAAAAATTACACTTTCTCGATCCTTCTTCTTTGAGAGATGCAGGGTCAAACAACTGCAGAAGAACAAGCAAATATGGACAGTGACGTCGTGATGGAGGAAGCAGCAGCCAATAACGACCATTCCGACGCTGGAAGGAGGCGCTTTGCACCACCAGAAGACTAGGCTACTTGGCATTGGTATGCCATCAGATATAATCCACAGTGCCGCCCATACATTGCTGCCTGATATACAACAACCAGCCAAAAAAAGAGTGACGACCAGTTGACGATTGATGAGGCTATTATTATAGACGGTGATGGGGGCTGGTGCTGGTGGAGGCGTGCTGGCAGGGAACTCAACTTAGGAGACTTGTTCTTCCAAAGCATCCAGATAAGTATCCAGCAACTGCAACAACAATTTAGCAACGTTGCTGCTCGATCAAACTGGGGAATCCATACCCTCCCCCCGAAATCCCAAAAGATGCCATGCCGCGCAACCACGTGCGCAGCTCCGGATTTTCAGAAAACGCGATGTGAGTGAGACCCGCATGCACATCGCGTCTATACTATACTGTAGCCAATACAGTACTCGTAGATCAATATTGCAATCGCAGCAGTAACATCGAGAACGAATCTTCTTCTTCAATTAGACCTAATACTAGACAAGTTAGCTGGTAACAGTCATCAGTAGATATTCAAGGACACTTTTTAACCCGCAAATCGGAGACGATGACATCCGGCGGATTGCGGAAGAATAGCGTTGAAGGTGGTGGGCGGTTTGAAAACCACAAGCCAGACAGTATCACCTTACTCTTACCTCCTGGAGACAATGATATCTCCAGTTCAAAAAAACACCAGTTATTGAAGTTGTGCGCAAAGAAAAGTGTACGACTCATGCGCTACATTGCAGCATTCTTTCTTTGGCAGTTTGCGATCCTACACTACCAAGCAATATCCCTACCAAGCAATATCCCTGTCGAAACCGAGAACCAGACCATCTCCAAGCAATATCTCGTTCCTATGAAAATAGATCACCACCAAGCAACATCCCTTCCCCACGAAAAAAGATCATTGGTTTGTGTCTCAAATTTGGTCTACCCAAAGGATTGGCACACAGTAGAGCTAAACGATGAATCTATATCGCGCATAAAGGCCTCGCCGAATCATCATCTGCAGCATGGATCGTGTGCTCGCTTTTGCAAAACGTTTTGCAGCAACGCAACGACTTTTAATAGCGTTAACTGCGCTCAATCTCAATACAAAGCCTCAACTGAATGTTGCGCTGGTCAAAAGTCTTCATTCAAGCAATTCCGTCAACTTCTCAAGACAGGCGACACATGCAACGCCACCAACTACTGTTGTCCTTACGAGAACGAATGCCTACTACTTGGGGAGGACACAAGTATCTTCGACATCGGAGCTGACAAGGGCGTCTGCCGCCGGCGGAAGTGCATTCCTAGCGATTTTTGCAACGATGAGGGAGATTGCTGTGATGGGGAGCAGTGTCACAATGGGAACGAAGTGGAGAGCTTTAATGGCCGTTGCTTTCGAGCCAACATCTAACTTACTAAAATGTCTCCCTTATTCATTGGGAAGCGTCGGCGTCGCATGCGAGCAACGCTGCCAGTCTCATTTCGTAGCTCTTGTTGTTCTTTCTGGGGCTTTGATGCTTGCGACGGCATTAGAACGCGTGTCACACGAAGCAAGTGGACAATGCGAAAGGCTTGCAATGGAACATGATTGGGGTCGTCTGCGTTTTGCAGTTGCCTTCCTAAGAGTCCGTTTTGTAACTTTTGTGCCACTGGCAATGCTAGTTGGTGTCGCCGTCATCGGACTTGCTCGGCGTGAGGGATGGGCAAAGGAGACGTTGCATGCACGCCATTTGCTGTGAAGGGCCTTGACTATTCCGGTTACCTGGCGATACTTACCATGTAGTCTACAGCTAGAGTATCGGTCAAACCTCCAGCACAGGCTTCGGAAGAATGAACGAACTGAAATGCAAAGGCTGCACGGGTATCTGGATGGTCCAAATATGCTCATAGGAACTGCTTTGAAGCAATCTCGCTTGACCAACTACCCCACAGGTTTTATGGGGAAATATCGGAGTAGAATGACCCAGACAGCAGTCAACCATTTCCTTTCCTGTTGAGCTACAGTCTACATTATCCTGAAGATGAACGGTCAGAGAGGAGTGGGAACGAAATGGGCACCATCATCTCAGAGTATTCATCACCACCGGAATCTGGAATTCTTTTTTTCGTAACTTTTCTATACGGTCAGCTGGGTAGAGTTCTCAAACACTTTTTGGAAGACATACTGTGTGATGCGGCAGTCATATGTCTTCATCTACAGTACACAGTGCAGTATCCGCCTCCCAACCTCATCACTGTACCAGGTACTGTAGCTCTCCCGCTGACACATACTGTCAAGGGTGGAGATGAATCACCTGGTGGATAGAGCAATTGGAAGTTAAGGCGAAAGCGAAATTGGTGAAAGTGGTCGACTATTATACAACCAAGAATCTTAAATCCAACAATACGACTGCTCGGCAACAGCATTCCACGTTTGATATGTGCAGAACTCCGATGAAGGAGACACCGAATATGAACATGCACTGAAACGAAGGAAACTACTAGTTTCCGAGTTGGAGCGCAAGCAAGATGCTGCAAGGGTAGATACAAGTATCAAGTCAAACATGAGGGCAATCCGTGCAATTCTGACAACAAACAACGAAATCTGGGATCGTTGCAAAGGTTCCATAACGGTTCAGCCATCGGCAACACACAAATCTGCAACATTTACGCGATATGAATACAATTTTGCAAAGGCTTTGAAGGTCACCGAGGATGGATCACTACAGGTTAAAACTGAAGCTGAACGTTCCGATTTGGAGTTTGACCTTTCTCTGTTGGGAGGACTCCCTGATGAAATCAGTCTTCTCTCGCCCCCTTTTCTCAAGGATGATGATGGCAATCAAACTGTGTTCGTCGACTACGAAGCATACTTTGAAAAAACGAGCATCCTACACGACAGTGTAATAGGACCTTTTCTTGTCGAGTTAAAAACCCACCTAGAGAATGTACAAGTATGCTTGGGTGAGATTGATTCCTGGCTCATGTTCCCACAAGACACTACTTCTTTTCTTGAAAGCGTGTTCAAGGTCGCACTGGAAACGCCGACAGAGGAGCACATTGAAAAATGCAGCTTCAGTTCAAGCCATCCAAAGAGGACTTGTCGCTGCCACTACGCCTATAGTCGTCACTCCACAAGCCAACGCTGTCCATTGAAACCTAGGCAGAAGTTCAAGTGTGGTGGGTGCAAAGACAATAAAGTGGCTTGTCTCGGCACATTCCATTCGCTACCCGGAATGTTCGACACTGAGTTTGACCTTACCAATGATTTGCACCGAAGGCGACTGCAGCACTTTGTTGCTTTCATGAACGAAAAGTAGACTATCTTCATAGTATACGGCGCTGGGAATGAAGATAGCTAGATAGATAAAAGCTGTTTGAAGAACTGTTTGAATACACAGCGATAACACTTGTACTCTGCACTATTCTTTCTACGATGTGATAGTATACAACACTAACTATAATAAATAAAACATGCAATTTCTCAAGATTGGGTTGTCGCCCGCACAATGAATGCACACATGTTTAGGACGTTTTGTATGGATCCAAATATCGATCGTTATATATATTAAGGACTTTCGCAAGAGAGGGAGAGGAAGAAAAGACATCAATGGCGGTCTCGCTTCAATCAAAATGCTTCTTGTCCCAAACCAGTAACGATACTACTAGCTACTATTCAAAAATTCTAGGGGGCTTGCTAGATACCGGTACCGGTACACATACACTACCCATACCAGTATGCGGTTTGAAGAACAGTTTGAATCCACATTGATACCTGTACCAGTACTGGCTGGTACGAGTACTTCCACAATTCATTCTAGTCTACCATCTAGTAATAAAATATTCTACATCGTATCGCATACTTGACTACCAAATATCGCAACTTCAACGTCCGATTGATTGATGATTCATTCGTCCGATTTTTCCACAAAAAAAACGGTATTCTCATTCAGCAAAACGGAACCTGGTCCCGCACCTTCGTGCCATTTTTCGTCACCTATCTACCTATAAAATGCCTGCTTTCAGAAATGGCGGAGAATCATGATGCTGCTTTCAGACATGGCGGAGAACCATCAACAACTTCCATGCTTGAAGAAGGCGGGACACATATCACCACCATCTCGGAAGCATTGAATAATGGGGCAGAATATTTCAGCAACGTTGAATCCTAACAATGACCCGGTAATCTGGCTAACGGGACGATCACCTTGTGTTGAATCATCTCCTAGGTTTCCATTTGATGATAAGCCAGACGAGATAAGCGACCAGGGTCTCTGGGATCGCTTTGGAAAGGGCGTTGACCAGCACCTACCAAAGCTCAACCCGTACCTGAAACCCATACTAATTCTCGATGTCTTCGCTGTCATTTGCATTTTCATCCTGTTTGCGACAACGTCATCAAATTGGGTCGGGGTTGCATTGATCCCAGTGTTCATTCTTTTCTTTGTTGGAATGTCCATAAACATTGAAAAAAACAAAGCTGTCGACAAGTCGATTGAAGATCTTTGCGGTCAATACAACGTGGAATTTGTCAAGATTGGGTTTTCGCCGGTCTATCGCACAATGCATACAGGCTTATGCAAACCCAAAGGGGCAAGACCAACCAGAATGATTGTCTTTCGACCGGCCTCCCGTGTTTAGGACAATTTGGATGTATCTTTATACCAGTATCGATTGGATTTAAATGTGCGGACTTTGACAAGACAGGGAGAGGGAGAGAAAAGACAATGGTGGTCTCGGACTCCTACTAGCTCAATCAACATCTTGTCCAAAACCAGCAATAAACCTAGCTACTTTTTAAAAATACAAGGAACTTGCTTGATACATACTGTGTATATATCCAGGAACAGTTTGAATCCACAGTCAATGATAGCACATACTATGGTATCTGGTACCGGTACTCTTCACGATTGATTCTTCTATTCTACCAGTACGTGTACATCGCAGATTGCGATCTCATTCGCAATATTAAAAAACGACTGACTCATCCGATTAAATCACCCCATCAAAATGCCCCGAACAACTTATTATTCTCCCTTCCCCACCACCGACTTTTAAATTTTCATTCTAAATAATTGCGCACGCACGGCATGTAGTGCAAAAAGTAACGATCAGAAACAAAGAACCACAAGAAGGTTTGAACACACATTCATCTCTACCGTTGCATAAGGTGAAGTCAGTAGTCAGCAGTGCTATATACGCTCTACAATATGATGACATCAACTCACAAGAGGCCACGGGCGTGCTTGTCGGATTCGAATTCGACAGCTGCGGGAGGGCAGCTCATTCAATCCGTGGCCAATGCTAGAACCAACATGGCCAAACGATTGAAGGAATCCTGGTCCGCAACAGACAGGACCAACCCAGATATTGAACGAAACCTACAGGTAATTCGTGCCATGTTGGCACTCAACAGCGAAATATGGGAACGCTGCAAACTTCACATGGAGCCATTTACCATTTCGGAGGATTGGGCCACCTTTCAGCGACAACAGTTCAAGGTCATCCGGGCTGGCAGCCATTTTGCTGGTGAACTCAGTTTTTCAGCATTTTATGAAACAGAGAAGAAAACCTTTAATATTGCCCCGCTCTGTATATGCCCCACGAATATTGCGATATTTCAATTTGAGTATCTTTCCTATCCAGTCAATCCCAGATTTGTGGATTTTGAGGCTCTCGTGGAGCGGGCACTTCTTCTGCACGATGATGTTTTGGAACCGTTCTTGGTTGAGCTAAAGAAACACATTGAAAGCATACAAGTTGTTTTGGGAACTATTGAGGAGTGGTTGCATGAGCGACTGACGGTATCTGACTTTATTGAATCATCCTTTGGAGTCGATCTCACGCATACATTTGGGGGTTCCGGTGAACGGAAACTTAGAACATGCAGAGTATCGGGCTCTCATGTAGCAGAGTTCCAAGTGGTCAAAGAGAGCGAGAGAATGCGTCTGACAAAGTTCCTTGATTTCATTTCGTGAACTGCTGGGGATAGGTGTATTTATGTTTCATGCTGAAGCGATCATGAATTTTCTATCGTCATCGATCAAAGACGTGAAGAATGGATAAAATAGAAAGAACTACTATTGCTATGAAGTGCTCTAGTGCCACCATTCATTTGAAAATAGGAAATTGGAGTTTCACCCATGAAAATATATCACATGAAATTTAGAACCGACGGTTATGGAGAGGTTTTTCGGTGCGTTGGAACGCACAAAAAGAAAAAATCTCATTCGCCATCCACCTCACACTTTCCCAAATTTCAACGGCATACTGTTCTTCTACCCATCTTCCAGTCTCAACCAACGACTAATAAGAAAGCAACAGCAACAGCAACAACAACAACAACAACAACAACAACATCAGCACTGAAAGAATGCCATCTCTTTTCAGAATATGCAATGTCTTTGGCGCCGTTCCAGACTGTGGCGACCAATGGAACATTGTCAAAGGAGCCTTCCACCACATCAAGGGTTCCTCCAAACACGATGACGACAACATGACTGTCAATACAGAAGCCAGCGAAGACCCGATCAATGATAAAATTGAGTCCGCAGTGCTCATCCAGGCCCACGTCCGAGGTATGATGACACGCCTCACGATTCTAAAACGGCTCAAGATGGAAAAGAGAGCACGGATCGAGGCCAACCTCGAAGAAATTCACGAGATCCTAAAGACCAACAAACAGCTCTACAATCGATGCAAACCAAATATTCGAGGAGGAAGGGGACTTCCAAGAACAGTCATCACAAGGATAGGCTTCGTATCTGTGCTTGCCACAACAAGAAATAATTCGTTGAGGCTTACCACTCGCGCAGAGCGACAATACCAATCATTTGACACCAGGTGCATGTCCGAGCTACCCAAAAAGATTGATGGCATCTTTGAAGTTGATCGTGGAGATCAAGGCTTTATTGATTACAGTGCTTTGCTGGAAAAGCTGTTGCTCTTCCACGATGATATTCTGGAGTTGATTTTGGAACTATTCAAGACTCAGCTCCAGTCTGTAACCGAGACTCTCGCCGAAATCTACGAATGGATTCATGAAGTAAATACTCACACAGAGTACCTTCAAGATACATTTGACCTTGGCGATGAATTGGAGCTTCCGGAAGAATGTCAACTGGGCGCAACCAGTGGGTCATCTGCATCCCTCGTCCAGACCCTAAAGGTGATCAACTTCGATAGGAGCATGCGAATGACAGCTGCATTTGATATCCAACAAGAGCGAGATCAGAACAGACTGCACGAATTTCTGAAGTTCCTTCAAGAAGACCAAACGCCGTAACCTTCTAAGGTTGCAAAGTAGTACTAGCAGGACTCGTCATGTGGTGCTGGGGTCACGCTGAATAACTGATCTACGACACGAATCACATCTGACTCTCTAGCATCCAGCACACTAAATTTCAAAAGACTAGACTTCACTTTGTACAAATGCACGTTATGAGTATCCAATTCACAGACTGCTACAGGGGCATGTTGATGATAATATCTAATGTATCATTGTCACGTGACTTGACGGACTCGTTGGATTCCTTTGACATGACAGTTCATTCCCACAGCGCGGTTTCGTTTGTGCAATCAACACATAGTCAAAGCAACACGCAATGGATGCATGGAAAGTAGCTATGAAAGAAGGGGAGAGAAAAGAAGCATCTAGGGATGGAGATGAATCAGATGCGGATGATTCAGACGATCAAAAGGCTGGCCTAGCAACGTTGGTTGCAAGGATGGAAAATACTGAGAAAACTTTGCTTGCAAGGATGGAAAAGACTGAGAATCAGGTTGAAAATCTTCAAAAGCGACTGTTAGAAGCAGAGAATGAGCTCCGGTCAAGCAAAAAAAACGCAATTCCTTGGAGACGAATTGGGTCAGGAGATTTGACGGACGCAGACATCGAGCGAGACGACGAATATCAACTGCCACACGACATTTATACTGTCATATCAGCCTGGAAATTCTCGAGTCGGCCATTCTGGATTGCCCTCATAGTGATTGCAGTTCAGATCTTGTTGCTATCCTTGTTATTAGTGGATCAGCTTGGTCAATCTGACGATACTTCTGTAAGAATTTTCCCTGCCAACGTACCGATCATTGTCCACATCAGCCAAGGACTTGCGATTATCATCGCGATAATGGGTCAAGATGACCTACGCATTGCTATGGAGGGATATTTTGATGGTATACCAACAAGATTTAAAGGTGAAAAGACTTTTCAGGGGATGAATCAGCCTCAATGGAATTGCAGCTACTTCACTCGATTCTTGCAAGGCCTATTGTCAGTGATAGCAGCTTTTGTATTGGCCATACAATCCGAGACGGTTTTCGATGTATTATTGGTATGTTCGCAACAAAATGCGTTGCTTTCTGAGTTGCTCCCTCTAACTTATTGTTTTCAATCATGATAGAACTTCCTTGGCGTGAGGTAAGCTTTTTCTGGATTGGTCTGAAGCATTTTTTGGTATCATTTAATCGGAAATTTGCTTTGTGCCCTAGGTTCGTATCCGAGCTTGACGACCTTGCCTTTCTACTCAGCGAGCTCGGTTACTTGGGAGAAGAGTGTCAAAAGGCATCGAAGTGTATATCAGAAGCGAAGTTCCAACAGGACAATCGCAACAAGGTTGATGGCCATACTGGTTCCCGCTCTTGGTTCCGCAAGTTTGCGCATATCATTGGTGTCTTTGCCGTCCTCGCGACGCTCTTTGCTTTCTTTCTATATATACTTATCAACCAGAACCAAGGGGATTTCTCGGAGCAAGAGTTCATGCTAGACATGTCTGACGATATCTTGTCTTTCATTACCTTATTCAACGGCTGCTATCGAGTCAGTCCGACAAGAAAGAGATTTGAGCGGCGCCTTGTATATGAGCAAGTTGGCTTTGAGCAGGATGGTGGAAAATTCACATACTGCAATAGTATACAACCAGATGGGAAACCTGGTTGGACGATGTCAATCGGAGCGTTGGAAAATAAACCATGTGAACTGTATGTTGCAAGGACAGAGGCTACAACTACATTTGACTTGTTGGAGGTAAATCAACGATGCTTGATTGCTTTTGCAACCTTTTATTACTTACAAACTTCTTGTGAGGCGGGAGAAAAGCAGTGGTATACGAGCGATGGAACCTCTCTTGAAAACACTCGGCTTCGGCGCGTCCTAGGGTCTTCAGAAGAATGTTTAAAATCAACTACTTTCGAAACAGTCACCGCGATTTGCGAGAACGTGCACTTTGAGCAATCCGTCAACCAGCAAGGGACTCTGTCCGTATCCTTTTTCAAGGCAACTATCAGTTCGATACAACCGACCGTGTTCACGACCGATGCCATCTCTCATCCCGTTTATATCAAACAAGGCAGCACCCCGGAATTGTATGAAATCATCTTTTTTTCCGGAAATCGTTGGGTTTGGACGAACCCCATTGCCCCAAATGTTACATCGGACTTTCTTTCGTTGTCGATGGAGGAGTACTTGAATACAGATAGCGGTTTTGTTGGAGTTACCAATGCACTACAAAGCACAGGCGAGCTTATCAACCTTGTCTCGGCAGGTGTAGCAGCTTCAATTAGTGAGAGTACGCCTATGGGGCTGAGATGGTATCACAATCGGAACGAACCCGGTCTTTTGTTTGATGTCCCAGTCCCGGATCTGTCACGACCGGTGGACATTCACTCGTTTTGTGAAAATTGCAACAATGTCACCAATCCTTGCGATAATGGTGGTATCTGCACTTCGGCTAGGATCTGTGACTGCATCAACGGTGGATCTGGCGAGTTGTGCCAAGACAAACCCCTCGGAGATGGGACGTGCAACCTTTACTTCAACAAGGAGGAGTATGGTTGGGATGGAGGCGACTGCTGTGGAGAAAGTTGCGAGGGTTCCAATTGCGGATTTGCTGGACTTTCTTTACCTTTTGGACTGGATAGCCAGAGCACAACGGTTGAAACTTATGATGCAGCCAGTTTTGGATACGAATTTTGCAGAGATCCAAGCATGGCCCCTATTACAATTCAATTGGATCAATTTGAAGTCTTCTATGACGAATATTGGAGTACCATCCTGGGCAACCGCGACGGCAAACCATTTTGCAGTACTTCTTCACTTAATGTCCGTTGCAACTCGAAAACGTATATGCATTTTCCTCAACACGTCTTATTCAACCAGTCTGACTGTGATCAAAGTTTTGAGCAGACAATTATGGTGCCATTTGGATCAACGTGTGAGCTGTCCGTCAATGTTGCCTGCTTTGGACCTTTCTGCTTGGACCACGAAGTATCCATTCTCTATGGCAACAGTACGGCATCCGAGCCAATATTGACTGCCAGCGTTAAGTCACAGGCGCAATTCGCTTTTGGAGTGCCCACCAAGTGCTTGACTGATGTTCTCTTGGAACGATCGAATCAGCGGTCATCTCTTTTCGACTTGTCGACTCCACAAGGCATTGCTGCAAATTCGTTGTCGAACGATGGGTTGTCTGAATTTTTATGCGCCAACAACACCGGGGCTGTACTGGAACGGTTTGCTTTGACAGTCTTCAATGCTTCTGTTGGGTTTAAATCGTCGAATTGGGCCGCGTTTCAATGTCATGGTTGGGGTATTCCTGCTGTCAAGACGACATGCACCAACAATTCAATCACATCGCTAGTTTTGAGCGTCGATGCAACTTCCAAACAAGGGACGATCCCCTCTGAGATTGCCTTTCTTTCAAACATTGGTAGGTGCCTACATCGAACTGTCACTCTTACTCAGAACTACTGTATCTCATCAAACGTTTTCTCTTTGTAAAGATCATATAGCACTCCGCAGTAACTCTATTGTTGGGAGCCTACCCTCTACCCTCGGAAATCTGCTAACAGTTCGAACCTTGGAACTCTGGAACAATACCATCTCGGGGTAAGTAATGTCAATGGAAATATGCACCATCCGTTCGAGATTGTGGTCATCTCATCTACTATTTCCCGAAAGCTCCATTCCTACTGAAATATTCTCCTTATCGACACTCGAGTATCTTGCATTGTTTGACAATCGATTAGTTGGAACCATACCGACCGAAATTGGAGCCTTGAGCAATTTACTGGGTTTTTGGTTGGAAAACAACTTAGCGACTGGAACGATGCCGACCGAAATTGGAGCTTTGAGCCTTTTAGGTGAGACCATTCCATTGGCGTCGGCTGTTTTTTCATTTGTCCCAGAATGGGAAGCGACTCACACTTTCCATTTCCTCCATTGTAGAGACGTTGCATCTATCCAATAACTTTCTGACTGGCAAAATCCCCGACCTTTCCAACTTGACCCGATTGCAAGCATGCAATATGTGTAAGTACGAGTCATCTGATTTTCTTTTGTTTCTCTCCATATTAATACCATTTCATTGTTTTACTAATTGTATTGATGTTTCCATCACAGCTAACAATGCATTCACTGGGGGTATTGCGCCACCAGCGTGCGAGTCATAGAAATGACATCATACTTTGCGGCAACATGGATGGCGACAAAGCAGAAAGTCACATGTAACTTTCCCGTGGAAGATTTGAGCCGACCAACACAGGCCCTCTTCAATTGTGCAAGGTGTGATGACACCACCAATCCATGCCTCTCTGCAGGGACATATATGTCTAACCAAAATCCCTTCTGGCAGATCTCAAACTCGCAGCTTTCATCGCGGAAAACAACAGGATGACAGTAAGTGAAGTGGGCAATCTGTTTGCTCCATTTCGGCGCTTTTTTTTTCATATCTAGCAGGAATTCACGTCTTCTCATGCTTTCAACTTTAGGGGACTATCCCGTCGCGATCTGAAATCGCTTCGATGCCCTTGGTCGTTTTCAGTTTAGCAAACAATTCTTTTGTTGGTGAGATTCCAAATCAAACCGATTTGCAGGACTCCTTGTTATTATGTACTTTGTTGGTCAGTGCATTGTTGCTGTTTCGCCAATTGAACGAACAAATGTCCGATTGCACCTCCTATGGATCAACAGAAAAAGTAGTGGGACAGAGCCTAATATTTGTAGTGTTTAACAAACATATTGTAGATAATGATTTTGGTCTTATTTCTTGGTATCCTATTCATCATTCCAATTTCTTGCCGAGCCACACTGATTGCACCGTTGTCATCTTGGTGCAACTCTCAGAACAAGCTTTTTCCTTTGCGATCGCTTTGCGAACGGTTTAGCTCGAGGTATTTCTCTCGCGAGCCAATCGACCAGGAGGCTGGATTAGAACGGACCACTTTGCCGCGTGCCAAAGTGCGTTCAACGGGCGGTCCTTATATAAATACCGCGTCAAACCGAACACGGACTGAAAACGGAGACTAACCGTAGTCGCTACAAATTTGACAAAAGCAGAAAACATCCAAATTTTATTAAAACTCTCCGCACATCAAAACAAAAGCAATCATATCATGTCCATGTCATTTCCCGTCGAAATCTGTTACGAATTCTCCAAGAACCTAGAAGGTTTGCTTGATCCAACTATTGATACAACTATTGTAGCGATCAAGGATGAAGAAGGTACTGTTGCGACAGAGGCAACAAGTGAACAAAGTGTAGCACAAATCATTGACCAAAAGGCGGCAACTCAAATCCAAGCTGTTGCCAGAGGCAGGATTGTGAGAAACAAAGCCATGAAACAAAGCGAACAAAAGGCTGTAATGGACACACGAACAAAAGCAGGGCAAACCATCATGAACGAGGAAGAAGAAGGCAAAGAAAGTATTGAAGACAACATCAGAAGCGTTCGAGAATTGCTCAAGAAGAAGCAGGCCACTTGGGAACGCTGCCAAAAGGGTCGCATCGGAGAGAAAGATGGCAGCACCCAAACGTTTATTCGAACTGGGTTCATGACAGTCCACACAAAGACTGAAAACAGAAAGGTTCAATTCACAAGCCGAGCTGAAAAATCAGAGAAATCCTACGATATGCAAGCATTGGAGGTGCTTCCAGGCAAACTCGAGGGAATCTTTGAAGTCCACTATGATGAATTCGGTTTTGTGAACTACGAAGGCTTTCTAGAGAAGTCACTGTTGCTGCACGAGCGTGTGCTTCAACCGTTTCTGCTCAAGCTCAAAGGACATCTCGAGCGCGTCAATGTGCTTCTTGCAGAAATTGATGCTTGGCTAGCAGAACCACAGGCTGACTTGGCCTTTCTCAAGAAGATTTTTGGGCTTGATGAAAAATTGACTATTACTACTGAAACTACAACATTGAAGGAATGTGAACTTGAAGACGATTTCCAAGTCAACGGTTCTTTCAACATCCAAACCAGCAGAGATCAAAAAATGCTGGGGAAACTCCTTGTCTTTATTTCGGAGTAGACTAAATCTGCTTAATCCCAGTGATGCAAAAGATAGTCCATGTTCCTATTCATATATACGCCTGTAGCATTCTCTTTTTTGAAACTATTTTAATTTTAATTTGCACACCACGTTGTTGTTATTTTTATAATTTTTTTGTTTCTATTTTTTAAAAATGATTCAAAGTGCATCTCCAGCCGACGAAAGAACATGCTCATAGAGCATTTATTTCATTGTTCCCATGACTGCCTCGGATAGGCTGAAGCTGGAATCATCATCAACGGTGGTCAAGCTTTATTGCAACAAACCTGTGCAGTAAAATCTTCCGCGATGATTCGACGTGTCGGTCGGCGCATTTGACGTTGAACGGAAAATTACTTAGGAGAATTCATCGCCGACGCTCTAAATAACCAAAACACACGAATCCCCAAATCTTTTGCTTTCATCACAATTTCCCAACTCCACAACAACATCCAAAAACATCATCATGGACATGTCCTTTCTTGAACAATGTATGATCTTCAATGGTACCTTCAATGCCGAAAGTACTACTCACGCTGCCTTGATCGACGTGGATCCATCGAAGGATGATGACTACACTTGTGCCACATCAGTAGATACTGAAGACGTGGATGTGGATCAAAAGGCAGTGCTCATTCAATCACAAGCTCGTGGAATGCTTGCCCGCAAGAAATTCCTCAACCGCGAGCGACTTGCATTGGATTGTACTCGATCCAGAGCTGGGCATGGTATCATGAAAGAAAAGGCAAAGCGAGCTGGCATTGAATCCAACATCCGTGCCATCAAGAAGATCTTGACTTCGAACAAGGAACTGTGGGAATCCTGCAAGGGCAACCTACGTGGTGAGAAAGGTACACACGTCACCAAATTCACAAGAACTGGATTCTTCCACGTTGAAGTGGTTACCGACGATGACGGCATTGTCTTTTCCACCAAGCCCATGCGCAATGAAAAGTTCTTCGACACCCAGTCGATGGTAGCGATTCCAGACAAGTTGTCTGGGATCTTTGAAGTCAAATACGACGAAGATCTCCATGTTAACTATGAATCTCTTCTTGAGCGAGTCCAACTGTTGCACGAAGACGTTCTTGGACCCTATTTGGTCAAGCTGATGGAACACCTTCAGTCCGTCAATGCAGGCCTCACAGAGATTAGCAAATGGATCTCTGAGCCTTCCGACTACCTCAAATTCCTCAGCAAGACCTTCGGACTGAAGCAAGATTTGGATATTCCTGATGAGGAATCACTCATGAAGCACCTCCATACTGAAGTCCTCAAGGAACAAGCTATGGCGTATGAGCTGAACATCCGAGCAAAGTTTAACATCGAGCTAGATGCAGAGCGGTTCATGTTGGAAAAAGTGTTGGAGCTCGTGTCCAACTAAGGGAAATATAATGGCATCCCAGGGGGAATCGTGCAAACCGCTGGAAGGAGTGCTCATGGGGAATAACTACATATCAGGACAAGAAGAAGATGAATCAAGAAAGAAGTACTGCTTACTTCACGGGAATCATTTTCAGTTTCAAGTGCTCCCGAGGTTTACGAGGAAGTATATTGCATACTTTGATTTGTATTATAACAGATATTTAATATACTAAATATTCTGGTTCATCATTATCTTGTAATGAATGGTACAGCTTTCTCTGTCCTTTCTGTTTGCGTGCACTTTCCGCGTCTGTGCTTCTGACCCTCATTTTCCACCTCCTTTGAAAATTTCAAATCGCAATATACTTGTACATAATCGGGACGAAAAAGACATCATCACACTCACGCTGCAATTTCATCCAAAACGTTGCTGGAAACTAGTGTCTTGCCCATTGTCATATTGTCACATTCCCACTACCTATTATAGTACCTCGGAATGAAGAGACGTCGTGAAATCGAGTGGCGGGTGTATCCGCCCAAAAAGAAGCCGTTCGCTTTTTCCAATGGCGATGACGTATTGGTCAAGTCCAAGGATGGCAAGACAACCTACAGGGGCAAGATTCGATTGGAGGATCTGTTGCAGGCCAAACAGGAGCTGAAGAAAGCTGCAACCGATGAAGAACAATTAAGCAACCCTGGATCCAAAGACCAAGCAACGAATTGCGATTCAAAGGCAACGCCAGCAGTTGATGGGAGGAGCTCGTTTTCGCCCAAGTCGAGCTCCAACGTATCTGTGGTTCTATCCAAAGACCAAACTGTCCTACAATTAAGTAAAAAAGAACAAAGCCGCCGGCTTCTTCCAAGTTTTGCGCTCCAGACTCCCAACATTGTGGTGACCCCCGAGACGAATTTCTTTCGCATCTTGGCCAAACAAGTAACGGCCGAGGATCGCGTCTTGGAGATTGGTTGTTCGACTGGAGAAACCAGTAAATTATTGGTGCCACCTAATTCTGCTTCTTGGGTGGGACTGGATACCTCGGAGCAAATGATGGAGCAATGCAAAACGACAATCGGCAAGAAAAGATGGAACGAGGATACCTGTCATGTCACGGTTGTGGATGCCCTTGTGGATCCTATCAAGGCGAAACAAGAATGTACGATTCATGGAGCTGTTACTGTTGTATTTATTGACATTGGAGGCAATCGTGAATGCATTGGCGTGCTCCGGATGCTTTCGTGGGTACTAGAAACCTTTGATCAGCATCTTCGGCTGATTGTAGTCAAAAGCCGCGAACTCGCGCAATCCATCCAGGCCTCGGCCAGTGTAGGAGAGGGTACAGGATTGGTTGAAAACGGCAATGAATGGTTTGCAAAACACCGGAAGAAACGAGCCTTTCCAAAACACCCTCTCAAGGCTCCCATGGCAACCTCGCCCAAAGGCATGCCCATTTGTCGATATTACAACTACCACAAGGAGGGATGCAGCAAGGCGGACTGCCCCTATGATCACGAATACTGTCATTTCTGTCTAAAACAAGGCCACATCGCTAGGAACTGTCCAACTTTGATTGATGATGATGACACGACTGTGGTTCTTGATTCGCCAGAGGTCGTCGTGGAGAAAGAAACCAAGAAGAGCTGAAAGTGGTTGCGGAACGAAGTCGACTGAGATGACAAAGCCATATGTCTCGGCCTCTATCCACTCATACACAGTGTACCAGCATTAGCATGCAACCATGACTGTTGCCAATCTGACAAGCTTCAAGAGCAGAATTGATTGATTCATTCAATCAATCAATCCCCTCGTTCTACCCCCACATCTTGCAGTATCCCCCGTCATTTTTGCGAATAGAAGAAAAAGGAGAAGCTGAGGTGAAGCAGATGTCACGATTCGAATCGAATTGCGAAAAGAATACGAGCTTTGCGTTGCGTAAAGTACTGAGTTCCGATTCCCCAAAACAACGAGCCAATGAAATTGCTAAATTAGGAATTCCAAAAGACAAGTTCTGAAGACATCAAAGAAAGACATCACGCAGCATTTTGATGTCGTCGATTTGAATTGCCCACACAGAACAAATCTCTCATAATACTGTAGATCATAGTATCCAAAGCAAACCAAACCAAACCAAACCAAACCAAACCAGCCCTGTTGCCACTGCCAATGCCACCAAATCGCAAACGAATTAGAACCATGAAAGTCTTTCCAGCATCCTTACTTCTTTGCAGTCTCTGTTTGTGGAACGCGCCCTTTGGCGATGCCTTTTCCTTGTCTCCACAACGTGCCAACAACCACAACAATGTCAGAGGCACTTCCAAAACTCGTTTGTATTATGATATTCAACGAGATCCTTCCAATGAAAATGTTTGGAACGTCTTGGCCACCACCGAACGATGGATTACTGAAATGTTGACTTCGACGACCGAAACCCCCTTGAGCCGCAAAGAAGTCAGCTATGTCTGCGAAGCTTCCGAAGACACGGCCATGGTCTTGGCCAATATCTTTCGCAAGCTCAAAGAGGCCCGACAAATGGGCGAAGCTCATGGGGAAGAACAAGAAGAACTTTCAGAACAAGCAGAAGGTACGTCGTTAGGATGATTGGTGTTGCCAATGACGGCTACCAGATTGATGTCATTTCACCCACGATTCATTCTTGGCACAAGTCCATACCAATTTCTAACATTCCCCCTGTCACTCGTCAATTTTCTTAGGTCCCAGATCTCCCTCCTCCATTCGCAATACCCAGGTATTGGTCATTCCCGCCAATGCGGACATGAAGGACTGGTCCGTCTTTGACACCTTGGTGACTGCCATTAATCAGGCTCGTCGAAGTGCCCGTGACTATGTCACCGATGTCAGTCTGGACCGACTGGACAATGACGAGGAAGAAAACGACAAGGAATGGGTGGTTTCCGTCAATTGTGCCCACTTGCATCCCGGGTTTGGCCAAAAGACACCGGAGGAAGAATTGAAGGAACTTCAGGATGATGCGGATGCCGAAGTCGACTTGAATTTGCAAGAATACAAGGAAAAACGGTTGCTGGCACGCCGCTCGCCCTTTCCTTCCATTGTGGTGGAGGTGCGAGCCATGCCTCAGCCCGTCTATACACCGCCACCCCCACAAGCACAACCCGTCCGGGAAGAACCTCGTGCCGAAGAAAGTCTCGAGGACGAAGAGGAGGAAGGAAGCATGGCCGATCCGGATTCCGACTTTGTGCAAGCATTGGAATTGCTTTTCAGCAAGTCCAGTTTGAACGACGAAAAATCCAAGGATACCGACTTTTACGATTCCATTGGATCTCATTTGGAAGAAGTCACCACAGTCACTCCCTTGACCATGGCCCAAACATGGATTTCTCAAAACGACGACAAGTTTGACATTACAAAATGTGCCTTTACCACCACTGATACTCCTCATGTCGATGAGGCCTACGAGTTCTTGTTTACCAACTTGGCCATGCAATCGACACAATTTCTTGGATCCGGTGAGGGAGAAGCCCAAAAGAGACAATACTTGGTCTTGTCCAACTTTTGCCCCAGCTCGGCCACGAGCATGGAAAAGTTTGCCCGTGAAGCGGATAACATTATTCGCACCTTGCCAACTTTGAAAGACAAAGTGGAGATTGAATGCTTTCATCCAGAACATGTCGAAGGAGACAAGAGATGCCCCGTTCCAGTCTTTGTCTTGCAATGGAAGGATTGAGACTCTTAGTTGTGGGACTAATTTTTGTTAGATCGATTCTGATTTTGGTTATGTTGCATGTGGAAGAAAATAGTTAGTTAGAAACACTTGATAAAAGTCATAGAGAAAAAAAGACTAGCTGTCATTCATATCATAATAGCAAGTTAGTCACTATCGCTATCCTCCGCTATCACCCTGCGTTGAGTCTTTGATTTGCTTGGCTTGGCATCTGGGGAAGAATCATCCGCCATTTCTTTGTCGCTATCGCTACTACTGTCATCCAAGTGATGTATCTTCTTGTTTGCTTTTGATTTCTTGCTAGGTTGTGGTGGGGTATCCTCCTCGCTGCCACTGTCGTCGAGAACTGCAGCCTTGCCCTTTTTACTTTTTCGTTTGGGTGGGGGGATCTCGTCTTCGCTGTCGCTGTCTTTCAAACTCTTCTTTGACTTCTTCTTGGCCACCTTCATCTTGCTCTTCTTGCTTGGACGTACAATTTTTACATTCCCATCGCCACTGCTGTCACTGTCACTATCTTCGTCGCTGCCTTCGATTGCGACATTGCTACAAAATTCTGGAAACTCATAGCCATAGTTGGGATTTTCCGAGGTGGCGGCCAAGGAAACAACCAACGAAAGCTTGTCTTCTTGCTTGGCACATTGGGTACAGATCCAGTCGCCCGCAGGGACTTCCGTCCGTCCAATGCAAGTTATATGAAAGGCTTTGCTACATCCGATTTCATCATCACCTTCTCCAGCACCACAAACGATAAGCTCTCCATCTTTGCCACAAACGTCGCAGTGGTCAATACTTCCATCATCATCATCATCATTGTTATTGTGACTGGCTTCAGCAGTACTGAATTCACCAGAAAATTCGCTGGCATTGTCATCTTCGCTACCTTCCTTGACAAGAAAACCGTCGTCTTCGTACTCATTTTTGGCATTGCTGTCCTCGTCGTCTTCCATTTCTCGATCATTCTGATCGTAGACAAAGCTGCTAGGATTGTTTCGGCGGCCACCCTCTTGAAGATCGTCCACGTCTGCCTTGGCAGCATCTCGGATCATCTTGAGATCCAGTTTGGACATGTCGACTTCCATTTCAGCTCCCGTTTCCGAGTGTTTGAACCGAAGTCGACGATGTTTATTTCGGGGTTGCCAATGATATTCAATGATACCGAGTTCGGTTACGAATTCCTTTTGATCCATTGCAACACGACCAATTGGTTCCCAATTGTAGTTGTAGACACTTCGATGATTCTCATTATTAGTGTTGGATCCCAAGTTGTTGCCTTCTGCACAGCTAGCTACTTCCAAAAAGGAGTATTGATATCGATCTTGGTGGGTACATATGAAATGGTGATCATCGTCATCGGCTGGGGTGGTAAATATGGGAAACTCTGACATATCTTCCACTTCGTCCTCCTGCATAGTCATTAGAACCAGACGAATAATAAGAGTGGAACTATCGTCCACTATTTGTTCAGGACGTCCAAACAGACACAGACCAAGTTGCATCTGCTGGTCTTGATCGTCCAATACCACACTGTGTCGGATTTGAAAGAAGGATTCTTTCTTGGCAAACATGGAAGTGTTGTAATCTATCCGCCTCCAAAAGTCTTGGTCAAGAGGGATCAATTGTTCATATCCTCGCGAGTGTTTGCCCCCATGTTCTCCAGCCGTTGTGGCATGAATCCGCTTTTTGACGGAATCACCAAAGAGCGCCATGACGCAGGCCCGTAGTGCCACATTGATTTCAATATGTGGCGTATCAGAATCCATGGCACAGGGTACCTTTTGTCGACAAGTGGGGCAATCCTTTCGGTCTCGCTTGTGGGGTTGGAGCCACCACCATTCGGCACAATTCTTGCAAAAGGAATGCCCACATGGCAAAGAGATGGGATCCAGGAAGACTTCTTGACAAACAATACAAGTCAATTCATTCTTGAGCTCCGCCTTGCTGGGTGCACTGTCAGTGACAGCAGTGGGTGTGACGGATTTGGTGGCTGGTACTTTGGACAAGACATGCCGGTCCAGGTCCGCTGCGATCATTGGTCTACGCTGTTGTGAATTTGGATTGGAACTATCCACGTCCCGGCCCAAGATTTGCATCTTTAGTTCGCGCACCGATAGGCCTTGTTCTGGATCTTTCTCATCATCGTAGTCATAATAGTCCTTGGTATTGCCAATCATTCGACTGTCATCATCCTCGTCACTACTATTGTCATCATCCTCGTCATCGTAGAGGCTAGGAATGTTTCGCTTTGAAAGGTTCTTCTTTCTCTTTTGCCGTTTTCGTGCCGTGCTGGTCGGTGCGTCATTCGTGGCAGGAGCATCCTTGTGACTTGATTTGGCCTTTGTCATCATCGGTGTGGACATTTTCTGGGCCGGGATTGTTGTTTCATGTGCCGCGGCCGTTTTGGTCGTCGCATCCTTCGTTTCATCATCATCATCGTCGTCATTATGTTTCCGCTTTTTCCGTGGTATGGCTCGTGTCGAAGTAGTAGTATCTTTGCCGGGTGATGAGGTGGTCACTTCTTTGGGAATGCCCTCTTTCGTCCTCGTGTCGTCTTGTGTTGCCTCTTTGGGATCTTTCTGGCTCCTAGATCGTGAGGAGGAGGAGGAACTGGAACTGGAACTGGACGAAGAATCCGAGGAAGAAGATGATGATGATGAAGAGGACGAGGAGGAGGAGGAAGAGGAGGAACTCGTCGATGAGTCGGAATCCGCATCGATCTTTGGCATTTTCACCTTGAGGTCAACCTTGTCGATCTTTGGCATTTTCACCTTTAGTCGGTCAACCTTTAAGGGATCATTTTTTGTCTTCCTTTTGCTCTTGGTTGATTTGTTCTTTTTCATTTTTCACCAATACCGACAATGACAATATCCTCAGTATGACGAAGAAGAAGACGAAGGCACCCACTACGTTTGTGTTTCAAGGTGGTTCCTACTTTTGTTGTCGTTCATGGATGGTGGGGAAAGGACCTTGACAGACGCCGGGGAGGGGAGAATATCTGGGGGCATATATCCTTTTTAATACTCTCGAGGAGCGAATATTGTATATTAGGGGATATACGGTATATCTCTCCCACTCTCATCATCCTATCGTGTTATAATGACTAGTCTAGTATAGTATTGTAGGTATGATAGTCCGATTTCAACGCATGGGAGATCTTTGGATATGCTATATATAGTAGGAGGAATCGATTGGCATTCGATTGAATTCAATACTTTGGTCGTCATCCTCGTCGTGGTTGCCTCGACAAGAATTCAGACAAACAATCGTGCTACAGTACATGAATTGCAACACTCCTGATGCGCGTATACCTAGTCAAAATTCATGTAACATACTAAATATTTTGCTTTTAATTCAGTTGCAGTGGCTAATATGAGTACGGAAAGTCACGATCTTCCATCCATCATTTTACATTGTTGCCTTTTTTTCTTCTAGTCGTCAGTCATGACACAATAATTTCATGTATGCATCATGTGTATGCATCATGTGTATGAATTTACTTGTGTGCCATGAATCCAGAAATCATACCTCCGACTTGTCCACCAATATCCTTGACGGCAGCCATGGGTCCCTTGGAAGAAGGAGAAAAGTCCCACATGGGAACAGATCCAGCTTCTGGGATCTTGGCGGGGAAGGTACCCTTGCACAACAACTTGTCCATGGAAATGGAGCAACGGGCAATCATACCCTCTTCGGCCTTGCGGATCCAGACACGAGGATCGTAGTACTTCTTGTTTGGCTTATCGGGACCACTTGGGTTACCGATTTGTCCTTGGAGAAAGTCGCGGTTTTCGGCTTCGAACTTGCGAAGACCGTCCCAGTAGGCCCATTGGGTGTCGGTATCGACGTTCATCTTGATGACACCGCACGAGACGGCGGTGGCGATTTCTTCGTCGGTGGAACCAGATCCTCCGTGCATGACCAAGTAAATGGGCTTGTCGTCGGAGGAAGAGATTTGTTCCTTGGTGTACTCTTGGTGCTTACCCAAGCGAGCGGGTTGCAGAGTGACATTTCCTGGCTTGTAGACACCGTGGACGTTTCCAAAGGCGGCGGCAATGGAGAACATGGGTCCGATGGTCGAAAGTTCCTTGTAGACAGCGTAGACTTGTTCAGGAGAAGTGTATAGCTTTTCAGGGTCAACGTCTTCGTTGTTGACACCGTCTTCTTCTCCTCCAGTGATACCAATTTCCATTTCCATCCAAATCTTCATCTTGGCCATGCGTTCGAAATATTTCTTGCAAATGGCAATGTTTTCTTCATCCGGTTCTTCGGAAAGATCCAACATGTGAGACGAAAAGAGCGGCTCGCCGTATTGGGCAAAGTAGGCTTCATCCGCATCCAACATGGCGTCCATCCATGGCAGCAACTTCTTGGCGCAGTGATCCGTGTGCAAAATGACGGGAATGCCATAGTACTTGGCGACGGCCCGCACATGCAGGGCACCGGCGACGGATCCAGCGGCAGCCGCGTTGGGGTCCTTGACGGACTTTCCGGCCAAAAAGGCGCCTCCACCGTTGGAGAATTGCAGAATGACGGGGCAGTTGTTGTCCTTGGCGGCTTGCATGGCGGCGTTGCAAGTGGAAGAACTGTAGAGCGTCGTATAGTACAGAACAGAACAGTACAGAACAGTACAGTTGGCAGTGGTAGTTGTGGTAGTAGTTGTTGGTGGTGTCGTTGGTGGTGTTGGGTATCATCGTGGTGATCAGAAGTAACATCGTGAATCGTTAAGATTCGTGTCGACGAAAGAAGGAAAAAAAAAGAAGAGAAGAAAAAAGAAACGGGCGGAAAGTGAGATTTGGCATCGAAATATAGATTGACTAGATTGGATAGAATGGCATGATGGCACCCTCTTGCTTCGTGGTTGCACAGTTTGACAACTCTACTCCTTTAGCATGCACATGCATGCATGCATGCATCCTTCCTTCCACAAAAAGCCTTCCATTTTCCAGGCGGCAGTTAGACCAAAACGTACCTGGTACAGTTGAAAGCTGGAATGGCATACTTGTTTTCACGAGCATGGGTCAACAGTTTGAGAACATCGTCTCCGGTGATAACACCAACGGGAACATCGCAGGGAGCCATTATTGTATTGTATATATTGTTTTATTCGTTGGGTATTCAAGTGGAATGAAAATGAATGGGCTGAGCTTCGGGATATCGTTGCGCAGATCAGATCTAACGTAAGTCACCACTGACAAACGTTCAGGGGGCGATATCTTCCGCCCACCAGATGGCGAAGATCCAAACCGAAGATTCTGATAGGCAGGATTCGCATCGTCAGCTACGGATCGGAAGCGAAGCTACTGGTAGAGTGCTCGTAGAATATTCTGGTACGTAAGAACTGTACCAAAACAACGGGGGCAGGACAGAATTCGACATAGAACACTAGATCAGTTCTTTACCGTCCGTCCTGCGCCAGCTAGCCATCCAAACAATCAAAGATCGACTGGTTCGATTGTGACGTGTTTGCAACGAATGCAGTTGGTCATCCCATTGGTTGGTTTTTTCTTCAACTTTCGTCGTGGTGAGGAAAAAAAATCATGGTTGCGTTGGCAAATATTGCATTGCTGGAATCAACAACCATTTTCTTTTGAATTGTTGTTGCAACACAGAAGTAATCAAAAACAGAATAGCATGGCCCCCGACGGTAACAAATTGCGACAGCGCAATGTCCCGGCTGCTACTGCCGCAAAGGAAGAATCGGACGATCCAGCCACCACCGATCGCATTGCCACCCTCAAGGGATTGGCCGAATCGGAAATCTGCATCGATGGCACCATTTACAACATTGAAAACTTTGACCATCCAGGAGGTGAATCCATCATGATGTTTGGTGGAAACGATGTTACCATTCAATACAAAATGATTCATCCTTACCATACTTCCAAGCATTTGGAAAAGATGACCAAGGTTGGAACGGTTCCGGATTACACCAGCGAGTAAGAATGGCCTTTGTTCGTTTTTGTGTTGTGTTGCGTTTGAATGTTGATGGAAGATGCGCAGTCGTATTGGGGTTTGGCTGTATGCAATCTATTATGAATGTACAATGTGTGTCTCACACAGTGCTTTCCCTCCTCTCTCTCTCTCTCTTCTTTCTCTTACCTTGTTGCCGGTTCGGATTTGTGCTTCTTCTCCAAACATACACATTCCCCAACGATGTTACTTACTTACTTACTAACTTACTTACTTACTGCTGTACCGGGTATACAGATACAAGTTTGACACTGAATTCGAACGTGAAATCAAGCGTGAAGTCTTCAAGATTGTCCGTCGTGGGCGTGAATTTGGAACCTGGGGATGGCACGTCCGGGCCGTCTTTTATTGCAGTCTCTTTTTTGGATTGCAATACTTGTGGATGACCACTCCCACCAGTCTACTTTTGGCCATTGTCTACGGAGTGTCTCAATCCTTCATTGGATTGAACGTCCAGCACGATGCCAACCACGGAGCTGCTTCCAAACGACCATGGGTCAATAACCTTTATGGATTGGGTGCGGATTTTATTGGAGGTAGCAAGTGGTTGTGGATGGAACAACACTGGACTCACCACTCCTTTACCAATCACTGGGCCAAGGATTCCGATGCCTTGGGTGCCGAACCCATGATTCTGTTCAACGATTACGAACCAAACCATCCCAAGCGTGCCGTTGTCCATCGTTTCCAAGGTCTTTACTTTCCCCTCGTCTTGGCCGGATACTGGATGTCCACGGTGTTCAATCCTCAAATTTTGGACTTGAACCACGCTGGATCCTCAGAAATTGGATACTCCTGGGATAACAAATATGTTCAAAAGTCCCGCAAGTATGCCATTGCCCTTCGCTTGTTGTACATTTACTGCAACATTGTGGCCCCCTTTCAAACCAATGGTGGATTCTCGTTGGAAGTTTTGACTCACATTTTGGTCATGGGAATTGCCGAATCCTTGGCCTTGGCGTCCTTGTTTGCCTTGTCCCACAACTTTGAGCACGCCGATCGTGATCCTACCTACGAAGCCCGCAAGACTGGAGAACCCGTCTGTTGGTTCAAGTCGCAAGTCGAGACTTCCTCGACCTATGGTGGTTTGGTAGCAGGATGCTTGACGGGTGGACTCAACTTTCAAGTCGAACATCACTTGTTCCCACGCATGTCCTCTGGATGGTATCCCTTTATTGCTCCCAAGGTGCGAGAGATTTGCAAGAAGCACAATGTCAAGTATGCCTATTATCCATACATTTGGGAAAACCTGATTTCGACCGTCAAGTACTTGCACCAAGCTGGGAATGGTACCAACTGGCAGGATGGAAACCCATACACTGGCAAGTTGTAAAGGAAACAGACCGAAAATCCAGAAAGGAGTGGTAGTAGTATTTGAACAATGGTGATTACCATGATTTAATATAAATATAAATACTAGTTGACAGTTATTGGAGCATTGTCATCAAGAAGTAGCTATGTTCTCACTACCATAGGTATAGACGGCGTCGAAAGAAGAAAGCATTATACTTCTTGTAGCGTTTCATTTTGGATTTATCAAAAGTTGTCGTGTACTTTTACTATACTACTATACTACTATTGACGTTGACGTTGACGTTGACATTGACATTTACATTTGACCGGCTGCTGCATCGGCTGCCTTTTTCTGTTGCATGGCCTGGTGTTCGGCAAATCGTAGTCCGACTCGTTGGGTCATCTTGATGTATCGTGCGGCACAGTTTTCAAGGCAGGAAGTCTCCGATTTGTCCAACGTTTTCGAACGGAAGGAACTGACGCAACCATCAAAGCAACGGGTGACCAAGGTATTGTACATGCTAATGATGATGACGATTGGATAGTACAAAAGACGGGTAGGTGGGTGGGTGGGTAGTTCATCGAGAAAGAGAAAGAAGGAAGGAAGGAATTGCAACGAGGGCGTGAGAAACATGTATGGATTGAAAGCAGTTTCCAACACTTGCAGAGCATCGGAGAAGAAGAAAATTTCCGTTTGAGCTTTGTCAATCTTCAAACATTGAGGCTGCTTTCTCGGACCCTTTCCTGCCACCCAATAATAGAAATACTAGAAACAATAATACAAAGGTGGGAAACGTACACTAGACTGTCCTTCAATTGCATCTGTTCAAGATGTTTCATGAACTCTTGTTGTTGGTGTGGTGGCAAGTTTTGAACGGCTTCCATTTTTGACTTTTATATGTACCTATATATAATAGGATAAATGAGGCAACTGGGAAAATGCTACTGTAGCAACAAGGTTGATAGACTGTGTGTGTGACAGTAGGGGCAACAACGAACGTAATAATAACCCATCATGCGTCTCGGTCCTGCTGAAATTTTGCTGGAGGCCAGACCATGTGGTCCAATCAATCGACTGGAAATTTCGCACGATTTCTTTCAATTGGGACTTTCTTGTACCGGTACACATATACTGCAGTGTTTGTAGGACTATTATTTAATAGTGCTAATATTATTGAGTTGGGTGGAGGAGGGTTCATTCATCGCTAAGCAAAGCGATGAACTTCTTGACGGTTTTATTGTTCTTGCTGCTTGCACAATAGTAACTTTGGACGTTCGTTAGTATGTATGATGGGAAGGATCTCAATCGACCTACAAATATACAGCAGAATTTGTGACTTTTTTGTTTTGCTTAAATGTATGTAGGACTACTAGTAATTACAATGTGAGGTGAATAGATGAGTTGGATGGAGGGGGCGTTTTCATTTCATTTCCTTCCATTCATCTGCTACTAACAAAGCAATGAAGAACTTGTTGCTTGGTATTTTTGTTGTTGTTTGTTGTTGCTGCTGCTGTGTATAGATTTGAAAGCTATAGTACAGACCAGCAAACAGAACTTTTCCCATTATCATGATGTGATTTGATTGTGTATGCAAATACAATGCATACCCAATGCAAATACCCCCCCAGTACGCCTTTTGCTTCTTCTTCTTCTTCTTCTTTACGCAAAGACCAGGGGTTCGTCCATCCTTTGGCTCGTCTTGGGCGCCAACTTGACTTTTCGGCGGACCCTCCAAAAGTTGGTGACACCGTAGAATAGAACCACCACGGAGACGGCCAAAAAGACATAGTTCATGACGGTACCAGCAGATTCCATCATGTAGTGGGCGCTTCTTGCTCGGCTATCCATGAATCCAGCCAACGGACTGTCGACGAGGGTTCCTTGTGATTGTGCCAGAGACAAATCTCGAAAGGTAGCCGTGTTCATGGACGTCTTGGCCATGAACTTCATACACTGGTTGACGTTGGTGTAACCGGCTTGATCGTAGCAGTCAAAGTTGTCCCCACCTTGGTTGGCGTCATCATTGTAGTAGCCACCTCCGACATTGTTCAAGTTGTAGGCCACACAGGGTTGACAGACCTTGAAATGTTCAAATCCATATTCCCATAGATTCATGGCTTGGGTAAAGGACAAACCAGAAAAGTCGTAATCGCCGCCATCGTTCGAGCCACCACCACCATCACCACCATCAATTAGAAAGTTACCAAGAATGTTTTTGATCGTGTTGGGATCATCACTTCCTGTGGATTGGTACTCGACTGTGCATTTGGTATCCGTGTAGAGACCAGGCGTCATGCCACCCTTGGAAATTGGTTTGAGATCGTAATAGATTGGTTTTCCAGAAGAAGTGGTGGCACTGGAAAGCGAACAACCTTGTGGCCAAGTATTTCGGGCACTGTTCATAAAGGAGTACTGTTGCATACCCCAGACGCAGACACCCTCGTGCTTAAAGAGCTGTTCCATCCAGTCGTCGTACGATTGGTGCTTGAAGAAACCTAATAGAGAAAAGTGCGTACTGTCCAAGTGACAATCCATCTTGGCACATCTCGAGTTGCCACTGTCGGCGTAATTACAAGATGTCTTGTCCCAGGCATTGTTGTCAATGTTGTAGTATTGGTATTCTCCGATACCGTCTCCTTCGTACTCCAAATCAACATACTATATAGAGATAGAGGTAGATACAGTATCGTGTTGTATAGTATCGTGTTGTATGGTATTGTGTGGAAGGTATGATGTAGTAGTAGTAGTAGTAGTAGAGAGTCACTTGGTTGGTTAGTGGCATGCTTCCATTTACATAATTGGACACGTGATCTGATAACAAAAACGAAAAACAACATGAAACAAACTTACAGCAGCCCACAAAAGGTAACGTTCACACCCCTCTCCCGTTCCACCATCATAACTATTGGAACCCCCACCATCGTGCTGGTTATCATCGTCCGATTCCTTGGCGTTACAGTCCACCATGAACCCTAGAAACCTCCAGGCTTGTTGGTATTCGTCGTACTCGGAAATACCTTCGGCGAAGGGTTGGACACGATAAGTATTTTGGTACTCGTCATCGTCTGGAGCTACGTAGTTGAAACTGTTCTTGTTGTCTTGGCTGCCTCCGCCATCTTGGCTGTTGAGGTCTCGTTCTCGTTCGTCGATTGCCATTCTGTATTGTATTGTATTATTGTACTATTGTGTTGAAATTGAATGTGATAGCTAGCTGTTGTAGTAACACTTTTCTTTTTCACAGTACATAACTTTGGTGCGCCACACTCTTCGGTTCTATCTTGCAACGAGGAGAGCGTGTATGGCTTGGAACCGTTCCCGCCTGCTTTCCCTAATTAGAGGACGGCCGTCTCGATATTTAGTCGCTAGTGTGCCAATGTTCGTTGATTGTTTAGTATTGTTGTGTGTATGTACAATACATACGAGCCTCCTACACAAAAGATCCTCCGTTGTTGGCCAAATAAATAACCGCTGAAAAATTGGTGAATTGGTACAAATCTTACGGCCAATCGCCAACCAACCAAGATTCGTTGGTCCACTCTGCGAGAAATATCGCCAAGAGTGCACGTGCGCGTTGAGCATTTTTCTCCCGCCCCTCTTTTTGCCTGTGTCTGGCTAGCTAGCAACAGGAAGGAAGGTGCAAGACGCCCTGTCGACTCTCTCTCTCATCTATTTCCAAACAGAGGAGACCAACCACGATGAGGATGATGTACTCGTCTCGAGTGATTGTCATTGGGGCTACCCTATTAGCCTCATTAGCAGGCATCACAACGACAGAAGCGGCAGTATCGGCCAACAAGGTGGATCGTTACTGGACCGATGCCCAAGATATCTTGAATAATGTGGATCAATACCAAGCCTTGTGGGTCAAGTTCCACAACTGTGTGTAAGTTCTTCTTTTGTTGTTGGTTGTTGGTTGTTGTTGTACTTTTACTATTGGTGCATATACTAATCTCTTTTCCAATATTGCCCTTCTTTCTTTATTATTATTATTATTATTATCATTCATAATCACATTATAGTTGGAGTGAATGCGCGGTGGACGACAACGACGATGATGGCGAAGGCCGTGACGGTGATGAAAATTGGTACCAAGGCCGTATACAAGAATTCTGTGCCAATGCTGCCTACTCCCTGTATGGAATCCCCAAGAACTGGATCTCGGCTCCGTTAATGGGCTGCAGTCAAGGACATTACATTGATTCCTTCTTTACCTACAACAGTTCAGATGTTTTCTTGAGAGCGCTGGGGGACAGCAACACAAACAACTTGTTCAACGATGATGAACTAATCTGGGGAGTTGGAAAGGGTGGTGCTGGGTGTCATGACAATGGGGATGGTTCCTCCAGTGCACTTGGCTGTACGGTCGATGGAAAGTATGGACTTGCCACCTTTGGCGATGAATACTGCGATGGAAATTACTTTTACTCAATTGAAGCGATGCACGATTACTCGTCAAAGATCCATACCAGTTGCCATTTGATCTATGGACGCAATGGATGGGTCAGTGGAACTTCGGATTTCATATCCGAGTTGCTGTCGAATTCCTGGTCCTGCGATGTGGAACTCTATCCCAATGGATGTCCCGATCCGTATGGAAAGAAAAAAATCAAGTCCAATGCCTTGCATGCCGCTAGTAAAGGATGGAATCCATCGCTTGCCTACAACAACTCGAGGTTCAAGCGTCCCATTCGCATCACTGCCTGGTTCTTTTTGATCTTGGGAATCTTTTTCTTTTTGTTTTCCTATCGTCTCAGCAACAAGGATCGCATCAAGAAGCGCGGAGGTGGTCTCCGTGGTATGATCTTGGTGGCCCGTGAGGACTACGAAAACTACAAGAGACGACGAGAAGAAGAACGTCGCGATCGTCTTCAAGCAGAATACGACGAGGACAACAAGGTCGCCAAGGGGTGGAGGCGTCGCCGAAAGTCCAAGGGACGCGAAAACGAAACGCCCGAAGAACGCAAAGAACGCAAAAGGAATAAGAAAAAGAAGAAAAAGCGATCGTCTCGTAGCAAATCTCGCAGTAAGTCCCGTGATCCGGTCACCACTGCCGGCAACGATGGCACGCAATACGGTCGATACGAAGAGGACTACCACTTGCCCGAAGTTGCGTAGAAAAAGTTCGAGTTAATATTTTTATATATTCTGTATAATGTTTTAAAAAAAAAAAGACGCACAAGTTTGTATAATAATTGAAAAATCAATATCTATATACTACAAGAAATGCTACTTGCGAACGTATCAGATGCACTCACCATGAAGCCAGGGCAATGTGGTCGTGGTAGTAGTAGTAGTACTGTAGACACATCATACCACGAGGATGACGATGGTCATTGATTCATTATTCTACAGGGAGTCAATGGATGGTGGACTTTTTTAAAATCATGTATTCATTCTACACATATATATATATCCACAGGTGATCACTGATGAGGATGTTGTTGTCTGATGATAATAAATGATGGTGTCGAAGTCGTAGGGAACTAACTCAGCTCTCCATCTATCGAATCAAATGAATCAATCTATCTGTACGAAATTTCGCCCTCTTTATGGCTCACATATGCTCTGTATAGTAAGCGATTGGCTAATGTATCCATATATATAAGTGAGTCAATCATTTGAACGAATCATTGAATCATCGAAGCACTAAAATCCGTTGCCTCTTTCTTTGGCTCATACCTTCGGCTCTTCGCGCTCCCATGATTGTCCTTGGATTCATCAAGGCTCATGATTGTTCTTGGATCATCCGCCGTGGCTCTTGGTCCTTGGCTCCGCCATAGTGCGCTTTTGTAGACGCAGTCTATCTCAAGGACTACTACGATCTATACCACCTGGTACGTGTATTCATTGACACAAAAGTGGTAGAGCTTGGAGAAAGTTTCTGTAGTAATCCTAAATGTACTTTATACTACCGGTATAGTAGCAGGAGTACCAATGTGCTCTGTTTATCTACGTCGAGTTGCTTGCGCGACACGAAGATCCGTACCACAATGTGTATATGTTATGATTCCGAAATTTGCTGAGATGGCTTTTTCTTGCCCCGTCTCCATACGCGTTCGGCACCGCTTTTTAATTTCGCAGCAAACACATTTCGTTCCGATGCGGATTTCTTTAGCATGATGGTCGGCCGCTCATCCACTGGTGCTTGGATCATCAAATCAGAACTGGATCGCACTTTGACCATGGGGGCAAATCGATCAAAGGGCACTTCGTCATGCTCTTCTTCTGCATGGGAAGAATTGTCAAAGAGAGGCCCCTTTGTATCGGAAGAGGTCAGGCTGTGGTCGCTGGAAGAAGGACGCCGTCTGGGAACCGCAGGCATTCGTAAGGTCGAACGCGGCGTGCCACCCATTTCGCTGCTACTGCCAGAAGGGTAGGGGCTCGCTCCTTCGGTGCGGGCGGAATAGCCCAATCCATCGGAGCGCCCCGAGATGCCAAATCCATCATTTCGTCCCGAGCGGCCCAAACCGTCCGTGCGTGCCGAGGAGAAAACCATTCCTCCCGTGGGTACCGAGGGAGAGAAGGCCATTCCATCAGCCCGCGACGAGTCTTCGAATACCGCAGACAAATTACCCTTCGTAAACATGGTATTGGATTGGCGTTCGGAGGCCTCCAAATTGGGGATATGTTTAGGGCCTCGCAGACTGGAATTTGTATTCTCCGTGTGGTTTGAAAAGTCGTCACAGAAGCCTTCAGAAGAGACAGCTGTAAATGGGCTGAACATGCCCGTCGACATTGTGATGGCAGATACCTTCGAATTGCGGGACCGATTGGAGGGAGTGATAGTGTCCATGACCGATCGCCTTCCACTGCCAATGGTGCAGGGCGAGACAAATTCTTGGGTTGGTGGCACATTAACGACTAGATCTGTCATTGTTCTTTGTGAATGGGACCAGTCATCGTTGAGAGGAACCTGTAAGGGTGCTGCTATAGGCTTGCGTCCACCCTTCTTTGCCCGTCTGGCACTGGCAGACTTTTTCCTGCGGCCGGGGGACTTTGGGGCTCTTGCTTTAGAGCCACTTCGGGGTGGCTTTTCGTAATCGTCGTCGGACGAAGAGGTTGAGTCATTGTCTGAAGCCTTTTTGCCTCGGCGGGACAACGAGCTGCTCTTTTTCTTTTTCTTCTTCTTTTTGGCTTTCTCGGTCGTCTCAGCGGCGACACTTGATCCACTGGCCCGTCCACGGCGACTGGAACTGCGGGCACGACCACGGCTCCGAGATCGGTCCCGTCCTGGAAATCGGATGGGTGACTTGGACACCCGAGACCTGGTTTCCACATCAATTTCATTCTGCGTCTTTTTGGTGACCACAGACCCGACATCGTCCCCACTGGAAAGGGGATGACTTTCATTGTCAGTGGTGGTGGAGTGCCCTGACTGCTTTTTAATGGCAATACCGATGAATCCTTCCAAGTCCTTGTCCGTATCCACAACATCTTCTTCCTCTTCGTCATAAATACCATCCGGTGCAGCATTCGGTACCTTTGCCGCTTTCCCTCGACCAAGGAATGTGCGTGCCAGTCGCTCTTTTCGTCTCTTGAGAATGGATTGTTTGCGTTCTTTCTTGGATTCCTTTTGGCTGTTAATTGTAGATGCCTCACTCAATTCGGAATCGGAAAAGGCTCTTTGGACACCTCTTCGGATCCTTCGGGGCCTCTTCTTTCCGTCAGTGGGACCATTGGCATCGTTCAAGGTCATGAACATATCATCTTGACGGCCACCAACAGTGTGGTTGGATTGCCAAGTTGTTAGATTATTACCACCACCACCACCACCAAGTTCTCCATCGGAAATATTATTGGGAGGTCCCCCATGATCGTCTTCGTGTGTGCTTACCCTTCTATGGGGCATTGAGGGAGGAGGACTAATGCCTTGGTCCACAAAGGCCGTGAAGGAAGTTACTGACATTTCCAAAGCGAGATTGTTTAACCTATTGTTGGATTTTTGCCTGTGTAACATGGAACGCGGGGACAAGCTGTGTGATTTAGTGCTAGGAGATTGGATGGGCGAAACACCTGAAGAGTTTTTCGTGGGCGACATTTCAATGATGCCATCTCCAAAGTCCAAAGAAGCATCACTCCTTCGTGGCATGGTGGGTGATCGTGTCGCGGAAGTTTTGGAAGAAGGTGGAGATTGCCATTTGCGATCTACCTCGACAATTCCCTCTACGTCATTCTCACTTGTAGAATTCTCAGCCTGCATTTCAGAAGAATTAGAGTTGTGCAGGGGAGCCATAGATGGATGCGATTGGTGCTTGATACCGAGATACAGTACTTGTATACTACGAATACTTTCTCCAATCTTGAGTAGCCAACAACAGCAAAACAAGCGCTGTAATGTCAAAGGCGGCAGCTCCGTGCAACTTTTTGGGAACGTGGTGCCAGTGAGTCACAGAATATGTTCCAGCCGAACAGATCAAAAAAGGTATGCAAAAAGGGAGTTGGACACTTTCCAATTAAGAATCAATCCAAAAAGACTTTCCGCCACTCCGCCAAAAACTTTCGTTAGTTATTTAAAATATCAAAATTCTGACTAATTTGTCCCTTTTTCGCGCTTTTTACGACCTGCTTTTAACAGTCACACGATGTAGAATGTTACACTTACATAGCGAGAATTCACACGTCAGGCAAAAAATGGTGTCGAAAGGAAAAATTCTACTGGTTTCGTCGCTCTGCAGTTTTAGAAAGTCCTTCGGTATTTTACGATAGTTTCTTTTTGGTCTTGGTTCGATTGCACTTGGAACTCAAAATGTTCCCATACAGACGACAGACGCCATTCACAGTTCCCTATCTGGCGTTCCTAAATAATTGTGTTGTGGCTATCAGCTTCAAATTTAATGATTTGCCGACATCCATTGCTCGTGGATTGATTCGCCTAGAAATATGGTATCCTACATTAGTCGCGAGTACTGACAATCATACCGGTGCATTGATTTGTTGATGCACTTCAACAACCAATTGTAAAATGAATAAACCTGGCTTCAACCCCTCTGGACGTTTATCAAGTGATTGTCCTTTTGTATCATTTCGATTGTCCTTTTGCAACCTATCGGTACAGTACTGCAATGATCCATGCTGTACAGTAACTCCTTCGAAACAACTACTCTCCTTCCATTATTGTTGACAATTCTAGAGCACATTGCCGTGCAACGCTCCACAGCAGATTCATCCATCCGCTGTTTTGGCGCGCTTCTTATCTCTCTCGTCCTTCGATCTACTGGGTGGCTCTCTGGTGGCATGCCGGATAGACTTGAAGGAGGGCTCTGGTAGGCTCTGCAAAGGTGCTGGCAAGGTCGAACCATTCAATTTTACATATAGTGCAATCAGCAGGCGAAATTGGTATAGGGTAGTAATGTAGGGCCGCACCATAAAGGTCCACAATCGGACCCTCCAGTCAGAATAGTCGATCTTATCGCCGTCTTTTGCTTTCGCTGGTTCCAAGTGGATTCGAAAGATCCAGCGCAAATGCTTCTGAATGTACAAGGCCGACGGGGGAGGATACTCCTCACAGCAGTCCAAATATTCAGCTCCCAACTCGGCGGGATCTTCCTTCGTTGTTTCCAATAGCAATCTGGGATTAGCCAAAAAGTTGCGGGCAATCATGACCGAATGCGCTTGTGTCGTTCGCAGCGTATCCTTGATGTCTTGCAGCTTGGCAACATCCATTCCATTGATAATGACAGGAATCGAGAGAGATGTTGCCAGTAGTTTTCCAATTTTTAAAGCAGCAGGTCCATTGTGCTTGTCACTTCGTTTGCGGCAGTGGACCCCCAAAATTTCGCAGCCAGCGTCTTGCAAGGCCTGGGCGAAGTCTAACGTTTTGCCTTGATCTTCTAGCAATCGAATCTTGCACGACAAAACAGGTTTGCGGTCCGTTCGGAAGCCATCCATCGCCTGTTTCATGGCGGCAACACATTCCAGAGCCAACTCTGGTTTCTTTTCTGCTAAAAAGCCGCCAAAACATCCATCCGATGCGCATCTGCGAGACAACAACAGTAGCGGATTAGATTTTGAGACATTGAATCAATCCATTGAACGTCGTTCAAAAGGCAAGGCATAGGCTGGAAGCAATACCGCATCGCAACAATAACAGGTACTTGTAGTGCACTCACTTTTGCGGACATCCCAGATTGAAATCAACTCCCTGCAATATCCCTGGGTTTATTAATGTCAATAGAGCATGTATCGCTTCACTCAAAGTGTTCGGATCACAGCCACATAATTGCACCGTCAATGGTTCTGTATCTCGCAAAATGTCGGTAAAGAAAAGAACTCCATCCTCATGTTTCAACTCATCCAATAATTTAGGATCCTGATAGTTTTGGAAATTGCCATTTTGCCACACTTGAAACGCCCTGACAACTTCTTCGGACCGCAACATGGGACTGTAACAGTTTGTGACATGGTATCGACGAACGAGGGAACGGAAAGCAAGTTCGGAGCCCCGGACCATGGGAGCCAATATCACCTTGTTGTAGATTATTTCATTGCTGCTGTCGCCTCCGTTGGCACTAGTCTGCATTGGCATTCCCAATCCCTACTATGCACGTGTATTGTTTTGTTGTCATACTGTAGAGGTTTGCAGGTGATGAGCCTTGGTTTGTTTTGGTCCATTTAGTCGACTTGAGAAATGCTAAATGCATGCATGTGTGCGCCTTGCCAATAGTAACATTCAACTTTCAAATAGGTAGCACACTTGTCTGCACCAAAGGAGAATGTTTATGAACTGGACGAATAGGGGGATCGTTTTCTGCTATTATCCGATCTTCAACGTCTTGGTTGGCCTTGGCTGGTGGTGGAGAAGGAACAGCAAGAAGTCGCTATTCTCCCAGCACTGTCCGTATTTCCGTGACATGTGCCTACGACGGGGTCCGTAACTGGTCCAAAAAAGCCAAGTATTGCCCTTGAGTAAAATCATCCTTATGAGCTGCTCGTTTCAAGAAGTTTCGAATGCTTCTCAGTAGTCATAAACTCCAAACAATGGTTCTTCCGACCCGAAATCTTCTTGTTCATCATTTTCATCATCACTTGGTGGCAACGGTTCCGATCGTTTCCGAAAGGTTCGTTGGTACATAGACCCTCCTTTGCGATTCACATACAACATTCGCTCAGTGGGTATTCGACAGAGTCTTTCCAGTAAGTTGTCTGGGGCATCTTCCACAAAGAGATGACGGCTCAAGATGGAAATGTCTTGGGCGACTCGTTCCACATCTGTTCTTACGAAAAGTGAGGCTTGTAGCGACATACAGTCATAACATGTCTGTAAGAGTATAGGACCCAATATGCGTCGTTTTCGATGCTTGGTTTTCCAATGGGGATCTGGACACTGGACCATGACGGCCGCCACGTTTCCTCCTACTTTGTGAATATCTTGCAGCAGTACTTTCAAATCTCCTGACAAGACGTTAGCGTCCAATAGGGCCAAATTGGGCATCTCTTGTGCCTGTCGTCTTCGATCTTTGGTCAAGGCTTCCGAACGCAGTTCCAATCCCAAAATATTCAAGTCAGGACACTCTTGAGCGGTTTTCAAGGCCCACTCTCCTTCGCCACACCCAATGTCGAGCACAAAAGGTTGATGGAAATTTGCATATTGTTGAATGACCCATTCGGATGGATGAGATTTCTTTGCATCAGCTTCTCGCCAAAGGTTGACCAGGTTGCAATATTGGGGTTTCAAAGGATTCAATTGACGAGGTGCGGCTCCATGTCGACGTCGATTTCTCCGTCGACTGCGAGATGCCATGGCATTTTCGTCTGCATAAACGCTGTTGGACTCAGTGTTGACTGCTCCCGGAAGATTGTGCTTCGTTGACATCATGTTGTTGCTCTGTCAAACCACTATGTTGAATATGTTGCCATCACATGTGTGTTGTTCCGTTTTCGAAAAAACATAGTTTCCGTTATTCATTGATCGGATTAGTCACGGGTCATGAGCCAACAATGACATGTGGTCGTACTGTATGTGATCGACAGTGATATACCGGTGTAGCACGGCACGAAGTTGAAACTCCTCATACTTCTGGTCCTTATTGCTCTTCACCCAGCCTTCAATACAATGTCAACTCCTGTCGTTACTGATCAATGGGCTGGTAACTTTGATTGCGAAGGCCCCTGTCGTCGGAAACGACTCATGGCCGAAGAATTCTCCAAGAAAGCATTGGAACGACACCGCAACCAAATTCGACAACCACAAAACAAGCCGATAATCCTTCGGTGCAAGCAGTGCATTGCTGAGGCCGAACGGTTGGAGCGAGAGGCATCAGCCAAGAAGAAGGCACAAACTCAAGCAAATGGAACTGGTGGCTCGAGTGAGAAAGAAGAGAGTCGCAAATGCGGATCCTGTGGCAAAGTCTTACCTCAATCGGCATTCAACCGAAACCAATGGTCCAAAGGTGAAGGAAAATCACGCTGTCGGCAGTGTGTTGAAGAGTCCATAAAACAGGAAGCCCAACAACAATCTCAATCCAAAACTGATCAGATTGCGGCCGCCAAACTAAAGGTGGAACAAGCCAGGAAGTCAAAATCAGCATCGGCAATTTTGGCAGCAGAATCAGAATTGGCCGCATTGGAAGCTGAAAAAGTGACGGGGTTGAAACCAGTGCGCATGGGAACAGGAGGGGGGAGAGGAGGAGGAAAGAAGCAGCCATGGAGACGAGGCGGTGGTGGTGGAGGTCGTGGAAAAGGAGGACGGGGAGGCAAGCAATGATAGTGCTGAAAGCGTCGACGACTGTGATGTGATGACAGTTCTGGTACCAACATCTCATTTGTGCTCCAGCGACGAGCTCTGGACCTTCAGAAAGATTCATGTTCGCCAGCGTAAGAATGGTTGGAAATCGTGGGCTTATAGAAGCATAGAACCGTTGGCACACTGCAATCCTCCCTGTGCTTCCGATAATGGAATCATCAGCATATTAGGATGAATGGATGCCCGCTACCGGTATACAACGGGAAAAGAAGTAGGGGCCAATGTTATCACTTGTGTTGCGACTACCTGTAAGGATTATTTCTAGTCTTGTTGTTGCCGTAACAACAAATTTTTAAAATCATTGTTTCGGGTTTTAGTATTGAATATTTACAGTTCCGCTGTCACGGGTTTTGACATAAAATATACAGGATCATAGTATTGTAGACGCCCGCCAGATGACATGGAAACTGCACTCTTGCACTCGTAAAAATGGCATCGTATCGGTTGCGGCGTTTCGTGTAGGAGAAGCGAAAAGATGTTATAGCCGGTTCGTTCTGAAACGACCCTTCTGGCCTTTTCCCCAAGAGTTCGTCAATCAGTTGGGAATTAAGGATGGCATTGGAATCAATAATCTGCTCGTGACCATGGGGAACTTCCTATTTTCAAGCGCAACCACAAAAACTCCGGATAATTAGGAGTGTTTTAAGTCTCAGTCATGTACTGGCAGGTCATTTTATTTTCGTTGCAGGAGAACCTTGTTTGTAGTCAAAGAACTTGCTACAGGTGCCCAAACAGCTAAGATCGAACCATGATAATGGAAGTGCTCACAAGTTACAAAGGAGAAGACGCCACTTCAAGAAGCAGTGACTCTTTCGTCCTTTCATCATCCGAGGATGCTGAATCGTCAAAGGATACTAGTCTCCCATCGATTGTCCGATCTTTGGCACAGAGTTCAATTACAAAACAAACGGCGGTGACTACGTCGATCTCGACGAGTACCCATTCGTCTGGAAGCTCAATTCGAAGTCCACACAGAAGACAACCCAAGGCGGAAACATTAAGGTGTTTCAATCCTAAATCGAATGCAGTTCCAACTCTGGACTTTGGTGCTGCAGGCCTGGTCGGCAGAGACAATGAAATATCAACTTTGAAATTGTGCTACGATCGTCTGACAACCCAAGGCAAGAAGGAGCTGATTCTGGTCGGAGGCCAATCTGGGGTTGGAAAGTCAAGCGCAATCAGAAGCATGGAAAATGAAATCTCAGTTGAAGGATTGTTTGTGGAAGGCAAGTTCGATATGAATACTAGCAATGAACCTTACTCTGGAGTGGCAGATGCGTTTGGCATCATTTGCGGAAAGATCAAGGAAGCAGGACCCGAGGCGATCGCGGACTTTCGGCAGGATCTGCGGAAAGAACTGGGGGACAAGCCTGGAATGTTGGTTCAACTGATTCCTGAACTCCATGACATCATGTTTATCGAGACATCAGAAGACTCAACAGTTGGATCGATTGACAGAGTGGACGAAGCGGAAGGTGGAATCGACCGTCTAAGATTCTCATTTCGAGTGCTGACACGAGTCTTCAGCACTTTATTTTCTCCCCTCGTCTTGTTCTTGGACGACCTTCAGTGGGCGGACGTGTCATCACTCCAAGTGTTGGAGTACTTGATTTTGGACAAGGAGAACGAACATCCTCTCATGATTATTGGGGGCTACCGGTCGGAGGAAGTGGGTGAGAATAGTATGCTCCACAACAAAATGGTAGGGCTCCGAGGCAAGACAGACAAGTTTCATTTTCACTTGACGGAGCTGATGATCGAATCTTTCGGCGTCAGAGACATTGAAAAGGTTATCGCAGCAGCCTTGCCATCATTATCCGCTGATCATGAGATTGGACTTGCTGCTTTGTGTCATCAGCGAACACTTGGCAATCCTTTCTTTACAATCGAGTTTCTGAAGATGCTTCACTCCGATGGGATGTTGGCATTCGACCACAAAACAAACACTTGGTCATGGAATCTATTAGATATCGAAAAAGAGACAATGTCTACTGCAAACGTAGTCATCATGCTTGAGCAACATCTGAGGAAGCTTCCAAAGCAAATGCAAGTACTACTGCAGTGCGCTGCTTACCTCGGATCGTCGTTCAGCGAACCGACAATCGATCTTGTCTGGAGTACGTATGGACGCAGATTGGTGGAAGAAAGAATTGAACCGGTGTCATCTCTCCTTCCGCTTCTCGTTTCTGACAGCATCTTCGAGAAAGGTGAAAAGCAACAGTATCGATGGACACACGACAAGCTTCAAGAAGCTGCACTTTCTCTCTCTGAGGCGCGTCGAGATACCTTCCAAATGGACATAGGGAAAACTCTATACTATGGACTAACAAAGGAGCAAGTTGAAGAAGACTTATTCACGATCGTTGACCTCATCAACAATGGCAACACTTCGAAGCGGTCGGAATTTGCTGGTATGAATCTTAGAGCAGCAGAAAAAGCACGTGATATCTTGGCGTTTCAGGCTGCCAGCGAGTATGCTTCCGAGGGTATTTGTCTTTTGCAAGAAACGGACTGGCTTCAAAATAAGCCCGTGACCCTTAGTCTGTATACCATTGGAGCAGAAGCAGAACTCATCCTTGGGAACGTCGATGCTGCCGAGCGATATAGAGATGTAGTGCTCTCTCGATCTGACCTTTCGACACTTGAGATGCTTCCATTACAGATCGGCAAAGCCAAGGCATTGGGTGATATAGAACTAAAGTCGCAGGAGGCACTGGAATACTGTCTTGGACTATTGAAGAATCATGGATACCGACTGACATGGGTTCGGCCGTTGGCTCTCCCACAAGCGCTGGCAAGTCTCATTCGTACAGTGAAGAAGGCAAAGGCAAAGCCTCAGAGTTTCTATGACGCAATAAAGGCTTCTGACAACACAAAAAATAAGTTCATTGGGTACTTGCTTTCGAAAGCTGCCTATAATGCGTATACCGCTGGGGACTCAGCGATGTACCTCCTAAGCACTGTGAAATTGATTGACATTACAATGGAGTCTGGCGTGAACGAGTTCTCAGCTAGTGCCTTCACATTCTTGGGCGTCATGTCAGTCATCGTCTTGCAGGATTACGAGGCGATGGAACGCTTTGTAAACATTGCCCAAGGGATGCTGAAGAAGTTTCGGGGATTGCATGCTGCAGAGTCGATGTTTGTTGGACACCAACTGGGTCTTTTTTGGGTAAAGCCTCCCGAAATCGGTCGCGCTGTGGCTGAAAAGGCTATTTTAGCGGGCAGAAGAGAAGGTGACTTGGTGTTCACATCGTGGTTGATAATGCAACAAGTTGTGTTTCTCCCGTACACAACAGGACGTCCACTCGAATCAATCCTGGAAGGCTGCCCCAATGTCTTGGCAGAATTCGAAGAGACCAAGGGTAAGTTAGCTATGGCGATCTGTTGAACCGCGCCTCTTTACATTGTTGCTGTGACTAACGTGATGTTCTCCTCTTTCGAAATCTCTAGCTGGGGGAAATATCTTGAGCATCAAGAACCACTATCAGATGCTTCTGAATCTGAGTGATCCTTCGTGTGAAAATCCAAGTGTGCATAGTGGCAAAATATACATCGATACAAATGAAGATCACAAAGATAACCTCGTTCATTTGTCCGATAAAACTTTCGCAGAAGGAGAACTCTCGTTTTGGCTCGAAGACTACGAGATTTGTGCGAAACGAGCGCTAAAGGTTGGCGAGACCTATGCTAAGGCAGGCCCAGCCATTTATTTGAACCAGATTGAATCATTTCATCGAGCAGTTGCCTTATACGCCGCCGCAATCAAAACGAAGAACGGCAAGTACAAGCGCGCGGCTAACAAGATCAGGAAGAGGATGGCAATGTTGGCACAATATGAAAATACAACAATCCAGTATTATTTTACTTTTTTAACGGCTGAACATCTTGCATCAAATAAGAAGCTCAAAGAGGCAAGAACGAAGTACGAACAAGCCCTGGAAGCGGTTGGAAAGTTGGGACATCTTCATCATCTCGGACTGTTCAATGAGCGTTACTCGGATTTCCTTCAGCGGGAACTGTTGTCAGCGAAAGAATCAAGGGATCGATTGGAACAAGCAATCGACTACTACAGGGAATGGGGAGCTGTTCACAAGGTGAAGGCTTTGGAATCTAGACTGTAAATTATATGCTAATACATTTAAAAATAGAGACGAACAAGCTTTCGAATCGAGACTGAAAACCAGTAAATCATGGAAAATATGAAACTTCTGATCACTTGAAGCATCACAATTTTGAGCGAATTCTAAGGAGCGATTTATGAGCTGAAACCTTTAGAACTGAGACATACAGAGTACTTGGTACACTGTACCTTGTAGTGTTAAGACTGAATTTTTTCAATTTGCTCGCATCGCGCTCGAATCGCGCGCAACTGGATTCCTTTCACGAATTCTCATCATTGTATTCGTCTTCATTCAATGCCGATCTTGGACTAGTTACTGAACTGACCAGAACGTCTGCCTCATTCATCTTTGATCACTGCCGATCTTTTGGTGCTTAGAAGAATACTTAGTTACTACCAACACTGAACCCCTAAATAAACAAAGCATCATGGCTGCTTCTCCACCACGTATCGCTGTAGTTGGAGGCGGAATTGCTGGAACACTGGCATCGCTGGTCCTTCGGAATCGAGGTCTCGTGCCAGTCATTATCGATCAAGGCCAAGATGTGGGTGGTCGTCTACGAGGAGTCTCGCGTTCCAAGATAGGAGGAAATTTGGATGCTGGAGCTCAATTTCTGAGAGCATCAGATGCGCGATTGCAACCAGTGTGGCACATGTTGGAACAACAAGGATTGCTGGCTTCCTGGAGGGGGCGATTTGGAATGTTGGGAAATTCAGGCGGAGGTTTTCTTCCAGCATCGATAGTGGGACAAGCCACAGCAGCGGGCATGAGAAAGCAACACCCATCGGATTCAGACAACAAGGAAGACCAAGCTGGTGATGGGCAAGCTGTTGGGGCGTCGTCACCAACTGATTCGGGTGACTTTTGTGGTTTTGTTACCAACTATGGTACCAACGACAAGGTCACTCCCACCTATGTCGCAGTACCCAATAATGAATCCTTGTGTCCCAACATTTGCCGCCTTGCCTCGATTGACAAAATATCAAGCACGACAGTCTTGGGCGCCCAAACCAACCCAGAAGGTGGTTGGGTCTTGAATGTGGACGGTGACATGCAGTCTGGGGATATGTCATTCGATGCTCTTGTTTTGGCATCTCATGATCCATCCTTGGCGGCCAATACAATCGAATCCATAATAGAAGCCGAAAAGATGGCCAGTGATGCTTCACCAGACGATGCGCATTCCAAACTCTTGGAGCGTCTTGGCAATTTGGTATCGGACCTGCACAAAACTCGTAACGCCAAACAGCCTGTGTTCTCCTGGTCTGGGAAATTTCCCACTGAATTGACCCAATCTCTCGACTTTGACGCCGCTAGTGTACCTGGATCACACGTGGTGCAGTTTGTCGCCCGCGAATCTTCCAAACCACAGTATGCTTCGAATGCTGCGGAAGATACTGAAATCTGGACTGCCATTTCCACTTCGCTCCTGGCACAAGACATTCTGAAACGACATTCGGGAAGAGAAGCTAGCGAGGAAGCCACTACCGTTATGAGCGAAGCAGTGTCCAAATTGCTGTTTCAAAACGAAGCGAATAACAATGTTCTTCCACAAGACGCCTCGGCAGTGCGATGGGGAGCTGCCTTTTCATCTCCCACTTTGGGCCTCAAGGAAGACAGCATCTTTCTAAATCCTTGGAGGCTGGCCATTGCAGGAGACTTTGTCAGCGATGCCTATCCCAGTCCTCTAGAAGCTGCTGCATTGTCAGGGTTGGAAGCGGGAGAACGGGTGGCAGCCATGTTCCAAGCCATGGGTTCCATTCCTCCACCGCAATAATAACACTCTAGACATGGAAACGGTTATCGAAGTGTAGGATTTTTCTATGATATGTTATGCTATCTATGCATTGTAGTAGGTGCAAACGCTATAATTGGCTTGCCATTTTCTCAGCAGTAACAAGCTCCTTCCTACCTAATTAACAAAGAATCCCTACGATCCATCATGTATATCTGGTAAATTGGCCACTGCAGCATATTGTTGTGGCCTGACTTGATTAGAGTTTTTATCTACATCTAGAGTTGTGCCATCTCCAGAATTTGTTTCTCCCCGTTTCTAAATGGATCCACTTTGTGACCACGATATATTGATGTAGTTCGACCGCGATATTTCCAAAAGAATTCGGTTTTGGGAACTTTTGTGTAGTGTATTATTTGGATTCGGTCGTTTGACAGACCTTCGAATTGATTGATTCGCTGCGTCTGACAGACCTCAAAAATTTTCCAATTATACCATCATCTATCATCATCATTGTCATCGCACCTTGATGAACAAGCATTATCATGACGGAAGTACCCAACGATTCGTCCATTGCTGCATTAATCCTAGACCTGAAGAAAGATGCTGTCTTTGGGATTGACGGCCAGTCCATTGCTTTGCGAAGTGATGACTTTATGGGCGTGTCTGGTTTGGTGGCTGGTGATCTTCACCTGTTATTGGCAAAAGGAAATCATTCCTCCACTTTGATTTCAGCATTTTTGCTCTACCCAGAATCACAACAAGCACAAGAATCTGCATTTGTCAGACGATATAATCCACAGACGGAAGAAGTGTCCGCACAGCCGCTGGACCAGCTTACTCATGACAACTTGCTGAGTCAGTTGCCAGAAATGGTCGCCTCCCCAACCAACCCAAGAGTGCTTCCCTACGACAAGATTGTATCAGAAGACCAAACCAGGCAATGGAAAAATCAAACCAACCATATAGTTTCCTCTGGCATTCTACGGATACGCAAAATTGTCAGTGGTGAAAAGCTGGTTCCTGGTGCCTATGAAACGGAAGATCAGAAGCTGCTGTCGATTTCCCACCACCAACAAGAACAAACTCCGACGGACGGAAAATCAATTTCATACCCAGCAATTCCGGTAGTTGATCCCTCTCTATCTATATGGAAGACCAAGCATGCCGGAACGAAGCGTTACCTGAAACAACTAACGGCTACCGACCGAACCAGTCTCTTTATGGATGACAATTCACCAATTTCCAACCGCCTACTTGATAATGTCCTCCAGAAGGATTACGAAGAAAAATGGCAAGCAATACTGGGAGATTTGCAATTGTCATATACGCTCTTTCTGTATATGCAATGTTTTGCATCCTTGGAGCATTGGAAAGACTTGGTGGCCATGATCTGTTTGGTGGATTGGAAGGGAATCAAGGCTCATTCCAACTTTTACAATGCTTTGTTGAATGTGCTTCCTTCTCAAATCAGTAGCATTGATGAAGGTTTCCTAGAGGTACGTTAGACTAAGTTGTTGGCTGCTTGCCCAGATACTATCCCATGATGTTTGTGCTCATTTTGCATTATTTTTTCTCGTTCTGCTCTTTTTTTTGTAGGATATGGAAGAAGCTGGAAACAACTTTTTGTTGCCACTGCTAGGAGGACTTTGTCGGAATATGGTTCTTTCAGGTGTCGTGGAATCCAAAGCGCTCCAGCAATTTCATGACCTCTTGATGAGTCGATTTCCCAATAGCTTTTCACCAGACGACCAAGTTATAACAACCACAAAATCAAGCACACCCAGGACGACACCACCTCCTTCGTTACAAGTGGAACAAGTTTTGGGTTTTCATGATGATGGCATGGAAGAAGACGATGATGACGACGAAGACGCACCCGTAGTAGTTTCGACTGAAGACGTTCAAGCATCCTTGGCACGATCTTCTGAATTTGCTAACAACCACAGCAATATTTCCAAAGAGATCCAACGAGGATATCCTTTGCTAGTGGCGGCAATCATGCCACAAGAAGACATTCTAATGGCATGTGCCCGAATATTGGACGACAAACGGGATGTCTCCTTGGTTCGAGAAGCGGCTGCCTATCTTGAAGAAGTCGAGCAACGAACGTAAATAAATTATTTAAAATGAGTTAGACTTGCGCATTACAAACCCTGACACTGGAGCCGCTCGTGTACAATGACAACACAACTAGTACATGCAGCAAAAGTAATCAAGTATGGTTTCCATTAATAATTGATTGGAATGAATGAAAGTGCTGATTATCGGATAAAGAACGACCCAACCTGAACCATGTATGGTTTCAGGCAAATCATCCGTGCCGACGAGGAAATTATTGAGTACTGTACATTCCTCCTGCGCTGGCAATGAGGATGGGAGATAGAAAGCGTTCATCGAGGCGCAATCTGGCATGGTCTACAATCACCTGATAAACATACTGGCAACACATGAAAGCGCTAACCTTTTTATCATCACTCTTTGGAACCCTTCTTTTTCCAGTTGCAGCGGCTTATCCACTTTTTGCTTTCCCAGCAGCAGCAGTAGCAGCATCATCCGGTAATACTTCATTCTTCAAATGAGCTGGAACAAGCTTTGCTAAAAGTTCCTCGCTCGAATCCAGCTCATGCTGTGTAAAGTCAAAGAGCGGTGGAAGTGCACCACCATTGTTTGGCAATTCGATTCCTTCTTCTCTTAATTCGTCAAAGAAGGGGTGCGCACATCCATCTAGTGGCAAGAGCCGTTTCGAGGGTGTGTACGCCAGACTGGCAGCAATAAAGTCCATTGCATCTTCCGGGGTTTTGCTTCGAAAGACCTTCTTCCAATGACATCCTTTAATCTGAGGGAATTTGAACTCAATGTAATTCGAGTTCATGGACCTGATTTCTTCCTTTGTCGGTGTGCCCAACACCTTGATAATCTCGACCAGTTGGTCGACCCCCGAGTCTCCTGGGAAGAGTGGTTGCCCCAACAACAATTCTGCCCCAACACACCCCTCGGACCAGATATCAATAGCTGTTGTATAATCTGTGGAGCCAAATATCAATTCTGGAGCCCGATAGTAACGGGAGCAAATATAAGATACATTTGGTTCCCCCTTCACCAGCGCTTTGGCAGAACCAAAATCACAAAGCTTCAATTGTTGATTCTTTGGATTTACCAACAGATTCTGAGGTTTAATATCCCGATGGCATATTCCAATTGTGTGAATATGAGCCAGCGCTCGAGACAGTTGATACAAGTATAGCTTGACATAGAGCAGCGGTAGTGGGATGTTGTGTTTGTGATGCCGTCTACTAATTGAGTATACTGTCTCAGGAACAAACTCCAACACCAAGTTCAGATACAGATCCTCAGCCTTTTCACCCTAAGATATGAAGCAAGCAGATGAGAGTTGGTGAGAGAATGATTTGTATACGTTGTATAGGTGTGTGTGTTGGCGGTCATCCAATGACATCACCTTCCAATGCTCCACCTGAAACATACCTGTGAATAAAAGCAGTGCCTTAAAGCAACCACGTTCGTGTGCGCATCCTTCACCAATTGTCGCATTATTTGCAGCTCCCTATTCTTGAATCGCTTATCCTGCAGTACCTTTTTAATGGCCACCACTTCCCCCGTCTCCACCACCTTGGCTTCAAAGACCACTCCAAAACTTCCATTTCCAATTATTCGCTCCGCCGAGTACGAAATATTTTGCTCTTCGTCTACGGAAGCAGTGGCCGGGGCTTCTGCGGTTGCGGACATTATCTCTTTGGCCTTGTCTGCTTCAGTATCGTTGGTTGATGATGATGGGGCAGCTGTAACTGAAGCCATGTAGTGTACCTGTCTCGAGATTTGATAGGATTCGGACTCTTTTTATTTTTTCCAATCCTGATTTCAGTATTCTCGTTTCTTACAAGGAGATCCTAACTACTCAAATCTAGGCTTTTGGCTATCTTTCTTTACTGTGCACGAGTCAGTAAGGATGCTATCTGTCTTCTGATTTGGATATCAATACAAGGTTGTTGGTCACCCACGGTTTGTTTTTCAGGTCGTGTTGATTGAGTTCGTGTCCGGTACTTCGTCTACAGCAATAATTTACGTAAAAGATATCAATGCACTCAAATGGGTACCAATTGATCGAATGAACGCAAGAAAGTGGGACTTCCAGGAAGACGATTCGAATGGTGGTTGTAGAAGGGTCGAAAGACTGGTGTGGGACTTGTCTTTTTCAATCAACGCCCTTGTTGTCTCTTTGTCGCTTTCACGACACCAACAAAGATATGCTAAGTTTGGCCGTTGACACGATCCTCTCGGAGAGGGGACTCCTTCTCATGCATGGGCCGAAACGCGCCTGCAAAACCCCACAGAGAATTCTTGTTCTTCGTTAAAGATATTAGCCAATGCAAAATATTCAGAACTGAATCTATTGTTTTCGCAACGACAAACGCAAGACTGCGGGCGCGGGACAGACATGTCTTGGGCGTGTTTGGAAGCTTCTTGGAGATTCCAAAATATCCAAAATGAAGTACTCTTAGGAGAGTGAGTGAATCTCAATCACCGCTACCCCATTAGCACTATTGCTGTTTGCTGTTATTAATCTTATTGCTCTTTACAACTATGTAGACTTCTAGATGACAAAGAAAAGTACAATGACAGTTACCGAAATCATTCCAAGTCCTTGTCCCATCATTGTTGAATCTACGACAGTAGAAGATGATTCATCTGGACTAGAAGTATTCCCACTACCATCATTGGTGCAAGGCTCATTCATCACACTCCCGTCACGGTAGTCAATCCAGCAAAAGTTTCCAGCGGAAGGTAATGTACCGTCAGGGCACCGGTTCCAGGGAAAGCGGATTGCCGGATCTTCTTCAATTATGATGGTGGTGGTGTCAATGTTACTAAATTCTCGAAGAAAGGCATTGGCCAACATGCGACCCTTCAAAATCATTCCCTCGTAGGCACTAAAACGACAAGCAATGGAATATTGAGTACTGTAATTGTTTGCTACATGCAGCAGCAACCATCAGATTTCTTACCTGTGAAGATTTGTGGGATACCTCCGATACCAATGGAACTCGTCGCAGACTTGACAATTCTTCTGAGCATCCGGAAAGGCAGGATCATAACCATAGTATAAGAATGGGCCCAAATTCAGATGCAAGTTGGGTGCATCCGGGCAAAGAGTACCAGGTCCTGGTATGCAGTCGCTGGAAGTATCCTCGTTGGAAGCCAGGGCAAACTCGACGTTCTTGGCCTTGCAACCCTTGACTATTTGAGTGGCATATTCCTTTCCGCTCTTCAGTTGATTGTGGGTGGTGGAACCAGTGTCAATGATAGGGACGTCATCATTGCTCCCAATGTGCTGACGAAAGCCATTCCAGACACGAGCTGTGTTTTCTCCAAAGAACTTCCAATCACCAGCCCCCAAGTCGCTTTGACCTTGGACCCATACAATACCAGCCCATTCGTAAGGGACACCTCCACTTGTCAAGGCCTCCTTGGTTCTTCGAATGGTATATACCATATTCTTGAATAGATGATTCTTGGAGTTAAAATTGAGACCAGCATTTTCTGCCATCCATTGAGCGGTTCCGTCATCCGCACTCGTATCCCACATGTTGTCTTGTTGTTCTGGATTCCATTGAGAAAACACATTGGTGCCACCGACGCAGTATTTCATCACCAAAGTTCGTTTGCCAGTGACATCATATATCCGTTCACCAAAGGAGATCTCAGGTCCAAACATACTTCTGTCTGTTCCAGCGTTCATTGGAGCAATAAAGAAGCGACTTGTTGAGGCGGGGCTAGCATAGCCAGCAAACCAAACTCCAGGAATATCACCTTGTAGTTCAGGGTATCCTTGAGAATCTGCATCCAAGTCTGTTGCTTCAGCCTGACCCACACATTCGGATTGTCCTCCCAAGAGGTATACTTGGATGGTTTCTTCAGTGCCAGGAAGTGAGGTTTCAACTCCTGAATTTCCGGCATCGTTATCCGCGCAAGTTTGGCAGCAGACTTGCCTCAAGACTTGGCCCAATTGATTCGGAAGGCTGCACCCTCCAAGAACGTCGACACAAGCACTAATGTCATCCCGACCCTGCTGAGCTGCCAACTGCGCGATCCGTTCGTCATCGTCGACACACGCAGATACCCTACTTGCGGTGAGAAAGACGCAAGCGAGAGCAGAAAAAATCAAATGGGATAGTATCATCTGAGTTGATGGAGGTGTTTGTTGTCGGCTATGAGCTTAGCAATCCATATTTTAAAAGATTCTCGCTCACAAAAATTTTATGCCGAAACTGCTTTTTCTACAGTACAGAAACTGACGAACATGATGAGTGACCGAAGTATAGTGCCAAACCAGAATTTTCATCGCACGAATTGAGTTCACTGACATTTAAAAATACAGTAGGTACCTAGTACTGCGATATCTTTTATATGTTAATCACCCCCATGGTATTTCTAATGGCTCGAAAGATAGACAGACACAATGCCGAAGCCGCTTATGACGAATATGAGTGACCAAAGTGCTGAACCATATAATAGTCATCGCAAGAATTGAGCCACTTTTTGATAGGTAGTACTGCGATATTTTTTATATCTTGATTCCCCTCATGGTGCTTCTTAGACAAACACAATACACATGGCATAGTGATCACATTCGTAACAATGCAACGGGCGGAATTGTCCTTGTTTGCTCCACTGTAGCGACTAAATGCTGTCCAGGTAGCTAGTCCGACACTGGTTGCTTCGCAATAGCAATCAGGTCCAGAAATAGAAAGGATGCGAGCCTTCGGCTTGTTAGCCATAACTTTGGCTTTTCTCCCTTGGAACCATGATGATTCCTCTACAAAGGAGATTCAGATGACTTGGGAAGGTAACACCCTTCGTCATTCATTCATAGTGATCACAACGTGAACGGCTGAAGCAGGAAGAACATGACAGTACCTAAAACCACCAGGAGACCCCTACCCCGACCATTTCCAGCCGAAGTATCTTCCATACCTCCAATTCCGTAGTAAAAGTCGTCATCAAGGTCGTCGTCAAAGTCGTCGTCGAAGTCATCGTCCTCTATGAAGTCTTGGTCGAAGATGTTGTCATTGTTGCCATTGTTAGTGCTGCCGTCACCTTTGCCGCTGTCATCTGTTATGCCATTGTTCTGGTCTCCATAAGGTCCATTACTGTCGTCGATGACGATATTCTGAGAATAAGAACATAACTCGGAGGAAGGTTTGATCATCATGCTCTCATCCCGGTAGTCGATCCAACAGTAGTTCCCCTCGGAAGGTAGTGTCCCAGTAGCACATGGTTTCCATGGATACAAAGCAGCGGGATCTGAATGAAGGTATGAAGACGGCAACGTGTAGTCCGTAAACTCACTAACAAAGGCATTCGCCAGCATGCGGCCCTTCAAAATCATACCCTCGTATCCACTGTGAATGTTGGTTGGGTACTTGCGATACCATTCAAATTCTTTGCAGGTGCTACGATCTTCACATTTTCGTTCTCCTGCTGGAAACAAAGGATCGTATCCATAAAACAATAGGGGGCCTGCATTCAGATGCAAGTTGGGCGAATCAAAGCATGGAGTCGAGGCTGACACAACGCAATCCGATGCAGTGTCGTCGTTGGAAGCGAGGGCAAATTCAACATTCTTGGCCTTGCACCCCTTGACTAGTTGAGTCGCGTATTCCTTTCCGCTCTGCAATTGATTGTGGGTGTTGGAACCAGTGTCAATAATCGGGACGTCTCGTCCAACTTCTCGTCGAAAGCCGTCCCAGACTCGAGCCGTACCCTCGCCAAATAGTTTCCAGACAGGATCTCCACCCTTGAGATCGGCTTGTCCTTGAACCCAAACGATACCCGCCCAATTGAAAAGAATTCCAGCATTCAATAAGGCCTCCTGTGTTCGTCGAATCGTGTACACCATATTCTTAAATTGAGTCTTTTTGGTAGCAAAGTCGAGGCCACCATTGGTTGCCATCCACTGAGCTGTCCCATCGTCGGCAGACGTATCCCACATATTTCGTCTATTGAATGGGTTCCAATGAGAGTGGGTATTTGTACCACCCGAACAGTACTTCATCACCATGGTTGGCCTGCCTGTCACCGCGTGCATGCGTTCCCCAAAGGAGATTTCAGGTCCAAACAGAGTCCGGTCTCTTCCGGCTTTCATGGGAGCAATGAAAAAACGGTCGACAGCAGCGGGACTAGCGTAGCCAGCAAACCAAACTCCAGAAATCTCGCCTTGCAACTCGGGATACCTTTGAGGATCAGCAGTCAACTCGCCGACTCCTGCTTGGCCTGTGCATTCGGATTGACCTGCCAAAAGATAGACTTGAACGGTTTCGCCTGGGCTGGGGAGTTGCGTTGCCACAGCTGGTTTGTTCGGGTCGTAGTCGGAACACGTTTTACAACAGATCTCTCGTAAGGAATCTCCTAAATGATTTTGAATGTTGCAACCTTCCATGACATCGATGCAGGCTGTCATGTCATTTCGACCCTGTTGGGCTCCCATTAGTGCAATCTGAGTGTCATCGTCCACACATTCATTTCCCTGAGCAAGCGAGGGCTGAAACAGGCAAGTGAAAGCAGCAAGAATCCTAAATGTCCTCGACATCATCTTCGCTTGTGTATTGTATGACAGCGTGACAAGAAGAGGAGAATCAAATTTTTGTCGAATCTTGTTGAAGTTGCGAAGCACGTGCCACCAATGACTCAGTCGAACGAGTCGATGGTCTGCTCTTGATTAAAAGATACAGTAGTTTCAGTTACTGTGCACTGTCTATCATCATTACGTCTAGAAAGGCCGGGAAAATCAATATTTACTCCCAAGAATTGTATGCTAAATTTCTATTTCCCGGCCGTTCCTAGAGTACTATTTTACACAACATTAACATCAAAAGCAGTTTAAAATGTAGCGGTTTCGTTCCTGTCGCCTATAACCTTAGGCTCCAAGAACTGACACGAGATCCGAATTCATATCCACTTCGATATTCTCTGGTGGAACAAGTTCCTCGTCAATGCTATCACAACTCCTGGAACGACCATTGGCAAAATTAGATGCTCGCCTGCTTGTTGGCCGTTGCATCTTTTTCGGTTCTTCTACTACCTTGTTGGGATCGACAAAAATGACAGCAGGCATTGGTTTCTTGGCTGCTGTTGCGGAAGCGCTGGATCTCGATCTTCTAGGCGGTGGACCATTGGTAGACTTTCTCCTAGGCGGGGCACAATTGCTAGACTTGTTTCTCCTTGGTTTGGGTTGTGGTTGTTCTTCACCTGGTTCGTTCAAATCGAAAGCATCATGGCTGCTGGAGCGACGATTCACGAGGCGGCTGTTTCCAGGCCTCCTTCTGCCTTCCCTCCTCTTTCGCTCTCCTCCGACGTCTTCATCATCATCCTGTTTATTCGAGTCTTTGGATCTCCTGCTGAGACGGCGCGCTGGTCTCGCTTCCAAGTCATCGTCCTCTAGATTATCATCGTCATCATTGGATCTTCTGCTACGAAGAGATCGACAACTTCTTTGTCTTTCGGGTGGCAAATCATCGGCATCATTATTGACATCGTCGTCATTGGATCTTCTCCGTTGCAGTACTTCCTGTTTCATGCTGGATGGTGATTGACTGCTCTTTCGTCTTTCTGGTGGCAAATCATCATGCATATCTCCATCATTGTCATCATCATTGGATCGTCGACGTTGTTGACTTACTTTTTGTTTCATGATGGATGGTGACATTGACCGAGCCTTTTGGATGGTTTGGACATCGTCCACTCGGTCGTCTTTGAGGGCGCGGGCCCAGGTGCTGCCCTTGTTTTCCTTGGCCAGAATAATCTTGCAATGTTGTTTGCACTGTTTCCAGGAAGATTCTTCCACGTCGACTTGACCACCCGTGTCGTGACTCAAAAACCACTTGGTAGGCAGTCCTTTGGGTTTGGTTCCCAGCTGGACGAGTCTATATTGTTTATTGATTGAGAAAGGAAAATAGATTAGAAGAGTTCATACTTGGGTCAGAGATAAAATGCCAAAGGTACGTACCCTTCGAAAATGTTGCAGAACGCTGTAAAATCAGCATTCGGAGTGGGATAATAAATGGAAACAAACTTGGGATTCTGATCCCATTCGTATAGAAGTACTCCATTCTGAAAGACTTTGTTACGAAACACGGTTTTCTTTGTGGAATTGCGAGGCGTGGAAGCAGCAGCAGCAGCAGACCCAGAAGCGGTAAAGCTTGATTGCCGACGAGGTGTGGAAGCAGCAGCAGAACCAGAAGTTGTAACGCTCGATTGCCGGCGAAGTGTGGAAGCACCAGCAGCGCCAGCAGACCCAGAAGCTGTAAAGCTCGATTGCCGGATAGGTTTGGAAGCAGCAGCACCAGCAGACCCAGAGGTTGTAAGGCTCGAGTGCCGGCTTGGCGTAGCATTAGTGCCCTTGCTCGGCCGCAGACTCCTCAAGCTTTTAGGTCGTTCTTCTTCTCCACTCGGCGGGATGGAGCTATTGCGGGATCGCACACTCCTCAAGCTTTTGGGTCGCTCTTCTTCTAGATTGCTTTGCTTGATGGTATCAGGTTTGTTCGGAGTTGTCACACTGCTCTTTCTGGTCAAGAATCCAGGACTGGCAACTGTGGATGTCCTCTTTTCCACAAAGCCTCGCGTTATCTTCTTTCCTGCAGTGCCCAGATTGGGACCCGGTGGGGGCGGAGGTGGTGCAGGTCTTGGTTTGAAACCCATCTATCTATCTGTATACATGTACTGCGTAGCTTGGTGTAGGGTGATGGTGGAAGCGTTGCGATTTGTCGGCGATTGAAAACCGAAGTGGTGTCTACTGTCGAACATGAAAAACAATAAACTCCGAAATATTAATAATTGCGTTGTCGCCACCAAAGCAAAATGTTAATCGTAACTTTTCGACAAACATTTATCGACAAAAGTTCCTTGGGAATTGTGGGACTTTCTTAGTGTCTATTAAGAGTAGGTACCATTGCATTTGGCCGAGAAAAGGAAGACCTCAGGGGACTCTTATTATTGTAGAGACTACAAGGCTGCCACCACACTTTACGGAAGCAGAGACGCTGGATTTAGAAGGAACGCCGCCCAATAATGTCCTCAGTGGCAGAGACACCTGTCACATTTATAATGTATGCGAGCAAATCACAGAAGACCGCAATATATTTGCTCAAACAATCTCAAAAGCGAGAAACCGCTTCCTATGACCAAAATCTCTGCTTTGCTCAAGCAGTATCCAACAAATCAAAATCTCTTCTTGACGCCATGACAGTGGCAGAAGCAGGACAATCCAAAACATTAGAACGACTCTTCGTCCCACAGAAAGACGTTGCAACTATGAGGGCAAGACTCGAGACGTATCACCACCACCAGTATTATCCTCTTATGAGCGCCTGAAGACTGAGCACTTGACGACATTTCTTGGGCACAAACAAAAAGCAAGTGCTGCCAGGCAGTGTACTGAAATCTTAGCCGCTTTGACGTTTCGTCCAGCTTATCTTGAGCGATACTGTACTTCCCTGACATTACATCGTGACTGTGCTCGATGAAGGTAATCCAGGCCGATAGAACAGGGAGCTGCGTGGTCGGAAGCGACCCAATTCGAACGCCAAAAGTTGCAATTCATTTATCCGTTTTCCCGGCTTGGTGGTTTCGTACTCTTCCTTGTATGCGTCCGTGTTCATGTACCTCGGTATTCTATAGCAAGCAATCGATAATATGTCAAGGTTCCATCAGCGTCTTCCCTGACCTGGGCGAAATTTTGGACCCGATTCCGAATTTTCGTCCCTCTTGATAGGCACCATTTGATCCACGCAATAGCACTAGCAATGCGTAAAAAAAAGAAATAAATAAATCGCATGCATCCCAATGATCAAATGATGCCATGTCGAGATCAGGATCAAGTGGAAACAGCCGCCAACCTGCTACCAATGCTTGCTGAAGCACTTTGTCAATATCGTCTTTCGCCTTTCCGGAATCGGGTACAACATTCCAAAGCAAATAGCCATCTTGGTGATGCGCCACACAGTGCCGCCTGAGCGCACTTATTTACGAGGGATCTAGTTCCTAAATGAAGCAGTATTGCTTCAAATATCATGGCAACGTACTGTAACTTCTTTTTCGCACAGAGGGCAAATAGGTCCCACAGCCGACGCACCAGAAGCGAGGCTTTCAAGGCCACTCCTTGGGTTAGAAGATGCATCGGTAGTTGCGTCCAATGGTGCTGTTGTGTTTTGTAGTGACGCTACTTTGCTTTCATTTGTCATGGCTATACCTATGATACTGTGTGTTATTTTTTTGTAATGTGATGATGAAATTTCGTCATGCATGCGAAATTGAAATGATGCGCGCGTGCCGAAATGAAAACGTTGGAGTTTTTGGGACTTTCTTAGTTTCCATCATGGCCCCCCCAAATCAAAAAGTGTGCGCCAATATATTTGACATCGAGATTATGAAATATGTCGTGCCATACATTTGTATAGTACAATGGCGGGAAGCACGAGAAGGAGGAGGAAGGCAGCTGGTGCGGCGGTTGTTGCGACTCCTTCACCACCAACAACAAAGCAGAGAAAGAAGTTCACTTGCAAACATAAACTGTCAAGAAAGTGGTGCAAGACTTCTTGTGGGTTGTGTTGGCTTTTTGCCCTGGTCCGACAACTGGACCGCCGGAATGCAAATCGACATGCAAAACAGAACTCAAAGTCGCCAAACGCTCTTACAACAACAAGAAGAAGAAAACAAGCGACGACTCTATGATTGTTACACCAGGCACAAGAAGGACATGCACAGCTGAAACCAAAAAGGCTATCGCAGATTGTGCTGTTGCATTCGATTCCGAAGACGAAGATGATTATTATTGTGATGATGTGTCAGCATCTGCGCTCAAACCTGAAATTGCGAATCTGAAGGCAAGAATTTCGGATCTACAAGAAGAAACCATGGCCGATGCTATCGAACGCTTGGTCCAGAGGAATGGTAAAAACGTGGAGCTTCCAGCCGAGTTATTAATTGAAGCATTGAACAAGCCTCTAGAGCCAAGCAATTCAATGTCAAACAAAAGCTATCGCTCGTCGCCGCGGTTCTAGAGATGATCAATTATCTCTAGAGAAAATAACTGAGTTTGTGTGAATGGCTCGATTGCAGTCATCCCACTTTCATATGTTGGTCAGTATTAATATTAACAGCTTCTATGATAGGACTAGCTCAATCATATTATTGATTATTCTGTAGTCTGTTGTTTCACTTTTTGCAATCTAGCTCGAAGGGCTGCTGCGCGTGATTCAGCAGGTTGCGTTGCTGGTTCTTCGACACTGTTGACAGAACTTGAACCTGAACCCCTCTTTTCTTGCGCTGCCGCCAATCTCGCCCGAAATGCCCGAACAGTTGGTGCGGAGTCTTCTGCAGGAGGTACTGTTTCGGCAACGGGTTGTCCAGCTGAATCCGTTCCATTCAACTTCGAGCGGAGACTCTTAATCCTGGCAGTCATCGACTCTGATGCTGTGGCAGCTGGCGCAGCATCCACATCGCTGGCTTTCAGAGATAGCTGTTCCAAAATGAACTCCCGGAACGTATCTGACACTTGCTCCAAATGTTCCATCAAATCCGCATTTCCATACATGTCAGTATAGCCCCGAAGTGCTGATATTGCTTTTTCTCGCTCTTCTCCCTGTGCACTTCCGACGGCAGATACAAGGGCACTCACATCCCGCGTAGCAACACCGGTAGGAGTTCCTCTCGCTGGTGATCCTGGATAGATTCCAAGGTCTGTTGCGCATGAAGTAAGAAGTTTGCCAAGCTCCGATGATTGGGAATCTATTCCTAGTTCATCCATCTGACTGCGCAGCGAAAAGCTTTCCCCGCGTGCTTTCAACATGGACGTCATGAGCAACATCGCCAGATTTCGGTTCCCTCCAGCGCCAGCGCCATCAGATAAAGTAGCATCCAGCGAATCTTCGAGGCAACAAAGAATAGATTCTATGTCAAATTCGCCTGAATTGTATGGCTCAGGGGTGCCCTCTTCAGCTTTGATGACTCGCGAGAACAGTTTGGCAATTACTCTCGACAGCCGACTATTGAACATCGATTCATCAGAATTCTTCGCATTCATTGATAGTTGCTGTTGCAAAGCAATCAAAGCTTGGAAGGAAATATCCCTTTTGGTACCAGTAGCTGCTTGGACCGCAAGCTGGAGAAAGATAGAAGGTGTCAGATTTGGAATTTTTGAACGAGAACTTCACAGCCCAATTTTCGAAACTCACCTTGTTGATAGCTCGAACCATCTGCGTGCTTGTCGCGTCGTCTAGTTTTGATCCCTCCGGTACAGAAGAAGAAGTGGCAAGTCTTTTGTCAAGTAGAGCTTTCCCTGCCTCTCGTATCAAGAGCGTCAAATCGTCCACAGCTACCTTTTTCGCCAAATCATCTGATCTAAAAATGGCCATCAAAGAGGCTAGGTTTACAGACAAAAGAGGAACTGACATTCCAGCAGAACACCTTGAATCGTGGCAGTCAAAGCCGAACCCAATTAACCTAACATCGCGCACTTGTTAGAGAATTTTCGATTACCAGAATTTTGGTACTCATAAGGATACTTACCTGGTCAATGCCGCTACAACATCACTGGCGCGATCCGCGATCTCCACACGGAGGTGAGTTACGTCACTTGATGACAGATCGACTGCAAGGTTTGCTTGTCCAGACACTGCTGCATGAATAGTCTTCAAGACATCAGTGGTTGCAAAGATATCGTCGTCATCTTCTTGAAGAGGCGATTTCTTCGCAATCAAAGACGAGAGTGTATCGAGGAAAGCGCTCAAGCGTTCTCGTGGCTCGCCCTGAGAATACAAATCGTTGTCAAACGGGATACCACGCACGGGAGACAACGCTTTCTCTGGTCCAGTTGCGGTCGATGAAGAAGTTTCTTGCGAAAATGTTGTGGATAAGCCAAACTTGTCTTGAGGAGCTTCTTCCTCTACCTCAATAGTATCGATTGTGACTTTGGTCTTTTCACGGATCTTGAGAAGGCGAGCGCGAAGAGAAGCTGCCGCGCCGATTTCCGTGGATGCTGAATTTGAAGAATCTGGTTTGTCCATAGCGGCTGCCGCTGACATCTGGGTAGGCACCGAAAAGAGCTTTGTGGATTTGCTTTGAGAATTTGTTTCCGGTATAGAAGACTTTGAAGAAGCAATTGAATTTGACCTTGCAATTCCACCAGTACCCTCCAGCATTTCTTCGGCATCAAGAAGGTTTGATAGAATATCGTTTGCTGAATCTACGTCGAGCTTGGCACTGCCACGGCGCATTCCTTGCGAGTAGCTTGATGGGCCTTGTGAAAGACGAGATGATTGAGTGGTCCTGGGGGAGTCACGAAGTCCAAGTGCAGGCAACTCATCGCCAAAAGCTGAGTTGTACCCCCCTGAAACACCCTTTGATTTCGCTGGTTCAAAGGTCGGACTCCTAGGAACTATTGTTTTGTTTTTGGCGAAAGTTGGGCTTCTCGGAATCTTTTGAGGACTCGGTATTTCACGGTTCGGTGACCCTCTGGGCTTCTGAGTCCGCCGTAAGCTCTCTGTTCCAGAGGTGGGCTTGGAACCACCACCAGACGTAACTCTTTCCTCGAGCAAATCACGAGCCTTGGCAGATAATGACGAACCACAGATTCTCGCCAAACGCTGCATGTCCCCATTCATTCTCAATAGCAACGATTCCATCAAATCCAGATATGCATTTCGATTCTCAAGCAGCTTTTCTTCCGACAGAGCCTTCGCCAAGGCAAGTGTTCCTCTTTTCCCAATGCCACTGAGACCGATCTTTTCGACGCAGTCGTAACATTCTCTGCAAGCAAGAACTCGTGCATGTGGATAAGGAGATGCTTCAAGCACTGGTACACAGACAAGTGGACCTAGCTTCTTTGGAGGACATAGCGCCTCGGAAGTGCAAAGATCCAGCAATTCCATGTATGTATCCTTGAAACGACCCTATGAAAAAGAAAAGTAAGATTCGGCATGAGTTGATAACAGTAGTGCTATCTCAACAAACGCACCTTCGCAGCACTGTATTTGTCCCAAATGAAAGGCAACAAGATACCGGATTCGGAATCAGTGAGTTCGTGATTTATGTCCATCATGTGCAAGAACAGTTCGGAGAAGAAAGATAGTAGCTCTTGAAGTCCAGCAGTGGTTTCTTTTCGGCAAAGGACGTAGACTGACCACTTCAATATTATCCCAAACTGGTCAGATACTGCGGTACCTTCTCCAGCCTTGTCCAATTCAATGGCACGCTTCAAAAGATCGCAACCTGCTTTCGCATCATCATGCCTGCGAATGCCTCCTGCAGGGAAGAGGACCTTCACTGAGTCAGGGGGGAGTAGTGGTGACCAAGTTTTCTTCAATCCAGTGAAATACGTATTTGCGCTTGGTTCGTCCGGGTATTCTGGCCAAGTCATCAGTCGCATCGCCGAAGCTGACTTTTGCTTTCCTGTATCGGCCCCAAGTCCAATCAAAGGATGCGCTGATTCTAGGGTTTCCGATACGGCTTCCTGCTGACGGCCACGGCCATTATTATTCGTTTTCCTTGTGGTTGCATTGGGTGGAGCAATGGATCTCCTAGAAGTTGTAGTCTGAGATCTTCTCCCAATAGCTCTAGTAGATATGGTTCCTTTCTCCACCTCTTGTGATTCGCTTGGTTCGTCTAATGCTGACATTCTTGCCAAGATGGGACCAATAGATCTTTGTTTTGCAGGTTTTAGTCTGCTGGCGCTTCGTTTTGCAGTCGAAATATCGAACACTTCCTTGTCCACGCAAGCTTGAAGCAAAGCCTCCGAGGCAGCTCTAATATCTGCCTTTGGAGATGTTAATCCATCGACAATAACTGTTGCAAATCGGCCTCCAACAGTTTCTCCACGTTGCGAGGCGACGTTATCAAGATTTGGTAGGTCATCCGCAAATGTCTGTGTCAAGTTGAGGACATCCGAAAGGCCGCTTGCCTGGTGATTAAGAATGCTAAAGTGAGAAACATGGCAAGACCCGATTAATGCGAAGCTCCAAGACATACCTTAAACTCCGATTCATCAAGAACCATCGCGAGCGCAGACACAAAGGGAATGATGACCTGGCTGTTGATCCCTTCTCCCTCAATAGGATGCAGAGTTGTGGCTTTTTGCAATGCCTCCATTGCAGCATCATGCATCGCCTTTTTGTTTTCATTCATTGCAGAATTGATCAGTGGCGCATAAATAACTTTGCCAAGTTTTACTTGCGCCGGAGCGTCAACTAATGAGAGTACGGTGCCAAGGAGACGAGCTGCGACAGGCTTCAAATTGCTTTGTGTATCTGAGAGGCGTTCGCACAGCTCGCGACAGAGGGCAACTAGTTGTTTTATGTTCGTTGTATCCAATAGACCATTGCATTGCTTCAGTGCGCTAGATACATCCTCCATGGCTGCCTTTCTGGCCTTCCACGACGTCTTGCTTTCTTTCGATCCCTGATTGTGATTTGGGAAAAGTCAAATGTTAGGGAGATCGAGTCGTTTTTAGCTTCTTCGATAACTCCAGCATCGCTTACCATCTTATCAATGCAGTCGTTAGGTAACTCTGCAAACAAATCCATCTTGGGTATATCCAGTCCGAATCCAGCATCCGCATCGGATCCATCACCTTTGCCGTCCAAGCCGACACAGATGCTACTTTTTGGCCATTGCGTGGCCGCGAAGGATGGATCATGCGGATTATCTTCAAAAGTTTTCTCTAACAAAGAACGAATTGAATCATCCTTGCCCGCGGCAGTATACGCAACCGGCCGAACAATTGGTCCTAACTGAATGTGCAATAGCCCAGCTGCTGAAAGTGATTCCTTCTTTACCTTAGCATTCTTCGACTTGCACCCCTGCATACAAATGGAAAGTTCAGATGAGTTCAAGTCTGACAATAACGTGATAATAGGGAATGGCATAACTCACCTCCACCAAATAGGGCACAGCTTCGCTAACGCTAGAGCCAAGTGATGCAGCTCCGAATTCATTGCAGAAATGTTGAATCCATTTCGCCAATTCTTCGTGAGCAGCAGGAGCTCTGATCTTTTTGATGGCTTCGTAGCAAATCATGTGGATTTCTGAAGGCATACGAACAACACACAAACTAGACAGCAACTCTTTGGCAAAGCTTGAAAGCTTCCTGTCAGCAATTTTCTCAGTCGCCAGCGTAGCTGCATCGGCCGAAGCCCATTCCAAAAACGGGATACCGGCCTTTTCATGATAGTCACACAACGCAAGGAATAATTCCATAATAGCCTTAGTGACATTGAAGTTCGACTCTTTGAAACCTCGAGTATGCTCTTTTACCAGCACCACAATGCAATTAGCTTCCAATACACTCTCTGATGGAGATGACAAAACTTCGCGATTGGAGACAAAGTTCGCCAATCCTTTTATGGCCGCCTGACGACACTGCCATTTGGATGCTAACGAAAACACGTATGAGCAGCGTGAAATGAACGCTTCAATGGCGCATAATAATTGTGGAAAACTTACATTGTATTCCGGAAATAGTGTCACCGTTGTCCTCGTCTGTCTCCCATGGTGGAATATCCAAGGATGAACATCTTGCAATGGCTTCCTCGGTGGTAGGTATGTCCCCAGATTCAACATTGAAAGGTGCAGCAGCTGGTCTCGCTTTGGGAGGTGGTGTCGGGGCCTTCTTTGCAACAGGAGGAGGCGGAGCAGCTGGTGTGGTCTTTACCTTGGAGCGAGATGTGGCCGACGCCCTTTTGACTGGTGACGATGGCGGACTCGCCTTTGAAGTCCTGGTCGGTTTGGGAGCCCCACCGCTGCTCCCAGAAAGTTGCTTGTAAACACGCGGGTTGGAAGTCTCCAACTCTTCAATTACGCTCTCCACAGAATTTTGAATTTCTGGGTCCTCCACAGATTGAAGTTCCTTGAGCGTTCTGACAGCTGCCTTTCGCACATTGGCATCAGTATCCTTCAGCTTCAAGCTAGCCAGATTTGCCGACTCTTTTGCAGTTGATGGGTCTAGTGCTCCCCGTGGACCAGCCGTTTCTCGTCGCGTCACGCATCGGGTCAAAAAGTCCAACGCATTGGTTCTAGCCAATGCATTCTTTTGCTTGCGTTCTTCCAAGGCTTCCTTGATTGCATACTCCTCCTCTAAAATGTGATCAAAGGAAATCACATTCCCGAATAATGCGTCCAGACATGCAGATGTTGACTTGATCAATTTCTTATCCTTGGACAACTGAAACAACTTTGGCATCAAAGGTCGTAGGTTTGGATACAGTTTTGCCCCAACTCCTTGCGCCAACATCGACAGCACCTCCATTGCCTTTGACACGACCGCAAAGTGCGTATGAGACAAAATGGCTTTCATTTCACTTATCAGTGGGACGTAATTGATGGAGGAAGACGGCTGCTTGAGCTTGTATGGAGTTTCTCCACCAGCTTCCAATATCATTGTCAAACCGGCAACCTTCTCGTTCCATTTTGCCAACTTGAGTTTTCCAGCATAGTCCACCTGACGGAGTTCTGCAAAGAGATCCACTTCAGGTCGCTTGGCAAATCGCTCCGCCTCGAGCTCTTTGGCGCTGGCTTGCAATGCGGCAAGGGCATCTCCAGGAGATTCAGCAGCTTGGTTCCCTCCGGCTACTCTGTTGCAGCGAAGACCAATTTGTGGAGGATTGGGCTGTGGTTGCTTCTCAAGCATGTCATCCAGGTCGGCTTCTTGTGCTTTCTTCAGTTTGCTGATAATCTCTTCGAGAGGATCCTTGGAACCCAAGGCTCGACAAAGTTCCGCAACGATTTCCAATGCAACATCTCGAATCTTCTTGTTGGCATGTGACAGCAGTTTTGGCATGCTTTGGGAAATAGCAGCTAGTGGCAAGCAAGCGGCACCAAACCCCTGAGCTGCCTTCAATATCAGATTACAGGACATTTGAACAATCTTGGGTTTTCGTGACGCAAATCCTTGATCCATGAGGACCCCAATGACGGCATTCAGTGAGTCGGCGCTGCTTCCAACTTCCATTATTTTGAGGACCAATGCTTCTGCTACTCGTGCACTTGCTGGTCTTGGACTTGTGAACCCAGTCCCTTTGATGAGAGAAGTTGTCATCTGCTCTGCTCGCTCTGCATCCATACCTCCTCGACAGTAGTCGGCATATGCGGTAGACATTTCCATGGCAGACTCCAGTGCATTAGCATTCTTCTCCATCAAACAAGTGGATGCTATCATATCGTCAAGCCCAGGATAAATTTGATTGGCATTCACCGCTCCCGTTGGTGCCTGTGATCCTCCTGAGTGAACAATAAGCTCCGAAAGCAAAACGTAAGACTTTTTCCGTACTTTCCAATCACTGCTTGAAAGTGCCGTCGGAAGGTCTTCTCTTGTAACAACGATTTCGTCTTGGTCTCCTCCAGCACTTGCGAAAGGAGTTGGAGGTGGATTTGGATCAAATGGAGTTCCGGACAAGGGTGGTGGCGGTTTGGCCACTGGTGCAGGAGCGGGCGCTGGAGCCTCAACAGGCGGCGTGGGCTCTTCTCCAAAGCGACTCGAACCGGTCTTTGCTGATACACCACGCAACAATGCGAGTAATTCTTCATCGTTGGCGTCGCCACCACGCTCGCCAGAAAAGGTAGACTCCTGTTTGAAGTTTCCGCCTCCCATGACTGGCGCAGGTTGTGGCGCTGGGACTGGAGCAGGTTGGCTCTTTGGAGGGGAGGGAGCAGGGGCACTTCTGATTACTGGTTTCGGTGGAGCGACTGGTGCCGGAGCTGGAGCAGCTTGTTCTTGAAAAGAACCTGTTCCTCCACCATCATCGTCAGCGAATCGGGCGGCACTGGAGCTCTTTGCGGATACACCCCGCAACAAGGCTAAAAGCTCTTCATCGTTGGCGTCACCTCCATTTTCTCCAGAGAATGTCGATTCCTGTTTGAAGTTGCCACCTCCCATGACCGGCGCTGGCGCTGGAGCCGGTGTTGGTTCGGCCTTTGGTGTAGTTGTAGGTTTCGCTTTGGCCTTACCTCGCTTCCACGGAGGGACTTCGTTCGGGTCTCGTCGGTTTCTGCTGAGGGTTGGCTTTGGCTTTGGTGCAGGAGCTGGTTCAGGAATAGCTTGTTCTTGGCCTGCACTACCATCATTATCATCATCGGCAGCAAATCGATCCGCACTGGCACTCTTGGCGGAGACTCCTCGTAGTAAAGCAAGCAACTCTTCATCATTTGCTTCACCACCATTTTCGCCATTAAAATTAGATTCTTGTTTGAAGTTTCCACCTGCCATGAATGGTGCTGGTTCGGGAGCTGGCGCCGGTTCATTTTCTTTTTGCGTGGCGGGCTTGGGCTTGTTTTTTTTTTGCTTCCATGGCGGAACTTCGTTGGGGTCACGTCGATTGCGAGGCGCTGGAGCCGGTGGAGGTGCAGCAACAAAAGCATCCGGTTCTGGGACGGCATCGTCATTGTCGTCGGCAAACCGATCCGCACTGGCACTCTTTGCCGAAACACCTCGAAGTAGCGCCAAGAGTTCCTCGTCGTTTGCCTCACCTCCATTCTCTCCATTGAAAGTTGACTCTTGTTTGAAGTTACCTCCTCCCATTGGCAGCATTGGCTCTGATGGTGGTGGCGTTGGTGGTGGTGTAGGTTCCGCCTTCGGTGGAGTTGCAGGTTTCGCCTTGGCCTTTCCACGCTTCCATGGAGGAACTTCGTTTGGATCCCGTCGGTTTCTGCTAGGGGCTGCTGGTTTTGGTTTTGGTGCTAGTGCTAGTGCAGGTGCCGGAGCAGATTGTTCTTCTTGAACGTTTTCGTTGTCATTCTCGCCATCATCCGCAAATCGATCCGCACTGGCACTCTTGGCCGAGACACCTCTCAATAGAGCCAATAACTCTTCATCGTTCGCTTCACCGCCATTTTCGCCATTAAAATTAGTTTCCTGCTTGAAATTTCCACCTCCCATGAATGGTTGTGGTGCTGCTGGTTGTGGAGCTGGTGCAGGTGCAGGTGCAGTAGCAGTAGCAGCTGGTTTGGCCTTTCCTTTCTTCCATGGTGGAACTTCATTGGGATCGCGTCGGTTTCGGGGTGGTGGCTTGACAGGAGGCTCTTCCACCACCAAGGCGGGCTCTTCTTCTTGTGGTTGTTGCTGCTGGTCATTGTCATCATCAGCAAAACGATCCGCACTCGCATTCTTGGCCGAAACGCCTCGAAGTAAGGCCAATAGTTCGGCATCCGTGGCATCACCACCATTTTCACCCTGAAAGGTGGACTCTTGTTTGAAGTTTCCTCCGCCGCCCATTGAGTTCATGATGGCCGTTGTTGGATTAATCAAATGTATGTATGTATGTACTGTCTAGCTACGTTATTGGCAACAGAAATATATGCAATACCCTTGGATCGATACAAAAATAGACACAGTATCGCAATCACAAATAGAAGGGCATTGATTTTTATAATATATTTTCAATTTCTATGTCGTCATGACAACGACGAACGATTTGATTCATGCATATTTGCAGAGCGTTCCGGACAATAGCAGGATTTCAAATCCCCTGCTTGACGGGCGTACTTGTCCAATCAGAATGCAGTATTGAAAACGATCACATAGTACTTACTTAGTGTGTTTATTGAATCGTGGTAATCACAGCTCAGAACAAATGAAAAATTGACGCATCATCCCATTTGACCTTTCCGTCACAAACGTGCGGTCCAGTCATCATCATTCAGTCTTCTGCTCTTGATGTACATGCGCTCTCTTGTTGAATGAACAAATCATGATAATACAAACCCAGCCGCTACAATAATATTCTAATACCATGAAACAATCAAAGCCATTGAATCGAAAGAGCAAACTTCCCGAGAGGAAACTCGATTCCTCCTGGCACATGGCGTCCATTTACAAGGAACCGAACGTCATTGTCCGTGGAGAGAGCAAGCGGAAAACCAGCCAAGATTCGACTAGCAAGAGCTCGGCGCATGAAGATTTGGAAGATCCACGAACGCTGTTTGACTTGCGAAACGAGGCCCACCGGTTATCTGTGCAACTGGCATCTCAAACGGAACTCTCGGCCATGGATTCTTCTACGTCTCCCTGCTGTGGTGGCCATACGACGAATGTTGGCGATGCTAGTAAAACCAGCCTTTCTTCTCTTCCAACCTCGGTGGCGTTGCGTGAAAACCACAAAGATATAAAGGGCAACAACAACGATGATGAGCAACGAAAGAAACAGTGGTGGCGGTGGTGCAAATCACCATTGTGTCTACGACTGGCGCAAGAACACGGAGGAGACTATTTTGGTAGGACCCTCCAAGCCATTCGGGTGGCCTTTGGATCGGCATTGATCTTTGGGACCTTAGTGGTACCAGAGGCTACCGCGCCATTGGGGGCGGCCTGGATTGGCCACATTTGGTACCACGTTAACATTAGCACCAGTCTCGGAGCTGCATTGCCCAAGGTGATTGCCTTTTCGAAGAGCATCGTGCTGGCCACCTTGGTGTCGTGGCCCGTGGCGTATGGATTGAGCTTTTTGGACTCGCATCAACAGTCGATTGTCTTTCCATTTGCCGTCTTGTTTTTGTCATTACTCATCATGACATGTCCCCAAATTACGACCAATTCGTTGATGCTGGTGGTCATGTACGTTATCGTGGCGTCACCCTTTGGAGGGTGGATTTGGTGGAAACCCATGGCATGGGCGGGATCCTATTTTATTTGTCTGGCCATTGCGGTACTGGTGAACATCTTTCCAATTCCCAATCTGGCTCTCAGCAAGTCTTGTCGCCAATTGAACCGATTTGAAAAGGACATGACCATGTTGTTATTGTCGACCAAGGACTACTCCAACAACAATGGCACCAACGTCAAGCGAGCGAGACAGGCTATTTCGACTATTGAATTCATGTCGACCCGTATTGCTGCAACCATTGCTTCCCTCAAGGAGGAATTGCCAGCGACCAAGGTGGAATTGCGCTTGTTGCGATGGAGAAGTGGTGCTCAGGCGGGTCGAGATTTGGAAGCTTGGGTTCAACAAGCCGAAAACCTACTACACCCACTCCAGCAACTGCGAGCTGCACTCATGCAAAAGGTACTCGGAGAAGACGGCAATTACTCCAGTCCTGCACTGGCTCAAGCCAAGGTGACTCTCAATACAGAAATTGCTCCTAGCCGAGACCGATTGGTCGATGCGATGGTGGTTTCGATTGCAGTCTGCCATGCTTGGGCTCACCCTTCTGAACATGGGACCATTTTACCAAATGTCAAGGCGGAACTACGGCAAGCGCTATTGGCTTGTGAACATTCCTTTCACGTGGCCATTTGCAAAGCTGCTCACAAAGTGGAAGGATCCTCGCACCGAGAACAAACCCCCTTCTTTGCACACTTGACGCGGCGAATGTCCTCCTTTCATTCCCTCTTTGCCTTGGCGGAAAGTCTTTTAAGATATTTAGAGGTTCATGATGTACCAAAGCAACTAGATGACGGCACAAGGGACGATATGGTGCAAGAACTACCCAAGCGCAAGTGCTGCAATCCAGTCCGACAAAAACTTGGCGCCTTCATGGCATTTTGGCTACAAAAATGGAAATGGCACAACGAAGACGACCGTCGCATGGCACTCAAGACTGGTCTAGGAATGGTGTTTGCATCCTTTTTTGTATCCATGCCTTACCTCAAAGAAATGGCTGCTCCCTATGGAACCTGGCCTGGAATTACCATCGCTTCGGTGAATTTGGCGACAACGGGGAGTTCCTTTCAAAAGGCAGCTGATCGTCTCATGGCGACCATGATTGCAGGTGCCTTTTCACTCATCGTGGGGGACTTTTTTCATAACAACGACGTCTTCAAGATTGTGACACTGGTCCTCTTCACCTTGGTTATGATCTATCTTCGGACTCCCGAACATGCCTACATGTACACCTACTCTTGTATCAGTGTCGCTATGATGCTGTTTGGTAGTGTCAAGACGGGATACAATATTGAGGGCTATGTTCCAAAACGAATCGAGATGATCTTTATTGGTGTCATCATCTTTGCCTTTACGGAGCTACTAGTTTTTCCTCGAAGCAGTCGAAAGATTGTACAATCGACCAGTCTCGACTTTTGCATGACCATGAGAGACTTTTTGCGTCAAGCAGTTCGTTGCTCGGAGAAACTGGAAGCACATGTTAACGAGTCGAAAGAATATCCTCAACATGGGACCAACAGCGTGATGAACGACTCCAAGGATCCATTCCACTCGCAGGTTCTTTTTGAAATCCATTCCAAGTTGAAGGCACAGGCGGACAAATTATCCAACGAGATTGATTCGGCTATTGCCGAGCCGTCTCTTGGCATGGGACAGAGACTCCAAGCAGACTCCTTCCGTCGACTTGTACGACAGCAACGAAGCTGTGAACGACAAGCTGCCTTGCTTTGCAACACACTCAGCAAACTGGCTCAGTACTATCTGCTAGGAGAGCATTCAATTCGTGACAGCTTTAGCAAATGGGCACATGTTCACCGAACCACCCTACTGGAAGCTTCCGCGATGATGGATTCCATATGTTGTTGGCTCGAATCTGTCTTTGCCGATGGTCGCATTCGTGCACAAGAAGGGAACTCGGTCAAGGCGGTCAATGCCGCGTCGACCTTTCGATCCTTGGAAGATGTTCGTCTGAAAATTGTGTCGGACTGGTCCAAGTCCTTTGACGACTTTGTGCAACACAATGGCTTTGAAGAATCCGAGCCGGAAGCTGTCATGACTCTTGGCATTACGACTACTACCATCTTGGAGTTATGTCGACACATGCAAGAGGCAGGGAAGAATATTGAAGAAATTGCCTATCATTTTCCCACCTTTCAATGAGTATCATTTGTAACAGTAATACAAAACGGTGTTGGTACACTTGACAAACATATTTTGCATCGTACACTGCATGTAGTTGTTAAAGATGTTGGAAACCTTTTGCGAATTTATTTCAAAATCATTTCCATGTAGTAGCAGAATCAAAAGTCCTTGTTTGGGGTTAGGGTTCCCTTTTCGAGTTTCACGTCCAATGTACCCTGTACACTTCACCTTCAAAATTCGGTCCAATGGGGGCGTTCGAAGCTGGTACAACTGGGATCTCAATGTTCGATTTTGTTTTGTACGGACGCAACAAATCTCGCTCTCGTCTCTTCCTCGACTTGTAAACCGTGCCATTTCTTATCGATCGCCACCGCCTTTCCCAAAACTCTTGAAAGCCTGAAAACCGCAAAGTGATTCTTGTCCAATGCCGTTGTGCCCGGAACTTATCCACTAGTAGGGTTCCTTCTCCAATTTCACGTCCACTGTACCCCGCACGCTTCAGCATAAGTACTCGGTCCAATGAGGTTATTTTCAGCTGATGCAACTGGAATCTTCTTGGTCGATTCTGATAAACCTCCACATTGCAAATTTCCTGGTCTTGGATCTCCCACCCAATCGTAAGTGGTATCCCACGAGACGATCCCGGGTTATCCCCCATACATATAGGATACTCTCTTACTTCCACCGTGGAGAAATGGACATGTCGTTGTTCTGAATGAGAGCACGAAGGATCAACTAACGCCTCTTGGAACTGGACTATTTCATCTGGTTCTGCCTCATCGTCTTTATCTTCACCTCCTGAAACTTCATCTTCTTCTATTCGAATTGGCGTGCTGGCGGTACCTTCACTACTCTCGTACGACCTACCGATACGCTCACTGAGGAATTCCTCTGTCGTTGCATTCGTCAGCTTGGAAGCGGTGCTGCTGCTTTCATCCAAGTTGTTTGCAGTATGATAACTATTGTATGTTCTATGGCTGCAGCCAAGAACATCCTTGCTAATGTTTGTTCGATGGCTGTTATCCAGTTCATTCTTACTATTCAAGTCATCCCCTCGCCGTCTCTGATTTTTGAATCTCATTGCCGATTCCTTCACCCGCCGCGATAGCAGTCGAAGTTTGTTGGATTGCACTTCAATCATGATTGAGGCGAGCAAGTGGGTTTATAGTTGCTTTCCGTTACTGGGTTGCTCGAAAGCTCATGAGCGCGGAGAAGGCACTTTCCATCGGAATTGTGTTCCTCATTGTCGCGAGTTCACGAGAAACGAGAATTAGCCGAAACAGCGACTGACGTGTATTTTGGGACAGTACAGTTCAGGCCGGGGATGCCCCCGAAATGGATATCGAACGCATATAAAATAAAAGTCATCAAATGTATTCAATATGGTACCGGTACCTGGTACTGTAGGTATAGATAGGTCGATTGATTCGATGCATACATTATGATAAAAAATACTCTCGTAGTGAGGGTTGAATTGCATTCGCAGAAGACTCAAATAAAGTTGGTATCTGGGACAGTGGCACATGGGGACCACCTAATCCAAATAAACATTCTTTCCCCCCGAAATAACGATCGAATCTTTCAATTTGGCTGGGGCACGGAATGTGGATCTTGCAGCCTCAAATGATGTAGATGGTGATTTGGACTTGTACTGGCGTAAGAACTCTCGCTCTTTCCGTTTTCTTGACTTGTGTATGGTGGCATTTGCTATTGATCGTTGCAGTCTTTCCAGGAATTCGTGAAGGCCCGAGAAATGTAATGTCCTTATGGTCCGTCTTCTTTGTTTTCGGAATTGATCGACTTGAGAGGTCCCTTCTCTAATTTCCTGTCCACTGTATCCCTGGCGCTTCAGCATCAAGACTCTGTCCACAGGAGCCATTCGAAACTGATGTAAGTTACAAGCTTTTGCCCGACACTGGAAAACGTCTACGTTGTAGATATTTTCCTCCATGGTCTCCCAACCAATTGTTATTGGTACCCCACCACGAGACGATCCTGGATTATCTCCCATGGAAATGGGAAATTCCCTTACTCGCACTGTAGAAAAATGGACATGTCGCCCCGACTGAGGGATCCTAGGCTCAACCAATGATTCTTGGGTACAAACCGTTCCATAAGGTTCTGCCACTAAAACTTCATCTTCTTCTATCCGAATTGGAGGACTGATGATGTCATCATTTCCTCCATTCTCGTTGTGCGATTTCCGCTCACTGCTCGTATCTAAAAAGTCCTGACTCGTTATCTTCGAAGCGGTGCTGCTGATTTCATCCAAGTTCACCGTGTGTCGACTGCTTCGATGGCTGTTGTCCAGTTCATCGATATCCTTTTCCATGTCCTCATCTATTCGATTTCTCCATATTCCCTTTATTCGAGAGAACAGAGGACGCTTATTGGATTGTACTTCACTCATTGTGATAAGCGGTGATTGTGCAATATGAGTGTACTGACTGTATTGTGTATTCGGTTTTGGTTTGTTCCAAATATGATGGCAACCGCAACTGACCAATGGTTAGGATTGCAATGTGGTGCATCACGAACCCCGATCGGAACAAAGGCGAAACGACACGAGCGAGCCACCATTTTCCCTAGTTAGAGCCTGAAAACTGAAGAATGTTGTGGCCATCGCGCTTGCTCTGGGTTCGTGTTTCGGGATTCTGGTTACCGCGGTATTCAATTATTTCTCAATCTTCACATTCACATACCGGTATCATACATGAATCTCAGAAAAACAACCATCCGACCATAACCAACCAACTGGACAACAGAGACGTATACAAAGGAAAATTAAAAACCAATGCTTGATCATAAAGTCGAAACTGACCAACACAAGGAAGATGCAAGGGCAATTATGGTAGATCTCCATCATAGTATCCGCGGAGACCAAGGTTGTAGTGAAAGCCAACAACATCGAACAAGCTTGGCGCAAGCTTTGGACAACTCGAGCAACTATTTCTTTGACATGAGCGATCGATGGAGGGATGCGTTTCTCGATTCTCTTCAAGATCCAATATATCCAGCATCAGAAGAAGTCGATCTATTACATGAGCTGCAAAAAGTCGATCTACTGCGAGGCATCCAGAACATGCTGTTGGGGGCAAGCTAGAGTGGCGAGAGAAACGAGAACCATCCAACTCAAATTAGAACCTTTCATCCAACGAAGCAAGAAGAAGAATAAGTGATCTATTTTACCTGTAGCATAGAATACCATTATAAGAGACCAAGCAATGAATGTGCACATCATTATCCCACGACCTTTCATCATACAACAGTGCTAGAAAAGGAAAAAAATGATCTCCTGCACCATAAAACACTACCATTAATCAGAGCCTTACCAATCGACGTACGAGTGTACTATAAAATCAATCGTTTCTTCAAATGATTCAAGACTAAGAAAAATGATCTAATTCAGGTATCGAATGAGCAATTGATGAATACTGGTATCACTGCAGACAAGTAGTTGTAGCACAAACTGTAATAAAATTTTAAGCATCATTTCAAAATGAAACTTAATCTACACATGAAGGACGGCTGCCACTCCTCAAACCAATTGTCAAAAATACAAAAACTTCAACAAGCAAGGGCTGCAGCCGCAGCAACCAATATCATTCGATATGGATGCATTTTTAAGCGTTGACATCCTCAACCTTGTCGGTCTCTGGAGTAGGGACAGCAAGAGTGTCCTTGGCTGGAACATCGTCTTCTCCTCCAAGCATGCGAGAACATCCTGGGATGCAAACGAAAAAGGAAAGGACAGAAGAAGCAATAATCGTGCTTCCCATGATCACAAAGGCATCCTTGTATTTCAATTCACGGAATCCCATTCCGAAAGCGACAGCTCCTGAGTTTCCTCCGGCTCCGATGATTCCAGAGATGGATCCAGTGGCTGGAGGGTCAACGTATGGGACAATTCCGTACGAGGATCCCTCGGCGGCTTGGACAAACAAGGAAAAGAACACCATGACGACAATGGCTCCCTCAAGAGAGGCAGTGTTGGCAAAGACCAGAACAAGACATCCTTCGACAAGAAGGAAGATGGTTTGGGCCCACAAGCGTCCACGCATTCCGAACTTGGCGTTGGCCTTATCAGAGGTGAATCCACCAAGACCACGGGCGAACAGGTTCATCCATCCGAAGATAGAGGCGATGGCGGCGGCTTCCTCGGTAGTCAGAGAAAACTTGTCCTTGAAGTAAAGGGCGGCGGCGTTGTTCATGGTCAACTCGACACCGAAGCAGCAAGCGTATTGGATGAAAAGGAACCAGGTGTTCAAGTTCAAGGCTCCAGAGCGGAAAGAAGAGGCAGCAGAAACATCGGCCATGGCTCCGTTCTTCTTCAAGTCAGTGAAGTTACCCTTGGGGGAGTCCTCAGAGAAGAAGTACATGCAAATACCGATTCCGAAAGCGACAACAGCTGGGACAATGCTGACCCATCTCCAGGCAAAGTCGGCTGGGTTGGGCTCGTCTTTGAAGAGTTCCTTGAAAAGAGGGAACAGAGCAGATCCCATGACCAATTGGGTGACACCTCCTCCAAGGTTTCCCCATCCACCGACAAGGGCGTTGGCGGTTCCGACAACGGACTTGGTGAACATTCTAGAAGTCCAGTATTGGCACATCACGAATGTACCTCCGGCGGATCCGATGAAAAGACGGAGGACGGCGAGGTTGGTAGCGTTGGTGACAAGTCCAGTACATGCGGTAGGGATGGAAGCGAAGCAAAGGACACAGGTGAAAAGAACGCGTGGTCCGACCTTGTCACATAGAGGACCGAGGAGGAAACGCATGAAGATGGTTCCACCAACACCGACAATGCTCGAGGTCCAGACCTCTTTCTTGCTAAGTCCAAGAGAAGTACGGATCTCAGAGAGAAGAGGGGCAATGGCGAACCAGATGAAAAAGGCGATGAAGAAACCCAACCACGAGAAGTGGAAGGCTCTCATGTGAGGGCGGGCGAAGCTGCAGAGCTTGATTTCAGTGGCTCTGTCATCTTGGTCAGGGTCGACGTTAAGGGCGTACGAGTCGTACTTCTTCCATTCGGTCTGAAACGGTAGATTTGTGAAATAGACGAGATGATGTCAAGAGTTTTCGACGTTAGAATTATTGAATTGAAATGTCAATGCAACAAGGATTCAAAGGAGTCCATGCATGGTAGACTTACGGGAGCACCGGTATCGATATCAGTTCCACTCATGTTTGATTATATGCTTTTGTATGAGATACGTTTACAAGAAGTTGCTATGAATTTGAATGGCAAGCAAAATTATGAGAGAAGTGTCAAGATGTCGAAACTTCGCATGCTCAATATTTCGACAGGAACACGTGTGGTAGCTCCGGCACTTTGATCCCACGTCTGGAGGTCCACACGCTGATGCCGAACATCGCACTTATGGTATACGAGGGAAACTACGTGGAAAATCTTCGATGGTCAAGCAGACTTTTAAGATTTGGTCCCGAGAGCCAGCCGTTGTTCTGTTCTGTTCTCTTTTTTCACAATTTTTCTGATGTTGATACACCAAAGTTCGGCTTTTGTTTTCTTCTTCTGATATAAAGTCAGAAGCAAACACGTCCGCCAATGAGGAAGCACCAGATTCTGAAAGTTTTATCTTTTCGTTTCTCGGCATCAATTTCCAAGACAATTTTACAGCACTCCGACTTATACCTCTACCATGGTTTGGTTTGGGCCTTGTCTGACGACAAAGCCGTACACGTACTGCCGGCACCGATACGGGTGCCTGCTAGATAAAGGTGAAGTGATATGGCTCAAATGGCTTGATGCTGTATCTGAATCTGATTTGGTTTGATGCTGTATCTGAATCTGATTTGGTTTGATGCTGAGGACTGAAATACTGTTTCCCGATAGCCTGGAGTTCTTGGGCCGATTTGATTCATTCATACTTCATGTAAAATTGAAAATTGAAAATCGATGCTGCATGCTTCGTCTCGAAGGAAAGTCTTTCATGAGCATCAACAACAATATCTAAGATATGGAAAACTCGAGAACCGATGCACATTTGAAAGATTTCTTCAAAGAACCATACTTCATCTTGAAACTGAAAATCTATGCTTCATTCAACTTCTCGAACGAAAATCTTTGTAATCAAAGTTCATTGACAACCTGAGAACTTCGGATCCAACAGGTAGGAAGAGCCCTAGACCAGAAGAATGTACGAGATGACCGATGTTTCTCTCGTCGACGAAGAGTCACATTATTTGGGCCATGTCATGATCTGTATGTACTGAGCATTGATTTCGCACATCTTCCAAAAGAGCGATACATACCTCTCTAGCCGTTCGTCTTCAAATCATCCACCAGAAAAAATGATTTGAACACGGTTCTGACCAATAGCTCGCTGTTCTCTGGTATTTCGACAACATTGCCTACAATAATACCCTGAAACCCAACTGCCATGCTGTACTTCTTGAAACGATCAATGAGTCTCAGGTCCGTCACTTTTCTGCTACCGTCGTCGTAGCTTCGAGTTCGTCGTAGCATCAGTTCCTAATATACCGATCCTGCGACTGCTGCTGAAAATGCATCGCATCAATTTGGAAAAAAAACTAGGGTACATCATGCGAAAGCTGAAGCTGCAGTTGGGCTGTCGAAAAGTATTTGATATTCTCACTGAGCGGTGGCTACAGTATGCTTCTCTATTTGGTGAGTTTCGTATTGCAAGGATTCAAAAATGCAGCTGTGATGCTCAAGTCTACAACAGAGTTATGTCTGCAAGTGTCCTGTACATCTTAGAATCGCATTTGAACCTTCAACAATTACTCCCAATTTAAGAAAAATGCTGTAATACCACGGAAAGACACTTTCATGCATGATTGTAGTATCCAGAGGCAATTCAGGGCATCAACCGAAGATCAACTGATATTTTCTAGCACACCAAATATTTGACAAATTGCTCCATTGCATCAGTTAGGAGGAGTACCGGTAGGAGGAATTGAAAAAAATAAATGTATAAAAGAAACTACAGCGCATGAATCAGAAAAGTTCTTTAATGTTAATCACTACTACAACATGCAAAGGCATTTCGTCGAACCCGTCATGTTAGCCAATGCCAAAATAACATGAGACGAAAGCCACTGAATTTTTTATGCAATATGGTCGGAGCCATATTCTTGATGTCTGTCCAAGGAACAGATATCAATTTAGGCATTGACATCATCGACCTTGTCGGTCTCTGGAGTAGGGACAGCAAGAGTGTCCTTGGCTGGAACATCGTCTTCTCCTCCAAGCATACGAGAGCATCCTGGGATGCAAACGAAAAAGGAAAGGATAGAAGAAGCAATAATCGTGCTTCCCATGATCACAAAGGCATCCTTGTATTCCAATTCACGGAATCCCATTCCGAAAGCGACAGCTCCTGAGTTTCCTCCGGCTCCGATGATTCCAGAGATGGATCCAGTGGCTGGAGGGTCAACGTATGGGACAATTCCGTACGAGGATCCCTCGGCGGCTTGGACAAACAAGGAAAAGAACACCATGACGACAATGGCTCCCTCAAGAGAGGCAGTGTTGGCAAAGACCAGAACAAGACATCCTTCGACAAGAAGGAAGATGGTTTGGGCCCACAAGCGTCCACGCATTCCGAACTTGGCGTTGGCCTTATCAGAGGTGAATCCACCAAGACCACGGGCGAACAGGTTCATCCATCCGAAGATAGAGGCGATGGCGGCGGCTTCCTCGGTAGTCAGAGAAAACTTGTCCTTGAAGTAAAGGGCGGCGGCGTTGTTCATGGTCAACTCGACACCGAAGCAGCAAGCGTATTGGATGAAAAGGAACCAGGTGTTCAAGTTCAAGGCTCCAGAGCGGAAAGAAGAGGCAGCAGAAACATCGGCCATGGCTCCGTTCTTCTTCAAGTCAGTGAAGTTACCCTTGGGGGAGTCCTCAGAGAAGAAGTACATGCAAATACCGATTCCGAAAGCGACAACAGCTGGGACAATGCTGACCCATCTCCAGGCAAAGTCGGCTGGGTTGGGCTCGTCTTTGAAGAGTTCCTTGAAAAGAGGGAACAGAGCAGATCCCATGACCAATTGGGTGACACCTCCTCCAAGGTTTCCCCATCCACCGACAAGGGCGTTGGCGGTTCCGACAACGGACTTGGTGAACATTCTAGAAGTCCAGTATTGGCACATCACGAATGTACCTCCGGCGGATCCGATGAAAAGACGGAGGACGGCGAGGTTGGTAGCGTTGGTGACAAGTCCAGTACATGCGGTAGGGATGGAAGCGAAGCAAAGGACACAGGTGAAAAGAACGCGTGGTCCGACCTTGTCACATAGAGGACCGAGGAGGAAACGCATGAAGATGGTTCCACCAACACCGACAATGCTCGAGGTCCAGACCTCTTTCTTGCTAAGTCCAAGAGAAGTACGGATCTCAGAGAGAAGAGGGGCAATGGCGAACCAGATGAAAAAGGCGATGAAGAAACCCAACCACGAGAAGTGGAAGGCTCTCATGTGAGGGCGGGCGAAGCTGCAGAGCTTGATTTCAGTGGCTCTGTCATCTTGGTCAGGGTCGACGTTAAGGGCGTACGAGTCGTACTTCTTCCATTCGGTCTGTGGACGTATCATTATGGGGAATAAATCCGTCGTTGTCGTAAAGAGATATTGTCGTTAGAATTTTTTTTTGTGAAAGCGACAAGGCGCTACTTCAGCTGATAAGTACAGCTGAAGTAACATGAAAGACTTACGGGAGCACCGGTATCGATATCAGTTCCACTCATGTTTGAATATATATTGCAAGAAATTGTGAGAGGATTGTGGATTGACAAAAATTGTCCAAAATTGAGGAATTGAACCTACTTCCGCATCGGAGAAAAGAGGTTTAGCAGATCAGAAGTTGTGTACCGGCGTATTTTATCTTTGACGTACCGGTATCGTCAGAAGAAAAGCTACGATACGAACACACGCGAATAGCAAAATGCGAAATTAGTGTCGAAGCTCGAAAAGTCTGGCACTTTTGAACAGCTGAATTCTTGATCAGAGGATCAGATTCAATTTTTACGTGCGTTTTTTTTATACGGTAAAAAATACGCAGCAACAGCTATTAGAAAATGAACCTACCCTATTATACCGGTACACAGTATTCATCGCGTCTGCAAGTCGTCAACTGCAAACTACTGCCGAACATTTTAATTTTTGCCATCGATCTTTGGCCGTCAAGTCTGCCGAAGTCAGCTGATGAAGTCAAGGTGCGAAGTTTCTGTTGCCTCGAGGTGTAGCAGGAGCGAAGATACGCACCGCCTTGAATGTTGCAGCTATGAATCTTATTGCTTGAAATGAGCTGGATGATGTGTTCCAAAGGTTGTACATCTTTGACAGTTTTTGCAGCCGAGACGTGCATTGGTAGCCGAATGTCAACGCAGAAAACTGCAAACGATTTCAGTTTGATCATGGTTCTGAACGTAAACCGTCATTAGCCACGGAATATTTCAGAAGTGGCGCTACTAACAAACTGCGATCTAAGACTGATGCTAAGGAAATTTGAAAGAAGACATGGACAATGGAGTGAAAAAGACTGAGGACTTGCAGTACACCAGTGACACGATAGAAATGTTGGAAAGTGTTTGGTCATGAATCTATTCAACTCTGCCTGCAATGCAAAGCGAAAGGGGTGTGGAAAGAATACAAGTCGCAGCGGGAAGTGTCTTACCACAGGTGAAAATGAACAATGCTGCTCCCTCTTACTTTACGGATGTACTGGAATTGTGAATCGACAGTTGTTTGCTACCGCTCCAAGACGACGCCAGGCCTCCAAATTGTGCCTCTCTTGATGATCAGAACGAAGCCACAAGGTGTAATGCTCTTCCCCAAGACTCGGTCTGTAACTGTTGCAGCAACGCATGCTCTTCACATAGCGCTATGTTCAGTTCCTAACCTGAAGGACGACCAGCTGCTTGTTCGCCAGCAATGCTGCCATCTCAGGCTCCATCAAAGCCTACAACCCAACTTTGCTCCCATCGAGTGCTCCATCGACGCAAATAATGCCTACAACGCCCGCTCCATCTATGCCCAAGATCAACTAGTCTACAACCGTGTCAATGAATGATGGGATTCTATTCGAAAATAAGCCATGTGAACACTTATCGTCACTTTCGCATTTCCTGTCCGATTTGGAAGCATCTCCTGTCCGATTTGGAAGCATCTCTTGTCGACCGACCAACTGAATAGTGATGGACGAGAATGCTGGGAATTGTATACAACCGGAAGTTGGAGAAGCGAAAATGACATGAAGGACGACGGCGACGACAGCCTGATGGACGCAATCCGAGAACTCGCTCGAGATATTCTTGTTTCTGAATTTACATTTTTTTCTGAAGGAACTCAAAAGATGCAACATCCTTTGGACATTGGACGGGTTGGGATTGTCCAATTGCTGGAGGAGCGAGTCAAGAATTTAGCTCAGAAATATCCATCGCGAAGGCTCATTAAAAAAAGATATCTTGGTAGCCTTCAGCCCCAAAGACAATCATCATCATGCCTAAAAAGCGTGGGGTCTGATAAAGTTGTTTCAATTTAGATTCAAAGACTTGGGATGATATTCAAAAACAAGTACTTACTGTAGCGATTTTTTTTAGAATATATATAAAAAATTGCGAAAATGCCAAGTAGAGACGCGGCTGGCTTCACAAGAACTCAACAACATACAGTATTGAGCAGTTTCCGACTTCCTCGATCAACAGTGTTACTTAGGAACCGGCTCGCGTTGACTGAAACTAAACACATTTTCAACAGTCGCGATTGAGAATCGCCAAACCGGTGAAAATGCCCAACTGATCCCGTCAAATGACATCTCCAACAAAGTTTGTGTGAGAAAGGGAGTGCCACAGACCTATTGACTTTCATTTTCATTCCACATTACCAGCACTAGTCATAATGAAGTTGTTTCGAAAGAAGAGCTCGCCGAAAGAAGGCAGCAAGCAAAGACGTAGTTCTGGTTACTTTGATGGCCGACGTCGACGATCAAGTGCGAGCAAAGGGGAAGAAAAGCATCATCTACTGGAGACTTCGGCAATTGAAAGAGAATCCGAGGTTTCGAAACATTCAACGTCTCCCTCGAGCATGCGCTCTCATCCTCAAGGTGATAGATATACAGCCAGTGTTCCTGAGATTGATTCGATTGTGAACTGTGTTATCAATGTTGACAGGATGAAAAATGAAGAGAAATGCAAAGCAACAAAATCTTCAGAATCTGTCGACTCTGCTCATGAAAGCGCGCAAAGAGTTATGACAGAACATGCCACAGAGACAATAAAAATTGGACCCCCTAAGGTTTCCTTTGCTTCGGACGAGTTGGAGACTCGTGAGGATCCACCTGGCGATCAGAACTACCAATATGGAGTGAGCCACGGGGATTCTGCGGACAATACAGATATAATCTTAAAAGAAGTCTCGGAACAAGCTGCTCCTCCTCCTCGCAAGACTGCGAAAAAAAGCAAGATCATCAACTTTCTACTAAAAGGCAGTCCACTACACAAGAACACTCCATCTAAAGACAAGAAAACAGATTCACTCAATACGACGATTGAAACATCACGTTCCTCTGATTCGGATGATCCAGCTGCCCTGTCAAGCAGCAGTCAACGGCTCGAGTCTAGAGACTCCGGGGATTCGCCGAAGGAGGGAAGAACTGGTGAATCAACAGAGAAGAAAACTCCAGTTCGAACAGGGCCTGTGGAGATAACAAATGTTAATCTATCGAGATTGATAAAGCACAAGAATGCTCCAAAGAAAGAGCCAGAAACACCCATACTGAAACCTTTGAAAGCCAACAGATCTCGCCCGCGTACCATGTCCATGTCAAAACGAAACGAAGAACAATTTCAAAGATACATTCAGCGCCAGAATCGCGGTAGAAAGGTCCGAGAGAGTCAGTTTGTGCCAAGCTTCCATTGAGCACGCACAATTCCAACAACGAGACTGGGGTAGCGCATGTTGTTGAAGACAAGGGAACGTGATCTTTCGCGTAGGGGAATCGTTTCATTGGGAGTTTGATTTGCTTATTGATTAGCACAATACGAAACGCTACAATCGTGTGTAGCATAGGTAGTCCATATATGAGTCTTATTGATCAAAGTTTTGGACACTACTAGGGGAAGCATGCTGGGCATTGTCTCGGTTTCAAAATTCGACAATCGCGAATATCAATTATCTAAATGCCTCATTTTCCTCATTGTAAGTGATATCATCTTTAGTTCATTGTAGCAACAGTGTGAATCTACCACAATCGTGAATATCATTACACCTCAACGTCTCGGTGTGTTCCTCATTCTAAATGACATCTCTAGTTATGCTACCAAGATTGTAAATCCATCACATTTAGTTGCTGTGATGAACTGCCAAAATACAAAGTGCATACAGTTGCAGCAGGTGCCCATTATGTTATCTTGGAACCTCGACCGACTCAGAGTGTAGCAACTCGGTCGCAGCTGCGATACCACTGAGATATGCACCCTCTATTCTCCCCGATAACTTCCCAAAATAGTCGCCACACGAGATAAAGCTTCTCGATGGATATGTCTGGACTTCTCTGTTTGAATAGTGCTCCCCAGCAATTGGAAATGCTGCACCCCAACGATGTCCAAAGGATGCTACAACTTTTGGGACTTCCATACTATCACTGCTACTTCTCTCCTTCAGAAACTTGATAAAATCAGAGACAAGAACCTCTCGGGCGCGTTCTCGGATTGCGTCTAGGTCGTCGTCGTCGTCGTCATTAATTTCATTCAAGATCGCTTCTGCTGCTTCTGGGTATGTCTGTAGCACCCAGCATTCCCGATCATCATTTTCGCCTTTTCTGCCCGGCTTGGAAGAATCTCTTGCCGCCCAACCCAATGATAGTGGTGATGATTTGTCATATGGCTTATTATCGAATAGAATCCCATTCATTGACAACGTCGTAATTGGTCGATCAAAAACGACCATGGCAGCAAGGGCTCGGACAGATTGAATTTTGGAGACATCGTGTCGGTGCTGATCAAGAGAGGCGTTTGAGAAGTCGTCTCGAAACGGAGCCGCACTTATTCTATCTGTCGCTATCAGCCAATCGAAGCACCCCAAAAAAATTTCGTTTTCACCTGTCGAAAACAATTCCCATTGTGATTTGTCATCTTTCCAAACTGCTTTCGCTCTGCATTGCAGATAAAGTTGAATGGACTTATGGTCAAGCAGATTCTCACAAATCGTATTCATTGATGGGCATCCTACCCATCGTTCCTTCTTCGCATCATCAGACTTCAGAATCCCGTCAACATCAACTGTGCAGAAATCACCTTCCCATGACTCTATCCAACCGCTCTTTTCCCACGCAGACAGGGTAGTTCTGAATTCCTCTGTCTTTGACGATGATATATATTGGGCCCCATGATCAAACTGAAAGCCCTCTTCAGTTTTCCGTGTTGACATACGACCACCAACGCCACGTCCTGCCTCAAAAATTGTCACAGATGCACCATTTTCAGCCAGTTTTTGGGCACATGCAGCTCCTGTCATTCCAGATCCCAAGACTGCAACATTCAAGGCGGTGCATCCTACTGTCCTTCCTGCTAGCGCAATACAACATGATATTAAGACCTTGGCCGTCACATTAGCTGTCATACTACTACCGGTAAGTCGCTTCCAAGCAGAAGGCTTGACGGTAAGGAGAGAGTTCTCGGCAGTTCCAAGTTCGTGACCACCACAGAAGGCAGAACTGGAAAAGTGCCGGAGTTTGAGCTTTTCTAAATTCCAGCTTCACCAAGAAGTTCAACGTAGTTTGTTCGTCTGTGCGATACTTGGACCAACACACTTTACTGTGTTTTAACGCGCTCAATTTAAAACCGTCTGTTTCATCATCCGTATGCGCGGTCAAAATTCTTCTGGAGCCTGTCGCTCTCAAGCTAATTCCACATTCACGAAAAATGTGGTAATTCTATAGCGCTGTTTCAATATGTTGCCTTCGCATTGTTTATTGTGCGCGAGCATCTGGATTGGATTCTGCTCAACGAAACTCTTTTCTCCGGAGCGGAAGCGGTGTGAGAGTCGACACAAACCGGCAAGAGTGAAGATTTCTACCGATCTAACTCCTCTCATAATTTTTACTTGACATACAGGTTCATCGCAACTTCTTGCAACATATATATATTCAAACATGAGCGGAACTGATATCGATACCGGTGCTCCCGTAAGTCTATCATACATCGACTGTGCATCCCTTCTGTCGCTTTGATACTTCAATTGAATAATTCTAACGACGGATTTATTCCCCATAATGATACGTCCACAGACCGAATGGAAGAAGTACGACTCGTACGCCCTTAACGTCGACCCTGACCAAGATGACAGAGCCACTGAAATCAAGCTTTGCAGCTTCGCCCGCCCTCACATGAGAGCCTTCCACTTCTCGTGGTTGGGTTTCTTCATCGCCTTTTTCATCTGGTTCGCCATTGCCCCTCTTCTCTCTGAGATCCGTACTTCTCTTGGACTTAGCAAGAAAGAGGTCTGGACCTCGAGCATTGTCGGTGTTGGTGGAACCATCTTCATGCGTTTCCTCCTCGGTCCTCTATGTGACAAGGTCGGACCACGCGTTCTTTTCACCTGTGTCCTTTGCTTCGCTTCCATCCCTACCGCATGTACTGGACTTGTCACCAACGCTACCAACCTCGCCGTCCTCCGTCTTTTCATCGGATCCGCCGGAGGTACATTCGTGATGTGCCAATACTGGACTTCTAGAATGTTCACCAAGTCCGTTGTCGGAACCGCCAACGCCCTTGTCGGTGGATGGGGAAACCTTGGAGGAGGTGTCACCCAATTGGTCATGGGATCTGCTCTGTTCCCTCTTTTCAAGGAACTCTTCAAAGACGAGCCCAACCCAGCCGACTTTGCCTGGAGATGGGTCAGCATTGTCCCAGCTGTTGTCGCTTTCGGAATCGGTATTTGCATGTACTTCTTCTCTGAGGACTCCCCCAAGGGTAACTTCACTGACTTGAAGAAGAACGGAGCCATGGCCGATGTTTCTGCTGCCTCTTCTTTCCGCTCTGGAGCCTTGAACTTGAACACCTGGTTCCTTTTCATCCAATACGCTTGCTGCTTCGGTGTCGAGTTGACCATGAACAACGCCGCCGCCCTTTACTTCAAGGACAAGTTTTCTCTGACTACCGAGGAAGCCGCCGCCATCGCCTCTATCTTCGGATGGATGAACCTGTTCGCCCGTGGTCTTGGTGGATTCACCTCTGATAAGGCCAACGCCAAGTTCGGAATGCGTGGACGCTTGTGGGCCCAAACCATCTTCCTTCTTGTCGAAGGATGTCTTGTTCTGGTCTTTGCCAACACTGCCTCTCTTGAGGGAGCCATTGTCGTCATGGTGTTCTTTTCCTTGTTTGTCCAAGCCGCCGAGGGATCCTCGTACGGAATTGTCCCATACGTTGACCCTCCAGCCACTGGATCCATCTCTGGAATCATCGGAGCCGGAGGAAACTCAGGAGCTGTCGCTTTCGGAATGGGATTCCGTGAATTGAAATACAAGGATGCCTTTGTGATCATGGGAAGCACGATTATTGCTTCTTCTGTCCTTTCCTTTTTCGTTTGCATCCCAGGATGCTCTCGTATGCTTGGAGGAGAAGACGATGTTCCAGCCAAGGACACTCTTGCTGTCCCTACTCCAGAGACCGACAAGGTTGAGGATGTCAACGCTTAAATGGATCGATACTATACTGAATAATATTGATTGCCATTCTTGACGGAATTGTTGAATGGCCGCTTCTCTCTATGTGTATATACATTTTTTAACATTCATTTTGAAATGATGAATTAGATTTTGATTACTATTTGACTCTTGATTTCTTTATTTCTCTCTTGATCTGGTGCTGATGGAAATGTAATCTCACTATCTTCACTGCCGTTGTAAAATGCTCGTGTTGGAGGAGTAATTTGAAATCACTGCTTGACCAGTTCGACTTCAATCTGCCGCCAGTCGGTACCTTACTATTGTAGAATCAAAGAGTTGGTTGCGAGGGCAGCATCGTAGCCGGACATTGGATATATTCAATATTAAAAGAGTGTTCTGCAGTAATCATTTATTTCCTTAATACCAATGAATCATTAGCATCATGCTTTACGCATTAGAAACAGTCGTCCATATCAGGTCTGTTGTTCTTTCCATTGATGAATGATGATCAAACTACTTCCAAACTACTACTTTACTACTGTAATAGGACAGATGAAAATATACCAATGCTGTAGGACAATGTTATGTATATAAATAAATCGTTTGGGTATTTAGCTTGATTCTTGTCTTGTGCGTGCTCCTTTTTTTCTGTTTGTATTGTACATGTACTATTACTACATGAAAATGAATATATGTATTTGTGTGTGGTGGGGATATATGTGAGACAAAGCTCAGATATTCAAAAAGGCGAGATTCTGTTCCATTCCAATCAGAATATCGTTGGACATGTCGTCCTCCTCTAGAAAGTCGTCCGTGCCAATGGAGGGAATGGTGGATTCCGTGGCGATTCGAGTCCTCGAGGCAAAAATGGAATCGGTCCAATGACTATCACTATCGGCATCGCTCAGCTTCTCACCGACCCAAACATCCAAATCCTGTCCCGCCTCAAAAGGTTCCCGGAATTCCGAAGAGAATTCATTTTCCAACGAGGGCAATCGGGAACGGTTCGACTTGGGGGATCGGGGACTCCGCATAAAGTTGCGAAACCAAGGGGACGACCCAGTGGTAGCTTCGGATTCTTGTTGTTCTGCGTTGTCAATATCAATATCAATACCAACATCAACATCATCATCCTCTCGTGCAGGCATTTTCTTGTCCATGACTTCTTGCAACCAGTCTTCATCATTCTCAGCATAGGTGGATTCAGTAGGCTCTTGAGTAGTAGTGGTTGTTGTTGATTCCATGGAAGAAGCAGCCATTTTGGAAGCCGTAGGACTCTTGGCGCGGCGAATCTTGCTAAACCAAGACGAGGATCGATCATTCGAAGAAGCAGATGATTCGAGCATGGACGGTGCTTGCTCTGATGCCAGTTCCAATGGCTCGACCAAATTCCGTTCCACGGGCAAGTTGGTCTTACCACCCTGATGTTTCAATCGTGCCAATTCTCGCGCCGCATGCGATCGACTGTAATCCAAATCATTGTTAACGTCCACAATGTCTGCCTGTTGACTGGGTGACTTGCTGCGCCGAAAGGCAAACCACGACTTTTCTCGTCCCCTCAAGTCGTCTTCCTCTTGCTGTTTGGTGGTGTTGCCATACTGCAATTCCTCCACCAAATCGTCTTCGGGTTCTTCGCACACCGCCGACATGCGTCGCTCCAGCTTTTCAAATTGTGGTGACGATGGCGAACTCTTTTTGGATCCAAAGCGAAACCAAGAAGACGAATTCGATTCGGGTCGCTCTTGTGGCGGTTCCTCTTGTTGCCACGAGGCCACCGATGCCGTATCCACTGACAAATGGGACGAACTGTCCAAGATGGAAGACGAATAGTCTGCTGCGGAATCAATGAAAGAACCGTCGTACGAAACACTGGACCCACGTTCAAAAGCCTCATCGCCAGTGTGATGTGAATTGTAGGAGGAGAGTGCCTGCATGGCTCTGGAAGAAAGAGCCGGTGTTGACTGTGGCTGGGATGAGACTGGGACATTGGCTCGGACAAACCAAGAAGAATTGTTGTTCTGCATGGAATGCTGGTGATGTGGAGCCATCATGCTGGGATGTTGGTTGGAATGATTGCTGAACTCGTACCCGTGTTGATGTTGCATCATCATGTGTGGACTGTTGCCATGATCCGTGTGATGGTATGGATGATGGTTAGCATGTTCCTGATGATAATGATATCCCCGAGAGGGAGGAGTTTGTTGCTGCTGCTGCTGCTGCTGTTGTTGTTGCATCAAGAGCTTTTGGCGTTCTTGCGCTTGTTGGATGAGATCCTCTTCCCACTCCTTGCGGTGTGTCTTGTACAAGTCCAGAGCCGCGCAACACGATTGGAGTAAAAAGTCACTCTTGTCCGAAGTGGGCAATTCCTTGTGCAACAAGACTTCGCCCAATTCCCGCAAATCGGCATCTCCAAAAAAAGAGGAAGTGTCTCTCACATCCGTAATGGGATGGGTCAACCCCAAGGCCGTCAGCTTTTCGTTCAAGTGGTGTCCAATCAAAATCTTTCCCACCAAAATCTTTTCCACATCTTGTCTTACTTGCGCAAAACTCTTGGCCTTGACATTGGTAATGGATTTGCGAATGTCATGGGCGGTCACCCCCGAGTCCAAAAAGTCAATCACGGGAACGGGGACATGCACAAAGGTATCCAACACCATCTCGAGGTCCCAATTGACAATCGTGACCCGGGCCACGACCGGACCACTGGCCGTGGCCACCATGGCGCAAGTCATGCAAAAATACAAGTCTCGCTTTTTCATGGGAGCGTCGTGCTGCTTTTTGCTATTATTGCTGCTATTGTTATTAGAGACGTTTTTGGGGTGTGGCTGCTGGCCTTTGGATTTTCCCTTGCGCCTTCGTCCTCTCGATCGCTTCTTTTTGCCCTTGACTTCCGAGCCATTAGGATCTTGCCTGTCTTGCTCCTCCTTTTTTGTAGAGGGCCCGGGACCATCGTTGCTGGCTACCTTTCCTCGAAACTGTATATTGACAAGACGAGAATATTGTGAGAAAGGAAATAAAGTCGGAGGCAATGGAGCAAGAAAAAGGCCTTACCATGATTGGATTCAATTTTGATCGCTTTCTGCTTTCTAGATTGATTGATTGATTGATTGATTGATTGATTGATTGATTTTAAACAATTCTTCTCGTTGCTGTAGAATGTTGAATAGTGTTTTTCTTTTCAAAAGTATATTAAGAACGTATTACCACAACAACAATAACAACAACAAAAACTCAACACAAAAACACAGAAAGAGAATGGATTGTAGCAATAATTTGTCAATATTTCCCTGGTTTGCTCCACCAAACCACTTGGCTCGTGGACTTCGGGAGAACCTTTCCCGCAGCGAGGCACGCGCAGGCCCAACCTGAAAAAAATTTAGCAGCACAAGTACAATACTGGTACCAATCCACCCGTTGATATTTAGGTTTTGTTACCACGTACTTGGAAAAGAATTTCGCAAAAGACATTCGACTGGAATGACATTTAACGAAAATTAGGCACTACGCTATCTTTTACGGAAGATTGACCTATTGGGTTTGATATTGGGCCTCATTCGTTGACGGCCAGCGTGATTCAAATTCGTTGTTGGCAGCAGAACCTCGGCGCAATCCGAACTCAATGCGAATTGGAATTATTGGCGGCCACGCTTATTTCTGAGACAGATGGTCAGTTGAATTATTTTGCGGAAGGAAGGAATCATTGTTTTCAACCGCAATCGAGAAAATGTCAACTCCTTCAACGCAGATTGGAGATCTTGATCTCCCCCAACGGATGACAAAAAGTTCGATGCGAATGCTTTTTTAGCTTACACCGAAAGAGCTGGAATGGATTGCCTCCAATGCTACTGTACCGTAGCTCACTTGATGACGGACGAGACGCTTGCAGTCATGGCGAATGGTTTTTTGGATGATTGATATGCATCATGGCGCGTCCCCTTTCAATCACGGTCGATCCGAGTAGGAACCTACTGTAGATAATGTTAGTGTAGGAGAACGATTTGACAAATCAATCGAGCAGGATGATGCTACGTACTGCTAACTGCAAAGGACCTTGACAGAATCAATCTACTACTGTAAGTAGGCCTTTAGATCTATGTTGCAGTTCGTCGATTGCTTATTGATGATGATTCATTCTTCGCGCAGATTCTTTTTCCAACGTCTACTATCATTATCTTGCTGGCCAACAATCAACTTTGGATTCCTTCATTCCTTCATCATGAGAGAGAGCGGGAGAGAGAGAGAGCAGCCCCAAAACACACCCCAACAATCAATTTCATAATCTAAAAAGAAAGAACCGAATGCAGCCATTTGAATTGTGCAGGACTGCAGTAGTTATCTAGTTTTCAAGAACTACAGGAGGGATTGTTGGGGACAATTTGTGGGGTACCATTACTGCTTTCGGTAAAGCGATGGGCGGGCCAGCAGATGATGTGGATGATTTCATTCGATCTATGTGTTGAGGAAGCAAGGATAGAGTGGCGATACCAACTTCTCCTCACGTGTTTGCTTTTTGTTCAGCTCGGCAGTGAAAGTAAACTTCAACATCAAGTTATATATATGTATTCACATGTTTTCTTCTTCTAATTCTATTCAAAATTCTACCCCATTCATTCATGTTTTAAAACTTGGACAACTAGCACTCGTATTCGGATAGTTGATTCCATTCAAAGTTCCCCCGGAACGGTCTTCCACCCTTTGGATAATAGGTCCCCGGACCATGAAAGCAGGAATTCTCCATGTTTCCCAAATACAAATCCCCATTGTCAAATCGTACCACACACCCCACCAACTGCTCGTCCACCTCTGGCTTTGGGCCGCTGTAATACCCCCAATTTCCATTCACTTGTATCCGCAAATGTCGAATCTTTTCCGGTATTTTAGCGGGTGCTCCTCTCTTGAAAGCTTGTTTGACTTGCAGCGAATGACTCATTTGCAAGACGGCCGTGGTAGAAGACACCTGTTCGGTCTTGAGAGGATCGTTGGGATCCACGGCAAAGGCTTTGCGGCTGGGCGCCAGTGCCATGTCGGCCGCCTTGATCAAGTCTCCTTCGTGCGGCCCCGCCTGTTCTTCTAATATGAACGGCAACGGCAAGTCTTCTAGCGAATCGTCGTCCTCTCCCCAATTCATGCTGGCGCGGGATTCCATACCCATTACCAGTAAATCTTGAATGACATCCTTCAAATGATCAATTTCCTTGCGTTGGTCCACCAACTTTTGATCCCGACACACGCACGAAGCGCATTTTCGTTTCGGTGACAAGCCATTTTGCTGTTTGTTGCCATTGTTCAGCTTGACTCTGATCTTGGGAGGGTCTCTCACTTTGATTTGGGGCGGTGGCAGTGGTTGATCTCCTCGTTGGGATTGCGACAATTGAGAAGAGGCGGAGAAATGTGAAATGGTGGATGCCACACTCTGATTGGAAGAAAGAGGAGGAGTATTCCCAGCATCGGGAGAGTGGCTGTTGCTGTTGGAACCCATGACAATGGTTCCAGCCGCGGTCATTCGCAAGGCTTTGCCAAAATTGCGAAAGGGAGACGCGGGCGGAGGTGCCGGTGGAGACGCTGCCGCTTGCATCTTGGGTGAAACGGCCGGGCTTTCGCTCTTCTTGGGTGATTGGCTTTCTTTTCTGGATGGCGTCACGGAACCTTGTCTCGATGATGACGGTGCTTCTTCTGGTATTTGTGCTCTGGTGGGTACCAGCATGATGGGTGAATCGCCAAACAGTTGCCTCCTCGTGGAGGATATGGATTGATCATCACCACCACCTTTCTGTGACGAGGCTTCAGTATTAGTATTTTCAGGAGTCTGTAGAAAGGGCTTTTTGGAAAACAGATTGGAGAAGCCACCCGAAAAGGCATTGGACATGTTAAAGTTCGGCATTCTTTGGTTCATGAACATGCCTCGATTCATGGGATTTGTGGAAGAGTACATTAAGGGTTGGCCTGGCAATGGGTCTGAAGCTGCAGTAACGCCAGACTCTCGCCTGTGATATTGCGTCTTTGGTGGCGGCAGGACACTAGTTGTCGTTTCGCCAGCGGTTGTCGACGTCGATGAGGAGGGAGTTTGTTTCAGCTCATCGATATTGGTGGTTTCCCCAAGACCCTGAGACGGAAATAACAATCCATTGTTCATTGCTGATAACTCACTCCTCGTCGTCTTGGGTTTCATCTTGGCTGTCATCTGTGACAGATATTCTGGATATATGAACGGCGCCTTGCGGACTTGTTGTTGCGAAGAGTTCATATTGGAAGTAGTCTGAGTTTGAAATGGAAGAAGAATCGTGGAAACAGGGGTCTAATACCGTTTTCTGAAACTGTTCGGTGGTGGTGTAAAATAAGTCCTATTGCACATGCAAACTAGATGTTCGGGTATAAGATAGTATATCTTCTTGTCCTTCCTGTATTGTAACCGTTGCTTTGAGTTATTCGTTCTTTTCTCCTTCTTGTCCTTCTCGGTTTTGGGTGATTACTCTGCCTTCGTTCTACGCAGTATTTTGACCCGAAGTGGGAGTCTCGACCTCTCTGATGATTCGTCAATCTAACGGCTTGGAAGGTTCTATACTGTATGTTGTGCACTCAAGTCCCTCGTAACTTTAACCTTCCATAGTTTCTACGGAGTTTTACATAACACTAATTCGTTGCCTGTTGGGCTATTTTATTCTTTGAACACTTTTTTAATTAGACAAACAAGATCGCGAGCCTCCTTGGGCCTAATCAAAGCGCGCCAAATTCGGCTTTTGGCCACCTCTAACGGAAACCACGACCTCACGTGTTTCGCATCTCACAATATAAAAAAGTGGAAGTACTACCACCACGGTACATGTGTAGCAATATAGAGAAGGATGATAACGTCTTCATCTACTCAGATGACAGTACACAGATAGGCTGAATAGATATACATAACTACATATTCAGTCTGAACCATATGCATACATTGCCCAAAATTCGGTTCCCCACTTGACAACAAACAATAATACCGGTACATTCATCCATTTCAAACCACAAGAAGCCCAAGGCCGATAACAGACGCTAGCAAGATCGTCATTGTGGTATGCCCATGAGCAGCACTATCCGCACCTGTGGGGGTGGGAGCCTCTTCTGGAACGGTGGGTGCGACCACCGGTGCTATGGTTGGCTCGTCCGTGGTGGGGCTTTCGGAATCCGCAATGCTGGGACTCATGGTGGGAGATTCCGTCACTCCAATGACCGAACAAATTTCAGAATCGTTGTCAATCGTACACACCAAATTGTTGGACGTGTCAACTTCGGCGGCAAACTCACACAACAAGGCTTCTTCTTGTTCTGTCGAAAAGATATTGCTGGCGTTGGTGGATGCTCCAATCGATATAACGGGAGCCACGGACCAGCGATTGTTCAAAAAGCAAACGTCGGTCATATTCAAGCCACCTACCGAGTTGACTGCGAATCCAACCTGTTAAAGTAATAATAATGATAATGAAATGTGTATCAGCAGGCAGAAGCAACCAATCATTCACAAGTATTCAAGCCACAAATCTATCTTACCGAATTTCCCTCGATTGCTGCACTGTTTTCACGGAAAATGACATTTTTCAACACCAAGGTGGCAGCAGGGTTGTTCATAGCGACGAGTCCAGGTTGGTTTCCGGCGACGACCACTGCGTTGTTCTATGGCGGAGTCGTGGAAAAAAATGAATACGATTAGGCGAATGAATGAGGCTTCATCATAACAACCATTCGTTCAATCTTACTTACCTCGAAAAGAACATCTTCTAACGTGTAGGTAATGGGTAGAATACTGTCTGGGTCGTCTGCAATGTTCCATACAAATATGTTGTAGTTATTCTGTTGTTCGTGATCAGTGAAGAAAAGAAAGCAAAGCAGTGTTAGCAGTCAGCATAACAACTCATCCACGACACACAATTTTATTAAACTCACGAGGAATGCACAGTCCTTAAAAGTCAAGTCCTGTGTTGCTGCAAAACCACCGGCAAAGGTAAACGTGTTGGCTTGATTGAACGTAATTCCTTGCACCAGGTTACTTCCAGGTTCGCCACCGTTTGTAGCTTGAAGCTGGAAGGTTCCTCCCGTCAAAGTACAATCGGTGGAAGCAATTCCATCGTCACCGCAGATAATCTCCACGTTTGGTGTCAAGAATATTCCCCGCTCGCCACCAAACCCTGTCATTGAGTCATTGGAACAAGGATGTGTCAGTATCCCCGCACCTCATCACCGCAATACCGGTATGATTCGTCCCGCGTTATTTTTTCACTTACACGGTTGAGCCCCGTCGTTCGAGACTGGATCCCCTACAATATATTCTCCCGGACACAAGTAGTAGGTTCGCGTCATGGTCTGATTCTGCGAGACTTGCCATTCACTGCACCAGACATCGTCCAAGCTGCTCCAGCAAGATGGGGCATCCGGAAGATTGGCCACACAGGGATGCTCCGTTGGCAGGGGCTCGGATGTTGGAGCATCAGTCTGGGCCGACACCAATGTGCTCCATGCCACTAGCAGCACGGATAGGACGTGCAACCCAGTCATCTTCATGGTACCCAAATGTTGCGTGGATGTCATTTGTCATTTGTCAATAAATCGCCGTTATTGCTTCTCGTTTTGCTATCTGACATATCTTTGACTGGTAGGACTACCTGCCAGGACAAATGCACATTCAACCAACGTACAAAATCTTTATTCCCATTGCATGTTACAGCAATGTGGAAATGCAACTGGCATGGTGCAGGTTGATTTGACGCAGGTTGATACAACTAAGTACTTGCAAAATTTAGTTTTGTAGCAACGTACCACCTGGCACAAATTTTCTATCTAGTTTTTTTTTAAAGTGTTGGTCGGTGTGATAATCTCATAGGCTTGGACTCGGAGCTCAACTTGTACTAGGAATCTACCTCAATGTTGATCCACTTATTGGCGCTTCGGTAGGGAACCTGGTGGGATATTTAGACGGAGCACCACTTGGTGGTGGAGATGGAGAACGACTCGGTTTGAATGAGATGGTTGGCGATGAGGATGGCGCTGGGGTTGGAGACTTTGAGGGCCTTGCGGAAGGAGAAGTAGTAGGGTTCATGGACTCTGTAGGGCCTGATGTCGGTCCGGAAGTAGGTGCCTCTGTCTCGCAGACTTCGTAACAATCCAGATTGTATCTCCACTCTCGATAGTTGCTCATACTCGATGGTCGAGAACAGTAGTTGCTAGGAGCAACATTGACTTCTTCACCGCACATGTAAAAGTAGAAGATGACTTCGAGGGAGCCGCCAGTACAGACACCTTGAAAGTTGCGGCTACTGAATGTTCCAGTTTGGTAGTCGCAGGTATTAGTGTTTGCAGCCGAGTCATATGTCATGGCTGCCAAAGACATGACACTGTCTGAGAATATTTCCCAATTAACTCGAAAGTTGACAGTATCTCCCTCTTGGCTCTGATCATAGATGTAGATGGGTGCGTTATAGAGGGTACGGTCAATTCCAGTGCAATTCTGGGGCCCGCTTCCAATGGAACCTCCTTGTCGTCTCTCAGCAGCGCGCCAAATGCATGGTGTGGGTCGAACACTGATTGAAGGACTGGGTGTTGGGTTCCTTGAAGGTTCCGGAGTTGGTCTTTTTGTCGGGAAATTGGTAGGGTTCGAACTAGGTATATCACTGGGTGACATGGACGGCAATTGACTCGGAACGTCACTGGGCACTGCACTTGGAAGGATACTTGGCACAATGGATGGAGATTCACTCGGTATGACGCTGGGGACATCTGATGGCTGACTACTGGGATTGGATGATGGCTGGTCGCTTGGTACTACACTTGGAACCATACTCGGCGACTCGCTGGGTACAACAGAAGGCAGAGAGGATGGATTCTTGGACGGCTCTCTCGTTGGTTGACCCGAAAAGTTGATCGTCGGAGTCGCACTTGGGCTTGGGCTGGGTACCGTACTGGGGGCCTCGCTGGGTGTTATGCTGGGAACATCACTGGGAGATTCACTGGGGTTCTCGGATGGCAATTCGCTGGGGAAGACCGACGGAATCCCACTTGGAAAGTTTGTAGCATCGACTGGGGACGGCATAAGCGAAAGGGAAGGAGTCATTGTCGGTTCTGATGTTGTTGGTTCGATAGTCACTGTTATTGACGGTGCCGTTGTCACCACCGGAAGGACATTGACCGTTGTTATCGTGGTTACTTCATTCTCTGTGAACGCCAAAGTAAGAGCCGCAACTTCACCAGCTTCATTGAATATCGTAATGATCTCGGTCACCATTGTTTCTTCTCCCGATGTAGGATCACTGGTGTAGCCCCGTCCCATTTGTAGAAATCCTTCTTGGATTTCTTTCTCGTCTGACATCTCTTTGACATCGAGGAGTAGCTTCTGGAGAAAGAGCTGAAAGAATTCACCGCTAGAGAGTTGTTCCTGCAACTGACGGCGAGTCGTTTCTGCATCGCCAAACATTGGGTTGTCGCTTGAACATCCTTGGCACACTGTGATGGTCTCAAATGTGGTTTCGATGTAGGAGTTGTTGAATTCAGTCTTGGGGAAGAATGATTGTTCGAACAATGTGGCCTCTGCAAGCTCCCGAAGGTACTTGTCTTGGCAATTGTCTCGTTCCGGGCCCAACGTAATGTTGTTGTAGGCTTCTACCAAAAGACCTTCCAACAAAACAGCCTCGCGATCATCAAATTCGCGTTCGAAACCCTCCAAAAGGAATGTAACTCTTCCTGGCAGTACCATCGGCTCGGCAATGCCACAGGTAGACAATATCGGGACTGTTGCCATCAGAGTGGTATTCGTACCGGCCGCAGCTAGACTCACACCTGCAACTGTAGCAGCAGCCGCAGCAGCTACAGTAACAGCGCCAGCAGCTGCGCCAGCGGCCCCAGCTAAAAGAAAATTCAGTGGGTTAGCCATATGTTGCTTTCGGCAAATATGAAATGATACGATTCAGTGACTTACCAGCAGCACCAGCAGCAGCACCGGCGGCACCCGCAGCAGCTCCGGCAGCGGCAGCAGCACCAGCTAAAAAGTAGATCAATGAGTTAGAGGCATTTTATGACAAACACAAACCAGTACAAGATCCAATTCCACGACTCACCTGCTGCACCTGCGCCAGCAGCTCCGGCAGCTTGTCCAGCCATAGCTTGAACCCTGCGAGTCAATTGGTTAGTCAATTAAATAATAAGAGGTTAACATTGTTTCTGGTTGGAACACTTACGGATTGGGTCCACCGCCGCCGCCTCCTCCACCACCGGCTCCTCCAGCAGCACCGCCGCCTCCTCCACCATTCGCCCCGACTCCGTTTGATGCCATGTTGTTCACAGCAACTGCGCCATCCGCAGCATCCGTAGCATCCACACCATCACCGGCTGTCCTATTACACATGCTAATGCATTTACTGATCCATCCCATCAGTATTGGCACGAACATGGTGCAAGCAATAAAGAGATACGTAAGCACCGACTGTGTCGATGGTGGTTCTTCCTCCTTGTCATCTTCTTCCAATATGTACTCATCATTATTGTTGCCATTTTCCACATCTTTTACAAATTCGGGATGACGTGCCCGAAACCTCTTTTGAATCATCAGAGCTGCACTCTCGGCTCGACTGTACATCAAATAGGCTTCGTCCAGTCCAAGTTTTTGCTCCTGTATCGATGGTGCTTTCGATTGCCGGGATGCTGTCTCGATATCATGATCAGCACTGCCATTTTTTCTCCGTGGCATGGTTAGGATAACTGGTATGTTGTCCAGTAGGTCCACTTGAGGTCCATTGTTTTGATTGCGTAGTTGGCTTCGGTCGATTCTTGGGATTGGAGAAGCTGTGCTGCAGGTGCTGTGACGGTGGCTAGAGAACATTTCATCTTCTGGGATGGACAAAAGACTGATACCACTGTCGGATTGGATGCTTCTATTCAAGAGGTCATGACGCTCTTCATCTTCTCTTTGTTGCTGTTGTTGACTGGTCGACATCTTGCTGTCACTTGAGTGTTTGAAAATGTTGATCAGAACTTGTTTTGGTTCAATTTCAATTTTGAAAAGAAAAGCTTGGTCCTAAACTTTCACCGGAGGGTCGTTAGTTACTCCGGTAATTCATTTAAGGACAGGTCGCATTCCTGCTCTGATTCGTAGCCAGCTCGACACGAGGGCTTAAAATGAAACAGAAACAATGTCTGTTCGAGCGTGCGTGTATAAGCGAACCTGAAAGAATATCCCTAAGCCGGTACTGGAATTTAACGCTGAACCACGACAGAACAGTCGATGACATTCGAGCACCCCACGATCACATCGCGCGTAGAAGTTCAACTTGAAATTTACAGTTCGCCGCCGCCGAGGTTTGATCGAAATAGCGCCATGTGGCAAGTGTGATTGGATCACTAAGGTAGTTCGTTGATTGCCCAACCATGATATTCCATCGCAACTACGACACATGGGTGAAGATAAGACTTCTGGTGTCGATCACTCAATCTGAACAAGCCGCTGTCTTTCCGAAGAACTGAGCTGGTGTCGAAAATGTTTCTTCTTAAATTTCATTGATTCTTAGCTAGTATACCTCAATAGCTTCAGAAATTTTCAGAGTAGCACCAAAGATCTGAGACCGCAGTACTCTTTGCCCAGGCATTGGGGAATAGAGATCTGCCTGCGCATTCAGCTTCTTGCTAGAGGAGACACTGTAGTATACGCTTCCCCTCCATTCATTCATTCATTCACTTGTCCATGGGTGCATCGTTCACAACAATTCCATTGTTGTCACAGACAACGTAATCACCCGAACTAAACGTGACTCCTCCAAATTCGACTGGAATGCCAGTTTGCCCCTCATTGCGCTTGAGGGTCTTGCAGGGATGAGTTCCCAGCGCCTGTACCCCTAACGAGCTGAGAGCTTTGATTTCGTCGACATCTCGGATCGATCCATAAATTACCAACCCTTCCCATCCGCTATTCACACAATCCGCAGCCACTTGATCTCCCAACAAAGCCCGTCGTCGAGAACCACCACCATCTACCACCATGACTTTTCCTTTCCCGTCCGTCTTGGCCAATTGTTTGACAAAGGAGTTGTCTTCATGGCACTTGACCGTCACGACTTGGCCACCAAAATGATTCTTGCCTCCTAAGTTGTGAAGACCAAGTGAGGGATCCACCACACGAATGGTATCTTCAAAGTCGTCGCAGAGATCGGGTGTCGACTTGAGCGATGACATGAAACGTAATATGTTATTATTGTTCTGAATAAGATTGGTTCTTTGCTTGGGATTGACTTGTAGTTGTAAGGTTGTAGCTCTAGAAAGCGTTACTAGCCGTGAATGATGAGCAGTGAGATTTCGGGAGTGTCGCAAGAGGAAGGTTGCGGTTGCCATGGTCTTCACAGTCAAGGTGCGAGGTCGAAGATTTTCATTTCATGTCGCTTCGATGATGATGAGGGCGTGCGGTGGCTATGAAGATCTTCGACTGTTCCGACTGCGAAATCCCACAAAACCCAATGACAAAGAAACACGGAACACAACAAAAACGAAAGCAGAAAGCAGCATGACTTTGGGACAGCCTATTTTGATACTCTATTTGGATTTCCATAGAGTTACTCTATCGATCGACATATGAAAGTCACATTCAATTTTAAGACTTTCGAAAGGCACTCCTCAAAATATCCAAGTACAAAGTCCCATATCCATGATAACTCAATCCATATGTCATGTTGAATGCCATGCTACTCCATTCTCCAGCCGTGACAGGTTCAATCTGAGTGTCTTCGTGAAATTCATTGAATGAGTTCACCATGAGCACGCTAGAAGCAGACGAGTCCACCAAGGTTCTGGCACTCATGACGGCCGTATCGAAGAGTGAACCGGGAGCACCACCAAAGAGAGACCTCGAAAGTGGAATTTGATTCTCTTCAAAACGAACCGCCCTGTCATTGTATCCAGGAGATACTGCAGGAATGTAGGCGCAGTTTTTTTGGTTGACAATGCCCTTCCACTCGCGTTGTTCAATCTCATAGTAGCGGCGGACGTCATCTTCCAGAAAATATCCACCCTTGGAACCGACCGACTTGGACATGCTGCCATAAACATCGTAGTTGGTGACAGCGTCCAACAATTCCAGGGCGATTTGGGCGTCTTTGACAACCGAGTCATCTGGAGGTCCAAAGATATGGTCACCAATAATGTAAATGTCTTGCCCACACGCATCTTGGGCAGCCTGACGCATCACTTGAATGACTTCTGCCAAGAGCCCTTTCTCGTCCAAAAGACGAGACAAGTACATGTAGACCACTGGCTTGCCACCAATATGGAAGTAATTGGGGTGATTGAAATAGTTGGAACACATAAATTCCATATCCGGACCGACGCGGTGTAAGGAGTAGTTCTCCTCCTCTTTGATTCGGCCAAAGGTTTCGTAAAAGAGAGAAATCTGAAAGTCGCTATCCAGCAAATCAGGGTGGGTAAGGATGACTTCCCGGGTAGTATTATCTTCTCGAGAATGTTTCCCCCACCAAGAAACGCTCCAAAGCTCAATGTTGGCGCGTTTGCTCCACTCCAAATGCTGAGCAATGATCGCGGGATCGCGGTCATCATACTCTCCCAAGACTGGCTTTTGTCCCAAATTCTTGCGAAGGTAACCGTCTCCTCTATGAAAGTCGTCGGCGTACCAAGGATAGTAGTAAGTTCCTAATGTGACCATGGGGAGACTTGCACTTCGGCTTGCAAAGGTGTCAGATACTCCGTACAAGGATGTTGCGCGAGTCAACGACGATGAATTGTCCACCTTCAAAATCATGCGTTCTGTCAGGATGCCCAAGATGTAGATCAAGAATGCAGAAATGATGAGGCAACACATGGAGCAGGGTTTGAAGATTGATCTTGTTCTCTTGGAATTGGGTGAATATTCGCCAGTATCCGAGCCCCCTTGGGTACTCTGATGTTTGGCATCATAGTGCCGATCGGACACAATTCCATCTTTGAAGCCACTTGTTATTGGCGCGACTGACGACAAGACTTCTGTGTCATCGTTTGCAATTGCTTGCCAGGTCTGCTGGAATTTTCTACCGTCATGCCTTGCTGCAAAGTAAGGGGAGGTGCTGGATTGGATGCTGGCTCCGTTAGACGACAGCCTCTGACCTTGAGATGGGTTGGATGCTAAGTAGGACGACATGATGTTTCAAGTTTTGTGCTTTTGAAATTTATGGAATCTGTAATGAGCATTACTCCACACGCGTCTACATTGAGTCATCTTTGTCTGCTAAGTGCCCGTCTTCTTTCCCCACCTTACACGTACACGTAGTACAGTATAGTTTTGGTTTTTAAGACCAGCGAAATTGTTTTTAAAATATAAAAGCCAGTCAGAGATGATTGATGCAGTACCTGGTACGTTCAAAACGTGTATTATATAAGTCTTTTTCCAACTGATAGAAAATGATTTTTGGCCGTAGGAATCCACGAACATTGTCAAAAGTGCGTTATCACGTCGACATCTCATGACTGGAAGCTCGGACAGGCCGCATGCCATGCCATCCCACAAACCTACTTTGTATTAGGACGCCATTGGAACTGTGCGGCAACAATGCTAGACAACCCAGTATCAACAGTGTTTGATATCATGTCATTTGTTCCATTCCAACACTGCCGACCAAGAAACGGAAGCCCAACAATCAACTTTTCTCAATCAATGAGGATAAGATCAAGAAGAAACGAACAGGCAGAAAGGGGAGAACTGGAAGCTGCTACTGCTACCACTGCTACCCCTGCTACTAGCACTACCAGCAACACACGGAGGGTCATCAAACAAACTTTCGAAGATTCCAATCAAACCAACGAATACGAATATGACGGAAGTGTCAACAAAGAACAAAATCCAAGTGAGGGTACAGCTGAAAGTAGAATAAGAGTAAGTGATGGTGCTGATGGTGCTGGTGGATTGTGTGATTGCGCCGAAGAATCCAAGAATCAAGTGGGATTGTTGGGGCGAGTACTCACTAAACTGACAAAATCACAAAGGATACGTTGTGATTGTTGTCAAATGCATGGATCTGCCTCTTTGCCGCTCACTCGCTTCCGTCATATTTTCCATATGATTACTATAGTGGAGGCATGACCATGAAGTGGATCATTGATTGACCACTAATGGACCCAAAGAATGCCAAAAGGCAGAACACTGACGTGGCCATGGGAAGTACCATCGAGTTGACGCTCACGGCTAGTTGCTTGGGAATTGGATGGAGGCCTCGGGGCTGGTTACTTGGGAATTGGATGGAGGTCTCGAAAAAGGACGGGGGGCCGAATTTTGGTTCTGTACCGTAAATCCAGGTCTTTTTGGACAGGGATTTAGCCCTCATTATGGCGATCGGCAAACAACGCCCAACGTGATCCAATGTTGTGTGGCCGCCACTGGGGCCTTTGTCAAGCCTACTTGCTTGAGTATAGACGATCCTAATCACTATGACTTGGTTGTTGTCAATTGGTGCTTGTCACCAGCAGAATCCCCCGCTATCATCAAGGCATTAGTCAACGACCATATTGATAGTGATGAAACTAATGGCAATATCAAGACGATAAAACGGTAGAGCACTCGACGATTGGCATTATTTTGACAGTGCTGATCCTTCCAATGTTCGTTGCAGGAAAGATTCGATGTTCCAAACTGCAAGGACAACCAGCTGGACGAAGGACGGCTCATTACGCTTTGGTCTTTCACAAGTTTTTTGGGTACGGAATCTTGATCTTTAGTTGGTGGAACTGCTACACAGGTAGGCACTTTTGTACTTTTGCTAGGACTATGGTATTGTTGGCTGCGTCAGTGACGAATGAATATGCATTCTCACACGCACTAATCATTTTTTTAGGTCTTGTTCGTATTTCTCCTGCCGATGCATTCTTCCAACTGGTCGTACTATCCTCCTATAGTATTGGATACGACGTCCCCATATTTGGCTACATCAAGAGTTCTTTGTTCGGGCCATACCTATCATGTATTTGTATCATTTTTGTCTTGGCTGAAATACGCACAGCTTTGTTCCTTGTTTTCCCGCTTCCCCGCCCCTACTCATCTAAAGGCTACCATGATTCAGATGATTGATTTTTTCACGATACCAAAGAAACGCAGTCACTCTCCCAATCTTTTCTTGGTATGGATATTGGAGAACCCAAATCAAAACTACAATGAATGGATTGGTTTGGAAGATCGAGTGAAGCCTGCCACTAAGCACAACAAGTCCAAATTCAAGTGGGTTGTCTTGTACTCGTCGTCCAACGCAAAGAAGGACAAAAAGACGCTTCAAAAGGCAACGGCAAAAGAAATTTCCAAACGAAAGCATGAAGGTCCTTTGGAAGGAAAATAGAAGGTGATACTCCCGGGATACCCATCAAATCTCTCCGTACAAGTCGCAAGTTGTTACAACGGAAGAGTTTTGACGACAAAAGGCAACTTGGCAAGTTCCGTGCTAGTCAAGGCAACAGCAGAGGAAGGCTTTCTGAAATGCAGGGCGATGCTCTTGGCTTTATGCACCGAATGGAGGATGGAACCACTCTTGATGACTCTAGTAGACAAGAAGACGATTCCACCGGCACAGCGGAATGCAACGAGGACGATGATGCGGGCTTTGACGCTGACATTGCGAATGACGTCTTTTGGCGTGTCCACGGAAACAAATGCATGACTTTGAAATTCAGTCAAGCTGTAGTTTCCAGGCTCACAGAAGCAGCTCAAGCTGAAGTAGATCGTGAGGCCGAGTATGAGAACAAGAGCACCAGAAAGTTTGGGTTTCACCACAACTCGGTCGCCGAAGAGGACCCATAGAATAGTATTGTAACAGCAAGCGTATGAAGGCATACCTTTGTGGCAGCCCTGGATTTGACGACAGCGTCCGAGAGTGGCTCATCGAAAGTGGGTTTTCCGCACATACCATCACAAACTCTTATGCTTCTCCATCCGTCCACCTTTAAGAGAACGAGATACATCATTAAATGTAGTCAGAATACTCGATGCACATTTAATCAATTAGATCAACATTTGTACAGCTATTCTATTCCGCAGGCATCAGCACCATACCAACTTTTCATCGAGTCTAGCGACCAATTCGAACAACACATGGATTTATTCTGAATTTATTATCCTCTCAGCATGGAGGCCTTCGTCTCGTCTACCTGTAGGACATTGGATGCCGTGACCACAGCTTCTGTAGAAGTGGGCTTTCTGCATTTTGGATCAAATGTGGGATAGTCATCCCCGTTGATCCAAGCTTGAAGAAAGGCATACGAAGCTTCTGGCTTCTCAGTTGGAACCATATGTCCAGCCCCACGGATTGTTAAAAAATCAAACATGCCGTCGTATCGGGAAACATAACCACCCATGCGTTGGCATCCATCAATCGTCCATGGTCTCCAGTGCTGTGTCTCTTCCAACCCCAAATACGAAGTCCAATTTTGTGCGGCAAAGCTGGTAATGGCAGGGTCCGTGTCCCCATTGTACACGAGCACCTTGAGTTTTCCATTGATCTCCTTGTAGAATCCGGTTAAATCTGGCTCGGTGGGAGTGTAATTAAAGTCACCTTCGGCATTGTCGGTTTCGAAAAAGTCAGATTGCACATGAAGGGCAGACTTGACAGAGTCCAACTTTAAATATTCTTCGAGCACGATTCCTCCACCACAAGGGTAGTCATTTTGACCGCCTTGGATCGCAGCCAATCCATTTCGGTAGGGACAGTCATTATATAAGGAGTATGTAAAGAATCCACCAATCTCCGCCTTGATCTTTTCAATAGCAGCCTTGCAAACTTCGTCGGCCTCCTTCAACTCTGGCTTTTGAAATGTCAAGAATCCTTCCTGGTCACTGTGATAACATGCCTTCATTACCATTTGATAGTCCGAAAGGGGGATTTGATGGTGACCTGCCATGAATACGATGTGCCAATAGGCGGCGGCAGCAACACTGGTAGTTGCAAGCAAGGAAGCAGTTCAACGTGAGAATGAATGAATCGATCGATCATGCTTTTTCCAACCGATTCCGAAGGGAAAAAAAGAACTTTGTACTGCACTTACTCTCCATTCAGCAAATCGCCACAAACACTAGTCTTGGTCCCCAAACAACCATCTCCAACAGCAAATCCTTTTAGCTTAATCGCATCCTCGTTCTTGGGATCGTTATTCTTTGGGTCTTCCACAATGCGCCGAGCAAAGGTAGGAATGTAAATGCCACCGTAAGATTCCCCAGTAAGGTAAAGGTCCTTTGGCTTGTAGCTTGGAAACTTTTTGTCGTAAAAGGCTTGCAAGGCAGTGTAGATATTCTCGCTGGTCAACTCATCTGTCCAGGCAATATCACCGCAGTTTTGCGCTTGGAATTCTTCGGGACCGTTGCAATGACTGAATCCAACGGGTGCCGGTTGATCAAAGATGAGGACAGATCCAAATCGAGTCCAAGCATGAGGATTGTACATGGGAGTTGGAATGCCAGTCTTTGTATAGTCTTCTGTCTTTAAGGAATCATCCGACAAGATCAATGGGCCAATTTCCGTCAATAGTCCAAACAAACTGCTGGCACCGGGACCACCGTTGGACTGTAAATATACGTATATTATAGTTTAGGAATCCATTCGAAAAGAGAGAAGAATAATGGAAAAATTAGAGATTGGGTCACACAATATTGTCATTTCAACAAAACTGCTATACTGTAGGATACATACCCAATAGATCAGAGGCTTGTCGCAGGTACAGTCTCCAGTCTGTTCTGCCTCGAGCAAAACGTAATGAGTATGAACCTGCTGTCCATGAAAATCGTAATCCAAGTATCCAGAGTACCAGCGGCTGGGCAACGGTTGATTCCATCCTGGCACCTGATAGACACGATCTGGATGGGACTCCATCATACTAGAGTGGATTTTATCATCATTCTCGCATTGACAATGAGAAGCATTCACATCACTAAATACAGCCAATAGGAGGAGGAGGGTAAACACTGTTCGGGTCACCATCTTATGTAGCAAAAGCAACTACGATGATGATTGATAACAATTGTGTTGTCGATCAACGAATATGCAAACGATGAATCATCATCGAAAGATCCTTCTTTCGACTATTCTAGTACCTACAAAAAGAGAAAGCGCTGACCGATACCGATACTGGTACCAGCACTGTTGATGTTACGGCAGGTTTTAACATTAATACTTTTACAATTCTACATTTTACTGCAGCTTACCAAATCATAATGAAGGTCATGGTTGCTGCAATTGCGACCATGGATCCCATCCATTGTGACAGCCTTCCAGCAGCGCTGTTGTTATCACTAGCAACTCCAACAGCTGGAGCCGCGGATGGATTCGAGGTGGTTTGTGCTGGAACCGTAGGAGCCATTGGTGTGGATGCAGATGGCGGAAGTACACCCATGGCGACAGGTGCCGCGGTCGGTTGATCAACTGGTGAAGGAGATGGCTCGTTTGTCTCGATCGGAACAGTAATGGTAGGTGACACTGTGGGTTCTCCAGGGGTGACAGTTGGGTTTGGTGTCAGGTTGATAGTAGGTCTGCTGGAAGGTGATGCCGATGGAACCGAAGTAGGCATCTTGGTTGGCACGACACTTGGAGCTGGTGTTGCACCGGTGGGGTTCAACGATGGCATTATGGTTGGACTTTTAGATGGCAATGGAGTCGTGGGTCCCATCGGACAGGCAAAGCAAAAGGGGCCTTCGCATCCGCGGTCCCCTGGTGTGCAGACTGGTTCGGTCTGGATGGGGCAGTTTGTGTTTTGAAATGCACCAAGCATTTGGGCAGAAGTAAAGGAAGCTTGGAGCTCGTCGCTCCAACTGCACAAGTTCTGGGAAAACGAAGATGCCCCACTAAAAATACCCGAGGCGCTGTTCAAGGATTGCAAATTCCAGGAGGATAGGTCCTGATTGAAGGACCGGGCATTTTCAAACATGGAATTCGCCGAGATCACTCCAGACGTGTCCCAATCTTGCAAAGGCTGATTGAAAGCCGTGCAGCCAGCAAACATACGATCCATATTGGTCACTTGGGAGACTTCCCATCCAGAGATATTGGCATTGAAGGTTTGTTGTCCCTCAAACAATCGTGTCATGATTGTGATTTGGGAAACATCCCAGCAATTGATTGGAGTCCCATAGTAGGCCTGTTGACTGACATCAGCCCCATTCGTACCTATCCAAACGGCAATGGCCAAGCTCAGTTCGATTCTGTTCTGGAAAGCATTTCTATTTCCTCGTTCACATGTTACTTGCTCTCTTCGACGACCTTGTTCTTGTGGTACTTGTTGCACTTGTTGTTGTTGTTGTTCTGGAAGTTCTCGGTTGATGACCGAATGGCGATCTTGTTGCTGTTGTTGTTGAGCGGAAGAGAACGACACAACCGTCAAAAGGACTGTTAAGAGACACTTGATGTACCCACACTGCATGATGGATCGATAGAGAGATAGAGAGATGGATAGATGTAGCTTCTCTAGTCTTGCAGTATGGTTGTGTGTGTTTGGCACGATTATTGTGAAGGTAGGTTTATTTTCTGTTGGATCTGCCCAAAAATTCGAAAAAGTTGGCGAACAGACCTGAGACTTTGGCGGGAGTTTGAGGTCGGATGAATCAAATCGAATCCAATCGAAGTAATAGGCAGGCAGGGGAAAAAATCGGGCCTATACTGTACATAATACCGGTACCGGTATCTCTGCTATAGATGCGCAGAGCAAACAGAAGACGATGCTTGGAAAATTTTCGCTCTAACATAGAATAATAAAGGCAATTGTTTTATTTCTAATGGCACAGTCGGTGCCAATCCATCCCAATTGTCAAAGGTAATTTGGGAAGGGCACATGGATGCACATGAGGGTGGAGTGCCAGAAGGTGTTTTGGGCGTTTTGGAAGCCTCTGTAGGGTATTTAGCGCCTCATTTAGTGTCACACTGCGTAGCGCAGTGGATGGTCGAGTCGGTACTACGCTGGGCGGTAATATAGGATCAGTCTTGTGCGGATTTCGCTTTAATTTTGGAGCGTTGGTGGGAACTAACAAAGGGAGGGGTACATTGTAGCTCACCAAATGACAACGGCCATGGTTGCTGCAATCGCAATTAACGATTCCATCCATTGTGACATCCTTCCAGCAGCAGCGCTGTTATCCAAAATTCCAACAGGAGGAGCCGCAGTTGGATTCCATGAGGGTGGAGGTGAAACCGTCGGTGTCATAGGTGTGGATGTAAATGGTGGAAGAAAACCCGTAGCGACAGGTGCCACGGTCGGTTGATCAACACGTGGAGGAGATGGCTCGCTAGTCTGGACCATGGTGGGATTGACTGAAGCAGCAATGGTAGGTGAAACTGTAGGTTCTCCAGGTGTGACAGTTGGGCTCGGTGTCGCCTTGACGGTAGGTCCGCTGGATGGTGATGCAGATGGAAGTGGCGTAGGCCTTTTTGTTGGAGGAAGACTTGGTGCACTTGGAGCTTTCGTTGTAGCCGTAGGAGTTTTGGTTGGTGGGGGGATTGGGGCATTTGTGGCTGCCGACGGCAGTGGCGTAGGCCTCTTTGTTGGTGTGGGAGTTGGGATACTTGGAGCTTTCGTTGTAGCCGTTGGCGGGTTTGTAGCGGGCACTGGAGCAGTGGGTGCCGTCGGACAAGCAAAGCAAAATGGACCTTGGCATCCTCCTTGGCCCGGTGTACAGATTGGTTCAGTCTGGACGGGACAGTTTGTGTCTCGAAATCCACCAAGCACTTGCGTAGAAGTAAATGAAGCCGGGAGCTGGTTGCTCCAACCGCACAAGTTCTGGGAAAAGGAAGATGCCCCTTGAAAAATACCCGACGCGCTGCCCAAAGATTGCAAATTCCAGGACGATAGAGGCCGATTGAAGGATCGGGCATTTTCAAACATCGCATTCGCCGAGGTCACCCCCGACATGTCCCAAGCCTGCAAAGGCTGATTGAAAGCCGTGCAACCGGCAAACATGCGATCCATGTTGGTCACTTGGGAGACTTCCCATCCAGAAACATCGGCATTGAAGGTGGATTTTCCCTCGAATAATCGTGTCATGATTGTGATTTGGGAAACGTCCCAACAATTGATTGGAGTCCCATAGACGGCCTGTTGACTAATATCAGCCCCATTCGTGGCTACATAAACGTTAACGGCCAGGCTCAGTTCAATCCTGCTCTGGAAAGGAGTTCTGTTTCCTCGTTCACATGTTACTTGCTCTCTTCTATGTCCTTGTTGTTGCTGTTGTGGTACTTGTTGCACTTGTTGTTGAAGTTCTCGGTTGTTGTGTTCTCGATTCTTGACGACGGGGTGGCGATCTTTTTGTTGTTGTTGTTGTTCTGCGGAAGATAATGAAGCAATCGTCAAAAGGACGAATGTTAGGAGAAACTTTAGGTAAACGCACTGCATGATCCTTCGACCGTTGACGATCGATAGATAGATATGGCTTCTATTCTTGATGTATATGGCTCTGTGTGATTGGCACGGATGTGTATTGTAAAATTGTGGATCCCATCAATTCGAATAACATAATTTTGCCGACCAGACGGTTTACAGTACCATAATAGTGTGTGTTCTCAAAAGTTCTCTCGGTTGACGACAGAATGGTGATCTTGGTGGTGTCGTGCTGAGAAGAGATGACGCAACCCGTCAGAAGTGACCGCTAGGAGAAACTTTACAGGTACATGCACTGCATGACCGATCGATCAATAGGTACATGGCTTCTGTTGTTGTTGAAGTATGGTTGTGTGTTATGCACGATTGTGTATACCGTGTGATATACCCGGTATTGAATAATGTTCAATGTGTTTCGTGATTAAGTCGGAGGAATCAAATCAGTATCCGATCGAATAAAGAATGATACATGGTGTCGAAATGAATGATCCACTCTACTGAATCTTGCCTGGAAAGATACAGGCGTAGAGCAAACAAGAGAAGATGCTTGGCAAGTCTTCTCTCTAACATATAATAGTGGCAATTGGTTTATTTCTAATGGCACAGTCGGTGCCAAGCCACCCCCTTTGTCAAAGGTAATTTGGGAGGCCCCCCCATGGATGCACAAGAGGGTGGGAGCCATTGGAGAAGGTGTCGTTTTTGGGCGTTTTGAGGAGTCTTGATGAGGTAGTCGGTGCCTCCTTTAGTGTTGGGCAGCGCCGCAGTAGGTGATCGAGTCGGTACTACTTTGGGTGTTGCACTAGGCGCCAAAAGATCGGATCAGGCTGTTGTGCCTGTGGATTTACCTTAATTTGCCGCCATCGTGGGAAAACTATTGAAAGGGGATACATTTTAGCTTACCAACAAATCACCATTGCTGCTACAATTGCGACCATGGCTCTCATCCATTGTGACATCCTTCCAGCAGCAGCAGTTGCAGCGCTGTTGTCATCTCGAAAAGGAGCCTCGGTTGGATTCCAGGTGGGTCGTGGACCGGCCGGACGAGCCGTCGGAGCAGCTGGTGGAAGCGGAGCCGTCGGTACAGGTGGTGGGGTTGGTAGGTCGCCTACCTGACGTGGAGGAGATGGCTTGCTGGACTGGGCAATGGTGGGATTGATCGAAGCAGTGATGGTAGGTGACAGTGTGGGTTCTCCAGGCGTGACGGTTGGGTTTGGTGTCGGCTTGATGGTAGGCCTGCTAGATGGCGATGCCGACGGAAGCGGCGTAGGTCTTTTTGTTGGTGGAAGGGTTGGAGCTTTTGTCCCTGCCTTGGATGGCATGGAACTTGGAGCTAGTGTTGCACCCGTGGGGTTTAACGATGGCATCATGGTGGGACTTTTGGATGGCACGGGAGTCGTGGGTCCCGTCGGACAAGCAAAGCAAAATGGACCTTGGCATCCTCCTTGGTCCGGTGTACAGACTGGTTCAGTCAAGAAGGGGCAGTTTGTACTTCGGAACCCACCAAGCATTTGATTCGAAGCAAACGAAGCTGGCAACTGGTCGCTCCAAGCACACAAGTCTTGTCGAAAGGTAGATGCCCCACTGAAGATACCCGAAGCGCTGTTCAACGATTGCAAGTTCCAGGAGGATAGATCCTGATTGAAGGACCGGGCATTTTCAAACATGGCATTCGCCGAGGTCACCCCCGACATGTCCCACGAATCCAAGGGTTGATTGAACGAGGTGCAATTGGCAAACATGCGATCCATATTGGTCACTTGGGAGACTTCCCACCCCGAAATATCGGCATTGAAAGTGGATCTTCCCTCGAATAATCGCGTCATGATGGAAATTCGGGAAACATCCCAACAATTGATTGGAGTCCCATAGACAGCCTGTTGACTAATGTCCGCCCCATTGGTGATGGCGTAAAGAGTGACAGCTAGGCTCAGTTCGATTCTGCTCTGGAAAGGAGTTCTGTTTCCTCGTTCACATGTTACTTGCTCTCTTCGATGTCCTTGTTGTTGCTGTTGTGGTACTTGTTGCACTTGTTGTTGAAGTTCTCGGTCCTTGACGAGGACGGAATGGTGATCTTGTTGCTGTTGTTGTTGTTGTGCGGAAGATAACGACACAATCGTCAATAAGACTGTCAGGAGACTCTTGATGTAACCGATCTGCATCATACGTAGATATTTAGCTGTTCTTTGCCTTGTGTTCAGTGAGCGTATTTTTATAGTTTGGTTGTGTTTGGCACGCAGATTGCCGAGGTAAGTTTATAATATATTATCATGTTATTAATAGGATTTGCCAAAAAATTTCGAAATTTAGGCTGCCTGCGATATTTTTGGCGTTTACTGGTCGGAGGAATCAAATGCATTGGAGTTTTGCATCCAATCAATCGGAACCATCTGCGAATCATCGTGCCAATAAACTCCGTCAATACACGTGTAGCAGCAATACAGGACCTGGTACCAGGGGGGGGATGAAAAAGAGGAGTGTGAAAATGCTCTACAGCATAAACGGCATTTGTCTTTTATTTTATAGTTCTAATGGCACAGTTTAGTACATATATGCATATATATATATAGTATGGTAGTAGTAGTTGGATAGTAGTAGTACACATACTACTCCCATCACTCCTTTTTGATTTGTTTGTTTTTTGCTAGTTGGCATGCCATCATTCTTATCCCCATAGAATGCATGCATGCATGCATGCATGGATGACCTCCCAAGTGTCACTCCACCACTTATTATTATTATAATAATTATTATTATAGTGTTGAGAGCAGCAGCAGCACCAGCATGATTGTACTTGCCAAAGTCGTTGCAGTAGTGACCGTCGATTTTGAATAGGCCCCGGATCGACCATTTCCCGTGGCCGCCACCAAGCTATTGTCAAAATCATCGTCCTCCCAAACGATAATGGTAGGAGTAAAGACGGGTGGTGAAACGGTCGTAGGTCGTGGTGACGGAGGCGGCAGTGGCGAACTCGTCAATGCTGCTGCTACTGGCGGATTGACAGTAGTGGGTGTGGTCACTGGCGGATTGACAGTAGTTGGAGTCGGATCTAGTGGGCGACTACCACCAGAGGGTGCCGCACTGGGAGAGTCGGTCGGTGCAATCGTGGGAGCTTTGGTCAAGGCAATCGTTGGATTGTTCGTAGCAGCCACTGTAGGAGCATCCGTTTCGGCAGCACTGGGAGTTAAGGTCGGTGCCAAGCCATTGTCATAGGTAATCAGAGAGGGCACCATGGATGGCATTAAAGTGGGAGGCACGGGAACTTGTGGAGCTGGTGTTTTGGGCGTCTTGGGTGCCCTGGTTGGTACCAAACTGGGCGTCGTACTTGGCAACACAGTGGGTGGTGGAGTCGGTGGTGGAGTGGGTGGTGGAGTGGGTGGAAGAGTCGGCGGAAGCGTGGGTGGTGGGGTACCAAAGGGTGCCAGCGTCATGATCGGTGCCATAATGGGTGCCATACTGGGCTCCACACTGGGCGCCAAGGTAGGATCGGGCTCTTTTGGATTTCCCTTTGGCGCCTTGGTCGGAACTGACGAAGGCGAGGTAGATGGAGAATCTGAAGGAGCTTCGGTGGTGGGTGGGGGTGTGGGCGCCAAAGTGGTGGGTGGTGGCGTGGGCGGTGGCAACGTGGGTGGTGGTGTGGGATTCCTGGTGGGACTGGGTGTGGCATCGCAATTGTAGCAATAGCTTCCATAACAACCAAAGCCCGGAAAACAGGTTGGATCATTTTTCATGGGACACGACGTCGACGAGAATGCCTGTGCCAATCGCTCCGGAACAATCGTCTCTTTCATTTGCGTCGCCCAGGAACACAAATTTTGATTGAATGACGACGCCCCGCTAAACATTCCCGACATGATCTCGAGTCGTTGCACGTTCCATCCACTCAAATCTTGATTGAAACTGGCGGCATTGCCAAACATGCGCGAGGCCGTGAAAAGACTTTGAGTATTCCATTTGCCCAATGGCTGATTGAATCGGGTGCATCCAAAGAACATATTGTCCATATTGGTCACACTGGAAACGTCCCATTCTGAAATGTCTTCGTTAAAGTTGGTCAATCCCATGAACAAGGGACTCAGAGTCTGCATTTGCGAGACGTCCCAACAACCGATGGGGAAGCCAAAGACCGCGCGGACGCTTGGATCTGCACCATTGGAATTCAAATATTGGGAAACGGCAACTCGGAGCTCCAAGAAATTGGTAAAGGGACGCCGTTGCGTGGTGCCTTGACAAGGAATGACGGCATGACAGAAATTTGTGGCGAATGCTAACAGCAACAGTGCTGTGAATGTCTTGGTGGTGGCGATGGTGGCGATGGTGGCAATCCAACCGTTGGAGCGTGGAAGTATTGTCATTCTGGATGCACAATGTGTGTGTGTGTGTGTGTGTGTGTGTGTGTAGAGGTAATATATAAGTGCAATGTATGTACAGCGATTGGTGAAAGATGTGGCCAATAATGCAATAACAGGAAAACGGTTGTTGGTTTTTGATCGGATTGTTGGAATATTCAATATTCGCGGAGTACAATTTTATTGCCGAGAAAAACGTTCCTTCCCGCCATCATCTTTACCACTTTACTTACCCAATATCGTCTAATCGAGAAAGCCTGCGACCACAACGGAAATCATTTTGGGTCGGCAGTTAAAGACTTACGATACCTGCGAACCAATCTTTGAAAAATTTGGAGAAAAATGTTTGACGCACTCGACCAGAGTTCTGAAAGAGTTTCAATTCGAACAGCTGAATAAAAAATAGGAGATTCCGATAGCAATGAGTAATAGCACTCATCATCAAAATGACCAGCATGGCCAAGACCATGATGCGGATACGTCCGTCACCAAGACGGATGTTCTTCTTCATTGTGAATTTTCATCGTCTGCTGCTTTTATTGTTATTGTTGTCTATAACAGTATCCGTTTCAGGTGTCGACACCCAACCAACATTGTCCTTGCCACCACCGACTTCTCATTTCAACATTAATAACAATGGCTTGGATGCGGACAACCATAAGGAGCAACCTCACAACAACAAAAAGAAGAAGAAGAAACAAGATGGCATCTTTTTACAACTGCAACACAAGATTATCGAAGGGGTAAGTCTTTCGTTGCAAAATCATCGTCCCCTACTTCGAACCAGCAATTGTGATACACCTACTGTATCATCATCATCATCATCATTCTGGAGACCGGATGATGCTGATTGTTTGCTGAGGAAATTGAGGGGTGGTGGTGGGAGTAGAAATGAGGCTGTTGCTATGAATGCTATTGCTCCTACGACTACAACTGCAGAAAAGAATAATAATACCACTACCACTACCACTACCACAACCACCACATCTACTTCACCACCGCCACCGCCACCATTGTCGGCAAAATGGATGGATCAACAAGCCAGATCTATTGCATTGGCATTGATATGGGTTGTGTTGGCGCAGACATTGGGGACTGCCGTGCACGCATGTCGTACGCAAGTCTTTGAGGTGTGTGTGTGTGTGTGTGTGTGTGTGTGTGTGTGTGTGTGTGTGTGTGTGTGTGTGTGTGTGTGTGTGTGTGTGTGTGTGTGTGTGTGTGTGTGTGTGTGTGTGTGTGTGTGTGTGTGTGTGCTGATGCTTTTGAATGCTGCGCTGTTTGCTAATGTGCTGTTACGGTTGTTGGTTGCTGCTTGTTTGCTTCCTGTATTGTATCTACTCTTTCGATTACTTTTTTCATTTCATTTCATTTCTTTCACTCACTCACCAACTCAATCACAAAATGTTGTTGTTGCAGTTTGCCTCGCGCTTTGTCAAGCAAGATACACTTTCGGCCGCCCGGAGCATTCGGCAAATGTTGGATACCATGGACGATCATGGGATTGTGGACCTCTTGCAGCACCATGAACCAAAACAGATACTGCTGTCCATTTTTGCCTTGAGTAAATTACAAGCGGCCTGTCAGTTTCATCAACGACATTCTGGAGGAGGAGCAGGAGTGTTGTCCCAAAAAAGAAGAAGGAAAGCAACGCCAGCATCACCCTTACAAGAAGAGATGACTAATGTGGATTTAGAATTGCTACAGGACTTGTATGATTGCCTACCCTTTGCGACGGCGGTCTATGGTTGGAAATTCAACTTGGCGACTTCTGGCAAATGGCACAAGGGTGATATGGAAGCCTTGATCAAAATGACTCATGTGGATCCTTCGGACATTGTGACAGTAAACTGGGAAGCGAGACCAAATCGGCCTGTAAGTTTTGAGTTTTGTTTTGTGTTCTCCTTGCATCATTATATTATTATTATTATTATTATGGGATGGGATGATGATTGCTGCTTGGAACGAACGAATGCATCATGTTGGACTCACTCCTATGTCTTGTCTTGTTCTCTGTATGCTGTAAAGGCATTCTACATTGTCCGGGATCGCAAACGAAAACGAATCGTATTGGCCATTCGGGGGACATGGTCGGCCCAAGACTTGATGACCGATTTATGTTGTACGACGGAAGACTATCTTTCCGCTTCTTCTTCTTCTTCCAACAGTATTTTTGGAGGCGGCAAACAGCAACGACTGCGAGCACACAGTGGCATGCTGACATCTGCCCGAGGAGTGGCACTCTTGGCGGAAGATGTGATTGCGGAAGAATTGGACAATCATGCCGATTACAGTTTGCTGGTCGTGGGACATTCGATGGGTGGAAGTGCTGCAGCCGTACTGGGAACACTTTGGGCCGAGCGATTTCAACACGCCAATGTGACTGTGTATGCGTACGGACCCGCCTGTGTCTTTCCGGAATCCTTTCATGATAACTACAAGGGGGCAAATATCGTTTCGATGCTGCTGGATGGGGATCCATTCTCTTGTCTGAGTCTTGGCCATGTCGCCGACGTGAGTGGAGTATTGGATTACCTTTGCGAAGATACGGATATGCGACGACTAGTCGTTGCGCACACGGAGGAACCATTGAAGCGTATCCGCTCTCAAGACTTGGAATGGTGCTCCCGTACCATGGCCGATATCAAACGAGGACTGTGTCTCACTGAAAAGTTGTATCCTCCCGGGCAGCTGCTATTCATCCACAAAAAGAAGTCCAAGTATTCCAAACAGGCCGATTGGTCAGTCCACGAGGTGCCTCCATCGTTCTTTCAATACTGGAAGTTGGGCCCACGAATGTTTGATTTGACGCGACATTCACCCAAAGTATACGAAACTACTCTTCGAAAATCAATCGGCAGAGCCAAGCACCATACAACCACGAATGCCAAAGACAACAAACAATAGATAGAAACCAATAGATAATATAGATACTTTATGTCCTTGACTACAGCCTTTCCATGCAGCTTCTTTGTGAACAGGGTTCATGGATTACTGAGCATACCGGTACTTCATTACCGCAGTCTCCCCGCTTCGTTGCCATTCTTCACGATTCCTCTTTGCGTTTCGGAGCATCTCTTGCCCTGCCTTAGCAAACACTGGATGCTGGGCCAAGCGAGTTGCAAGCGGTATCACAACAAAGTCAAAGAAACCAAACTCGCCCTTATGCCAGAAGTCTGATGGATCGTTAGCCCCTCGTTCACATTGAAATGCAAACGTCGTTTCCTTGTACAATTTGCGATTCCATCGTTGATAGATCTCCCAGTCTTGCATAGTATGAGAAATGTCAGCCGCTTGAATCAATTGTTCAAGAATGGATGTCTTCAGGCGACCACAGTCGCAGTTAGGACCGGGCGAAAGACAATCTTCCCATCTTCTCATTCGATCCTGTTGCATGCTCTTGTCCATGATATCAGTCGCAAGGATTGTTTGAACTATCACTTGTCGAAAGTGTTCAAACTCAGTGTGAGTTTGGTAAACGGCTCTTCGCAACTCAAGAAAACACTCTTGGCCAAAGATGTGCCAGAAAACATCCAAAGAATTGCGCTCTGCTGTGCTTGTCGCATAGATCGTTGCAAGAGCATCGTTCTCTTGAGCAAGCTGCAGGTTCGAGACGCCTGGTGGTCGACATCATGAACTAAGGCCGCAATCAGTATAGCAAACTGTGACAGTGGATCAAGACTAGATTCGAATGATTGCATGACTTTCTGTAGCGACAGAGCAACGTGCGAAGCGTGATGGACATTGTGGAAGGCATGCGGATTGTAGGCCCCCGCTATTTCCTGCACGAAATCTTCCAACTGCTTTAGAAGGCTTGCGTGAAGTGGAGTTGTCGGACTGGACCCATTTGGTTGGCTTTGAATGCTGTCATCGAATTGAATGCAGTCCAATGGTTCCGCATGTCCAAAAACAGCCTCTCGTTCTACAGCTTGGAGTACTATTTCGCCGTCATGCTGTCCCTTTCGAGCTTGAGCAACTTTTGACAAGCATTCAAACAGATGTTTTGAATGACATGCGATCAGTTTTGACATCTTCTTGGACTTGTTGCTTACAGGCTTCATCTCATTAAATTCATCTTCAGAGGAAAATTCTTCTGATTCAGTAGCAGTAGTAGCCGCTACGCTAGCAAGTGAATTCCGAGATGCCATCCAGTCTGAATCAATAATGAGCCAGTACGTCGGTACCGCTCCAAGGCCCTTCAAGTGCACCACATCCTCTCGCTTGCTGATCCAATTTTGCTTCCCCTGATCTTTCAAGATGTTTGCCATCTCTTCGGAGATATGGATTCGCCCCTTTTCTCCAGAAGTCTCGATTCTGGATGTCTTATTCATGGAGTCTCCAAACCTACACCATCAAGAACAGCAACGGGAAAGCAACTCATTTTTTTGCAATAGAGCAACAAAAATCTTGAACAACTTACAACTGGAAGCGCGGAGTCTTGCCTCGAATCACACCCGCTGTTACTGGACCAGAATGCAGCCCGAAGCGCATGTCCAGATGAGCTGTGTCAGGCCCAAGCTCCTTCTCGAGCTTTCGTTTAACCTTTTTCATAGCATTCCTACAGTCACATGCAAACTTCTGTTGTGTGAAACAAAGGGTGAACGGCAGAGGTATGTGAGAACATGAACGTTCAGCGGTATAGTCACGAGGGACTATTTATTCCAACCTCTAGCCCCAAAACGACACTTACAGCCATAACAACAGCATGATCTTGACGAGGGTCTGGAAGACCGCAAACGGCTACGAAACAATCGCCAACAGTCTCAACCTATGAGTGTAGAAATGGTAATCAGGAGGATCAGATTGTGGATTCAAGTGACAGGGGGCATGTCAATCAAATTGAAATCATACATACCTTGAAAACACCACGCCTTTCCGCATGTCGGTCAAAGGCGTCGAAGATAGTCTCGAGCAAGGTGAAAACGTCTTTTGGTTCTCTTTTAGCACTCCAAGCCGTGAATCCTGCAATATCCGCGAACATGATGGTAGTCGCAGCAAAATGATCGGCAATGGGTTCCTTTCGGTCTGATGAATCGAGGGCGGACCTATCTGTGTTTATTTCACTGGAACCACTTAGTATCTGGATTGCATCCTTCATTCTTCCTTTGCTACTGGTAGGCTCGTGTTGAACTTCCAGCATCATTTGGTCGGCAACATTTTTCGGGAACAAACTGGAGACGATAGCTGTTGATCGCTCTGCAGTGCTTGTCACGAGACGGTTTCGTTTTTGTACGAAGTAAGTGTACATGAAAAAGACGACCGCAGTGAACCCAAAAGCTGCAACGATGAAAAAGGCGGCGAGGTAGGATATGTCTCGCTGCCATTGTTCAATGAACTCTTTTGTTGCATGGACCGAGATGGCATATCCACAAGAATCTTGGGCGATTGAAAAATCTGACAAGTACTCAGTCAGGGATTCACCATAGAGAGTGTAATGATTCGATAGGGAGGGAAGAATGTTAGGATTTTCAATGTTCTTGCCAATATAGATCACAGAATCTTTGTTGCTCCTGAAAAAGTATTTGTCTCCATCACTGCTGGGACAATCGTCATGCAACTCTACAACGACACCAGCGGGCTGATCTTGTAGAATATCTTCGAAGTATTCCGTCCATGAGATAGCGATTACTATCATAGACTCAAACTTTGGAACAAATCCTCCATGACTGGGTTCCAGAATCAGAAACTTTGGATCGGTGATGTTCTTCGGGCTCTCATTCCCCACAGAAGCATAATCCACCAAGAAATTGATATCTTCATGAATAGATCCAATAGAAGTCTGATATTTTCCATTCCGCAGTGCCAATGAAAAATCCCATTGCTCCTTGAACCAGTCGAACGACATCAAGTCAAACATGATGGGAGCCTGGGTTCCATTTGTAGGCGTTGGATACATTTGCCAAAGTGGCGCACTCAACTGTGCAGTTTCGTTGGTGTTGCCATAAATGTGCTCGCTAATCGTTCCCTCTTCTCGAATGGAAGTGAAAACAGGTCGATCATTATAGAGGTCGTAAAGGAAGTGGTCATAGTCGATCCAATCTTGATGTTCTACAGCATAGGCTTCAAATCTCGCCCGATCATTTGCCGAGACAGAGTGAGCAACACCCATCATTTGCCCTCCTGAAAAGTATTTCATCAAGTGGCCTGAAGTGATCCCAAACGTAGAATAGGTCAAGTTTGGAAGCTGCACCTCCTTGTGAGCCGTTTCCAAGATCAAGCCTGCTGCCATGTGCTCTCCTGCTTGCAACGACCGTCCCAAAACATCTTGAACACTATTGAACACTTCTTGCGAGCGCTCGTCAAACTGAAATGCGAGAAGTTATGAGACATGCTTAAAAGAGCGAACATTTTCGGCACGCAAACGACGCGATACTACTCACTTCGGCCGTATACCAACGAATATCCTCTTCTTCCATGAAGAAGTACGTCACAGCACCACATAGAAAGGCCGATAGGAAGAGAACAAAGAACACCATACACTTGGAACGATTGACCCATCTAGTATCAGCTTCCCCCAGCTTATTGGAAACTATGCTTGTCGCTTGAAGCGATGCAACACTCTTGAGATCTTCCTCGTCATGGCTGTAAATTGAAATGACAGATTGCGATTTATCCATTGCGTCTTCGTTGTTGATTATCATGGAAATTTATGAAGAGTGGTCATTGGAGATGAATTCCCACAAGAAAGTGGACCTAAAATCACCGCGGTCACACAAGAGATTGTCCACATTTTCTATTCGTGATCCGTCAGCTGGCGGACATTTTCTGTTCTATATATATCAGCTGGCGGACCATCTGAATATTAGCATATTTTCCGGTGATTTCTTTTCGAAAAGAAAAAATTGTACAATTTTTTAGATTCTCCAGAAGGCATTAGGCCCTATCGTAGTGAAACTGACGAGTAAGAATCTTTTTTTAAGCGCGCGATCCTCTTGGCCAAGATCTTTTTCCGGCATCCGGTACCATTTGCTCCCAAGAATTCCGTACCTCTACCCGTCACCACATTTTATATAATCACATCTTGTTTTCGCAAAACAGTTGTAAACAGCTGATTTAGTCAAATCAGTTGTACCGAATGTTGTATGCACCATATTCTTTCGAGCTAGTACTGTTACTCTCTAGCCATCGTCTATGGGTCTTACATTACGTCTGTCCGTCGCAGGACTCTCCATCTCTGAGCGAGGGCAAACAACAGAAAAATTCATATAAATCATCCTTCATTTTTCTAACCTTTTATTGACAACTTTAAAATCTGGAAACTTCAATATGTTGTGCAACCTTTCAATTACAGTCGTTGCGACTTCGGTCAGCTTGATTTTTCGGTTTGGTCAGTGACTTTATTGAACTGACCGCGAGATTAGAAAATCCTGTTTTTGTTCAGTTGGTTGTTGGCAGAGAGAAGGATTCGTTTCATCGTCGTCGGTTGATGGAAAAGCCGAAAGATGATCAGACACATAGATGTTTCATCTTCGAGGCACTGCTGGAGTCAGCAAAGGAACCCCGTTTTTCCAATGGATGGTCGGAATGTTGTCATTGTGTTGGAGAAATGTTGGTGACAAATCATCAGGACTCTACAGCCGTCGTCTTGCAGTCGACCCATATCGTCTGTAGGTCGCACGTAAACGAGCGAAGGGTCTCCCTACCGGTAGTAATAGTCCACTCTACAGCCATCGTCTTGCAGTCGACCCACACCGTTTGTAGGTCGCACGTAAACGAGCGAAGGGTCCTCTCGCTCGTTTACGTGCGACTGACAGACGGTAAAGGACGAAATAGACGATGACTATAGAGTGGCCCTTGCGACCGACAGACGGGATGGGTTGACCGCAAGACGAGTGGAAATGCGATGCGTGTCTGGAAACTTTTGTCGATGTTGAGGAGCGAGCAGCTCCTGTCGCCAAAGAATTTTCTATCGCCGGCCAACTTTGATTGTCTGCACCATATAAAAGTGACGTCGTAGAATGCTTGAGAAATGTGGTACATTTCGGCCCACTCGGAAGCAAATCTTAGACGAATTCAACGCATGAGGCGAGCAAACTTGCCTAAATACCTTGCTAAGTGTTGTCACGGAAATTGCGCGACGATCGATCGCCGTAAAATTTGTACCACCGTGATAAGCTAATCCCGAGTTCGTACGTTACATTCGTGGTTTGAACACTTGCGATCGCTTCCAAGAACTCGGATGATGTGACGTGATTCCCGGATGTGGTACACAAAACCAAACATTGCAAATCCATACACATTCTGATCAAAAGTACCCAACCAAACACAATGGCTCGTATTCAACACATTCATCCAGCTTCCGTATTGGCCTCCCCGGCTCCAAAGTCACATCGAGAATTTCGCGCTCTGCGACAACCGCAAGAGCAACCACGCACAAGCAAATCTGGTGATAGATGCCAACCACCACGCTCACAATCCCGATCACCCATGAGAGCAACTCGTCCAGACTACCATACTACATCCGTCCCAACTCAAACTACCCCATTGCACATGAGAGTCAATAGTAAACACGATCGCTCAGAAACTATCATGAGACTTGAACAAGGAGGAAAAGTCAGTGACAACAGATCTCTTATCTCAGATCTTGACATGGAATCCCTAAAGGCAAACCCTCACTGGCATCCATCCAGAGACCCTACCTTTATTCCGTTTGTACCCCCAACCGAGATTACCATTATCACCAAAGAGCCCATTCGGGAAGAACCTGCTAGTGCTCCTCCTGCCAACAGATCGTCCACCAGTGTTGTCGGTGGAAGAAATCCAATCACTGGAGCCGACTTTGTTCTGCGGCAAAGCAAAGAATATAACCCTGCAAAGGTAGAGGAAGATCATTCATCCTTCAACACCAGCGAAACGGAAGACATTCTGAGCGATGGTTACGGCTCCACCGAGACCATGATGCAAGGAAAGAGTCGTAAAGGTCTCCTGCGTCGAGAGATTAGCAACCTGCTTCTCAAGAAGGTCAATGTCTTTAAGCGAACAGGAACCCCAAGCCGAGGAGTCTTTCGCGTCCAAAGTCGCAGCGGCTGTATGGTATAAACATTTTGTATCAACTATAGCTAGCATTTTATAAGATGCACAAATTTAATAAAAAATAGATGACCGATCATATTCACATTCTGAAATTATAATTTATACATCTACTTCTATCTCATTGAGTCTGCTATAGTCCATGAATTAAAAGTCGCGATACCTCCAGTCACTCTGCCCTTCAAGGATACCCAAAGTGTGCACTTGTAGGAGTAGTACCATTACATTTACATTTTCTCTATCATATAAAACTATTACGGTCCTGTTGGGACTTTGGTAGGAGCTTTGCTCGGAGCTGCAGATACTGTCGGTCGGTTAGTTGGTGATGGACTCGGCGCACTTGATGGTGTCGCGGAGGGCATACTAGTTGGTCTGAGTGACACTGTGGGGCCACTTGTCGGCCCTGATGTGGGACCTTCGGTCTCGCACTTCTCCCAACAGTCAAGCTTGTATCTGTACTCATAATAATCGTCCATTTCAGAGGGAGTCTCGCAAAATGTGGAGGTAGTCTGGTTTACATTGTTTTCGGAGCCACACATGAACAAGTAGAAAGTGACTTCCAGTTCACCGTTTGTACAATCTCCCGTGTACGACCTTCTGTTATCAAAGGTGGCAGTGGTCTGGACATTACACGTGGAAGTGGAACCTGCACTGGGATACGTCATTGCTGCCAGAGAAGAAATATTGGATGCAAACAACCGCGGCTGGAGTCGAAAGGTCACACTTTCACCATCTTGACTCTGGTCGATGATGTGGACTGGGACCCATCGTGAGAGGTAATCAATTCCTGTACAATTTGCATCTGGCCCATTTCCAATCTTGGATTGTATGCGTTCTGCGGCAGTCCAAATGCATGGAGTGGGGCGAATGCTGATGGTTGGGAACATTGTTGGCCTACTGGAAGGGGTCCTAGTTGGACTTGGGCTGGGCTGGAAGGAGGGCACTTGACTCGGCACATCTGATGGAACCATGGACAGAGTTGGAATGATGGAGGGGACAAGACTTGGTACCGCAGACGGTCTGGTACTGGGTAGTGCACTTGGCTGAGAGCTAGGGTTCAAACTCGGAACATCACTCGGTGATTCACTTGGACTTTCGGAAGGAGCGGCGCTGGGCATATCGCTTGGAACCACAGAGGGCAGAGCACTCGGGATAACACTTGGGAGCATAGAGGGTTGAGAGCTTGGATTTGTAGATGGCTCAGAACTTGGATTGGTAGATGGGCCTTCACTCGGTTCCGAAGATGGTGTATCCGTAGGGGCGTAAGTGGCATTTGTCATGGACGGCATTTGGGAAACACTGGGGAGGAACGACGGCTGGTCCGTGGGAAATAGCGTCGGGGTGACTGTGGGTGCGTCAGTTGCAGGAGCTACATTGACTGTTGTTACAATCTTTTCGCCGTCCACCGTGAATTCGAAAGTAAGGGCTGAAATCTCTCCTGCAGCGTTAAACACAGCGTTGACAGTAGTGACGAGGGACTGGCCGGACCCTCCTCCTCCTCCTGATCCTCCGCTTGCACCACTGCCACCACTACCACCTCCTCCACCACTACCACCATTGCTGCCACCTTCCCCACTGCCACCTCCACTTCCGTTGTCGTTTCCGTTCTCATCTTTGATGTCAGTGATGTATCCTTTTGCCAGTTGAATGAACTCGTCACTAATCTCTGCGTCATCGGAAAGTTGCTTGACTCCGACCAAGACAACTTGAATAAACTCTTGAAAAAACTGAAAGCTTTCCATTGTTTCCAAGCGTCGAGGAAGGGAATTTTGTCGCAAGTTGCGGCGTAAGTCTTCATTGTCAGCAAAGCCTCCAAACATGGGATTGACTTCAGGGCAGCCATCGCAGAAGAGAACCGTCTCGAAAGTTGTCTCTACAATGGAGTTATTCACCTCGTTTGCTGGGAAGACTACCTGATCGACTAATTTGGCTCCATTCAATTCTCGTAGGAACTCGTCCGAACATCCATCACCCACTGTAATGTTGTTGTAGGCTTCCACCAATAAGCTCTCCAATAGTAAGGATTCCCTTTCATCAAACTCTTCGGTGAAGCCCTCCATCAAAAATGATACTCGGGCCGGTCGCACAGTAGGATTGACCAAACCACACGAAGACACGATCGTTGTTGCCTCACTGACCACCGTATTGTTACCTCCCGAAGAAGTGACAATAACGGCAGCAACTCCTGCAACGGTAGCCACAGCTGCGGTGACGCCAACAGCTGAGGCAGCAGCGGCAAAACCACCAGCAGCTGCCGCTCCAGCTGCAGCAGCGGCGGCTGCTCCTGTGAATATGGAATGACACAAAAAGCAGTGATTAGCATTTGATGTACATTTGGAGTCTAGACTAGAACTAGCGACAGTTGCAGAACTTACCAGCAGCTGCTACTCCAGAGGATGCAGCACTCCCAGCAGCACTGGCAGCTTGCCCAGCCATGGCTTGGGCGCTGAAGGAACAGCAAGTGAAGGAAAGAAGAAACAAAGTGAGCAATACATGATTGCGGATTCTTTTAGATACAGCCCAGACTTACGGTCCTTGTGCTCCTTGAGCGGCTTCTCCACCACCGCCACCACCTACTCCACCGCCTTCTACCGCGGCGTTATTGGCAGCCGCCGCAATTTCATCGTCGCCATCGCTTCCTTTCCCAAAACATCTGGCACAGCCAGACAAAAATGTAGTGAGAAGTTGCACGAATGCAACTGCTCCGAAGAAAAGGGCGGTATACCATTGTGTCTTGTCTCTATCGCCTTCGTCTTTGGTCACTTTTTCCGTGCTGTAGACGGACAGGGAGGATTCGGAAGGCCCCTTGGTGTTATCATCGTCAGGCTTTCCCGCTGGATTCATTTCAGGATGCTTCTTTCGGAAGGCTTGCTGAATTTGTAAGGCAGCCTTTTCGGTGCGTGTATACAGTAAGAAAGCTTCGTCGGCTTCCATGCGTTCCTTCACTGTTACAGTGGATCTCGCGGATCTCCGACTAGTGACAGAGCTGCCACTGGTTCTATTTTGGCGCCCCTTCCTATCATTTTCCAGGAAACCTAGATTACTAAGTTGGGTGCGCATATTCAAAAGGCCTTCGACGGTACTGTCATGCAATGCGCTGTCATGTAAGACGCTGTCTTCGTCTATTGATAACGTGCTTCTTCGGCTAGCAACACTCTTTCCACTTCCTCTAAAGCTCGTTCCTCTTGGTATCTTAATGCTAACACTCTTTGCACTATTCCGCTTGCTACTAAAACTCTTTCCACTTCCTCGAGACTCTGTTGCAAGGTCAAGACTGACACTGCTGTCACTGCTGTTGAGGTCTAGATCGAAGTCGAGACTCACGCTCTCTTGCACATCAAGCTCCAAATCGAAACTCTTGAAGGTGTCAATGCTATCAGTGCTCGGGATTCGTTTGAGCCTGCGAGGAGCTTCTTCTTCTTCCAATAGTCCGAAACTCTTGAAGCTGTCAACACTATCACTGCTCGGCCTTAGACTGACGTTACGAGTTCCTTCCAGCAATTTCCGGCTGCTCCGACTGTGACTGCTCTTCTTGTCCACCTCATTATGCTTTCGACTTCTTTTGCTGCTCACACTCCTGCCACTGCTGCCATGATGATCCAGCTTTTGGCTGTTATTGGTCTTGGAAATCTTCGTTCCGCCCAATGTTCGGCTGCTTTGGGCTTTGCTATCCACTCTTCTTCTGTTGCTGACGCTGGCACCAGATCCAAAGTTTCGCGTGCTCTGGCTTCTTCGACTCTTTCGGCTTGTTCGGCTCTGATCATCAGCAGTCTCGTCTTCCACCAAAAGCCTTTCACTGCTTCTACTGCTTCTCTTGCTATTGCCGCTTCCGTGTCGTTGGCTGCTGCTTCGTTCCATGGTGCTGGTCTTATCGTTTCACCCACACGACGTGCAGATAAAACTTAATAATGTTGGTGTTGCAATTTGGAATACCCGGTATCGATGATTCGCCACCCCGACCCTGTTTCCACTTATTGTTGAAATCGAATGTAAGGTCATTGAAGAAGGGGAAGGGGTGAGATTATGTCTCTCATTAAGTTTCCAATATGTGTAACCACGAACGCATTAAATAGAAAAGAAATGCCGGGGGTTTCAAAATTCTCCTTTTTAAAAAAAGGGACATTTTAATATTTCCGAACCTTCTGATCGAGCTGATTCAGCTCATTTGGACGACTAGCACGAGTGTTCAGATCTGACATCATCAAAATGTGTGTTTTTGCAAATCACACGATGAGAAACAAATCAGCGGTCTCATTCAATTTTATCATCACTGTACATGACAAAGTTTTCCATCCAAATCGTCCAACTTGTGACTCTTCTATTCTTGAAGTTAAAATCGTCCCATGGATTCGTTGCAAGAAACCATGCTAGAGGGCAGCTCTCTGCGATCTCGTTGTCATTGGATCATCCAACATCATGGCAATCTGAATCAGCAATTCTTATGGATGCACTGCCAATTGCTATAAAAAGTGACAAAGATACGATGCCTCCATTACAAGAGGATACTGCTACTTGGACTCAACAACAAGTTTTGCTCGGAATCGGAGCTCTCTGTGTGTCAGGAGGATTGCTTTTGGTCGACAGCCTACCAGCGAACGCTCATGATTTGATGGCCCACAATCCTGTAACCACGATAGATACAGCTACTGTTATGATTCCTTCGTCCGCAATGACGGATACACCAACAATTGATATGGCTTCAGCAGCTACGGTAGTGGCTCCGATTGATTGGAGTGCCATTTTCCAAAAGGCATCCAAAAAGGCCTTGGGTGGTGGCAAGGCTGGTGCTTCCGCAGCGGTGGTTCAAGTCTTTAGTCTCATGTGGTTGAGGACGTCCATGAACTATCAATATCGGTATGGTGGCAATCTACTTTCGTCGCTACAAACATTGTGGCAAGAAGGTGGGATTCCTCGCCTGTACCAGGGATTACCCTTTGCCTTGGTACAAGGTCCGTTGACGCGGTTCGGAGATACGGCGGCAAATGTGGGCGTTTTGACACTATTGGAGAGTATCCCTGAAACACAAACATTGCCGCTACCCATCAAAACGGTCCTAGGTACGTATTAGGGCGGATGATTGGATATGCTTTGCTTAATTTTGAGCACATTTCATTGACGACGTTTTGTTGCCCTTTTCCATTCTCTACTCTTTCTTTCTCTCTATATAGGTTCCATTGCTGCTGGATCATGGAGAATTATTCTAATGCCGATTGATGCCTCCAAGACAGCGATGCAAGTAGAGGGGGCCGAAGGATTGTCTAATCTTTGGAACTTGACTGTTGCTGAAGGACCAGGCCCACTCTACCAAGGCGCACTCGCATCGGCAGCGGCTACAGCGGTGGGTCACTTTCCCTGGTACACTACCTACAACTATTTGAACCAACTCTTGCCAGAAATTGCAAAGACGGAAGACTTGTTTCTCTCCTTGGCTCGGTCAGCCCTTATTGGATTTTCAGCATCTTGCGTCTCAGATGTTTGCAGCAATAGTTTGCGAGTCATCAAGACTACCAAGCAAACAGCACGTCTCTCGGAAAAGGACAAAAGTGGCGGAGACGGCGATAAAAACAGCCCTACTAGGGAAGACATCTCGTACGCCCAAGTTGTCAAACTGATTATAGAAACAGATGGTCTGAAAGGTCTATTTGGCCGAGGTCTCCAAACACGATTGTTGACGAACAGTGTGCAGGGTGCTGTCTTTAGTGTCTTGTGGAAGTACTTTCAGCAGTCCAATGGTAGTGCTTGAGCTGACTGTCGTCATTTTAGACTACTCCTCAAGGATGAGTGCATGCGTACATGCTAAGGATGGCTGGAGTCGTGAAGTTACCGAGATTCACTCGTCATTCCATTGTGCTGAATAAAGTGGGGACTCAAGCAATATATCGTCAGCAATTGCATATGATATTGTTCAAATGCCTTCCATGACTAAGAAGGGAAAGGTGATGCGCCCCTTGTTGAAGCTTGACATGACCATTGTTGTTGGGGAATCAAATCAAAAAAATTTATAGTCATCAGATTAAGATGACATGGTAGAATAACTTGGCTTTTATTGTATTTTATTTGGCGCTCTAGCAAATCGAAATCGCACCATCGTGTCAATCGATATCGAATGCGTCTTCTCTAGGTATAATCTCGACTGGCGGCTTATCGTCCAAATTGAAGCTTATCTTTCTTCTTCTTTTTCTTCTTGCCATCATCCTTTCCTTTCAATTCTTTGGCAGCGGCAGCAGCGGCGGTGTTCGTCTTTCCCTTCTTCTTGGCCTTGGCTTTCAAGACTGCAGCAACGTCCACTGGGCCGCTTTCCTCCTTTGTTTCCTCAGCAGATTCCGCAGGGGCACCACCAGCACCACCCTTCTTTTTTTTCTTGTTTCTCCTTCTCTTAGCATTTGATGATTCCGCAGCACCATCATTACCTTGTTCTTGCGCTGGTTCATCAGTTGTCGTTTCTGTGGTGGCAGGAGTGTCAGTGGCAATGCCAAATTCGCTGAAAATGTCATCGAGATCTTCAGATTTCTCTTCCTCTTGTTTTTTCTTCTTTTCTTCCGCTGCTTTTCGCGCCGCTTCTAACCTTTTCTGGCGTTCAGATTCGTCTTCTTCTTCCTCCTCCTCTTCTTCATCGCTGCTTTCTTCCTCTTCCTTTCGTTCGTGATCACTGTCATCATCATCAGCGTTCGTGTTCATGCCATCGGGAACAGACACTTGCTCAGGTTGTTCAATTGGCTTCAACAACTGATATAACGGCGATTTGATGTGAATTTGCCAAAGGATTACAAGTTGGTTCAAAGTAAATGGTTCAAAGAATCAATCAACGTCAATGTGAGAAGGATGAAAATTTCAGGGGAAAAAAATGCCAATCATTGATTCAATCATACTTCGTCTCCAGCACATTCAAACAAGGTTTTCTACAAGCCACGACAACATTGTACAATCACTCACTTCTTGGGGTGCAACGGCATCTTCAGATGGCTCGATAGGGGCGTCCAATCCAGCATCCTCTTCATCAGTTGTATCGGCCCACCTAGAATCCATTGTTTCGAAAATCTATAGAAATATCGGATGAAAGTTGTTGGTGTATCAGTACTGTAGCGTGGATCTTCTTAGGGCCAGTTCAATGCTATGAGTATGAAGTAAGGTATTGTTTCTTTGCTAAAGGCAATCGTCAAAGGTATAGTTAGGTAGTAAGAGATATGTGTCCGTCAGTGGGGGTTTGAATTGTTTGAATCGTTGAGGGCCAATCGCAAATATCCACGATGAGATGTTGAAGAACCATGGACGGCTGGCGTGCAATGTGTGGGCCACCTTAAATCTGACTGAAACGGCCGATGACAGACGCTCAGCGCGCCAAAACAAACACAATGAACAAACACAAACCAGTAGATAAAGATATAAACAGAAAACTTCATGTTCATTATTCTTATTTCTCCAAGCATCGTAAGGAAGCAAGCTTTACAAGATGCGCGGATGTCGATCGGTCACAACGAAGGTCACACCCTTGCTGCCAGCTTGAATTAAAGAAGAATCGTGTCGCTGGTTTGAAAATGTCGCTCTTGATCCTAGACATCGTCGGAAGGCATTTCCCAACATCTGGTGGTCTCTATTTTTCCGTCCAATGTCGAGTTCTTTGTCGACAGATGTGCCACATGGCAACAGGCGAGTAGGCGAATGGTTCAAATTCAACCAGATACCACCAAATCCCCGATCGTCATCTGCAGCCAGAAAGCGCCCAACTCGAACATTGGATTCAGTCAAGTAGGAAACAACTTGGAATGACTGCATCATTTGATGTAGATGTGGAATGTACATTATATCTTACCGTTGCCAGAGTGAAGAACAAGTACCTTTGACAAAATTTGCGTTCTTGCGTACTTTCACTTGTGTCCTCGGTCGAATGGATGAATACTCTTGCGGATGGAAAAGCGGAAATGGAGTTGCACCGAGAGTAATGTCATGTCATTGCTACCTTAGGAAGAAAAACGTCGGAAAACTTAGCAGAGAAATCAGCACATTTAAAATATATTGATTGAGCAAAAAGTGAGCCAGTTCCACGGGAAAAAATCAAAATCCTCTCAAGGGTAATATTGGTCACTCGACCAAATCATATTGTCATCGAAATTGCAGCCAGTTCCTCCAGCGCAACCATTCTCCAGTTCAGCCTTGGTACAAAGGCGTGCTCCCGCACCAGCACACAAATTGAAAGCCTCGTCATAAGATGTATTCTCGTGGCATACTCCATCAATTTCCGTCTCAGCGAACGGGCACGATTCATATGGGACACTTCCACCTTCCCGTTTCCGATATCCTGGTAGTTCAGCGTCCGAACAACAACGAGTTGCAATAGCCTCCCAACCAGTGACGCCTCCAATTCTATCATACGACGCATCCTGCGCCAATGCAGGAATAGGGCAGCGTTCCTCCCTCCCACACACAGTCCAATAAGCAGTAGTTGAAGGTTGGATATCTGCAGTACTTGTCCAAGCAAATCTATTATTGTGTCCACAGCCGGTGTTACTCGCGCAGTTAGACGAAATTTCGATGGCTGTGCAGAGTCGGGCTCCCGCACTACTGCACAAAGCATCCGCTTCATGATACGTCACAGAATTATAGCACACTCCATCTACTTCCGAATCAGCGTATGGGCAAGAGGCATCGTTCTGTTCAAATCCTGGCAGCGAGATGTCCGAACAACATCGAACGGCAATCTCAAGACCGGACGGGCTTCCTCCCATCCTGTTATTATTTGAGTTTTGAAGACTAGCGGGCTCACTGGAACATCCATTTCGGGCCCCACAGGCGGCCCAATGAAAACTGGTGATAGTTGGCTGAGAACTGGGAGTCTGTGATGGTAGCCTCGATGGTATTGTACTTGGCTTTAAAGTTGGCGTAGAAGTCGGATCCATCGATGGGGCTGGAGAAGCAGTTGGTGATACGCTTGGGACATTTGTAGGCGATCTGCTCGGTCGAACAGTCGGTCGCAGCGATGCAGCCGACGTTGGTATCAAAGATGATGTTATTGATGGTGTCACTGAAGGAGTCTCACTTAGTGCTTTGGATGGACGCAATGAAGGGGTGTCTGAGGGTATTTCACTGGGAGGAGTGCTTGGACTTTCGGATGGTACTTTGGTTGGCAGAAAGGATGGGTTTACCGATGGCAGGGCTGTGGTTGGAACACTTGACGGTACCGAAGTTGGTATCAAAGATGGAGCTCGGGTAGGCACTCCAGAAACTGTCTTTGTCGGTGTCGCCGTCGGCAGAGGTGTGGGAAATGCACTGTCTTGAACTGTTGGGGACTCACTTGGTGCGAAGCTCGGAGCATCACTAGGCATACTTGATGGAGAAGCAGTCGGTGTCAAGTTGTCTATCCTTTTGCGCAATTTGACAATCGAAAACGGATCCGACAAACCCAAATGATTCGAGATGTTCTCCTTCTCATCACTTATGAGATCAATGATATCAAGGAACCTCACTCGTCCTTTCAGAAACAGATCTAGTTGAATGGACATAGAGTGGCAATTTTGTGTTGCCAGTGCTTCGTCTTTGCAGGTTTCCTCAGACTGGACACTACCAGTCACGTAGGCATCGAAAATAACAAAACGCCAATCATCCACGAACTCGTCCACAGGGATATTGCAGCCAGCCAACGACGGAAGGGTCTTTTCTTGAATCGCGTCCAACAGTTCAACCACCAATTGTTCTGTCATCGTTCGGTCTTCGGATAGTACGACTTCCAATCCCAGGCCAAAAACAGCATCGTCCATTTCGTCTCGACCAGCGATAGTTTCGTTTTTTGAGATGGCATCGCAATTTGATTCGTTCGGAGGCTGAAATAACAGATCCGCTAAGAAAGGAGGCGAAGTAGGTGACATAGTCATACTTCCCTCGTCTGAAGGAGCTACTGTTGCCACGGTTGTTGACGTTGGGGCGCCAGTCGGCGCTTGTATATCAGCCGATGTCGTGTTGATCTGGCTGTCTTCACTATTGTTGTCATTCTTTGAGAGAAAGAACCATGCCGCTACTCCTCCGCCAAGTAGCAACAAAAACAATAAGAAACAGGCGATCCGCTTTTTCCTCTTTGACTTTTCCGGTGCTTCATCGTTTCCGTTTTTGTGCTTCGTTGGCATAGCTTCAGGATCATTTGGTATTCGCAAGTTATCCATGGCTTCTGATGAGTTGCCCATGTCAATCGCACTCTTGAGTGCTGGGTCTGTAGTACTCCCTAACTCGGAACCCGTACTAGTTGTGGACAGACGTCTTGCAACAGGCTCTTCGCTATTGATTTCGTCATGTTCCACCAGTGTAGCAGGAAGCGCTACGTTTTCGACACGCGGATTACTTGCAAACACTGGTCCACCTCTTGCGACTTTTGCCTTGGCTTTAGCATCCGAATCAGTGCCGTACAGCATACTGATACTGATCGAAGTATGGGTGCTGCTATTGAGTCCTGTATCTACACCAGGGTTGCTTGCGTATTCCGATCCACCTCTGGAAGATTTTGCTTTGGCTTTGGCATCCAAATCAGTACCGTACAGCGTACTGATCAATGTGAGGGTGCTATTGTCGACTACGGTCTCTACACCAGGTTTGCATGTAGATTCTCCGCTTCCTCTGCATGTTTTTGCTTTGGCCTTGGCATCTACGTCATTTCCATAGAGCGTACTGATCGGTGTGTGGGTGCTATTGTCGACTACGGCCTCTACACCAGGTTTGCTTGTAGATTCCCCGCTTCCTCTGGATGCTTTTGCTTTGGCCTTCGCATCTGCGTCCTTTCCATAGAGCGTACTGATCGTCCTGGTTGAGTTGCTTGGTACTTCGAGTACACCTGGAACTCGGGCAGATTCTCCGCTTTCTTTTGATGTTTTTGCTTTAGCCTTTGCATCCGCATCGTTTCCGTATAAAGTATTCACGGGTGTGCTACCATTCTCTCTGATGTGTTCCACACCAGGCTTGATCTCTTGCTGTGAGCTCTCTCGCGACGCTTTTGCTTTTGCTTTTGCCTTCGCATCTCCATCCTTTCCGTACAGCATACTAGAAATTGCCCCACCTTCTTTTCGCTGAAAGCTTTGGCTCGATAATCTTGGCTTCGACTCTGTTTCCTCTCCAGCGAAGCTGTCTTCGTCACTGAAATCCTCGTCTTCGGTAAGAACCCCCATTGCCCCGAGACTTAACATGCTGTCAGTGCTGTGGTGCCTTCTAGGTTTGTTGTTTGATTGGCTGTGGTGACTATCGCTCGGACTCCTTAATGACGAACTCTTTGATCGCCTTTCCGAACTACCAAGCTTGGCGTGCGACGACCTGGAAAGTCGACCAGAAGAACTCCTTTTCCTAGTAGCCCGCGATGGACTGTTGGATGCTCCATCAGCACTGTTTCGCCTATCACCACTGCGACGTCTGTTGTGTGAAGATCGATTTTGTGCCCTTTCAGAACTACTTCTCCGACTCGAACTGTCATGGCGAGAAAGAGATCGACTTGACGTTTGTTTCCGAGAACTGCTTCGGTTGAGGCGTGAAGAGCGACTCTGCATCGGTTCAGAATTATCCAGTCGCTTGTGTGGAGGTCGGCTTGATTTCACATCGGAAGAGCCACTCCTTCTATGAGACGACCCACTTGATCTACCAGACGACCGATGTGAAAGTTTCCTAATATTTGTCGGGCGAGGCCCAGAGTTTCTAATTGCTGACTCGCCAGTTGCTTCTGATTTGGTGGAAGGCAAGCCATTCTTGGTGCTTCGTTCTTCGTCTTCTCTTTTTGGTGTGCTCATTGAGGGGTAATCGATATACTACTCACAGTGCTTCCAGGATGGATAGATGAGTGGTGCTACAGCAGGTGATTTTTTTTGGAGGTGCGTGTATGATTCACAGTTCTGAGCTTGCAGAATCGCGGGATTGCGATTCTGGACGGTGGGAGTTGTGGCATCACTTATGACCTTTTGCCCAACGAGATTGTGTTTTCAGTTTCATTTAAATCAGCGACCAACTCATTGGGCCTCCTACGTTTCCTTGGAAAACATTTTATAGGGGAAAAAGGTGGCCGTCGTTTGGCGCGTTTATTCAATCAAATTTGAAGCGTATATTTCCTACTGAACAAAAGTATTTCTAAAAAAATTCTTGTGACAGAAACTGACCATGAGAGCTGTAGCCGCTATTTGTTTTTAATGCCGAAACTTTTCGATAAAAGCGCCGAGGACCTTCACCGCCGTCTCGGTCGAAGGCCAACAGTCGGTGCTAAACATACTTGCACTGTATTTTAAAATATATCACTGGTAGTAAAATTGACCTCGGGAACCCACTTTTATTATTTTTTTAAAAATTACCTTACTTTGTAATGGCTATGGCGGACGAGACAATTCTCAGTGTCAGTAAATTCGAATAGACCCCATCACTATGGTAACAATGATAACGGTAGATCATAAAAGGATAAACATACTGTACAGTTTTGATTGGCAATGCGCTTTTCAGCTTATCGATACATCGGTCGACAGCAAGACGAAAGTGCCGTCTGGACCTATGTGCGTGCCACCGGATCATAAAAAAACATTGCTTTTTGTTGTGCTGGCCAAAACTTCCACCTGTATACTTCTATTTGGTGTCTACCCACAGCATATACTTTATTGTTCCTCTGAGAAGCAGACGTTGACAAGCAACCATGGCGCATCGAAAAATCAACTGGGAAGAAGTGAAGAAAATGTCAGCGCTGGAAAGCAACCATGATTTCACCAACAAGCTCAGGACCCTCTCGTTGGTAGATCAACAAACCGAAATTCGTTCGTTGCTGCGATCCTTTGGGACCGATATTGAAAAAAATGACTCGGATCCGTTTGGGAATGGCGATCAATCCGCGATTCCCACCCTCGAAGGACGAACCCGAGCCAGAGAACTCTTTTCGATCGGAGGCGATCTACCAGCAGCGACTTTTTCGAAATCATTTTCACCGTTTGCTTTGGCATGTCTCGCTGGAGAGCCAGCGCCAGTCAAGACAATGATTGAGGATGTTTGCAGTAAATTGAAACAACCTTACTCTCGACAAAACAAGCTGAAGGAGTTATTGGATGGTCGGGAGACAGCCATGCGTCATTCACCATTGTTGTTATTGTGGTCGGCAGGGAAGATGATGATGGGGATCAATAAGAGCAAGTATGTCACAATTTCGAAATTGCTATTGCGAGCCGGGGCCAGCCCAGACTGCCAGGATGTTGTAGGCAAGACCGTGGTACATTATGGAGCGGGGATGATGGCAACCGACATTACCTTGGAAATTGTTGACGTGTGCATTGAAGCAGCTAAAACTTCGCACATGTGTGGAAGAGATGTAGTTCTGAAGGGATTACACAGTGCTGAACTAAATGGAAAGACTGGAGTAGCTGGTGGCTTTGATGCTGACTCTGGAAGACGTAGCGTCTACATTCGAGATTTAGACCGGGAGGTTTGGGTGAAGGTAGAAAATATCGAGTTGATTGATGACACGACGAAATTAGATCTATTACATGGGAAGCGAATTGTACTGGCTGGTTTGAAAAACGAAGCCATGAACGGAAAGAAAGGCATCGTCGGTGCTTTCGATAGTGATGCAGGACGCCACGGAGTCTACATTCCCGAGATGAGGAAGGAAGTATGGATCAAAAAGGAAAACATTAGTGTTCCAGTGGATGAACCAGCTTTGAACCTGTCAGGGAAGAATGTCGTACTATCCGGGCTGAAAACGGCAAGCTTAAACGGAAAGAAAGGTATCGCAGGTCAATTTGATTCTAGCTCGCGGCGACTGAGTGTATTTATTCCGGAAAAGAAGAAGGAAGTCTGTGTCAAGATCGAAAACATTAGCATTGATGATTCTGCAAAGAAGCTGCTGTCAGATGTACAAGATCGGCTTGGTAGCGTTTCACTACACGAAGTTGTAATGAACGACAGGGAGGACTGTGCCAAGCTTCTACTCGAAAAACACAATACAAGCATTCATACCAAGGATTACGATGGAAGCGGCCCATTACAAATGATTGTCAGTGTTGGAGCCGCTATGAATACCAAGGTTGGCAGAATTATTTCATCCGTCACTCGAAAGGAGGCTAAGATGGCTCATAGTGCCAAGAAGGCAGTCCTCAACTCCTACTGTGCCAACTGCAACAAGTCTCTTGGTACCGATGGTGGAATGAAATGTTCCAAGTGCAAGGTCACACTCTACTGTGGAAGAGATTGTCAGGTAAAGCACTGGAAGGAAGGGGGGCATAAACAAGAATGCAAGCTTCTTGCCGCTAAAAAAGAAGGTGTCCAGCTGTCTCGTGACTATATTCAACACCATGCCAACATGGAACTGGCCGCCAGGATATATGGACCGCAATTTAGGGACAGCTTTCGGATCCCGCAAGGTGTGAAACCGGGAGAAAAATTCGTCATCAAGGTCCAAGCCAATGACGAAGATATGCCACTGATGATCTATGATGAAACTCGAACTTGCCAGCTTTGTTACTTGCCAAACGGGCCTGGGCATTCAGAGATGTGGAGGGAAGCAAAAAACGAACCAGCATGGGGTGGTCGCAAGACATACATGAAGGCATCATGGACGGATGACGATAAATGCATTGTTTATCCTGGCACAGCCGGTATCAAAAATAAGTATGCTTGGTAGGCGATTACGCGAAATGGAGGCATGCATCGGGGGTGGTATATTGACAAGCAGCATTTTGAAAATGAAGAGTATTGGATTTATATCTTGATATTTATGTTCTCTGTTGGTTTCATCCTCCCATCACAATAACCAATGACGATACACTTTAGAAAAGCACCAACCATGGCCAAGTCTTGGGTGGCAAGGATGTCATAGACGCAGCCCTAGATAGAAAGAGGATCAGTCAAACTGATACATTCTTGCTCGGCTTGCTCGACAGGATGGAAGATTCATTCTTCCAAACGACGACGGCAGGCTCCACGGGGATCTTCTGGCTGGACACCGGGCTCAGGTAACTAAGGCTTGGATCTGTCGCGGGCAAAAGTCTTAACGCAAAAATATTCCCTGTAGACTTGGGCAATGATGCCCCATTGATTATTATTTGGAACTATACGTGACTGGCTATACTAATATAGCCAATGTGGCTCATTTTTTTGGAAATATGATAGCTAATTGGTAGGAACAACGAATTCAAAAGGACGAGGTTGCGGTATACGAGCCGGGCAGGAAGAAGAGGAAAATGAAGAAATATGCTTGTCAGCAATAAATATCTATTTCTGCAGTGACAGCTGCTCGGTACCATAGTGACTTTCCTACAGCAGCTACAGTACAGTACAAGTAATAGGAGTTTTGCCATGACAATAAAATAAGGGTAGCAGAGAGACGTCTCGCGCGAAGGCATCACGCACTGTGGTTTATCCCATCGCATCGCATATATTTTATAATTGCATTATCCATCGTCCTGTTACGTGTCATTTTACATTGGGTTGCATCCTCCATTTCCACTCACTGGAACGCGGTTCCAATTTCTATTTGTTCCTGCATATCTTCCACCATTAGAAGCCTACGGTAGCATAGATATGGACATACGGGATCTCCACAACATACCATATGATAGGCACGCGGAATACAAGCTGGAAAATAAGTTGGAAAGCCTTGATCTTAACGGCCAGAGATCCGAGATACGATCCCTCCTGATCTCGGTTGGCACAGATCTAAATCTGGCAGCTGACGAACCATATGGAAATGCTGACCAGTCCATCATTGTTGATTCCAAGGACCGTGATCGTGCTCGAGAGCTCTTTGCCATTGGCGCTGACATTCCTGCGACGGGAAACGCTTCTGCTTTTTCGTCCTTTGCCATGAATTGTATGCAAGGTAACTTTGCACTTGTTCGATCTTGTCTGGAACAGATTTGTGATGGTCTGCCACAACCGTTGAGCAAACAAGAGCGTCTCAGGAATGTGTTGGAATCTCGAGAAACATCCCTTCGATTAAGTCCATTGCTGCTGATGGTGTCAGCAGCGAAGCATTTCCCTGAAGCCGAACAGTCCAAAGCTGCTAAACTTTTGCTGCGTTATGGAGCAAGTCCAGATGCAAAAGATGTTTTGGGCAAGACGGTGGTTCATTACGGAGCTGGAGCCATGGCAACTCGTATGACGATGGAAATTGCTGGCATGTGTATTAAAGCGGCCGAAAGCTCAGACATGTACGGCAAAAGTGCCAAACTAGAAGCCTTACAAAATGCGGCCATGAATGGAAAGATAGGAGTGGTCGGTGGATTCGACGTGGATTCGGGGCGACGGGGGATCTACATTCCTGAATTGAAGAAGGAATTATGGGTGAAGCCAAACAATCTTCGTATCACCACAAAAGCAGTCGAGCCGGATCCAACGTCAAACCTCAGTGGAAGAGAGGCTGTGCTGGAGGGGTTGAAGGATGATAAAATGAATGGAAAAGAGGGAATTCTCGGCAAGTATGACCCCAAACAACAACGTCGGTCGATGTATATTCCTGAATTGAAGAAACAGGTGTTGGCAAAGCCAGTGAACATTCGGCTTTCCAAAAACAAGCCAAAGCTTACCGATGTAAAAGACCGATTTGGTGGCGTCTCCCTTCACGAAGTCATGATGGGCAATCGGGTCGATGTCGCAGAGTTTCTTTTAGAAACCCACGGGACAAGTATCCATACAAAGGACGTGGATGGGATATCGCCCATGACGATGACTATGGGTGGAGGAATGATGTTGAGCACCCAAGTGGGCAAAATGATATCGATAATTGCTAGAGCCGAGGCTGCCGCCGGCCGCAAGGAGGCCAAGAAGACCAAAAGTAACGAAAAGGATTCCGGCAACCATTGTGCGAGCTGTCACAAGCCCTTGGGCACAGGTGGCATGTCCTGCTCCAAATGTACCATCACGTACTATTGCGGCCGTGACTGTCAACTAAAGCATTGGAAAGAGGGCGGTCACAAGCAAGAATGCAAAAAGATTGCTGCCCAAAAGTTTGGTGTGAAGCTTTCTGCCAATCATTGTGAGACTCAAATTTCATCGGTGGTGTCATTCAACACACGTCAAACTAGCAAAGATAGTTTTCGCAAACCGCGAGGCGTCTTGTTTGATGAAAAGTTTGTCGTCAAGGTTCAATGTAACAGCAAACTTTCCCCAATGATGATTTATGATGAGAGTCGACAATGTCAGTTTGGCTACAAGCCAACAGGACCGGGATTCTCAGAGGTGTTTGAAACAGTCCAAAACGAGCCAACCTGGGAAGGACGAAAGACATTCATGAAGGCATCCTTCAACAAGGCTGGAGAATGTACCATGTATCCAGCTACTGCAGGTGTCAAGAACAAGTATTCCTGGTAGAAAATGGTATGTTGGCTAGAACGAGATGCCCGTCATCATCAGCACCATCATCAGCAATGTGAATAAGTATGCCGACATAATAATGGTTCGACTTGGTGTCATGCTGTGTTATTTTCTTGAGTATGGGGAGTACGTGATGCGCACCAATCAATCATCGCAACATTTGAAAGATATATACTGGTTGCCACAGACAAACCAAAACCCTGCTGACGAGCGGATGTTGATTTCACTTCTTATCCAAAAGCATATACGCCATCTCATTTCAAAAGGAGTAATAAAAAGGAGTCACTATTATTAGTAGTATTATCATCATCATTGTCAATGTAACACATGATACTGACACACTTTCAATTGGAATCGACGACAGAGACAATAACAATAACCCTATTATTCGAACATGGGCGGTGCCGATGGTTCCACCGAGATTGCCCTTGTCATTGGTCTTTCCACCAATTATTGTGCCGTCTAGGTATTCCGATCGTGTGGCGACGTTTTGACTTGTGTTGCTAGTGCCAGTATGGCGGTTGCGAATACTGGAGTAGCATCAGTGTTATTATTAGCAGTGTCGACAGACGAGAGATCCGACGGTTTCGATGGAGCCATCATGGTAACAGTGGTGTCTTCACCGGACTTATCATTTGAAAAGCTCTTGAAAAGTTGTATCATTGCTGGCGATTCATTCAGGATTGCTGTTGCAGCATCCAAATCCATTGGAAACGAGCACCACACTGAGCAAGTGCTGAATGGATATGACCTTCCCTCGATAGGTATTATTGGAATTCTCTAGAATTGCGTGCGTGGAAGGTGTGATAGTCTTGCGATGAATTTGAGTCAGTATTGGAACGGTGCTTCGGTTGGATGGACTTGGACCATGTCATTCTGTTTGACAATTGTCTTGTCGACAGAGGACTTTGATAACACGTTTCCCTTTTGCAAAACAATAGCGTCCATTGACGGGAATGTTATCTTCAGGATGTTGGACCGAACTACAGTATCCGCAGGCTCCACTGTGGTGGACCATACAGAGATTGTCTTCTTGCCATTTGGATGTCCCTGGAATATTCCACCACCTCCTGGCTGAACCAAAGTAGCGATCAGCTCGTATGCCACTGCTCAATCTGTATTTCTTCCTTCACATCTTCTTACACCAAATGCTACCGAGGAGCTCACCTTGGGGTTTGATACGAGTACAGTATTAGGTAATAGGTATTCATAGATGCGATGAAAAGTAAAGCATGAATGGACTCGTCCGACTACGTCGATACTTTGACATTCTACCGTATCTTATTCGGGATATAACATATAACATCTGCAACATTCAATCTGACATTATGGACACAGAACTTGAAAAAAAGTTGTTAAGCCTCGACATCAATGGCCAGAGAGCCGAAATACGATCCCTCCTGTTATCGGTTGAGACAGATCTTGACCTGGCTGCTGACGAACCATATGGAAATGCTGATCAATCCATCATTCTGAAATCCAAGGATCGTGATCTTTGTCGAGATCTCTTTGCCATTGGCGGTGATGTTAATGCGACTGGAAATGCTTATGCTTTTTCGTCCTTTGGCCTGAATTGTATGGCAGGTGAATTTTTGTATGTTCAATATTGGCTGGAGGAGATTTGTGACGGGGTGACACAGCCGTTGAGCAGATCGGGACGTCTCAGGAAGGTGTTGGAATCTCGAGAAACATCCCTTCGATTAAGCCCCTTGCTCTTGATGGTGTCAGCAGGGAAGACTTTTCCTAAACAGCAACAGCTCCGAGTTGCTAAACTTTTGCTCCGTTATGGAGCAAGTCCAGATGCCAAAGATGTCTTGGGCAAGACTGTGGTTCACTACGGAGCCGGAGCTCTTGCAACTCCCATGAGCATGGAAATTGCTGACATGTGTATAAAAGCGGCCGAAAGCTCAGACAGGTATGGTAAAAGTGCCAAACTAGAAGGTTTAGAAGACGCTGCCATGAATGGAAAGAAAGGGTGGGTTGGCGGTTTCGACGTGGATTCGGGACGACGGGGGATCTACATTCCTGAATTGAAGAAGGAAATATGGGTGAAGCCAAGCAATCTTCGGATCACCACTAAAACAGTCGAGCCGGATCCAACGTCAAACCTCAGTGGAAAAGAGGCCGTGCTGGAGGGACTGAAGGATGATAAAATGAATGGAAAGGAAGGAATTCTCGGCAAATATGATCCCGAACAAGAACGCAGATCCATATTTATTACTGAATTGAAGAAACAGGTGTGGGCAAAGCCCGTGAACATTCGGCTTTCCAAAAACAAGCCAAAGCTTACCGATGTAAAAGACCGATTTGGGGGTGTTTCCCTTCACGAAGTCGTGATGGGCAATCGGGTCGATGTCGCAGAGTTTCTCTTGCAAACCCACGGGACAAGTATCCACACAAAGGATGCGGATGGGATATCGCCCATGACGATGACTATGGGTGATAGAATATTGTGGAGAACCCAGGTGGGCAAAATGATATCGATAATTGCCAGGGCCGAGGCTGCCGCAGGGCGCATGGAGGCCAAGAAGACTAAGAAGTAACGAAAAGGATTCCGGCAACCATTGTGCGAGCTGTCACAAGCCCTTGGGCACAGGTGGCATGTCGTGCTCCAAATGTACCATCACCTACTATTGCGGCCGTGACTGTCAAAGAAAGGATTGGAAAGAGGGCGGTCACAAGCAAGAGTGCAAAAAGATTGCTGCTCAAAAGTTTGGTGTAAAGCTGTGTTCCAAGCATTGTGACGAACCCATTTCAACGATGATCTCATTGAATACACGACAAACTATCCAAGACAGTTTCCGCAAACCAGAAGGCGTCTTGTTTGATGAAAAGTTTGTTGTCAAGGTTCAATGTAACAGCAAACTTCCCCCAATGATGATTTATGATGAGAGTCGACAATGTCAGTTTGGCTACAAGCCAACAGGACCGGGATTCTCAGAGGTCTTTGAAACAGTCCAAAACGAGCCAGCCTGGGAAGGACGAAAGACATTCATGAAGGCATCCTTCAACAACGCTGGAGAATGTATCATGTATCCAGCTACTGCAGGTGTCAAGAACAAGTATTCGTGGTAAGAAAAATATGAACGTTCGCCACTGCGCTCGTTGCGGCGGTGGTGGAAACGTACTACAGTGCATTCAAGCTAGTTCTTACAGAAATATTATCAGGATACATAGATTGCCTCAAAATGAATATAACGAGGAGCCATTATTATTATTATTGTTAGTGTAACATATAATACTGTTGTAGGACTATGATACACACCTTTTCAATTGCAAGTCACCATAAATGACAAATAATCCTACTACTTGAACATGGGCGGTGCCGATGGTTCCACCAACATTGCCTCCGCCATTGGAATTTCCACCACTTGTGCCGTTTGCGCATTCCAATCGGATGGCAAAGTTTGGACTTCTGTTGCTGGTGCCAGTTCGGCGGTTGCAAATACCGGAGCAGCGTCAGCAGTATTATTATTGGTACTGTCGAATGACAAGATATCCTGTTGGGCTGATGTTGCCACCATGGCAGGAGTATGTTCACTGGTCTTGTTATCGCCATTCGAAAAGCTCTTGAAAAGTTGCATCGTTGTTGCTGATTCAGGATTGCTGTTGCAACATCCATTGGACACGAGTACCACACTGAGTACATGCTGAATGGATACGGCATTTCCTTGATAGGTATCATTGGCATTCTCTGGAATTCGCAAGTGAAAGGTGTGATAGTCTTGCGATGAGTTTGAGGTAGTATTGGAATTGGTGTTCAGCTGGGCATAGGAATGACTACCGCCTGTGCGTCCACCACCAACACCAAAACAACACCACAGACCAGACTTGGGGACCGTGGGTTCCAATTCAGGATATCGGCGAGAATCGACTTCGAGCTTGTCCAGTATTCTTCTTACTTTCTTTGATCTCGAGTTGCAAGTCCATTGAATGATTTGTTCTAGTTGGATCTTGACAGATTCCACATCCAAGGAGGAATTGTTTTGACATTTAAATTGAACTTGCACCATGTCATTGTGTTTGACAATTGTCTTGTCGACACAGGACTCCAATAGCATGTTTCCCTTTTGAAAACAACAGCATCCATTGACGGGAATGTTGTCTTCGGGATGTTGGACCGAACTATCCGCAGGCTCCACTGTGGTGGACCATACAGAGATCGTCTTCTTGCCATTTGGATGTCCCTGGAATATTCCACCACCTCCTGGCTGAACCAAAGTAGCAATCAGCTCGTATTCCACCTCGCAAGTGGACTCACCATCTCTTGCCTTCATGGTAGATGGTAAATTGGGAGGCAAATTGAATTGAAACGGATATTCGTATTGCCCGGAAGGAGCTCGCTGATTTACAAATGAATACAATGGATAATCCACTTGAAAGAATGTATGACTCGATCGTTCGTAGTGATTGTCTGTATTGGAGTCACTCGTGGAAGTGTGATGAACGACGGCGGACTCTCTACCAAGTAGTCTCAATTGCAATACTTGAGCCGCAACGCCAGTGCTCTGTCGACTACTAATCGATAAGTAGACTTTGCCATGAAGAGTGCTGCCGGCTGTGTAGCCAGTCTTGTCTGTCTCGACACCAATGGTGATTGGTGTGTTTCCCATTCTACTTTTGTTCCAGCGTATTTGTAGTTCTACGCTACGCTGTTAAGGCTGCAAAGCGAAGGGAGAAGTAAATGAAAACACTCTTTCAATACAAGCAATCAATATATATACGAAGGTGACTTGAAACATAAAAGAATAACTTTGTTTGATCGCAAGCCTCACGACTCAAAACCAAATCAAAAAGATATACAGGAGGGGGATGAATTATGATGAGCGCCCCCTTTTTTGAAAAATTGATTGATTCATTCATTCATTCATGGACCTACCTTAGTCCCTCTTTCGAAGCGCAGGCTCCAGTTTACATGGTTGCAATGGAGGACAATAAGTTGAAAGGCCAATATTGAAGGATAGCCATGATAGCATGGAAGAATCGAGGCGCCTGCAGCATCTTCTACCAGTAGCCATCTGTCTCATTGAATGACTGTGTTCATTATGTAAGCTAGCAGCTACAGCACCAGTGAACGAAGAATGTGTGCCGTAGTGGTGAAGAGGAAAGACATCTTAGTAGTTGGAGCAGAAGACGAAAGGCAGTAAGAAGATACTTGTAAAGTGACTATATACACTGTTACTGTCAACACAACTGAACATTTGCCTAGCTATGATAGTAGTGCTGTGGTATCCCTCCAGCCACCCAGCTAATCATCATGAATTCCGCCAATCGGGTTTTCAAAGCAGACAGAGGAGCGCACTAGACTGGTCAGGGCATCTTGCGGTGAAAATAGTGGCATCACTGTACAACTTCCTTTCTGCAGTGTATGCCCCCCCTTGCCGCTCAAGCTATTTTCCAGTGCGAAGAGAACCAAATCAGTGAGCCTCACACATTGCCGTCACCAGATCGCTGGTGCCAGTAGAGGAAAAAAGTAGGTTCACCTATCGTTACGGTGCCGTGGGATCTGTCAGTTAGTCTTCACTTTAAGAATACTGCGGAAGTTCTTTGCTCATCGCTTTCTGGCAAGATACGGTGGTATTCCTAGTCCTCCGAAATAAAATCTGAGTCAGGTGACGTTCTTGCTTGGTGTGTCAGTTGGCGCTCCTGATGTTTTTTCGTCTTTTGCGGTTCTGGCATGACAAGTCGAATATAGAAGTGGTCCTGCCCAACTAAGAAGTTCCGATGAAGATGAAAATAAAAAACCTTGGAGAAATTCTCCTGTCAATCGTACAGGAGTGGTTAGGAGGGACACTTCTATTTGGTCGTATTCGTTTTCAACGCGATCAACTACCATGTGGGTGCCGCTGGAAAAAGAATCGCGGACTATTTTATATGAAGAGGGCTCACAAAACCAGACTATCACATTTTTTGGTCTTTGAATCATAATTTTACAATCCACATCATGCCAACTTCGCTCAAGAGATCAGTCAAATTCAACCCAAACGTCACAGGGGTCGGGACTATCAGCATTTATGATTATACGACAAGCGAGATAGCAGCCACATGGTACGATGAGGAAGAAATGGACAGTATCACAAGACGCTGTGTCAGGATAATCAAGAGAATGGAAACCAATGACCTCAAAGAAGGCAATGCGAAGTACTGCACTCGGGGCCTTGAGGGCCACACTATGATAGCATCCAGCAACAAGAGGAGGAACAGATCGTCTGCAGTCTCAGCAGTACTGGACGAACAAGCCCGACAGTGGGACGAAAGCAAAGAACAAACAGATGCTCAAGCCATTGCTGACGTCTACGCACGAACCACATCGAGTTGCCAAATGTGGGCTCAGGTCATGGGGAACCGTGATCAAGTGGCGGCTGCGGCATTCCTCTACAAAGATGATGATGACGAGGAGTCCAAAGAAGTTGTCACTGTTTCGGCAACTACATCGTCAAACAGCAAATCAAGAATAGAGCTCAGTCTTGCGAGCACTGAGCAAATAACACTGAGAGAAGTTAGAAGGGTCGTTATTCCTCTTGTGCCAAGTACAAGATCAGCGACCGCGTGGCTTGTCTGATGAAACGCAAACCCGTAAAATTCCATCTTTTTTAAAACGAAGTTAAAGTTTTCTATTTTTTTCAATCATTTGTGATGTCAGTGCTTGATTGTCTGCAAACTTCTCTACCGGTACCTCTACTGTAGGTATCTGACCAGCTAACCAGCTGACCAGCTGATATGTGAACATATCCTATATTATTCCCTCGAACTCTCACAATTTAATACATATTTTCCGATGCGAAGAGAACAAAATCACTGTGTATTGGGTACGATACTACCTACCGGTACACATTTCCGTCACCACATCGCCGGTGCCAGACGAATACTGACGGAAAACAATACTGTAGTTCAATGGTAAAGATATTTACTGGTGCCGTAGGATCTGTCAGGTAGTCTTCACGCAGAATGCTGCGGAAGTACTTTACAGTAGCCCATCACTTTCTGGCAAGATATATGGTAGTATTCCTAGTCCGAAATAAAATCTGAGCTATGTGGCGTTCTTGCTTGGTGTGTCAGTTGGCGCTCCTGATGTTTCTTCGTCTTTTACATATTATATGTGAACATATCCGAATCTTCGTGCCTATATTAGTCCCTCGAACTCTCACCACAAAACTAGTACGATATGCGTGATGAAAATGGAGGACAATGCCGAATATTGACGAGGAGGGCAATGGTGCTACTGTAGCATCGATGAAATGGCGAGAAAGCGAAGGGAGAAGGACACTGCAGTTCGTCAGCAGCAATGCCTTGCTCGTTGTACCAAAAAGAACACCATTTGAAACGAACACTGACAGAAACCTCCTCCAGCATTCGGTTAGGTGGGCTGGTGAGTAAGGAGCGCCATGTCAGTAGTGCTGCGAACAAGAGATGCTGTGGTACTGTTTCCAGCCGAATCCGGCGGTCTTTCAGTATCATCATCAGGGCTGGACCTAACTGTTCGAATAGTGAAGAAGTGAATCTCACAAATATCAATCGTTCGTGTTCCGGAAAAAATTTCCTTGATGACCTCACGACCCAAAGTGCCAAAAATCTTTCCTCTGGGACCTTTTTTTGGAGCATGCGCTGAAACAACACTTCGCACTAGCGGATCTGCGACGTTTTGACTAACACAAGTACCGGTACTATACGAGGTGGGGCAGTGAGCTGTTCTGCTGAAAACATGAAATGTCCGAAAGATCAATTAAACATGCATCATTTTTTACATGCAGAATCACAAGACGTTTTCAGCACCTCGCCGCTAAATTCTATCAAGAATTATAATTATTACATGGAGCAACTACAGTAGCTCAGCTCAGTATCCTCCGAAAGACACGTGCGTAACCTGTTTTAAAAAACTCGCAATGCGACCACCATACAGCAGTCATTTGCTTGTGGGAAGTTTTCCGCTGCGGTGGAATAATCCATTTCTGTCCTCATATATTCGTTTACGACCACTCGCGCTCGTCGACCCAAGAAATGCCGGAAATACTTTCGTTTGGGACCGCTCTTCTGAATACCCTACCAGTATAGTGCACGGAAGTCGTCCACAAAATAATAAGAAATCACATATTTTTTCCTAGCCAAGATTTCAGCTGAAACCCAACATGGCAAATTCAAAACACCAGAGATCAATCCAGTTCGACCCAAACGTCACAGGGGTCGGGACTATCAGCCTTGATGATTATACACCCCGCGAGATCGCAGCAACATGGTACGATGAGGAAGCAATGGACAGCATCACAAGACGCTGTGTCAGGATACTCAAGAGAATGGAAACCAATGATCTCAAACAAGGTGACAAGAAGTATTGCACTCGGGGCCTTGAGGGTCACACCACACTAGGCTCCATCAACAAGAGGAGGAGCAGATCAGCTGCAGTCGCAGCAGTACTCGAAGAACAAGCCCGACAGCGGGACGAAAGCGCAGAGATAGATGCGCAAGCCATTGCTGATGCCTACACAAGAACGACATCGAGTTGCCAAATGTGGGCTCGCGTCATGGGCAATCGTGACCAAGTGGCGGCTGAAGCATTCCTCTACCAAGCTGATGACGACGACTGCAAAGGAGCTGTCACTAGATCGGCAGCTACTCCAACTTCAAGAACCAAATCAAGGAAAGAGCTCAATCTTGCGAGCCCTCATCAAATCGGGCTGATATCAGATACAAGTATTGTTGGTGAACATGTTCCGCAGCCAACTGTAAGAGCGGCGGCCGCGTAGCTTAATGCTCTCTGTTCAGCAGCTACAGCGTATTGTAAACAATCAGGGTGTTTTAGCCAATTTTTAAAAGTGCTTAGTCTATTTAAAAAAATGCTTTTCATCAATTGTAATAAATCGGGGAGGTAGTTAAGTCACTAATCAAATAGCTATGCCAAATCGACCAATATCTAATCTTCTACTAAAGTGTGTTGTTGCGTCAATTCGCCGTTGGACAAAGAGTACCGGTTGGACCTATAACGGACATTATAATTGGCCAGGAACCCGATCAACTCGCGATCATGCACAGATCGGTTTGGATAAAGGCTTCATCCCCCGATCGCACAATCAAACAATCAAACAACAATCAAGTAACGATTCCAACTACAACGTAATACAATAAGGACTATTATAATCTTCATTCTTAGCACGTACTCAAATAATTTGCATCAAGAATTTTGGGTAAGAATCATGTCCAGTAGAATACTTCTTTCATTCTTTGTGCTCCAAACGATGCATGTGTCAGTTCTCGCGGTGTTTTTGTTATCGTGTTGCACTACTTTTCATTTATATGGGAACCGTAGAATCATCGACTCCCAAAGTTCTACATGGTTTTCATTTAAAAAATAGAAAATAATGAAAATGAAGTCATTTGTGGAAGCGAAGCGCTACGACGGAATATTCCATTCGCGATACTCGTACCAGGTACACTACGGTACGTTAGACTCGATTACGACCAATCGAAACCAGAAATGCCATCAATACTTTCGTTTGGTACCACCGTTATGAGACATCCGCTCGTCTGGATCGAGGTCTCACAAAATACGAGTGCATGGAAATGGTCCACAAAATAAAAAGAATCACAAGACGTCTTCAGCACCTCGCCGCTAAATTCTATCAAGAATGAAACATAGTAATTATTACATGGAACAACTAAAGTAGCTCAGCTCAGTATCCTCCGAAAGACACGTGCGTAACCTGTTTTAAAAAACTCGCAATGCGACCACCGTACAGCAGTCATTTGCTTGTGGGAAGTTTTCCGCTGCGGTGGATAATCCTCATATTCGTTTACGACCACTCGCGCTCGTCGACCCAAGAAATGCCGGAAATACTTTCGTTTGGGACCGCTCTTCTGAATACCCTACCAGTATAGTGCACGGAAGTCGTCCACAAAATAATAAGAAATCACATATTTTTTCCTAGCCAAGATTTCAGCTGAAACCCAACATGGCAAATTCAAAACACCAGAGATCAATCCAGTTCGACCCAAACGTCACAGGGGTCGGGACTATCAGCCTTGATGATTATACACCCCGCGAGATCGCAGCAACATGGTACGATGAGGAAGCAATGGACAGCATCACAAGACGCTGTGTCAGGATACTCAAGAGAATGGAAACCAATGATCTCAAACAAGGTGACAAGAAGTATTGCACTCGGGGCCTTGAGGGTCACACCACACTAGGCTCCATCAACAAGAGGAGGAGCAGATCAGCTGCAGTCGCAGCAGTACTCGAAGAACAAGCCCGACAGCGGGACGAAAGCGCAGAGATAGATGCGCAAGCCATTGCTGATGCCTACACAAGAACGACATCGAGTTGCCAAATGTGGGCTCGCGTCATGGGCAATCGTGACCAAGTGGCGGCTGAAGCATTCCTCTACCAAGCTGATGACGACGACTGCAAAGGAGCTGTCACTAGATCGGCAGCTACTCCAACTTCAAGAACCAAATCAAGGAAAGAGCTCAATCTTGCGAGCCCTCATCAAATAGGGCTGATATCAGATACAAGTATTGTTGGTGAACATGTTCCGCAGCCAACTGTAAGGGCAACGGCCGCGTAGTTTACTTTTTTCAAATTCACAGAACCGTGAACAATAAATTTTCAGTAGTCCTATTAAATTTTAATAGGACTATATTTAGCTGTAAAATAACTATATATATTCTTTTCCTCAAAAGGAATGGTATTTTCAGTGCCTTGCCTTGGTTGGCTTTTCGACGAACCCCTCTTTGCTACGTGTAGAATATGTTGCCATACGTAGACTGTCGCTACTATGCATTCGAATCGATGCTTCTGTCGCCACATCCGCTGTCTTTGTGCAAAATGTTTGCTTCTAAAAGTACGAGTACGGATGCTCAGTCTCTGTCCTTGCTTCCTTCTCAAGATCCTCTCGTTGCTTTGCAATCATCTTTCCAATAGCGCAAACAAAGAAGCTCGATGACAGCATCTGAAAGATACAAGTCAATAAAAGAAGGACGGACGTTTGCCCATACCAGCCAGTCTTCTCTAACTCCATTCCTCTATCTCTGATCAACTGAGGAATGCCACCCACAACAACCGCACAGACGAAGGAATAATTGACGAAACCCATCAAGGACCACCTCGCAGATTTCAGCTTTCGAAGACGGAAGTCACGATTTACTGAGATAACCAACAGAAGTGTCATCGTAAAGGTCCACATGTAGAGGAAAAGGATAAGGATCTGCTGGTGTGTCTCTTGTTCCAGGTTTTCTCTCCAGGCCCCTGTCGTTGTTGGAAGTAAAAGCAAAATCGGTGAGGACCAAGTGATACATTCCCACCGCACAAATCAATCTCAATTACTCACACCACCATGGAGCTTGTGATTCTCCATTGTCTCCTTGATCGTTTCCTCCAGAGTATGCGTCGTCATTCGTTGGATTCCCATCTTCATCGTTGTTTTCAGTTCGATTCATCCCACGAGCGGAAAAGAAGATGACAAGAGGGATAATGAGACTCGACACTGTCGTGACATTCCATGCCTTCAAAGATCTCGACGATCGGAACTCTTCTTCTCGCTTCTCGACAATGTCAATGTCGTGAAATGCCATGGTACCAGTAGGATCCGACAACCCAAATGTTGGGATTCGGTGGAAACAAAAACGCAGGAAGTTTCCAACGCACGATGTTACCGGTCGGCTCGCGACCACCCTAATTACCAAATATTTCTGCGCACGACGAGCACAACCATCGCTGAATTTTTCATACCATGAAAGAATAATCAGCGACGACACTTTTATCAAAGTCGGAGGGAGGCATCACTTCAACTAGCCTCAAAGCTTTACGAATTCCAGCAGCAACCCAAATACACCACTCTACAACAATATAGAAGTAGAATACACAATATGGATTCCAGTGCTTTTGATACAAGATTCCCAAAAGCTTGGTTCACAGCCTCACTGTCAACCCTTGCTTTGCCATTCTTGACGTTTGCCACCGCTCTTTTCTTGAGAATCGATGAGGCATTATTCACCGCAGAGACTTGGCCGATCATCTGTGTCTACTTGATCACAGCAGCTGTTCAAGTCAAGTTGACATTCATCGTACACAAACTCTACGCTCAAGTCAAGTTATTGCCCATCCGATTCCTTCTCTTGTGCTACGCAATTTATTCTTTGGTCTTAGTCATTTTGATTGGATACCTTCCGAATGTGATTGAAGGGCAAATGGTAATGGATCAGTTCTCTCTCTACAATGCCCAAATCGGAGTTCTACTTTTCCACACTTCGCTGTTGGCCCTTCTGAAGAGTTTGTTCTTTGCTGCTTGGACCACCAAGATGATCCAACAACGCATCAATGCTGACAATCAAATCGCGAATAAAGTTCTGACGGACGCCATCAAAGAAGATCATTGCAAGGACGATATTCCAGAGGAAACCGACTACGTCCAAGTCTTGTAATCGTGTGTTGAGGCGTTGCTAAGGGCGAGAGTCTATCGGAAGAGCCAGATCATCAAAACATTATTTATATCAATATCCACTATATTCAATACTAGAAACTGCCTACTATCAGACGGGTTGTATTGGATGCGTGGGTTCTTCATGCAATATTTATCACACTAGATAAGAAAGAAGATATCATTGTGAAGCAAACTAGATGCGGAAAAACGGATTGGTACCATTGATTTAGCTTCTACTTCTGCATTTACTTCTTGGCTGCCACAGCCTCTTCTTCTTGTTGATCCTTCTGGAAATACATGGTCAATGTAAACTTCTTCTCTTCTGGATCCCAATGAGTGACAAACCGCCCTGGTTCCTTATCAATCGGTTCGTTTGGGACCTTAAAGGCGACAGTCTCGTATGGATCAGCTGCAAATAGTAGGTATTGGTATCGACGATCTGGTGGGGACTCTACTCGCTGCTCAAAGGCACTCATGAACCTGTGTCTTGGTTGCAAATCGTCGGCAATCTCAGGAAAGCTCAACTCAAAACTCAAACAGCGTTGATTCGTCTCTCCTTCTCGACTCTTGAAAACCTGATATGCTGGTCTTCCAATACGTGGTTTCTTGGGCGCCGGAGCTGCCGCTGGCTTGGCGGTGACTGGACCAGTGGTTTGTTCTTCCCGCTCCTTTGCCAGCTTTTCCATATGCGCTCGTTTGGCCAATCCTTGTTGATGCTTCTTGCCCTGTGTGTGCGACAAATAGTTGGCTTCATTGGGGTGAATGGTCAAACACAATTTACATTCATAGGTTCCCAAGTGATTCCTCATCAGATATGGATCCTTAGCCAGATCAATGGACTCCATGGCCAATTGCCTCAGTCGCTCCTTGCGTTCTCGTTCAGACTGTTGGCCGGATGATACACCACCTCCGCCAAACTTGGATCCTACGCGATTCTGTCTATCAATACCCCCACGAATGGGAACCTTCATACTCAAATACAAGGCTTCATTTTGAGTCTGATGTGTCCGGAGCAAGTCGTTCAACTTTTGCAAGGAGAGAGGCCGCCCTTGATGACAAAAGGTAACTGTTGGTGGTTTGCAAGAACATGCATAATGATTTATTTTGGAAATGCGGTGTTTTCTGAAAGTGGTGGAGAGTTCTCCAGAAGTGAAGCGATGTTTGGTGGCTTGTCGGAATTGACCATCTCGTTGATAGGCAGCCTGCAGCATACGTTCCCAGCCTTTCGACAAGACTGAGGAAATGGGAATGGCTGCAGTGTGGCCTCTTATCGTGGTCAAGAGTACTTGAGCGGAAGGCGAAGCGGATGTCTCCATCTTTGGATTGATTTTAAAAGTTGTTGTTGTTGTTGTTGAAAAGTTATTATTGCGATGATGCTTTGCGCTGCGCTGGGGCTTGATGCGTATGGACGGACGAACCGAATGACTTCATCCTTCACTATTACAAATACTCGTACCTTCACAATATTCAATATTCATTAGGCACGAGTGTACAGTGCCATCGTCAATCTTTCGGCTTGGTTTCTAGCTAGTAGAAGAAGATTGGAGTTTTATTATCTGGTTCCTTCATGGCAACACATATCCGTTTGATTCAAGTGAACCAATCAGTTTGAGGATGTTGGCAACGAACTGGAAGCTACACCATCCGTGCTGTCTCTTCATTTCCCACTTGATTCAGTAACGAGGAAGTGGACTCTAGAGGTTGCGATTCCCATACCAATGCACTCCACACTTGTCGCATTTCGGCACTCAATCGGGGATGATTCTTGTCGAATTCAAACGGTTCCGCAGCAAAGCAAACCAGGATGGTATTGATTGCGGAACCGACAACTCCCAATAGCAGTATGTTGCTAAATGTAAAGCCTGTTACAGTTCCTATCCAAAAGGAGGTCCAAATGGGTTGATGTAACGAGGTGAAGGTGTAACCATCTACTTCTTCCACCAACACTGCCAAAATACCGCATGATACTCCCATGACTACGGAAGCCATGGCGAGAGAATTTAGAATGAGGTTGTCTTCGGCAATCACCATCCAACCTCTTGTAGAAAACAGCTGGTACGCTTTTTCGCCACCCTCCATGTAGGTATACGAGAACATGCCTATCAAGAACAAACAAATACCACGTCAGAGTGGAACAATAATTTCCCAATGGTGCTCATGAATTCATGCATTCGTAACATACCAATGTAGGTGTAACACCAACGGTTGCAGCAACGAAGTTGATGCGAAATCCTCGCAGACATTGTGCGATTTTCTTGTTCCCATGGCAAGACTGAATTTAACTTTTTGATTGTATCAGTGTCCCGGCCCGTTGGTGCAACATCGCCTTGGTCAGACGATCGGGCTGAACAGGAGCAAAGGATCCCGCCAAACACTGACAATAGTTGAACCGGAACTTCCACCAAGGATCCAAAACAAATGCTGCCAAAGGAATAGGAACAGGATTGTGCAAGTTGACTCCAAATGATCGAATTGAAGCAAGCCCAGCCATGTGATTGTTCGTGAAGGCCAAACCACCAGGCACCACATGCTCCAGCAATGGTCGTTTTGACAACATTCTTAATGACAATGGACGTCCAAAAGAAGCTCAAGACCAAAATAGCAAGCTCAAAGTACCGATCTTCTTCCATCACTAGATGCGTCACACAGTCAACCTTATTCTGTTGGCATTCCTTGGCATTGCTCGTGTTGAAGATTCCAATCAAAGCAATCACCCAAATGAGAAGCCATACAAAGACCACGCCTAAGGAACCGATTCCAACAAACAAGATTCCACGCGTGTCTCGCAGTGCACACATTGCTATCTTGAGGTTGATGGAACAGAAGGGGATCCGCTTCCAAGAAGCCAGTGCATATCCCAGTGCCAGAAACATTCCAAGGAACCCAAACGCTGTGAAGGGGGTGCCGGGAAAGAGTGCCAACCCAAACATGCTCCAACAAAATGCAAATGTCACGGAGAAAATGAGAATCACAGGTATCACTGACCGTGCCAAGCTGAGTATAACTCCAAAAGACAGGTAGGATATGACACAGGCATAGAATCCAGAAACCGAAAAGATGCTAATCACATTGCGGTAATCGATCCGAAACAGTTTGGGATTCGCAGAAGTGGGGTTGCTTAAATTGGAAAGCTGGGATTCTTGTGTCTGACCCTCGAGTAGAGTTGTTGAAGCATCCTTGACCTTGACCTTTTTCGTTGAAGCTGATTGCGAGAGAATAAAGTCGTCGTCTTGTAGGTTTTTCATGTCTTGGGAATGGAGGACGGTGCTGGTAACATTATTCGACGTGTGCTTGATTGCTTGCGAAATCGTAGTCCCATTGACATCGTTGCCAGCTTCCAGCATCAGATTATCGACAAAAGCAAACTTGGCAAGTCGTCGACTTTGATTCATTTGAGTGCTTGCTGGCTGCAACAGAGTCACACCATAATACACTGCGCAAGCAAAGACAAATAATAGCTGAATCATAAAAAGGATCGCCCATGGATATCCCTGGTAGGTCGACGGCGATTGGACTTCTCCACGTATCCTTGTAACCTCTCGTTCACGTTCTTCTTGGAGCTGATGTCGATTCGATCTTTGATTACGACGCTTCCGCTTGTAACCTTCGGTTTGATTGGTACCATAGCTTGACATCAATGGCAATAGTGCTGATGCCTGTGTCACAGGGGAATCCTCCATAATGGGAGGCTGATTGGGTTCGTATGACGGAGACCGATGTTGCTCAATACTACCATATGACATCTTTCCATCTAATGGGCTGGGATGAAAGTAAGCATCCGATAGCGACTCGCTGTCGTCGCTGTAGTAGAGTGCATCCTCAACTTCACGGCTGAACGGATTTTCATCATCCATAATCGACGACTCTGATATTTCGGGGTCAAGACCAGGGCCCAACTCGATTTCAACAGCAGTAGATGAATCCTGCTTTTTCTCTTCTGCTTCATTGTATGCTGTTTGTTCGGAAATGCTTTCTGGCACCATGGTAATTTGAGCCGTGCCGGTTTGGTCTGGTGCCTGGTCCATTTTGCCAGACTCGACTTCAAATCCTTCATTAGTCATCGTGACGTCATCAACATTGTTATTCGCGAGTGGTTCCAAAGATGCTGCAGCTTGAGGGCTGATCGGATCAATTGTAGAATCTTCTTCCTTGTCGATGTCTTGTTCTGGCTCGTCGTGATCTGCTGCCTCGTTGATGGAATCCATTGCAGATTCTTCCTTTTTGCCGGCGTCTCGTGCTGCCTCTTCTTGATCTGCTGCTTCGGCAGCGGCAATCGCTTCCTGAAGCTCGTCCTTGTCATTTTCCGTCAGCTGCACAGCCAAAGACAAACGGAAAATCATGTCATCATCCATCTCATCTTCGTCACCGTCACCATCCCCTTCTGCTTCCAGTCTTTCAAAAGCAACATTTCTCAAACCCATCGAATATTCGGCTGGGTATTCGTCACCTTCCTCAAGGTAGTACTCCTCTGCTTTCTCGAACAGATCCATGTTGATAATCGTTTTGGTCACGCTTGGAAAGAAGACAATCTTGTCGGCAGAAACATCGTAGTACTTTCGCTTATAGCACAGTTCCTTGGCTGCTCGCGTGACTGCCTCATACGATTCGGGTTCCATTTCGTCTTCTTCTTCGAAGTCTTCCGAGTTCATCATTTCTTTAATCATGCCGTTCAGTTCGGTATCGATCATGTTTTTGCGCATTGCCGCTTCGGAAACTGGCACGCCCTCGCCAATGGAGGCGACAGCAGAGTTTGTGCTTTCTTTTGGACTCGCAGACGAAGTTTCCGCTTCAGAAGCAATCGGGTCTATTCTAGAATCTTCCTTCTTGCCAATATCGCGTTCTGAATCTTCTTGGTCTGCTGCCTCGTTGATGGAATCCATTGCAGCATTGTCAGTTTCTTGGTCTGTCTGGTCTTGATCTGCTGCTTCGGCAGCGGCAATCGCTTCCTGAAGCTCGTCCTTGTCATTTTCCGTCAGCTGCACAGCCAAAGACAAACGGAAAATCATGTCATCATCCATCTCATCTTCGTCACCGTCACCACCCCCTTCTGCTTCCAGTCTTTCAAAAGCAACATTTCTCAAACCCATCGAATATTCGGCTGGGTATTCGTCACCTTCCTCAAAGTAGTACTCCTCTGCTTTCTCGAACAGATCCATGTTGATAATCGTTTTGGTCACGCTTGGAAAGAAGACAATCTTGTCGGCAGAAACATCGTAGTACTTTCGTTTATAACAGATTTCCTTGGCTGCTCGCATAACTGCCTCATGCGATTCGGGTTCCATTTCGTCTTCCTCTTCGAAGTCTTCCGAGTCCATCATTTCTTTAATCATGCCGTTCAGCTCAGTATCGATCATGTTTAGGCGCATTGCTGCTTCGGAAGATGTGACGGCCTCTCCATTCGGTGTTCTTTCTTTTGGACTCGACTCATCGGTATCCAAACCTCCTGAATTTGACTCGGAGCCGCCATCGGCTTGCGAGCCCATGTTAATTTCAACGCTTATTAGAAGATCAAATATCCTCTGAGCTGAAGGATCGACACCTGAACTGGTTGTTTAGCGACGACTCACTCTATATTGCGTATCTTTGCACCGGCGCTAAATGTACCAGTATAGCTGCTGGCAAAACCGACCTCGATTGGTCGTTTTCTCGCTATCTCGAAACGAAAGATTTTCCAACGTAGACCGCAGGCACACTGTTCGATCACTTTGACTACATTGTGTTACAGACGGACAAAGGCCGAACGGCCTTCGACCGTCAAAAGTTGTTGTCGATGCGCCGAGGCAATGATGCCCAGTTTATCGACTGAGATTGAATTCACCCACTTGTGTTGTGGTAATTCAATTTTTCTCTCCCAAACCTCACCCGCCCTGTTGGGCACCGCCTCCATTTTACCATATCGGCGGTGCCTGGTAGGAAAGCAGATCTCAGTAATACCGCACACGGGATTTCTGAGATTGGTCGAACGAATCGAGTCTATTGCTCGATCAGTTCGACCCGCTTCACACCACAACCCACCAGCTACACACCAAGACAAAATACTAGAACACACTCACGGAGGACGGCAGTAGGCTATCTTAGATAGGGAGAAGAATCATTATTTTGCGGAGAAATAGAAACGTTTCGGCCGGCAGATTGATCCATCCGACTCACTAGATTGATCCATTCGACTCTAGAGACTTCCAGGTGTGTCCAGGTGTGACAGGGTTGAGAAGTGTTGCTTGTTACATCTACAGTATTGTATATTACAGGCAAGGAGGGTTGTTAACAAGATAAATTACAGAACTTTTTATATAAACTACATGTGTTGTCTGGGGTACAGCTTTACTCGCGGATCAATTCATCAAAGTGATATACGCTGGCAACTTCCGAGCTGCTAAGGTTCAAGTCCAAATTGCGAGTGGAAGAGTGCCTTCGTTCTGCCTCTCGGTTGTCGTGAAGTCCATATATTCGGGCAGCAAAGTCATCTTCATCCGGTTTGTATTCGATAACTGATTTTCTCTTGAACAAGGGGCAGTATTCTTTGTGGAGTTCCAGTTCCTTGGGTGACACCTCTTCATGCTCCAGCAGTGGTTCGTCTCTTTGTACTGGTGTGGGCGAGGAAGAAAGTTGTTCGTTTCGCTTGTTGACGAGTTTCTGCCAACTCGGTAGATTGGATCTAGCTGGTGAAGTCATTGCGAGCGTGAAGTATGTTTTGTTGATTTGTGTGTGTATTGCTTTTGAAACAGGTTTCAAAATTTTGTGACAGGAGTGAGGAATAAAACTGAACTGAAGTTGAAAGTGTCAGTCTTGCCGTTTGGAGATCGCATTTTGGCGGCAAGAAGGTTCGCATTTGAGAATAATATTTATCGTTGGTTTGACACGTTCATTCGTGTCTATTGAATCAGAGTTCTCGTCCCACAAATTGTGGCATATTAATTAATGTGCTGTAAAACTTCTTATAACCCCATTGAAAAAGCATCATCATCATAATACAAAGAACCAAAATATGACTCTGTGATTCATCCCTAAGACAGTTGTCACGATTGTTTTTTTGTGCAAGTCCGTTTGGTCTTTGATCAAATCCAGCTTCGTCTGACAAACTGTACAGTACTCCTGGCTGTATTGTACCAGGTACAAGTACCCCCGCAGTCGATCTTCAGATGCTGAGAAACGATTGGACATTTTTAGATTCCTTGAGCTACGGTATAAGACGAAATTGCAGTCAGCAATGATTTAGCGCAGAAGAAATAGGAAACATTATCAACGTGTAGTGTTGAGGAAATGTACGAAAGGAGCCAGGTATTATCGGTAGTACTACTACTAGAAGAACATGAAATGTGATGTCAGTATCATGACCAATCCTGGTGCCCTCTTGTCGAAAGGGAGAAAGCTCCAAGCTGGATTCAGATGCAACCTTCCAATCTATGACAGGCATCCAACCATGGCGTTTTGTACGATGCCAGAGGCAAGGAGTAAGGATATGTGAGCACCTACTGCTGGTGTAATGGCATGCGATAAGGATCGACGCAATGGTATGGCTGGAGGATGGATGCTTTGTCGTCGAACTCCTGACTTGAAGCAAAACCGCGATGACGGTCGATGGGGTGCGCTTTTTACCAATAATGATATTGCTAGGTACAAAGTGGGATCCTCAAACCGAATGCAGGAAGCAAGAATACTGTAGTGAGCGGAGATGTATTGCCGTAGCTACGAGCCATCTGAGGTGTACAATGACGATCAACATACGTATGGATGCCGGATGCTTCTTCGAGCTGCTGGCTGCCATACTGCGATGTTTATGTTGATCAGCGCATTATGGATGGATGCTATGTCGTCAAAGTCCTGACTTGTAGCAAAGGTTAATTGACGGTCGATGGAGCGTTCGACACGACACCGCGAGCACCTCGTCCGTTGCGCTTTTTACTAGTAAAGATATCAAAATACTGTAGGTAGGGATACTCAAGCCGAATGCTGGGAGCAAAGTGAGAACTTCAACAATCGATGGGATGCAAAGCCAGCTTCAATGATGGTCGATGACGAGCGTTCGACACGACACCATAAGCACCTTTATTGCGGTTTTTACTAATAATGATATATCCAAGATTGATTCATGTGTAACCTTCCAAGCTATGGCAGGCATCCAGCCATGGATTTTTGTAGTCTGCAAGATGCAAGTAATGATACGTGAGCGCCTGCTGGCGCAATAGACGTGCGATAGTAGTATGGAAGGATGTTTCCACACACGACACCGCCATTGGGCTACAGATATGAATGATATTTGAAATAGTACAAACTGGGGATAGGGTACACTCCTCAAGGCGAATGCCGCGAAAGCAACAATGACAGTATACCGGTACCGGTACCCCACGCGACGATCAACATATATGGTACAAAATCGGATCTGCGAATTTTTTTCTAAAAACCATCGATGGGAAGCGAAGCACCAGGAATCAATGGCGTTTGATGGGCGGTGAGGGGATGGCGCCATCACCTCAATCGCGCTCCTGGTCAATATGATATTATGTAGTACTGTAGAAACCGGAGCTATTCAAGCGAATGCTGCAATATATTCTCTAGGAGCGGGGACATGCGAGCCACTTGTGGCGTACGTGCACCAGTAGGTACCAGGTATGATCAACATACATATTAGTGGGATGGTGAGTCTGCGACACATCGCCATGGTCAATACGACACGGAGATACTCAAAGCAACAAGACGGATAAATTTGGAGGAGCATTGATCTTTATGACGACGACTGGCGAAGCACCCAAGATGTAGTTCTTTTACATGGGCTGATCAAGGCGAACGGGATGTTGGTTGAAAGGCGATACGATGCGGTTTTTAAATAAAAAAACGCTCAATATTTTGTGGAAGTTCTTTTATGTCCCAAGCCTACATAATGCATTTATTGTCTATTTATCATAAATTCGACTCTCCCACAGCTAAAACGGTTCGCTTCTGCCATGCTGAAGATATTAAAGTTCCCATTGCTCTTATATCATGATTTCGATTTTTGGAGAGCGTCCACGAATCATCACATTTCATCACTTCCGACATAAAATCCTTTGCAGACCAAAACCAGAAACCAAATACAACTACAACAACATAAACCATGACAAGAAGGTAAGCATTGAATATCATTCACATGTAAAATGTTACAATGGCTAGAAGCAATGACTGACAGCTTGTTTCTCTTTCCAGACCACGAAGTGTATCGTTCAGCGAGACTGTCGAAAAGAGCAAGTCACCAATCCTTGACAAATCGTCGTACTCGGATTATCTCGATTGCTGGTATACAAGCAGAGATCATAAGGGATTCAAGAGGTCCGTGAGGGACTTGGTCGAGCTGCTTGAAGCCAACCCAAGCCTCGAAAACAGTCGTACGCGTAGCACAATCTTTCGTGGTATCGAGCGACACACAATTACCGAGAAGGTGAGAATAAGAGAGAAGCGCGAAATCTCCTACAGCATTGTCGAATCTTTGCAAGGCAGAAGCGACTTCCAAATGGCCAAAATGTTGCGATCACAAAGCGACGACTGCCTTTTGGAAGCTCATAAGCGCGCATTGGAGGACGAGAAACTATATCGGGATGCCCAAAGCAAATTGGAGGCATCCCACAACAATACAGCGAAGGATACGGCTTCATCAAGGACGACTCCTCGCACCAAGCCACCACGAACATGCCTTCCTTCGAGAACAAAGATTGTTCGATCATTTTAGCTGGTCTCTGTGTTTCCTTCTTTATCTAAATTTAAACAATCACTTTTTTGCAATCTTCTTGATATCTTGCTTTTTGGTTTTTACACCCAGATTGAAGATGCGCCAATGGAAGCATATTTGCAACGAACATTCGGTTGAATCGAATCTTTGACGGACACTTTTAAAAGTGTCCGTGTGTAAGGTCATTGTGAGTGCCGATAGCGAATCTCATTGGAAACCCCTCGACCATGACCTCCGGTACCGCCATGAGTGGGCAAACAAATGGGAATGGGAAAATGGGAGATACTGAATCTGAAGCCACCTTCGCTAATGGAACCTTGGTGTATTGGAAATTCGAAAATGGCAACTTTTGGGGAAGCGTTAAGGATTTTAAGAATGGCAAATACGTTACCAGCTGGAGCGATGGCGATGTGCATATTTTGAAGGAGGAAACCGTACGACACATGGTATATCACGCACAAGCGACTCTTATCAATATACCAGAAAGGTTTGAGAAGAAGACAAAAGTTCAGAAGTATTTTGAGAACGATGGAAAATGGTGGACAGGGAAGATTATTGGAAAAGACAGAGATCACAATTACAAGATCGAATGGAGCAACGGGGCTATCAACGAATGGAATGCCTTGGACACCGTTGCAATGGTGCAAGATGCAAAGGATTTTGACGTTGATGAATCGAAGGAGCAGGAGACCGAGCATTCTGATGAGGAGAAGGAGGAAGAAGAAGATGAAGAAACGTATGCTAATGCGAAGGCAGAGGAAGTTGAGAATGATGAATCTGAGCGCTCTGCCGATAGCAGTTCAAATGTTCCAGAGGTCGAATCAGTGGATGAGTCTGTTGACGAAGTCCATCAATCCACTGACGCTAGCAGCTATTTACTCAATGATTCTACTGAAGTTAGCAGCATTGCAACTGCAACATCAATAGGATCTGAAGATCCAGGAGATGCAATCCTTCCTTCAACGTTCCCTCGGACAGAAGAAGGGCTCAAAGAGTTCCTAAGTCGCGTTGATGGGAGCGCAGATGATGATGGACATAATCAAGAGGCTACATTCGAAGAAGAAGCAATATTTCAGGCCAATCTTAAGATTGAGGCATCTTCCACACGTGAAATTCCGATTCCAACAATGGTGCCCAACTCGCTGGTACAATGGGCTATTCGAATAGACGAAACTGACATCAGTTTCTCTATCCGACTGAAAAGGCCATCAAAGCCTGACCAAATCGAAGACATTGTAGAAGAAACGGTCGTTTATGCAAAGGAAGAGGAAACCGAGCAGGAAGCTGCAGAGGATTCAAACCCACTAACCAACAGTGTGCAGGTGGATCCGTCCGAAAGGGGGGAGTTTATGGTGGACGAGTCATCAAGTACTATTATATTGGAGTTTGACAATTCTTACTCTTGGTTTCGAGAGAAAACCATTTCCTATCACGTCCGAATTGTTCCTCCCCTCCCGCATGATGTCTCGGACCGGGCAGAAAAGTCATATCCGTATGTAATGAAGCTGTTGCGGCAGGCACAATTTGAGGTAAACTTTTCAAAGCAAGCTGTCGCAGCTGCAGAGCAAAACGTTGGCTTTACGGAACATCATTTCGGTCAAATGGAAGTTGATATTGAGCGAAAGCAACGAAAGCTGCGTCAAATGAAACAGGCGGCTTCAAAACTAGATGAACGCCGAGTCGGAGAGGAACAAAAGCTTTTGGCGCATCGAAAGCGACTGGAGGATAAAGAATTATACATTTCGAAGCTAGAAGAGGCAATGAAGGAATTGGAAAAAGAAAGAGACCTGTGTTGGGGTGAGAAGCAACAAATTCAAAATTCAATATACGATCAGGAGCGTCAGTTGATGCGATTTGATGACGACTGTAAAAACGTAGAATCACAAGCAGAGGAGGTGAAATCGGATTTGTGCGATTTGCAAATTGAAGTTCTGCTGAAAGACAACCATGTTGCCGATATGGAAGAAGCGTTGGAAAAGGCCAAGGCGGACGAGGCAGAGGCGATCGAAAATGTGGCGTTTTTGGAACGTGCAGAAGAGGCCTTGAAGTTGCGACTTGGGGAACGAACGGTGGAAGCCCTAAAGATGCGGTTTGGATAGACTTCTAGTCGGCGATATGAGTTTTAACCTTAGAATTGCAATGTTAAAAGTCTGGTCTATTGATTATGTTCCACTTCCACTTTGCTTTCTAAAAGTCATTTCATTTAGTAGTGAATAAAATCTTTAGACAAAATGGGCAAGTTCTAATGCAACAGCCTGCGCCAATGGAAGACAGATGTAACGATGAGAAAAAGGGAAGCGTGTGAAATCAAAAGCGAGCAATACCCTGCTTCAAAGTTGCTATCGCAATTGGGACCAGCTCGTTTAGGCACTCCAAAAACGCAGTGTCAAATACTTTTGAAATTTCCTCACGACCGAGAATGTTTCCTTCTCAACAACTCTCGTAAAACAAGAATCACCTTCTTGTCGATACGGTAGACAATTAATAAATAGCAAGGATCCATTACATGGATATAACCGAAAACGTCGACCAAGCTACACATGCAATCGACATGAATGCTTGTGGAAGTGGGGATTGTTCCAGGAGGTCTCGGTCCGATATCATTGCTGGATTGCCAAAAGGACTGCCTGGCTACTGCCGTCTTGAAGATTAAAGAGTCGAGAAGTGCCGAGGGGGTGGTGAACACCAATCTTGTTGGGAGCCGCAATGCTTTTCTTCAATTTGAATTGTTTATTTTGGAAAGATCTTCATCCTTTGAATATTTGGATATTTTCCTGCAATTGGCGGGACAATGATCACTATGATAGGTGATGGATCACAACTTGTTGATGCTGGGATCGAGTGCTGCTTCTTGGTGCGGGATCATAATTTTATTTAAAAAATTAAAACAATGAGTAAGGCACACTATATCGAACGATGCTCCCTCATCATGCTAATGCTGGATGTAATGTTCAAGAAAAGTATCTATGTTGTGTTGGGTAATAAAATATTCGTTGAGAGAGATGACCAATTTAGTTACTCAGTTTTTTGCAAATCGCTCCAAAATCTTTTTGGATGGGTCATCATCATCACATACGTCATTCCCCCCATTTTCCGCATTCAAAAGGGCGAAAAAACAACACTTTCAAGATTTTTAGTATACTCGCTTCCTACCTGGGAGGAGCCTCTTTTGGAGACTTCTCCTCTCGGTTGGCACACGTCCACTTGGCAATGAAATTAGGCAGTCTTTTTATTTGCTGGATACAAGATCTTCAAGGCAAGTTGAGCAAACCCCAGTACCAAAGCCTGTAGAAGAGAAAATGAAAGAAATGACAAACAATGTGTATGAGAAAATATGAATACTGGTGGCATTGACAAAAAGGAAAGAGGAAACAAAACCACTCACAATTCCGTTTGGCCCATATACAAAGCTGTTCTTGATGGCCACGCCATAGAAAGACCACAAGGAGGAGTTGATCACTTGAGCAACAGTCAATGGTCCCAAGATACTGCTGGAATCCTTTTCCGCAATCACCTTTCCCATGGAGGACAGTGGACTGCCCGACATGACGATAAAAAGCCCTGACGCAAAGAGTGCCAGAGAATCACTGACTTTAGCCATAGACGCCTTGGTGACTCCAAGAAAAGACCAGAGACACAAAGTTGCTCCACTCAAAGCAATCCCAACGGTCTGGGTCTTTCGCAAGGTTTTGACATTGTCTCGAAGCAATGGAAGGATACCAAAGACAAAGCCAATGCTACCAATGCAGCCTAGAAGGTTTGACAAGACCACGTTGGGATCTTGAATCGACAATCCATAGACCAACCAGCATACCGAAACAACTGACGAAATGGTGACTGGAATTGGATCCAAATCGCCAATGTCGTTCTTTTTGACAGCATTCATGACCGCACCGGCTGGGGCCAAGTAAAGGGCCGAAGCGGTCAAAATTCCGAGCTTGGGGGCCAGCTTCTCAGCAATCTGGAGAGCACCTGGCGAGAGACTTAGAGAGCCACCTCTGAGGGTCTGAATCTTTTGATCGAGTTGTCGTCGTTGAGACGAAGTTGACGACACGTTGTTGCTCGTCTTTGAATTGACGAGGTGAGAATGGTGATTCCCAGGGGCCCCCAAGTTCGTGGAAGGAGTCTGCAACGAGTGTCCAGATGACAGAAGGAGCAAAAGAGTTGCGATGCGGAAGGAGTTCATTGCTTTAAGGTTGTACCTGTGTTTGTTACTCGTCGTTGGCAAATTATGAGGTCGTTGGATTTTTTCAAGCCGATCATTCGTTTCTGTTCGAGAGGAAAAACGCCGATCCAGGAATTCCCATCATTGACGTATTTCGTACCGGTACGTGCAATAATGCGCATTCTGATACGAAGTCTGATCAGTCGTGCCTAGCTGTGCGAGGTCCAGTTTCCTGGCCTGCGACCGCCAGTGCGCACAACGAGATGCTAAAAACGCAAATAAAGGTGACCGTGCTATTGAATATGAGATCGATCATGCTGTCGTTGGAGTCCGTAAGTAGGTAGTAAGGACAAATCGGACTCCAGGGAAGCGAGACGATGATAACACTTCTTTTAAGAATACCTTTTGATTGTGTATGATCTGTCGTATGTTTATCATAATACTGTAACGATTATATTTATATGAACGTACCATGTACCGGGTACCACAGCCAACAGTGAGCGGCAAAATATCCGAGGTCATCACCACAAGGTCATTGATCAAACGAGGCACTAGAGTACCAGTACTGGTACCTGGTACTGTATGAGCCAGAAGCCGCTTTACTCTAATAATTTACAACCAGTGCTAGAAATCATCAGTACAACGATATCATCGAACGAAGAGGAGGCAGGATGCTATGGAGCGAGGACGAGGAAGACTCGTAGTAGCACCACGACAGATAAGCTGAGAGCGAGGAACACGAGGATTAGATCCAACTACTTAGTATTTTTAGCTTCTATGAAGGCGATGTGTATTAGAGGTGAACCAATACTTTTATTAATGATTAATAAAAAGGTCTACTGCACCGTACCTGGTAGCATAAAGTGTGCACAGCAACATATTTCACTGGATGTACGAAAGAAAAAGGGATCAACCCGCGAATGAAATTCTGGTCAGTCCCGTTCGTCTGCATAATGACTACCGTATTATTGCATGCACTCAGCCCAAGCAGTTTTCGCATTCCCGTTATGGATGGCCGAACACGGAGTGTTGAATAGGAGAATCCGACCCATCACACCCAGCATCACACAATCACAAGCATTGTATTAATAAATACGATTTAATTGAATTCCATTCATCCCCAAGTCGCCACCATGACCAACAATCGTGGGTTCACAGAGGCTGTCCCGCTCTCGTTGAGCTCCATGGCGCACATGACCTTGCCGCTGGAAGAGGGTGTCTCGGATGGTTTGACCCAAGTCCTGCATCACATGTTGACCTGTTGCGCCAACTACGCTCGTGCCATAATGCCGCCGCACAATTGGAAAGCCAACGATTTGACCACCAGTATGCACGCGTGGGAACCTCATGAAGGAGATGCCGAGCCGAGAGATTTGCCAACCTCGCTCACGAAACATGGGTTTACGCATCAGTATCATCGGACCGCTTTCATTTACTTGAAAGGCGCCATGAAGGAGAACATTACCAAAGAGGACGAAAAGAAATATCTCAAGGATTGGGCACAAGAAGATGAAGCTGTGCTTGGCCGTGTCAGCCTCATGTTTGCCACTAACGGAGTCATGACTCCGGAGGAATTGAATGGATCCAAGGTTACTGCGGAAAGTCCAAAATGTGTTTTGTACAAAACCATTATCGAGTATAGATCTCTTCCTGCTACTGGAAATAAGTCTGCAGTTCAGGCGGAAGAATTGAGCATGCTGAGTTTCGGAGGAAGCGTGGACGATGATGTCAAGTACGGAGCCTTGGCCAGTCTTTACGATGACACGGCCAAGTACATTTTGGAAATTTATTCCGTCCGCGGCAAAAAGTACAAGTTTGACCTCATGAAGTCCACCCTTTGCGATGGGACGGTTCCACGGATGCCTTCCCGGGGCAACCCTGATGAGGCCCCACACGACGATCCTTTCTTGAAGTCATTGTGCGTGACGGTTACGGATCATGCCACCTCACGGCAAGAGGAGCACAAGTATGCCATTACGAGAATGCACTTGAGCATGGAAGGAAATTTGCGCATTGGCCAACATCAGCTTCCAACAGACTCCTCGTCCATTTCCAATCGAATGCAAGAAACCTTTTTGTATTTGAACCATTTGAAACCAGAAATGGCGGTTGCCACACCATCTGGTCACACGTTGTTGCTGGATCCCAAAGAGGCTGGAAAGATTTATATCGATGGTCGATATATTACCTCGTGGGGTAAGGATCCCAAGATTGGGTCACATCTTCCTGCACTTTTTGGAATGGACCTTCAAAACATTCCCTTTTGGCATGGCCGAATCACGGATTACGACATTCTCAAACGATCGTATGCGCAACTCTGGCAAGATGTCCTCATTGACGCTAGACTCAAGGGAAAAGATATTGGAGGACGATTGCTTTCGCGACTGATTACCGGATCCGACCCAGTCAAGGACGATGAAGACGATGATGATGATGAAGGCGCCGATAATATGGATGACGAAGAAGACAAAACACCGGCTGTGGACACTGGAAGTGATTGTCTCGAAGCGCAAGTGATGCAATCTACCACCTTCGACCCCGTTGGAATTTCGGCCAAGGCTTTGGCAACACGATTCTCCAAGGAATATTGTGAAGAAGGTTTCCCATGTCTGGCACATGAAATTGATTGGGTCAAGGATCGATTGCCGGGTCGGGTCCCTGTGGTGGTCCCGTTGCGGGTGATCAATGTCCTCCGACGTGGAGGATACTTTGATACCAAGCGTACTGCGGACGAAGTTTGGTTCTCACAAAGTCGACCGGCCAAATTTGGAGACGAGTCCGAAGTCGTCGAAAAGGCGGTTGATCTTTTGAAAGAAGCTGGTTGCAATGATATCACCCCCAACATGATTGTTTTTTTCAATGGAGTCGGAGTCAGTGATCCAGTACAAAAGAAAGGATTGGTTCGATTCAACCGGTCATTACGGCAGTATCATGTCAACCAATACTTTTCGACTATGAATTTGATGGATCTGATCGCCAAGCCAAAAAATGGTGCACCCGAACCAAAAAAGCAAAAAATTGACACTGTCGCAGCAAAGGGTTTCTTATTGGGTTACCATGTGGCACAAGAACATCCGGATGGAACGGTTCTATTGCGCTACTTGCTGAAGCATCGCAGTGAAGCCATATGACATGTGGGAGACCATGGAAATATTCCTACGAATAGTTAAAAAATGCTTGTTTTAAAATAATAGTATTGATAGCTAAACAACATTCCTAATACACTAAAAAGTACATCATGCTCACAGCAATAAAGAATCACTCAGCAGCAGCCGATCCCTTATTCTCGCTTTTTGCCTTCGGATCAATTCCATCCTGGTGATCACGGTACCAAATGACTTCCTCGAAAGTTTTTCGCTTCAATGAAGTCAAGTCAATGTCGGCCGAATTCAAAAAATCTGGTACCTCCAATGCCTCTTCGGCAACTCGTTCCAATTCCATCCGCCGAACTCCTTGGAAGAACTTATGCTCCAAAGCTTCCTCCGCGGTACAACGATTCTTGGGATTGAATTTCAGCATTTGTTGCAATAGGTCCAGCGCGATTGGGTCGGAAGCTGGATATAACTCTTTCAGATTTTTTGGTTTCTTGAACTCCAGAGTCTTAATGTATTCATTGGCCTTTCCCAGTGCAGCAATTTCTTCCGTGCTAGGTGTGCCAATGACACCAAAGATGACGTTCAGCTGATCTAGTCGCTCGTCGTTGACAGTCGCCCCTTCGCCGGATAATGGATAGCAGGAACCTCCTGGAAACAAGGGCGTCCTATCTTGGTAGCCAGGCACATTTCCTTCCTGCATACTCAAGAGCTCCGCCATGATGCAACCCAGACTCCAAATGTCAACTGCAGACGTATACGGCTGGATCAAAATGAGTTCTGGTGCTCGATACCACCTGGTAACGACATGCTTGGTCAGTTGCCGCGTCAGGGGTGATTTCTTTGGAAACGCAGGAGGTCGATCTGGTTTGCCATCTGCTTTTTTGGACCACGATGACATCATGGACGAAGCGTCCACTATTCTTGCGAGACCAAAGTCACAAATCTGAAAAAAAAACGAGAATGGACAATCAAGTAAGCATTGAAATTTTTTTTGGTGCTTGCAGCCAGCGTCATTCATTCGATCAATCACCGTACCTTGAGTGAACAATTTTCGTTCAAAAGAATATTGGCTGGCTTTAAATCTCGATGAATCACCGATGCAGAGTGCAAGAATTTGAGCCCCGTCAGCATTTGGTACAGAAAGGTTTGGATATGTTCAGTAGTAAGGTATTGAGGAGACATGATGAGTTTGTACAAGTCCGTATCCACGTCTGTTAGTGGAAGAAATGGCCAAGAGAGGCTGATGTTAGTTTCGATCAGAATGGTACAGGTATTCATCCATGTATCTCCACACTTACATTCAAAAACGAGATACAGATCGTGAAAGTCAGCCAAGTCATCCGTCGGTGGCTGGACAACGTCTAACAGCTGAATGACACATTCATGATCTCGCAGTCGTCGCAAAAGATGAATCTCTCGAAACAGACGAACCGAATCAATCTCTTGCTCAAACGGCGACTGGATTCGCTTGATTGCCACAAAGGCATCCGCTCTGTTTTGCTTGAGATCAATGGCTTGGGCCACCTCCCCATACGACCCTCTACCTAGCATACGTTGCAATTTATATCTCGTGCCTACCGCCCAATCGGAAAAGTCATCAATCAGACTTGTAAGTTTCGCCTTTGGCGGTTGGGCGGGTTTGTTGGGAGCTGGTGTGGCCACACCATCCTGCAAGAGCTGCTGCCTTTCCAGTTGGTCAGCATTTTTCAACGCTTGGTAGGGCAAGGGCGACGTTGCAAACATGTGCATGGCACGGGCATGATTATCACTCGCTGGTGTTGACGGAGGCGCTGGTGGAAGCTCATGATGCACAAACGGCGTAACTGGGGACATGGATGGCCCCCTGGAAGCCAAGGAGCTGATATCCGACGGTGAGGCCGATGGTTTTCGATCCATCATGGTACCTGCTGGAGTACCAGGAATACTCCTGTCCGTCATGCTCCGTTCCGACGATAGAACAGAAGAAGTGGAACCCAAGGAAGACGTGCGGATGGTGTTAGGCGTGACTGGGGTCCGCGCACCCGGGGGAAGACGATATTCTTGAGGACTGGCCTCTGGAGCTCGATGGTCATCATCCACCGGTGCATCTCCTTCTTCTTGATAATTGCTTGGTTTTAACCGCTTAGCAGAGTGATCAGAGTGATTCATGTTTCGCTTGGATTCTTTTTGAGGCAACTCCCGCGGCGTTGGGGGAGGGGTCTCGGCGGAAGCATCATTCATGGTTGCGTATTGGAAATGGCACGTGCAATCAACTCAACTCAACTCAACTCAGGTCAACTCAGGTCAACTCAGGTCAATCAACCAATCCAAGAAAGAACTATTGTGCAATCAATCAATTGGTAGACCCCCTCCTTCAGCTGACTACTGATTCCAAGAAATCTACCGTGCCTTTCAGTGCCTGAACCGTTTTCTCTTGTTTCGCCTTTTTGTGAATTGGATCTTCCCCTATTTCTTGGTTGTTGTTTTGCTTCCAACAGGTTTGAAGCTGTATCCTATTCAATGCGTTTAAGGTATCCCTGTTGTAGGGTGTACTGATATCACTTTTGTGAGTGATTTGTAATGGGATAAATCTTGGAACTCTTTGGATCTCTTGTCTGATAACCGTTTCACACGAGAGGATCTTCCGTTCCAGCCCAAATACAACTCGCAAAAAGATTTGGACATCATCGAATATAAACCCGCCGTCAGGACCAAAGACAAAAAGATATCGCACGTAGATTCCTACGTACGACCAGAAATTTTGGATTGATTGGCGGGAGTTGAAGGACGTACAGTACAATAGGAACTTCGGTCGTTTCCGGCGTGTTTATGTGGGAGAAGAATACCAGGACCGTGTGTTCCAAATAGTTCTCAATCAGATGTCGAAGTACCCAGTACTTACACATCATGAACTATGATAGTTTTAGTAACTCTAAGACCTATTTGTATTATACTTCTTATATATCACAGAGCGAATAATATGATTCCCAGCAAACAGCCATACTTAGTCCAAATAAAACAAGCTGTTGGATGCAGCCGTTGGATCCAGATGAATCTTTTATGCATTCTTCTCTCACTGATTGTTTACCAGCTCTCCCAACGCAATCAATGCTCGCAATGCGCTGATGATCAGGAGTCTAAGTCTTTGCTCTTTTCTGATGGTTCTGAACCTTCAGCTCTCGAAACACAGCGAGAGTTGTCTGAGGCATATACTACTTCGGAATGGTGCTATACAAGCATCCACTCATCAGCAGGTGGGTATTTTTGCTTGCAATAGAATGATAAGATTGTCTAATCTGTACTCTTTCTTTGGATGCTTCTCCTGAACCTTGAATGAATCCGCGAAACAACAATCCGAAAAATTGCAAAAGCAGCCTGAGGCATCCTGTTGTTCAAACTTTCACCCATCATCGTGCATTTTCTGCTCATCCAATCCGTGATTTCCCTTCGTAAAAAGTCGACTAATAAATACAATCCTTGTATATGTTCGCAAGTTGTTCCAAATCACCTTGAGTTCTCGAAATACTAGCAACGACGAGAGTCTGAAACTTATGTCATATTTCACAAAGTCCTGCTAATCTCAGTTTTCACCCGTCAGCAAATGGTTCGTTTCAGCTCATCCGATCCATGATGTACCTTCAACAAACAAAGTTGGCAATACCATCCTTGCATATCTTCGCAAATTATACTACATCACTTTGCTGTCAAACCTTCTGACCACCACCTGATTCATTCATTCAGGTATTTTTATTCTTGACTTTTTGTCGCCGCCGCTTCAAACTCGGTAGTTCTTGTTTGGATTCTGGCATGATCAATACCAATAGTACCGTCAATAGTATGTTCACATAGACTGGCAACAAATAGACTTCCTGCCATTTCACTGGCATGGTGGGTCGACAAGCCCATGCAAATATAGCTTGATGAACTCCAAAACTCAAGAGTACCATGCGTCGATGCAGGATTGAATGATTATGCAATAGGATAGAATATAGTCCGAGTACTCCCACCACCAAATGACTGGCAAACGCTAATTTGTAGGCCAATTGATACACAGGATCCATGCCCTCCAAGGCCAACGTCTGTTGTTCCTGGTGTCTAGGCAAAACTGCAAAGGCATCCAATAGTAAATTGGGTGACCGAATAAAGGTCCCACCAATCAAGGTCATGACTAGTGTGCTATAGTAGGTTGCAATCTTGTGAAAGTTGAACATGATACAGTACTGCTGTTGTTGCGTGTTTGGATGTATTATAATGCCGGTACCGTATATTGAATATCCAATATTATGATCAAGAGGTGCGGCAACACATGTTCCCTTCCCCTTCATTCATCCTCCCCCGCTTATGAGAGCAGTCCTCCCCCTTCTCTCAAATGACAGTTTCAGATTTTCAACGGCCCCCAAAGAATCAGGTCGTGTTTCATCATCACCATTGTGAAGAATCATCAGAATCTTTCATCAATCGATACAACAGCAGAGAAAAGAGCAACCATGAAGGTCCATTGCCTCATCAGTGCTCTTGTCACTTTTGGAGCCACAGCAGCAGAAGCCAAATTCCCAGCCAATGAACCCAGTTATTTGAATTTTGTCCTCCCGCCTTCCCTCCGCAAGAATGATACGGCCTATGAACATCAGCCAGCTCATTTTGGAAACCATTTTTCCGTCTTTGCCAAGGATGGTAATTTGGTCCAGAAGGTTTACTACGACGAAGACGATAACTTTTGTTCCTACGACCCACCAGCTCCCAAGAATGGAACCAAACCAAAGGATCCTTGGGCACCCCCGTTCATTGCCTTGATTGATCGCGGTGGCTGTACTTTTGTCACCAAGGTCCGCAACGCCCAACGCCGGGGAGCTTCCGCTGTCATTTTGGCCGACAGCGTCGAAGAAGACAAGATTCACGTCGTGGCAGACGATGGGAGTGGCCACGATGTTTCCATTCCGTCCGTCATGATGAAAAAGTCGGATGCGGATGCCGTCAAACATTCCATGGGCAAGAAGCATACCATTGTGGCCGAACTTGCTTGGCACTGGCCTAAACACAGACACCATGCGGAGATTGAATACTGGTACAGTCCCAATTCGATGCATTCGGCCGAGTTTCTTGGAAACTTTTCGACCATTGTACAAACCTTGGGCGATAAGTTGAATTTCACACTCCATCATCACATTTTGGATGGAAAGGACCTGGATTGTCATGGCAAGGCTTCCAAGGAAACCGATTTTTGTTACAACATGTGCACCAACAATGGCCGATACTGCACCGTTGGACACCATGGAGTGCCCGGCAAGGATGTCGTCATTGAATCCTTGCGACGAATGTGCATTGAAAAACACTACCCCGGAGACCCTTGGTGGGCCTATTTGAATCATTTTACTGAACAGTGCATGGAGCAAAAGGACGAAGAATATTTTGCCAATGAAGATTGTCTCAAGGATGCCTTTAGCCATGCTTCTATTGATCAAGCCACCATTGATGCTTGTATGAAGGACTCTGGAGATATTACTTCGGACTCGACCAATACCATGTTGGAAGAAGCCATGAAGTCGGTCGAAGAATATGGGGCTTTTGAATCCCCCACGGTCTTGGTCAATGGCGTTCCTTTGACCTGGAATGCTCTAACTCCCAAGACTGTCTTTGATGTCTACTGTCATGCGTGGGAATATGGCATGGCACCACATGCCTGTTACAAATGTGAATTCTGTGGAGATCCCGTTGCTTGTATTGCACGTGATCCCATGGAATGTCATCCAGACGATGGCAAGGAACCAGAAGACGGTCCATCGCCCAGTCCCAGCAAGGGCAGTGGCAGTGGCAAAGGAATGAAGGGTCGCCACTGGGGATGGTTCTTTGTTTTCTGTTGCATGGCAGGTGCCGGAGGATATGTCTACTACAAGAAGCGCATGGAAGGAGGGGATGGATTTGGGTCCTACACTTTGGCAGATGCGTTCATGTCGGATAGTGCTTAAAAAAGAAGAAAACAAGAACACTACTACAGTACCTCGCAACAGGCGGGCAGGACCAGGATAACACCGAGAAATAAGGATCATTGTCTTCTTGCAGATTTACACACTTTTATATTAAAAATTAGAACCATCATGTTCAAAACTTTTATGGCTACCGGTACTAAATAAATTACCATGTCGTTTACTCTTTTCGTGCATGGATGATCTCAGCACAATAATACTTCTACGCGGATGAAATGGTTGAATTGTGTTTTGACTACCATGTCGTTAACCCTTTGCCGTGCATGGTTGCTCTTACTATATATATATATATTTCCACTCGGATAGACTTTCTCCTCCTTTGTGATGCGCAATCAATGTATATTTTATCCTAATTGTTGTTGCAATACCACGCTTGACAATCGGCGGTTATTGATATCATTAGTCCGTCGCTCCTCTTGTGCGATCCCTTCCAAGGTCGCCGTAGCATTGTCCACCAAAGTATGCTTTTATTCAAGCACCATCTCCAGGCAAAATAGAGTCCCGTTGACGACAGTCTTCTGATTTTATTCAAATATCATTTCCAGGAAATAAACGTTCGAAGTTTAGTGGTTCAAGAACAGCGGTTTCACAGTGTACCTCGGCTTTCGTCTTTATAATAATCTTGGGACAAAACGATGCAAAACTTGCTCTGAAGAGTTATGATATCCGCTAGATTTGGTTGCTCCATTCGTGAAATTTTAGCTCATCGCCCTTGGTGTCTTCATGCCTTCGCGGATAAGTATTGTTTCGTCAATGCATGGTTTTGGGGTTGTTGGATAATATGATAGTTCTAGGCATTAAGTGGTTTAGTCTTACTGACTCGGGCAACAGACGCAATAATATCTCCGTCAGTAACGATAAGATTTCATAAAATATGATACGGTACCACTGGTACGAGCCTTCTTGACCTTTCTGCGTCACTTCCGCTTTCCAAGACTGTTCGGTAACCTTGGTTGTTGGCGCTTCGCGCGATCTGTAGTTCTTTTGCCTAACCTTGGTGTAAGAGATTGACTCTAATCTCCATCCATACAGACGAGCAGAAGTTTCGTTTTTCTTCGTATCTAAAGTCTGATTAACAAAAATGAGATATGGACGTGAAAGTGAGCGAGTGTCTTCTTGATACCGATAAGAATGGCGAACGGGCGGTAATGCCTTGACCATAATTTCGTGAGCACCAGTCTAAATGTGATGAAACCCCAATAGTGTCAACTTTATATGTAAAACAATACAAAAAATGTAATGGTGGTGTGCGAATGAGAAAGGACTTGATTCCGCGAGTTTCAGATTTATATGAAAAAAAAAATGGGTTTCTTGGTTCGTTGCAGAAAAAAGCATCTGATGGAGCTTTTACCACCCATTTTCTCGGCTTAAAGTCGACTAGTCATAAATCTTGTCTTCCCCAACTACACTGTATCCACCTCATAAAAAGTCTCATCGCAAAAACGTTTCAACATGAATAGACTATACCTTCACCAAATCATGGAACTGAACAACGAGGCAGCGGCTCTCATCGTCCAAAAGGAGTACGACCAAGGAACGGAGAAACTGCAGACAGGCCTGAGGCAGCTTCAAGCTCATCTGGCACAAATGCCCCAGCTTTCAGTTGCCAATAGTTCCGGTACCTGCTCTAACTCTCTGGATACATGGATGTATCCTGCGGTGGAAGCTCTTCACAATGAACAAGCTGGCTGTGGTCCTACTGCTTCCTTCTTTGTATACCGAAGACCTCTTGTCGTCCCACAATTGACCATTGGCATAGTCATGGCAAATGCGGAAAGTCTGAAAGCGTACCCCAACGGTGTCGCAGGAGAGCACACCAGTCTTTTGATTGCAATGCTCTTCAACTATGGACTCGTTTGCCATTTGTCTTACATTGATCATGAAGGGAAATTGAACAATGGGCGATCTCTCCTCCAGAAAGCAAGTCAGATGTACGACCTTGCGATATCAAATCTTCGTCGCTTGGCGGCTTTCGGGGAAGCGGCTGGAAGCAGGACCATTGTAATTTCATCCAACATTCAATTCTTCCGAGCAGCCATGAACAATCTGGCAATCTGCGAGCAAACGCGGTATGTCCTGGCACGGGATGAATCCTGCTCCTTGGATATTCCATTCAATAAGGGCTTTGAACGACTGCGAGAACTCTTAATGCAGTATCCATCCTCTAATGACGCTCCCGAAAAGGCTTTGTGGGGTTGCTACTTGGCAAACATTTTGCAAGTGATGGGCTCGTTCCAACCCAACTTCTGCGCAGCAGCATGTTGATTTAATTTCTCTATAAAAATTTGATATAAAAGTACTACCGCTAGTTACCATACCGGTAGGTTGCTGAAAACGGTGGGATAATACAAACCTGGCGACGACTTCCCCATTTTAGATGGCTACCCTAAAATTCAATACAGATGCAGATAAATGAAATGAATGTACAGTTCTCATCTAGTACCGGTAAGGTTGTGCCATGAGCCATGAGGCAATCGGTTGGTATTCCATTGAGTGTTCGGAGTTCATTGATCCTTGTTCCTGAATGCTCCAATAGATCGACAAGAAGCAGTCGTGTTTTATGGTACCGTACCGGTAGGAGGAGGATACGCGAATCCTCTCCGCAACCCGACTCGTCGCAACAGACGAAACGATGTTCCCGATAAGAATGAAGATGATTGATGATTCAATTCAGGAGACTTAGCAATTACCACTCTGTGGTTCGCCCTTTTCTTTGTTGCTCGAAAATATGTTTTCGTCTATTCCCGTGATGAACCCGCGCGGTCCAGTCCTGATAATGTTCGACATGCCAAGAGCAGAATCGTAATATATACGTACCACTACGATGGATCGCACACTACGGTACCTACCGGTATTTTACCTCATATCATAGCGGGTACGTGTACACGTACCGGGTACAAATGTGATAGGGAATGCCACAATAATTTCGCATCCAGCGGCTATCAATCTGAAACTCCGGTGGGATTGAGTCAATATATACACATAGCACGGCGGTGTGTGAATGAATAATCGGAAATACAAAAGGTCGTCGTTCCGCGAATGATTTTAATGTGTTTCAGATTTATCTGAGCGACTTGCTTCATTGTGTAAAAAAGCATCCGAAACGAGCTTTTACCTTACTCGTTTTTCGGCTTGAAGTCAACGAAGGCTTTTTTTTTACCACATAAAATAAAAAGAAGTTTCATCGCAGAAACGTTTTAGCATGAAGAGACTACATCTCCACCAAATCATGGAAGTAAACAATGAGGCATCGACTCTCATTGTCCAAAAGGAGTACGCCCAAGGAATGGAGACACTGCAAACAGGCCTGAGGCAGCTTCAAGCATATCTGGTGCAAATGTCTCAGTTTTCTGGTGGCAGTAGTGGCGACGTCTGCTGCGCCTCTCTGGATTCATGGATGTATCCTGCGGTGGAAGCTCTCCATAATGAATCTGGCTGTGGTCCTACAGCCTCCTTCTTTGTATACCGACGACCTCTTGTCGTCCCACAATTGACAATTGGCACAGTCAGGGCAAATCCTGAAAACAGTTCCGCCACAGGAGAGCGCACCAGTCTTTTGGTTGCAATGCTCTTCAACTATGGACTTGCTTGCCATTTGTCTCACCTTGATCATGAAGGGAAATTGAACGATGGATCTCTATATCAGAGGGCTAGTCAGATGTATGATCTTGCGATATCAAATCTTCGTCGCTTGGCGGCTTCGAAGTTGCCTGGAAGCAGGACCATAATCTCATCCAACATTCAATTCTTCCGAGCAGCCATGAACAATCTGGCAATCTGCGAGCAAACGCGGTATGTCCTCCTCGCACGGGATGAATCCTGCTCCTTGGATATTCCATTCAATAAGGGCTTTGAACGACTGCGAGAACTCTTAATGCAGTATCCATCCTCTAATGACGCTCCCGAAAAAGCGTTATGGGATTGCTACCTGGCAAACAGTTTGCAAGTGATGGGCTCATTTCAACCCAACTTCTGCGCAGCAGCATGTTGATTTCTAAACTTTCGCTAAATTTTGTATATATTTAGAAATAGGCAGTGCTATCATGATTATAGGGTGTCCATGATTTTCTTGATGATCCAATCTCCATTTTTTATTCTGCCCAAATCCTTGTTGGACTATTGGAATGGTAACATGCGGAAACTGAGACTGTGAGAGTGCGGCTGTTAGAGAGACAAGGATCATTGCAAGGATGCGCCATTCCCAAAGATTTGCCGTACGAACATCTGTGGAAAGAAAACTTTGCCAGTACCAAATTCCCTCGACTACATCGAATAAGACATTGTCCTTCCGTCTACAGCTCAAGCATTCTCTGATAGGGAGCACGAAGAAGAATCATATACTACCGGCCGGAAGGCTTCTTTGGTGTTCCCTCCTCTGGTTAGCTCGTCGTCTAAGACCTATTAGCTCCTGCTTCGCTCGTTGTAAAGAGACGTTGACCCTCAAGATTGTCAGTGAGGGACCTTGTTGTGTTCACCGCGAACGAGAAAGAATTTTCCGCTTATGGAGAAGTATTGCCTGGGGACCATATTGTCTTTTCCTTGACTCTAAGCGAATCATCACATTTTCCTACATTTCTCTTGTGTATACATATGTGGCCGGAATCTCACATAAAATCATTAAATAATTTCGCGAGTGCCAAAACGGGATCGTGACAGTTTCTATACAATTTTCCCGAAAACACACTTCTCGCAAGTATTTAATTTTAAAAAAAAAGCGGTATGTATTTTTTATAGTTCCCGCAGCCGCAAATGCAACGGGAACATGTAGCTGATGCCCCTCACAATTTTATCTTCGATTTTTTCTATCTACAGTACAAAAAATGAATAGACTACACCTGCACCAAGTTATGGAAGTAAACAATGAGGCAGCTGCTCTCATTGTGCATAAGGAGTACGCCCAAGGAATGGACAAGCTGCAAACAGGCTTGAGACAGCTTCAAGCACATCTGGTGCAAATGTCTCAGCTTTCACATGGTAATAGTGCAGATGATATGTGCTCTGACTCTCTGGATACATGGATGCTATTTCCTGCGATGGACGCCCTCCACCAGGATGACAATGGGTGTAGTTCCCCTACTGCTTCCTTCTTTGTGTATCGAAGACCACTCGTCGTCCCATCATTGAAAATTAGATCAGCACGAGCAAATATTGAAAATAGCTACGCCACAGGAGAACACACCAGTCTTCTTGTCGCAATGCTTTTCAACTATGGGCTCGCTTGCCATCTGTCTCATATAGATCATGAAGGAAGATTGAATGATGGATCGCGGCCCGACTTTGACCTCCTGCAGAGGGCTAGTCAGATGTATGACATTGCTATAACAAATTTTCGTCGTTTGGCGGCTTCGGAGTCCACTGGAAGCAGGACTATAGTCTCATCCAACATCCAATTCTTCCGCGCAGCCATGAACAATCTGGCAATCTGCGAGCAAACTCGGTACATCCTAACGGAGTCACACAATGAATCTTGGCCATCAGGCATTCCATTCAACAAGGGCTTTGAACGGCTGCGAGAGCTCTTGCTGCGGTATCCACCCGGGTCTAATGACGAAACAACCTTGTGGGGTTGCTACATGTCAAATATTTTGAGAGTGATCAACTCGTTTCAACCTAACTACTGTGCAGCAGCATGTTGAAAACAATTTTGAATACGTAATGCTAGATAGTATGTAACATAATAGAAAACATGGAAACATTACTATCGTGTAGGCTTTTGGCTTCAGGCACTCAAACGAAAGTGATCTTTTCTGCCCTACCAGCAGTACTGCAGTCGAGCCAAGAAATGCGAATATTTGGAAGAACATCTTGAGCTAGGTGGGGGCAGTCGGAAAAGCAAAGTAGGGAACGGGCATGCCAATATACTGAGAGCAAAACCTCGCCATTCTCAGTCGTATCTTTTCAAAGATAGCGAAATAGACCCCAACCGGGCCCAAGCGACGCAATTGTTTGGCGCTAAAGTCAATATTCTTAGTCTCCAACGTCATGTCAGTAGGCTGGGGGTTGGGTTTTCCACGCGAGTGTGCCATCATCATAATAGTACTCGGGCTACTCCCATATGCCTAGCCAAGCCAGGTTTTGGACACCACGATGACCTATCGAGACTCCATCCCATGGACTTGAAGAATGCTTCCACTTCACCAACCTCCAGGCTCGGAAGAGCCCGAAAAAGATCGGCAAATACAAGGCTAGCTGACAAATCTCTCTCCTGGGACTGTTTTGAGCAAACGGTCAATAAAGAAGAAGGGATTCCCTCATTTAAATAGATGAGGACGCCTTCCAGTACAATAATATTGTGCCAAGATGCATCGTCGTCGATATCTTGGATGGTGTTTGCAAATGTTTCGACAAAGGATGACAGATCGTTCAAGTCTTGCGCCACAAGGTTTGGTCGCTTCGTGGACGGACGCCTCCTACCCAGCCGATCTAGCATGATTTCTTTTGATTGCAATACTTGAGGCATATCCAGTTCCCAGGCTTCATGTACTAATCCTTCCTCGAGGAACCGGACCGACCTTGTGTCATATCCAGCTCCCAAGGTGATCAGTCGGATTTTCTTGGAGGAAGTAACACGTTTGATTTCCTCTCGAATTGCCCGATCCAAATAGACTGTTCGGAGTTCAATGTTGAAGTGAATGAGTCGGGGATACAGTCTGCGTGGTAGTTGAAGAATTTTTCTTGAAACACTCGGCAACATGTCATAGGCGACATTGTCATCAAATGTTGGAGACTTTCGATCCCTGCCGCTCAAGGCTTTACACCAGAGACATTTCAACGAATAGTCCAAATCTTTGGATCGAGCCTCATCCAAGGCATGGAGAACTGGAAGCGCATATCCCAACATCCTCCAAGAATACTTCCATACGATTCTCGGCGCGGAAGATCCTGGACGGATTCCCAAATCTTTGGCCACTTGGTTCGCTTCTGGAATGGTGACTTGCTGGAATTTTGATGATGGTTGGGAGTGTGACAGTGCAGCTGATTGCGAGACAAGAGTCAACACCACGAAGCACCATTGCCAAAGCACTGCCATTGCCAAATATATTGGTTTTTATTTTATGCTGGTGGAGCAGTTTATACTAGATCCCCCGGGGAGAAAAGAAGGGGAGAGAGGAAGAAGAAAAGAAAAAACGAAGAGAGAAGAAAAGAGGAGAAAGCAATAGCATTGCAATG